TCTTTCAGACGATCAGAATGTTTTCTCGTACAAAGCAGTGAACTGCCCGACTGATACCAACTGCCCACTTGACTTCAATGCCGTCTTCGGGAACGCAGTCATCGCAACCGCCGGCGGGCGGCCAGAATTCGTCAAGGGTATGGAAATAACCGCTGATGTAAGTGTTTCATTTAGTTCGTTTTATCATCTAATTCGGATTATTTCAGAATGCCACACTGAAAATATACGAAGGAGTGATTAGTGATGAGACACTTGTCACTTCGCTCACGTGAGTTCTAGCACAGGAGGCACATGAATGGGATGAAAGGATGATCAATTTCAGAAGAGCCAACTATCAAACCCGTTTTCCAGTGGAATTGAAGAGCTCAATCAGACAGTATGTGCTAGATTGGTCCATCATTCGAGTACAAATATCGAGAGATGCCAATGACGGTAACCTACTTACTTATTCATTTTGAACCTAGCGATTTTTAGCCAAATGGAACAAAGTATACGACGGCAGAAACGGATTTGTCCACTCGTTCTATCACGGAGTGAGCAGTAATCAACAGGACACAGATGAGACATTCACCACCGACGCTCCTGCGAAACCCTTCTTTAACTATGTCGTCAGCGATGCAGACTTCACCGGGGATCAAACTGCTCTTACAGTTACGGTGCTCAGTGACGGAAAACAAATTTCATCGATTACGTTAGTTAACGGTAACAGCTTCAGAATATGTAAAATCTGTTTCTCCAGGTACAACTCGAAAAACCTGCCTCCGAGTACGACGACCAGTGTGCAAGGTGACTCGTACAATGTGAAATACGGGACAAATGGAGTGAATACAAAGGGATTCCGAATCGACTTTTCAACAACCTCCAACAGTGAGTCAATTTCTTCTCCAGCAGTTTATAATAGTTTTGCCCAGGTTATGCGACAGCCACCTCCACAACTGGAACATCTTCTGCTACAACTGTCTCTCCCCTTCGGAGCACTGTGAGAGGCAACACGGCTTCTTCTTCTTCTCGCCCCACACTTTCCACTTCTTCTTCCACCGCTTCAACAGCCGCGGTGGAAACAACATCACAGAAGAAGACGTCAGTTACGGTTGCAGCCATCACTACTGCTACAACCCCTCTCGGAGTGGAAACGACAACTAAAAGATGCTCAACTCCTTTCTCAATTCTCATTATCACGGGTGCATTTTTGTACTTCATCGCATGAAGAATGAATCATCCCTCTTCTTTTTTTCTGACTCACTTTCGCACAGACGTCTGTTGTCCCCGATCCTTTCAATCTGTGACGTGATCGGCAAACACGTTCGCGATAAGAGTGTTTCGATATAAAACATGCGGGTGCCATGAAAGTACCGAGTTATTCTTTGCCAGTCTTCTTGTCATCATTTGATAAGCATATTTCAGTCTGAGCCAAGTTTTCTATTTGTACAACAATTTCAGTTTTCGGCATCATGAAACTCAATTTTCTGTTTGCTTTCCTTTCTGCACTTGTGCCTTATTCAGTAGCAGTCCCTTACAGTAAGTTGTCGAATTCCAGAAGCCACGGGAGCAGAATTATATATTCAGAATGCAGTGGAACTGAGGTGATAAACCCTCCCGCCAACATCAGTAATCCGTGGTTCTATCCTTCCACGTGGACAGACAAAGACGATGCTCCACAGTATGCGGGAAGTCAGAATTGCACGTGGAGGATCAACGTTCCCAAGGGAATGTACGCTTACTTTACTCTGAAAGCCAACACGAATAAATCGGCGGTTCTCAAGATGACCGATTCGATCGATTATGTTACCTAGTAAATGTTCATTTCTAAAACAAGTTAAACCAATCGTCTTCCAGTTTCGACACAGCCTCGATGGATCCTTTTTTCCTCTTGGATCCTTTCTTCATAGTCGACTTGCAGGCAAGTGATATCGGAACTCTTGGACTGAGAGTTGCGTGGAATCCTGGTCAGTGTTTTCCTTTCTTTTCTCATTTCATCGAGCCTTTCTTCCAGTCGGAGCATTCTACCCAAGCACCGTTCGCGTGAAACCCAATTCCAGTCCATTGGCAATGTTCAGCGGAGACTTTGACAATGCGACAATCGTCGAATCGGACACTCGCGTCTCCCTTCTGTTGATTCCTCCGTCCAATTTGCTCACCGACTTGACTCCATACTTGCGTCTCACTCAAATCTTCGACGGACCGTCCATCAACTCCACATTTCTCGGAAAGTCGGTTTTTCTTCTTCTTTTTTCAATAAGTTGTTTGAACAACATTTTCATTTCTAGCTTGTATCAAGTGATGGCTTCTGGAAAGAATCTGGTATCTTCTGGGAAGTACCTGACGCTCTACGCACTGTTCCCCGGATTCAACTTGGGAAATGTTGTTGTACTCCAGGACTACTTTGGTAAGAAGAAAAGCCTGGATGTATTATAGAACACAACTATCCTTTGCAGATGTAAAAGACTTCAAAACGTACAATTCGATCAGTTGTCTCATGCCGAATCTTTGTCAAGTGTCGCTGAATGCAACCGGAGGCACCGCAGCTGCTCTCCGCTACTGGAACGCTCCGTTCTTCGTCAAAAATCTTCTGCTTCCACACACGAATAAGCTCTCCGTTTACACGGACTTTGTTACAGATGCTCACAAATTGGCAGATTACACGTAGGACATTGTGCATTTTAGAAAAAATGAATGAGTTGATGATTTTCAGATCGGATAGCGCGACGACGAGCATCCCGCAGAAGTTCAGAAGTCAGTTCACCACATTCGTTCTTGACAAAGATCAAGCTGTCCTTCAGCTCACTTCCGATAGCAATGCTGGTACTGTCTGTTGCTGCTGAGCTACAACCAGAAATAAGCCCTCTTTCAGCCAACTGGGGAAGCGCATTCGAAGGACGCCGAGGCTTCTTCACTTCGGCAAACTATGCACTGAGCTCAGTCAATCAAACGTTCCAAGATAACGTCATCGGAGCAACGACATTCAACGTGAGCTACACAGTCGATAGAGCCGGAATCAGCGGAGCAGCAAAACTTCACGTCGTCATCTACGATGGCCAGAACGCAGTTATCGACAATGTGTTAGTTTTGGACACTGAACAATTGCTCAGGCCTTTCCTATCATTTCAGTTACTCTGCCACGAACTTCCCATCTGGTCCGGTGTGGTCGAAAGGAAACAATCTTTACGTGGATTACCAATCGAATGGTGTCAATTCTACCGGTGCTTTCGTCTCTTTCGGATTCGATAAATATAATTCTGCTGGAACATACGGTGAGAGACAATATTGAGGTTCTTACTTTGATAATTATCATTTACAGGTCTCTTCGCTTCGTTTATTGTTGCACTTTGGATGTCTCTGTACTTTTAAAATACTGAAACCTTTTTTTTCCTAAAATTACATTCGAAAGCATAAAAAGGTTATTGCTACGACTGCGCAATTGAAATCCGTGTCAGCATGTCATTCTTATACCTTTTCCTGTCCTCTTCTTCATCAAATATCCATATCATTCAGAATGTCTCTTTTCCAGTCGTTCACATGCTTTTTCTTATTGTTCCATTCAATTGCAGCCGTTCTGAACAGTGAGTCCCCCGCCTCCGTCTCCCTCTTTCTCTCATTCTCTCAGATTGCACTGGCACCCTGACAATCGACCATCCCGCCAACCTCAATGATTCCTACTATTGGCCGACTGGGTGGACTGATTTTCAGAACTATGTCCCACAGTTTTCTGCTGGTCAGAACTGTGTTTGGAAGTTCAACGTGCCGAAGGGAATGTACGCGTACTTCGGAGCCTCGTTTACGTCTTCCGACTCCACGACCACACTGAAAATGACTGATTCCATTGGTGTCGTTACCATGTAAAACAAGCTTGTGAGCAATAATTCATTGGAATTTTCATGCAGATTCAACGAATCCGACTTCAACCATCCATTCTTCCTCGTGGATCCCGGGTTTTCGGTCGAATTGCACTCCACAGCAATCGGATATTTGGGAATTAGAGTTGCCTGGTTTGAGAGTATGAAAAGGATTAAAAGCCGATTGACAGTTCATGTATTCAGTCCCTCAAACTGCTTCAAATGTGATCACAGTCGCTCCAAATGACGCCGCGTTGGCTCTGATCGGAGACACTTTCAACAATCCGACGACAATCCAGTCGCAATCCCGAGTCTCTCTCGTCTCGATAAAACCGAAACAGGCATTCAATGACAATGTTCCAGCAATGCGACTTACTCTCATTTGTGACGGACCCACAGTCAATTCGACATTCATCGGAAAGTAACTTATTTTTTAGTAAAGGACAGCGAAAACGTTTTTTCAGTCTCTGGCAAGTGATGACATCCGGCAATCAGTTGGTATCCACTGGACACTCTCTCACTCTCTATTCGGTTTGGCCTGGAAAAGACCTCGGGAATGTTGCAATTGTTCAAGACTATTCCAGTTAAATCTGTCTGCACTGTTTCGCATTTTTTGTTAACATTTTTCAGATGTGAAACAGTTCTCAAGCTACACAGGAATCAGTTGTTATTTGAATACCGAGTGCCAGTTCCAGATCGATGCTAGTAATGGAACATCCGCCGCAATCAGATACTCAGAATCTCCTCAATATCTAATTTCAATGGGACTTTTCTATTCAGCGAGTATTTCTGTGTATTCTGGCGCACTTACGACTAATCAACTGATTTCCAGCTACTCGTAAGTCAATATTTCATGAAAGCAATAAATATTCTGAAACTTTCAGAGAAAATCTAACCCACAACCGTATTCCTCAAGAGTTCAGTGGTCGGCTGACAACCTACACCGTGGACAAAGGGTTTGCCGCGTTGGAATTGACTGGTCGCAGTGATTATTGTGAGTAGATCTGTTCCGAAATGCATAATGAAAACGGTGATTGCAGCCAAATGGTCGACAATATTCGATGGCCGACAAGGCATTGTCTTCTCAAAAAACCTCGGAGTGTCTTCATCGGACCAAGAGTTCTCGGAGACGTTCTCCCGGAAAGACTCCTCGTTCAACATCAGCCTGACAGTTGTGGACGCAGGACTCACCGGAGCAGCCACTCTTCAGATAACTGTGCTCCAAGATAAGACGACTGTTTCGGACATTACGTAAGGAGATTGTCGTGAAATGTGTGAAAGGAGACATTTAGGTATTCCGCTCGAAAACTGCCGGATAATAAGATCGCGCTGACTGGTAATCAACTTTCTGTTACGTACAGAAATCAGGGATCCGAGACAAAAGGATGTCGTCTCGACTTTGAATTCCGGATGAATGGGAATGCACTCGCTGGAATTTTTGCGGTTTTCCTCACCATCTTTTATCACTTCTTCTGATTGTAATTATGGGTTCTGACTATATCTTCACTGCCATCTGAATAAATTCAGTTCAAACTTTTCAATACTCGTAAGTTACGACGTAACTGACAAGGTAAGTACCTAATCTGCGACATGCGGTTTTAGTCGGGACTAGGACGGAATGAGAGGCCTCAGTGAGTCCATACTCAGGAAACTTTCGGCAAGTTTCCGCAAGAAATAGCAAAGTACCGCTCAAATCGGCACGGAAAGGACACACTGTAAAGTATGTATTATACCTTTCTTCACTCAAGGGTGTGAAGTTCTGACTGGGGACTGTTGATCAGAGCGTCAAGGTTTTCTTGTCGGATGTTTCCGACTCGAAGTGGATTCCGCAAGCATTTCCAATTGAATCAAAGTTCATTCGATGCGTTTGCAGGATGTGCCCTTTTAGCGGCCGCTTCGTGGACTGCGGACGTAATGATTGACTCTGACATTTTCATCCGTAATCGTTTTATTTCACTGACATATGGATGGGTGTAACAAACAGCGATAATTGAGGAAGCAACATCGACACGAAGTGATAGTGGTGAGAACAGGAACTACTTTGAAATTAGCCGGTTACAGCCCATCCCATAGTTCTGATAAGGGATGCACACGGCTGAACATCCGGAATACTCATCATGTGAACTCTCGGAATTTTTTGTTTGAGCAGCCGACTCTTGGCCTCTGATTTAAAATGCGAAAAATTGACGACCTCGCCCCGTTTGTTTAGAGCACCTATTTAAGTCGTTCAAATTGATAAAACAGGGAGTGACTTCCAATTTGTTCCTGACGAATTACAACATGCTTCTTCTTCTTCTGCTTCGTTTGCTCACTTTTTCGTCAATTTTTATTGTCGGTCATTCTGAAGTGGCCTGCAATTATGGGGACAACGAATACGATGGATAGTGAGTGAATGCGTTGATAGGATTAGTAGTTAATCAGGGCTTTGTTCAGTTGTTATCAGTTCGTGAACCAAAGAGTTCTGTTCTCGGATGCCCAGGCGTATTGTGCCACGCTAGGAGCGATTGTTGTCAAGATCAGAGGGCCAACAGACGGCCAATGGCTTGCTTGTGAGCATATTCCAGTCTTTAAAGGAAAACAACATTCATATTTTCAGCCACTGCCGCTACGAAATTCCACGCAACATACGGAAACTTCTGGATTGGCTTCCATCGAGAGGGCGAGCAATTCGTGTGGGAGGACGGGTCCGAAGTTAACTACCTGAACTGGGCGCAAGGATATCCGTTCAGTGGCTACGACTTTGTTGGAGCCCAACTGTCCAACACCAAATGGGTTACTGTACTCTCTTCGCAATCGCTCCCGTTCATCTGCTCTTACCAGAAAGGGGCCAACAACAACAAATCGCCGAGCACTCTTCCGCCCACGCGTTTGTCCTTCGTTCGTTCTTCTCTCGTCATCTTCCTTTTTCAGAACCTGCTGCTGGTGTTTGTGACGGTGCCGACTTGCTCCTGGGTCACAGGTACCTCCTCCCTCCTCCCTCGCCTTTATTAATCCTTTCCGTATCAGGTGCTACTTCTTCGTACCCGCCCTTCTTCCGCACGATCAAGCCGTCGAGAAGTGTGCGGCTACCGGCAAGACGCTTGCCATCTTCGACGACCTGTCACAGATAAACTTTGTAACATGTCAGTGAAATTCTGCCGCTTTCAATTCTTATCAGACCAACGATTCAGCTATCGCCATAACCAAGTTCTCGATGACATACGGTACTTTCTGGATAGGTCTCCAAAAGAATACAATCGATGGAAAGTTCTACTGGCCGAACGGAAACGAGGACACTCTGAAGCACTGGAGCCCCGGATACCCGTTCCAGCAGCAGACAGTCGTCTCTCAGCAAGTATCAAATGGGAAATGGAAGACGTCGGAAGCGGAGACTCTTCTGCCGACGGTCTGCAGTGGATACGTTCAATAATCATTAATTTATTTATGCATTAATTCAAAGATCCACTGAGCACACGACGCCCTCATTTGGAGCTGTGTGCGTGTACGTTACCCAGAATCCTTGAGACGATGTCTGTAAATAAACATAGTTAGTTGTTATTATAACATTGGTTAGTACCTGAGCAATATAGTCTCCAGTCTTTGGGAACATGTTTCCAAAGTCAAGGTAGTCCATCGAACTTCCGTCAAACCAATGCCATTTTCCTCCTTGTACAGTCAGATCAGTGTTGAAAAGTCCGATTGTCGCGTAGCGGGTGTCATTGAAACGTTCGTAGATCAAAGCTGAAAATGGAAAGATCTCATGGGCCGGACTCTTCATTTCCACTCACATCGGAACAGATCATTTTGATCCGATGAGTGAACTGAGGCCACAGTGGCTCCGTACTTTGCACATCGTTGATTCTCTTTCGTCAAGAATGGAGCATCGGTCTGAAATCGGCCCAGTTCAATTCATTTTCTAGTTCTGGAAACTGACCGGCACATCCGGATAATCCGAGTCATTTCCATAGACGAGCTGCAAAATGTCAATTAGTTTCAGATTCGTAAGATGAAGCAATCGATATCAGTTCTGACTTCTGCTCTCTGTGCCCTTATCTTTTCTTTTTGACCTTTTTGACATTTTATAAAGAATCAAGTACAAAACTTACGACAATGTAACACTTCTGAGTGGCTTCGAACAGAGTGAATCCCTCCGGACACGTCTTCTTCGTGGTCGTCGGCGGAAGAGTCGTGGTTGTTGTTGTCGGAGTGCTCGTCGTCGGTTTCGGAGTGGTTAAAGTGGTTGCTGTAGTGACCGTAGTTGTTGTGACCGTAGTCGTAGTCGGAGTAGTTGTGGTGGTTGTTCTCGTGGTCGTTGCTGGAGTAGTGGGAGTTGTTGGCGCGGCGGTGGGAGTCGTCTTCAGTTCCGGATCATACGAACACACGAACTCGAGTTCTTTGTTCTCGGAAATCGTTTCCCATCTTCCGTTCTTGATGTTCTCTGCCACGTAGTCCTGTTTGGTCGGGAATCCGGCTTCGAAGTTCGTGTAGGCCACCAAAGTTCCGTCGTCCCAGTAGAACAGAGAATAGTCTTTGCTTCTGGAGAGTCCGATCCAGAACTGACCGTTGTTTGTTCCAAACTCTGTCACGGCCATTGCTGAAAGACAACCTAATACGACTGAAATCCGTAAAGAACTCACAGGCAAGGAAGTTTGCAGTGATGGCGGTGTCCACAGTGGCGAGGAAGTATCCATGACTATGGCAGTACTCTTCGGCCGACTTGAACGGATGTCTCTTTGACACAAAGGAATAGCATCTGAAAGAGAGCGTTCACAGAACAATCAACTTTCGAAATGTTACCTGGTCCCAATGTACTTGTCATGCGGGTTTCTGCAGCTAGCGGCGTCGGAAAGTCCCGCCAGGAAGAGCACGAAAAGCGGGGGCAAAACGTGGAGGAGCATGACGGCTGAGTGGTCGGAGACGGGAGACAACCCCGTTTCTTATGCTGATTGCGGTTTGATAATGTTCGTATGACGTTTTATTTTCGAAAGGCTCACGATAAGACTTTCTCGGCCGTTTTCCGGTTTCCCGCCCAGTTCGGGAAAGTCCAGAGTGACGAGTTGGCAGAAGAGTTAGTGAGTGAATGATGAGATGTAGGGTTCCGAATCAAAGTTTAAACTACACTCCTGGACATACATACGGACATAATATTTTGACTTAATTTTATACACGAGAACACTTGGTACGAGCACAAGAGTGGGAAATGTCCAAATTGCAGGAGGGTCCTTAAGGGGCAGCAATCTGGACATTTCCGACTTTACCGCGACTGCAAGAGGTTGTCAGGTTGCCTCAAGTGTCTCCATTACTTCTATGTTTTCTACGGCCCTTATTTTGGGCGCTGAGTCGAATGGTGATAGTCCCGTCTCTCGGTCATGTCAAAATGTTGCACATCGGTTAAAAACTTTTCATACTTTTGTGAATATCTTCTTTCATAATTTGTTTCACCAGTAATTATTAATTGCACTCACACCGAAAACGTCGGAAATTTGCACGTCAATATTTTAACCTTTTCAAGAGGACAGACTTCAACTTTAAATGTTTATTGTAGTCTCACGAACTTTACAATATCGGGTGGAAACTTTCTTTCAATTTGCGATTTGACAGCGAACAGCGCGAGACGGCAAATGTCTACTACTTTTATTATACTCCTTGTTCGTTCTTGATATAGTTGGTCGTTGATTTGTCGCCCACGCGGTCTTCCAGCCAGAAAGTGCAGCACGTTCCCTTGCCCTTCACTTGCACTTCCCCTCTTTCGGTCGTCGCGAACACTGGATGGTAGGCTCGGATGTGAGAGTGCGCGTCCAAACTCATCTGAATCATTCCAGGCGTTCCGGTCGATTCCATCCGTGACGCCACGTTGACAGTGTCTCCGAACAGACAGTAGCGGGGAGAAGTGAGTCCGACGACTCCGGCAGCCACCGCTCCCGTGTGGAATCCCCAGCGGCAGCGGACACGTTGCGAGGGACGGTGCGGGATTTGGTAGCCGGTCAGGTACTGACGCATGTCCAGAGCCGTGTTAGCGATGTTCTTTGAGTGCTCGTGTCCGTTCTCCTCGGGAATCCCTGAGACGACCATGTAGGCGTCGCCGATAGTCTCCACTTTGTAACTTTTGTTTCTGGTAATGCACTCGTCAAATCCAGTGTACAGTCCGTTGAGCATATTGACCACTTCGATCGGGGTCGATCCCGAACAGATGGTGGTGAATCCGACGATATCAGAGAAAAGGATGGTGGCCGAAGAGAAGAGCTTCGGCGGGACGGATCGGCCCATCTTCAGCTCGCTTGCCACGTAAGCTGGCAGCAGTTGGGTCAGCAGTTGCTCGGCTCTCACGTTCGCCTCCTCTAACATCCCAGTCCTCTCGGCAACCAGTTTTTCGAGATTATTCGCATACTGCTCCATCATTCGCATCATTTGATCGACCAGACTTCCCTTTCTGAAATCAGTTTCAATAACTGCCTTTTTAAGTGATGATACTAACGTCTTCAACACCATTTCCGTGTTCAGACGAACTCTTCGGATCGACGGACGAATCTCAGGATTTTCACTCCAGCAGTCCCTGAGCAGCGCATTCAGATCAGGGTGCAAGCCCATCTGATTCTGGATTTCAGGAGTCACTACTTTCGAGCCGTCGGATAAGTACTCAACCAATTCTGAAAACCAGTCATTTGAGTGCTACCTATGTCTCCCAGCTCACCGGAAACGTTGACATTGTCTCTGAAGGGCAGGCTTCGGAAAAGGATCTCGTACATGACCATTCCGAACGAGTAGATGTCTCCTGCCTGTCTTCTCGCCATCGATTGCTTCACCCAGCTCTGATCCATTCCTCTTTTCCGGTTTGATTCTCTGTTTTTGAGCAGCTCAGGAGCACAATAGAGCACAGCTGAAGTATGTCATATTCTATGGCTCATTTATATTGTCCGAACTCACAAGTTGTCTGAGAAGCCTGACTTTTGTCATCCGCATCTTTCGCAGCAGTTATATTGATCGCTCCTTGTTTCTCCCAACGTTCCAACGGATTGGCAACTCCGTAATCGGAAAGTTTCACCATCCAATTTCGGTCAATCAGACAGCACCAAGGAGTCAAAGAGCCGTGGTAGCCGATCGGAGAAGCGTGAAGGTACTCGAGTCCCAGCGTGATGTCTCTGACGAAGGCGCCGTGGAACTTCTCATCGAGCACGACGTTCATGTTGTAGATGATATCCTGGACGGTTCCTCTACTGCAGAACTTCCACAGAATCAGCATCTCCTCCTTCTCGTTGAATGCAAGCCCGAGGAATGGGTTCAGGTTGTCATGAACCGCCTGTTTCATCTGAGTCAGCAGTTGCATGTCTTCTTTCACAAATCGAATCGGCCGTCTTTGCGGGTACTTGTGATACGTGGCGTGCGTGTTCACTCCGATGATCGCGTGCATTTTCTGCGTCGCATCCATGTTGCTCATCTTCGTGGTCACCGATCCGACGGACATCATCGAACGAACTTGTTCTTCATCAATAAACTGCAAATCGTCGTGGAATATGCGCCACGGCATCTTCGCCAGCTGACGATCCTCGCTGCAAATTTTTGATGCGGGAGGGAAGGGCGATTTAGAACGTACCAGTATTGGAACAAGAAGTAAAAGACTATCGAAAATATGATGAGGAGGACGACCAAGGATCCCACGCTGATTTCCAGAAGGTAACTGCATCTGAAAACTTTCAAACTCCCTCAAATGTCTTCAGAATCTAGACAGACTTCTGTCCTCTGTATCCACAAACTGGCTCATCCAGAGGCATTGATCCGTCTTCACTCGGCCAGAATCCAGAGATGATGTCGTTTATCTTCTGAAGGGTATTCATTCATTCTTTATTCTTCTTCTTTTACTAACTAATTGGAAGCATCCACTCTTGTTCTTCAGTCCGTCACAGTTGCTGATTAACTCACTCTCCATATTGACCATTTTCATGACCTTATCTCTATTCGGCGATATGTAAAAAGCTGAAAAGATGGGCGCCCGATCTGCGACGTCATCCATGAGCACAGTTCCGATTGCTCCGAGGTCTTTGTTTTCCTCGGAGCTCGCACGGCTGACGACGCCTGGAAGAAGCGATGCACCTTAATCTTTTGTAAGAAGGGATACCTTCGAAGCTCATCCGTCTCATCCTATTCCAAATATACTGTCCATTCGTGACGAAAGCCTCGTTGTTGGTCTCATTCAACACTTTGCGAATTGCCAATGCATACAGCTTGAGAGAATCGAACAAGTGGAGGTATCCGTTGATATTTCCCTAAAATAATGGGAGGAGTGCTTGGAGAATTACACAATATTCACCGTATCAATGTCCGATTTCTTCAGTCCGTGCTTCTCGATCTTCTCGACGAATGAGCTGACGAGCGAGTCGTCGAATCCATTGACGTCGTCCACAATGATCGCGTTCGCGTAGTAGTCCTTCACTTTCTGCAGCATTTCCCCGTCGGTTCCGATCCACGGAGTCGAGTCTTTCTGTCCGCTCTGGAGCCATGGAATGATGTACGCGTACTCGGCGTTGTTCATATTCATAGTGTACGTGGCTTGCATGAACTCTTTCGAAAGATCTTTTGTGGATGAGAACAGACAGATGACAACTGGAAAAAAAAGAATTGGATCGTTCTCAAAAAGAGGATGGTTTCGCTAGATACTTCTGGCATTGTTGGCCAAGTCTGACAGCAATCCCGTGTTGATCATATCGTTCGAATCGGTGTTTTCATCGAACATCACCTTCTTCACCACTGTTGTTCCCACTCTATGCATTATATCCTCGAAGATGGACACTATTTCATACGCGGTACTTCCGGTATTTGTGACAATTGCAACCTGAATCAATTTTTTTTTGTGGAATTCTGCCCAATCACTTCTCCATTACCTTGTTCCACTTGTAATGCTGAAGAAGGGAAATCGTCGCTTCGGCGATGGAATTAGTGTTCTTCGAAGAAACTCTCGCGAGTGTTTTGTACACACTCCGATCTAAACGGACGGATCAATGGAATCGACTGAGCATGGGAGATACCTGAGACTGCGTTCGGAACACTCGAGTATGAAATGATCGGAATGTTCCAGAAGGTTGCCATTTTTGTGACGGCTTCCAATTCTACAACCACATGCTTAGCAAGTAAGTCATTCAAGAACGGGAAAAGAAAGAGAAAAACCCGCGCGGTGCGTACCTGCCGAACAATACGGTCCGATAAATGCCCTGACCTGGTGGACGTGATAAAGTTCCGCGGCGACCGCGACTCCCTCAAAACTCTCACTGCACGTCTGTCTCGACACAATCCTAAAGCGTCTCCTGTCTGCGAGCGTCCTACTCAATCCGAACCTACTCAAATTCAATGTCTTCGCCGACGAGCCCCTCCTCGATCAGACTCTCTTTGCTGATGTTCAGAATGAGTGCGTCGTTGGGCATCACGCCGACCGCTCCGATGTGTCCTATCTTGATGACTCGCTTGTGCTCCTTGTTCACTTCCAGCTTTGTGCCCGAATCGAATTGAGTGTACGACGACTTTTCGCCGTTTTCTTTCAGCTCGGGAACCGATTCGACGGCATTGCAGACCGTAAATAGCAGAAGAAAGTAGGTGAGTTTCAGCATGATTGCTCCGGATTCAGCCGGTTGCTGCCACGGAGATTCTCGACTGACTGAACTCTTCCGAGCCGCCAACTCTGCCCATTGGCTCATCCGCTCATCGGATTTCACCTACCGTAGTCCAAATCCTCGTTTTACGTAGTCGTCAATGGTTACGCAAGCAGTCCGATTATCTCTGTGTAATATGGATGCATTAGTGTTATTAATTTTCGGCTAGGTTAGAATTTCGAAACTCTTCATATTTAAAAACTTAGAGCTAATAACAATATAATCAGTAACCCGGAGAGAACAGAATTATTAGAGGGGAAACATTTGGCTTTGGTTTCAACATATATGTGATCGCGGAATGGCATGGAAACAAGAAGAGAATGTCACAGACTGAAAGTACGAATTCATAGAATTCACGCCTTGTTGCTCTCGATAGGCTGCAGCTCTGTCTCCTTTTCGTTCTTCGGTTCTTCTGTTGGTAACGCTTGATGGGACGCTCTGCAAGGAAAAATTGAACTCTGATGAATATGATTCAGACGGAGTGCTCACTTGTACGGATACATGCTGTAGGCGAACACGGCAGCGATGACTCCGGAAGCTCCGATGAGGAAGAGAATGGTCGGTCGGAAGTTGAACAGGAAGTAGGCGGCGATGCAGTTGAGCACGATGGCGAATGACGTGGCGAACGCTTTCAGAATATTGTCGGCGTACTTGATGACGACGGCGACGACGAGTCCTCCAAACGCGTTTATTGCGACGGTCACCCAGACGGCCCAATCGAATCCAGTGAGCATGTTATTCCAGACATTCGCAGGGTTCGGACCGTTCGAGTACAGTTTGGAGTTGTCTTTGACCGATGCGAAAAGGAAAGCGAAGAAGATGGACGGGAGTGCCAGCTGGATGTTTCTGATCCAGATTGAAACATTCGAACCTGAAAGAAGTTTTCAGATTTCCCAGAATTTCGACTTATTTTGGTTTTGGTTTTGGATACGAACCCTTGAGAATCTTTTCAAAATATATTCCGGCGAATCCGGATAAGCAACACGCAATGAGCACAGCAACGAATCCTGGAATAAGCGGTTATTATCCATCGCTGACGTCGTCGGCTCACCAAGCACAGAGTTCTCGCTCTTCTTCGACGTAGTCTTGGCGACAGTGGCAAGAGTAGAAGTGAGATTCGAAAGGGGGGAGATGGTAGTGGGCGCCAAGGTGGTGGAGACGTTCGCAAGCGCCGCACGGTCGTTCGATATCTTCTGATCCTGTATGAAACTGGCGTGAAGTGTAAAAAGGGAGAAAGTGCTTACGTATTGAACAACCACGACTCCAGCGAAGAGAACGACGAGCGAGATCCACTGCTGAATGGAAAGTCGGCGGTGAAGAACGAGGACAGTGAAGGCGGCAGTCGTGAGGATCTTCAGCTGGTAGGTCACCATGTACGTGGCGGCGGGGAGGTTGTCGACTGCCACGTAGAGCAGGAAGTTCTGGATAGTATACACGGCAGCAGGCACCAGCACTTTAAGAGTGTCTTTCCAATTGACGAAGAACTCGTGATGAATCTGTTTGAGACCTCTGGAAAGTGAAGTATCCGCTGAGAACAGGGTAGGATAGGCTTACTTGATCACACTCTTTTCTTCGATGCACGCCAGAAGAAGACTGACCGTACACTTGCAGATTTCACCGAAAAACACCATGATCGTCTGAAGAGGAGAAAACTTCAGAGCATTCGAGTCATTCAGATACCTTGAGGAACTTGGGCCTGTCATTGGTCATCACATATCTCATGAAGAGCACGAGTGAGCAGTTCTGGACGACCAGAACCACCAGGGAAGAGTATTTGATGGTGTCCCCTTTGGTGATCGCCATCTCGACCTGAATGATAAAGTTAAAATGAGGGGGAGTACTGGAAGGGAAAAGTAAAAGAGACAATACTCCAGCACCACATACAACGCCAACTAGTCTTCTCTCTTCTCTGTCTGCGTCTCTCACTACGTGGCTGCTCTTTGCCACAAACAATTGTAAATATTGTGCATATATCAAACACGGTCGGAACTATCTATCAAAAATAAATCGTACAAATTGAAAATGTGTGTTGGAGCCAGCGAGAAAGAGAGGAGCAGAGTGATTGGGTCATTGTGGGACCAGCTGCCAACGAGAGAGCACACGATTCGAGGAGTCGCAGAGAAAGAGACAAGTGCACAGCTGGTCAAGGGAAGTGCAAGTGAGAAAGAGTCGTACTTTGACGGAGATGTATGATATTTAGATTAGAAAGAAGTAGAAAGGGGTTAGACTGGAACTTCTGAAGAACGAGCAGGCGCGGTACTTTGATCAAATTTAATTTATTTTTACATAGCCTTTGTTTGACCTGACAAAAAATAACTGGGAAGAAGAAGAAAGGCGGCGAAATAAATATCACAGTTCAAACGAGAAACCACAGATTCAACAATGACGGGAAATTGTAATAGCTATAAACCAAAAAAATGAAGGTCGCGCAGCAGCCAAAAAAAGAAAATAACTGCCTAGAATTGCAATATAAAGTAGAAAGACCCCGATTTGGAAAACCGATAAAAAATTGATATTATTTACAAACAGAATGCTTCTTTTGTGGTCGGAATTTCGCCGCGTAACCTTCCGAGAGCGGCCACCATCGCCTGATGAGACGAATAGAGAAAGATGGAAAAGATGACGAGGGCGGCTCCTAAAAGGAACGTGAACGAAGGGATGAAGTCGAACAAGAACATCGAGCCAATCGTCGAAAGCACGATCGCGACCGACGTGGCAAAGTTCTTGGCAATGTTGTCGGCGTATTTGATACAAACGGCGACAGAGAGGCCTGCAAAACGGACAGTGGTGTAAAAGAAAGAAAGACACGATTTTTTGCGTCTTTTTGCGAATGGATAGCTTTTTGCTATTCACATTTCTGCACGTCGGCAATTTCACTGATAGAAAGTGGGCTACGATTTCGGAAATAAAACGAACCTCCGATACCGTACCAAAGTACGGTAAGCCAGACGACGGAGTCGAAGCCGTAGAGCAGTCCGTACTCATTGACCGTCTTGGCGTCTTGCATGTAGATGGCAATGAACGACGATGGAATGGCGAAGACGGCCATCTGAACATTGCGCATCCAGAGGGACACCGGCGCGGAACCCTTGAGGATCTTCTCAAAGTAAATTCCTGCGAATCCGGAGAGGCAACAAGCGACGACGACGGCGACAAATCCAACGAACGGACGCTCTCCTTCCACTTCTTTCGATTTGGTACCTTGCAGTTGAACGAGCGAAACGCCGAGGAAGAGAACTCCGAGGGCGAACCTGCAGAGAGAAAGTTAAGAGATTGATGTCAAGGGAAAAGCAAGAACCATTGTGTCCTATTGAGAGATCTCCGCAGAATGATAACCGTGAAAATGGCGGCAGTGAAAATCTTCAGTTGTGATGTTATCTGGAACATTGAGCGGTTTTTTGGAGATGTTTCAGGAATCGCTCGCCATAAACGTGGCTGCGTCCAGATGAGAAGCTGCCACGTAGAAAAGGTTATTCTGCACAATGTAGATCATCGCTGGAATACACACTTTCATCGTGTCGTATGGCTGCTCTAATATCTGCGTTTTCAGTGCATACATGAACCTGGAAAAGGTACTTTTTAAAAAAGGACAGTTCACTATTTTCGCTTCACCTTCTCGGAGTTTCCTCCTGCGCTACTAAAAATAGGCAAATGATACATTTGATAACTTCGGTCAGCCAAACCGCTACTGTACTCACGAACATTGCGTCGACTTCACGGGCTCGTGAATACCTGAAAACTTTAAATATTGGAAACTTGATTTGGAAGCAAAATACCTGATGAGCAGGGTGTGTATACTGTTTTGCAGCGTGAGCCACACTAAAATCGTCGTCTTCATGTTTCCTTTCGACTGCACTGATTCCCTGCCGACGGACACCGACGGCACCTGGAAACAGAAGAAATTGGGATTTGAAATAGGAAAATGAGAATGAAAAGCCGGAGATGTCGACCGTTTTGCCGCTTGAATAAGGATCTGAGATTTCTATCGCGGCTGACGACGCGAAATTCGAACGAGGGCCTTGTTTTGGTGAGGTACGCACCGACGAAATATTCTCGCACTGATTCCAGACGGTTTTCTGTTCGGAAATGTATTGTTCGACATTCGGAATCATTGACTTGGCAGTCAGTTAATTGTTATACGTTCAGTTGTCCAGAATCGATAACTTTCCGAAGTGTCAGCTGACTTATTCACAAACAACGGAGATAAAGACTAAAACTCACGGGAATTTTAACCGCACCCTCGGGTGGTGAATGGAGCAGTGGATGGAGGTCTTCATTCTTGCTCATTGATCCGCGTCCCAATCCTTTCGGATCCTGTAATAATGACTGATTTTCAATCGAAAGAAATAAAAAGGCGGAAAGGTGTAGCAGGGACGGTGGACATTCCTGTTCTTCGGGAGGCCTCTAAACCGCCTCCAGATTCAAAAGAGCGGATTCGAGATGAAGCGTTAGATTGGGGGATCGAATCGGAAAAAAAACGCAGGGAACAGAAGTGCGGAAAAATACAGAGCCAACTGCTGAAAACGTGGAAAGCGGTGAAGAGAGTGACTGAGGGGAGGAGAGTACCGAGAGAGCAATCATTGAGAGGAGAGGAGCGGGAGAGAGGCAGAGAAGCAGGAGGGGCGAGTAGCAGACGGAAAATGCCACGCGGATCTGCAAACATGACCGTTTTCGGCCTTCAAAAATCATGAAACGAAACAACGGTGATGTTGTTTAAAAAGTTTGTCCGAGTGAAGTACAACCACTTGGCGCGCCGAGACCTCGCACAAGTTTCTGTGATGCGCCTTTAAACCGTAATTTCTTATTTTGCATTTTGCGGCCGCATGCGGTCAATGAACGTTTATCAAACCGGTGAGCAAGAAAGTGTGACACGTAAATGGATAGCTAACGATCGAAAAAGAAGAACTATTCAAGGCACATGAAAATCAGGCAGTCACTGGTCGATTGGAAGGGAAAATGCTCAATAGAGGAAGTTATTATGTTTCTATCGTATCGTATTATGGCTAGAAAGTAAGTACATGGAAAGAATGTGAAAACGGAAAAGTGTGAGTGCCCGGAAAATCGAAATTGGTTGCGAACTGGGAGAAGAAACCGGTTAAGACAATGGCAGATTGGCACAAAACAACTAGAAAAGGGGGAAACAAAGTACAACAAAAAGAGTGTATAGAAAGTACAATTTGGGAAATTTTTTTTACAGTTTTGGAGCTTTAGGGTTCACTCGTCATCTTCGTCGGCTTTCTGAAGCTGCAGTTTGTACTTTTCTTGGCTGGATCTTCGCTCGCAAAGGTACCAACTCGCGGCGTATTGGACGAGCTGAAAATAATTCGTTTTCAGAGAGGCTGGAACGTTTTTGATAACCTGAATAACAAGGAATATGACAAGAAGGAAGATGAGTAGAGATTCCGAACTTCTGAACGTCTCCAGAGGGACGCACGTCTGTCCTTCCAGGCAGTTCGGCTTGTTCCTCCATTCTTCTTCCAACTTGAAGTGCAACTGAAACATTTCCACGGCATATGTTGATATCATTTACTTTTCAAATGATTACCCTCTTTCTGACTGTCAATGTGAAGGCGAACGAGATGCCGAGAACGAACATCATTGCGGTTTGACCGAGAATGAACTGAAAGAAGTGAACAGAATTTGATTACACTCGGTTGAGTACTCACCACAAACAGTAGAATGGAATTGAGGAAACAGAGTGAAACGAGTCCGAGAAGGGAAAGAACGAAAAGGTATGTCGCATAACAACCGATCAGCAAAAGAGTTACTATGAACTGCAACAGAAGAGTTATTTGGAATTGGAATGAATTGTAATCAAACCTGTGGATACTCATTCACTCTGCTCGGGGACACTACTGCTTTTGGTGGATTGAACGCCGAGAGGAGAGTGATCGCCAGCAGCAGCACGGCGACGCTCAAGAAAAGGAGATTGGTGAGGGTGGCGACGCATCGGGCGATGCGCGAATACGCCATCCGGCGGATCGGAGGCTCCGTTCCCAACTGCTCTCCGCGTCTGTTTTCGGCTGTTCGACAGAGTATGTGCGGGCCCGGCGTGGCCTCGGCCACCGGCGCGGGTCAGTTGCGGCGGGATTGGGGCACGAGAGACGACGGGCGGGCGGCGGAGTGGCACACGCCTCGGAGACGAAGAAGAAGCTGCGAGCGGAGAGAGGGAGCCGAGATGGGGAGACGCAGACGGCGTGACGGGCCGACGACGGACCGCTTCTCCTTGAGACGGAGAGAGGAAGTAGTGTGTCTGGAGAGAATGAAACATTTGGGGAGCGACGGCACTGACTGATATTTTAGAAGAGGCGCTTGGAACAAGGAAGACGAAACAATGAAGGAATAGAAAAGAAGAAGAAGAAGATGGGAGTCGTTTAGTAGAGAACTGGGACATAACAAAAACGGATAGAAGGAAAGGAACGGAGACGCAGAGACGTCCCGGAGGTACACAGTTGTGTATTGTTTTTATGAGAAAACCCGTTCTCAAACTGACTGATACAGGTGCTGCACGCTCGCAAGTTTTAGGCGATCCCGTGAGACGTGGAACTCAAAAAGATAGTTTTGGCGGCACTTTGAACCATCTGGACATGGCCGAAACATTAAAAAACGAGACAGGGCGAAAGAGAGAGAGAGAAAGTGAATCATTTCTGGCGTCGAAAAGTGTTGAATCTTTGTAAAAGGAGAGAGAGAGGGGCGAGGTGAGTCAGAAGGAATGGTGCAGAAGGAACGTCATAAGAAGAAGGATCTGACGTGATGGGAAATGACAAAAACAGAGAAAGAAAGTATCACTTCCGCTTGAGACAAGCAAAGGTCACATCGAAATGTCCACATCGATCGAACAAACACACGCGCCAACAAGTAGACAGTACTCGAGAGAGAGAGAGAGAGAGAGAGAGAGAGAGAGAGAGAGAGGCAAAGAGATGAAAGGTAGAAGAAGAAAAAGAAAAAGAAAAAGAAGAAGAAGAAGAAGCGGATACATATGAATGACAGAGTATTCTTGGCCTATAAAACGGGCGGGGTGTGAAACGAAACGGACCGAGAGCGAATGAAGCCAATTTATAATTTCGAGGCGAGAGAAGAAGAGGAATAGAGGAGAAGGGTCCCGACTAATTGGACGAGCAGCACTCTTTCAATTGAACCAAGAGAGAGAGAAAGAGAGAATTCGTTTGAAACCCACAACTTTTATACTTAAAGAAAGGGGGGTTGATGTGCAGGTGATAAAAACGATTTCAGGTCAACAATGACTCATTCGCAGCTCAAAACCTGAGTGGACTGTAGTGAGAAAGTGGACAGAAATCAACGAAACACGCTCTCTCTCTCTCTCTCATGACGTAGCAATCAGAGTTCCGCGATATTCCTGGTTTTCACTTCTGCGAATCGGAAATGAAGAAGAAACGAACAAAAAAGAGTGAGTATTTGTGTTCAAAGTCAGAAGAATAATCAACAAGGAGACAACTTCAGTTCACTCTCAAGAATTAGTCTTAAAGTCGAGAATCGCCGGCTCCCGGAGCAATTCTATTTCTGACTTATGTTATCATCCATTCGGAAATTGACATCCTTCGGGGAATCTGCTGGTCGCCTTTCAAATGAGCCGGAAATAAAGAAGGAAGCGATGAGCATTTGTAGACCGAAAAGTTAGAAAAACTAGAGAAAAGTCGACTGTTGCGAGAGAAAGCGCGACCAAAAAAAAACTCGAAAACCGGAATTTGTGTCGGGGGGTCGGAAGGGGAAGGGGCGCATCTCAAATTGAATGCTGTTTGTGTGCCGAGTAGGAAAGAGCGCGCTGATTGCGGACGGCGCAGAGAGACTTTGTCAAGGTCAGAGAAGAATGTTCGTATGGTTTATCGATTCGATAGAGAAGAGACAAACTAGGTTTCAAATATCACAAATAGTTGATTATCATATGGTTTTGTCATTATGTTCTAGAGAGAATATTCAAATGGTAAAAAAAGGACAAGGGGGGGGGGTAGATGCTTTTACAGACATCGTAAAGCCTTGTGATATGAGAGTGGAGAAGTGGGAATTAGAAATATGCAAAGCGAAAAAAGAGTTAGTGAGGATGTGTCGATCGGAAGAGAGGAACGATAACGAAGAGTTATACCCGGGTAATGGCAAAAAAGTAGTGCGGGAATAAGTTAAATGGAAATCAGGTGCCTAGACGTCGAGCAGCTCCTTCTTCTCCGATTTCGCCACACTTTCCGATGAGTTGCTGTACTCGTTGTCCTCGAGAAGAGCATCCAGACGGTCTGAAAGTTAAATCTTACGAGCTGAGAAAGCGGGAGAAATTGCCAGAATTACCTTGAGAGACGACTGAAGAGAGCAGGAATCCGTCCGAGTGCAGAATTCGCAGGAACAGACTGACGTTGATCATGGCGAAACAGAATCCTCCTCCGAAGGCGATGCACTTGTACACCCTGCAAACGGACGAGGATTGTACGAGTTTGGTGTAAACTATAAACTCACAAGTGCATGTGATCGTAGTTCACCCACGCCCAGCCGAACAGGAAGAATTGGACAAAGAATCGGAAGATGATGAACGAGAAGAGGTTCAGGTACGAGATGACCTTCGAGAATCCGATCATCGAAGTGGTGGAGAGCTTGGAGATGTGAAGAATAGATCTGGTGTGCAGGAAGATCGACGACACTTCCATGAGCATCGCCCAGTAGGCGTAGAGAAGGAACTTCTTCGAAAGGACGGCGGTTGAAAGCACGTAGATCGAGGCGACGTGATGGAAAAGCAGCACGCCCGTGGAGATCGAGAGTCTGAAAATTAATTGAGTGGAATAGAATGATTTTAACCAGAATTTGAATTACTTGTCATTCATAACGAGATCGATTCCGTCGTAGAAGAAGTATCCGATCGACATTGCGATGATCTGCGCGTCGATGTTCGTGTAATAGTGCAGAGGGGCGGCGAACATGAGTTTCGTGTTGTAGCAGAAGAAGAAGAAGAGGTAGAGTCCGGAGAGCTGCAAGTGAGTTCGTCAGACGATTTCAGAAGTAGTTTGATCATTGGTTCCATCTTCCGGCTTCCATTTCCATTTTCTCATTTGGCTCTTTCCAATTTATGACCACAATCAACATGCAAATGCTGGCGCTCAGGAAGCACACACGCCCACACGTCACACTGCTCACTCGATTATCTCCCTCTTTATTTCTCTCTCTCTCGCACAAATCGAACTCGGATTTCTTTCAAAAGAACCCAGAGTTTCACTTTCACGTGAGCACTGCTCAGAAATTAATGAGCGAAAGGGCAGTGCAACTACGTCAGAACGGACCGAAACTTGACCCGTACCGTGGAGTGAATGAGCGAAGTTGTCAGGTTGAGCAGTCTTTTCCGTTTGATTCCCTCCTGCCAACTAAGCCAGCAGTTGTACTGCACAATGGCGTAGACGGCAAACCAGAGCATTGTGTAGAAGACGATGGTCGGAAGGAAAATGGAGTTGACGAAGCCCCAGTAGGAGGGAGCTTCCAGCTCGGACCCGATCGAGTCTGCAATGAATTGAGATGTTAGCTACAACAGTGAAGGGATATGACTTACTTGAAACTCCGACATCGGTGTTATTATCGACTGCAAAGAAATGGAATGGTGCAGACTGAATACGGTTGAGTCCGCTCTGCCACCTCGTCAATGCCTCCGCCATTTTGGTGCTCGACCGGCTGGAAAGCGGATACATTTTGAGACGGAACGAGTGGGGACCAGCGAAGGGAGTGAAAGGGAAGAGGTGGGGCAAGGACACCCGAGAAGGGGAGCAGGAGAGGCGCAGAGAAGGGACGAGAGTTCTGTAGTTTGGACCAAGGTCCGTAGGGAAACGGAAAGTGTGTTCGGGCAGATCAAATTTATGAAGGGCAGCTGAAAGATATGGAAGGCGTGGCAGAAAACGAGGAAGAAGGAAGAAGAAACATTTTGTTAGATAAATATCGCTATTGAAATTTCGAAAGGAAAGGGATGTTCACAGAAAAAACCTTTTGAAGGCTCGAAAAAAGGCACGGTCAAAGACCAAAGACATGTTAGGAAAAGGAACGTTTTTGGAGTTTGAATAGAAGTGATAAGAATGAACAAAGTGATGAGGGCAGGTCACGGTGAACGAAACGAGCAGAAAATGGGCAAGCGTGCTCAAATTCATGCCGAGTGTCAGATGTTTTTCGAGTCTCGCCTAATCTCTGGTGATCCGCTCTTTTCGCAATCTCGTCACAGCACTGATCAGCTTTCTTCGTTTTAGTCGCAGTACTTTCTTCGTTCTCATTAGGTCAACGTCAACTGATCAACAACTAATGAAGAGAAATCGAAAGAGGACAAAACGCCCTAGAAAAGAGGAGAATGGGCGAACAATCGAGTATAAAACAAAAATGACGCCATTATGATGAGTCGGTCAGTCCATAGAGTTGTAAAGTTTGGAATCGAATCGGTCGTCCCATTTCAGAAATCAAAAGGGAGAAGGCGAGAAGGAGAGAGCACGAAGCGACAGAGAGCGCACAGAAAGAGACGGTGATTCATCGCCGGAAAAGTATTGCGAAAAAATGCGGGCGACTCGCTCTGCTTCTCAATTCGCCCTGTTGTCTCTCGTCGACAAAGATTGAGGTCGGTCTCGGAAACAACACATTTTTTGGCTTGATGGAATACGTCGTCTGGAAACGAGTTTTACAGTCCAGAACTTTCATGGAAAAAGGAGGAATGCGGAGGATGGTCGCAGCGAACTAACTCTGATAACAAATGATGAATCGTGCTGCCAAATATTTGTCTAGTAAAGACCGAATAGAGCCGCATGCGAGAGGAAGTGATGAGCTAAACAGTCTCTGTGAAAATGAGTGCAGGACGGCGTGATCGGGAAAACGCCCACTGGAAGGGAGAAGGAGAGAATGGGGTGATCGGACGGTTCTTGGCGGCCGCCGCCTTCCCTCTCGACTGGCATTCGACCGTGGCGCCGCGTGCCAAAATCATAAACTATTATTACGCGAAGGCGGGCACCAGTGAGCATTTGAGCAGCTGCCACGGACAGCCCCGTGTATACACCGCTGCCACAAACTTTGTGCTCAAAGTTATGCATCTTCTTGAGTAGTAAGTAGTACTACAAGTGTACACACGAGTAGCATTGAGAAACGTAAAACCGACCTTTGATTGTGACCAGATGCCCAGAATAGAAAAGGGTCGAATAACTAATCGAATAACAAAAGGGGCGGAGGAAGGAAGGAGAAGAGAGAAATTCGTCATTTGCGAAGAGATCGAAAAAAAACGGAGGAGATGCACAAAACAGCGCGAAATTCGAAGAGAGAAAGAGTGAGCAATGAATGAGGAGAGATGAATAGGAGAATGAAAGCGCAGAGACGGAGAGAGAGGGCAGATGGCGTCGGATTTGGCCGTAATTGAGGCATTATCCGGCAGAGCATCGAGCTATTTGTTTACGATATGCAACATCTCAATATGATGTATTGGTCTAGACTATTTCTGTCCGGACAGTTTCTCAAATAACTTTTGCAATTAATCTTTTTCAAATGCTCAAAAAATTTACTCGATTTTCTAAGCCATTCTACAGAGCGTATTTTCACTTTCTAAAAAATTTAAATTTCGAAATAACCCGAATAAATGCATGAGTCAAAAGTCACGTGTTGTTTTCGGAATGCAACTTGGAAAAAAAAACATCAAATTCTTGGAAAAACATGAAATATTCACCTCGAATTTGAGAATTTCTCATTGAAGAAGAACTGAAACATGAATGGGAGAAGGAGGGATTCCGGGCGAAACTCGATGGAATTCGTCCTTGAAACGCACTTTTCACATTAAAATTTATTCTAGAAAATGAAAGATCGATACGATACGGCAGCGTGGAGACCGGGTCGTCTTTTTCAAGAAAGAGCACACGAAAATGCTCCGAACAGCGGGGGCACAATGAAGAGGACAGCTGATTTCAAAACCAAAGACTAGCTCGAGGTGGTGTCTCGTTCGGCCAAAATAAGGCAGGGACAATGCGTTTTTCGCGGGCGCGCGGCTTTTCGACGAAAGACGGCGGAGAAGAGATTTGATCTACGGTTGCAGTCGATTTTGAGGAGATAACGGGGAAGATTCCGAGTTTCCGATAGCTTCCGAGGGCTAACGCGCTGCGACGTCACCGTAGAATAGGCGTGAATTCGGAATTCGAATGTGGTTTTCAGAAACGGGGGACAGAAGACGTAAATCTTCTCGTCTCGGTAACCAATAAACAGAAGAAACCAGTTTGTGGGTTGCCCGCGCCCATCCAAGTATATCAAAAGGAACCTGTACAACTCGCAGCTTAAACCTTTCCATCAAAAGATGTAAAAGACGAACACGCGTCGTTTATCATATAAACATTTTATTTGACTTGATTTTGACACAAGATTCTCAAACGATACATACAAATAAATACTCGCTCATGATATAAGAACTGAAAACAAACGATATTCTGAATTATAGGGGGGAAACGGGGAGAAGAGAGAGGGGATGGGCGACCCGTGGACTCGTGAGGAACGAGAGAAGGGAAGGGCTATAAGTGAAACGGAATTATCACAAAGAGACGAGGAAAAGTGATGAGCAAAAGAATCAATCGGAGAGAGAGAGAGTATTCTGGAGGAGGTGGCACACCGGAACGCAGGATTCACAGAGAGAACACATGACCATAGAATTCGGGTAAAGTGAGGGAGAAAAGAAACAGTACATAGAACAAATCTAGACGATCGTCGCCGTTTTCGGCTGCTGCTGCTGAGACGGAGGGGGACGTGACTGCTGATGTTGCTGCTGCTTGTAGTAGGAGAGAAGTGCTTCCATCTGTGGATTCGTGCTCAGTGGCAGTTTTCCATTCGATGGCATTCCGTTGGATTGCGAAGGCGGCATTCCGATCGGCGACGAGTACGGAGGCAGGGATCCACGTGGCATGTTGGTGACTCTGGCGACCGGAGGCGGCGGTTGGAAGCGAGGAAGTTCAGATGACGAGTAGGGTTTCCTGAAAGGAAAACATTATTTTTGTGTTTCGTTGACAAAATTCCAGTGACGAATGGTGAGAATGAAATCTGTCAATATCAGTGCGTCACTCACCCAGACAATATCACAGTCGAAGCAGTCGGAGCCACGGGGAACGTTGTGATCCGAGTGGTCACATTCTGACGGACCATGTCATCCGAGCATCCATTCGAAAGCCGCCCTCCGTTCGGCTTCGAGTATCTCCGATCCAGACTCGCCGTTGCGAACCCTGCTTGGCAGGAAATGGAAGACGTCAGCCGACGCACGTTGATCAGGTGTCCGGGAATATCCATCGTCGGAGTGGAGTCCTCTTCATCTTCGTAATCGTAGTCGCGGAACTTCTGAGCGGCGTCGTTCAACGGCACCGAATACGTGGATGTTCGTCCATTGGCGCCGTTATCTGTGCTGATCGAGTGAGCCGATTGGGCACGTTTCCGCTGAGTATGTTCGTCCTGAAATGGATGAAAGCTGAGAAGTTTCAGAACATTGAACTGTCCCACCTGAATGGTCGGGTAGTGTGCCTGACGGTAGCTGCTTCGATAGGACGTGGATCGATAGCCGACGTTCTCGTAGCTGGAACAATTAACATCAGGAATTGAAGCAGGATGAGAAGAAAGGACTAGAAATCAGAAGAAAAATTCGAAGATTGAGAATCGGAATTATTCCAATGAGCAGCATCCAATTCTCCTTCTCCGAACTTTTCTTCAGTGAAGAGGATCAGGTTAGAGTGCAGCTATTATTCGAAATAATACCTTTCATCAAATCAGTAAAAAACAGCTGAAATAGGTGCACCGGCGTAAAAACAAATTTTATTACGATTATTCTTTGCATGCCTAACCAGTTAGTGATAAATCTCTAAAATAAAAAGCGAACAGAAAACAAAGTCAGTAGTTGGTTCTGATCCTCTTCAAAACCGGAAAATACTCGGTTATCTCACGGCACCCGTGCTTTCTTCTGCCTTTCGATGCAACTAACAGAGGGTTGGTCGGCACAGTGCACAGCGGATTGTCGAGCTGATCTTCAAACGGAGTCGTCTGCTGCTGCTGCGATTTGCGGGAAGTCGGACGGGGCGGCAGCCCGAGACCCATCGAATCGGATCCCGAACTGGTGGAAGAGGAAGAGACTCCGGAGTAGCGTTGGGAAAGGGAATGACGGGAAATAGCACTGAAATCGGATTCGATTAGGGTGGGAGAGAAGTGTAAGAAAGGTAGAAGAGGGCCCGAGGGAAGGTGACACACGGGGATACGGGAGGGGCTGACAGTACCTTGGTGCCCGTCTAGAGACTCGTTCCTCCACGTTCTCATCGAATTCGTCTTTACCGTCGTCGATGCCGTTGTGCCGGGACAGGTCGGGAACGGATCCTCTTGGCGTCGTCGGACAGCTCTTCGTCATCGCAATCGTTAGCATAGGTCCACTCGAATTCGACGCCGTCCACGAATCTGAACAAGAAAAAAGTTAGAGAAATGAAGGCATGAGGGCCACTAACTGTTGCTACCGTCGCTGGCAAGACTGCTGATATCTGGTTTACTGGCCGAGTGTCTCATCTGTTGCAGTCCCTGCTCAAGCCTATTCAGCCTCAAACGGGCGGCCTGAAGATCCTTCTGCCTCTTCTTTCGCACTGATTTGTTCGTATTCTTGTCAGTTGCCAATCTTGAAGCAGCCGCCACGATTCGTCGATGCAACTCCACATCAGTCTCCAGTTGGCTCATTTTATCGGCCTGAAAACACAAAAGCAATAATAAGTTATTTTCAGGAAATGTGGAAATCGCGCTCTACCGAGATTCCGCGTGAGACTTTCGAGTTTAGCACTGAAGTCATGCGAAGTGCGCTAGAGCACGATGATAAAACTTTTGTGGGAGCAACATTACTATTATGACGGTATTTCACTGCAATCTCGCTCTTTTGGTAAACTTTTTTTTGCAGTGCACATTGCAGGTGCACATTGAAAAGTTAGACCAATTTTCATTTTTTCAATTTTCAGTGAAAACAACTGAAAATTACTTCGCGGTCTAGAAACTCGGTTGAATATTAGGAACAGAGCGCGATTGCAGAGAAATACCGGGATAACAACCTTGTCCGCTTTGATCAGCTCGTCAGGAATGGAATAGGCCGTTCCGACGCGTCGTTTCAGCCTTGGGAAGTCATCTCCTGGCAGCACGACGTCGTTGATTTCGACGGGAAGTTCTCCGGTGATGTCTCCCTCTTCGATGCACACTTCTTTCAGCTCTCTCATTTTTTCACGAAGCCGGGCCTCCAACTCGCTTTTCCGCGCTTTCAAGTGTTGACACTTCTCCAAATCTCTCTGGAATTGCTCGGGCGATTTGTCTGAAAATAAGCGCATTTCAGGCTGGAAATGGGATTAGATATACTGACTGTGAAATGGGTCAGCGTCGTCAGATTGTGCCTGTGTTGTCTGCGTGGCCATTGGCTTATTGGGGGAGCTCGTCGGCGGCAGACTGGATGTACTTCCGTCGCCAATTTTTGCCGACGGCATAGTGCCGATCGACGAGTTCGAGTGAAGTGAGCTGAAATAACTAAATATTGAAACGAAATCATTTGAGTAATTACAAACCTCAGCGAAGGCAGGCTGGATCCCAATGAGCTGGAACTGGTGAGCCGGTTCAGCTTCTCAGTCAGCTCCTGATGATCGACAACCGTGTTGCGTGGATGTCCTTTCTGTAGAGAATAGGCGTCAATGAATAGTTCGCGAATTGCGTGCTTGAAAGCGTGAATTCTAACCGACATAGTTCACTCAATTGTAAGGAGCTAATGGGCGAGAGATGGGCAGAGGTGAGGGGCGTGACCTAGGGGGTTTTACGCAAAAAGGAAAGAGGAGCCTGATGAAGGGGGCGTGGCTTGGGGGAAGAGAAGCGGCGGCGGCTAGCAGGGATGGAGGCAACTAGTTGGAGTAATGATGGGAAGGTCAAGAGAGTGTAGGGCGGGAAAACACTCTCCAAACGAATTATAATGTTTGTTTGCACTACATACTGTTTATCACAGCCTGACATATTTTCTCTAATTGTTTGTCTCGGCGGCTACTGTACGTTCTTCTAGTGAAACCAATTTGAAAAATATTGTGAAGTGACGGCTAGGAACAAAGTGGCCTCAAGGTCCGTTTAATCAAAACATAACCGATCGAAGCAGACAAAACAGAAAAGACACTCGATTTGAATTTTCTTCGACCAACCTTGCCTTTCCTTGAATTTTGTTTTCCCAAAGTCATTTTCGAAGGAAACGATTGAAGGGATTAGCGAGAACGGCTCTCGCGTGCCGACCTCCTAGCTTCGTGTGTACTGTGGCGACAGGTGTGAGTACGAAGAGACGGCGGACTATATTCAAATTATGACGAGAGGGAGCTTACGGGCAGATGAGTGCCGAGAAGAAGACTGCTGGCAGGTGGCACCGAGGCACGGATTTAGCGCAAGCCAGAACATGGTTAAGAAAACAAAGAGAAACCATAAACGGGAGGACTCCGGCAGAGAATAGAAAACAACTAACGAGAGGAGTGACTTGGAAGTGACTGATCAGTTGATTGAATTAGCGAGTGACCTCCCCGGGTGATCATTTCAAACGCCCTCTTTCTGGCGACCTATTCCTGCCTAATTGCATCCAGAAAACAGCTCGGTGACATGGCGATTAGCGGTAGTACAGGACGGGTCCCCACGCAACAGGTGTCTTTACGTCAACATTCAGATGCCACCAAAGAAGCTCGATTATTGAGATGAGAGCTCGAGTGAGAGGAGTAAGTTGCGTGGATGAGAGTGTCGGATTTAGAGGTCAAATGGGGCTAATAGAGAATCAGGGAGAAGCGTTCACACGCAATCAGCGCACTGTAATTAGCATAAGCAGGGATAATGGAAATGTGATTGCGTGGGCTCACAAAAACGTATTGTGGGAACGTGAGACTCGTGTCATTGGAGCACAATCTGAGCACGGAGAGATCGAGCTCGAGTAAAGATCATAAAACTCCAGCAGGATACATCACACCGCCAAAGACACCGTCGCTCGCGTGTCATCGTCATTTGATACCAGCCGACAGAAGACCACACGGACCCCCTTCTTCTTCCGAACGCCGTGGCCCATATTGCATTCCAGAGGAGCGTGACAATAAAATATGCAGCGGGAGACAAAGAGCCACTAAATTCGAAGCAGAAACGAGCAGAAGGGCGGTCAGATGGCCACCCGCAATCCGTGGGCATCATGCACATTCCGGTAGTACGGCGGCCGAGAACGAGAAGACCTCCTCTTCAAATCACATCAATCTTCAGCACGATCGTCGTTCAGAAAAACGCAATAAAACTCGAGAGAAACACATAGAGAGGTGGCCGGAGGAAGGCAGAAAGGATTAGAAGAGCGGCGGAATCGGAAAGAAGGAAACGAAGTGAAAGTCGGGACACTAGCTTTCTGGTTCTCTCTTTCAGAAGGCGCCATGATTTACGAGAACCGTTTGCATTTTTCTTCTGACATATTTTGCTTTTGAGTTTTACCCGAAAGCTAGTTTTGTTTGTTCAGAGCCGCTCAAAAAAGACGTCGTCGAACTAGTCGAATCCCATTTCTCATACCGATTCCGGACGACGAAACGTGTTGACGACGTCTCTGCGCCACCATCACTTCCCTCCGTACTCGGGCGCCCCTGGGGAGCCACGACACTCGCCCAGAGTGGACACTAACTGCGACGAGCAGAGGAGCGTCGTCGCTTTTTTTGGAAGGAAGAGCTAATGGTCGAGACGAGAAAAGAAACGGGGTTGAGCGGACCAAAGATTGGCCGGAAAGGAACGAAAGTGAGTGCCGAGATCAAAAGAGATGGAACGGGGCCACAAGGGCAAATGATAGACATCTGACTGCGAACGGTTGTCTACCGATATGCCATCTATCGCGATGCGCGCGCAGTCACCAGCTTGTCGTCGAATGAGTGAATGAAAGGACGGGACACACGTGAAACGGGATGCGCAAATGGCGTTTGGTACTTGCACCGTAGAAACTCGATACCAGTACTTGTGACCCGATTACACCTTGCTCCCCGCCGACAAAAAGAAATTCACAAAGAAGAAAAAGGGAGATATTTGGAGGCCGATCTAGAAGAAAAAGTTCTCAGAATGAATACAGTCTCCATTTTATTGCAGAGAAAACGGGCATTTTCACATTTTACGAGTGGGTAAACGAACACTTATCGGAAGGAAAATTCACAGGAGACACTGCTGAGAAATCATATCAGAAGTAGATAAAACTTTGGAAAACGATTGAGAGCTGTGGCTCCTTCAGAATAATAACGTCAGTGGACAAGGCGTGGGAAATCAAATTCAGGATTTGAGAAAACGAAATAATTCTCCTGCTCCCAATCAACGGAAGAAGGAAAGAAGAAGAAGAGGTTGTGGCGTGAGAGTGTTCGGAAGAAAGGAGAAAAAGAGAAAATGTAATGGTCGAAAGAAGAACACTAATGTCATTTTCGTACTGAATTCGAAAGAAGTAAAAGAAGTTGAGGACCACCTTCTGCCGATTATAGTACAATTGAAAAGGGGTTTATAACCGGCACTGCGAACCGCCTCAAGACTCTTGTTTACCGGGGTTTAGCGCACACAGTTTGTCTTAGTGTGTACCATATTATTCAAGTCAAGAGGAGAGAGAAAGGAAGGGCTCGATCAACTAGATATACAATACTTCCGACGAGGAGAGACCACGCGAACGAGAGATACGCAGATGTGGTCGTGAAGACGTGTGAGAAAGTGCGCGGATCAGCCGCCGATTAGCTGATAATTTACATGTGATCGGAGGATTGGAGACATTCACGGAGGAGAACCCGATTTTGGGAGCGGCAGAGAAAATCGGACAAATTGTGTTGAAATAAACAGTCTGATGAGAGGAGGGAAAACGAGAAAAAAAAACGGAAGGGACGGTGAGTGATGGTGCTTCTCGTCAAGCGCCAACCGACAGGTTCATCAGAAATTCAAACAAAAAATACATTTCCGGCCGACAAGGGCTCGTAGAATAATAGTTTTCAACAGAAGGAAACATGGCAAAAGGGAGAAATGAGAGAAAACGAAAGGGGAATACTATTAGAGGAGAGGAATGGGCGAATGAGATCGAATCAATGGTTGAATGCGACGGACAAATGAGCGAAAAAACGGGCAGGAAGCGGGAGCAGGCACATGCAGTTGATGAGCAGCCCCGAGGAGCGCCACGTGAAAATCCGGAGATCGGTGGGAACAGATGGTTGAAGCAAGAAGAAAAAACGGGGATGACATTGAGGTGAGAGCTCACAAATGAAAGTGTGAAGGAGGAAAGGGAAGAGAGAACAGAGATAAATGAACGAAAACGGAGAGATTATGCAAAAGGAAGAGTGATAAATGAAAGGAAGTATTTTTTGTTCTTTTAAGCAAAAAGTGTGGACACAACTGGGAGAGCGGCGACAATGGATTAATCAGGGACGTACCTGTAGATATCTGTGCCGGTAGGCCGGCTTCTGCACGGCTACGTCCTGGTCCGGACGCATCGGAGAGGGACTGTGCGACTAGGGTGGAAATGACAACTGGCAGCCCGAATAATAAGCATCCACACACCAGTCACTCCGAAATTCACTCGAATCGTCAGCCCGTCTCGCGCACTGCGCTCCTCTCGATGTTCAGTGTTTGCCGCCCTTCTTGTGCACCACCTTCAGGGGGATCGGGAGAGAGCAACAAGTTGGCGATTCGCAGAGAAGCATACACGCCGATTCGATTACCGGCGGATACAGGACAACACCTGAGTGTGGTGGTGGCGACTGAGAGGAACGGACCGGAGACGCAGCCGGCGAAACGCCCGCTGATCCGAGAAGGCGCGCTCGTAGTTTCCGAGGGGTTACGGCCTTGTATCTACATGCCCTATCCTTCATCGTCATCATCTCCGTCGGCGTCCATGCGTCCCGTCCGGATATAACTGCCCTCCCATTCCTCAACTGAAGAACAAATCCAGCGCGATTCATAATCGAATCTGCGAGGAGATTCGACGTGGATGCATCGGCGCGTTCCATCCGCCAATTAGCCTCCGAGTTTTGCCGCACCGCACGACTACTTTGTTCCTTGATTGTTCCATTGTCCGTTCATTTGCCGACGGCCCCCGCTTAATTCCGAGGTCACACCATCACCATAGCGCCTTTTTTGACACAGTCTTCCGAACCGCAAACTTTTCAATGTGATGGATTTATAGTTTCTGGAGGACCTTGAGGAAGAAAGACTGTCCTTCTCTTTTCATTGCTCCTCATAGAATCGGAAGGGATTGGTGCTCGAGGGGAGAGCTACTCGACAAGCAAATGACAATTTGTTGCGACTTGTACCGTATTTCCGTCGAATTTGTTTGTTTTTGGCGTTGAAATCGGAAGACGAAGGAGGCGAAATGGTCGACAATCCGCTTAACAACTGCCCCCGAGACAACCAGGAATCTCTCCTCTTCGGATCTTTCCATTTCGGAAAAAGCTGCAGCAGAGACATGTTGTGATGCGTCTCGGATTGCCACCCTTTCGTGTCTGTGTGTGCTCTGCGCAAGATGTGCTCACAACTTGAAGTGGGCACGCGGCAGCGACACTTTTCGAGTGATTTGAATCGGTCAGGCGCCCGCGGGGAAGGGCATGACTAACTTGGCGGGAGGGTATCAGGAAAGGACACTGATGCGGCTATTCTTTATGAGTAAGTAGGCATTTGCCGCCGGGTGGTGCACTTTACTTTCGAATGATTCTGGTATCGAGGGAAAAGAGAAGTGAGAGAAAAATGGGGCAAACTCATCCATCACACAACTCAGAAAACACACAGTAAAAGAACTTTGACAAGGGCAAACTGGATGCGGGGTCCTGCTGTGTTTTTGGATGACAAACAGCTACAGCAGACACACGTGTACTTGGGAGCGAGAAGCACATTGATCGGAAACAATACAAAAGAGAAGAACGGGAGACGGGAGAAAAGAGAGGCAATGTGATTTGATTTTTTGTACAGACAGAATTCAAAAATTACGCGACTATATGATGACACATCACAGACGCCTCTACAATAACACAAGCGCCGACGACAAAAAAGGCGTGCGAGACTGTTGAACAAATAGAAGAGACCAGCGGAAAATTTTTTCGAATGGATTGAGGAACGAAAGATTCGGATAGGGCAGACTGTGGACGGCGTTTCAGCTCTTAGTATTTATATGCAAAATAGATATCTGTGAGTGCACACGGGAATGTCCCAGGCGAGCAGTTGTGGTGGTCGAAAACAATGACTAAATGAGTGACAGATGAGAGGAAAGAGATCGAGAAGCCCGGAGAGAGAACCACGCAAAAAAGTTTGTCCCGTTTCCGAGGTTTGAGTGTGTAAAACGGGCAGTGACAAGTGCCCCGGGCACGAGAGCAGAAGGACCCCTTGCCCCCCGTCCGGTCATATATTTTTCATCAATCGTTTCGTTTAGTCGTAGTGACCAACAAAAGTCTCCTCTCAAAACAATGTACTCGGTCGAACAGGAAAGCGGTGAACGGACACAAATGCAAATTTTTGCCTGGCTGATGTCACAATGACCACGAAGGAATGCACGAGGGAAAGAGACGGAGGGACACGGCTGCTCGGAAACCAACGGACGGTGGTCGGCTATGGCTTCGAAGTATTTCGAAAAACAGGAGAAAGTGCAACATGATCAAAGTCTCAGATTAGGAGAGAAAAGACGGGAAGAAGGGATGGGTCGTTGATAAAAGCAGAAAGAAGAAGACGAAGAATAAGAAAACGGTGAATCATCTAAACAAAACGGAACAAAACGATGACGAAGTATTCCTTCTATGGGCCGTAGTGACAAGAAAGACTGAATGGGAGAATCTGTAATAAAAGCATAAGCACTTCTAGTTTTGGATTCACAGATAGTCTGTTACCGTAATCCTACGCTCGCTACTCTATTCAGATTGCTCAACCAATTAAATCCGCAACGCAATACCTCAAAGCGCGCCACTTCAAACGTCGTTCAACAGTAACCGATTGAGCGGGTTGCATAATCGTTTGCACACTAATAAATAATTCGAGAAAGAGCTGTCACCTTCTTCTTCTTCTGCTCGCAACCCACGACATCTCCCGGGGTAACCGGATGATGAGTTTGCACAGGGATGCGACGAAATGAAAGATGACGTGGGGGAGTATAGAAAAGAGAGGAATGGAGACAAATTGGTTGCTGGGAGACCGACGACGTACTCAGTTTCTATCCAATTTCGGAGCAGAAAAACGAGGTCTTGGCAGAATTAGATTACTTATCATGTGAGTGTGTTTTTTGGTAACCGGATGAAGTGAAACGAAAAGAGTAATGAGCGGAAACTGGAAGAGCAGCAACTGGCGTCAAGATTCGTATCATGAAAAAGCAACAGAAACAACAAAACGCAAGCAAAACAAAGCCGGATCGACCGAAGAACGAATGCGTGTTTGTTTTTGCGATGAGTCAGACTGGAAAGTTTCAATGCGCCTTTCTCACTTCTCCCACATTTTCCTACTAGAATTCAGCTTCGTATAGCAACTTTGCCGTCGAAATACCACCCAGGTGGAAAGCGGCGGTGCGGCCAGACATCATCCATGGAAATTTGTCACGCCTTCTGCGCAATAAAAGAAATGGACGAAAAGTGGATGGAGAAGAAAATGGAGAAGGAGAAACGGGAGGAGGGATTCAGATACAAACACATTTGCGCTCACCTTTTTCATCTCCTTCCGTTCCAGAAAAAATCGGTGTTGTGCGATGGCCGACATCCAAACGGTGCGACACACGAGAGGCGTTTGGCATGTGAACGGATACAGAAGGACGCGTGGCGGATGGTTGGAGCGACGGCGACTGTTCGACACTCTGGAATTGACGCTGAGGGGGTTGAGAGAGAAACAATGGAGTGGGAGTATGAGGTCATTGTGTGTGTGACGAATATTTGTGTGAACTGTCGGATATTCGACAAATGATAAGACCAAATAAAGGAACGCGTTTTTCAAACTTTTGGCGCCGAGGTGGGGCAAGGCGCGAGTTGATGATCAGTTTCGAAACTCGAGAACACGAGTCCAACGCAGGTTCGATCCCTGTCCCCGACAAAGTTTTTTCATGCGTTTTCTGTGAAAAGCGAAGTATTTTTGTCCGGAAAATACTGCCGAGAAAAGACGTTGTTTTGTGCGACGGAGAGTCGTTTCTCGTGGGACGCGCGCGCTCATCAATTTGAAATCGTAATTCGTGTCGAAACAAGACACAAATGACCATTACAAACAGTCTCATTAATTATTTATTCCCGCCAATCCACCCTGTCACATCTCATTTGAGCCGCTTCGATCGTTTCGAATTGGCACACGGTTCGAACGGACGGGCGCACCTTCCTTACCGCTGCTGACCCTCACGTTTGTCCGTTCAATGGACTCCGCGGTTGGGTAATCAGACTTATTCACAGGGCGGTAGCACAAAAAAGAAAGTTTTGCGACGACGCAACTGTGCGCTTCTGTTGCGTATGCACAGAGAGTACATAAAGGAGCAGTTATATGTTTGGACAACACATTCAAAAAGATGAGGATAATGGGTGCGAAGAGGGGGACTTACTGGGTAGTCGGGTGGCTGAAGGCTTCCGACAGCTGCCGGTCATTGATCAGGATCACATCATCTGCCACGTTCTCGCTACTTTCGTTCCTGAAAACAAAATCGTGGGAAGCTATATAGGTGTTTTGAGTTGAGCGCCGGCAGAACAGTGTTTTGCAATTTTAACGTGGAGATTTTGCAAAACAGGCAAAAACAGGCTCTGTTCTGCAACCCTAGCGCCGGCAGTTCGGGATACGCAAGTGGGAGGGGCCCGGTTCGAAAAAAAATTTGGCAGCCGTAAGGCTTTAGTTTTGGGATACCTGAAAATTGTTTTTGGCGTTTCTCAAGACATCCCGCAACTATAGAAAACTATTCAAAAATGCGTCACGAGTACCTTTTTGGTTCCCTAATTTCGATGGAGAACTTCCTGTCGCGATAGTACAGGTTGTCGATGACTCTCCACGGATAAGCGAGATACGGAGTGATGAGGTTCTGATGGCGGCTTCTCCGGTAAATGTAGATGCCTTTGCTGCCGATCGACAGAATGCATTTGTCGTTATTTTCATTCAGCGCTTCGTACATCCGGCAACCGTACGATTCGCTCTTTTCGGCAAGTTTTATGAAGCTGAAAAAGTGACACGATTATACTATGGATGCCAGGAATGTGTGGATTTTCCAATAATGGTCTTGTTTGCTTTGTTTTTTCTACTGATCCATTCCACCCTCGGATGCTTTTCTGCTTTCTGACCGGATCTCACCTTATCATTCCCGTTCCGACGGGTAACCGCCTGTAGTACCGGAACTTGTCGAAAACTTTCCGTTCCGCTTCATTTTGGTCTGTTTTGAGAAGAATATAGGACGGATGCGACATGGGCATGACTCGAGAGATGGCCTCTCCGACAGTGTTTTCCCTGCAAAGCGGAGATTGATGAGAACAGTTGTAAATTATCAGGCATTCGGGGTGTTAGCCGGCAAGCGACCTTCATGGGAAACGGGCGAGGAAAGAAAGAAACAAATCGGGTCGATCGACTTATAATTGGATAAAAACCATACACGCACACACACTTTCAAGTGGATTTCACTCTGGAAGAGGACCGGATCGAAAGAAGCAGTGGAGAGGTGAAAAGCGTCGGAGAAGAGGGAGAAAAAGAAGAAGAAGCAAGAGACTTACTGGCACTCGGGAACGAACACGGAAACCAGAATAGCGACCAGTTCGAAGTAGTCCTCGCTGGTCACCAGCAACTCGTGCTGAAATAATGAGTCAGGTTTGAAGACGACTGGTCGGCTTACTCTCGCTAGCTGATTATGAATGTCGAAGAAGAAAAGTTTGGCGGAAGAGGCGCACTGAACCTCGTAAATCGTCTCGACAAAGAACCTGCAAGCCCGGGGCCGTTGTCATTCATTTCCCGGCTGATTCCTCCCACCTGACATGATGCGACAAGGTCAATGTGCCCTTCGGATTTGAAGTTGAAGCGACCAAATCATACAGAATTACCGAGCTGTCCAGCCAGTGAAAATTATCACTGAGAAAGCATTGTCGAAGTCGAGTTCACGTTCACTGATAGAACTTACAAATTATCTGAAAACCCCAGGCAAAAATATCGAGAATCTGAGAAGGAGATATCGAGTTTTTCGGCGATAAGACGGAGAACATCTTCGACGGAGAGCCGGGAATGGAGAACAATCTGGAAATGAGAATATTAGCACTCAGAAGAAATCAGAGAAACATGCCTCAATTTGTCGCGAGTCGAGTAGGCGGATGAGTGCTTTCGGCCGTTTTGTGGCGCTGATTGGCTTGGTTGGATCAGTCATCCGATTGAATTGTCTATCGCATTACAGACAGTCACAATTCTGCAAATTATCCTATTTCTAGAGATGTCTTTGCATTAATGAAAAGAAACGAAGCACGAACAAAAAACAGAAGACGTTTGAAGCGAATGGTACCGTAATCTTCGAAATTTATAGGCGCAGGCAGTCCGCGAGATTCGGAGATTTCGAATTTAAATTTAAATCTAAATTGCGGGGAGTGAACGGACGCAAAAACATGTGTAAATTTACGTATTAATCATCGTGAGTGCTATTAAAACGGCACCATATGCTTCGGAATGAGAATGCGTTGGAATGCGACCGACGAAGAGCAGAATACCGAAACGGGGCTGAGTGGAGTCGGTGTCAGTGGGAGATAGCCATCAGAAGGGATGGGTTAATACCTCCGTGCACGACGGACACCGCTTCCCTATCTGTTACATCAATCTAAACATGCAACCATCGAAAAATGATAGAATACTACGTAGAAGGCATTATTATGTCAGAGGAGGAAAGCAAGGACGGCAGACTTCCGGGCCATGAAGTGCCCGTCAATCGGAAAGAAAGAAAGAAGGAGAATCGAGTTGAATCATGAAGAGTAGAAGTGGAAGTAGCAGTGGATTAAAAAGAGACACGGGCGGCACATAATGACACATCGATGACGTAATTAAATGCAAAAGGGAAGAAATAACGAAACTTTCGATATCCGAACGCGAAGAGATCGTATCGAAATGCGAGAAAGTGCGGCAAGTGAGAGTCCAGCTGCATAAGTATATATAAGGGCAAAAAGATCATGGTGGAGGGAGAAGCGAAACAAATGAAAAGGTGCTGACGTGTGACGTGGGGCGGCTAAAAGTGAACACCCCGGGGGTCTAATCCTTCCTCTTTTTTCCGTCGACGCAGTGATCATCAGGGCGTGGTATCACTGTGCTGCACGCAAAGAGAATGGATGAATGGGCAGCTGATTGCAAATGGATGCAAACTGTAAGAAAAGGGAAGAGGGCGGTCATAAAAAGGCGAGGATAAGAGGATGTATAAATTAGAGGGTGGTTGAAGAAGGGAAAGAAGAAGGAGGAGGAGGCGAGATGTTTTGACGAGTGCCCGACGATGGAATGCTAATGAGACGGTCCAGAACAGTGACCGAGTTGGGCATTCTGGCCGGGAAACTGAGAAAGACCGGACGAACAACACCTTCTGAGACATGCGTTGCTATGACGAGAAAAAAGAAGAAAAAACGCGAGCAGAAGTTACTCTTCTCGCTTGTTTTCTGCTTCTAGACGAGAATAAAGAAAACGAACAAAAACTGAAAATGGCACGATGACTCCGGAAGAAAAGTGTTGCGAAACAGGTGGAAAAGGGAAGAAAGGAGAAGACAAACACATAAAAAGTGTTAGGAAAAGTTCGAATATCATAAAGAATAAACATCTCTGATTGCGTTGAGAAGGGCGGGTTATTAGCATATGATAACAGCGGGAGATTCAATTCAATTCACTTTTTCGCCAAGAAAGCGGGAAGTTGATTGGTTTGAAGGCGAAAAGAGAGAGGGAGAGAAGCCACGTCACAAAGTTGATTAGGTCTTTGGGGGAGGGGGCACGAATGGGAATTCGGCCGTGTGGACATAATTGGCGAACTTTTGGGCGGAAAGGTTCGCAGACCGTGAGAAATGAAATGGGAAAGAGCTATTGGGAACACAAACGGGAAAACACAATAACACTTGCTGGATTCGTTCGTCTGCGAGGGACAGAACATCTCGGAATCGAACAGAAAGCCGAAAGCATTCAGGACGAGAACCAGTCAATCGGCCATTCAGACTATACAAGTCGGAATGGGAATCGTCGCGCCTCGGCGGTCTTTCAAAAGCACAGTGCTCCTCTTCCCACGGACGAGAAGAAAAGGACGTTCCGAAGAGAGAAAAGGGATGGTCAGAAGGGCAAGCGTCGACGGAAAACGTCGGACGACACGAAGAGGAAGATGGACGAGGAGTGGACGAGGAGGTGTCTGCGTCTCTTCCGATCGCGCACTCTCTCACCGGACACAGGAGCCGCGACCGGTCAGCCGACGGACGCGGAAAAAGCTAATTTATGATAAAGAGTAACAGTTCAAAGGGAGGCGGCGCTCGTAAACCGAAATAAATGTGTTCGGAAATGAAACATTGAAAAGAGAAGAAGAAAAGCGAAGACCCAAATTTTTCATTTTCAGTGTCCGACCATCCGGTTTGATCCGCAGTACTTGTTGACGGAACGGTTCGATATCAAGGAGGCACTTGACGGGAGGCAAAGAGAAGATTTACTTAGGAGGGACTGCGCCCTGCAGAGGAGAAATGGAATCGTGCGAGAGAGGAACAAAAAAGGAAATGAAAACGATTGTGTGTCCTCCCGAAAACAATCATCGTCTTCGTCTTCATCATCATAATAATAAGAAAGAAGCGGTGGAAATGCGCGTAGGTCACTGAACATGGCCGACACCTTCAATTAAAGTTTTGAGGGCAGTGAACAAGCGAGTGGGGGGAAGGCACAATGCGGTTGGTGGGATCCCTTTGTCCCGGGAGACTTGCACGCGCACCGAGTGATGAACGATGGTAACGAGGTCATTGGTGGGAGAGCTATGATGTGGCGCGGGAAGTTTAAAATGCTCGTGGATGATTGCGCGAACGTTTCCCCAGCAACCGCCCGAAATTGTTCTTTAGTCGGAAGTTGGCAGTCAGAGCTCTGAAGGCGACAGACGGAGGCACTCATTTGGCGGCCGTAATGAGGTGAGTGGACAAATGAAGCTGACGGAAAGTGAATGAATGAATAATTCAGGCAGCATGTAATGCCATAAATTGGCCGAGGTGAAGCGTTCTGCGCGGTAATCCGATCTGGACGGACACGCGAAACACAAACACTTGTTTTGGCGGCGGCCGGCGACTCCACCTTCCAGTTATAATTGAAACCAAAACGAAGAAGCAGAGGAATAAGGAAGGAAGAATGAAATGGGGTGGAACAGGAGATAAAACGCGACAAAACAAAGGTGTGCGTGTGTGTGGAGGACGAAGAGTCAAGTGGACGGACGGACGGTTCATCGAAGGAGGAGGTGTCGTCCCGCCAAGCCACCCCGGCCAAGGACGCCCACGACAATTACCTGGCATCGCGCCAGACTTGCCTCCTCTTTTCGGGCTGTCCAATTAGAGCGTCACAATATTGTCGGAGAACATAGAAGACTATGGGTGGAACTTCCAACTCGGATGAGCCGGAAACTTCGGGAAGTGTGAAACTAGTCGTCTTCAATCGAATTCGAAAAACACTAATCACATTACGGTAACCACTTTTGATTCAAATCGGGTTCGACACATTCGAAACGAATGGAACCGTGAGTCAGAATACTGTGAACGGTCGAACGAGTGGGAACCAAACTAGACTCTAAAAATTATGAATTAGTTTCAGTGAAGCAGAGCATAAACTCTGTTTTCGAGATTAGCAAATCATGCAGGTGTGGGTAAACACGTTTGTTACATTACAGCTGTTCTTAGAATCAAATTCTACTGCTCGATGATCTTTCGGTGATGTGCGTTGGCCTTTGGGAAGACAGTGAACAAGGAGAAAAAAGAGAATGGTTCTGGCTGAAAGGGAGTGTAGAGACTAGAGATGAGCAGAAATGGAATTTTGAAATCCGGAAGACGGCAGACGGAAGGATCATTTGTTACGGAACCTCTGGAAACTCGATTGCAATCTAATTAGAAGAGTTTGCAATCTAATAAGAAAAAGCTCTATTTCGCAATCTAATCAGATTTAATTGAAGTTCCAGTAAAATCGTATTAGATTACAATATATTTTTCCTGAATTGCAATCTAATAAGAAAAAATTGCAATCTAATTAGAAAACATTGCAATCTAATTAGAAAAATTTCAGTGATTGCAATCTAATTAGAAGATTTTGCAATCTAATTGAAGCAAATTCTATTTCAAACGAGTTCGTATTAGATTGGGAAGTTTTCTAATTAGATTGCGCTCGAGTTCCCAGAGACACGGAAAACGGGTGACGAAACTGTTTGACCTGCGCAGGGACTTTAGATGCTTCGTGGACGACCGGGTGCCGTTCGGTCATGTTTTGGTACCAAAAGTAAACCGGTCGGGACCAAATTTTTTTTGCTGTTCTTTTTTTTAAAGAAAGCTTATAAAATTTAGAAGAAAAGTACGTTTGTCCTGTATTTGCCGGTTGAGCCACCGGCCGACATTTTTAACAGTGACACATTCGGATACACCTCTCGGTGGACTTCGCCGCCCGTCAAAAGCAAAAGTTCGATGAATTGTTCGATGAAAAAAAGTTCGATGAAAAAAAAAATCCGGTAAAATCTTATTTTCTTATTTTATTTTCCAGCACCATGGCCTCAGCACCCAATGTACTGGCCCCAAAATTGTTTTCCAGGGGTAACTTTTCATGCTGAATCCGATTTTCAAGGTGCGGAGGCATGATACTACCTGGGGAAGACGTGCCGGTGATTTTCAGGGGTGGCCCTGTACTTTTGAAACGGACTGTATATATATTTTATTGAAAGAGTCATTATCTTATTGAAAGAGTCATTATTAATATTATTAATGAAGAGAAAGAGAAATTATCCAATCAAGAATTTCTATGCTTCAAGGCCTTCTGAAAGTTCTTGTGACCGATACACTTCTTGCACAATGGCATCAAATCCAGTTCCATCACTTTGTCCCTGCAATCACTATTTGAGTACAAATGCGGGAAACGGACTAACTTGTGATGGAGAATACGATCGCACCCTCTGCATCTGTAACATTCGGGGCAGAATGCTTTGCCGAAGACGCGGACCATCGGTCCGGAGAAGGTTTTGTCGCAGAAGAAGCAGTGATGGCCGATCAGTTCGAGGAAATCCTTTTTGCAGTAGGCACGACCGTTCTTCTCGTAGTGCTCGTGCCCGTTAAACGGACGGAAACACGTGGCGCATCGGAAATGCTGAATTCGAAACTATAAAGAAAAAAGGCAAACGGGAGGGACGTACTTCTAGATGCCAGTGTTTGTCCATACTGAAAATGCTTCTCTCCAGCTGCGGGTCGATCGCTTTCTTGCAATCCGCGCACACTTCGCATTCGAAATCGAAGCACCTCGGACAAAAGAGCTCGGATTTGGAAGATCTCGCATCCGATTGCAGCTCTTTTTTGCACGAGAAACAATTGAAATGGTACGCGTGGAAGGGCTCGTTTTCGTGCATCAGAAGGTCGCTTTCACCCACTGGCTGTCTGCCTGAATATGCTCTTTTTTGTTTGAAAAAGTCTTTGAAAGAGACTTACATTTTGTGCAGTTGTAAATTTTCAATTTCGGAGTGTTCTGATTGCAGGACTGGCATAAAAGATCTCCTTGGAACCGGTAGGCACCTGACGAATTTAGTTGGGAATCGCAACGATCACAAGTGAAACAGTCCAAATGATACGAGTTGGCGGCAGAACGGACCACTTGTCCCATCACGAACTCTTCTAAAGCAAAAAAACAGTATTCCTATTATTAGGTGACAATCCGTCCGTAGCCCCGCCCCGCAACGTATTAGGATAGCGGCGGGCGGAACCCGTGAGATGTCGGTACAACCGACGGATGACATGCCGGCCGTTTGTTCTCTTCCTAACTCTGGTTCCTCTGCATTTGACCGTGAAAATCTTTCGCCTTTTACTAAAGATTTCCGTGCAAAGGAGCATACATTGAGTATTACAACCAATTTTTGGAGTCCCCTCGAAAGAGCGGGACAGAAAGAAAACATACTGCATTTCACGCAAACAGGCGCGTAGAGTGTCTTAAAGTCGTGCTCGCAGTACATTCTTCCTTCGAATTGGAAGTATGTGGATCCGACGAGTGGATCCATGCATTGCGAGCATCTGAATAGCAGTTTGGAAGAGAGAAATTAGGAACAGCTTACAGAAAACATCTCATGTGCCACGATGAGCTGCCGAGAAGAAAGTAGGGCTCATCCATCTCGAATTCGTCGCTACATCGCTCACAAGCACGGTGACGCCGTCTGAACCATTCGAATAAAAACTTCACGCGCATTTCATGTCTCACCCGCTGTTCCGTTGCTCGGTTATCCGAGCAGAAGCCGTCATTCAAGTGTACAGTTGGAAAAGTAAAGAAAGCGACGGCGAATCGATAGTAAAAGAGCGCCGCGATGACGAATCGCTTATCAAAATGTCTTCTCTTTTCTGTGTGTGTCCCTCTCCCGCCGGGTCTGTAATGCAAGAACGAAACACTTGAACACACAAATCGTTTATATCACATGAATGTGCACAGCAGAATGTCTCAAACGGGCCCTCCTCGTGTCACCGAAAGAGCCCTTTCCCTCTCGATCGTCAGCGCGATCGTCCTCGTTCTCGCCATCGTCTCCGTCCGTCGTCTGACCACCTGCTGCTCCAGCTTCCGCAGCTTCTTCTCTCGGAATTTCCGACGGGCCCGAAGGATGACTTCGTAGATTGTGTACGCGTATCCAGCGCCTCCGATTGCCGTCATCACACTTCCCATGATCAGAAGCACCGTATACGTGGTCTTGGTGAAATCGGAATCGTCGTCGGCTCTGAAAACGGAAAGACTGGGAAGGGAAAGGGCGAAGGATGATTGTGTTACGTGCTCGTGGAGACACAAATGAGCACGAGGCCGATGGCCAGCATAAAACTGCAAATGATTGCTTGGATGTTCATCTGAAATATGTTCATTTGCACGAGTTGAGGAGTCAGAAAAGATAAGAAGTGGGTCACTGTAGGGGACGACTGAGACGTTCAATAATTTCAATTCTAAACAAGTATTTCGGACGAACTTTCCCTATGACGTAGCAATCCCCTCTTTGCCAACTCTAACCCCGCCCCTTCAACGCATTAGCATAGTGACGGGCGGAACCCGTGAGATGTCGGTACAACCGACGGATGACATGCCGGCCGTTTGTTCTCTTCCTAACTCTGGTTCCTCTGCATTTGACCGTGAAAATCTTTCGCCTTTTACTAAAGATTTCCGTGCAAAGGAGCATACTTTGAGTATTATAACCAATTTTTGGAGTCCCCTCGAAAGAGCGGGACAGAAGTAACGGGAAAGTGGAAAGTCGGTTGCAGAATGCAGAATGCAGTTGCAGAAGGGAGAAACCATTAGTGTTTTAATGTCTGCGGGAGCGAAATTGCAAAACGATGATGAAACCGGTCATTCAATTCAACCGAGTCATCGACGGCTCATTCCATTTTTCACACCTTTCGCAACTGATCGAGAGATAAAAAGTATGACTTGATAGGTCATGATCGAAATGGTTTTATTATGGACACGCTCCCAAATGACTTGGAAACCTGATGTTCGGAATGACTTCATGTGCTATGGTAGGACGGAAAAACGAAATACAACGGAGAGATCGGACGGAAAGGAAGCCGCAGTGGCTCCGGCAGAAGATGAGGACGGCTCTGAGTGCCGGACAGTGCCAAACATCGCGTCTAATTGCTATCGGCAGAGGGAGCATCTCGACTTTAAGTGCTCATAAAAAGATTCGATTGTTTAGGTAGCGAAGACGCATAAAAGACCTTCTGCGTGCGTCAACGGGAAGCCGGAAAAGAAAAGGAAATAATAACTTTATTCAAATTCCTTATTTTCACCATTTTCCCTTCATGTACGTCTGATTGTGGTTGGCCTCGAAGGCGGTCGTGTAGATTTCGAAGACGAGCGCCGGCGTCTTGTTGAGCTGCGCCTCCATCGAATCGCTGATCAGATCGGACGTCTTATTGTACGTCACTTCATTGTACATATCCTGAAAAAGAGAAGAACTGGAACAGAATTCGAATGCGATTCAAGGGGACCTTCATGAGCACCGTGAGCATCCAGTAGACAAGCGTGTAATCGTAGGCGTTCATGTACCGATTGTCAAAGTACGCGTACAGGTTTTTGTACTGAAATGCTATCATAAGAGGTAAAACGGCCTGAGAAACCGTACCGAGGTGGCCGTGGCAGCATTATAGATCTTTGTGAGTCCGGCGGTCAGTGTGACCCACCACTGCGTGATCGCTTGTCTCTTTAAACAATTGCATGTATCTCAGTTGTTTGTAGAGATATCAAAATGCGGTCAACTGATAAAATGCACACAATGTTTTCCTGAGATATTTATCAGTTGACAACTTTTTGATAGCTCCACCGGCTGCCGAGATACACTGGTTTGAATGAACAGTATTGAAGTGCCCTTCTATTTCATATTTTACCCTATTATCCAGTTGCCCGAAATTCCCATCGCTTACATTATTAACGAGAGCGATCAGTTTCTGTTTGCTGTACGTGGAATTATCGTAGAGAGAAAGCGTCTTCGGATTCGCTTTTCCGGCCTTATTCTGCGTGAAAAACTTGTTGACCAGAGTGCGCATCGCGTCGAACTTTCCAATGTTCTTATTGAGTCCCTGAGCCAACTGAAAAAGGAATGAGCTCGAAACGATCGAATTTGAAAGGTACCGCAAAGGCATTTGCATCTGTCGCGTGAGGAATGATTCTCTGAATGGCCGGAAAGGAAACCGACTGAAAAGAAGACGTTTGGACCGAGAAAAGGAAGGCGTTGAACTCACTGCGAAGGCCTGTTGACTTCCGATCCGAGAGACGAAACTCAGAAAGAGAAAAGCGGGGAAAACGGTGAAGACTCGCATGTTCGCAGCCCCCCGAATGCGTGGTTTCTGGTGTGATCGGCGGTCGGCGACGTGGCCAAATCCGACGGATTAGCCGAACTGTGGGCGCCCGATCCTCCATCAATTTATCCGTTTTTCAGCCAATCGAAAGTTCAAATCAAATGCAACTTTAGTTTCCCATATAAAAAAGCTTTATTATATTGAGAAAACCAATAGAAATCTGTGTGGAAAACCATGAAATACACAAGTTGTTTGGAGCAAATGTTCGATTCCGGAAGCGTCCGCCGAAAAGCTGATTATAAGTGAAATGTGCAGATATTTGACATGAAAAGCTAGAGAATTCTCTTTAAAAATATCTAAGAAACCGGTAGAGGATTGAGGGGAAACGGGCGAAAATAACGGGGATTCTTTTGGTGGATCGGGCCGAAAGACGGGTCAATTTGAACGGATCTTTTGATCGTTTTGAGTCACCAGAACACAAATTGAATAGGCTAGAAGAAGAAGATAAAGAAGAAGAAGCGATTGAAATCTTTCCATAAAAGGAACTCATTTAAGTTTAGATTAGGAAAAACTAGGAAAGTGAGAAAAGAGAAAGAGCATGCAAAATGAGGGATAAAAAGGGAATTCTATTTGAAAAGGGAGAACATTTTGGCCCCGGCGCCCTCCACCATACTCGACATGTTCGAAACGGCGGCTGTCGCGTTGCCGAGAGACGTCGGGAAGACCGAAGAACTCGAGGCGGATCCGTTTGCGGCAGCTGAAACGAAAAGAAGATAGAAGTAACTGAGGAAGTGTGCGGGGGAAAGTGCAGTGGTGGTCAAAGAAATTCAGAATAACCCGTTCCCCCGTTCATGCTGTTTTCTTAAAGTTGTCAAGGACGACACTGCCAAGCCATATGAAATGTTCACGGAAATAGTTTATTAACGTGAAGTGTTCCTTACCACGCCATGAAAAACGAGATACCGTAGTGGTCATATCTACTCTAAAAAGGCGTTGTAATAAGTCCGATAAAACACGATACAATTCGTTTCATTTGGTTCAATCAAAGCACACGACATCAAATCATTCGGCGTTTACCTTCTTGAATGTGCGAGTTGCTCTCTTCGAGCTGCAACCGCCGACTGATCGACTGGTACGTCTTGCTGTTCAGCCTCTCCTCGTCGATTCCCTGCAGCTCGAAGTCTCCGTACACTTTCTTGACAATGTTCGAAAGCGAAATGAACTGCGTGGCACTCAGTGACTGTTGCAGTCTTTCCGTCAGCCATTCGTTGATCGCTTTCATCTGATGATCGTACCTGGAAGACGAGGAAATAAACGAAAGTGGAATCGGGAGGGGCACTTGCCAGTGTTCAAAGAGACAATTCACCCAGAGCTCGTCGATCACCACTTGCCGGAGCAGTTCGGTGCACCCGCGGAAGAAGGTGACGTACGAGTTTCCGATCTGTCCGGACGACTGTTGAGCAGTCAGTGGCTGGCGCTGAAAAAGAGAAAAAAGGTCCACAGAATTCAATAAATGGGTTACCGCAGTGGTGGTGGTCTGTGCAGAAGTGTCTCCAGCCATAGTCTTCAGTTTATTGAAGATGGAGCCGGGCTTCGGAGCAATGTTGAGGAACGCGCCGATCGGATTTCCTTCGTCGTAACGCGCCAATCGAGAGAGCACCGACTCGAGCACGCCGAGCAGTTTCTCCTGAATGCAAGATTCCATTGTTTTGAGCATCGTCTCGAGAGTCTCGTCCAGTTTCGATTGGTATTTGTACTCTCCCGAGTCGACGGTCACTCGGACCGCCCGGCTTTTCGAGCTGAACATCACGTTGATCTGGACACAGACTTCCGACGGAAGCATGTAATCCGTTGATTTCTTCGCCCTTTGCATCCAGCCGTCGAATGCGGTGAACGTGCTGAAAACGGATGAAATTGTGCGGGGGACGTGAAGATTGCATACCAATCGGACACTTTTGATATCATGTCGGAAGTGAGACTCTTCATTTTCGTCTGCAGATACTTGCGGAAGTCCTCTTCCGGCCAGTTCAAATCGATCACAAACGTGTGAAGCGCGTCGAGTTTCCAGTAAATATCTTCGGAAGTCGCGCATCCTTCTCTGCAATCAACACGTTTTCGGGAACGGAATCAGAATCAGTCCTCACTTCCTGGATTCCCATTTCTCTTTCGAGAATCCCTTGTCGATTGCCTGCGCGATCGAGTGTTCCATGAGATCAATGTAGCGGACGACGAGCGGTTGGAACTGTTGGACGATCTTATTGTGGAAAATGCCTCCCTTGAGACTCGCTGAAATGATAAACGTCTTCTGAATTTCCGAGAAAGTTCTTTACGTTCGGAAAGAAGGAAGTCATTGAGCATTTGGAAGAGCGGGAACGAATCCCAGGAGTCGTGCGGCTGAACTTCGAGCGCCGAATCGAGGTCGACCGAATAAAGAGACCAAAAGATTTCAGAGTGATCAGAGAGCAGATCGGAAAACCACGCGAACGCCTAAAAGAAACGGCATTATTCCGGAGAGAAAACATGTGGAAAAAGCTAAAAACATTGGGAAAACACTCTGAAAACGGCACGGCTAAACAAGGGATTAGCGAAGAAAATGTGCACTTTTTAAAAGGGAAAAGAAGCGGTGATTTAGTCGGGAACGGAACTAAAATTGAAAAAAAGAAAACAGGAACAAAGGAGGGGGAAAATGGAAACACATTGGGCGGGGGAAAACAAACGGATAGAAGAGGTCGGAAGACGTGGAACGTACCCCTCGCAGCTGCTAAAATATGTGGTTAGTGTTGGGGGGAATTCGAAAGGAAGATAGGAAAGAAAAGAAGGAAATGGAGAAGAACTCTCTGATAGTGAGAGGCATTCCGGACTCGTTCATTCCCGTGCGGGACTCCGCCCCTCGCTCACCTCTCCGTGGTGCTCCTCGTTCTCCTTGAGCAGGTCGATGCAGAACTCCGTCACTCGGATCATATCCTCGATCCGTTGCGCCGGACTCACATCCACGCCCATTCGCTCTGCAATTCAACACATCCTCAGTGGATCTCTTCTGGGCCTACGTTCGATCTTCGCTTCGTTGCAAATCCGTGTGTAGTTCACCAATGCGGCGTCCTCGAGACACTTTCGAATAACCGCTCGGACCTCTTCCGGAGGCACTGGGGACACTACGTCCTTCATCAAAACCCTTTCCAGAAGGCCCAGAGTCCCTTTGAGCGCCCCTTCCGGTCTTCCGAAGGGGAAACAGTACCGGAAGTTGGTGATCTGCTTCTCCAGAAGCACTCTCAGCCGTTCCTTTATCTCCTGGAACTTCTCCTTCTCCTCCTGCGTCACCGTTCCCACCCCTTCCGGTCCCTGTCGATCGGGCTGACACCTGTTTCCGTGCACGTGGGATGCACAGAATGCGAACGAGTAATGGATGAGAGCGGGATCGATGAGCAGTCCGTCGTCGGCTTTGTCCAGAAGATTCGAGAGAAGAGTGACGTGGCGAAAGCATCCGCGGACCATGTACCTCGCCGAATACTCTTCCAGCACAAAAGCCTGTCCGGGAGAGAACCATCCCTAAACAGAAGAAGAATTCAAGCAGAAGTTCTTTAGTTTTGACTGACCAGAGAGCAAATCGGCTCGTTGATTCGGAAATCCAAAGTGAGCTGCTGGATGTCCGCGAACAGATGATCGTGATCGAAGTTGATGGAGTCTGCCTGAATCAACGCATCCATTCCGTGTTTGCTCGCTTTGTCCTGGAATCCCTGCGCTTTCGGAGCGATCGTCGACTGTTTCGGCGGCACCGGCTTGTACGCCTGTCCGGTGGCTCTGTACAGTGCTTGCACCCAGAGATGTCGCTCGTTCTCATCGTCTGTCGCAAACTTCAACTCGTCTCCTTCTTTGATGGCAGTGAAGAAGTGCTTCCCACCTTGTGCAGATAATTCTGAAATACACGCTTTGACAGTTCATAATGAATTAAAATTCGTTTTCGCTTACCTGGATCAGACTCCGGCATGTAATCAATTGTGAACCCGTCCAACTGAATGAACTCCGTCGGATCGGCTTTCTTCTGTCGGAAACTGCACACTGCGAACGCGTACTGCGAGACCTGGACGAGGCAGAAGAACCGCTTTTTCCACTTCTTCCACGCGTTCCTTCCGATGCAGTAGCAGTAGCCGCAATACTTGAGATTCGGCGGTTTCTCTACTCGAATTGCTATCCTAATTTTCAGATTCAGATCCTGACTGTTTTTCGGCAATGTCATCGTGTACCACTCGGGAGTCCTCGAACAGTTGGGCGTCGGTTGGATGATCACCTGAAACAGAAGAGGTTCACTTCCCTTGGCTTCTTTTTATCATGCTTTACCTTTCCGAGTTCTTTATCTTCGAATGCAATCATACTTTTCACTTCCGTGTACAATTTCACTTTGACCACCGGCAACGGGTTCTTCGTGGAAAAGTCTCCCTGAGTGTCCCACTTGGGCTTCGACGCCTCCGCGTGGTCCGTCTGCAGTTTGTGTCCGTCCACCTCCATCGTGCAGTACACAATCTTGCTCGGCTGCACCGACTTCAGTCCCTGCACCTCCATCACGACCACCTGAAAGAGTTGAGTGACATCCATTCCTTAGCGAGGCTCTCTACCTCCATGCTCAGCGCCAACGACACATCCGACTTGGTGAGCGTGACGTCGCCGTCGTCGCTGTCGCCCTTGTTCAGACTGCCCGAGCTGGTCCTTCGTTTTAAACTGAAAGCAACGAGCGGTCCGGACGCGCGAAAGGCAGAGACAAGCACGTTCGGAAGCCGGCGGGCGGGCGGTCAAAACACATTTAGGCGGAAATATAGGCATTTTTGTGTGGGGGCTTCTTTTTGTTCGGAAATGAATGCTTTGCCATGCTTTTATTTCATTTAATCTCATTTTCGTTCGCAGCCAAGAATGAATGGTTTCAGCCAAAAAAGAATGAAGACACAGCACGAATTGAGGCAGCGACGCATTCGGCGGGAAAGTGAAAATGGAAAATAATAAAAAAGGAAGGCTTCGTCACTTTCTCTCTCTCTCTCTCTCTTTCTCAGCTTTCGTGCAAAGACAGATTGGACAGTCAGTTTGAGGCAAAAGGAAAGAGTTAGTATCGAGACGACGGGAAAGCGATTGGAGCAGGGGAAGCGAAATGAGAAAGTGTTTATGTGTGGGCGGGCGGGCGAGGAACGAACAAACCTGTTGAAGAGCGACAAGTCCTCAATACTGCGGGATCTAAAAAAAGAGAGGATTAAATAGATGGACGGCAGTGAACACGTGGCAGCATTCATGACATGTGCTGAGTTGGTGAGTTGGTGAATCAGTCGGGACGAGACGATTGGAACGAGGACGAAGGAATCGGGTGGTGGTGACAAAGAACTTAGTGAGAGAGACTTCCGAACTGAACGGCGAGAGCAAAGAAGAAGAAGAAGAAGTGGGAAAGAAAGGCTTAGAAGAAGAATACGGAGCGGAAGAAGAAGAAGGCAGCGAACTACTACGAGTGCACAGAAAATAGAAGAAGGAGAAGTAGAAGTGATAGTTAGGAAGAGGACAGACACAGTAGAAGTTAGTAGAAGTGTGCGCTCTAGAACTGGCAGCATGACACGTGGATTCTTTCTTTTCTGGCCGTGGTGTGATTGCTTGCTTGCTTTTCGCTCTTCACATAAAAGACACATACCGTTTGTTTTTGGTCTGGTTGCTGAAAACGGACTGTAAACGGGACAAGAAGGGAGGAACCGAGTCTAGTGCTAGTGGAGTGGACGGACGGACGCAACGGGAACGGGCTCCGCGAGCAGCACTCACCGACTCTTGTCTTTCCGCTTGCCGACAGTCTGCCCGCGCGTCGTCACGGGAACTGTCTCCAGATTCGAGATGAGCGTGTTGATTGACATTCTCACCTCGTCCATGTACAGTGTTTCCATGTCTTTCACCACGAACTTTGGCGTTATCCTCTTCATCTGAACCCGATGACGTTTCTATGAGTCATCGTCCCTTCCGTGCTCACCTTCATCGGATCTTTCAGTGCTTCTTCTCTCGTCGCAAATTCTCTCCGGATCGCAGCCGCCTGTTCATCCGGATTATCCAGTTGGAGAGCATTGAAAATTATCTGATGCTCGAATTTCTTGATTCCAAGAATTTGCTGGAACACGTCATACAACTGCTCCTTCCCGAGAACCGCGTCTGCACTCATCAAAGTCTGCGCATTACGAGTTCGACCTCTGAAATCACTTCGCTGAGAATTGAAAGAACGGGATGTCTGCTCACCTAGCATTCCTATTCTGATCGTTCTCGTCTCCTTTTATAATCGCATCAAATTTGGCTAGCCACGAATTGAGAACGGTTTCCTTGGAGAGACCTTCGATATCCGGCAGACTCCGTATCCGTTTTTCGATGTTTAACCGGAAGACTTCCCGGAAGTCGTGCTGCGAGAATCCGCCCGCATGCACCACTTTTTGTACCCTTTCAGACTTCAGAAACACTTCGAAATAGCTCTGGATGGCTTTTGTGAATGCCTCGTCGGCCGCAATGTTCGTTTCTCCTTTGAGGAACAACGTAAACCGCTCGCGGATCCTCGCCAGCTCCTGCTTATTCACCTTCATCTGCCGTCGTGCCATGTCGCCAGTCTGCTGTCCATTGAATGGATATGCTACGCATCTGGCCAGAAAACAGTACATTTGAAGATTCTTCTTGTGGTCCTCTTCCTCTTTTTCGGCTCTGAAGTGGGGGACGAGTTGAAATGGGGAAGAAGTGGAATCAACTACCGTATCCGCTCCTGTTCCTCCTTGCTCAACGCCGGACCCATATCGTCTCCGTTCGGCACGACAGTCGTTGAACTCTCATCTTCTCCCTCTTCCTCGCCGTCGAATTCTGTTGAACTCTGCATTATTGGCTTCGAGACGTTCGACATTGTCCTGGTCTGAAATCAGAATGTTCCAAATTCTTTTCCCATCAATTTTATCCACATGCTAACAGAAAGTGACATGTTATCTGTTAGTTCGGTGGGGAGAAGTCTGACACACTTTCGGTTCGTTCAGTGCTCAGAAACCATTCAAAACGTGTGCTGGCAGGGCGACGAGAGTCTCGTTTTGTTCCCCGAAAATGCTCGTGAATTATTCGATCACTCAAGGCGACGCAAGTGTGAAAACGACTCGAATTTCGTGAAATACGACGAAGTGTGCAGGCAGGTTCGAGCAAAGATTGGAAGGGAAGAAGAAGAAAGAGAGAGAGAGAAACAGGTTGGTTGCAGAGAAGAAGAGAGAGTTAGGGGAGTAAGGAGTGGTTAGAAGGAGATTTCAGAGTCACATTCTACACGCATTCCGTCTCTTACCTGGGGCATCGGCGACGGCGCGTTCATTCGCATCGGCTGAACTTTCCCAACTTATTTTTTTTGTGTTTCACCCTTTCATATCCCCTTTCCAGTATTACCACAAAAGACTCACCGATCGTGCGGGTGTCTGACTTTGCACCGAATCTTTTCTTTTGGCCTGTGAATTCGAATTATTCCTTTTCAGCGAATTCGACTGCGATACCGAGTCCGACGGAGCCGGCGAGCTGCTCCGTGGCGTAACGCCCCCCGAAAGCAACGAGCGCTTTTTGACCTGCGCAATCGGCATCTGAAAACAACTGTTTGTCAAGCCGGCAAATCCCATTCGCCGCTGCTAAAATGGTTGTGTTATGGAGCACAACGGCCCTATGGGTTTCGCAATTTCGACGGCGGGCCTCCCGAACAAGGGTACTTGTGTGGCCAATATCTGCTTCTTTACTCACTTGCGACTCGTGCTCGTCCTGGAAATCGTCATCTTCCTCCTCACTACTACTTGCTCCTAACATGACGTTCCCCGATCTGCAACAAGAAGAGACGATTCGACGGAAAACGCGTGTGTGACGGTTGTAAGGAGGCAAGAGGAGATGCGAGTGGAGCATTCAAAATTGAATTGGAACGAGCGGTCGTGGACGGATGGACGGACGGACGAAGGCAAAATAATGCATAATATAAACGAGGATAAAGGAGAAAAAGATGAAGGGGTGAATCCGGGACGACCGATGGAGAAGGAGAAGAAGGAGAAGAATAACAAATGAAAAGCCATATGGAAATGGGTATCAACAACGAACGGCAGCCAGCGAAACAGTCGGATGTGATTATATGGGTAAACAGAGGAAGTTTGGATGATGTGGAATGGAAGCCGTGGTCGGCGGAGAGGGATTAAGGTGGTTGGAAAAGTGAGTCACCCGAATGGATCTTCAGATTTTGACCTATTCACGATCTCCCTCGGGCGAATGAACAGGCGGGCTGTGTCGATTTACGCGGCTGCCGATGAATTGATTCTCAACGAGAACTCGCGTTCTTTCCATGTTCTCGCTATTGTATTTAGTAACAGCCGTTTCTGCGGCAAAACGGATGATAACATTTCCCCGAAAGGGCAAAACCGCCAATATTGAAAAGGGCACGACTCGCGGAAGCACAAGTGGTAGTGTGGGTTCGTTAAAATGCACCCGAATTACATTTTTCTTATTTCCAATGATTATGACTTCCCTTTCTTTTTTCACTTCCTCCCTACCGCAAATTGAGCCCTTCTGCTCGAAGGCTGTAATTTGGATCTCCCCGTGCGCTAATCAGTGTCTTTTTGGGCACGAGAAATCGTAAAAGCGGGGCACGAAATCGAAAAAGAATAAAAAAGAAAACGAAAAGGAGCGAGCGAAAGGGGAACGCGCACAATTCCGGCAGAAAGATGGACGCGTTTCCAGCCGGCATATAAAATTTTTGATGTGTGCGAAAAGTGACGAAGCGGACGGAAAAGTGCGGGCTTCGAAAGAGTTGACATGCAAATTTGGGGGAGGAAAAAACGGGGATGTTGATGCGGATAATGACGAAGAACAAAAGTGTTTCATTTTCGAAAACAGCCGGGGGTAGAAAAGGAGAAACAGCAGTCAGTCAGTGGCGCGAATTGGTCGAAGCGCGGGAAGGGGGGGGGGACCCCACTAGAAAATACATGCATTAGAGCCCGTGAGAGACGCAGAGGACACATGGGGGCACACCAGAAGCGGTGCGAAGATCAATAGGCCGGCAGCAACGGCATCACGCTGAATTAGGGCACGCATACGACGCGCAGACGAAGAAGCGGGGAGGCGCAGGCGATGGAGGAGGGCCCCCGACGGGCGGGCTCCTCGTTCTGGAAGAGGCTAATGATACATGGAGGAGCTCGTCGCCGCCCGGCCCCCGGATATGCAAAGCGAGGATGATATGCTTCCGGAATGAACGAGGAGATGAGGAAAACGACGGGAGGATGTGTCCGTTTTGGGTCGGGATTAGGGAAGAGCATTGGGAAGGAATCCGGAAGGAGTCACGTAATTTGAACGGAGAAGAAGCACTGTTTCAAGTGTTCAGAGAGCCAAACATCAACTGCTTTCGTCTAATCGTGTCACCGATGCTCAATCCGCTTAGAAATATTGACATCACGGAGACGAGGGATACAGTAGACGTCAAAGAGATTTCGATGAGAAGTGCTCCGTCATTCGAAAGACCGTTATAAAGAAGATTCATCAAATGAAGCGTGCATGATTCATCTTCTCGACCGCCGAATCTAATGAAATTTCCGGGGGAAAAAAAGAAAAGAACCTTTTCAGAATGATTGAGGAGGCGTCAGTTCGTATCAGTGTTTTTCCATCGGAATGCCACGTCAGAACGGCTCTATCCCACACTCGATCTCACGCGACTACTCGCCTGCTCCACTCCGGAAAGAACCGCTTTCCCTGCTTTACTAGCCAAACCACTGCTGCTTGATTTCAGAAAATCGGATTGGTGGCGTGCCGATGCACACATGCACACACCGACAGGCTCACAATTATCTTTGATTTATCCGTCACGCTTCTCCGAAAGGTCCTCCTTCTTCTCCTCCTTTTTAGCCTCGAACCGAGCATCGAGCACGTCGATTAGCACATCTGTAAAGGCGGTAAGAGAAGCCGAAAATGTACATGCGCTTGATTATTTATGAGCACAAAACGGTGCTCACTTTGTGCGACGAGGCGCCCGTCTTTCCGATTGTAGCACGGCGATTTCGCGCACCGTTGACTCCTCATTCGGCTGATTGCCACGAGGACGCCGACGACGACGTCTTCGGCCATAAAAACGAAATGTATCTACAGCAACACGGAGGGAATGAGCTCGGGAGTGACTTCTTCTCCTTCTCCTTCTTCGTCTTCTTCTTCTCGCCGAGTGCTTCTTCATTTGTCTTCTTCTTCTTCTTCTTCTTCCGAATATGGGTGGGGCATACGCCTTTCTCAGTCTCCAGAGACATAAGATGTGCCAAAAATTCAAAGTTTTTTGCTCACATTGTTCAAAAATGCACAAAAGGAACGAAAAAGTGAAGAGATATGGGTAAAATGGGAAACAAAACGGGGACTGGAAGGATGTGTGACGCGGCTGAAAGAGACGAGAAGAGAAGAAGCTAACCGCTCACGGAGCACGGCGACGAAGATGAATGCGTCTCATCAAGGAGGCAAATGAAAACGAGAAGAAAACGCGGCGAGTGGGCTTCCGATTGTCATACATAAATCTATCCAAAATGACATTGTATATTCAATTAGACAGAGTGGACGTGTCAGGTGAAACGACGATTCCAGCGAGAGCGACGGCAGATGCAAAATGGAAATGAAATGGCGGTGCACAGGGCGGCTCCTCGCTGAATATGAGATTGTGGGCAAATAGAATTTGATACTTTGCCAAAGGATATTAGGAGCTTGTCAGTTTTCGAGCTTTTTTACGTTTCCTCCTAATGCACAAAACACTAGCAGAAAAACGGCGAAAAAAGGAAGAAATGCGCGAAAATCGCGGCTCTCTTGATTCGATTAACGTCGTTCGAAGCCGCCGATGAAAAAGTGTTGCGAATGGCAGAGATAGAGAGAGAGAGAGAGAGAGAGAGAGAGAGAGAGAGAAATAGACTATTTGGTGATGTCATTAAAAATGGAAATGACTGATGTAATGGAAGGAGTCGGCTGGGGCGCAGACGCCTTTGTTCCGATAGTGCACATGGATTTGTAATGGTTCTCTGTGATGGTGGTAGGGGTTTGCAAAGCCTATTTTTTGTTTTCAGTACAGGATACTAAAGTTTGACTTGAATGTATAGATGTTTTGTGATGTTCCCAAAAAGATAAATTCCATAGACATTTTCCTAATCTGGGTTATATTTTTCAACCACAAGTTGAAATATTCATTGATGAGATGGTCTTCTCGACCAGAACGAGCAACTGTAGAGTACTGTGCATCCACGGGTTCTGAAACATTCTGAAATTTGCTTCACTTTTAAATATGACGAGCATCTGATATCAGTGTGAAGCCCCGCTGATCAATTACCCAAATGTTGCGTAATTGGGTTTTGTTGGAACTGAGAAAAGCCTCCGAACATAAAAATAGAAGCGACTTACCAAATAAGAATTATCTGATCAGATCCTGATTTGGAACGTTTTTCCCATATGAACTGTTTTCTCTAGAAGTGTATATGGAAATCATGATCTGTTCCGATTGGATATTCTCAAGCACGGATAGGAAATCTCCCTGCTACAACTACTCGAAACTTTCTCTATCGTAGACTTTATCTTCAAGGAATAGGAGTCCAACACCATCAATTGTTCAGTGATTCCATTATATTTTCTTCCCAAACTTTGCTCTGAAAAGTCCCTCGGATCCTACCCTGCTCGTTTATCTTTCTCTCTTCTTATTTTCATCTCTCTTCATTTTCCCACCTGCTCTTGCCGCTAATGCGTTCCCCGTCGGCCGGAATTTCTTTCCCTCCCAACACACTCACTTTTTTATTTCATATTTTTTTCACAACACTTTTATTACTCTAAGACCTACTTATTACAAAGACCGGGGGTGACATTTTTACACAGACACAGAAGAAACATAGAACATCTTTCTGAGAGAGTTGGAAAAGAAATGGAGAGCGTTTAGGAGAAGGCTGGAGTCAAAAAGACATTTCGATTCGATCATCATCAAATATATAGAAAGAGTTGAAGGGGAGAACAATTTACAGAAGAGTACCTGGAAGAAAATGGGACGGAAAATCGGAAAGAGTGGTCGGGGAAGGCTGGAAAGTGGAAGGAGAGAGAGAGAGAGAGGACGCATGTACACACAGAAGGAACGGAGTGATGAAAGCTCTCTAAATCAGAAGAAAGAAGGGAAGACTAACTGGGAGAACGAGGGACAATATGATACAAATAGGACGGACAATGTGCTCCTATCGACTAGACAAACGCAACGATCGGCTCCGGCGCTAATGGCGGCGGGAGAGCTCGTCGTGCTTCCGAGCCGGCGGTCTTCCGTGCCCGATCGGGGCCACTTTGGCCACGTTTTGAGCCTTGATCAGTCCGAGAGTGACGGCCTTCTCCACTGGCAACTGAAACATTTCCAGGTTTTATTCAAGTTAAGAGTCCAATACTAGTGGTATCAATATTTGTTTTTCACATGGAGGTCCCTAGGGGTAATGGGCGGAGGGGCAACTGACAAAGTCGTTAAACTTGAGTAGGTAGAAAAAACGAAAGAAAGGGAATGAAAGGATTGGCATGACACTTTCTTTCTTTTCATCAGAATGTGGCATTACGAATGAATGAACGTTATACAATCTGATACCCCCCAAATGTTTTCGGTGATGTCTCAAAGATCTGGGGCTGACCTGTTTGTGCGGAAACACTGGCACGTGGCACTTGATGCAGCTCTGCGGCTCGTTCGCAACACTGTTCTGGCTGTTCCACTTGCGTTTGCACTGTTGGCACTGCAAACCGATTCAGATGAGCACTCACTATTCGAGTGGGATCTTACCGTGAACTCTCCGTAGCACTTCTTTCTGCCTTGGTACGGTGTCAGCTCGTCGTACGGCGAATTGAATCGTTGCGGGCAATCAGAGATGTAATGGTGGCCTGTCGCGTAGCAAATGTGACACTGGTAACGTGGTGGTGGGGTCTGGAAAAAGATAAAGATGTCGTTGAATTGCAGAAGTGAGCTATTGCAAACCTTCTTTGGAGAAGACAAGAGCTCTGCGAAACCAGCAATTTCCGCCTGCGAGAATCCGTCTTCGATGGCCAGAGCCTGAGCAGCGGCCAAAGCAGCCTGGGCCGCCGTCGGTTGGACTTCCTGGACTGGCTGCAAAGCCTGCGGACTCGGAGACACTCCGAAGTGGCGGGTGATTTCTTCGTGGCTCTTTGCAGAAAACGCACGTTGCACTTGAAGAGGAAGGACCGCTGAAATCGGATAATTTGGAAGTTATGCCCGAGAATTCCTGGGCGTTCTTACAGCTGAAGATGTCGTTGGAGGGGGAAGCGAGGGGCGTCCGTGTCGGACTGCCATACCCACTGCTTCCTGACTCATCATTGATGTTCTGCGCCTGAAAAGAGGCAGGTGATGGATAGGGCCTGATGGGGGCGGAATGCTATATTTAGGTGGAGGGCAGGGAAAACACTCAGTATTTCTTCCCCTCTGCAACCAAACATTAACTTCCTTTTTGAAGATGAAGGGAGCAGAAAAGGCTATTAGGGGCTAAGAAGACATTTGATGCAGAAGAGAGCTCAACTAATTTGCAGCAACCAACCAAAACAGCAAGTTTTCCATTTCCAGACTCACCTGCGAGACAATGCGCGTTGGCGGAGAAGACCTTTCGCTCGAGGATGAGTGGCCCGAATCAGTGTCTTTCAAGTTGAAGACGGCGAGATCGAGTGCCAGACGATCGTACGCAAACATTCTGAAATTTAGCCAAATGAGCAGAAAAGGGCGAATAACATTGCGAGGCATAAAAAAACAAAAGGAGGTCGAGATGCCCTTTGACAAGTGATAAGGAGGCGGAGGCGGAATGGGAAAGAGCACATCGTCCACAGTTGGGAACTGACAAAGAGTTGAGAAGAATGGACGATGAGTATTCCTGCAGGAGAGAGGTTGAAAAGAGAGAGAGAGGGAGAGGGAGGTGTCTTGTTCGCGCTCTCTCTCTCTCTCTCTCTTTCTCTCAGCAATGTATGCATATTCATGTATAACACATTTTATTATCACTGTTCTTTTTCGGTCGTACGCACACACATTTACACACGCAGGTCCCGATGAGCTGGCAAAAAGAAGAAGAAGAAAAGGACGCGAAAAAGTTTGGTCAACGCGACGGAATTTGGGCGAGTGAAAGAAGGACGGGGGGAGCCGGATGAGATGGGAAAACGACTTCTCGAATTTCACGACATGAGTTTTAGACACTAGCAGATGCATGCACACATCACAATCAAAAGAAGCGAGAGGAAAAAAAGAATAAGAATGGATCGGACGGATCGGGAGGATCGGGAGAATTACGGTAGGTCCTTCGAGTTGCAAATGGGACAAAGCGTCCCCTGCTCTTGCCATGAAACGTTTTCTGATAACTTTGTTAGTCCTTGACTTCCAGGCAAATACAGTAGGCGACCCGCGAGAGAGTGCACAGGTCAACGAGACGCAGACACAAAGAGAGGGAGAGGCGCACAAATAAACAGGTAAACTGGTTCGCCCCCAGTCACTTCGAGATGGATTTTTGTATGGGGTGTCACGTGTGAGGAGGCAACAAAAAAGAACCGCCGACGCCTGAAGCCGATTGTGGGAAAGTGCTCTCTCTGTGCAAAAAAGGGGGACCACTGAGAGTTGCGTGAATGCCCCGAAAAAAGAAGGGATTTGCGGGAAAAGACGGGTACGGGAGACGCAGAGCCGACGGGTGCCGATGCTCTTCCGGGAGAGCAAGAGGTGACACGGACTTCTCTTTCCCTGCCTCCCTCTCGCTTGGAGCACCACGAGAAACACGCGTTATACTTTATGTGTTGCTCTATCTTTTTTTCGTGATATATGAATGTGCCGCCGGGGTGGGAGGGGAGATGAAGAGAAAGAAGTGAAATGGGGAGACGAGGGGGGAGAGCGGCGATGAGGGGGATCGTGATGGGTACGGAACAGGAAGGAGTTGGCCAGATGCCAACCGAGCATCGGAACAAACCAAACAACGGACGACACGGCCCGAACAACAGAATGGACGACTGATAGCAAAGGTTAGAACGAATGAATGAATGGACAAAGAAGGAGAAGAAGCATTGGCAAAGGTCACTTGCAGAATGACCCTCGGATCCGCCCACTTCGAGGTCAATCAAGCAAAACTTCTCGTTCCGGTCTCTCGGCAAACCCTTTCAGTCCCCGCACACTGGTCAGAAAAGACGAAAAGGGGCAAAAACTTCTAGCCCTTCCAACCAATTTGAACAAAAACGAGAGATAGTACGAGATGGTAGGTACACGCAGACAATCGACAGTCAGACGAAGAGGAAGCGGACAAAGGGGTCATTTGAAACAAAGAAGCGTTTTGGGTTGAGAGTAGTGGGAAAGGAGGAATGGAAGGAGGAGGGTGGGGCCCGTGAACACAACAGGTACGGCGCCCGGCTCACGGATTCCCGTAATCTGTCTGTTTGCGGAAGAGCGTCGTCGCGGGGAAGCCATAAGAAGATTTGAGAGTGATTTGAAGATCTGAGAACGGGAGGGGGACAGGTGGAATGGGTTGAAGAAGTGGCGGAGAGGGCATCATCCGAGGGGAGCATAATGCATATGGGATGAGTCCTTTTTGTCGCCACCACTATACATTCATGACACGCGAATCTCGAACGGAGGTCGTTATCCGTCTCTAGTTGCTCTCTCGGTGCCTCCTCTCAAATATTACATATCTTTCGACCGGACTCTTGATTAATGCGGCCATGTTTTTGCAAGTCGTCAACAAGAATTCGCAAGAATGAACGAATCTCTTCATTTTTTTATTTTCTATTCTCTTCTTCACCTCCAAAAACCGCTACAAAGTGCACTGATTCACAAGAAGAGATTATCAAAATATGGGGGAGCAGCCCTAAGTAGAAATTGGAAAGAGGAGGAGAGAGAGAGCGAGAGAGAGAGAGTGGGAGAAGATCGGATTTATAATTGCGCAATTTTGTGGTGGTGTGTCGGCGATAAATACAAAAAAATAAAAGGATGCGGGGGGCAGTTGTGGTGGCAAATTCAAATGCAATCGGTATTATTACGAGAAGAGGCAGTATAACTCTCGCCAGTGCCAACTGGTTTCGTGTGCTCGCCCCCCGCAAATACGCCGTTTTTTGGGCACGGATTAGGGCGAGAGAAGATGACGTGGCATCCACTCTCGGAGGACAATACGTTTCTGGGCTCTCGTGGATCGGTGCCACGTCACAAGGAATGATTCATCACAAGACATTGGTTCCTCGAGTGATTCAAGGGCGTTTGGTCAGAACTGTTCTACTTTTGGCAGGTCGCGAGAAGATGTTCAGAACAGATAGGCCCCAGGTATCGCCCTCTGACACCGTCTTTCTTCTTCTTTTTCTTCTTCTTCTACTACTACTTCTTCTCTCCCGCGGTCACTGTTTTCTGTACGACTGCGTCTCTTCGTCTCCCCACATTCTCTGTTCCCTGTTACAATCTGCCAAACGACCTTCTTCCGCGCCTACAGTCGGCAGGAAAGAATGGGCGCCATTGTCCTCTCTCGTGGACCCCTTGTTTGAGTTCAAACGGCCGCGGCAGCATGACGTGGCAATTAATAGCGTCGAAAATGGATTACGGTTAGCTTACCTCGTTCTAGTACGAATCTGCGCTGCATGTTCTGCGAAGCACCGGCAGAAAAGGAGATTTAGAAAACAATACTAACCCTGATGAGTATAGTATACAATCAAAAAATTTGCTTTTCATTACATTGGCAATCCTGGAAGGAAGGGAAAAAGGGATGAATGGAAAAGTGAAACTTGTGGACAGACTGAGAAAGTTTCGAAGATAAGTGAGGGAGATGTGGCGAGCGGATAAAAACGAGAAGAAAAGAGAGAAAACTGGTAGAGCGGGAATCACTGGAAGAAGAAGAAGAAGAAGAAGAACGGAGTCGAGAGGGGAGACCACCTGCTTCTGGAGCCCCACTTCGAGATTGGTTTCTCTCATTTTCCTTAAAATTCTTTTCTCACGCCGTGCTTGGCCGCGTCGCCGCACACACACACACACACACAAAATCGGAAAAGAGATGACATTATTGCTTTCATCCGAAGAAAAGGGTCCGAAGATGAAAAGGATAGTTTGTTTTTCGTTGACAAACGGAGAAAAAGGTCGCGCGCGGCGAGCGTACCTTTAAAGGCGCAGCTACTTTTTTTGGACGGGCGGATCCGTAGCGAATTGAAAGAATGGCTGCGATGAGCGAAATTTGAATTTGAATTCGAAACGCCATTCTACGGAACTAACAGAAACAAAATATTTCTATTGCGAGAGAAAGGAAAAGGAGAGAAGGAAGAAGAGGAGCGGAGTGGGCGCTCAAGCGGCTCCGGCACGTCGCCAGGTAACATCGGAAACCTGATGTTTTAGTCATAAAAAAGAGCACGAGGACCATGGCTCTGATTATTCGGATTCGCCAAATCTCAAATGTGCACATTGAGAAGACTACTTCAATCGAGGCTTTTGACTCAAACGGCTTCCCGAAATGGCTTTAAAAGTTTTCTGATTTTATAATCCCATCAATCCAGTGCTCAAAAGTTTACCCATTTGTAAAAAGCGAATACAAATGAAGTTGTCTAGTAAGGGTTTACGTCAAACTAATTCAGAAAAACAAGAGCCCGTCGGAAGGATACGGTAGTGATTTCCTAGCGCTTTATCTCATTATATGAGAATGATACCGAAAAAAAAGCGGGGAAAACATGCTATGAGGTAGCTCTTTTAGAAAGAAAAAGCATGAGGGAATGGTTTTGAATTAACAAAAAAAGAGGCGGATGATCAGGCTGGCAGCACACACAAATGAGTCCAGTTGCATTCACAAAATACTCGGCAGAAGCTGTTCAAATATTTCGAATGGCGCTCTGGAGACAAAGCGAACAAAGAACTACTGTCTTTGGGAGAAAAGAGTTGCCACGTCATGTGCATTGAATACGTCTTCGAGAGGAAAAGAACTTTGTTTATCGACGACGGACCACCAATTAGGAGAGAAAAGGAAGAAGAAGAACGTCGTGGGGACGAAGCGGTCAGCAATGGGATAAACTGAAAAGGGGAAAAGCGAGAAGAAGATGTGCATGAGCCGTGTCAATCAAATTGAATTGACACTATTTCGGACAAAGAGCACAGAGCTCCGGAGGAGGCACAAAACAAGTTGTATACGAGGGGGGAAGGGGCGGGCGGAAGGGAACGGAGCATCCATCGAGAGCAGCAGCCGCGAGGGATGGTACTTTGAACACAAAAAAAGTAAGTAAAAAGTTGAGACGGGAAAAACTGGTAAGAGGATTGTTGAGAGGGGTGAATAAACGGAGAGACTTGGCACAAGAGGTCTAGAGACGCAGAACGACGAGAGCGGTAAAGGGCACCGAAAGACGAGCAAACATGCCGCCGAACTGTACTCTGCGCAGAAAGAAGCCAAAGGTTGGGAGGGTCCGAAACGGGAAGCGATTGGGTGGGCGACGAGCGTCGAGCGACTAGTCAGCAGAGGAGAATCGACCGATCGCGAGCGAGACTATTCGAGAGTGGCGGGAAAAAAGGGCTGTTCAAGGTCATCCGCCTTCTCGCCCCTCAAAAATCGCTCATCTCTCTGTCCGCGATGCATTTCCTTCTGTTGTATTTGTTTGGCGTCACCCTCTGGCGATTGTGGTGCCCGTTCCGAACGTACCCACGGCCTCATTATGATCTGTATGTATTTACTGATGGAGACAGGGACAGAGAGCGAGAGAGGAGGTGATGAAAGTGTGATCTGCCGACAATGATCATGAGTTGAGGCATCCAAACTATCTGTTTCGTTTGGAAGTTTGGCTTGAAAGCAAAGAAGATAAAGAAGAAGAAAAAGAAGAAAACGAAGAAGAAGATAGCATAAAAGAGAGAGAAACAGTTTTATGACACTTGCGCTAAACTTTTGTGTATTCAAGTGAAACCTTCTCGAAAACTAAACTGGAGCCAAGCTGACCTCAACCAAAGAAAAGTAGAAGAAGGGATACATTTTTCTGCAAAACAACGTCAACATGACAATCTTCTAGGTTGGCTCAAATCGCTAATAGCTTCACTTTAGGCAAATAGAAAAAGAAGGAGGAGGGGGAGGAGGAAGAAAAAGGGAAAGGAGCAAAAGCAGGGGCACAAAAAGGTGTGGAGACGTCGATGTAAATGCCCATGTAATTGAGTTGTGTCCTGAAGAGAAAAGGGCCGGAGCACGGCCGGAGATCGCCTTTCTTCTCGATTCAGGGCGGGCACATTAGCGAATTGTGTGCGTGTTGCAAGTGCTCAAAAGTTCTGGAGCAGGACTCTCCACCCTTATCACCTCGAGGAATGTGATAAGACCCGAAACGGAAAGTGAAACGCGAGAAGACAATGAAAGAACAGCAAAATGTTGCCAAGTCATATGTGCAAACGGAGGAGGAGCAAGATAAGGAAGGCCTGGAGAGAAAAAGAAGAAGAAGAAGCACGACGAAAATGATCATTAAAATGGCAGCGCAAAAGAGAGGGGCGGGTTGACTGTTTGTACGTTTCAATAGGCTTGTACGGCACTCACGTGCACACCTTTCACACTGCAATTCGTTCGAATCGAATAAAGAGAAACGGTATTCGGACGACCTTGTCGTTCACAAAATTACGCGAGTGATGGATCTGTTTTGACTCAAAGGATCGTCTATTAGAGGTCAAATCGGACGGATAATTGAGATTTGTGAGCACTCATTTATGAACTGAGCATCTCGAAGGACACGAGAATGAAAAGGTCAGAAAGGAAACGGAAAAGGGCAAAATGGGTGAGAGATATGAAAAATGAAAAGTTTGAAATGATAATCGATGTGTCATCATCATCATCTTTGTCGTTTCGCGTGTCTGTTTGATCAGCTGAGTCCACAGAATCCATGAGTGAACGAGTGAATGAATGGCAACTCGAGTACCATTTCATTCCAACTTTTTTCGTGTTCACAATTGCACAATAAAGTATTACGATGTTAAAACGGAACGAACCCAATCACAGGGAGATTCCCACTGTGAGAACCGAATGAATTTCGCCGGCGCCAACGTGCGAACCGATCATTCGGAGCATTGGAAGTTGCCAACGACACAGTCCAAAACTCACATCTGCCCAAGTGTGTTTTACATGTTTGACCACCTGCCGCCCTCATCAATAGAAGCACTAGAAGAGACCAAAAAAGGCACGTTTCGATGAATTCTAGGAAAATCTCAAAAATTAGGTGGCTTGTAGGCTCTGCTCGCATCCAGGTGTCGGTGAATAACAAATTGGCGGGTGCGTGCTCCACGAGAAAGACATCCATGCCAGACGAAACCAGTCACCCCCCACTTTGATTTTCTATTTCGGTTGCCGCCATCAAACATTGTTCGCTTCACGTTCGAATCGCAACGAGAAACGCGCGCCTCAGAGAAACGTTTATTTGCGGTGCCAAAAGTCGGTCGGGTGGGTGACAAAATAAACGAAACTCTGCGGGTGCTTACCTAGCCAACTTACCACACAGACAAACAGTTTTGTCTTTTGCTTTTTGCGCCGTCAGTAGCGCGTACAAGTGGATCGACCTGGCCACCAAAACATTCGCAGCTCTCTTTATTTCCCCTCCCGACCCCTTGTTTATGGGCTTGGCGACGAACATCTGTCACTGAGTGACGGGCGGTCCCTCCCCCGTTACCAGCTCGCTTCGAAACGAGCGACGAAAGCCATTCTGGGCACTGAAATGGCATTCAGATATTCGGAAAGAGCGAATCGAATAGGGTGTGACCGAGAATTGGAAGACGTTAGGGGATGGGGAAATCGAAAGAGCACAAGGAATTTCCGAGCAAGGCATTACACAAAAATAGTTTATCAAAAAAGCGAAAATAGATGAAAGCGTTCACTTCTTGGACCAGTTCTTCCAGAATACGATGTTCAGTTTCCTTCCGGCCAAACACGCCAACTGCGCCAATCCCTTTGACGGTTTCACCACTTCCACGCTCCCGATCACTTGGGATTCCGACTTCGACTCGGCCACTGAAAACAACATTCTTTCTAGATGAACTCCATTCAAAGCTATCACGGGAAGAAGCGATGACGCTCTCCGAAAACGAATGGGCAGTCGTGAGACAGTTGACGTACTCCTCGAGCGAACTTCTCGAAGCTTGCTCAACTTGCTGCGCGAACAGCTCATCCAACTCGACGAGATCGTGGAAGACCGCTTTCAGACTGGATCCAGTCGAGATGTCACTCACGGACCGCATCGCCATTTGGTAGTTACCAGGAATCGGTGACAGGTTGTCGAGGGTCGAATGGAGACTGTTCTGCATTTCAGACTCCGACGATACGCCCACCGCCTTGTAGATGTCATAGTCTGAAATCATTGATGATATTGAGGCCACCAAAGTGACTGATCACCGATGGGATCCTTGGAGAGTACGGAGTCGTCTGTGTAGTCCGTGCTGAGCGACCGCATTCCGTAGATGGTGTCCGAAGGATGCAGAGTCATCACTTTTCCTGCTTCCTCGCGATAGTTGGTGAACTCGGAGGAGTCGCTGAGAAGAGACTGTCCTTTGGGGATCAGCAACTTGTGATTCGACAACGGCGGCGAACTGGGCAGCCATCCACAGTAATCGTATTGTCCGTCGTAGTTTGCACAGTCCAGAACCCAGTCTGAAATGGAAATGAACAGAATTCGTGTTTATTGACACTTACTTCGTCCTTTGAACATCAGCCGAACGACGGAATAAAAGTTCGACTGGAACGGAATCACCTTGGCGGCGATGAATTTGTGATCGGAAGCCCAGCGAAAGCAGTAATCGTACTCCGCTTCGAACCGATCGGCCACGTGCTTCGGATACGGCTTCAGAAGCTCGTGCTCCGTGGCTGTGCCGTAGTTCTTAGTGCTTTCCAGTCTCGAGTACGAATCCTGTCTATCCTTTTTAATCGGGCTGAAACTACAAATTCTCGATTGTCTTGAAGTGTTCTCCTACTGAAAAGTGTCTCCGAAAGCATGGTCGTCGTGTCCACAAGTACACGAATCATCTGAAATCCCACGTGTTTTCAGATCCTTCTCTCCAAATTTTTACCAGAAAAGTCTCCAGGAATTTGTTCGGTTTGAATCAAAGAGTATGAGATGGAATTCAACGAACATTCGTCGTAATGCGGCATCCTGTCGCCAGCAAAGTGCACTTAAGTGTAGATCTTTCGAATTGCTCGCAAAAGAAACTTGAAATACCGCCAACGACCGCCCGTTTCCCTTTCATTTTTCGATATCAATATGTCGAGAGTTCACGGGCGAATTTCTTGAAACAGTTTGAAATCATCCAGGGTGAAACGTGTTATAGGCACGTGAAATTTAATTTTGAAAGATTCTATCTTCCCCCTTTTGCACGGCTACTCCACAAAACCAGGGTGAGTAGAGTCTATCACTTGTTCTTCTTTTTCCCGGGTACACAGTTTCCCTTATCGCCACGTGATGGTCTTTGGAATAAAGTGTTGATTGCTCGGCCAAGAAACAGAAAACAGATTGTATGATTGCTATGAATTCGTCAATGTTTGGAAAATGAACGTGTATTCGTGCGGGAGGGAATGTACTGAATCCGAATCCTTTCCGACAACTTTACCGTTCCGCAACTCATTAACTTTCCGTGATTGCAAACTCCAAACAGCAGAAAACACGCCTAAAGACCGTTTGATACTCTGATTTCCGATTCAAATCGAGTTCAGTCGCCGGGATCCCCACTTTCTCAAATTCGAATGCAAATTGACGCGCTTTCCTCCGCTCTCTGTACCGAGAACACAACGCACTCGGAGCATAAAATGTGTCTCCGTTGCACCCCCAGAGGCATTTATTATCGTGATTTCTGGAGACCGTCACGTGTAGATTGTCGGTTTATCACACATTTTTTCGATAAATTTCGCTCTTCTTGAAAGATCGTCATTGCGTGCATTCTCGGTGTAAACGACTGGTTCGGGCCGGTTCTAAAAAGTTTCATTAATGTGAGAAGTTACATCTAGAATATATCATTTTGTGAATGAATCCGACATATTCCCACTCGACCATCCCTCCAATAACTTGCCAATTAGTTGTTGTGTAATGCAATTATAACGATATTGTTGCCTTCCTCTGATTAGTGATGTAAGAAAGTGATCGTCTTCTGTCGTCGAGCGATTTTCAAAAGATTGTACGGTAGACGAAAGTGCGAAAAAGGACCATAGTGCAGAAAAGAGAAGACAGAGTGTGTTTGTGTGATGAAGACGAATGGGCCTTCTGTTGTGGTCGTGATTCTATTTCCAACCAAAACTGGATGGAACCTTCCCCGAGTCCGTTCCCTTCGTTGTTTTCCGTCACTCTCCGATGCTGTCCGACTCTTCGTCCGCTTCTTCGGATCGCTCGCTTAGGTTCCCTCTCGACGTTCCTGATGCTCGTTCGATCCACGAATTGGCCATCCAAGACCTTCCACTTCCAGACACGGAGAATCCGTTCAGTGTTGCCATGCACTCCCCGCCAGGTACAGTGTTTCTTTGTTCGTTTCTCTCCACTTCTTCCTTTCACATTCGCTGTTTGCTTCCATATAAATCGTGGGAATAACACGGAAGCTTTGCACGTTTTATGCGATCGTTTCGACGCGTTTCTGCCCGCGAACAGTTCTCTTGTTGTTCAGGATCGCCGCCCATCGCAGTCGGCAGAAAGTCAGTCGAGAATTCGATTGTCGCGGAGATGCCTCTCGAGATCGCACCGAGTCAGAAGTCGTCGCAGCACACCAATCGACCGCCGCCGTTCGAAAAGCCCGACGAGGATACGGTACGTTGCTACGTCACGGAGATGTCTGGTCATTGATACTTTAAGGAGCGACAGAACATTGTGGAGCGTGTCCGACCGAAGTTCGCCATCGACAATGAATTGATTCGCGCCTTTCTCGCAGAGCTTTTCTGCACAGGCTTTCTGGTCGTGAGTTCCTTCCGTTCCCATCGTCCCCCCTATCGATTTATTTTCTTTTCAGTTCGGAGGCGAGTGCGTCAATGCCCAATACGTACTCTCGAAAGGAAAGAACAACGAATGGATCGGAATTTCCGTCGGCTGGGGACTCGTTCTCATGTTCGCCGTTATCATGGGCTCGCGGATATCCGGAGCTCATCTCAATCCAGCCGTGTCCTTCTTCCAACTCACTCAGGGCAAAATCAACGTTATCAGGTTTCTGGTGTACGTAATTGCTCAGAATATCGGTGCTTTTCTCGGAGCATTCGGGGTGTTCTGTGTGTATTTCGGTCAGTCATTGTTAAGTGTTTTCCAACCACACGTTCCATTTCCAGATGCGATCAATTCATTCGAGGATGGCAATCGGACAGTAACCGGCGCCACCGCTACTGCTTCCATATTCGCCACGTACCCCGGACCTTTCCTGGGAACGTTCAATGCGATCGTCGATCAGATCGCCGGCACGATGGTCCTTTGTCTTGGCGTCGCGGCCATCTCGGACCCTCGCAACCGAATTCCCTCGTTCCTCCAGCCCGCTTGGATCGGCGCTCTTCTCGCCTTCATCGGAATGTCGATGGCTCTGAATGCCGGGTACGCGATCAATCCGGCCAGAGACTTCGGCCCCCGCCTGTTTACTCTTTTCGCTGGATACGGATGGCAAGTGTTCAGTTTTCGGGACTACAAATGGTTCTGGATTCCGATTGTTTGTCCGATGATCGGAGGAGTTCTCGGAGCGTGGGTCTACGAAATATTCATTGGCTTCCATATTCGAGATGAAGAAGACGAGAAGGCGGATAATATTCTGATTGTTGACGACCGAGATCTCGAAGGACAACTCTCAAATTTTTCAGAGAAGAAACAGTACTTGTGAAATATAATTTGATCATTTAATTCCAACTTTTCAGACTCAGCGACATTGCCTCCATCCACCAAGACCCCGCTTATCGAAACATTTAAGTTCGAGCCGCCCGCTTTTATTTCCTTTTTGCGACGCGTTCGTAAGGGAAAACAACGAACAAAGTTCAATGACGATCTTTTCAATGTCACATGTATTTATGATTCATTACATAGCATAATAAACAATTTATTCTTTTCAAATCATAAATAGCCCGGAAAGTCGCATCATAACTGTGGCTCTGACAGTTTTTTCGAGCGATAATTGTTGATTGGCTGGAGAGGAGCAATTTTAGTCAATTGAGGTGTTGCGAGGGCAGTTGAAGACCTGTATGACTCTTGTTTTACATCTGACACGACAGATATCATGATTACCTGAACCCTCTTCCTATCAGTTTCCGATATTGCGGAGTGCTGACGATCATGACAGCAGTGGAAAGGGTTGAGTGGAACGAGTAGATGGCCATCATCGCGTTCGAAATGTTCTGTGCATTGGGAAACACTTTGATGATGGAGCAGACAATGGTGCCAATCGGAATAATGATAACTGCGAATGGAATGGCTGCTTGAGCCATCAGACTGGTCACTGCGATGTGGTGGGAGATGTAGTTGCGCGCAGAAATGAGGGATCTCTTCTTCCGGAGAGTTCGGAAAAGGGCGACGGAGAAGACCGAGGATATAACGATGGAACTCTGTAAAATGAAAGTTCATGGAAAAGTTGAAAAGGTACTAACAGAGAGCATGAGCGAAATGAGACAAGTGGTGGCCAACATCCATTTGTTCGTGCTCATGTCGTAAACTTCCGCGCTCGCTACGGTAAGCACATTTAATGCATTTGGAAACTTCTGAAACTGATCTTATAATAAACGGGGATGACTTCTGAAATCAACCATTCTGATGATTGCCTCTGCTTCTTCTCGAGTAAGCCTTGAAAATAGGAAGACTCCGAAAATAAGTAATGCCCAGCTGTGATAGAAAATGACAAAGGTCCAGAAAAAAAGAGGACGCTCCGTGGTCTGAAATTGTGAGAATAAGGTGAGTAGTATATAAAAGGTTGACGCTGGGACAGGATTTTGCCCAAACTTGGTTTTCTACAGTTTTTGATCATTTTTGAACATTTACAACTCCATTTTATGTCTTAATTTCCAGAAAATGACTCATTTTCGAACCCCTCTTCCCAAAGTGAATAAGGCCATGACTTCAATCCTATGCCCAACCAAGGACGCTGACTGTGTGAACGTATTTACGGATGTCTTTCAAATTTCAGGCATTTTCGGAGAATTTATTAGAAACAAGGTATTTGTTGACTTTTATCTGTACATTGCACCTTGACTTTTCCGTTATAATTATAATCTACCTTTTCAACGATTTTTCATAATATTCAAAATTCAACAATCAACCAGCAAAAAGTCTCATATATTTCAGCGCACCGCCCCAGCCGTCTGCAAAGTTGTCAAATGTATCAACTAAAAAGGACGTTTCATACTTGGTTCTTACATTTCTTTTATTATTGAATTGTTTCTATCAAAGATAAAAAAATACTGTTCAGTCTGAAAATCGTGTTGAGTCTGGGAGTTCAACATAAACAAAGTATATCAAGGGCAGAGATACAAGACATGACAAAGAAATTTTAATATTAAAATATGACTATTCAAATGCACAACACATTGTGGCAAAGCTACAGTTGTAACATGACGCACAGACTAAAGGATAGTGGGTGATTAGAGTAAAAAAAACAATCATTTTTATATTTATCTAATGATTATATTACATCCCAACATTCATCTATATTTAGCATCTTCGAAGTTGCCTTGTAAATTTTAACCTCCATCGCGCGAAACAGTTCAATCATATTATCGATTGCTTTCTTATTTAGGACTTTTGGAGCAGAAGGACAAGCTTTTACAAACGTTCTTTTGAAAACGGTTTTTATCGAGGGCAGCCGCTTGTTTAAATATGTAGTCGCAGTATCAATGTTATGCTTGAAAAAGTATCGACTATCAAGACTTCTCATTTTCGAGCGCGGCTCCCTCAAATTGTAATACTCTTCGATTGTAGTTGCTGATGCCAGCTCATGGTCACTTGGTTCGGTTCGGTTAAGTGGTTTCCAGGGTGGAAGTGCAGACAATTTGAGTGTGGTTCGTAACTCTTCAAGACCTATGGTCGTCACGCTTTGTTGGATTAAAGGGTGGATAAAATATCCTACTAGGTGGTATCTGACAGCGTTTCCAGTTAACAATTCTAAATCTTGCTGGGTCAAGCAGGTTGTAGCAATCTTGAGTAGCTCTTCCTTCACGTTAATCAGTGAAGATGATGAAGCGTTCGCAGAAGAGAGACTGCTGCTGCTTTTTCTTGAAGTTAATTTTGAGTTCGAAGTAGTGCTGTCCAAGCGAGTGTCGATGTCATCTGAAAATTTTGAATTCGTGTTGGTACTTATTTTAACAAAACTATGACATTTTTATCTAACCAATCATATATGCTAACTATCAAGGCATATACCTGCATGTGAAGTAGTCGTGAGGCAGAGGCAAAGGATGAGTGTAGTCAACATTCCTTCAGCTGGAAATATGTAGCGTACTTCAATGCATTCACGTAAGAGAAGTACATGTGAATTGTGCGAAACAAATATTAACAGCGATAGTCAACTATTAGAGAGGAAATATAAACAATTCTTATAATAACCACCTCTAATATAAGAATATAATATATGTAGTTATTATGAACAGCGACCAGATAGAAATAAAGGAAGGAAGGAAGAAAGAAGGCGGCATTCGATCGACCTATTTTTCGCTCGCTTGCCGACCCAATTTTAGATGGAAAGTGAAAGTCTCCTTCTGTCTCTTTCTAAACACGCCTGGATGGAGACAATTAGACTACTTCAAATAAACATTATCCTCTTTAAAAATGATTGATTTGTTGATTTTGATCGCTCGTGAGAAATATGAGATTAACTGGTACTCAACAAAATTTAAATTAAAGATAACACAACTTTTTGAAAATCACATGTTTCAAGCATTTTCAAAACTAGAAGACAGAAATAACCACAAATATGTGTACCAAAATCTTGTATTTGAAATGTGGAGCATTCAATTATATTATCTTCTTTACCATTATTTTTTAGATATTTGATAACTTCATGAGGTGGATCTAATCCAAAGGAATCGAAGTAATAACTTTTATTTTTTATTTTTGAATAACAAACCCAGTGAGTACCCTTATTATTACTTGAGTCAAGATTTACAATTCCGACTTCCTGGGAATGGATCTTATCTGGAAGGTTGTCTCTCATGAAAACACCGCGGAAATGTTTTATTTTCAACTCCTTCACGAGCTTTTCGAGATCAAGATTTGTCAATGGCTTCATATCTGTTCGGAGATTAATATTCTTCATTTATAACACCAAAAATATTCGAAAAATGTTGAAAAATTGAAAATGGGCAAAATGGTCTAAAGGCATTTTGCCCTAAAAAATGACATTTTTCGAAAATGAGTCATTTTCTGGAAATTAAGACATAAAATGGAGTTGTAAATGTTCAAAAATGATCAAAAACTGTAGAAAACCAAGTTTGGGCAAAATCCTGTCCCAGCGTCAACCTTTTATATACTACTAAGGTGCATGAAAGATAACTAAAGATTTTCTACATTTCCAATGCTCGCCACAATTTGATATTTTGTCACAATTGCACAAACGATTGAAGCCACTTGGAGGTACAAAAGGAGAATGAAGATTCCCTGAAGAAACAAAGTCATTCTCTCACTTTCCTCAGTTCTCAAACCATTTGAAAGTGCGATGACATTCCGAACAAATGCCACCAAATGCCATTTGTGTAGCCGCCAACCACTGGAAATAGATAGACTGGCTGCATGAGCAGAGTGTTTTGTGCATCCGCAATGAGGGATAACACCTGCAATCAGTCTCCGTTTTGATTGAAATGTCAAGGCAAAAGAGAACATTCACAAATACCTGCATGTTAATCATGAATACTCTGTACAGTTTCACAATTCTTTGGTTTGAATTGATGAGAACGACGCCCAACAGATTGAATAGGAGCGCGAAAACTCCGTGCACACGGTAGAAGGTCAAAAGTCTCTCAGGCGGATTCACATCCACAATCACCTCCGGATACGTCTCCATTCTTTCAGACGGAGCGAACAGAAGTGATCGGTGTTGGCCAGGCTGGAAATAGTGAGTTGTGAGCGTCTAACTCAAGCGAGTATGATTAACCGGGTTGATATTCCATTGATATTTCACCTGTCCCTCCCTCTCCTCATTCCTTCGCTTCTCCTTTTTTGTTCGGAACATGGAAACGAATCAAAAGCCCAAGGTTCTTCTTCTTCTTCTTCCATTGCATCACAACGTTCAAAAACCACATAATGATGAGCATCCGGAGCAGGAAAGAGTGGTGGGATGGGGAAGCGCAGAGATCCGAGATGGGGGCGGTCAACTGTTGTTGTGTCATCTTCTCAGATGAGGATGAAGAACAACACATTCGGCCGGCAAAAGTGTAATCCGAGTTCTGCCCGCCTTTCGGCTGTAATAAGTAGTACATTCGACCCAGGAGGGGCTCATAACTGCTTCACCTCTTTGCCCCATTTCATTCTGACTCACCTAGACCTTCTGATTCATCGTACAGCAGTTCTCTCCCTTTTCCATCACACAAACCCTCAAAATGCACAGCTCTGCCACGTCACTCTTCTTCTTTTTCCTCTCTTTTTCTGTTTGTTCCCGCTCGTGTTGTCTGCTCATAAACCGCCTCTAAACACCTGTTGTTTCCTCCCGGAATCCTCTTCCCACCATGCTCATTCCTCCATTTTGCTCTTCAGAAAATGGCCGACATCGTCGCTGCTTTCGCTCAAGCCGAGATCACTCCGAAGATCATCGAGAATGCTCCGAAGCAGAAGCTTCACGTAAGAGACCGAGTAGTTTCAGAGCACTATAAGTGAGTGGTTTTCAGTTGTGCTGGGACGGAATCCAAGTGGAGCCAGGAATGACTCTTCAAGTTCGCAACCTCAAGAATGCTCCAAGATGGGCTCTTCCGGGAGCCGATCCGGAGAGCATCTACACTGTTCTCATGATCGATCCGGACAACCTGTCCCGCAAGAATCCTTCCGTTGCCGAGTGGCTTCACTGGCTCGTCTGCAACATTCCAGCCAGTAACATCATTGATGGAATCAACGGAGGTGAGTATTCTTATTCCGGTCCCAGACAGCTGATTCAATTACATCTGACTCGGAATTGATCCAGACACTGCCAGAACAAAATGACGTTTCCCTCATGAATTCGTTTGCAGGTCAACATCAGATGGCCTACGGAAGCCCGGCTCCGGGACCGCGCACTGACCTCCATCGTTACGTTATTCTGATGTGGGAGCACCAGGGAAGACGGATCAGCGTGCCGAAGCCGAGCTCTCGTGCCAAGTTCAATGTGAAGCAGTTCATCGAGAAGAACAAGCTCGGAGACCCGATCGCCGGAAACTTCTTCTATGCGCAACACGAGGGATAAACTGGAATACTCTCTATCTTATAGTCAAACTATTGTATTTTAATAAATGAACTTCTCCCTAATCATCTCACTATCGGACAGCTCCTACCCGAGACATGTAATACCGATTCGGCAGTCCGTATTACATGAACTAGGCCAGGTGCTGTGGCTCGATAGAGAAGGAAGCAGCAAAAATTGTGGAGTGCGATTGAAGAATTAACGGAATGAATGCTCTTTTTATGTGAGCAAAGTGGGCGGGCAGCAGAGCATTCCAGTCCAAATTGATTGCTTTTTACACTCGAGGGCATTCAATCAAGATGAAAAATGTTCGGCATTCCAGTACTAGGTGGTGGAGCTTATCAGCTCAAACGATGCGAAGAAGCACCCGAGTGAATCACTTTGTGTAAAATGGATTTGCACTTTATTTTGACAATTTTTTATACTCCTCTTCGGAGTCAAACCCGGATGTTAGTAAAAAGTGAATCAAGTTCTAAAAGTCCCAATTTAGTGCCCTTGTTTTCACGCTCGACACTCCGCCTCGATCTTCTCGCTGATCTCTGATTCTTCGGGCGTCAACTTCAGTTCATCTCTGTCGATTCCGGCCTCCGAAGACGTCTTCATCGCTCCAATGTATCTCTGTAACATGACTACAAAGATTGAAACAGTTCATAATCTGCTTATCATACTTGTATCGACGCTTCCGAATGCTTTGCCACATAACGAACGAATGGTCGGAGGTCTCCCAGATTGGCGACGTGCAGGGATGCGTAGTACTCGGCCCTTGTCTCCACCGGAAGGATCACAGGTGGGAACCCACTGCGCATCATTATCAAATTCAACAGGAGCCGGGCGGTACGTCCGTTTCCGTCTGTGAATGGATGCACCAGCACCAATTTGTAATGGGCTACCGCTGCTCTTTCGATCGGATCCATCGCCTTCGTACTGTCGTCGTTCAGCCAGTCCACCAGATCTGCCAACTGTTCCATCACGTATTCCGGACCAATCGGAGTGAATCGGCCCACGTACACCTGCGTGGTCCTTATCCGTCCGGCTTCCACCGGATCCGCATTTCCGAGCACTCTCCGATGCATTTCCAGAATGTCGTCAATCGATATCTCGTCGTGCTCCTTTGAAAGGAGGGAGCAGTTGAGAAAGCGAAGGGCCGCATCCATTCCGATCACTTCATTGTGCTCCCGAATACTCTTTCCAGGGATCACCATTCCTGACTCGAGAATCGCCCGTGTCTGTCCTAGGGATAGGGTGTTTCCTTCAATTGCAACGGTGTGATACACATAGAGGAAATAGGTTTCTCTGAAAATCAACGTTGCAGGTAACATTATTTCTAAAAGGAGTACCTCATCATTCTTCGAAGTGCTGTTAAGTGCTGCAATCGAGTGAATTCGTTCCTGAGCAGGTGCACCGCCCGGAGCATTGATCTGTCGATGGCGCTGACGAGTGGCATCGTTCTGGCACGCAGTCTGAAAACAGAAACATATGAAGGAGGACATTGAGAAGACAGCTCACACTGAAGCTTCCGAGTTGCCCGGATCGAATGCGAGTGCCTTCACATAGCACTGATCGGCCTCGATCAGCTCATCGTGCATCTCCCGGAGCAGTCCCATCTCAATAAGTATCTGCGGATTATTGGGAGCGAGAGCGATCGCATGCTGCATGATCGTCATCGCCCTCTCAAGGTGTCCCTCCTTCCGAGACCTGCTCGCCGCCTTCGCTGCCAACAACGCTTCCTTCACTTTCGCCGGATCGTTCTCTCTTTTTTCTTCCGTCTCTGCTGTCATCACCGGAATTGCGGTATGGACTCCTTTCCACTTTTCATCGTAAATGGGATCAACCAGGAAAGTCGGCTTTTGAACTGCCGGAGGATACTTGGGAGCGTCATCCAATCGGAGATTGAGATTGCTGATGAATCCAATGTTCAGACGATCCGTAATCGACCTTCTGGAAGCTGCTTTCGGAGCATCTAAAATTCATTTCACTTTAATCGGTAGAGTCATAATGCACATACGTTTGATGGTTTCGTGTAAATAGGAGAAAACTGTTGGCAGGATGTTCTGGCAGAGAACGGAAACCACAATCGAAACTATGATAACAGTTTTGAGGGAATAGCCCTGAGCAGGAGGTGTTGGATGCTCCCGGACTACTGAAATGAATCTATTGGAATTTGACTTTGACTCTCCCGATCACCAACCATTTAATTTTGAGGGTCTTCTTGTTTTTTCCACAAGGTATGTGATTTCATCTGAATGAGTCCGTCGTCGAACTGACATCACATCCTTCACCTCGATCTGCAATTTTCAATGCGTTGCTAACGTGCTCTATCGTACTTCTTGCAAGATTCACTTAAGATTATCGGAGATTGCGATTAGGGCGAAAGAGCCACATTTATTACAAGAAGAGACATTCATACACAATGAGGTCAAGTTGACAGAAAAAAAGAGATGGGACAATCGCATTGGAGCGCATTTGCAGGAATCCATCTGGAAATCATTCCGAAGGCAGGACGGGCTCGATGGTGCAGATAACATCAAATCGGAGGATCGTCTGCTCGAGAAACAAAGAGACGCAGACGCACGCACCCTTTCGCAGGCACCCATCGATTTTCGACAAGCAACTACGTCTCAGTTGATCGACTCCCCTCAGTGCCGACTCACGTGTTCGTTGCGAAATGTATGTTCATATATATATATAAGAATGATTTTATTCTTCCTTCATCTTTCAAGCATTGACTTTAGTGCAAAATAAATACGATCGATTTTGGATCCTGGACCAAGGAACCAACTTGTTCAAGATCTGTTAATTCGAGTGGTACTCCCTCAGTCTTGCTTTTACCTTATTCAAACAACTTTCCCTTGATCTTTTAAATCTTTTCTAGTGACTGATTGTTGCCAAGACCTCGGTTAATATGCCCGACTACCGTAACCGAGTCATTCCCTTAAGGAATTCGTTCGCCACTCTCTTCCACTTGTCTCGGCGAGGCAGCAAATATCGTCTTGTTTATGTTGTCTTCCAAAAAATTGTCTCTCACTCCTCACTGCTTGCCAGTCGTCTTATTCTATTTATTTACTTCACAGTTGCCTTGCCCGCGTTTCGTTTCGAATTTCCCTCTCTTCTGTGGCGCTCTGACAAAGCGATGCCTGCGAATCGAACTACGGTAGCAGCAGTACTCTCTCTCTCTCTCTCGTTTCTCTCTCTCTCTCTCTCTCGTTTTTCTCTGCCCGTCTCCCATCACATGACTGCAGCCTCCTCGTCGTCTCGCTCCCGCGGTCATGTGTCCTCGCAGATCTTGTGGTGTGTGTGCGAGATGGACGAGACGGAGACGGAGGCAGCAGAAGAGCGTGCTGGTGCTGCTGGCTGACGCTCTCTCTTTTCTACTCGTCCTCGCCCCATTCCCTTTCACCTGTCGCAAGGGGCGATTCTCGATAAAAACAGTCTTTCCTCCACCGTTACTCGTTTCCTTTTCCTGCTCATCTCTACCTGATTGATTTCAGATCAAAATCGGGTCTCACCTCGAAAAAGGCGTCAGCGGGGCTGCATTCTGACAACAAGACCACTTCTTTATGCTAGCTACGCTGCAAAGTTACACAAACACAGCGATGAGCAGCCGTGGTAAGCCCGTTTCTCATCCGGGACACACTTCCGAACCATTCCATTTCAGGATCATACATCTCCGGCGTCAATCCATCGTTCAAGGAAAGACGACCCTTCCGTAAGTTTGCGATTCAAAAAACAGAATCTGACCGACTAGTACACTTTTGGTTGGCTTCCAAACCCGAAGATAAGCGATAGTATCATGAGACGTCTTCCACTGGTGTCTGATGCATTCCGAGACGCCGCCATTCTCTAGTTTCAACCTTTGTTCAACTCGGTCTCGCTGCGTCTCTTGCCACTTTCAGCCTCACTCGCTTTCCACTTCTGTGAGAAAGGGTCAGAGACGCAGAACACAGACTCGTCGCGTCATGCGTATCGCCTAGAGAGCACGGGAAACGAGGAGACCGTTTGCGGAGAGGCATGTGAAAATCAGCTGATCTGGACCGAATGTTAATGTTGAGAGGGGGACTGGCGACAGGGAACATTGCGTAATAATTGGGTGCTGGCGGCTCGGAGTGATACGGAGAGAGACGGAAAGGGAGACGGCTGGTGGCCACCGGAGATTACGGTGGTTGCACTTGATTAGAAGTTCACATTACGATGACTATGTAAGAGCAAAGTTCAGTAGTAAGGGCGTCTAAAGTTTAACAAGTGCAAGACTCGGACATTCTGAGATTTCCAGACGAGCGCCAAAAGGATGTGGAGGAGATTCGCAGTCAGCAGCCTAACAAGGTGCCCGTCATCATCGAAAGATTCGACGGAGAGCGCAGTCTTCCGCTCATGGATCGGTGCAAGTTTCTGGTGCCGGAGCACATCACCGTCGCCGAACTGATGTCGATCGTACGGAGACGGTACGCCGATCTTTCTCTCCAAATCCATTCTATTTTCTTCCATTTTCAGTCTTCAACTCCATCCGCAACAAGCGTTTTTCCTTCTCGTCAACGAGCGTTCGATGGTGTCGAACTCAATGAGCATGGCCAATCTGTACGGTCAGGAGCGTGACCCGGACGGCTTCGTCTACATGGTCTACACGTCGCAGCCAGCGTTCGGAGCATAACAGCCAATCGAATCCACAATAAGTACACACCCAAACTCTTGCAATTCTTATCCAATTTTGTCACCCAACTTCCTCTTTTTCGTCTGAAATTTGCAACCATGTTTGTGTATATTTTCCTGTAAATACCAACGCACCTACTGAATAGTTGCCTTCTCATTCTCGCAAACTCCCACCTCACTCAACTAAACCGAAAAATTGAAATTCGCTTAAAAATTTCCGCCTTCCCAACGGATTCCATCGTGTAGTTTTCATGTTTTTCCTTCCGCATTTCGGCACCGTTTCTTCCCGTTTTCCTCCCGAACTCTTCTTCGTTTTCTTCATTGATTCTCTTTCAAAACCTGTTCGATTCTGGCGAGTCTATAAAGCCCATAGGGACTCTGTCTTACTGCCCTTCCCACTCGAACCAGCCCATCTTCTGTTTTTCGTACCGCTATGGACTTTTCGACTGCCTTTCATGAACAATCCCTTCTTTTTTTTCTTCGTTTCCTCTCCTTTTGATCAACTTTTGTCTAATCGTCTGTTTTGTGCAACAACAACAACTTTTTCGACGTTTTTCAAGAATGTTTATCGCAGAAGAGATCTCGTGCATATAATATAGGAGGGAAAAGTAGTGAGACGTGTGTAATTAGGCCAGAGCAATTAGTCGTCCTGGGCGGCGAACGGATTAGCGATCTGCTCGAGTCCGTCGGCAGGGCTGACCACAGTGATGGCCGTTCCACGAGCAACGATGAGCCCCAAGGGTCTGAAAAGACGAGCATTAATGGAAACAAGCAAGGATTATCTACCTGGTCTCTTCGCCAATGACGGACGGATTCTGTGGGTCGCGGAGATATTCGCGGCAGTCGTCGAGCACCATGTTGAGTAGCTGGTCGAAGCCGCGGAGCACGCCACTTGCTGAAAACAACGCTGTCTACAAAACAAGCGCCGACAAATAATTGAATTCACCTTCACGACCTCCCTGGAACTTGACGCGGATTTCTTTGTCAAGGAATCTGTTTAGATCAACGACCGATTCCTTCTTTCTCTTTCCGTCATCCTTCTGCAAAATCAAGTCATTTTGAAGATGAAAAAAGATGTAATTGAGATACGCTTACCGACATTATTTCTGATTATTCGACGAAACGGCGTCTGAAATACAGCATAGTTCATTTAAAGGTGTAAACTAGGATGTTTTTATTAAATCAGTAAAAGCTCTAAAACTTTTATATTTCTTCAGAGAATAGAAGGTGCAACAAAAATTCAGCAAAAAACGTTTCGTAAATGACCGATATTGTGAATATTTAGGTCCGTGTTGACGTGTTATTCGAAAACGGCTCACTCGCCGCTGCCGACTAGTCGGCGACCTTTGGAGTGTCGTACTGTCGCCCGGTTTAACAGCAAGCAGCATTTTCGGCGGTCGCGGTCCAACATAATAGAACTGGGCAGAATAGAACCGCGACATCACAGAACCGGGCAGAATAGAACCGCGACATAATAGAAGTACGCATAATAGAACTGGGCAGAATAGAACCACAATAGAACCGGCCACAATATAACTGCTTGGAGCGCCTTAAGGCGTTTAAACTGTGGTCTTCTGCTTAATTGTTCGAGAGACGCAAAATTTTGCGAAAGTTAATTGAAAAGAGCGGACAAAATGCTGATATAAATACACAAAAACAGTTATATCATGTCGCGGTTCTATTGTGTCGCGGTTCTATTCTGCGCAGTTCTATTCTGCCCAGTTCTATTATGTCGCAGTTCTATTATGTCGCAGTTCTATTATGTCGCGGTTCTATTCTGCCCAGTTCTATTATGTTGGACCGCCGCATTTTCAGAATTCGCCAAAGAATTCGAGAATACATTTTCAGAATCATCATAGCACATTTATTTAGCTTGCTTACAGCAAAATCCCTTTAGTTTTCGAAAATGTAGTGAAATTGATGCTGGAGATGCTGCTCTTCCAGCATCCGAGGATAACGTCGTGAGATTCTGATGGGCGAGCTTTCTGAAAAGCCTTTAGAAGGCATCAGAAGTCAACCGGAAGTAGCAGGAGCGCGTTGAAGGCAGGGAGAGGACGGCGAAGCGGAAGGATCGCACGCAAGTGGCTCCTCTCGCTTCCAGTGGCTGCCCTCCGAGCAGCCGTAGCTGTCATAGTGGAATTCTGATGGGCGAGGTTTCTGAGAAGCCTCGAGAAGACACTAGAAGCGACGCGGAAGGATCGGGCGCAAGTGGCTCTAATCGCAAGCGAGACTGCTCTTCGAGCATCCGAGGATGGCATCGTAAGATCGCTCCACTTCGCCCTCCTCTTCCTGCCTTCTACGCGGACCTGCTCCTTGCAGCACGCTTTTATTGCCTTCTCGAGGCTTCTCAGAAACCTCGCCCATCAGAATTCCACTATGATAGTTTCGGATGCTCGGAGGGCAGCATCGTATTCAAAATGTATTTTTCGAATTTGTAAAATAGTCACTTTTACTTCTTTTTGCCTTTTTAAGCTTTTTTACTTTTGTTTTCTTTAGATCTTTAACGAATTTTTGGCGAATTCTGAAAGTTCCGATTTCTGCTAAACCGGGCGACATTACGAGACTCCAAAGGTCGGCGACGAGTCCCCGACTAGTAGTCGCCGGCGGCCAGTGAACGGCGGACACGGAAAACGCGTCAGCGCTCCGTCGCTCGGCAGTGTTTGCAAAGCTCGCCTCTTTTCTCCTTTCATCCTATCATTTCGCAACAATACACTCGATTTCATTAATTTTACCCTTTTCAGCTAGCTTAAGTATACTTAGCTCGGAGGAAAAGAGGCCGAACGACGCCGTCCGAGATGTCGTTCGAAATAGGCACCCGAGTCAAAAGTGAAGGAGTTCTGAACATGAAAAGTAGAGAATTCTGTCTTTTCAGCTAGTTCGGGAAATGGAAAAGTAGTATTTTGTGGGCAAACGAAGTTCGCAGAAGGAGATTGGGTCGGTGTGATTCTCGATACGGCGACTGGAAAGAACAACGGAACGGTGCAAGGAGTGCAGTACTTCCAATGCGAGGCCAACTTCGGAGTTTTTGTGAAAGCCGCCGCAGTCGAGCTGGATGACGTTAAGAAGCCATCGGGGCTAAAGGCGCCAATGGCAGCCGCCTTTCGGAAGGATTCCAGTGTTATGAGCAGGTCTGCCGGATCCAAAGCTTCTCCCGGGGTTCGTTTAAATCTTCGCTTCATTTCAAAGAAATCTGAGCTTCAGTCAAGTCCTGGCATGTCCCCAGCTGCTAGCTCAGAGAAATTAACTGGACGTCAAACGGGAATGGGCCCCAGATCGATGTCGAAGTTGGCGGATCCAAACGAGGTGAGTAAAGGGACCATGGCAGAAAGGGGTGGAGAGAAAAGATTGTAGAAGAAGCGGTCGACGACACCGCAGAATGCTAGGTCTCCAGCACCACCGAATAACTCGACGGTAAATCAAAATAAACGCAGATTTGCTCGTTTATCAGTTTAATGGTTATTCCGAAGTGGTTTTGCTCAGATTAGCCTCTTTCTTTCGAGCAAATTCTTCATTTTCTGATCGCATTGAACGGAATCATGCTTTAATTTAGTTCGCATATGTTGCTCATTCGTTTTGATTTCCCGCTCACCCCATATTTTGTGCCTGTCGCCCCCTTCCTTGTATTGTTCCGTACCTGCTTTTTGTTCGTTTCAGTCGAGAATGGTCCGCGAGTTCTCCAACCTTTCGCAGTCTTCTGTTGCTTCGAGTCGTGCCAGTGTGTCTGCTACTAAACCTAGGGTTTGTATTCCTTAATCCGACTCGTTCTTTTACAAATTAAATTGTTTTAGCCGCAATTCCAGGCTCCAGATGCAGCTTCCCGCAGACAGAGTATCGCTCCTCCGAAGAAGATTTCCACTGCCAACGGTATTTTGCGATTTCGTTCAGTTCAATCACTTTCTCAATTTCAGTTCCTTCTATTAAACCGACATCCGTTGCCACACCGAAACCGAAAGCAACGCCAGCTGCAGAAAAGTCTAAAGAACTGAATCCGGAGCTTCCGGGCGAGCTTCCGCCGCCGACAATGACTGCATCGGGAACGGAACTGCCGATTGAAAGTGTGCTCGCGAGGGCCAAGAAAATAGACGATGTGAGTTAGTTTTCGCGGGTATTCAGGAAACTTGTGACATATTTAGAACTGTGACGGTTTGTCAGAAGAAGATGAAGAGGATCAAAGCGGTTGCCGCTCAAGGTCCTCTTCTATTCTGACCGTGATAACGGTAGGTCGAAAGACAGCTTTCCGTTCTCTAATGACTGCATTGTTCCGTTGAGAATATGTTTCAGCTAAAAAAAACCGTATTTCTTTGCAGACGGGACCAGCTGCTCCAATGTCGCCGATCTCAACGACTGCCGCTGCTGCTCACCCTCGCACTACTTCAGTTTCAACTGTTGTCGACAATTCGACTGAATTGGAATATCTGAGGCACGAAACGAAAGAGCTCAATGAGAAATTGGAGTCACTACGAGCAAAGAGGAAGGAAGACCAGACGAAATTGGTGGAATTCGAGAGAGTTTCATTCGAATATCGGACTCTGCAGGAAGTGAAAAGCCGGCAGAACGATAAGATTATCGATCTCGAACGACAGCTCTTGGAGGAGAGGAACTCGGCAGAAAAACTGAAGGCTGAGTATGAAAGCGAGAGAGACACGATAACGGAGCATCAAGAGATGATGGAGATGGCGACGATAGAGAAGGAGTTGGCCGAAGAAAAGGCGGACGGACTGCAGAATGAAGTGCAGGTTCTGACGGAGAAGATCGAGACTATGGAAGCAGAATTAGAGATTCTGAAGGAGGAGATGGCGACTGGCGGAGGAACGGCTCAGATCGGGAACAGTGTCCAGATGAAGCAGATTGAGCAGCAGAACGACAAACTCAAAGAGGCGCTCATAAAACTACGAGACCTGAATGCGCAAGCCACTCTGGACAAGAATAAGGCTGTAGAAGAGGCGGAACGACTGAAAACGGAGAATCAGGAGCTCGTGCGAGTGGCAGAAACCCTAAAAAGGCAGGCTGAAATCGCCGAATCGAAGATCGCTGGATTCCAGGAACAGGTGAGTACGGATGTCTGTTCGATTGTTGTATCACACGTTTTCGGTTTAATTAGCCTCATTTGAACCATTGTGGCTTTCATTGATTTCTCGTGCTTGCAGATAGAGTTTTCGAATATGTGGGAAGAGGTAGATTTGAAAGCTCATAGAATACATCGTGACGTACTTTTGGGCTTGAATTATTAGAGATATCGCATCGGTTTTGTGATTGGACCGTGTTGCACGTTTGGGAAATCTTTTCTCGGCCTTCTGGAAGTATAAACAGCTAGAATCTTACTGATGGCATTTCAGATCGATGCAGCGATGGGAGCAGAAGCAATGGTCACTCAGCTGACCGATAAAAACTTCAATATGGAGGAGAGAATTACGTAAGTTTTCCGTTGGCAGACCAGAGGTTACCGGTCCATTTCAGACAGCTGGAAGAGCTCATCGAAGACATGGAAGAGGCGAAAGATCTGGACGAGCAGCTGATGGAAGTGCAGAAGCAGCAGGAAAGGGATTTGATGAAGGAGATCGAACAGATCAAGATCCATGCTCACGAGCTGAACGCACGTATTCGCGATGAGCAGAAGCACGCTGTTGAGCTCTCTCAGACCATTCTCAAGTTCCGTGAACGTACTGCCAATTTGAATTCTCAGATTCAAGACCAGAAAGATCAGATTCTGAGTCTAGAGGAGAGCCTCCACGGACAGATCAGCGAGGACAACGACCGCGCTTCGATGGTCAATCAACTTCAGCTCTCGGCTAACCGCAACTTTGCCGAATGCGTTGAGCGACATGTTAATGCCATCGAAGTGGAGTACGCACGTCGTCAAGCAGGATACCTGAAGGCGTTCCTTCCGGACAATTTTGCTCGTGTTGGAGGAGAAAACGATTCCATTCTGATGGTAGTGATGCTTCCTCGTCTCGCCGCAAAAACTGTGCTGTTCTCCACGCTGACTGCTCAATGCGTAAGTTCTGGAAGCTTATTCTAAGATCTAATTGTTAATCTTATTCAGTATCCACAAGTTCCGGGAGGTATGCGACGAGAGCACGTCACAAAATCGCACAAAGGAGAGCAATGGGCTCACGTGGCTCGTGTTGCCTACTTAGCTCAGTCAATTGTCGCGGCTCTCGGAAAGGTCGAAAGTGCGATCAGTGAAACGACCGTGGAAGTGCTCATAAAACTAACGGAGTCTTTCGGCGAGATGTCGACGCACGAGAGGACCGTCGATCAGTACCTCGAGCTTCTAAAGAGTGCCCGGTTCGACGAGAACACTTCTCTCGATAACTTTGCCCGACCACTCACTTATTTCCAAAACGTCTTCTCGTTGCACATCGGTGGAGACGGATTTAACGCTGCCCAATGGGTCTCAGCGCTCTGTGCTTCTCTCACCGCCGGATTGGCGTATTGTCGCATCAATACCCAACGGATCTCCTACTTCTTGCAGGCAAGCATTCAGAACCTGTTCCTTTTCGAAATGTTTTAAATTCAGGAGTCAATTACCGCCGGAGAGGTGTACAATCTTCTGCAATCATTGAACGATGAGTTCGCTGCGTGCGAATCTGTCATCCTGAAAGCGTCCCGTAGATTGCCTGCAAACGGATCCGATCAGCAGAAGATCATCAAACTGGAGCCGGATTTCACTGAAGAACTTCTGAACGCACTGGCGCAATTGGACAAAATGGCATCAACACTGCAAGAAGTTTGCACGAACGGAGCGCACAATTTCGGAGGAATCTCCGAGACGGAAGGATTCGACGAGAAGAGGGTCAAGGAAATGATTCACGCGGTCGTTGCGAAACACAGCGGGTACATTGCCATGGAAAACGCGTTTGATCCTATCCGAGCTGTTATGAGATCTCTTCGCGAAAGCCTCGAGAAAATGGGCAGCGTAATTGATTCGGGAGTGATGGAACAGAACGGACCCGAGAAGAAGGCGTTCCCGCCACTTCTGGATCGTGCTCATCACCGGAAGCAGGCTGCCCAAGAGGCCGAAGGACTCCGTTGGCAGATGGAGAAGAAAGATAACGAGATGCTGGAATTGCGGAAGCAGGTGAAGGCAAGAATCGAGGACGTCTCCAACTACAAACTGAGGCTCGAGATGGCCGAATCGAGAATTAATTCGACGGATAAGGCAGAAGGGGACAAAGTGAAACATATGGAAGAGAAGATCAATCAGATGGTGGCCGATCATCGCAGAAAGCAAATGTCAGTTCCCCACTTTACAGCTCTTTCGCAGTATTTTTTTGTTTTACAGTGAATTCGATGAGTCTATGGACGCCTTGCAACGAGAGATGAAAGAAATAGAAGAAGAGAATCTGGAGCTGAAGCAGAGAGCCACAAAGATCAGCAAGGAGACGTTATGGAAGAACATAAAGTCGATGGAGACACATTCTGTCGGAGGGGTAGCCGCCATTCCGTCATTGGCCGATGAGCACGGAGTCTCTCGCGGAGAATTGATCTTCTTGGAACAGCAGCTGAGCAAGCAGACCGACGCGCGCAAGAGAGCCGAATTGGAAGTGCGCAAGCTGACCGGTGAACTTGCTCAGACCGGATCGAAACGGTTTTCCGCAGTCCCGGGGCTCATTTCGGGGCCAATCACGCTGGAATCACAGTCGAGACAAGACACGCTCCTGAAGTTGATCGACAATTTGCACGACGAATCGCTGCGTTTGAGACGGGAAGAAGTGAATCATCAGGCGTACGTGCCGTCGAATCCGAAAATATCGACTGGCAAGATGCTGGAAGAGATGGAGGAGTTCAACACGAAACGGGAACAATTCTACGACCGCCTCAACTCGGTTTGTCATCCGATTTGAGAGAACGCCTTCTGAATTATGTTTTTTTTTCTGCAGGTGAACCGACGTCTCCGTCGTGTTTGGTTCGATGCATGGGGAGAGGAGTATCCGTTCGACGTCTCCAGTTCCGTCCGTCCGGTCGTCGTCGCTGAACCTAAGAAGTTCGAAGAGATCAGTGCGAAGTGGGGAATCGTCTGGTAGCCACGTCAACTCGTTTTCTTCTGTTCATTTCTTTTCGCAATAACGGGTTTTGCGTAACAAGCTTGTAATCGACTGTGCTCCAGTGTATATAAAGCATATTTAAGGCTCTGCATAAACGTTAAAAAAAATTATTTTAGAGCAATGACTTGAAAATTTGACATCATGGGCATTTGCAATGATAAATATTTGGTTGTTGTGGTGGTTCATGAACATGTATATATATTAGTTAGGCTTGACGATAAAATCGGGTAGAAATGGATGCATTCAGTTGGTAACGGACAACAACCCGATGCGAGATTCAACAGAAAACTAAAGATTTTTGAGAGAGAGAATGCGGAGAGACGAAAGAAGCAGCAGGAGAATTCGGACGTTTTTGAAGGAAGAAAGCTGGAATTGAGTTCGATAAAAGTAAAGACAAGGGTTCTGATAGGGATAGATATGATAGAACTCCGATGAAAATGAATAGAATTGTGCAGGGAAACTAAGTAGACATTTACACAAAAGGAACAGATTAAACATTCAGTCGTATGAGACACTGGAAGACGGCGAATCGGCATGGTCAAGGCAGGAACTGCACCGGAACTCGTGCATGCTGTTGATCTCTGGAAAGAAAAGATGAACGGAGGGATCGGAGGGATTCGGATACCTTTTAGAGTGAATCCAACGCATATCACATGGTACCAGTTCTTGCAGCCAGCCTCGCACATCACCCAATTCACCGAATCGCCGTATGGTTTGAGACAGTTTCGTGCTTGGCACAACTTGGATTCAGAATCTTCTTCGAAGTATTCGGTCGGTGAAGCCTGGCTCATTCGCTTCTTTGCTTTCTTCGCCGCGGATTCTTTTGAAGTCGTCGGTCTTTTTCGTTTTGTGTTAGATTTTGGATCAAATAAAGCAGCGGACGGTTTCGAACTGACTGGACGACGTTGGAGAGCTACGGAGGCACTGAAAATCAGACTATGAAAATGAAAAGAGATGATTGACTAGTACCTGATTTGCTTCTGGAGATGATCCGCGTAGAACTCGGAAATGAGTTCTACTGCCTTTGGAAGTCCATTCATATTGAGAACTTCACACGAGAGCCACTCGGACAGTGCCTGCTTGCACATCTCTTCCCCTCCGGCTTCTCCCGCCTGTCGTTTGTTCGCTCCATCCAAAAGATTCTGTGTTATGTTTCTAGCCTTCTGGATGAGATTTCTGACGAGACTGATCTCGAGGCATCCTGAAGGCGCACCATTCAATGCGGCAGTCACGTCGTCAATCACTGGTCGACGTCCGCGGAGACACCGGACGCACAGGAAAGCGCCTTGCGGAAGGCGACCGAGGAAGGAAGACCATGCGGAACAACGGACGTGGAACTGAGCATGGCAGAGCATGCAGGAGAGCACGGGCTCGGACGGCTCGACTTTCGCGGCTCCGAGGCACGAGCAAGCCTCCGGTCCGCGTGTCAAGTTCGTCGCCTGAACCTTTTCGAATATTCGCATCTGCATTTCACGCAGTGACGTCTGATGATGGAGCATTTGCTCCAGGGACTCGAACTCGGACATCTGATGCCATTCGTCATGTGGGGGGACGACTCCGCCCTGATAATACAATGGGATGATCTGGCCTTCTGCCAGAGGAGTTAGATCGTCGCGTTCTGATAGAATCTACAAGGGGACTGTTTTAATCATAGACTTTCAATTGATGACTCACTTGGAATAGATTGTGATAGGCATTTGTCGGCTTGAAAAGTCTTCCCATTTTTTCAGTGAACGCGATCGTTTTCTTTGAGAGCTCGGCCAGCCCCTGATGTGCAGGTGAGCCATTCAGACACTTCGACTGCTCGCACGCTTTACAGATTTCTTGGGTCTTTGCCAGAGTGATTTCACTGTCAGTCAATTGTTGCATTTGAGACTTGAGGTCAACTCTGGAAAGATTAGGAACCGCATTGTCAATTAGCGCTTTCACTCTCATCACGACGGCTTTTTCGTATCGGAGGGCGTCAATATCTGAAAACGAGACTGAAAAGATGGAAAATACACAAACTTGAACTCACATTCGTCTGAAAACCAATCGGACTCTCTCACTTTTTTCCAGGTGGTGTCTAGTGAATCGAGGCTTGGTTTTTTGCAAAACTCGGCAGCTTCCGATTCTCGGAGGTTCGCTTCACGGAGCATGATTTGAAGTCTAGCTGTTAATTGAGCAGTTGCATCAGTTGGCGTACGGGAGCCGTCTCGGATCAATCTGAATAGAAATAAAGGATTGAAGGGTTATGAAGACGACATCACTCACGAGAGAATGTCGCTGGACGTCCATCTGTATCTGTACTCGAAGTCCGCTTCCCTCTCCATATCAGGAGTGGAGGTCCACGTCGTAACTTCCTTCGCTTTCACCACCCATTCCTTCATTTGTACCACTTTCTTCAGTTCGTCAATCTCCGGCATCTTGATGTCGAACTCATCTCCTTCCTCGATCACCGATCCTATCTCTTCTTTCGTGTGTGAAGCTTCTTGCGCCACAAACTCTCTGGCCTTGGCCCTCCAGATTTCTACCTGAGCCATCCACTTTTGCAACTTCTCTATTATGCACGCCAGATTGCAGTCCATAGCTTGCATCTGCTGGATCAAAAGTCGAACCCCTTCAGCGTCCGTTCGAGTGTCCGCCCGTTGGCATCTCGTCTTGGTGCGAGTCCTCACTTTCTTGAACAACAACTGATTAGCTCTCTCGATGGCCGTTTTGGCAGATTGTCGTATTGTGATCAGCTTGTGCACCTGGTCCGTCTGTGGGTACTTGTTCTGTCGTGCCACGTCAATGAACTGCTCTATTTTATCCAGCCCCGGCTTCTCTTCCGTCTCCAGCATCTCCTCCGACTCTTCCTTCCACCCACTGTAGTCGACAGTTCGTTTGCTGAGCTCTTCGCACAAATGCTCCAGATAATCAATTTCGTAGCGATACTGGAACTTGTAAGCTTTGGGAGCGCATATTTTGCAGAGATGATCGTGATGTTCCACGCAGCTCATTCGTTTATGTTCACAAGTCATCGCCGACATAAACAAAGTGGTTTTGCAGAAGCGGCACGACCTTTGCTCATCCGGTATCTTCTCGAATATCACCTGCTCCATTGAATGCACACCGAGACTGGCCGCCATCGCCCTCAGTCTCTTCTGTTTTTCAGTTATCAAGATCACTTCTTCGTGAGTAGCGAGACTCATTGAAAGTCCCAGTTTGTCCATGGATTCAGCCATTTTGAAGACAAGTTCATCGTGGGAAAATACGAGATACCTTCTGACAGAAGAATACGATTCGACGCATTTCCGACCTTTTCCAAGCCAGTCGATTGGGGCAAAGTTGACGGCTTCGGCAAAATTGAGTCCCTCATTGAAACCGGCATGGTACGCGCGAGGGAAAGTGATGACGAACTCGCCAGCGTTCTGGTGAACGGAGTAAATGGGAACTCCCAGGGAACGCAGAAGGCCCGGATTGGCAGCGGTCGTCATGTGGTGGAAGATATCTCTCTGTCTTGCAGTCAGTCCTGGTGCCAACTTCCGGAGAGCGTCCTCGAATTTTTCAGCGTCATCGCCGCCCACTCCGTACCAAATCTTCCGTTCTCCAAAATGATTGTAGTTGACGGAATACGTCCAATGATCCTCAGTGTGCCAGCAGAAAGTGGACATGCACATTCCGACGTACACCCACGGAACCATCATTCCAGAGATTCCCGTGTTGAAATGGGAGAGAACGGATTCCCGGAGGACGGGCATATTGTTCAGGTTCCATGCGTGATTTGCGTACTGCTGCTTCAGTTTGCAATCCGATCCGCTGTGCCTGTCTTCTTTTCTCGGGAATCCACTCCCAACTCGACTAGTGATCAGATCGGCACCGTACTTGACGGCGACTGCCTTGTCCGAATTGACCACATTCTTCCAGAACTCTTTTTCAACTCGATCACAAGAGACTTTCGACGGATCGTCCACTCCGAAGTATTCGCATTTCCATTTGTTTGCGAATTCCGAGAACGAATTCAGATTGTACTCGGTGTCCGCGTCATAGAATCCCCAGTCCAATCCGATTTTCGCGTCCTCCGATTCGATGCATTTCGGACATCTCCACTCGCCGACGGGAACCTCGTCAAGCACTGGATCACAGCAGTAAGTGTGTCTTCCGTTGTTGCATCCTTCAATGTCACACAGAAGCAGAAGCTCTTCGTCTTTCCCCAGGCGACACGAGATACAGAATACTTGGTCCATCGGATCTTCGTCTTCTTCTTCCTCCTCCTCCTCTTCTATTTCTTCCTTTTTTGCTTTTTCTAAAAACTCAAGTATTCATCCAATTAACTGGTTATTTCGTTCTTACTATTTTTGTTTTTTGGTGATATACTCTTCTTTGAAGACGTGCTTGATCCTCCAGATGTCCGTTTTGTCGTCGTTGTTTTTGACGTCGTTGGAGCCTTCTTGTTCTTCCTTCTCCTTCCACCTTGCATTGACATCGGACAGTCCTCCGGCGTCCATTCGATGTCCTCCCGGTCGCCTTCTTCTTCCAAATCACTTCGCATTGTGCCATGATGATGCTGGTATCTGAAATAGGATAACGTGAACAATTATCCCTTCTGCTCTCTTCTCACTTGTGCTTCAGCTCTTCGAGCTCATCATCACTCTCGTCGTCCCTTTTGGCCTTCTCTTTAAGATTGCGATTGAATGGTTCCACGTAGAGGTTGTAATGCGAGCGAATGAGATTTATGAAAGAAGAGGGAACTCCGCGAGTCATTTGCTCGGGAGGCAGATATTCTCGTGCCACGTCCCGCCACTTCTCCTCTTCGTTTACTTCTTCGCAGCCTCCGAAGTTTTGAATGATCTGTAAAACAGACAAATAAGAAACATCTGGAACAGTTCGCCTGCTTACTCTGTGTAGGCGATGCAAATCGAGAACCGCCCCGTCTCTGTCAACCGGAAATTCGAAAGTCACTCCGCTGTACCGATTGAAATTGACCAGTCTGTCCACGAACGTGTGCTTCTCCTTCACAATCGCTTCCACTTCGTTCAACTTCTGCGTTCGCGGACGGAAAGTGAACGTTTCTTTGTTGATTGCGAATGGAGGTTTGAAGTCCTAAAATAAAGAATTTTTAACGGACCTTAGTTAATAGAATAACTTACAGGTGGCGGGACAATTTTGATGACTCCGTACTTTTCCGCTTCGGGCCGGATTTTCGCCACATACTCGATGGGATCGGCAAACTCTTCGGGTGTCGGATGAAATACAGGAGCCATTGGCGGTCGTTCGAAGTTCTGAAAACATGTTAGTGAGACTGTGGAACTGGAAGGATGCTTTTACCGTGTAAAAGTGGTCGTACTTTTCCATTTTACAACCACCTCTTCTCGACGAGTTTGTGCCGCCGCCGCTGCCTTTTTTGCGAGGAGACGTGCTTGTCGATGCAGAAGCCGACGACGCCGCGGCATTGTCTTCGTGACGGCGTGCACGCATTCTCGCTCGGTTCACACTGGTTTATAGTTTCATGAGATCTACAATCGGGGTGAGTAGGTGGTAGTCTCGATAATTTTTTTCTCGAAAACAGAGCGTGTAGGTTGGCGGTCAGGCAAGAGAATGTGTATGTGAGAGAGAGAGAGAGAAAGAGAGTTTATTCCCAGAATAACAAAATTGATTTGTGAGCCTTGAGGGGTTACACAACCTGAATTATTATTTCCGTGCGGGCTCTGCCCTTTCAAAGGGGCCCCTTTGGCATGTGATGAAACTCATTCGATAGATGACGTGTATTTGGTTTTGCTAAAGTTCCGAGATCGCATGTGCAGAAGTGTGAGTTTCAGTCTCCGTGTATGCAGGTGACCACGGATTACGGTAAACGGCGCGAGAGAACCGCGACACGCGCACTTTGGCGACGGACGACGGCAACCTGCGATTCGGCAGTTTGTCGTTGTCCTTTGCATCAAAAATTGCGTGCGGTAAAGATAAGAGGAGAAACCAAAAAAAAAGATAAAAGTCGAAAAACTGAGGGCGGAAACAGCCTCCCACACCACCCGTGTCGGGCCACGAAAGAAAAACTATGGGGAATGCAAACGCGCTCCACTGAACAGCCTTTCTCGCTGCTTTTCTCTCGTTTTCCCGTCTCTCATCACATGCATACTCTTTTTCGGTGTCTTTCTCTGTGTCTCTCTCTTCCATACAATCTTTTCCGTATTTGCTGCAAGGCTGCGAATCGCGTGGCAGGCCAAGTAATACGTGAATTTTTGCACTAACTTTTTGAGGCCAGCTGAGGGATGGTCGCACAAAGAGAACGAGCGAGAGCGCGAGGGAAAGCGAATGTGTGTGAAAAGACGGAGAAGAGGGGTCGGGACGGATGGGCACGGACTCCGCGCCCGGGCTCTCGGACATTTAAAATTGAGAGATACAGAGAGAGGAGGATAAGGCGAAAGACAAAACGCGGGGTCGGATTAGGTGCAGCATCAGATGACACTGTCTGCAACAGCTGCTGATTAGCAAAAAAGTGAAACAGACTTGTTTTCGCTTCAGTCAGAATCGTACGAAAAGCAGTGTGGTTTGCGAGCGAACGCGGAATGAATGGAGACGTGACGCTCTATAGAGAAAGAGTGTTTGGCAGATATAGCCGAGACTTAGACGAACGCGTTCAGAAGGAGCTGAGCTAGTAAGCATAGTGTTCGGATGAAGACCGGCACGTTGCCTCGGTAACAGACAACGCACACTTTGCAGAGTTTGAAAAGCTGAAACAGTTTCTCAGCGAATGACTCGGATATTAAATTTATATTAATAGACTAGTTTTTTTACAGAAAACAAAATTTGGGTTACGATTGAACAATCATTGGTTGAAAACGTCTCACTCGAGTTTACATTGTGACTATGGAATGTGAGAAGAATAAGGAAAATGGAATAGTTTAGACGATCTGTTGCTCTTTCAGTTTCTTCTCGTCGATGAGCGGAAGGGCTTTGTAAACGACGTTTCTTTTGGAAGCGGCCCTGTCCCTGTAGTCGCTGTACTCCATGGCGTAGGTAACGACCAGCATAGAGACGATGGTGAGCACCGCAATCGTCGGGTAGTTGGTCTCGACGCACATGTACGCCAGGGAGCACATGAACATGCCAAACCAGACACGAGGGTTGATGACGGCGAGGGGCGTCGATCCGAGCTCCATGAGGAAGAACACGTTGACGTTATCTAGAAGGGTTCAATGATACTTTAAAAGTGGGGAGGTGCTTACTGAATCCGGGGATTTTGATGTCTTCGATGTTGGTGTACGCCAGGGCGAGTTTGATTGAAGCCAAGGTGAAAGCGACGATGAAGCACGGCCAGTTACGGTCGACGATGTTCGGCTGCGGCTTCTCGACTGGCTTTCTGGCGGTCGCAAGCATGACGGCGACCATTTCGGACGGAGTCGAACTAGAATGTGCATGTTGAAAGCGGATAAATGCTGTACAAACAAATAATAATACGAGAGGAACAGCGGGCAAAATATTTTGATTCTTTGAAAACAAAGTTGTTGGGGGTGGGTGAATCGCCTGCGAATCGGGCATTGTCCGCCTAACCCTTTATACTCTTGAAGGGGTCAATGACGGTGGTAGAATCGGAGGGGGTAGGTGGACAATCGGAGAGACTTCGAGGGGTTATCGGAAAATTGGATCAGCGATTCAAAGTAAAGGAAAGGATCGGGTTGGCGATAGCGAAAGAAGGGTCGAGGGCACTGTTTTATAGCAAGCAGGTCACGAGGAGTCTTTGTTTGGAAATTCAAACCCATTGTTTAGGTGAAAATGAAAAGTTATGCATAGGAATGAAAGATCGGGTTTCCATGAGTTTATCAATAAACTTTGCAGAGTTTGGAATAAAATGTTTATAGAACAAAAATGGAAGAGCGGATAGGAGCAAAGAGTGACTATTGGCTCAATCAAAATATACAGAAAGAGGAGTCATGGTGTGGATCAGAGACTGATGAACTGAGCAAATACGGTACACTTTGCAGGGAATGTTCGAGTAGACATCCGGATCTTTCAACTTGTTCTGGATCTACATCAGAACTTGTCAAATCGAGATGTATCGAATTCTCACGTGGACAATAATTCCTCCAGGAAACGCTCGGATTGTAAGTTTTAATTTTTCCATTTCACATTCATTTTTTTATAATCCTTCTCACCAAGACAATTGCGATTTCGAAAAAGAAACCGGCGTTCATTGCTGAGAGAAAAACGGAATGGTGAGAAACATGAGTGCAGCCGATTCAGATGGCCCGTTCAGGATCTGATCAAGAAAAAATTCGACAAGAAGAAAAAGAAGGCGACGACGAAGAAAGGCCAGCAGAAGGCGGCGAAGAATCCGGCTCAGAAGAAGGCGTCGAAGGACAAGAAGAAGAAAAAGAAGGCGAACAAGAAGAAGCAGAGCGATTCCAGCTCCGATAGTTCTGACAACTCGGACGACAGCCAACGCGTTCGGTTGAAAGCGGTTCAGTCGAAGCTGGCAGTCGATGCGGCGAACATTGACAAAAAGTACCGGATGACCGGATCGCTCATCAAAAAACCCGAGAATCCGGAGGGATTCGCTCGGAAAGTTCTGGAAGCGGAGTGGAAGGAAATGGTGATTGATCCGAAAGTGCCACTGGAAACTGTGAGGACTCTCGACGTATATCTGAAAAACCGTGCAGAACTCAAATCGACGGATCATGTTGTGATTGCAGAAAAGTAGGAAAGGGGATGGTTCTGGATATCAGAGACGTTTCAGAGTGGACGACGACGAGAAGAAGGCGACGACGCGTCTGAAAGTGCTCACAAAGTTCGACGAAGGTCGTTTCGCGGGCATCTACATGGTTCAGAACGAAGCGGCCGTCAAGTGATTATTTCTTCCATTCGAACTTTCAAATAGTCTCTTCACTTCCAGCAACGACGTCGTTTCGATCTCCAACGGGCGGTTCATGATGAAAACGGCGCTCCGTCAGCTGTCCAGTCATCAGATTACGTATCGTCTTTCGGTAGAACGCACCTGAATCCAAGAGAAAACCGTGCTATTTCAGAGAGAAATAAACATTCTCAAGTCGTTTTGGTCGAAGAAGGAGGATGCTCCACAACGTCTTCCGCCTATCCTCTACGATGGACGCATTCTCGGAGTACCATTTTACGGTAACTCATTCGTAAAAAAACTGTAACTGTTTTCATTTCAGTCACCAACATCTACGACATTAATCTTGAAAAGTGTCGTGAAGAGATGGGCGGAGGCAATTTCTGCTCCAAATCAATGTTCCTTATCGCCCAGGAAGTCATGTTGGCTATCAAAGTTTCTCAATTCTCTTCCCCAATCACTTGACATATTTTTCAGTTTCTCCATCGTCATCAGCTCGTTCATCGAGATATCAAACCACACAATATCGTTTTGAGTCTTCAGAATCGTGATCAGTGGTTCCTGATTGACTTTGGCGATACTGTTGGTGTTAGTAGAACATCGTCGTGAGTTTGAGAAGTGAATAAAATCAAAATGTTTGTTCGATGACAGCCTGAGTCCTCCTGATGGACAGACTCTTCCGTTCGTCTCTCGTGAAGGACACGATCAGCTTCTGGCGAGCGCTCCGACCACATACCAACAGGATCTCGACTCGTGGTTCCTCACGATCATTGACATGTCAGTTACTCACCCTTCCTATACCTAAACTGTTGATATTTCAGGTACAAGTCACTTCCATGGCGTGACAATCCGAAGATCGATCAAGTGGCGAAGGAGAAGAAAGAATTCTTCAAGAATCCCGTTCCTTTCCTCTCTGATCTGCCTCCACAAATGTCTGAGATCTTCAAACTTCTGAAAACGGACGCTGCTCCGTACACGGCCATTTCGAGGAAAATCTCGGAAGGATTGAGCGATCCCAAAGAGTCGGGAGGCGCACCAGAATGGTACGATCGTCAGGCGACGAGAAAAATGGCGAAGCAGCAGAGAAAGAAGAAGAATGACGATGACACGACGACGACGACGACGACGACACTTGAAGGGGAAGAGCAGGCGGCGCCCACGCGGAAAGACCGATCAGTCTATCTGGCTGCCACTGAAGGTGAGCAAGCAGAAAGCTTCCCTGCCAACTGAGCATGTTCAGGCCCTCGTCCGACTCGCAAGGTGTCGAGAGAAGCGGCTGAGCTGACGGCCAACAAAGTAGCGAGTATTGTCGATGATGGTCCCAATGCGCCGACGCCTCCATCTCCGAACCAAAGACAAGGCGAGGATAAACTTTCCATGTTGAGACCGTCTCATGGAATGTTTCAGATCGTTCGGTGTATCTAAATGACTTCCCAGCTGCTGCTGCTGCGATAGATGCGAACAAGAAGAAGTATCGGTTCAAACCAAAGGCCAAATGAACATTTGAACTCATGAATTTAGTAAAAGTTGATTTACCGGGAACGCACGCTCCTCTCAACTTTCGCAGGCGGGAGAACAGACTTTAGACCGTTTCTGTACTCTCTAAAATCGTGTTGTACCGTCTGCGAATCCAAAGAAACGAAGAGAATACGGGCATGGGAGCGGAGGAATAACGCCCGAATGAGGCGCCCGTCCACTCTTTCCCTTTTATATGTTATAAAACAGATGGAATATTTATTAGGAATAGCATGGTACGACACGAATATCGTAGATTTTATATTCGTCGTCTTTATCGTCCTGAAAAACGGAAAACGATTGTGCGCAAACAGAGAGGGGAAACTGACCGCTCTGGCGAAGAACGCCTTCTCTCCCTGCTGGACGTCTCCGTTCAGAAAGGTGAGTGTCTCGTCGACGGAGAATTGAATGGTGTTGTTGGTGAACGGAAGCGGATAGGCAAACTTGACGGACATCTCGACGCCGCTGAGCTTCGGGATCAGCGCTTCGAGCTTGTCGGAAAGATATTCTGAAAGCGAGAACGTTCTGTGAGAACTTCAGAGCTTGATCCGGATACCGTAGTTGCCTCCGTGTCCGCAGTCATCAACAGTCACGTCGTCCGTGAAAATGTGGCTTTCTGCCAATCTGACCTTTCCGTCCAAAATGTGTTTGTACTCGTCCGTCAAACGAGCGGCCGTGTATCTCGGATGCTCATCGGTTGGACGGGCTTTGACGATTGAGACGAGGAAAAGAATACACTGAACAGGACTGTGGATTATAAAATAATCTGTGAAAAAAAAAACGGTGGAAAACTTGCCAAGAAAACGAGCGGAGCGATCAGCTGGTTCATTTAGGCACGACTGCTGAAATCACGACTGGTCATGAGAAAACGAAAAAGAAAGAGAGAGAAATAGAAAGCGACAACAAAAATAAGAAATGAGCTGACGGAAGAGACCCGAAGGAAACAGTAAAACAACGATAAGAAGAGTGTGTAAGGAGAGGCAGCTGCGATTCCTTCTTTTTTGTTCGCGCCCGCCTTTCCTTCGCCAACTGGAAATAGTTCGAAACTGCAATCCGACACTCGACTCGGGCGGTCAGTTGTTCACGAAGACAAAGTAAAGAAAATGTTTATGAATGAGGTTGGCAGAGAGCTTTTTTGCGATCTCTCAAACAAAGAAATACATTAAACAGTTAAACACGTGAGTTACTGGGCCGTCACGATGCGCATTGTGTTGGTGAACCCGGCGCCCTGCTTCCATCCAGTGATCACAATGAGCGGGTCGCCCACGTGGATGAAGCCACGTGTCTTTCCGAGGTTCACTCCGTACTGCACACGTTCCTCCACGTCCACGTCCCATTCTTCGATGCGTCCCTCTGAAAAGTGTTGTGGATAGGATAGGAAGATCGGAGGTGTCTTACTTGGATAGAAGACTGGAAAGATTCCTCTGTGCAAATGAAGTTGACGAGAAATGCGTTCATCGCGAGAGACGGTAATGATTGGCACTGGGGGACGGTAACGGGAGCAGAGACGGGCGGTTCTGTGAGGAAAATTTGAATTTGGTTCCATGGAACACTGAGAGAGGGCTACCTTCCAGTGGTGGTTATGAGAATGATGGCCACGGCTCGGCAGGTGATCGCAGCGGAAACAGAGGCGATGGCGGTCGTGTGAGTCATTCCAGTCGGCTTCGGAGTGTGGAGAATGAGCTCCTCGAAGTGTTTCATGTGGAAGAACGCCGATTCGGCTTCCTTGCAAATCTGGAAACTTCACGCTCGTGGATTTTCTGTGTATTGTAGATTCTATCAAAGATCACGCAATCTATTTTCGAGGTTGCAGCTCATTGCAGATGAGAATCACTTCGGTAATCGGATACCCTCTGCCTTCAGACTCGTGATTTTCCTCTAAACATTTCAAACTCACATTGTGCATGATGGCAAGCGCTTCGACGGGATACGCTCCCTTCGCAGTTTCTCCACTCAGCATGACACAGTCCACTCCGTCGAGCACCGCGTTCGCCACGTCACTGCACTCGGCTCTGGTCGGACGAGGCTTGCTGATCATGCTCTCGAGCATTTGAGTCGCACAAATCACCGACTTTCCAGCCAAATTACACTTTGCAATGAGCATCTTCTGAGCAAGGAACACTTTCTCGGGAGGAATCTCGATTCCCAGATCTCCTCGAGCAACCATGACTCCGTCGGCAGCTGCAATGATCTCATCGGCATTCGTGACTCCGTCTTCGGATTCGATCTTGGCGATAATGTAGATGTGCTTTCCCCTGAAGTCGTGAACTGTGTCTACGAATCAGTCAACTTTCCCTTACTTCTCCCCGAGAACTTGTCTGATTTTGCGAATGCCGTCGGCGTCCCTGATGAACGAAGCGAAGATGATATCAACATCTTGTTCAACTCCAAAGATGAGATCTTCGATGTCTTTTGAAGTGACGGCCGGGAGGTCGACACGAGTTCCCGGCAGGTTCACACCCTAAACAATATCTATGAATCACAGCAAACTCTGTTTGAGTTGCTACTTTTCTGGTTCCAAGTGCTCCTCCGTTCTCTACAGTGCAAACGACAGCGTTCTCCTCGGTGGAGTCGACGATCAGTGAAATAAGACCGTCATCAATGTAGATTCTGGATCCCTGCAGAAAGAAAACGGGGGGTCTTGATACTGAAAAGACTGTTTGTTTACCGGCTGAACGACTTTCGGAAGGTTCTTGTAGTCAGCATAAATGTTGGTGGCCGTGGCGCTCAGTTCCATGGAAGGATCAGTGGACACTCGGATGCTCTGTCCGTTCTTCAGTTCCACTTCCTTCACATGATTGGCAAACATTCCGGTACGGATCTCTGGTCCCTTCGTGTCAAGTGCTATGGCCACTGGGAACGGGGCATCCTTCGCAGCCTCTCGGATTGTTTTTATGGTTGCAGCATGAGCCTATAATGGAATTAGAAGATGGCTCGAGAAGGGGTAAACTGACTTCATGACTTCCATGGGAAAAGTTCAAGCGGGCGATGTTCATGCCCGTGTTGATCATCGTCTTCAGAGTGTCCACATCACTGCAGGCCGGTCCGATCGTACAGATAACTCCTGTCTTTCGGGTCTTCTGAGGCTTCCCCGAGATGCGAAGGCCGCATAGATGCGAAATATTAGTTGTGGCGGTTGAGTGCTCCGAACTGGAATGCGAGGTCATGACGGAATGATTTCGAAGTGAGGCAAACTAACCCGATATGGTCGTCTTGATACATGATGACGATGGACGGGGCGGGCGTCTGTAACAAAACGGAGAAATAGTGGGAAACTGTGAAGAGAGTCGGGCAGACAGCAGTAAGTAGGAGTTTGATAAACGGCGGGAAGGTTACAAAGACCACTGATTGATTTTCAAAGGCAAACGGACAGAAATGGAACTGTGGAGTGATGGCGTGTTGCGGGCGTCGGGTCGTTGATAAACAAACTGAACCAAAACAATAAATAATAACTGGACAAAGAAGTTATCGAGCGGGGGCAAGCAAAGTGTAGCCGGCCAGGTCACGAAAAGAAGAGCGAGCCACTCTCGGAGCGACCTTCCCCTAAGGATGGGACCATCGAGCAAGAGGCAAATTGGGCGAGAAGAGGGAGGAGACGCAGAGTGTCAAGGTGTCACGTAGTGATCAAATGATCAGGAAAACAACCTTAGAAGACGGAGACGAGGGTTAATGACGGCGGGCGATTCCGGAGGAGTTAGAAGTTGCGAGAGACGGAAAGAGCAAGTGTTACGCAGGGTATTTATGAGCGGAAGAAGGAGTGTTCAATGATGTCGGGGGATTCCCCGGGAACAGACAACTGTTTCGATGCTTTTTTAAAGTGTCGTTCCGTTTTCGACACATAACGTGACAGGGAGATCATTGATAATCGACCTACTTTGGAGAGAGAAGGAAAAGGGATTACTGTAATTTCCATGTGTTGTTCTGTGATGTCTACTTTCATGAAAGAATACTGTAAGGTCATTGCACTCAACGTGTCATGAAACTCCAAAAACCTTCACGATTAGGAGCACATCAAGGATGAAAACAAGATTTATTCAACAGAAAAGTTGGCTGATAGTGATGCTCGTTGCTCTTCATATTTTCTCGATGTTAGTTTAGTTTCAAATCGTCCAATCACTTCTGTTTTCAGTTCGATTCTGTCAGCTTTCGTTGTTATCCAATGCAAATCCAAGAAGACATCTTCAAGCGTACGTTCAGCCGTCCTGAAAGTTATTGAATGAAGCCTGTTTCAGAACTCAAGTAGTTCAATAACGTCTGCAATATCACCAACGACGGATACTAGGAAGAGTGAGCCGGAAAAGGAAAAAATGGAGGACACTTTTGATAAGATTCAGCCGACAGTTCAGGAGGCGAAACGGAAGAAAGAGGTCAAAATGAACGGGGAGGAGAGGGAAAATATGCTGATAATTTCAGATTGGAGAGAAGAAAGCAGAAAATAAAGGGGACTATAAGACGTGGAATGCGATAATAGAGAACAGTGATTTCAATAAGACTTTGAGTGAAACGGACGATAAACGGAAGGAGAAGAAGAAGAAAAAGGCATCAAAAAAGGAAGAAGTGAAAGATGAAAAGGAAGAGAAGAAACAGGAGCAAAAAGAGCAAAAATCCAAGAGCAAAAAAGAGAAGGAGTGCGAGCGCACAGCACCAAAATCAGAATATTTCCCAAAATACTGACCTTTGATTGATCATGAAAAACGTCTCAATCCTTTGATCTCAACCTCTAATTTAATGCACTCTTTATTAGGGCACTTGAACGGAATTGGGTTCCGTCCAATCCGCCTTTGCTTCCGCACCGAATCGTAGACTTTTCGCTCGTTTTCGGATTATGATCTGAGCGTTTATGAACTTGTATGTACCTTGTCTGCGTTCTGAACACGCCTCTCAGATTGTAACTGTAGATGTCTCTTTCTCCCGTCCACCCGGGGACCGGTCTTTTTCAGAGAATCTTCCCCCAACTTGGTATGTACTACTTGCCATTAACTGCGCATGAACTCGTTCGTATCCGTTTCTCATTGTCCGCGATCTATCCGGCACGTCTTCTCTCGAATGCCTTCTTCTCGTTTTTGAATCCATCCGACAAACACCTCGCCCAATAAAACCAATCAGCATTTCGTGTTTCGGGGTTACGAATGAATACAAAGCAAAGTACCGTCCGGAGGGAAAGTGCAAAACGGCGGACGGAGGAAGAGACTGTCCAGCGAGAAAGCCAAGGATTAGTCCAGATGAATGAGAAGCGAAGAAGAAGACGAAGAAGAAGTGAGTGGTTTCGCAAACCGATTATGCCACACTTCTTTTATGACTTGGCGAATCGTCGTCCCTCCGCCGCCGCGCTCTTCCCGACCGAATCAACGGACGAACTGAAAAGAAGCCTCGCCCGTCGGGTCGTTCTGTTCATTACGTGGCATCTATCAATTTGTTTCGTCTAGCAGAATACCTCCACCTCCTCCGGTTTTTTAAACATTTACAACCTTGAAACTTGTTTCTTGCATTCATTCAGATGTTTCTCTTTTCGTGTCACCTGGTGAGACCTCTCAAATAAGTACCGAAGCCTTCCAATTTATATTCTTTTCTGTTTTTCTTCCCGATTGTTTTCTTTGCTCTCCTTCGTTCCCGCAAACTTTCTCGCCTTTATGACCGTGTCGTGCGCGGAGTTTTTCTGTGCGTAACCTGTCGTCCCGCATCAGAATGACGAATGGCGCCAGGTCAGACGGCTCGGCTGTTTCGTTGTTCTCGTCTCCAGTATAATTCCTTCACTTTCGCATTCCTTCATCCAATTCCTTTTTCTTCGCTTCCTTTCCCATCTGATTCTCAAATTTCTACGTTCGTCTGGCCCAGTCTCCGTGTTCATTCCGATAATTAAAGTCTGCCGTGTCTGGCATCCGTCGCCCTTCTTTTGTGCTTCCCACGAATGCCCTGCCCATCTCCCGTTGCGTCATCCTCATAACCATTATCGTTATGAACGCACTGCCTCCCTCACTCGCTTCTTTCCGCACTCATTTCATCTTCAGATGACGCCAGAAGACGAAGTCCGCTACTCGTACTTTGTGATCGACGCCTACTGTCTCGGCCGCATTTTCTTCCTCGTTTCCACCTGCCTCACTCTTTCCGGCCTCTACTTTGCCGCGCATCCGCACTATCTGGAACCAGGATACAATTCGACGAGGACCAATTATATCATAAGGAACTATAAGGTGACTTGTGGCCCAATCTGAAACAAATTCAAAGAAGAACTATACTTTCAGACATATCCAAATGGAACCATGTACTACGAGTATCCAGAAGACGACGGAACCATCACGACTGGAGTTCTGGGATTCTGGTTCCAAAAGATGATGGGAGGAGAGTTCCGTTTTGACTTCGGTAACGCCTTCTGGAACTTCTGTCGGGTTAGTTGGTCGAGCTCTGAAATTATGAACGAATTATCGCTCTGCAGCCTCGAGAAGTTCCGAAAGAAGAATGGATGTCATCTATTGTACGGTCAATGAATCATCTCGTTATAGTCCAGGTACGTTTTTCCGATTCTGTATTCCTAGCCGTGATGACATATTTGACTGTTTAAAAACGAGCATGGCCGAGTGATCTAAGGCGCCACCACAGGCAAACCGACGTGGGTGAAATGAGGGCGAGGCGTGGGCAAACGGGCGGGGAGGCCGAAATCAGATCCTTATTTGGCCCACATTCAATTTAAAGTCATTCACGGGCGGATAAACGGACAACCCTTGTTTTTCTAAAGGGACCATCAAAATACCAGCCAGGAGTACCCGGAATACCGAGCAAGCGAAGCCCGTGCCCGATTTTTGGCCGCCCGTGGGTCAAATGAGGGTCTCATGTTACCCACGCCGGTTTGCCTGTGACGCTGAGTGGTTAGCGTATCTAATCCTTCAGTGATTCTTCGGGGTTCGCGTTTTGCCTGTGCAGACTCAAGCGAATTGCTTGCCGCGTGTCAAGGTTCTCTGTGTGTTCTGATACTCGTACGGGTGCGTGGATTCGAATCCCACTTCGTACATAATCTTTTTCCAGGTTCTGTTCCGATCCGCCGTTCTGCTCACAATGACACATTCACTCTTCCAATGCCTTCTCATCAATTACGTCTCGAAAGCGAATTTCTCTCCCATGCTGGAGAAACTGATAGGCTTTCCACTTATCACAGTGGAATTCATCCACAATATCAGCCTATTCACTATCAGTTGCTTGCACTATGAGCAGGATTCACATCGTAATTTTTGCTTCGCTGCTTTCTCACGGACACTTTATCTTTCAGTAATGAAATTCTCGCGAGTCGCCATGATTCTCCTGACCGTCTCCACAGTTCTCAAACTAATTTTTGCTGCGATCATGCAGACGAATCAGTTGATTCAAGTGGCCTGCGTGCTCCTCTCCTCCGCCGTTATTCTCTCTCACAACTCTGTTCTCGATGACTTTGACAGCTTCCTCAAAGACACTTGGTGCGACTCCATGAGTAAGTGAACGTCTTCTTCTTCTTCTTTTTCTTCTTCTTCTGCAACTCATTTCTATTTCAGATGTTCCCTCCGTTGCCATCGCTCAACTCATCTACTTCCTTTCCTTCTTCGTCACCGGGTACCTTCAACATCAGTCTCTCGCCGGAATCCGACTCGTAACTTGCTCAACGCAGGAAGAAATCGAATATGAAAAAAGGTTCTGTGTCGGACCGGTTCACCTCTCAACCACTTGACCTATTTCCCTCGTCTTTCCTTATTCCTTCTCGAGCTTTATCAACTTGTTTTCTTTTAATAAATTTCAATTTTTAATGTTCATTACATGTATACAAAAACGTGGCACATAGCACAACGCATCAAAAACAACAGAAGGGCTTAGAAGCGTCCGAAGTTTCCGCGTCCTCCCTGATTTCCTCCCTGTTGTTGTCCACCAAATCCACCTTGGTTTCCTCCGAATCCTCCCTGGCTACCTCCCTGGTTTCCTGGGAATCCTCCGAACGGTCCTTGTCCTCCTGGTCCTCCCTTTGGTCCCTTCGGAGCGGCCAAGAAGAAGAGCACGCCGACTTCCTGTGGGTACTGCTGCTTCAACTGCTCAATGGCTTCTTTTTGCTGCTGTCTCGTCTGGTCCTTGTTGGCGAAGATGGCCTCAAGCTGGCTTTGAACGGACGGGAGATTGCTGATGACAGCGGTCACATTCTGCTTGATTTCGTCCAACTTGGCAGTCAAGTTGGCCTTGAACTCGCTGACTTCTTCCTAGAATATTCCAATTAGTCAAGCCAAAATGTCAACCGAAAATTCTTACCGAGACGCCGTAAGTTGAAGCCCACGAGTCGATCTCGGTCTCGGTCTCGGCGATGGTGAGCGAGGAGTTGGAGACGATGGCGAAGAAGGCCTGACGTCCTTCGTCGGTCACGTTCTGGAGGAATGGTGGTGGTGGGGGTCCTCCGTGTCCTCCTGGTCCTCCACGACCACCTCCGTGACGGCCTCCTGGATGGGCAAGGACGACGGCGCTGAAGGCGAGAGCGGTAAAGAGAAGATTGTAGGAAAGAGCCATTTCAATGATGGAAATGATACATTCTCACTCTCGGGGCCTTCCTTTTATAACGTTGGCCTTCATGATGACAGAAATCATGTTTTTGCAATAAGGTTCGCGTCGGGCAGGTGAGCACACGGACAGATACCAAAAGTACAGAAAGATGCACGGCGAGCACGGCGGTACGGAGAGACGCCGACACAGAAGTGAGTCAGAATCTGATGCTGAACTTTAAACAGGCGTGGTTGTCTCCCTTCTTCCTGAATGACTGTTGACACCCACGGCGGGGAACCGTTTGAACAGCTTATCAATATTCCAAAAACAGGAATAATTCGACTGTTTTTATGTGTTGTGTGCAAACGTCACGTCGTTTTTTGTGATGTGTGCGCACGATGGGAATGGAATTTCAGACACAGATTCGTCATTTTTAGACATGGACCAGAAGTGTCTGGGAACTAGCAAGAGATAGGTTGCACAAGATGGCACGGATCAGCTCTTTCGAACTTTTTATTTGCACAGAACGATAGATGAAACTATTGCGACATTTTACTGCTGCTCGAGGAAATCCCTGGCTGCTTTGCGGAGTTCGTGACGGTTGAGATTGCGTCGGATGTCGTCTCGGACCAGCGCGTGACGGACTTTGGAGCGGAATTTCTCGCGGGCAAGATAATGCTGGACTGCACTGTCGCGGGCTGCACTGGCCAACTCGGCGACGTCTTCTTCAGATGGATGATGATGACCATGGTGTTCTTCGTGGTGGTGCTCATAATGACTGGCAAATGCGTTAGCGAGAATACAGAAGAGAAGAGCGACGGACAGGAAGTTCATTCCGGAGAGCGGTATCCGGATAGAATGAAGTCGGCGATTAAACGGAATTCACTTTAGTGTAGTAGCCACATCCGGAATTTGAAATTCCAATGTATTCAAATGCGCTCGGTGGCAGATCAGAGAGCAACAGAAAAAGAGAAAGCATAAAACGGACGGGAATCAGTTGGAAAGTAGACTGTATCCGAATGCGGCTTCTATTCATCTTTCTGGCTGTTCTGCCGGCTCTCGCTTCTGCCGGAACCTACGACGACATAAGGGAGAAGATTCAAGCACTGCTGGACGGAGAATTCAGTGATTCTGACAGCAGCAGTGGCAGCAGCAGTGGCAGAGACAGCAAGTGGGTGCCGGATGATATCTACTACCAGACGCACTACAAGAACGGAAAGAAGAAGGGATTCTTCGGGAAGCTGTTTGACAAGGTAAAAGGAGTCATTCCGGGCGGGAATAAGAAGAAGGAGAACGGGAATGCGCCGATCACTTTGAACGATTACACACAGGTAAAAGAGCGGGCAAAGTATTCAATGAGCACTGTTTCAGGATTCGTATCCTCAGGAGAACCACGTCCATCTCCACAAGGACCACCATCTGCACGAGGAGAGCCACCGGCATCACGACCATAATGATAATCTGAATGTGCTCGATGGGGATGACAGCCACTACCACCACCATTATTATCATCATCACCGATCCAAGAGAGACGAACAGACGCCGCTGAAGGAACGTGGTTCCCAAGATCTGGCTCCCAAGAACCCATCGGAGCGAAGCCATCATCTTATCACATTCCAGAACGCCAAGGTTCCAGCCGAGCGGAGCCATCATCACTCTGCTATTATCTCTTTCAAGAATGCTAAGACTCCGGCAGAGCGAAGCCATTATGCTCGAATTATCTTCAAGGACGTCAAGAAGCCGGCACAGGCCTAATTTTACATAATCTAATCGGTTTGATAAACTATACTTTCTGAAAGATTGTGTGATGAGAAACATTCGCAAACTACTTGTGTACTTGTCTGAGCAGAGTGCGCACGAACTGAAAGAGAATATGACTCATTCACGGGTCAAATAATGCAAATGGAGATCGGTGGGCGCCAAACGGTTTCGACCGACATCAGCACCGTAGGTGGAAAAAACAGAGGGAAGAGGGCGACTAATCCGGCGAATCGGTGCCCGTCACTGATCTGAATGATCTGCAACATACCGTCCGATCTATAAAACAGCCTGTCTGAAAGCGTTTCTTGCACATTTCCGAACTTTTCAATCTTTAATTCATTACCAGGTAAAACCATCTATTCGGTGGCAATGACTTTTACGTCTTTTTGCGGAACCATCATAAAAATAAAATTTTCGCTGTTCGCGATGAATCAGTTTCATTCAGATGTTGACTCTCAAATATCTTGTCAGCTCCTCCCTCATAGTCCTCGTTGTCTCCCAATCTTGGGGTCAACAGAGCCAAGGCGGCTTCCAGAGTGGCTTCGGAGGACAGAGCTCGTCTGGCAATAGCCAAGGTATATTCCGTCGCTTTTGGTGGCGTCCTGTACTTATTCGAAAATTCCTAGGAGGATACGGACAACAGCAGCAACAGGGATACGGAGGTAACAGCCAGGGCTTCGGTGGCCAGAGTCAAGGATACAGTGGAAACAGTGGAAACAGCCAAGGATACAGTGGAAACAGTGGAAACAGCCAAGGATACAACGGAAACAGTGGAAGTAGCCAAGGATACAGTGGCCAGAACCAAGGATTCGGAGGATCCAGCCAGCAGGGATTCAGTGGAAACTCCCAAGGATTCGGAGGACAGAGCCAGAGAAGCAGCCAACAGTCATTCGGAGGACAGAGTCAAGGATCCGGAATGCAGCAGAGCCGTCCAAACTTCCAGTCTGGATCCAGTCAACAATCATTCGGTGGAAACGGTCAATCCTCGTTCGGAGGACAGTCTGGATACAGTAGCCAGGGAGGATTCGGACAGGGACAGAGCAGCTACGGCCAGAGCCAGGGAGGATACGGTGGACAGTCGAGCGGCTACGGAAATCAGAACGGAGGATACGGAGGAAACTCCCAGTCTTATGGAGGATACGGTGGAAATCAGGGAGGATACTCGTCAAACTCCAACAACGGATACGGATACTCCAGCAGCGTATACTCTGGAAGCAGCGGAATCAGCTCCAATGATCCATACCCGACTTTCCTGAACAACGTCAGCTCCTCTGCCGCCCAGGAGTACTATAACATCGTGAACAACCGCTCTTTGACGACCAACCAGATAAGCGAGCAGGCCACCAATTGGGCATCTACGAACGGAGTTCAGGTACCGAATACATCCGTTGTAAACCTATGATGTCATGTTTTCAGACTTCGTACACCCAATACGAGACCAACCGCACTGCAATTCACAACCAGGCCACGCAGAATGTGTCTGACATCATCAACAACCTCGCCACCGTCCAGGCCTCCATCGAGAACATCCAATCCAACAAGAGCTCTTCCGCCGAAGACCGCGAGTCTGCCTTCCAATCTCTCCAACAGGCCCATCCAATGGTTTGTGTTTCACTTGTACTCCCAGAAACTAAGCGTCATTTTGCAGGAGTACTCCGTTCTCACGTCTCTCCAGAACCAACACGAGCAGACTCAATACGTGCGCATGAACGGAAACAGCGGAAGCAGCAGCAGCAGTAGCAACGGATACAACAGCTACGGAAGCTCGAGCTCGTACGGAACCAACTCTTACGGATACGGAAGCAACAGCAACAGCAACAACAATTACAACAACAATCAGTACGGCAACAACCAGTACGGAACCTACTTTGCCGAAAGCTCAACGATTTCTTCTGCAAGCACCAAGAAGAGGACGACGAAGGCATCTTCGAAATAATATGTGTTCCCTCTGATATGTACACTTTTATAAGTTCCTTTTCTTAAATGAATGTGGTCATAATTCCATTAGAACTGTTATGAAACGGAAGTGAAAACAGAAAAAAGTCAGCATCGTCGACATCTGCAAAACAACCAGTACTCAGGAAGTTTGCGCCTTCGTGGTTCGTAGTGGTGGAGTTTGATTTCACCAATCTCGAGATCAATCTAGAGATCATCTATTGAAATTTGATTTTGTGATACTCTGATTGAATATTAATAAACAACACTGGATTCTGAAATAAATAATTTATTATTATGAATAACTTTAACGAACATACATTCTATGCAAAGAGACAGAATCCTCTGGTTTCCAAGAAAATGATTTTCAGAGAAAAACAAAAAGGTGAACGTCTGTGAGCAATGATCCGTATCAGTGTAAGTTCTTCTGTTTTCGAGCAATACGCCGGACGAATGTGTTCTTTGGAGCTGCAGAGTCTGCAATTACTCATACATCTCCACCAAGAGAGCCACCAATCTCATGATTGTTTCCTTGAATACCCAAGCACATAGTTCAGTGATAAAACCGCTGCCAAATCCCTCACGTCTCTCCGTATCCCACACAGACTCTTTCAGCGCCGTCAGCGAGTCTAACGAATTCAACCAAAAGATCGACATCAACACCGGGCTTATCCGCTCGTATAAAAGCGTCGTTAGTCGAGAGGGATACTCATAATCGAATATGCTTTCCAAACTCTGCATTGCCTTCTGTATTTCCGCAGTTGCCCTGGCTGCTCCAAAGAATGGAGGCGGCTCGGGAGGATCTGGAGGTGACTCAGGACCTGGAGGTCCGGGAGGACCGGGAGGACCGGGAGGACCGGGAGGTCGTGGAGGCCCACCGCCACCACCATTCCTCCAGAATGTGACCGACGATGGTCGCAAGGCTTTCTTCGACATTGTCTCGAACGAAAACCTCACCCAGAGCCAGATTGACACCCAGACTGCCGCCTGGGCCAGCACCTACGGAGTTTCGGTGAGTTCTCACTAAAACCAAAATGGTTGGCGTATAAAAATGTTTCAGTCCATCTACACCGCGTTCCAAGCTAACAGAACAGCCTTCGAAAGTGAGCTCAGAAGCAACATCACGACGATCCTCGGAAACCTCGACACCGTGAACTCGAAGCTCAACACCATCTTCACCAACAAGGACCAGACCCGCGATCAAGTCAGATCCGCCATTGACCAAGTCAGAGAGACCTATCCAAGAGTGAGTTTAAATGAGAAAATCAAGAAATTGAAAGAATTGAATTTTTTTCAGGAGGTTGACACCATCCTCTTCCTCAACCACCCAGGAGGACCAGGAGGACCAGGAGGTCCAGGAGGACCAGGAGGACCAGGAGGACCAGGAGGACCAGGAGGACCAGGAGGACACGGCGGCAACGACTGGAGCAACAGCACCGCGTCCACGAAGACCACGAAGAAGAGCAAGAAGAGCAGCTCCTCCTAATTATCCACATTCTCGTAACTGCTTCTCTCGTTCTGAAACATTCTGGTGAAACTATATAAATGTTTTGTTTTCGAAACGGATTGACTCTTTTGCGAACCGAACAGATTTTGGTCAGTGAGTGAGTAATTGCTGGCAAGTTTCCAAACACCATTCAAACAAACGCGCGAGACACCACAAATCCCGATAATCCGTGTATTTTTTATCTGCAAAACAGAAAACAAACCGGCGGTCTTTTCACATTTTCCTTCTGACATCATCGTCCGATAAGGCGGAAAAAGAACTGATTTCCATAATATTCGAAAGGCAAAAAAGGACGATACAGACAGACAGAGGTAGTTCAGCATCGGCCGCCACCCACTCAACGAAACACACACAAAACTGGCTGCGTCTCTCCGAAACTCTTTTTCAGGATCACACAGTTCACATGGAAACCGACAGTGTTTACCAATGATCGCGAGCATTGTCCGGAGTATAAAAACCAGGGTCAGGATGGACAAAATGTATCACTTTCCCTTCTGTTCTCTTCTCCTGCCGTCCACTGCCAGCTCAATCGCCTGCTTTTTCAGAATGTGCTCATTCAAAGTCGCTTTCGCCGTGATCGCCCTCACTGCTGTTGTGATGGCAGCTCCTGGAGGAAGATCTGGTCAACAAGGAGGAGGCAGCCAGGGAGGACAACAAGGAGGACAACAAGGAGGGCAGCAAGGAGGACAGCAAGGAGGACAACAAGGAGGACAACAAGGAGGACAACAAGGAGGACAACAAGGAGGGCAGCAAGGAGGACAACAAGGAGGACAGCAAGGAGGACAGCAAGGAGGACAAGGTGGATTCGACGGAAACCAGGGAGGCTTCGGAGGACGCGGAGGACAGGGAGGTCAACAGGGACCACCACCACCGCCATTCCTCCAGAACGTCACCGAAGAAGGACGTGAGGCATTCTTCGCCATCGTCTCCAACTCCTCGCTCACCATCTCCGAGATCGAGTCCCAATCCGCCACCTGGGCCACCACCTATGGAGTCTCTGTAATCCCCCGAAACATTCAATTCGGCTTTTCATTTTTCATTTCAGGAGGAGTACGAAGCCTTCACCGCTAACGTGACCGCTCAACTTGCCGAGTTGAAGCAGAATGTGACCACCGTCATCAGCAATCTTTCCTCCGTCCTTAGCTCCTTGGAAACCATCCTTGACAACAAGGATCAGACCGTTGCCGCCCAAAAGGAAGCCATTGAGGCTCTCAGACAGGAGTCCCCAGTTGTACGTCACCTCTGATTCTTCCCTGCTTCAACTTTTTATCTTCAGGAGGTCGCCGCTCTCTTCTTCATTGCCCAGCAGTCGGCTCCAAGACCGCAAAGACCTGACGGACAGAGCGGAGAGGTCACCGGAGAGCCAGACTTCTCCGACTTCTCCTCTACCACCGTTTCCGCATAATTCTCTTCTATGACGATATATTCACAGCCAAGTATTTTGTAAATAAACACGTTTTGTCATCAATTCACACTCGTCATACATCTCGCACATATTTATCAGATCACATGGGTCATCGCCGTGTTTGGAAAACTGTTGTTTTGAGAACGATATTTCAGAGGATCAGATCTGAGGATTTTTCACTGTACATCAAGTCCTACACAAACTAGAAAAGGTATAGACTGAAAGGAGGGAAAAGTGAAAGTGCAATTATTGAGAACATTTTTTGTCTGCTCGCTTAATCCGTTCTTTGAACGAAAGGCAGGTGAACTATAGCTCTAGACAGGGTGCACTATAAACACTTTCAGACGAGAATTGGCTTTTGATCATTTTGTTAGAAAGGAATGAATCAGAAAGGAAGGCAAAGCACACCCATTTCACGTTGTTTGAAGAGCTGCAGATGTCGGATGTTATTCTCACTGTGGACCTGCAAACAAACCGGCAACACTAGCAGTTTTTACACTGAGGAAGGGAGCATGAGGCAATTTGATGGGATTTTATTTCAGCTCATCAAGATCATTGCGATTCCAGACAACCATATCTGGTTTGTTATTCCAAGGCTACGAAATACATAATCGTGGCTAATGAATAGCTACAAATCACCTGTTTTGTTGCTCAATTCCCATAATCAGCCGGCTTATGACTCACCTGTCGTCGATTTCTCGGTTCGTTAGGGATCCTGTGGAGGATACAGAGCTAGCAAGTTCCGCATCAAAAGACAGCAGCAGCTGAAAATGTGCACGTCTCCCCGGTGAACACACTGACTCGTCGGATGGGGAGGAGCGAAAAGGTGCAAATGGTTCAGAGAATGAGGGATTACAGAGTGTCTGTGGCACACACTCTCTCAAACATCGACAACTACTGTGATCGCTATAAAAGGTGAGGTGTGAATGGGATAGAAGCATCAAAGTCTACTACTTCTTCTTCTTCTTTTTCTTCTCCTTTTTCCTATCTCTTAAACACCTCTTCTTCATCAGAATTCATTCCAGAAATGGCCATCACCAAGTCCGCTATCGTTCTTCTCTCGATCATCGCCGTCGTCGCCGTCATGGCTCAGCCAGGACAGCAACAAAGCGGACAGTCCAGCGGACAACAGAGTGGACAACAGAGCGGACAGCAGAGCGGTCAGCAAGGAGGAAGCCAGGGAGGATTCGGAGGAGCCGGAGTGTCTTCCCAGACGCCGACCGGACAGCAAGGAGGACAGCAGAGCGGATTCGGAGGCAGCAGCCAGCAAGGAGGATCATCCCAGGGAGGATTCGGAGGATCGTCCCAGCAGGGAGGCTCGTCCCAACAAGGAGGATCCCAAGGACAGGGACCTCAGTAAACAGTAACTGATGGGCATTGTGATGATTACTCTGAAAACACATTCTTTTTTATTTGAATCCTTTCACTCAATAAATTTGACAAATATGTGAGAATTGTAAAGAAGCTACCAGAGGAAAACAGAGGAAAATCGTATTCCTGCCGTGATCCTGATCAATGACCGCTCGCTTACCATCGAATTCCCATCAGTTCAGGCCTCCCCCAAATCGAATTATCGTTCTCCGTTCCCATGAGCTCCCCCGCTCATGGAAAGCGTATAAACCAGAAGTTTCTTCTCGGCTTCTCCATTCCTCCGAAAAGATGCGCCCACTCCCTTTCATTCTTATTTTCTTCGCCTTTCCAGTCGTCGTGCTCTCAGAATTGCACGATTATGACGACATTCGTCGTCTGACACCTGCTGAATACCGCGAACAATTCGACACGATCGTCGATGATCTGTCGGTTTGCGAAGAGGAAACGAACCGGAAACTGATTGTTCTGGCTACTCACTTCGAGGAACAAGTCCGTTCCAGAAGTGACTCCCATTCAACCTGTCGTTCCAGGACAACTTCCGTCGCATTCTCTCTAACAATGCTCGTCGTCTCTCGCAGATTTACGAAGAATTCGTGGCCGCAACCCAACGCATCCAAACGGCCAAACATGCCGCTCAGGCGATCCTTGCCAACCGCACTCAGACCGCCCAGGAACAGTACGCGGCAGCAATCCGTCTTGACAAACAGTTCCCACTGGTGAGCGAACGTTCCCGATTGATTCATCTCAATTTGTTCAGGAGATGTCTGTGCTCTTGGAAATTTGTGCAACAATGGGATACGCGACTACGAAGGATGTGATCGCCAGTTCTCTGAAAGACATTCCGAAGACGAAGAAGCTGGCAGCGGACCTGGAGGAGTACTCGAAGGAAGCGCAGGCGACCGGATATTTCATTGCGCAGGAGCTGCACGGCACGCCGTACGTGAGCAGAAAGCGCCAAGAAACCGCCCGCAAGACGTTCCTCGAGAAGTTCCCCAAGGCGATGACCGTCCATGATCACATTGTGAAGGTTCTGAACGGAGAGGAGAAGTTCAGATCTGTTATTTGAGGAGAAACCTTTGCGAGTTTTTTCAATAAAGTTTTTGTATTCGCTTCCGGCTTTGCACTTGCATTCACAACCAAAGTCCTGCGATCCGATGTGGAATACCGTATCCGCCAACTGCATGCTTAGCAAGTCTCTTTTGCAATGAACGACCCTCGCATCCCATTGTCCCTTTGTTTTTCGTTTGTTTTTCTCTGTCTCTTCCAATAAAATCGTGTTTTTATGATAGTGTTCGCGGATCGGAACAGTTGATAACGGGATGCTGAAGAAGTCGTAAACGGTCCGAATCGAGATTGAGATTTCAGAATTTCCCTTTCAGAAATCTTCATTTCAAGTGTCTTCTTTCCTTCCTTTTTGTTTCCCAAGTGGCGCGAGACGTGCGTTTTCCTAAAGAGAGCGAGTTTTCGAAAATCTCGACGAAATATTGGTTGGGTCATAAACGGAAGGAAATCTCGCGGCTAACACTGCTTCATCTTCTTCTTCTTTCCCTTTTTCTTTTCTTTTCTTCGTTGAGAATCAAAAACTGGCTTGTTTGTTTCAATCGGTCGATTCCCGTCCGCGTATCAACCGCCCGGCTTCTTGCCTTCCCGAGAAGAGAACTTGATCGAGACCTCTTTTTGCGATTCCCCCCGATTTTGTAGGTTTGTGCCCGCCTTCTCCTTCTCTTCGCACAAGTGGTGGTGATAATAAGATACATGTCATTCCCTCGAAAAGCCCAAACACTCCAAAGTGTCCTTCTCAAGTCCCTTCCTGGACCAAGACTCCCTTGTCCACAGATGTGTTCGTCAGATCGCACGCTTATCTCGAAGAAATCATGCTTTCACGCAGACCATTAGAATATCCCGTTTCCGTTTTTCTCTTCACTTATGGCTTCGAATGCGCGACGAGTAGCTGCAGACGACTGCTGGTCACTTGCCCACTACTCCTTCTAATTACCACTTTCTCCGCACACATCGTAATTTGTCAATTTATTTATGTACAGGTAGATGAGGGAGGAGACTTCTTCTCCATTCGACCCGGGCTGAACGCTTCATTTCTCTCGCGCCTTTCGTGCACTTCTTTCGCTTTCCGGTGTTCATTCGCTCATTATCCCCCCTTCGCTTCCATTCTCTTTCCCATTCGGACTTTCCAGATGAGGAGTCTCCTTGTCCTCTTGCCGGCTGTTCTAGCAGTCGCCCTCGCGCAGGAGCACTTCCTGGACGTCCGAGCTCTCGTGAAAGACACGATCGATGCGATCAAAGAGGTGCCAGCCATGATGCAGAACCAGAATCAGACGACGTCTTCGACGAGCAGCGAGCCAGAAGTCTCGACTGCCGAACCGACGAAAGTGGTGAAGGCGAGAAGTGACGTGTACGATACCCTTCTGAAACTGCCAGCAGACATCATGTCGCAACTCGCCAGAGACGCCGGATTCGTTGATGAGAAGACGGCGCAGAAGGAAGTTGTGGAGGGGAAGAAGCAGGAAGAGACGGAACGTGTCGAGAAGAAGATTGACGACGAGGAGTCGTACAGCTTCAAGACGGTGAGTAAACAGAAGACAAAGTACGTCCGGGACGGCAACCAATTGGGTGTGAAGCCCTTTCCTTTCCTTGCGTTTCTTTTCGTACTGCCTCTCATTCAAATTGGCTTCATTTCATCTCGAACGTCGAACGAGTTTGCATTCCTTTTAGGTCGAGGACATAAAGGCTGAGGAGCAGAGACGGCTTGCGAGCCAGCAACCGACCGTTGCCACGAGACAGTCCCTCGAGGATAACGATGACATCTTTTCGATCTCAAAGTAAAATCATTCCAGGAAGAAGGAATCAGATCATAGCTTCATTCCAGACTGATCTCCGCCACTGGAAACGCCATCAGAGAGGCGCAGGCCGCCCAGAAAGCCCAAGCGGCCCAGCAGCCACAGCAGGAGCCGATGATCACTCTCCCTCCGCTCGTTCCTCTGCCACCAGCACCTCTTCAGATGCCCGCTCTTCAACTGTAAGCTTTCCCGAACATGCTAGTCGTTTATACACTTGACACTCGAAAACCGGTTCAAGAGGATGGGAGAGGAAGTGAAAAGGGATGGCGGGGATCAAGAGACACGACAAAATGAGTGACCGCTTGTCATTTCAGGCCAGCAGCTATCGCTCAACCAGCCACTGAAATCATGTACCGCCCGGTCACCAAGGATGGAAAAACGTAGGAAAACTTTCGGACTAACAAGTGGTGAACTTGCGCGTTTCAGTGTTTTCGAGCAGGTTGTCGTTCTGAAGGATGCGAACGGATCGATGACAGTTCTTCCGAACACTGTGCTTCCAGCGTTTCCGGATACAACGAAGAAGGTTGAGATTAAACAAGTGGTTAGTGTCTGGTTTGTATAATCGAATCATCGTGTTACCTGCGTGATTTCAGAAGAAGGTGACCGAAGCCGCTGAGTTCTCGGCCCCTACATTCCCGCCAGTGGTCAGTCAATTATCAAGCCGCTCAAATGCGATTACTCTCAATTTTTAGGTCAACTTGTTCGACCAGCTTACAAGCACCACGGAGGCGTCCACGACCACGACGACACAGGAGCCAGAAGTGACGACGACGACAACTACTGAAGAGCCGGTGAAACCAAAGAGAAAGTCGTTGCCAAGACGCAAGATCCAGTATCTGGAGAAGAAGGCAAAAGACATGCACTCTCGCCAGTTTGGAGCCAAAACTGTTCAGATGAGCGACCCGATTGAGATCCAGGCTCAGGAGGAGCAGGAGCCGGTCAATGTCCTTCAGAAGGAAGTGAGTTGTCTGTCGGCCACTAATTCTTGTGCTGTCTGATCCATTCTGATCTTCATAGCTTATCTAACATTGTGTCTCACAGGGTAACCTTCGTGTTCACGCAATCAACCGAAGACACAAGAGTCGGAAGCCACGTGTTATCAAAATAGAAGAAGTAATGAACAGTTTTTGAGTTGAATGCACTTGTCGTCTTGCACTTTTAACACATTTCAACTAACTCAATATGTCAATTGCAGGCCGAGAAGGACGGAGACAAAGTCGAGGAAAAGCCAGAAGAGAAGGTGGAGGAAACCACCGAGCCACCGAAGAAGATGAGGAAGCTGATGAGAAAAGTGCACAAAACGGCCGCCAAGAAGGAGATCCGCAAGTTCCCGGACCTGTACGACGAGCAATGGAAGACCCAGGTGGCTCCGAGCGTTTCGCCGCCTTCCGAGGACTTTGCCGAGCAGTTCGATGGAGTCGACGAGGTTCAGGAGCAGAGAAAGGAATTGGAGCAGAAGCCGCAGAACGACACTCCGATGAACGACCCAATGGAGCAGAGAAGCAGCAAGGTTCAGATGGTCACGAAAGAGCAAGAGGAGGATATTCTGAACAAGGAAGTGCACAAGAGAGTTCTGCAGAGAATCAGACTTTCCAAGCTGAAAAGCGCCGAGAAGGCCTCCACCACCACCACTGCCGCTCCAGAGAAAGAGGAAAAGCCAGAGGAGAGTGAGGATGCCGAGGAGGACGAGGAGGACGAGTCATCTGCTGACGATGTCATTGAGGTTGAAGAGTTAGATGAGGAGGAAGAGGAGGTCAACACCACCACAACCACGACCACCACGACAACTACCGAAGCCCCCGTGACCCGTGCCGAGAGAATCAAGAAGACCAAGAAGAGAGCGTTCGTCACTAAGCACCAGTGCCTGAACCTCCGCAGTTTCGCCCGTCAATTCCTGTTCGACACAGTTGAGGAGTTCGCCAAGGAGCACTGCTATTTCATCGAGAACTACTATCCGGCTCTCACGTGTGCTCGTTCCAACTCGTACGTGGCCAAGTGTCAGAAGTGGCTGAAGGAGGGCGAGTAGGCGGAGACATTCCGACCGTTTCTTTCCCATTCCGATCCAGATCTACGTGTATTTGACAGCAATTTCTTCAGAATTTTTATTATTATGTGCAACTTTGTTTCGCTTAATAAGTGTGTCAGTGATTATTTAATAAACTACATAGTCAGACATGACTGATCAATTCGAAAAGAAGTGGATCCAGAATACACGGATCCAGTCCGTAGAACACTCTCATCAAACTCTTGCTCACAGCATTCAGTTCCATCACTTGCTTCAAAAGTTTTTTGTACATTTGATCAGCACGAACTTCTCCGAAATCGGCGATCAGGATTCTGAAAAGGTTACTGTAGTTGAAGTGCGGTCAGCAAACGTACTTGTTCAGCATTCCAAAGTACATTGTTTCTGTGCTGCGTACCAACTCTTGATTCGTCAATTTAGTAAAGTCTGAAACGAAAATACGTGACACTCGGCATCCACGTCATAGAAAAAACCGACAATGATGATAAATGACGATTGCATTGAAAATGAGCATCAGACTCTCGTGGTTCTTCACGTCATCGTCGAAGCTGTCGATGAACGCCTTGTGCTCTTTGTAATGTTCGGAAGTCTTCGGATCGTTCAGAACATCAAGTCTAACTATCATCTTGTTGGCGCAACCGAACGAGTGAGTCCAGCTCTGTGCATTTCTGTCGAACGCCATCAGTCCTCGAACGATCACCAATTGTGAGAAACCGTCTTTCAAAAGGTTCTTTCTGTCCTGCTGCGGGAGAGCTCGGAACGTCGACAGCTGACAGATCATGGTTATTATCCGTGTTGTAGCTTCGCGAAGAATCATGGCAACTCCTTCCACAGTCCTCGCGTCGAAATACGATTGAAGCGGAGCCCTGAGTGGCTCATTGTGCACGTGCAACTCTTCCAAATACTTCATCTCGTGCTCCGTAAGGGTACCAATGTATTTGTCGATGTCTGAAATGATACCGTTTATTTATTAAAACAAGAATCAGTTTACTTTTATGGATACGCTCGAGCAATTCGACAGGAGGCTGTTGCGTTGGCAGTGCCAATCCACTCGGAGTAGTGAAAGCTGCATTCCAGTTGAAATCCGGCATCGGAGGGAAGAAGGAACTGGGAAGGTTAGGCATCATTTCGAAGGTGTTTGGGGAAAGTAGGCGAGTATAAGGACCCGATGGAGGAGACATTTCTGAAAGAATCTCAAATGAAAAAGAAGATGAAAATAGAACCGTACCGAACAGACTGTTGGGTGATATCATGTAGGTGGAAGGGGAATGTGGGAGGAGCTGGGGAGTACTGTAGGTGCTGGAATTGCGTGGCGATGGAGTGCAACTGATAAGTGAGGATGGCGACTGAGTTGAAGACGAAGATGACGAAGAGAAAAGAAATGGATCGGAGTGCTGGACTGCTTGGCTGAATGACCGATCTTGTGGAGCAACCTGAGAGTTCATTGATTTACAAGAACGAACACATAGCTTACCAGACAAAGTTTGTTGTCCTCGCTTTCACAAGGGGCCATCTCGGAGCAGCAGTTCTCGTCCTTCGGCTTCACATCTTCAGGCTTCGTGTAAGCAGTCAATTTCTGAGAAGGCGGATAGAATCCACATTGGCATGTGCAAGTGCAATGAGTTTTCGAGTGTCTGCAAGTTACTTTTGTGCTTCTGAAGACAAAATACAACTGTTGTCTGTTTCCAGAGTTGTATGATAAGAAAAATAATGACACTTTCAGTGGACCGAAGTTCTCGGAATGACGTTTTTACTGCATTGCAACTGTATCGTATCTCATCCGATCAAAGTCAAAGTATAATCTAGACTCACTCGGAACTGTTCTGGATGAGCTTCTCGAGCAGCGCCTTCGAGACTGTGACCTTCTCCTCTTTCTGTTCTTCTTCTTCCTCTTCCTCTAATTCCATTTTCATCGGAATGTCCGCCTTCCGTCTTTTGAACTTTGTTCCGTTTTTCGGCCGGACGTCACCACTCAACCAGTCGCTGTTCATTCCCACCGAAAAGCATTTATTCAGTCGGCAGGCCTGACAGAACTTGCGCGAAGCCGAGGTGATCTGGCACGAGTCGGAGAAAGGGCATTTGATCTCCTGAATTGATTAGGAAATTGAATGATTGCGTGTGATATTCACGTGATGCTTCGCCGCGTTTCTTCGGAAGAACGCTTTGCAGGATTCGCAGGTGAGCACTCCGAAGTTGTAGCCGTTGGCGCGGTCCGAGCACACCTCAACATCTGGCTTTTAACTGAGCGTTTTGATCTTCCGAACTCACTGTGCAAACGCGGCCATTGGGCTCTTTCGGCGGGGCAGACGATCGGCGGGAATCGTCCATCGAAACGCGGGCACGAATGAATGGACACAATCACGCCACGGCCGGCTGGAAAAGAATGGAACTTATCAGTGGACGAAGTGATTAGAATACGCATAGTTAACGGTGAATCACGTATAGTTAACAGGGACGATCAAAACGGTTTGGAGAGCGGCGGGCGGGCGGACGGAGCGGTTATCAGCCGAGAGCACAAATATTTATCGATTTTGGCAGAGCGAGGGCGCGAAACCGATTGATAATTCAAGAATGGGGATGGCGAGCAGACGCTTCCTAGGCACAAGAATCCTTATCGCGGTGCCTGTGATTCCGGCACCAAAGTATACTTTGAAGCATTTGATGTTTCGATTTATTTATGAGAGCCAACAGCAACAACAAACGAAAAGGATAGACAACTAATTCCTAAAACCCATTGACCGCAATATACAAAGATCAGATATAGTTGTAGGCCACGTCTTCCTCTGATTCCACGAATGCCAACTCCAGTTTCACCGGCTGTTTCAGAAGGATTGACAGAAACTCTTCGGCGAATCCGAACATCCAGTAGATCCGTCGGATGTCGAGTCTTCTCGAGTACTGAAGGAATCCTGCGACGATCAGCACGTTTCCACGACGCTTGATCACAATCTGAGAGCAGCAAATGTTTTGGGAGATCCATGTGAATTATCTACAAACTTCGTTTCCACTGACGACGAGATTCTGTGGGAAAAATCCGCGAATGAATCGACGAACCGCCTCATCTTGAGCAACAACAATTGGCTGCGATTGACGGAATTCTGAAAACCACCTGATAAAGACTTTCATAAAGTCAGTAAATATTAGTAAACAAGTACCTTCAAGGTTCTGTGAGTGCCAAGTCAGCCAAGACTTTCGTACGCCAATGTGATGCGGTTTCTGGGCCATTTCGTAGGTGAGCAGCTGGGTTCTGTTCGACGTCGACTGAAATAGCTTGTGGTAAAATATCTATACGCTTTCATTTGCAGAAACCTTTGTTTTTCCAGCTTTATTCTTGAAAAGAGTGCTCGTCGTTGAGATTTGACGACAGCTTTGGTTTAACTGGGTTTCTACGTGTTGGATACTTCGTAACATCTGTAAAATATTTTCTTGAATTCTCTTATTTTTAGTAGCGGAAATTCAAATTTCTGAATCAGTTCCAAAGAGAAAAAAGGAAAGAAAAAGAAAACTGGCCGAAGCGGTGCAAGTGCGCTCCACTGATAAACACCGTCACGTCGAAATGCACACAATTGGTTTCTGAATTTTCCACCGATTTTCAAGCTTCTTAAGAATTTTTGTTTTGGTTTTCTTCCTATTGCTGAACTAGTTATAGATTATATCTTCAGAAAAAAACTACTTTGAACTGATTTTAAGATGTTCATTATTGATTTTTCAGCAAAGATGAGTGATTCCTCCAGCAATAAAAAGAACGACGAGTGCTACAAGTAAGCTTGTTTTGGCTCTTTTTTGCTAACAAATTGGTAATTTTTACAGCACTGTGGCCATAACAAACAATGTGGAAGCTCTGGAATTTGGAAGGACATGCCAGTCGTGTGCCGCTGGTGTAGCCGCCGGTAAGAAAAAGCGTTTTTTCATTCTTGTTAGTTTCTCTTCAGGAATCCTCGGACTGACTGGCTTCTACGGTTTCGGTCTCTACTTTGTTTCCGTCTTGATCCAAGCAGCTATATGGAACATGAAAGCTCAAGGAAACTGGCTGAGCTACTTCCCGGAGCGAAACTCTTTGACCTGGTCGCACGGAAACGGACTCCTTACTTTCGTCCTTCTCTGGGTATTCTTCTACGGAATGGTTCATGTATACTGATTTGATAATGCTTCCCATTGACATTCCTCTCTTGTATTATTTATTCTTCTTCAATCAAACATCTTTTCTGTACTAGAACCCCAAAGATTATATACTTTTTCCTATTCGACAGATAATAAATGACTGAAGCTTTATACAGTTTTCCGTTTCGGAACTGTTTCCACAGTGAACAAAATATATTGACTTCGATTATTCTGACCGCCTCATCCGTTTTTTTTTGAAGATGTTGTCTCTCGTTCGACAGTCGATGACATCCACTGGGTGCAACATGCTTCGACCAGTGGCGGCCGAAGTTGTTCAAACCAGAGGTAAAAATAACTAAACATTTGTTCAGAAAACACTTTTTTAATATTCAGGTCGAAAAAGGGCCCTGAAACAGACGATTACACGTCAGCAGAAACTGGAAAGGCGAATGAAGCGAGAGGAGAAGGAGGCGGCAAGAAAGCAGTATTCCTTTATGGAAAAGATCAACATCCGGAGAATGAAGAACTTGCTTTCACCTTCTCAGCAATTTCCCGGTCGGCTCAATCTCGACGAAGAAACAAATCTTCCCGAAAAGCCGTCACTCGACGTCTTCATCAAGTTTGTGAAATTCAAGAAGGAATCCAATTCATCAGTCCTCTCATTTACAGATCTCACTTCAAAACACAGTACTACACAGTCTCTGAGGCTCTCGAAATGCACCGTGAACTTCAAAGTCCCGCCATTTACAACAACCCGAACGCCCCGATTCGATTGCGTCTCGAGCTGAACATGACAACTGAAAAACAGACGAAAATGGTGACCGGTAGTGACGAGATTGTTCCCGTGCCGTTTCCGTTCAATCACAACGAGAAAAGAACCATTTTGGCGTTTGCGAACGATTTGAAACTGCAAGAATTGGCCGTAGAGTCAGGAGCGGAAATTGCTCTCGGACAGGACACAATCAAGAAAATCATCAAAGGTCAGTTCCGAACCGACGACTACGATTTCTGCGTTTCGCACACCGACATGGGATCTTCGATTCTGCCGCTTCGTGGAATTCTGAAAACACGATTCCCGACGAGAGCAAACGGAGGACTTGGAGACAATCTTCCAGAATTGATTGAAAAGTTCAAGAACGGAGTAAAACTGAACATCAAAGCAGATCCGGTTTACCCCATCTGGGGACTCAGTGACTGCGTCGTCGGAAGATTGTCAATGCCAAACGAAGAGATCGAACAGAACATTGCGACGGTAATTGCTGCGACGTGCACTCATCGGAATCCCGCCCTCGGCTCATTCATCAATCGAGCACTTTTGATGACAATTCCGGGCGAGGAGAACTACGCGATCGACGTGAAACCGTGGCTGCCAGTGCCAACTGAAGAAGAGATCGAAAAGGTTTGTTAGAATTCCTTTTTCACATGTTTCCATAGCGAAAAAACACAAAGCATCTTTTTGGCAAACGTTCCGTTGTTTGCAGATTGAAAAGAGAAAGAACAAAAAGAAGAAGAAGGACGAGAAGAAGACCGAGGAAAGTGACGAGGCCCCCGCCGTCGCCGCCGCAGCTCTTTGAACGTTTTTTGTAGGAAATTCATATAGACTTGTAGATCTTTCATTTGTTTTCTTTTTCATCGTTTTTGTTATAAAATCACGGATAAATATATTCTTCCCCTGTCTCTTCCGAATCGCCTCGCCCCACTTGGTCTCTGCACCGCCTGATACTTGTCTAATCGTGAACTTATGTGAGAAAAGGGCGAAGGCTCTTATCACTGGAAGAGACGAGTGCTGCGTTGGCGTTTCGACTTTGCGCCGTTTTTTGATTCGCCCGGCATACTTTAGATTATATTTTATTACTGCAGGTGGCTACGAGTCAGAAGCTTGAGCAACTCGTCATTTTGTTTGTTCTCAAAATTAGGTTAACACTGAAAAAATATGTTTTTTTTTTCGCCGTGAACGAGTAATTGCCACGTGGCACCGTAACACTATCTCACTCTTCCCGCGCACTTTCTCTCGTATCTATTATATCTATATCTTTCCGACCTCTCCACATAACCTCCCTCTCTTTCTCTTCCCCTCTATCCCGGCCTTTTTTCTTTCTTCAATAACCTGTCTGATTGGCACTATCAAAACTCGTAAAAGTGTCGCCATTTCGCGCTTCTTCTTCCGATTTTCCCGTGCAAATAAGTAACCCACCGTTTTGTTTTGCAGAAATGGGTCAGGCGCCTGCCAAAGAGGAGGATTTCTCCTGGGCCTACACGGAGGAACCACACGCGACGAGACGGAAGGAGATGCTCGCAAAGTATCCGCAGATAAAAGATCTGTTCGGACAAGACAAGGCCTTCCGCCCGGTCGTCGTCTGCATGGTCCTCGCGCAGATCGTCTTCGCCTACCTACTAAGGGACTCTGATTGGCTTCTCATCCTTCTGCAGGCTTACTTTGTGTCCGGAACCATCAACCATTCGTTGACTCTTGCTGTCCACGAAGTCAGCCACAATCAGGCGTTCGGAACGAGTCGGCCACTCGCTGTAAGATTTACACTCACTTTTTATTGAAAAGTTTTATATTCAGAATCGAATTTTCGGATTCATAGCCAACCTTCCGATGTGCATTCCGATGTCGATCTCCTTCAAAAAGTACCATTTGGAGCATCATCGTAATCTCGGAGAGGACGTCATTGACACCGACGTTCCGACCGAATTCGAGGCCAAAGTGTTCCGCACTTGGTTCGGAAAGATGATCTGGATGAGTCTGCAGCCGCTCTTCTACGGAATCCGTCCGTTCCTGCTCTATCCAAAGTCGATGACCGATCTCGAACTCATTAATATCGGAATCGAACTTGTGTTCAGCACGTTCATTTACACTCAATTCGGTCCCAAATCGTTCTTCTATTTGTTCGGTGGTCTTGTTCTTGGAATGGGACTTCATCCATGCGCCGGTCACTTCGTTTCCGAGCACTACGTATTCAAAAAAGATCAGGAGACGTACAGGTCAGTTTGTCGGAGCGGAACAGACGAAAAGTACTTAAAAGTGTACTCGTCCTTCTTTAATACTGAATGAACCGCAAAACGACGGTTGTTTTCAGCTACTATGGACCCATCAACATGGTCGTTTTCAACGTCGGATATCACGTAGAACACCACGATTTCCCCTACATCACTGGATCCAATCTTCCCAAGGTCTGTGTTTATTTTGGACTTGCTCACGATGTGACATGTATGGAAATGAGCATCGGAATTGCGTAGTGCCCGTCTTTTTGCGCACTTGAAGAGGGCGGAAATTTGTAATTCGATGCTGATCCTCAAGTTTCGGCATAACGATTATCGAATATCAGGATGAGGTCATCATTCAAAGATCTTTCAGGTCCGGGCGATCGCCCCCGAGTACTATATGGACTGGCAGACGCACGACAGTTGGGTCGGAATGATGGCCGATTTCGTGTTCAATCCGAAAATGACTTTGAGAAAGAGAATAAAGAGAAAGTACGCGAAGCCGAATCAGTTCTCGTTCTACGGAACGGGACCGTACGAGTCGAGCCACGTGTACCAATCGATTTCCAATGTAAGTGGAATGATTTTCTGATGCGATGCAGAAGAGAGAAGCTGAAATTAATCAGAAATTAAATTGAATTTGTGCGACCGAAATAGGAGTAGTAATGGGGCTTACTAAACAATAATGACGTAGGCGGAACCTCAATTGGATTGAAAGAGCAAATGGAACAAATTGGGAGAATCCCTCCGTTTCCATTTTCTACGTATTCATGGAGTACTATGACGTGGAAGAGGTCTGTTGACGGATATGAAAAGGACCCGAACATGATAACTTCTCAACTTACGTCTATTAATATAATATGAATTATTTTCAGGTCGTCAGCACGCTCACTGGTTTAGGAGGAAAGAAGTCCGTGGTGAAGTGCGACTAACCGTCTCGATCCGTTTGGTGCCTACATGTACAAAATAGTGTTACAATTGTTTTCATTGCGTCCTCCCCTCCCCTCCATGTCTCCTTCTGTTTTCTCTTTGCTCTTCCTATTAATTATTTAATTGTAATACGCAAAATTTACGTCCCTCGTTGCTGGTACCCGTTCGCCGCCACCTTCCCCTCCGAAAGACTACCATTTCTTTGCAGACTTGCCGTGTTCTATTTTTTACTTTCCTGGTTCACCAGGTCAAATTAATTGTTTTCTGTCGGTGCACGCCTTTCTCCCTTTCTCCCTTTCTTATTGCCAAGTGTAATAAAGGTCCATTCTGAAGCGGCGCTCCATCGCTTTGGCAGACTGGGAAACACTTGAATGGTCATTTTTGTGTGTGTATGGGAGCTCAGGCTTCTTTTCTCTTCTTTCTTCTTCTTTCTCGCACAATGACGTGTAGTGCTCTTCTGAAGTGGACCGTCTCCTGGAGACTCACCTGAAGACGTCCACTCAAGAATGGCTTCACCCATTTTTCATCGGTTTACTTAGCATCCATTTTGAGGAAACTCAACGTCACTCTAAAGAAAAAGTGGATGGGAGACTTATTCAAGAAGTACATTCGTAACATGTATCGTCCAAGACGTGCACGTCATCTGAATACGAACAAAAACAATCGGAGGCATCAGACCGTGCGCGGCGAGTGACTGACCTCTGCGAACTCTTCCATTCCACGTAGTCCTTCTCGACTCTGACGTTCTCAGAACGTCTCCGTTTTCTTCAATTTCAATTGCTGTTTTTCCAGACGTGCTCGTCCGAGCATAACGTCTTCTTCTTCTTCTCCTTCTTCTCCTTCAAGTTTTGGTCCGTTCTACCGTACCGCCCGTAATGACTCCGCCCTCAAATGTGCAATTTCCTGAGCGAGCCGCGCGGCGGCTGTAATCCGATACGTTCTGAAGTCCTCGAAATGCAAATTGTTCGTTGCGCATATTTATTTCAAGCAGTTTCTTCATTCTTCCCATTTCACGGCTCTCGTCGCTTCGGAGCTCTTTTTTCTGTTCGAATGGTCACTCCTTCGTATCGCCGCATCCATTCTGACGCAAACACATTCAAATCAGCGAGAAGCGATTCGCAATCCAATTGAGAATCGCTTACCGTAATTAGCAAAAACAAAAGTCGCAGAGAGGGCCGGCCCTCAGTCTGATTTGATTTGATACGGATGGGCGGGACATTCGCGACTAAAAACCCCTCTTCCTCTCGTGTGGATCGTGACTTCTGTCTTCTAAAAACACCTCTTCCGGACGGACGGAAAGTGGGTGGGTTCCTGCCGAAACTCGATCCGCCCTCATGATTTCACATGTTGACTTTCGGTTTCCAGACCGAGCAGATTCAGTTATATGTTCTCTGAATGTGTGCCCAATTATGATCTTCATAGACTACGAGAAAGTTTGTGCTGAAAGTGTGACTCCGTTCACGTCATTCCATTAGACCAAAAAGTCCGAGCGTTCCGACCTCATAACGCCTCTTTCGATCGACTCTTCCAGTTGACTTGTCTCAATTACGCACACGCACACTTCATTATATATTCTCACTTCTAACAAATCTGATCTGAGTCCGAGTGTAGGCGTCTCTTTCGCTCTTTCCACCCACTCTCTGACCTGTAGAAGTGCATGTTCCCTTTTCTTTGTCCAACAGCCTCTGGCTCGTCATTTTTTGCTCTCCGATTAGTATTTTGCTCCCAAGTGACCAAGAATTAAGAAGTTTCCGTATCAGTCACCTTTTCTGCTAGTTTTGCTCCGCGTTTTGACAAGATTAAGGGCTTACCAACACTTGCTTCCCCCTCCATTTCTTTTCCGTCCTCCCGCCCGCCCCGACTACTATCATCGCTCGTAGGGTTTCAGTCTCAAACTCGGCCCCGTTCCGATTCGATCATGATGACGTCACTGCTGGCCGTCGCGTCGATGCTCGTCATCGCAATCCACGCCTTTGATTCGTCGGAAATTCGAATGCTCGATGAACAATGTGAGTGGATCAGAAGCAGCTGAAAACGTATTGGAGAGGGATGAACATTGCAGATGACACGAAGAATCCTTTCCTTGCTTATCTTGAAAATGTGAAACGAAGCGACCGGACGATCCGCTCGATGGACTCCCTTGACTCTCCGCTCATCCGTTTCGGGAAGCGCGGAGCCGACGGAGCCCCGCTCATCCGATTCGGAAGGGCGCCTGAAGCATCTCCGTTCATTCGGTTCGGAAAGAGAGCAGCTGACGGAGCTCCACTCATTAGGTTAGTTATTGCTCCCGCACCTTTTAGGATTACACTTGCATTGCAGATTCGGTCGTGCTCCAGAAGCGTCTCCATTCATCCGATTTGGGAAGCGTGCTTCTCCATCGGCCCCGCTGATCCGCTTCGGTCGTTCTCCGGCCGCCGTCCCGCTGATCCGCTTCGGCCGTTCCGCCGCTGCTCCACTCATTCGCTTCGGACGCGCCTCTTCCGCGCCGCTCATCCGCTTCGGAAGGAAATAAGAAGTGTTGCTTCCCGTGTGTGTTTGTAGTCCGTTTGGATCTCCCCCAGTTTCCACTAGTCGACGATTGTGTGTCTGCGCCCATTCATCCATCTTCCCCCCTTCATTTTCCTCTTTTCCTGCTGTCCCATGGCCCCATTCTCATGTTATTCTTCTTCGAACTAACTCGAAAATGAATTGTTCTCTCCGGTTGCTCAAAATATTTTATTTGTTTCCAAAACAAAAACTCACAAGGTTAGCAGAAAATGTTAAAACGTTGAAAAAAATACCGGTGCTGAAAAGGGACTAAACATATTGGCGACAAGAAGAAAAGTAACGGGTCAAACGGGAACATCACAGAAAAAGCGACTCATATTGAAGTGTTAACAGTGAAGAAAACTGAAGAAATGCGTTAAAACTAGCCGAGAGATTGATATGGATATTCGAAAAGAAGGAACGAAATCCTAGCGAGACTGCTCCATCATCGCACGCACTTCTTCCAGTTGACTCTGTATATCCCGCAAGAAAAGCATCATCTGAAACGTTGCCGGTTAATCTCCTCACAATGCGCATTCTCACTTGTGAATTCTGGTCCCTCAACTTGTTCATCTCTGACTGATCCGTGTCCAGCTCGGCGTCCTGCAGCGACAGCGCCTGCATCCTCGGGAACCAGTCCAGATTGCGCTCCTTCACACATTGCGCCACGTAACTCTCCGGTCCGGTGAACTCGGTTTCGTCTTTGATTTGCAGCATGACAATGTAGTAAAGGTAGTGCCAAATGTTGTGCTCCGTCTCTCTGTGCGTCTCGAAAGTCACAGATCTGTTGTCGAATCGAGACCGGTCGAGTCCACAGATGAAACAATTATTTTTCAGAATCTGCTCTTTCTCGTTCTTTTCCGCTCTCAGATCTCCGAACGTGTCAATGATGACTCCGAAAATGAGGTTGAGAACGATGACGATGAGGACGACAAAGAAGGTCATGTCGTAGAGGACTCTCCAGATGAACATGTCCTCCCACGGCGCCGGGTTCCGCAGAACGTCTCCAATTCCTCCGCCGTTGCGCAGTCCGAGATACATGGTTTGCAGGATACACATCCAGAGGGTCTCACACGATTTCACCTTTTTATTATCGTCTTCATCGTCGTTTCCGGAGCTCTTCAATCCGGCGCATCCTTCGGAAGGGCACGTTTCCGTTGGCAATCCAGCAGAGATTGTAATTGGTTCACTTCCCACTGGGTCAACTTCCAGGTAGAAGTCTTGAAAAAAACTGGGTCAATAATCAGAAAAAGATGTCAGTAATTACCGTGTCGGAAGAAGAGGAAGCCAAGAATCGAGAATCCGTAAATGAGAATAGCAGCAAGAAGTCCAGTCCAAACGATCGATGAATAGTTTCTGGTGACTGAAGCAATCACATTTTGAAGTGTTTCTTCGGTGGCGACGATGTCGAACAGCAGAATACTGTATATCATGGGATGCACGACGAGACCCGCGACACAAACTGTCAAGTAGGCGAGGAGATACAAAAGGTTGCGGCAAGTGAGTATCTCTCCGATCGGACGGTCTTCCAATCCTTTGTTACTCACAAAGGCAAGCACATGAACTATTTTGTTGACTAGCTGAAACACACGTAGATTTCAGAAGTAAAGTGTTCAAAATACCCACCTGTAATAGCCCGAATAAGTAAAGCGTAGGCGTGACTCCGATGGAACTGACGGAAAGAAAACATAAACTGGCGAGAATCGGGAGGAACGTCTTTGGGAAATAAGACTTGTCGTCACGGAAATAGTGAGCAATGAGGAGGGAAGTGAACACGGCGAGCCAGCTGTAGGCATTGCCGAACGAGATCGATGCTGAAAAAGGAACTGATTTGAGGAGAAGTTCGGGGAGGGAGACTCACATTTTGAGTTCTCCGGGAACGGATAATAGCAGGCAACGATTGCATTGACGATGAAAGCGAAATGGAAGGAGAGACGGGTCCAGATGGGTAACCGGAATGCGCACCACGAGAGCCACTTCCTGTCTTGCAGCTTCCGTTGCCATATCATTTCGTGGTACATGCTGTCCCACTGGTCGAAGAATTCCGTCACTTTCGACCCTTGGTTGTCTCTTTCCGTGTTGTTATAAACGTAATCTTTGGTATCTTTGGTCAGGTAGGAACAGATATCGTTGATGGGAAAGACGACCCGCTCCAAGGTTCGATCACGACGCACGATCTACAAATTTATTCGATTTTATTTGATGCGGAACAAAAAAGGGTTTCTCCTATCTTTTGAATCGACAATATATAGTGTATCCCACCTCAATCTGAGCCGTCCTGCTCTTGTAATAATTGAGTGCTTCCCTAGTCAAAACATCTTTCTTCTCATCACTTCCATCGAGCCAAATCTCCAATTCTCCGTCATGGTTAGACAGTTGATGAGCCAGAATGTAAATGTTGTGACCGACTTCCCGAGGATCCACACTCGCGTACTCATCGTCGTGGAACTTATCGTCCAATGAACTCGCAAGATTCTTCTCGTTCATAATTGAAACGGTTCCAGAGGCATCGACCGAAATCTCAGGAAGTATGGCTAAAAGTTCAAATTCAATCGACACTAAGTTCGGAGGAAACTAAACTGACCGCTGTTCACCGTTATCTGAGGGCCAGATTTGCTCTTCGAATCGTTTTCCTCTGTCCTTCTGATGAACTCTCTGCTCACTGTTTTCAGCATGTACTGGTTGGATTTGGCCATTTCGTACGCCTGTTTGATGGCATGCACCAGTTGTTTTGGCCCTCCAGACATGTTTGCCATATTCCTGAGCACTCGGTTCGCATTCTCCCCGTCGTGCCTTGACTCCATAATCGCCAGAAGAAGCTTCGATGCCTGGCTCTTTATTTCGAGCGCTAGTTCCATGTGATCATCGGCGAGAGGTTTGATTTCGTTCAAAACAAGCGAGATGATAATGTTCAGACCGTTCTCCTGCATCGCCATCGTATTCTGATTCTCGTGGCACGGTCCCTGACAGAACTCTGTCAAAGTGGCGAGTGTTTGGGTGATCAGTGAGAAGTTGTGCTCTCCGATTTCTCCGAACACTCCGAGACTTCCTTTGGTCGATCCACAGACGGTATCCAAGAAGCTGAGTGTTTCAGAGACTAAGTTATGATTTGTACGGTCGGATTGCTTTCTGAGGAAGTTCTGCAGGAGACTGTTGTGATTCTCACAGAGCAGCTGGAGCACGCGAAGAATCGGTTCGACGAGGGCAACTTCCGGCGAGAGAGCTTCGGTTGCTCTGAAACTTTCAAAACTTGTTTATCAGATTCTAGCCTCTGTGCTCTCACCTGTCTTCATCCTGATACGGAGTCAAATCGGGAATCGAATGGGTCAGATCATTGCTCATTTGAGAGATTTCCGAAATGGAAGGATGACGGACCTGCGGCACTTCGAACAGTGTTCCGTTGAATGAAGAATCTCCCGCATCAATGAGAGGGGTGATGACAGTTGATGCTGAAAATGAGGGAAGTTGTAGGAGTGGAGTGAGAACCCGTTTGAAAGATTGGAAAAGAAGGTTGACCCGATGATGAGAAGGAAGGATTAGGAAAAGGAGATGAGAGAGAGAGAGAGAGAAAAAGAGATAAAGCCTGCCCGAAACGATACAAAACACATGCAAGACGAGCTACTCTTTCTGCTCCGAGCTGCAACGGCGACCGAGTACCGCCTGTCCCACTGCTTCTCTTTCTTGGAAGAGAAGAACGCCGCATCGGCTGATTTCTGTCGACTCAGAATGCTCTTCGGACGGACGGCGGAACCTGAGCGGCTGATTAGCTGATACGGATGGACGCGGAGGTTAGGGCAAAGGTCCACAAAACGGTAGGTAATCGGGTGGGAAACGGGGGCGAATCAGGGGAACTGGAATCGGGAAACTTACATCTTCTACTCACTGTTGCTGACAACGCTGAAAATGGAATTGTTAATTGAGTCGATGAGAAGTAGATGTAGATGTCAGTGAATGTTACGACCGATTTACACGGAACAGAAGAAGAAAAGATAGATTAAAATGGACAACTTACAGGGTTTTGGTTTGCTATCACTGCAGCTCATCATGTCACTTTTCAACCGATTTTGAGCAGTCTGGATTCTAGTGAGAATCACTTTGAAGAACGGTTCGTGGACGTCTTTCTGCTTGAGACGCATGTAGAACGAGTGTTGCACTTTGTCATTTCCTTCGTGAAGAAGTGCTCTTGCCAGATGAATCGCCTTCAGGAATATCTCCCTGGACGGCTCCATGATTATGATTTCGATGACCAGATCGGAAGCGCCCGCATCGTTCAGTTTGCATTGAATAGCATAGAGATCTCTCTCTTGGCTCCAGTTCTCTTCCTTCTTTTCTGAATCATGGTTCGTTTGCTCCAGTTCACCCTTTATTTCGTACCTTTCACTGCTGCTTCGACCACATCGCCGAGGGTCGATGATTGTTGCCTTTCCAGAGGAGGATGGGTCTTATTGTGATGTCCGAAATATCTTTGCAACAAAAGCTGTCTCAATTGTTGGCCCTGAAACAAAATGAATTAAGTAATCTGCTTATTATGCCTGAATCAAGCAGAAAGAACAGTGCTGTCATGACTAGTAAAGCGGGTACCCCGGAAATTAAAAAAATGAAAGACGGCCAGTCACTATGAACTGAAAAGTATGACACCGAACCAAACCTTCTGATAGCTACTAGAATGTCTCCGGCGACCCTGAAGTTATCTCCATTTGAAACCGTTCTCCCACTACTTCTTTTCCCCTTCTCTTTCACCCCAAACGCACCTGATGTGTGAGTTGCTGTTTTGTGCAGTTGCACATTTTGCACAGAGTCTGAAGCACTCTCGCGCACAAGTTGTCCTGCTTGTTCTGCATCAGAGTCTTGCAGTGCTGAATGAGTTTCGCGACGACTCCTCCGCGAGCACATTGATCACGAAGGGACGAGCCTTCCGGGAAGAGCAGCTCGGGCGTATGGAGCACTTCGACGAGCACACTTCCTTCGGCGGCGTGCAGCGGATGCAAATAGAACTTGAACTCGCCGATCATCATCTGAAAAGTGCATTTGTTTCCTCGACATCGCATGCATTGAATACATGATAGCAAGTGACGACGTTGGCAGAAGTGGTGTCGGTTGTTGAGTTGGCAGTTCCATAAAGACGATGTCCCGGATTGAGAGTATTCTGTCGGTTCAGTCTCTGAAAACGAAGAGCATTCTCGTCAAACTTTCATGCAAATCATTCCAGCTAAGAAGAAAGATTGTCCGTCCGAAAGTGTTTTATGCAAACGGGGATGGAAATAGTTAAAGGATAGAAAAGAATGTATCAAAAGTGAAGAATTGTTAGGGCGGGAAAGGAAAGAGAAAGGTCACACTTCTGATGCTCACCTCAACGACAAGCGTTATAACCGGCTGAAATAATTGGTGTTTTAGAAAAGACACTAATCACTCTCAAATCAATGAAAATCAAATGAAAACAAAAGCTTGTGATTATGAGACTACGCCACGCCAACGAACCGGAGACTGATAATAACCCTGACTGCAATCTGAATCGTACTCCGACTGAGAATCCTGACTCATCATCTAGGAAGAGAGCGAACATGAATATTGTTTAGGCGGAACCCAAAACTGTTGAACTTCCCAAAAAAGCAGCGAGGCATTGAACCAACTCACGAACTCACCTTGTTCAACCCGATCAACTTTGCCGACGTCGCCGCATTGTACCACTTCTGACGGACGGAAACTTGTCCGGACATCTGAGGGTTTGCACAAGTGGCCGGGAGAGTGATGCTGTGCTCTTCGGCTGAAAAAGAACCTTCAGGGCGCACCGAAGGATTCCTACCGTACCCCATTTCGTCAGTCTCTTGATGCACTCCGCAACTCTGTACCAGTTCCTCGTTGATCTTGAACTCTTCAGCTTTCCTCTTTCCAGACTCGTCAACTCCAAAAGCACTTCTGAGAACGTCTTCTTGTGATGATGCACATCCACTTTCGCTTGTTGAAGAGCAGAATATGGAGCTTCGAAGAACTTGATGAGAACTTCAGTGACCGTATGGCAGATGTACTGCTCCAGAGCCACGTTTTCTGCCTCCGTTGGCAGTGATTTTGTACGGAGCATTCGGACGTCTTCAAGCAGATTATTCAGAATCTGATCCACGTATTCGGTTTTGTACGCGTCTTTCATCTCCGCATCCGTATCAATGTAGCAATGAAGCAGAAGCTGCAGATAAACGGCCTTCACTTCCACGAGACAGTACTTCGAAGTGACGACACGGACGATGTGATCCATTGGAATCTGCGAAGCGCACTTCAACTCCGTGTTTCCGTTCTTTCCGCGAGTGCACATTGCCAGCAGTCGGACCAGTTCAATGTGATACTTTAGTGGATTGCGGCTCTCCGTGCCCTTGCCCCTCGACTCTTTCTCTTGTTTCATCATTGCCTCCAGCTCTTCGAAGGACGCGTTGTCCACGTAAAGCTGCCTGACTTCATCAGAAGCCGCGCAGATCTCATTGGCCACTTTCTCCTGACAACTCTCGATTTCCTTGTCGTACACGCACACCAATGATTGCAACAACTCCAGGAAGATGGGATTTCTCGAGTTGTGCTCAATGAGCCCGACGATGTGAGCAATGAGCTCTTCGGGAACATTCGAAGCAAGTTCTCTGTTATTCCTGAAGATGGAGACGAGAGTGCCGACCTCTTCCACTGTTTCCACTCTCAACATTCCTTCTTTCGCGTCCTTCTCGTACGAAATGAATTTGTACAGCCTGCTCTGATTCTCTTTGTTTGTCTTGCAGAAACTTCTCAGGAACTCATGGGACAGCGTGATCAGCTTCATCATTTCCTTGTCGTGTTTCTTGTCGTGCGGAACACTGATAAACTCCAAAACCACTTCGTACACTCGCATGTTCTTCAACAGCTGCTGATTCATTGTGTCTGGCTTCCCGTCCCGGTAGCACATTCTCGTGAGACGGACCAACATCTGGCGAATTAACGGATAAGCAATGAGCGGCGCCTTGTCGCTGAGTTCTTGAAGAGCCACCGCCGCGTCGTTCCGATCGTCTTTGATGAGCAGCCGATTGAGCAGTTTGAGACTTTCGTTCTTCAGATTAGAATAGTGTTCATCAATAACTGCGACCACCGCTTCCATGGAGTCTTTCGATCCGAACGCTCTCGATGAATTAAGCCCGTGTTCCTGAAGATCTCTCTCCGTCGTCCGCTCCTTCTCTTCCACTTCCTTTGTCTCAATTGAATGATGACGGTCTCCATGTACCCACAATTCGGATTTCTCTGTCAAGTTTTTCAAAATGAACAGATCTCGATCAATTTGGCGATAGTTCTCAACGTCGTCATCCGATACCAACAACTGAACCTGCTTCAGATCTTCCAGAAGTTCTTGATATTGCGTGAAGTGCCGGAACAGCACTTTCAAGGCGATACTTGTCAAGGGAGGATAATCAGACATAGTCATTTGGAACAGAATGGCCAGAAGAAGGTGTCCATCCTTTCCATCAAGATGCAACTCATGGCCGGACGAATGGTAGATCGCATCGTAGAGTTCAGAAGCCATTCGTTCGTTTATACTTGCTGAGTGCAGGAGAGATCCGTCAGAACCACAAGGGAAAACGTTTTTGAACCAGGATAGCGCCGTTGTGATACGGTAGTCCCTCCTGACGTCCATCACGAATTGCAGAATCTCGGCCACAATCAGCTTTGTCTTCACGATCAGAGTCCGCCCTTCCTTGCTGCGCACCGCGTCTTCGACTGACATTGACGGGGCCGCCTTCAAAAGATCTTTCGATGTCTCTTTTGTTCCTCTGCTGATCATCGACTTGGAAACGTTACGAATTACATTCATTCCGAACTGCATTCTGTGAGAATGAACTTCTTCGGCCGCCGGTCCTTCATTTATGATAGCAAGCAGATTCTGACTCAGTTGAAGAAGCTCTTCGAACGAATAGAAGTTGAACTGGGCGAGTGCTTTGGCAAGATTCACAATCTAAAAAAATGGATGAAACTGAGGGATTGCAAATATGCAAAGTTACCTCGTAAGTGAGCTTGCTCGAATTGACACTGTGTCTTTCATCGCTCGATTGATTCCTCAACCCCATTAAGTATTTATTTACAGTTCTCAGGACCTGATGGGCGATGGTCTCTCCGATCCGCATGCGACTTCCATCCGAATACGCCTCCACAGACACCGATTCGTAGTTGTTCACATCCACGTGTTCCGGAATGCTCCACCACAGTCTCGCGTGTCTGATTGCGGACATCGGACTTCCGCGGACAACGTGCAAATGGAGCATGAGACGAGTGAACGATCCGCGGAGATCATAGGGAAGACGAGCGTCCGACATGCACTGGAGAACGAGTTCGGCCGGCAATTGGTGCGAGATGTTCATGAGACGACGCTCCGGAGGCGGGTCGATGGCAAGATACTGTTGTTCCTGGCACATTTGAGAGAGCAAATCGAGCTGATGGCTGTAAGACGATGCGTTGTTTTCATCTAAACCTAACAAAAGAACAACCGATAATAATCCAAATGTTCAGCATCTTCCGGGTTTGACCTGGCTCCCTCCGCAATGTCTACGAGTTTTCGGAAGCTCGGAGCCCATCCGATCTCCACTTCCTTGTCGATCAATTTTGTATCCATAAATATATCCCGGTGCTTAGAACTGAGAACGGATGTACAAATGAGTTCTTGGATCTTCTTATTGGCTTCTCCACGACACACACACAGATCGGCAAGGTAGTCCAGGAATCTGAAATCAACTCTCTTGGCAACTGTATGAAAACAAAAGAAGAAAACAATGCGCACAATACTAGACTCTTACAACATTTTGAACCTACCGTGCCGAGGAAAGAAATGAGAATCTGAAAAGCGGAAAAAGAGGGAGCAGATGTGCAGAAGTGCCATCTGTCCGTCTCCATTCAAGGTCGAATGACTCACTTTCCCTGCCGATTGTTCCTGACCAATTCAACGAATCTCTCCACGTGTGGCGTCTTCACATACTTCTCCAGAAGCTTTGGATTATTATGCAGGACGGCTGTCATTGTGTCCTCGGCCATCAGGTCAAATCCGATTTGTTCCTGAAACACAAACTTTCAAAACTTCAATATTATCTTGAGGCTTACTTGAATCTGTCCGAACTTCTCCGCCAAAAACTCCTGGTTCTTTCTGTAGCTCACTTGCGAGTACTTCAGAAGACAGTAGCACAACTGGAACATTGTCTTGAACACTTCATTCCGACTGTCACTGAGTTCCGATGGGGAACTGAGCAGAGGGCCGAGTTCTGTGGTGCCTTGACGAGGAAGGAACGGAGCCTTCAGAAGCAAAAAGACCTGATCGAGAACTTCCTGCTCACGGAGCAACTTCTGACGATCCCTGGATGGTGAGAAGTCTGTGATCTTGAGAGGGTCCGTGAGATGGTCAGATGTGTTGGTGACGAAGAGAATGCACTCGATGAGCAATTGTGTGGTCACATTCAGAGCCTCCTTTGTAATCACTTGTCCTGTTTTGATTAATTTTATGAAACTTCTGAGTGCCCGACAAGCATCATTAGCGAAGTCGAGGTCTCGAACCTGAAAAAGAGTTTGTTTTTTGCTTGTTCCGTCTTCTAGCTCACTTCGTCTGGAGAGACGGGAAGCAATGCAAACGTCTCTTTATCCACGCGGTTCTTCTCGCAGATCACCTTCACCCATCCCTTTTCGTTTTTACTGCTAAAATGCAGATTCTGCTTCTCCGTTGCATTGGTTGCGTGGACCCAGTTCGCAGTGCTATCATGGAATAGCCGAACATACGAACGACGTGGAACATCCTTGTTCGACTGAAAATAATGGATGATTGAGGTCATCTGGCCCTTTCCATCAAACCTTCATAAATGTGGAAGGATCCAATCGAAACAGAAGATTCTCGTTTTCCTCGGGAAAGTCGGACTTCGTAGGCGCGAGGAAATGAACAGTGTTCGCATCGTCCACAGGGTCTGAAAACGAAAAAGTGAATCTCAATGCACGTGAATTCTCAAGTAACCGATCGGTATTCCATTCGGACCATCGGAGTACATACTGGCCATTGGATTACTCGTTCTGAAGCATACAATGAGATCAAATACAAAAACACCATTTTTTTTAAAAGATAAACTAAAGTTAGCTGAATAGTTTAAAAGCGGTTAGAAGTGTCATGCATCACACTCTTACCGCTCCAAAGTTGGCCGGGATTTCTGAGAAATCGCGCTGAGCAAAGGCGCTGAAAATGGATGAGGTGAGAATGGAAAAGAGCACTAACTTTGAATAAATCAAACTCGCACGTCTTCCGTTGGCTCCCGGCTTGACCTGGATCGAAGAAGAAGCCTCAACAGTCAGGTACTGGTCAGTGGCGAGGTGTTTGAAGCGGTACGTCTTGTTCCATTTGGCCGTTCCTCCTCGGTACGCATTCGGTTGAACTACCTGAAATGAGATTGATGTCTCAATAAACCACCGAAGGAATGAACTGACCTGAACTTCCCAGAGAGCTCTGGAACTGGTGGCATCTGCTGCCGACGGTCTGTTCGTCATTCGCAGAAAGACGACATCTTTCGGAGGATTTTGTTTGGGAATAGTATCTAAAGTGAGAAATGTCTGCTGATCTGCGTGGAATAACCGGACAACGTCTCCCTAAAAATCACTTTCATTTTTAATTGAACCTCGGAAATGGCTTACTGATTTGACACTCGCGGGGTTGTTTTCGTCGAATAAAAGAAACATGAACACCTGCCATTCGGTGGGCTCATTCAGACAGTTCACTTCCGCAGCAGTATGATGATCGAGAAGATTGAACGCGGAGAGATGAAGCTGCGACTTGACGTGTCCTGCCTGGCTGGTCGACACCGAACTCGGGATCAGAGAGATTTTGTTTCCGGCCGAGACGTTGTCTCCGATGGCATAATGCTTGTAGGCCGGCTCGATGATAAACCAACTGCCTTCATTTCCAGCACGATCGAGGTAAACCTGAAGAAGATGTCATTCTAAAAGTGAGGGATGCCACGGAGAGTTTAGAAGTGTGTTCCCTACGCTCTGCAAGCGTGCTCTTATTGTGAATATAATTTTCAATCAGTCATTGCAATTCATTCTCATTCCGAAACTAGTTCACTAAATCACTCTGACGTGAAACTCACGCGACGATAGAACGAAGAAGGTATCTGACCAGGTAAACAGTTCAGCCAATAGGTGACGAGAGAGAAAGAGAGTTAGACACACAAACGCACCTTCATCGCATTCCGTTCTCTCTTCGCCGGCGAATTCCTCTGCACCGTGATGTATTTGTTCGATTTGACGTGCAGCAACTGAACCATCGATCCGTACTGCACGACGTTTCCGAGTGTCTTCTGGAACTCCGACTCGTTCTCCTCCTTCTCCTTGTCCGCCGCTACTCTCAGCTTGTTCATCATGTCGTCGTCGAACTGCGAGTCTCCCGTTTGGAACCTCTTCTGCTCGGTCCACAAGTGCTTCTGAGCCGCGTACCGATTTATGGGACACACTTTGAACAGACAGTCTCTGAACTTCTTCGGAGGACTCTCCGGCCGGCCATCTTTCAATTCTACGATGCATCTGTCGTCGACCAATCTGAAATTAGAGTGTTTCGACGAGGAAAGTGGTGTGAAACTGACCCGAGTGTGCTGAGAAATCCTCTGTGATCCGGATTTGTGGGTGATTCTGTGTAAAGTGAAATTATGTCTCCGATGTGCAAGTTTCCATTATTTCCATTGTCAATACTTCCAACTACAGTCAGCTTTCGGTTGGGCATTGCCATGCTGAAATTCGAGTTTGACAGAATGAAACTGTTTTTCGATAAACCACAACCGCCCAGTTTTATCCCGCTCACACTTTCACTCCCTCGCTCTCACTTCGCAAACAGTTTGTGTTCTTTCTCACCCGATGTTCCTTTCCAGCACACGTCTCCTATAGTCATAGTCCATTATGTAGGTGCTGGGGGCATAGAAGTCAACTTAAAAGCGACAAATATAATAGAGAAGGGGTCAAGATAAAATCTTAGAACAGGAAACGGGTTCCAAAGAGGGCGACGACGACGACGATGACGACGAAACGAGGTGAAAGCGGGATGGCAAAAGTTCGAGAGTTGAGGATGGAAAGGAAAAACAATGAAACGACAAATTAATAAGAAAAGAGGCGACGAGGAGAAGGGAAACGAGGAGGAGGAGGAGGCACATATTGCAAAAAAAAGAAAAACCGATTGAATGTTATCAGAGAGCGCAAAAGTGATAATAAAATGAAGCAGACGTTAGAGAAGGACGGTTCAGTCGAAAAGGACACTGGAGCCACGTCGCAATCGAATTATTTCAGTGAAAAGCGGATTGGAAAGGGGGAGGGTTACTGTAGCACAAGGCAGCAAGTGAGCTTTAGAGAATTGTTAGCAGAGAAGGCGTGATTCTGTTTCATTCATAGTATAGTGACAGACAAGAACAGTGAAATGATCCTAGAAGCTTCTTTGTTTTCTTTTCGGAAACTCGTGATTCATCGCCACGACGACACAACACAATTTTCTTTTTTTTTCAATTTCTTTACAAAAAACAATGATTCATATATGTGTGCGGGCGGAAGGATCACTACATTTCAACACTTTCAAAGTGAGAACTTTAGGGACTTTGTATTCTAGAAAGATGACGGGAATTTTAGCATTGGGAAGTGACAAAACGGGAAGTGTTAGTCAGAATGTGCACGGGAAACCAAACAAAACAGAACGAGAGATAGATGTTTTCGAAATGGGAATGGAATTATGAAAGAAAGTGATTCTCGACCGAAGGGCTTCCGAACAAACAACACGAACACAGGGAGCAGCCGGCGAAACAGTAAAATAGTCCCGGAATGATAAGGTTGTCTCGCATCTACATCTGTATGCAAACAGTCTTTTTCTCTGCTTCACAACCAACACGGCGCGGGGCAGACAATCGAAACTCTTTCTCTCTGTGCTTACAAATCCATGGTTTGATGATTGTGTGTTTGTGATAGAGACACTATCGATCGGAAAACCAAGTGTTCATGCAAGTTTCCAGAGGCCGCCCGACCCTACCTTCACCTGTGTCTCTCTGCTCTATTTGTCGCGCTTTTATGGTGTGTTCTTTTGTGCACAAAAGTTTCAACAAAACTATAAAAAATTAATAGTATGTTTTTTCTGCAGTATGAGTGAAAACGGGACGAATGGGGGAGAAAGGTCGTCAAAAGCTAATCAGTGACCAGCCGTCGGACGGGCGGAAGACAGGGTGATATCACTGCTTGTCCGCCCACTCGGCGGATTTGCCTGTTTCGCGTGGAGAGATAATAATTATATTGGATGGACAGAATAGCTGTCAGGTACTGTTATTCTTTCGAAAAGATGACGAACAGATCTGAGTGCGTGGGATGGATGAATCTGAGAAATGGTGGAAGGGAAGGTTCAACGATTCTAAAACTGTCATGGGAAGTTTGAATGGCATTTTCTCACTGAACGGCAGCCGAATGCCTATTTCTATCGCTTTCTCTCTCGCTATCTCTCTCTTCCACCTGACTATTCTGTCATTTCCAACTATTCTGATCATCATTTGTCCGACCTTGTACTTCCATCTGATCCCCTCCGTCTACCCCAACTACTTGAAAGTCTGCCACTCTCCTCTTCACAGTCTGCTCACCGAAACACTATCAATGTCAACTCAATCCTATCCAAACAAATCACACCCACCTGGACTTTCTTATGATCTGCTCCTCGAAATCATCCAAGTCCAACTCGATACGAGTGCTCACTCCTGCTCCGCTGCCGGCTCCTCCACGTGCCGATTCGTCTGAAACTGAAAAAGTGTTGCGATTCGGTTTGAGTTCGTCCGAACCGCTCCGTCTTCAATCGGATGATCGACGGCACGGTGCGGGAAGCAAAAGGACTATAAAAGTTTAACGATCTGCGTCACGCACACAGACTCGCTCACACATACATACGCTTTTTTGTTCTTGCTTTCACACGAAGAAAAGCAAAACAAAATGCATCAATGCCACAGCTTCTATGCAACCGGACGGAACGAACGAAGGAACGGAGCGGAGAAGAAGCGTCGGAGAAGTGACAACTAAAACACGGCGGTTTTATGTCCGAAAAGCTGACGATGATGCGCCGAATCGCAGCTGTGAAGTGCGTTTTATGAGCAGAACGAACACGAAAAAACGCGGAACGGAACAGAACGGAAACGTTTTATGCAAAACCGATGACTCGAGATCGGAAGGCGGCAAAAGTTGGATGAGCGAGAGCGACCTGACGACGTCAGAAGGAACGAGACTGGGAGAACATGGTATCATCAATCATTTCGGTCACAAAAACAGCTGTGAGGAACCGAAAAAGAGAGGCATGAAGTGAGAGAGGGAAAAGTTATGCAAAGTGCATGCGGGAGCGATGCATATCATGCGCCAAAAAAAGAGTGTTTTGTTTGTACAAACATTTCATGAATTGTACGCTGGGAGTCGCCGTGAGGTGGACAAGAAGACGAAGACGCTCACGGTGCGTAAGCGGCTTATGTGGCCCCGATACAGACGGCAGGGGCAAGAAAACCATGTTGTTTTTTCGGGGGCTTACTTAATTCCTTTCGCGGTGATTTTTTCTGGGGCACAGTGGAGAGAGGAAGAAATTTCCTCGTTCCGTGAACTGTCGGCTGCTTAATTCTCTTTGTTAGTTTACATCATAATGAACTCATTCCCAAAAAAATCAAGTGAAATGAATCAGTATTCATTCGACGGCACGCATCTGAAGTCTCAGAACAGCCAAGAAGCACGCGGGCGGCGGACGGCGGCGCGTTCTCCAAGCCTTCTCATCACACACGATCAGCCATTTTTCGAAAAATCTATTTTCCCAGAGAGAAGGTTTTTGAGAAAAATCTGAAAAGCCTGTTTTGGCCTTGTAGAACGGCGACGGCCGCGGGATCAGGGACCAGAAGAAAGGGAAAGAACCTCCGCGAGATCCCAAAGAGAAATCACCGTGACTTTCCGTATCCGTAACAAACTCTGAGCGCATGAGTCACACAAACAGAGAGAAAGAAAGAGAGAAAGTTTTCAGAATGAAAAGTCAGAATCCAAGCCGCGTCCACGAAACAATCAGCGGCAACAGGTTTTGTCAGTCAGTGAGTGTCAGTGAGACACCAGGTAATTCTGTCGGCGCATAATTCTGAAGAATGATGACGAAAAGTTAGAAGGAGGGGAATCTTGTGAAAACGGAAAGGAAGAGGAGCCGAGAGGTGCTTCAGATGAGATTATAATCGAAAAAGATTATATCAGACTTCCTCTTGAAAAGTTTATAAGAACTTTCTAGATTAAAAAAAAACCCACTTACCATTCTCATCAACGGAGAATTCTGGAATCGAGATGATGGAGACTTTCTTTCGGACCCGTCCAATTGCAGGATTCATCCTGGAAACCAGGCTGGAATAACAATTCACGTTGCTGATCAAAAAAGAGTAACGGCAAAAAGCAGATCAATGTGACTGAATGCAATTGAAATGGGGAAACATGTTGGGCGGAAGATGAAAAGGAACGGACAAAAGATGATGAAAATGTATTGGCTTGAAAAGGACTCGATATTTCCGTTGCCTTATGATTCAGACGGCCCTCTGTATTCTCCCCCCGTTGCCGCATTGTTGCCTGTTTACTTTTTTACAAGCGCAAACAGTGGCGGTTCCGAGTTGACACAACGTCAAAAACGAGCGTAGAAATACCAATTAAGAAAGGTCAACGAAGAGTGATCGGGCGGTGGATGGGTTCCAGATGGGCGGCCGAATGAGACGCCGTCACACTTATCAAATTAACGCGAAGCAGACGACACAAACTGATCGATGAAATCTGCATTTACTGTGGTTGTATAACTAAAAAACAAGAGGACGTGATTCTCGACTTTTGATGGATTGGATCGTCTTGTTTTCGTACAACGACACTGAACAGAACATAATTTTATTGGAAAACAAGGTTTCTTATTTGGCAGTATTTTCAGAAGACATTGCCGTCGACTTCGACTGCTCCTCGGGATCCTTGATGTCGAATGGAACCAATATGGAAGCGGCAGACTTGTGCCACTCGGTAGTCGCTTTCCAGAACCTGAACAACACGCATTAACAGCTCGAAAGAAGAATCCATCAGCCCACTTGCTCAGACATTTGATGTGTCCGTCCTTGTACCCGTTCACCTTCACCAACATCCCCATCATCTTCGTCTTCGCGTCTTCCTTGCTCCTCTGAGCCGCCTGCTCCGCTTTCTCGGCATCCGGAGCGCTCTTCACCTTGTTCTGCTGGGCGAGTTCGCATTTTTCCAGAGCCACTTGGTAGAGACTCTTCAGTTTCGCATACTCCCAATACTCTTCTCCGATGAATTTGGTGAGTGGTTTCAGATTCTCCCACTGCTTTTTCACGTACTTTTCCTGCTCTTCGTGCAATCGTTTGGCAGCACGAGCAACCGGCTCCAGGGGTTCCACGTTGATCTTTCCGTGCTTTTGGGTCTTCTCGTAGAACGTCATAAAGTCCGAAAAGTGCTGATAACCGGCATCAACGGGGACCTTCACCGGCATTTTGTTAGAAGCCATCTGAAAAATATGTCACTTTTAAACTCTGTAAATTAAGTGTACCGAATTGGCAGCGGTGGTGCTCTCCACGAGCATGAACAATAGTGAGTAGTGCAGTTTATCCGCCGCTTCCTTGTACTGATCCATGCTTTTGCACGCGGGACGACAGTCACTCTCCAGTGGGACCTGCTTGCTCTTCTTCTTCAGCAGAGAGAATCCTCCGCCCATCTTCTTTGGTAGTATTCCGTAGAATCCCTTAGTGAATCCTCCCCCATCTCGGCCGCTCTTCTCGGGTGCTCCTCCCCTCGAACTTCTCATACTGCTTGCCTGAATTGTGAACGTCTTCTGAAATCTGTGACTGCATAAGACTCACATTCAACGACATTGAAGTCAATTTTATAGACCGGTTTTGATTGTTACTCAAAATTATCCGAACTATGAATTCATGAGTTATCTTTAAAAGGAATTCGTTCACGTTCACGGTTATTATTCCGAGGGTCGACTAACAAAAGTGAGAAGGAAAAAATAGGAAGAGAAGGGGAGCGAGCGGGGCAGAAAGAGAAGGTATTCATCGTATCTTAGAGAATAAATGAATGGAAAAGGGAAAAGGGAATGAATGGAAATTTATTCGCCACAAAACAAAGACATCGTCTTCGCTCGTTCCGCCAACTCCGCCGACTCGAATTGGTAGATGTACAACTGTCTGATGACGTGGAACGACGACGTTCCCCTTGTTTGCCGTTTTCCCTTGATTTCTCTATCCATGCGCATCTCTTCGGCTGCTGCTCCCCGAGCCAACCCATATTTCATCCAATTTCCGGACACGGCGACCTTTTTGGTCCAATCCCCGTCGTTCTTTTCCCCATTTCTTCCCTTCATTCGTTCCGCCCGTCTTTCGACTTATTTCGACCTCCTACCCATTTCGGCAGTCGAAAAGAAGGGGTTGATCAAAGTCGGTCGAACATAAAAACAGAAACTCATTTCCGTTTCTGTCGTCCACCTCCCGGCTTCTGTTTCCTCCCCCCAATTGCTTGTTGAGCCGAGTCGAGTCCCGGATGAAAACGAGCCGTCCGTCGATCCATTTGCAGTTGATACCTGATACAAAACCCGTGTTTACTTTTCCATTTCGGTGCTTGAAGAGCCTAGAGAAGTGCTCCTGACATTGGCATGATACACTCGAGAGGTTTTTGTATCGAAAGAAGACGCCAATTCGATTTGGAGAGGCGACGAAGTGAGACGGGTCTCGGGTGCCGCCGAAAAGAAGAAGTTACACACCAAATTGTTGATTTTTGACGCTCTTTTCTCTCTCTCTCTTCAATCGGCACCAATCATAAGCAGAAAAGGAAACACAAGTGAGCAATTTCCGATTGGAATTCCCGTCTTCATATGCTGCAGAGAGGTCGTGTTGGCCCGGACCCATCAAAAACATCGTCGGGTGAACTCAATTAGTAATCGTCAGCCGGTCCTCCTCACTCACTTTCTGCCTTCCATTTCGCATTCGACTCCATAAAAGCCATTGTTTCCGTGGCCCCTGGAGCCGCAAATGTACTTGCTCCGCGAGTCCATTCATTCCTTTCACCGGCTCTCCTCCCCATCTCGATCACAAACGTTTTTTTGGCTCGCTTCCCGTGCGTTAGAGGCTTTGTCCCTTTTTGTGAGAATATGTGAAAATAAATTGGGTTGGGGGCGGCACTTCAGTATTCCGTTTTAATGTTTTCAGTTGATCCGAGAAAGACTCAAAATACTTTTTAACTAGACGTCGGTGTCAGTTTCTGCTTTTTTTAATCACTCAAAATCTTTTTTTGTATTCACAGGCGTTACTGACAAATTTCGAATCTGGCTACTTCTGACTTCACAACTAAGTTACTAGTACCACAATTCCCGATCAGAAAGCATATTTTTCTGTATCTGTCCGTCACGAGACAGAGTTCACTCGGTAGCATAAGTAGGTACCGCAACGGGTTTCACGAAACTCGGAATTTCTATAAAATTCTTGTTGGAATGTGTTCCCCTACTCTATATGAGTACGCTCCCAATTTTTTTTTCGAAAATTTTCGGTACATCCCGAGTTACACCACTCCAAAGTCGCCCTGTTTTCTCTCAGGTCGGCGGCCGAGGAGGGGGCGGAGTCTCACTAGCAAGTTTGCCGCACGCGTTTTTTATCCTTGTCTGGTGGACCAAACCAAAGAGTCAACATTTTGAAGGAGCAGAAATGATGTTCTAAGAAAGCAAAATAACTTTCGAGGTCAAAATTTTCGAACCCGGCACCTTTAGATTGCCGAGTGAGCACTTTCCCACTGCGCCAGCCGGGCGAAGGCGCGCCGGCCGCCAATGGCATAGAAAAGCTGGCTGCGCGCGGTCCACTTCTAGGTGTCAAATTAGTGTTTTTGCGTGCTCAAATCCAAAACTGTTACACTTTACAGTCACTTTTCAAAAAACGGAAACTAGATAGATGGAAAAGTTCGACATGGATCGGTCGGAAATTTGATGCTGAATCCGATTTTGGGAAAATTAGCCGCGTGTAAGGTACCTGTGACCCTCAAAACCCCCAAAAACTACAATTTCGGCCAAACTGGCTCTACTAAAATTAACACAAATCTGGTCCTAGACTGTCTAGAGCTCTGAAAATTTGTATTTGGGTTCTCAGAGAGTTTATCTATGGATTCCAAACATAAAAAAGTATGGTCATCGCTGAAATTTTTTCACAATTTTTTGTGCCAGTTTGAGGACCTGTAAAAAAAATCGGAAACTAGATTGTCTGATTCTGACTTAAAAAACGGATTCCCCATCCCTTAAACTGTTGGAATCACTTGAAAGTAGGCGCGTGTTGCACAAACTCCGGCCACACGAGCTCTCAGACTGACTTCCATTCTCGTTTTCGCCTTTTTTTGAGAAAATGGTGCGTTTTCGTGGGAAACGGAGTTGTTCATTAGATTCAGCATGGTCGATTGCATAAAGTAAAACTTTACGAGTATGGTACTTGGTCTGGGGACGTCGGTACAGGTCCTCAAACATGCGCGCGCGGAAATCAAGAGAAAATTCGTCAGGCCACGCCCCCTCCTTTGCGCCCCCTAAGCATAAGATCTAGAATATTCATGAGTCGTTTCGTTCTCAATTCTTTTCACTCTTGTTTTATTCGTTCTGCCAGCAATCCGATCTTCTCAAAGACCTGGCCCCGATCCGGGAGCACCTCTCCTCCGTCGTCCATTCCGTCCCTTCCGCCCGTCCCCTTCTGCACCTCCTCCTCCATCTCCTGCTTCTTCTTCTGCTTTCTGCCCCTCTTGGCTCCGCCCTCTTTTTTTGCCCGCTTCCTTCTCGCTCGTCCCTTCGCAGAGAGCGAGAGAGTGTGTGCATGTTGGCGCCTTGATACCCGGACCATCCTATAATTATTGTAGTCCTGCCGAATCTCCACGACAACCTCCCCTTCGGATGATGTGTTCGATGTGAACGAGCCACGCCAATGCACTTGAATTCTGCCTCATTCGCCTCCTTCTCTCTTTTCTTCTCGTCGCCTAAACAAAAGTTATGCGATTACTATGGATCTGTTTGCTGTTTGCAGCCCTCGCAATCTCTGTCTCTTTAGCAGGTGAGTATTTTTTTTTTCTGGAATAACTCAAGTCATCCTAGAAAGGATTATCGGCCCCCCGAGCCCTCCCATCCATGAATTATACATTCTAATCCTCCCGTAATTCGATGATTTTCTTTGAAGATGCACGCGTAAAATAATGAAAAATAACGACGTTTTGGGCCTATCCAGGTCGAGAAAGCCACTGCTCGAGCCACAATTGAGCTAATCAAAGTGCCTAAATTGGCTCCAAAACCGCATAGTTTCCCTGGCTGTTTTACTCGTTTTTCATCCGTTTTCGCTCCTCTTTCGACACCGTCGTCATGCACTTGAGCAGACAAAAAACCAAGATGAAAGAGCTGAAGAGCGACGGCCGCCAGAGATTCCAGATGTCCGGGAGCCATCGGGAATCGCGCCGCCGACAAGAAATTAATGACGACGGGCTCTTTTTATTCGCCCATTCGCCAACTGTTTTCTGTCGCGTTTCGCTTTGTTCAAATCGCCGACACATCTGATTTATTCGTTGTTTATCGTCCTCATCATCAACGCCCATTAGTCTTTCGTCACACAAAAAACATGCGTTGATCTGCTGGCGCTCGAGAAGAGATGAGCCGCCGGCAGAGAGCGAAACCGCAGCCGTGTGCTATCAGAAGTGATTCATCACTCGACAATGGACGCCTGTCTGTTTATCCAGTCGGGATTCCTTGAGTGCATCCACCTGATGCCACGTCACGAAAGAGCTCGGATGTCTAAGAGAACCCACAACGAAAGCCATTAAAAATAGGAGAACGAGTTAAATGTAAATGTGGGGATTTCTCTAGAGATCTTTGAGATTTAGGAGATTTATCACTACACACTACTCGTCGAGTCCATCCGATATTCTCTGGTCTTCTTGCATCCAATAATAATAATAGTTTTGTTTTGGTCGTTGTCACACTTCCCGTCCGCTACGCCACCCACTGGTTTCATCGCCCTCCAACGTTTTGTCTACAAAAAGACGGAGGAAACGTGGAAAACGTCGTCGGGATTATTTGTATTCGTCGTCTTCATCCATCGTGGGAACATCAATTGGTCGCGTGCCTCTCCGCACTTTCCCATCGTCAAATTACACCAGCTCGAGCTCTTTTCTGCAACGGACCGTCCACCACCGATGCATTCCGGACTCCTTCATCCCTCTAAAAGCTTCCCGTGCGCTCCTTTCATTCGATTGTTTGTCATCCATTATCCAAACGGGTAAAAGCGCGCTTCCGGTCACAAAAAGTGCACTTTGGGAGGAGAATGAAAAAGTCAAAAGTCGATGCAATTTGGGTGAAAACTTTTCGAACCGAAACGGCCTACCAATTCGGTGCTCTTTCGCTCCGTACATTAATTGATTATGCGCAATCCATAAATTATGAAGCACAATGTAGCTTTCAGCTGGTTGCTCTTCTCAATGCACTTTCCCTCAACTATGCATTGGTGGCTTTGTGGGGCACATTCCGCTTTTAAGTGACCCAATAATGACTAAGACGCTGGTCCCCGGAAGACGCGCCAATTGTTTGTTTATACAAGTCGAATGGCATGCGGAAAGGTTTTCAAATCTCGTTTCCGGCCTTCAAAATACAGAAACAAAAAAGTTGGAAGGGACCGTTTGAGCCTAGGGAAAGTGTGCTCCTTTCCTTTTTAGTACCCAAATATCTCACAGGAAGCATTGTCTATCCACCCCTTCCGCTTCCACTTTTCTTGTCTGTTGCTCACCGAAAAGAGTGCACGATTCCTTCTGATCCGTTTCGAGATCATCACATTCTTTTGAAACAAAAAAAGTGTGTTCTCTCAAGCCTTCTTACGTGTTTCTATTCTTCCTTCATTCCCAATTTGATAAACGAAAGGATGAGGAAAACGAGAAACGGAGAAGCGAAAGAAGGCGCATCCCCCTGGGTACATTATATCTTAAACGCCTTTCGAAGAGAGCACAGCTTCACGTCGTCGTCGTGTCGCTTCACTCTCTGTCAAAAGTGTATGGCTTAGGTCAGATTTGAAAAATGATGATGGGAGGAAGAAGGGGGAAGAAACCTGAAAGAGAAGACGGAAGTGGATGATATTCGTTGAGAGGAATTCTTAGTGCAGAACACTTTTCAGATAGCAACCAGGTTAAGTGCTTCTGCGACCGCGAATCGTGTGACGACAATCTTCTGTGCCAAGGAGACTTCTGCTTCATCGGGCTGCACCGGTCTGACGGAGGTGAGTTCCAAACTATTTCGAATTGCGAAAACAAATGAGAGATTGTACTCGAAAAAAGTGCGCATAGATTTATGACGTGACAACAGGAATGCGGAAGAGAAGCGAGAGCGAGAGAGAGAAACGATGTTTGACAGCGGGAGCTTACTAGCAATTTATGATCTCACAACGACGCGAATTATCAGCGAGTTCAATCAGAGCTCTTCTTCTCCATTCATCTTGCTCTCTGCCGCCGCCGGCACCGCCACCGCTCCTTCGGCGGCTCGTTTTGGCGCGAATAACATGACGCATTGATGCGGGTGCACAGCAGTTGGCACACACGAATTCCCGCGGGACTCCCACACCAAAACAAACTTCTTCTTGCTCTTCGGAGCCCTACTAGAGCTCCTCCTGCGGCTCTTCTTGCGCTCACGCGCACACGCACAAATTGTGTCATTCACACACCCAGACACGGAGGAGTGGATTCAAATTTGGAGGAAAAAGAGCAAGTGATTCGGAGAGACCCTTTCTCTGACTCTCTCGTTTCCGCACACTCTCTCAGCGGGGATGAGCCACCCTTCCCTTCAGGCGTGTTTCGGGTGCAATTGGGCGCGAAAAGTGTGGTAGGAATGTTTTTGGGATGAATAGAGCCGTCTGGGTAGAGAAAGAGCGGGGGATTACTCGGAAAAAGGTGGCATGTTTCAGGAGAAGTGCCCAGACTGAGACAGCACTGTGGAACTGCAGACGAACTGCCCTTCCTGAATGCTCACATCAGCTGCGATGAACGTCAGGACAACTGGCAAGAAGTGTGCAGGTGCTCCGAGGACTTCTGCAACACTTTCGCCTTCCTCCGATCTTCAATCGACTCTCGCCCGGATCCCAAGGACTCTGTACAGTTCGTCAAACAAGACGTTCATTATCAGCAGGACCAGAGCCGACCGGTGAGTTCTCTTCGGTCCTGCACGAACTCACTTCCACCTGTTTCAGACCGAACACGTGTATCGTCAGCAGAATTCCTCGCTCATCGTGCTCCTCGTCATCATCCCGTTGTCGGTGGGCGGGTTCGCCGTTTGTCTGATCTTCCTGAATTACCACTGCAAAATGTGCTGATCGTCAGTCCGTTCGCCCGCCTTCTCGATGTCTTCTCTTCCACTTTCTGTCAACATTTCAGCGCGTTTCAGGGACCACGTCCGTCTTCTTCAGCCCGTTGTTAGGTCCGTCTTTTCTTGCCGTCTGTGATAATATACGATTGTCCATCCCATCCGAATAAACCTTTTTGGAACAATAATTTATTTATTGGGAGAAATAGCTGAACAAGTATGGCAAGTTTTTGAAGAAAAGCAGAGTAAGTGATGGGAGAAAGACACGTATTGTTAACCGATGGAAAGCCAGCTTTGCGAGCGGGGAGGGCGATCTCGATTCAGGATGGAGACGTCGTGCATCGGAGGGCGGTTGAAATCGGAGCAGACGGAGACGTCGTCCCGGGAGAAGACCCGTCTGAGCTGCGACTGCCGCCCACGACTCTCGGTGATTGTGGTCGTGTTCGACGGGGTGTGGGCCCTTTCTTTCGGTTGATTTCGATAGTAGCAGAACTGAAAACGAAACATGAAATATAAAGACTGGCTGGTTGAATACTTACACAAGAGAAACAGAACAGGCATATGACACACAGCAGAAAAATGGAAGCAGCTAGGAGGACAGCTGCAACGCATTCATCATAGAAATGTTGATATTTCAAGCACGTACCGTATAAGACTACGTGGCCAGTATTGCGTGTTTCACTTGAAACATGAAGGGCTGTCAGCGTGTGGGGCTCAGCAGTCACTCTCTGCCCTGCCAACGTCATCACCAACTCTCCACTCGACACTTTCTCTGACACTTCCCGCGCGAACCTTCGGGCATCCACATCTCGAATCGTGAACTTGACAGTGTTGTCCGTGCGGATAAAAACGTCTTCTATGGATCCACGCGGGATTCCAAATCGATCAACGAGCATGTTTATCAGTTGACTGAAAGGAAATCATAATATTATTTTCTTTTCTTTCTCCCACATTTCCGCATCTTGCATCTTCTTTTCTGGAATGGTTCCTCCTGAAAGCGAGAAGGCAATCTGATAGGATTCGACGGGCATCGGAGCATTCGCGTGGTCGTACGGAGATGAGAGATCAAGTCCGATGCCTGCAGTCAAATTCGTCTTTCACCTATGATTTCATTCTTTTTTCGGCGTGCTCACCGGCGCAGAAGTTATCGCAGTCGTCGCGAGTGGCGAAGTTATTCAAATTTCCCGAGCAGCCTCCGTAGTCGAATGAAGCACAAGTGTGCGTGATCGAGGAATAAAAGTATCGGGAGACGACGGCGGTGCAAGGTCCTGCATCTCGTTGCAGGTTGCAAACGTACCGTTTCGAGACACAACAGATGCCCGATTTACGTCCAGGCATTGTGGAGCAATAATGCGTGGGCGGACATCTGTAGGAATGACATGAAGTTTTTCGAAAAAGAAGCGAGCACTCACCCATTCGTCAGAACAGTACAGGATAATGGAGTTCCGTCTGAGAGAGAAGAGAACGGATCTCCGTGCGGACACGACAACCCATCTTTCTCCCCGATACTCTTGATGGAATCAGTCCCCGGACAGCACACTCCGTGCATATTCTCATCAAAGGCAGTACAGTAATACCCGATGGGACAGACCGTATTCTGAGTGCAAGAGTACTGTTGTCTCGTTCTCGTCTCCACCAACGGCCGCAGTCCGCTATTACATGGTGACTTTTCGCATGTGGGCACAGGCAGACACCACTTATCCGGGCAGTCGGCCTTCCTCAGAATACAAACGTTTCCGTTCGGACAGTCAACATGTTCGCACGCCGATTTGCAGATGCATTCCGAACGGGGACAACCGACAGCATCGAGAAGAAGACCGTAGGGACAGAGGCTCGCCGAGCACTTGGACAGGCACATGGATTGGGCTGTAACACTCGCATATTCCGATGCTTCCCACACATGTTTTTCACTCACATTTGCACGCATTCTTCGTCTTCTTCTTTCTCGTTCCGTGAACCTCTTCTCCGCTGAATTCGTCGACGCACCAGCATCGCTTATTGTCGCATTGCGTCATTTCGTAGTTTCCATTTTTGCTACAACGAGGGAGCGGGGATTTCAAAACGGCGCCGTTCTGATTCAGGTATTCGAGGGCGATTCGCATTGTCGTACAATCTGGAAGTCACACTAGAAACTAAAGGAGATGTCTGAATTTTTACTTGTTGCTAAAGACATCGGAACGGCTTCAATTACCACCGGAACGTCCTCTGGAGAGCCAACTACTGTAGTTGTCTCCGTCCGGGAAAAATTTGGGATTGCAGCCACAATTGCAGGTGAAATGAGATTGAGAACAGAAGATTGAGTTGGCTTCTGGTGGCAGCATACACCAGTCTGTAAACAAACAGTTATTTCACAGCTAGAAGAGTTTTACGACCTCAGTTTTTGGATTCAGGATGCATTTTGAGTTCTTGCCACATCCGCCGTCAGTTTCGCAGAGAATGACGTTCCGATAAAGGTCCCTCTGAGGAATCGGACAGGAAACTTCCACGCAAGAGGGAACATCCGGACAGGGATTGGAAGTGCATTCGACGCGATGGAGTGCGCATTCCATGTTGAACGGGCAGTTGAACGACTGAAACAGAGAACGAAACAGTTGTCATCAGAATAAGGATAACCTACATTACAGATATTATTGCATTCACAAACACCGTTGGCCGGACATCCACTTCCATCGGTTCTCACTCCGTACGGGCAGTTCATTGCACTGCAGTCCTTCGAGCATCTTTTGGGAATAGTGCAGTCTGGAGGTCGAAGTCCGATTGTGAACATCCTCGTTCCGATCTCTTCCACTCCAGTCGTCATTTCGACACACCAGCATTGACTGGAGAGAAAATAAGTTATTAAAGTTACGAATTGAAGGTGGAACTTACTTTATCCTGGCGTCACATTGATATCGTCTGAAGAGGCCTTCCGGAGTGCACTGAACAGGTGGAATGATCAGATTCACAATCTCTGCGGCTATCTGTGACTCGAACGCAATCAGTCTATGGATGCAGGCAGTTGCTATTCTTGGCGCAGAGCACATGGTCCCACATGAAGCGGCGCAACATTTCAGGAAGCCGTGGCAGTCGGAATCCTGGCTGCACTGTTCAGCGCATCCCGGATTGATGAGTAATTTGGGACAAGTTCCCAGTTTGGCAATCGATGGAACCGGGGAAACCGGAAGGATTGCATGGTGTTCGACCACCACGTTCTGGATCTTTGACGCTTTCTTTTCAATTTTCAGGGAGCTCAAAATAGGACGGCGTGTGATTTTCGGTGTTTTTGAAGATTTTATGGGTTTTATGGGTGATTGTCCTGTAATGGAATAACAGAAATCAGAGAGAATAGTACTAAACTTACTCGTTTCAAATTGGCAACTTGTTCCGCAACCATTGAAGCAACAGGAGGCATGAGTGCAGTCGTAATGATGTCTGCAGCCGACCACACAGGAAGACCCATCAACGGAAGCGATCATAACTGGAATGACTGGACAACGGAGAGACTGTTGGGCAACTTCAGGAGTAGAGCAGCAGATGGAAATGTCCGAATAGCCGCTGTTCTTGCAATTGTATCCAGCAGGACAGGGAGAGTTGAGGGAGCACGTGGCCAGCAGCGAGTTTTCCAGGGCCAACGGCTCTCCAGCTCCGCACATGTTAGGAATGCCTGTTAGCAGAAAAAGTATGAACGCCAGCTACGAAATAACTCACATTTGGCAATGGGTCTACACTCCGGAGATGTGCATTTTACAGGAACCAGTCGGCACACATTGCCAGCCGGACAGTTCACGAACTCGCACGGAGCGATGCACTCGCACAAAGGACAGCCTTGGTTATCGCTTTTGTATCCATGTGCACAGTTTGTGAAGCAGTTCCTATTCGGACAATTACGAGGAGTGTCACAGTTGGGAACTTTCACTGATTTTGTCCCTGGTACTTCTTGTCCGTTCCGATCTACGCACCACATTAACCCGAAGTGCGATTGAACTTCATCGAAGTTTCCGGAAGAGTCGCAATCGGGGACAAAGACGCCGGTGTCTTTCTCGCCCGAATCGCTCGAATCGTTTTCTGACATACTGAGACCGGCGATTCTTTGATGAACACAAAGAGGAGCCTTGTGAGGCTGAGTGCATCTCAGCACGCAGCCGTCGGAGCAGCATTTGTGCAGGGACGGACAGTCGTCGTCATTCTTGCAGTCCGCAATTGTCGGCCTCTGCAGACAGAACGCTCCCAGCGGAGCAACATTTAAACATTCTCCAAAGTGTGCGCCCGGAGCAGTCAGGAGCATTGAGGTAGCCCGGCGAAAGCTGGATGTGACACAGGTCAGCCCACATCCATTCCAGCAACATTTTGAAGATTTATCGCAGTCGGTGTCTGTTTTGCATTCCTGGCGGCAGTTTTCAAACTTGGCCGTGTTCAATTCGGTCACCTTCGGACAATGTCCAGAATGCGTTTCGGGTTCTACAAATTAAAAAATTCAAAAAAGGACCGAACTGGTAACCTACGCTCTCCAGTACAACAGAATCCAAAGTCTTGTGTCAACATTGAGCAGTGAGTAGTCATCATCGCATCGAAGCAGTCGTTGCTCCTCGAACACTTTTTCGTCTGCAGTGTTGTCTCGTTGCGCACCACTTCAGAGACGGGACACTGATTGACGACACAACGAGGAATCTGAATGGACGGAATGGAGAAAAAAAGCGGTCGGAAAATCACTCACTGTCGGACAAGGTTTAGTGAAGCAGGGAACAGTTGTAGGGGTGCAGATGGAGTCTTCGGGGCAGGCGACGCCTTCACAAGGATCCACGCATTCACAAGTTGCGCATCCACGTTTGTCCTTCTTGTGTCCGTACTCACAACCAATCGGACTACATTCCGGCTTCTCACAGGGCTCTGAATTGCAATATTTCGTTCAGAATTTTCAAAACGTGTGTTTCCACCTGGACAGTTGGGAGTGACGTCTTCTCCAGTTCTCGTGCCTTCCACGTAATTTCCTTCCTCATCGACGCACCAACAGAACTCGACGTCGCATTGGATCTGCTCAAAAGAGCCATCTGAAAGAAGAAGAGTTTAAGTGAAGAGATTTGTTTGGGAAAGCGCACCTGGTCTACACTTGATCAAATCCATCTGTCCCATTTTCTGAAGATTCGTTTTGCGAACAAGACATTTGCTCGTCTGAAGTGGATACGCACACGCTTTCACGCATCCATCATCACAACACTTGGCCACTCCCGCACAGTCCGTGTCATACTCGCACGTGTTTTTTCTGAATTATTCCACTCTTCCCTACTATTTTTCATCCATCTACTCACTCCAATCGATTGCACAGAACTCTTTGCTCTGATATGCAAGTGCCAGCCTTCTCAAGTATCTCTTTCGAGATTTCAATGAGCGGAGTAGTGATGTCTCTGCACGCGGCCCCGCATCCATCGAAGCAGCACTTCTGATGTCCATTGCAGTCGTCGTCAACTTTACAGGATACTCTGCACATCCTCGCGTCCAGGCTGATCGGAACAGTCGGACATGAGCCCGCGTGACGGACACGGTCAGGCGATGGGCAGCAGATTCCTCCTGAAGCGAGTCCGATTCTGTGACACCAGTGCGTCGATGAAGGACATTCTTTGTCTTTTGTGCAGCTCTCGACGTTCCCAACACCAGAAATATACGGGTCTCCGGATGGACAGAAGTTCAGGACGCATCTTGGTTGGGGCACACAGTTGCCTGTCTGATAGCATTGGACGGAGCTCATCACGCACACACTTCCTTGTGGGCACTTAACTTCCTCGCACGGATTCTTGCACTTGCACGTCGGACACGAATTGGATCCTTTCTCGAATCCGTAAGGACACGCCACTTTACAAACGAGAGGTTCACACGGATTACGGCCTAGAAAACAAATTGCTCTCGCGAGAAATGAACTTGTCACTCACTTTCACAATCCGGTTTCCTTCCTATCGCTCGAGATCCCGGTAACTCTTCCCCAGTCGCTATATCCGCACAAAAACATCCTTCATCGTCACATTGGAACTGTTCAAAGTTGCCAGCTCTATCACACTTCATCGCATTTCGTAGGGCGTACAATTCGGCAGTGAGCGCCAGATGGAAGCACGCTACAAAAGAATGGATTGCATTAATCATCTGGAAAGAAGCTCACGTGTGCTCCTGACTGGATACATGCAAGAAGTCGAACATCCCTGCCGACAACATCTCTTCATTCCAGCACATTGTGAATCCGAATGACATTCGGTTGAGCAGCTGATGTTCGTAGCAATGACGTCAGCACAGTCGGCCACCAGAGAACTCAAGTGCCCCTTGTTGTACTTCTCCACGTCGCCCGGTTGGTAATGCATCGCGGAGACTGGAGTCAGCTTCTCCGTCTTCTTCGAAGTGTAATCTTCTGGTTGCGTGCACGAGAGAGTGCATCCGTTGAAACAACATTTCTCTTCTTCGGGGCACTCGTGATCCGAATGACACGAGTTTTCCGAATAGAGGGAGCACTTCAGCTTGTCTGCTGGCTGGGAAGGACATCTTCCGTCGCGAGTAGACGAATCCGGACCGGTGCAGCAGAAGCCAAGACCATTGTAGCCAATCTGAAACACAAATGGTGTCAATGGAGCAGTAATGCTCTAGGATCACTTTGAAACATATTGATTCTAAACAATCTTTGTCATTAGAGCACAGTGCAGTGATCCCATTCGAAAGACGAGACGGTGGTCCATATCGGCAAGGGTTGAGAAGGCCTGAACTAGATTAGAATAATGTTGGTCAATGAACGGGGAGTTTACATCTGGGAACAGGAAGGCATGGTGGATTGGCGCAATCAGGTTCCACGAGCTGGCACTGCTCATAACTATGCTCACACTTTACGCCTTTGCAAATGTCCACGCAGGAACAGGAGGCCAGGGGACAGCCGAACATATCCATTACATGGCCATGAGTGCATTGGTTATGACACTTCTGAGCACAGAGACGACGTTCTGAAACCACTGCTTGTATTCATTAAAAAAACGAGTCTGAATACCTTGACACATGTCAATTCTTCTCTGCTCTCTGCTTATCCGTGTTCCTGCGATTTCGGACCCATAATGAACATCCACGCACCAACAGAATTGGATGTCGCATTGGATAGACGAGAACCTTCCGTTGCGCTCGCAGAAAGGCACAAACTCGTTCGGAAGACGTTTATCTCTCAGTTTGGAAATGGCCAACACTATGTGAATGCACCCGGTGGCTTTCAACGGTTCCATGCACGTGGAGCCACATTCGTTCGGGCAGCACTTGTCAACACTGCCACAATCCATGTCATTCGCGCATTTTTTCTGATCGGTGCACACCGACAAATTTCCTGTCGGAGACGGACATTGTCCCACTTTAGTTGTATGAATCTGAGGTCGAACTGGAGGAGATGTGGGGAACAAAGTGTTGGCCAGATTTCGGATGGTTGGAGGGATCGGAGTGCTGTTGAAATGGGTGGTGGCGATATTGGAGACCGCGTGGATGAGCCGTTGGAAAGAGCCGGGAAGGTTGGACACTGGCTGGATTGGTTTGTCCGCACTGATCGGGAAACTCTTCGCGATCGGATCGACGCATTCTCGGCCGCATCCGTTGGAGCAACAGACGAGCCGGCCACTGCAGTCCGAGTCTTTTTCGCATCGGAGAGCACAGATGCCGCCCGTCAATCTGGGACATTCTTCTCGATTGGATCCTAAAAATGGGATTGCTATGAACAGATTTTATCCGATTTTCCCCAGTGTGTAATTAAGGGATGCAGATCAGGCGCCTGTTTTTTCAACGCAAAAACGGAGTCGCCTTTGAAAAAACAGGCGCAGACGCCTAAAATCGCCTGTTTCGCATCCCTAGTGTAATTATTGGATCTGCCTTTTTTCCTCTTCCACATTCTGCATGTTTCCGCCACAGAACTGTTGGACTGCGACATAACACAAAAATGTATGAGTACTTACTAGCTGCCAGGCAGCCGGATAATTGTCACCTCTTCGGAAGAGAAGGACCGGTCACGCGGGGCATAATTGACTGCGAGTGGACTTACCGAACTTGGGGATGCAACGGGGTTTTACTCCGATGGCGATGCAGCTTTCCGAAGGTCCACAGATGGTTGTCTGAACGGGCAAATTGAGGGACTGGAGATAAGATTCAGTGAAAACCTGGCAAGGATCCATTGCACACGTGCACACGCACTGTTGAAGAATATCGCGAAGGTATCCGTAGGGACACAGAAGATTACAAGTGGTCGGACGGACTGGACACACATTCTGAACATTGGAGGGCAACAGATCCACACAGAAGACTAGTGGATTCAGAAGGAGTAGATACAGTAACCACATTTTTGTTCATTTGACATACGGAAGTGATAAGAGAGCTCGCGATGTGGTCAGCTCAAGCAGCGAGCGACGGATGACAGGCGGATCGGGCCGAGGAGACAGGTTACTCTATGTATGTTGAGTGGACACATCGCCGCCTCCGACCGAATGGGACACGCCGCCCACTTTTGCGTAAGGTGCGAAACTGTTTCGGACAGATTTGTAAATATTACGAGGAGGAACGGGCCCTGACGAGAATTTCTTGAAAAAGTCTTAGAAAGTCTTGGAAAGGTTTTGAGTGCTTGAGAAAGTGTGAAAAAGTCTTGGAAAAGTTTTTGCTTCAGAAAGTTTGAAAAAGTCTTCAGAAGCGCTTAAATTTTCTAAGTAGATTCGAATTGAGTTGTCTCAGTCGGAAAGTTTGAAATTTTACTTGAGTGAGGTGCTCGTTGATGGGGACGGATCAAAAGATGACGGTCAGCAGGAAGAATTTCTTTGTTGATACGGATGTATCTGCTCGCTTTTGTCGGTTTTCTGTTGACAAACCCAATTTTTCACGAACTCGTTGCTAAAATTGCACACGAACTCGTTGCTAAAATTGCACACGAACTTGTTGCTAAAATTGCACACGAATTCGTTGCTAAAACCGCTTTATCGGTGCAAACGCGCTCCATTGCACACATTTCCACAAAGTTTTTTTTGAAACAAACATTCGTTCTCCTAATTTTGCACCGTCGTTTCCATCAAAATCGAGTATTTCTTTTCGGGAAGCTCTGTTCCGATGTTCTGAGACACTCGAAATCATCGAAATTTCTATTTAACGGCGCTTCCTTTCGCGTAATCGTACATATCCTCCGCAAGCCCGCTAATAGTACGCAAAACAAATGTATTGCAAACTCGCAGTGCCGTATAAGTGTCACTTGGAGCTCTCCCTCTGCTCCGCAACCGTATTTGTATACTTATCTTTCAGTAGAAGCCTGGCCGCGAGTTTATTTGAAACGGTAATGGGGTCGGGTGAATTGGGGGAAACGTTGGGAGTTGGGGGAAACGCGGGTGAATGCGCATTTTCTTATAAAAGTCATCGTTTATTTTTATATGTTCAAGAAAAAGAGATCATGAAAACGTGAATAAATATCTGAGATTTACAGCTCGCGAAATATGGCGAGTCAACGGCCCAGAAGAAAAACTAACGATAATCGGGTGAGCTCTTTTCACTTATTTATTCTGTTAGATTTTTGCGACTGTTCCCCGAGAGAAGTAGAAGAAGTGGCTCGGGACATCTGGAAAATAGAAACAATGAAGCGAATATCAAGAAAATCAAACCTCGCGGCTTCTGTCTCTGATTGATGGGCGGTGAAATGAGGCGACTGAGCATTTTGAAGAGGGTGCTGCCCACCACTTAATTTGTGCATCAGATAGATGGCTTCAAAACTCGATGACTTACTTCTCTGTCGGCAGAACCCCAAATAGAGAAAACAACGACCGGCAGAGCGGCTACGAGAGCTGAAACTCGGAAAACCATTCCCCATTCGGCGACGGAGCCTGTCAAGTAAAATAATTTGTTCGTCTAAACGTGAACCAGTACCTGACTGAACAATATATTTGGTGAGAATCTTGTTTCCGATTGAAAACCAAGCAACCGCAAAAAATGACCATCCAGTGATAATACCCGAAAACGCAGGAGCAAGTTGGACCATTGCAGTTATAACTCCTGGGGTATGAAGGCCAGCAAAGATCATAGCTCCGCAAAGACAGAAAACTGCCAGAAAGGCACTTTCTTTGTTGAAGAAGGGTACGAGAAAGATGCAGATGGCGAGTCCAGCCGAGGCGACGGCGTTGAAACTCTGAGAAAGTGTGACTGAACAGTGAAAGTTTCGATCAATTCTCACCTTGCAAACGAATGTCTTGTCAAAACGGAGTTTAGTTGTGAGATAAGATGAGAGGGAGGAAGAAAATGTTTTGGAGAGGAAAAGGCACAAAATGGGCAGTGCAGCTATAATTCCGTTTTTAGTGGGTGCGAATTCCAGAACGTCTCTCATGTAGTTTGGCAGAAACTGCAGCATGATAACTAGTGGATATTCATGACAGATGAGAGCGAATATGCAGGCCCACAGCGGTTTCGAGTGGAGCATTGCACCATATCTGAAAATTGACATTTTCCCTCCACCGTTTCCGCCAGATACTCACGGTACTCTTCTAGTTCTGTCTGTTCTCTTTCCAATCGATTCGCATGCGATTCTACTTTCTATGAAGTCTTTCTCTCTGCTTGAAATGCATATTTGTTTGGCTGGCTTGTCCGCTCCGAATGGTATCCAGAACACTGTGACCAGCACGGAAATTGTAGCCGATAAGTAGAAGATAGCCGGCCAGCCGTCCAGTACATCTTTGCGAGTACATAGATATCCGGCTGTCGGGAGAATAAAAAGAGTTCCGATCTGGCGGCCTCCTGAAATGAGACCAATCGCAGCTGGTCGTTCGGCTTGTGGAAACCATCTAAAAGTGTCGTAATGTAGTCTTTAGTCCGCTCTCCATTTGATTCTTCCTACCGAGTGATAAGAGAATTGACTGCCGGCATTAGGCACGCATCACTAGCGCCAATGGAGATTCTGGCCAGGACGGCAAACCAGAACGATTTGGATGCCAGCAGCGGGAGCATCAAGTTCCCGATGCAACAGAGGAATAGGCCCATGAAGACCATCCATTTGCCGTTCAATCGATCAGCCCACATTCCGGTAACGATCATCAGAAGAGAGCCCGCATTCTGTGCAGCGAGCACGAGGCCTTCTTGTTGAGACTGCCATTCCAAGGTTCCACCATAGCCATGCACTGGGCAAGAAGTCATGCAAATGAGGGCGACAGCGAGGTTAGATGACGAAATGGAAAGTGTGATGAAGCAGCAGCAGAGCATCGCAGCTAGCATGAGGCGCATTGAAGGGAAGAGAACGGAGGGGAGAGCATATTCTGGAATTGGAATGTAGATTTCACTCCAAACTGAACCCTTGCCTGATTCCTCCTGACTTTGGGTGTCGTTGGTCGCAGTAGTTCCATATGTAGTGGTCGGAAGGTCAAGGTCGACGGTGTCTAGACTTATCAACTGATGCGGAATTTTTTGTCAAGATATAGATAAAAGTAAAGTTTTTTGAACTTACCAATCCGAAAAATAGTCTTTTCGGGTGGCGAGTCGAGGCTCGTCGCCCTGCTCAACTTCTTATTCGGCGGCGGAGTGTGAGGCATTCGGCGTCAGCGCGAAGAATCGGACGGACGACTGCACAGACCGTTTAGTCCCTCTTCTGGTTCTCATCCCACCACCTTTGACATGGGAGGATCTCTGTCTGCGTCTCCTCGTCTTTCATCACCGCAATCAGCCAAGTCACTCTATTCTGCGGCCCGATGCCTCTCTCTCTCTCTCTGTTTTTTCGCGCAGGTCTTCTCTCAGAATTGTCGTCAATGCTGCTGCGCAGGAAAAAAGAGAATCTGTGATTGAAACAGAACAGAAGAGAGAGTGAGAGATAAAAGAAGAGGTGATAACGTTACACCATTAGACTCTCCTCAATTTCCGTACACTTTTCACCTTCGCGCCGAACCATCATCGTTTTGTTTATAGCCTCTGCCGTTTTGATCCATCCACCAAAAGATGATGACCGTCCGTTGAATTTCTTTTTAGACGAAAAGCAATACACGGCCGGAAGTGCGTAAAGACAGAATCCGAAACTAAATTACTGACAATAGAGCATTTTACTACTATAAATTGCATAGTGGAACCGAAAATAAACTTAACTGTAAAAAGCAGCCGATGGGGGCACAGAACTGAAAAAAGCTTAAAAGTCTAGAAGCAACAATTATGATTTCAGGAAGATTCAATAGACACCGCTACAAGTTCAGTCAATGTTTTTTATGACGGCAGGCAGAGCGCAAGGAATATTATCGCTCAAAACGCAAGGGTCTTGTTGGTGGTACCCGTGACGTTCGAAAGGATCATTCGGCTTTCAGATTGCCAAAGGCGAAAAAATCGGCTCGGAACAAACAAATAGATCCGGAAAGAGAGCGGACATATATCGAGCAAGCAACGAACAGACGTAACATTGACGTCAGGAGAACCGAGAAGAAGCTTCTGAAGAATCTCCAGAAAACTCAGGGAACAGGAGATATCAATTTATTTGAGGCATTCTGTGGTGAAGAGGAAGAGGAGGAAGATATTTTCTATGGTTCCGATCCTTCGGTGAGCTCGAAATTGCGCCGTCTTTTGCATTAGAGTGTTATTTCACAGCAGGGGCCACATTGCTCTTCATATCCCAACCCCACATCTGATGTTGGTTCGAGTCAATTCAGAACAGGACACGTCGAATCAAGCAAAACTTTGATTGGCTACTTGAACGGCAAGCCTATAACTTTCGATTACGACGAAATGAAGGAAACACTGCAAAGAAAGATTAAACCGAGGATTAAGCAAGACGATGTAAATATTCATATTCCGTTTCTTCTAAAATTCAATGTTCGCAGCATTATTCTAATCCGAAAAAGTTCGAGGACAAAAATGCAAAAGTTCTTTCTAACTTCCTTACAAGCGACAAGTTCACCTCCTACCACTTCTTGCCGCAAGCGATCGAGGCGAAGAAATCTGTTCAGGCAATTCTCAGATCGGATTTCCTTGAATTCTTGGATCTGTTCGTTGGAAATTGTGATCTAAACGATGACTTTCCCGAGAACTGTTTGAGTCATGAAGTAGTCTCGTTCCACGGCGTGACACAAAATGCCAACCTTCTTCACTTGGCAGCTGCATTCTCAACTCCGGAGGTCAGCACACACATTTCGATGTCCTTTCTTCATCTTACTCTTTTTCAGTTCGTACGTAAAATCACTGTGGAGGAAGAGTTCACGCAGATTTTTAACTCTCGTTATATAGATTTTATTGGCGCATTGGACTATTATAAAGTAAATTGAAACGACATTCGTCATTGTGCGAATATACAATCGTTTCAGAAAACTGTTGAAAAATGGCTTGGCCGTTCCTGCCATGAAGATCGTTTGACTCCAGTTGATGTCGCCGCTGAATGTGGTAGACGTCAGAATTCTATCGAGTGCATTTTTTCTCTTTTTGTAGATCGAGTTGAAATCGTTGAGATCCTTCTGATGCATGAAAGAGTCCGACGTTTGATAGCGTCGGGCCATGGATCTTCGCTGACACGTGGCGTAAAGTGCTTCGAAAGTTATCGAATTTTCGATGTGGGTCATATTAAACAAGTTGGTTAACTGTTGAAAATTACAGACCAGTCTTCTGAGCAGATTGATAGAGAATGGAAATTTCGCCAAACTGAAGCCAGAGAATAAAATGCAGGTCGTGATGAAACTGAAGGAAGGTCGTGTGAACTATGCGATCAATGTTGCTGCAGCGAAAGGAGACATTGAATCGGTGAAGGAAATCAGAGCAATCAGGGCGAGTTACTTAGCTGCATTTGCGGATAATCGCAAGGACGACGTGACAGATGCGGAAGAGTATGACGAAGATGCAGAACTGTTCCCAGAAACAACATATTCTCAATGGTCCGACATGGGTCTGAAGACTAAATTTGAAGAAGATACTGAAATGGATCTTATAAGAAGAGAGAGGGACGAGAAGATCGTTGGATACATTCAAGAGAATGATAAGGCGTACAGGAGAGTGAGCCCCCCTCCCGCTGCTCACATTCTCGCTCAGTACGGCCACTACGAGCAGGTTTGTGCATCAGAATTCCTTCGAATACGTCACAGTGTTTCAGTTTCAACAATTGTCCGATGAGAGAAAGCTATCAGTTGACTTGTTCCGCCTTTCGCCACTCGTTTCGATGCTCCAGTTCAGCGATAACGAAGTTTTGGAACAATTTCGCTTGTTCACCAATGTGAAAAGAGAAGATTTATTTTTTTTTATTTCTGAAGTCATCGTTAAAAACAGAAAGTACGATGAAACTGCATGTCTCGGCGCAATGTATTTGTTTTCAGAGGTCTCGTGATGCCCGTTCTAAAAGTGATTATTTCTAATCCAGACAATTTCTTTGTCAAGCCTGCCACAAAAAAACTTTACGAACATTGTAAGTAGCCTATTTCGACTCAGTGCTCCTTGTAATAAGCCAATTCCAGACGGACTACCACCGTACATTCCACTTCCTCTTGAAACGGCACTCTCGCAAACTGAAAATATAGATCTAGTTCAAACGATTGCGCACGTTTACGTTCACCAAGGAAAGGTCAGTAAAGAAATGTTTCCTTCATTTTTTTTTTAAATTATCGGTTTCCAGTTCACTGACGCAATGATAAAAGAGGACGGATTACGTTGTATACGATTCATACAGGACAGGGCGGATCGCATTACAGACCAGCTTCGTCTCGCCATCATTCTGCTCGTTCTTCCCCTCGTGAACACCATGTCTGACGATTTCAGAACCGTTATGGAAATGCATTTGAACGCGGGAAAATCCGATAACGTTGCCGCTTACGTTTTGCACAAGTACTCAAGGGTTTGTTTTCCCCGCACTCTTAGATTTTCTATTCTTAAATTACAGCCGTTTGAATCAGAAAAAGAGTATCGGATGCTATGTGGCTCGAAAAAGGCGTTCTGCACTGCGATGAGTGATGCAAGAGAAATCGTCCAGCTATGGGGAGGCACCGAAGAAGACACTACAGAAACGCTGAAGTTCTTGTCGCAGGGAAAGTACTGCGGGCCTGTAAAGTCGTGGATGAACAGCCAACTGCAATCGATGTTTATGACTCTCTCTCCTCAGAAAAAGGCAGAGATAATGGAAGAGTGGAAGAAACCAACGAAAACGGAAGATCATGCGATGAGCAAACTAAAAGCGGGCTTCGCAAGGGTGACTCTTGATGACTTAGATATTTTTTGTTAATGACGGGTGTACCAGCATTTTTATACTTTAAATGAAATAAAAACAGTTTTCAATCCGATTTCGTATTTTGTGTTTCAAATTCCACTGTCCGTGGTTCTCAGTCCTACGTATTTATTGTTTTTTTTTTAGTTTTCCTGCCGCCTTTGCATTTTCATCTCTTATTTTTCCAGAATGTTCCGAGTAACTTCGATAAGCGTGCGCGCCTACGCAAAATCTGCTGCTGCTCCGAAATTCCAAGTTCCGGTCGGAATGAAGATCAACCCATACGCGATGTTCGTCAAGGAGAACTTCAAGAAGGATCCAAACACCGTCGGAGCGACCGCCATTAAGGATCTATCGGCGCAATGGAACAAGCTCAGCTCTAGCGACAAGGAGGTATACTCAATTTATCGCTCTCGCCCCCTCGGTGTTTGCAGACTCGAGCCTAATTTCAGGAAATTTTGGCTTGAGTCTGCAAACACCGAGGGGCAATAGCGATGAATTGAGTCTATTTAACGACATCGAATGAACGGCTCTGATCAAAGTGAATTTTCAGAAGTACAACGATTTGTCGAAGGAGTACAACGAGAAGAAACTGAATGAATTCAAGAAGCTGTCCGCTGAAGAGCAAGAGAAGCTGGTCGCTGAGGCCAAAGTGAAGAAGGAAGAGAAGGCGGCTAGAAAGAAGACGAAGGCCCGTCGCGAACAGAAGAAGCTGGAAGGGAGACCGGCTGTTCCCCCGAATGCGTACGCCCTGTTCATCAAGGAACAGATGACCGGACTGGACAAGAATACGCTCTCTGAGAAGATGAAGGAATCGGCGGCCGAGTGGAAGACCCTGGACTCTTCCAAGAAACAGGTAGGCTTTTAAATTGCATGAAACTGTCGGAAAAGAGCGTTTTCAGAAGTATACCGATGAAGCGAAGAAGCTGAACGATCAGTACCACAAGCAAATGGAAGAGTGGGAGGCCGCGAAGAAGGAGAAGAAGGAGAAGAGCGACTAGATCACAATTCACTTGACTTTACTTGTAGTCATCTAACACTACCTCATCTCGATACTTTACCAGTTTGGATTCAATCTCATTTCAATTATTCATTTGCATTATGATTCGATAAAAGACCGAAATTGTCACAAACTTCTCATTACGTACACCGTAATGAAGACAGGAATCACTGAAATCCCCCGCGACGTCGAGTTTGAACTGTTTCTTTCGGTCAGGTTGCCGCCGGAGAAACTGTCGTCGCTGATGTTAAAATGCATTCTGATGACGTCATCAATGCTCGGCTTCTGGAGGAACATCACACACTTTGTTTCGTTGAGAAGCAGTTTGCAGTTGGCCGATCCGAAGCAGGTTATATTTTGGCAATCTGGACAAGATGAATGGAATTTTGAAATTTTTTAGAAAACTTCAGTCTTCCTTCTTTCGCCAATGTTTTCATTCTGGGAAATCTTTAAGAATCCGAATTCTGCTTTCCATGGAGCAAAACAGATTTTTTGAAAGTGGGAATACAGTGGAGCGCGATTTTTATAATTCTAAAGCACTAATACCTTTATTGTCAACAGTCAGAACCAGAAGAAAATGTAGGAAGAGAGGGACGGGAGAGTATTTCATTGAAATCAGGTGAATAAGAATGAAAGGCAGTCGGCAAGAGCATGAATTCTTCACATTATTTTTATGGATTCGAATGTCAAATCGAAATTTCTATTATTATAGGTTTGAAGAAGAGAATTTGTGCTCGGCGATCACAGGGGTCGGAGCACAAAGTCGAGTACGCTGAAGTAATCATCGGTTGAGGGAATCTGATAAATCTGACGTCATCAATCATTACAAAATCTTTCTCCGCAATTGTACAAATAGTCCATGGTATTCCCCAATTCTGACGTTTGCGCCTCTTTTCGTTTCGTCAACAACTGCGAGAGCCCGCCAAGACGACGATTTCCTGTAGCGGCTAAATCGAGATAAACCACGCTTTTCATGTCGCACGACACATTTCCTGTAACATCGTCATACCACAATGGAGGAGTATTTAAACGGAGTGAGCCCCCTCATCCCACTCGGTCCACTTGCCCGTCTTTCTCTTTATCTGACTCATGATACCATCTCTATTCAGGTATCCCCCGCATCGACATGCAACTCTCCGTTCTCGCCCTTCTCCTTCTCGCTGTTCCGTTCGCCGTCTTCGCCGCCTCGTCGCCATACTCTGACGATGAAGCTGGTAAGATTCTGAAACCGTTTAGACGGAGAGAAATAGGTTTCAGAGCTTCTGAACAACAACGAACGGTTCGCCCGCGATCTGGAGCTCCGCAAGAAGTTCGCGTTCGCATTCGCGAAGAGAAGCGCCACCGGAGACGACGTTCTCATCGAGGCTCGAAGCGGATCTCAACCCTTGGCTCATGACGCTGGAATGCGCTTCGCGTTCGCAAAGAGACGTGCTCCGAAAGGTACCCAAAAGTATTCTTCCGACTTTCCTTAAACTTTCGATCAATTTGCAGAGTTCGCTCGATTCGCTCGCGCAAGCTTTGCGTAAATCAACAAGATGACGTCATCAACGAGTCACACTTTCAAAATGGGCGGCTATTTGAAATATGTTCCGATCTCGAACTAGTTCCTCGTTTTCCCCCTCTCCCTCTCTCTCTCTCTTTGCTTCTTTCGAAAAGAAATAAAGTTTTCATGTGTTGTGAGCATGAACAGGAAACAGAAACAGGAGCAGCTACAGTATTCGGTCGGCGAGCAAGTGCACCGGCGCACGACATGTCCGAGACGGTCTCATTTCAACGCACCGCCCATGTGCCGGTCGGTCAGCGGCTCTTTTTGCTCCTTCGATCTGTTTGCGGATTCCTTCCTCACAGTCTCGCTGATTACTTATTGGCCTTTCGGACTTTCATCGATTTCAGATCCGCTTTTCACTTTTCGATGAAATGCAGAGATCGCCCCGACGCATTGCTTCTCCAGTTAACAGAACTCCGTCTTTTGAGGTCTCCTCTTTGTCTTCTTCTTCCACTATTCTCGTTCTCTTTACCTTCAGATAGCCATCCTCACATCTCCTCCTCTGTCCCCTCATCACGATGTTCCGCCTTCCGAACCAACGTCTCCCGATCCCCCAGCACCTCCACCGCACTCATTTTCACCTAGAAGAAAAGTCCATGAATCGATCGTTCGGGAAGTCAGAGAGGTTAGGCTTAACGAGACTCCATCAGTCCAGCTCATCTCTTCCAGTATCACTTGCAAACGACCACGCGAGCTTCGTTATCGCCGCCCCCGACCATCCAAATACATGCTGCTCCGATCGCCGAGCCGGAGTCCACTTCGAGTTTCCGAACTACTCCGGAAGAAGAGAACCGAGGTGAGCTCGTCTTTGCAAACATGTCACAAATGAGGGGAGGCTCTCGCAAAGCCGCCCTCCCTCACACACTCCCATGCGGCGATGTTCTTCCCGTCGAGCTTCCGCCCTATTCCGTCTTTTTTGTCTGCTTTTTAGCAGACTTTTCGGAGGAGGCAGTAGTGAGTTAGAGCGGGTGGCAAGCAATGACCAAAGAATTACATTTAGTTCTGAAAGTGTTTCAGATGATGAAGAAGAGAGTGTCAACGACACAGACCAGGAGATCGAGATGCCTCATGAAGTGCCAGTGGAAGTGCCGGAGGAAGCTCCCGCTGAACCGGCGACTTCCGAAGAAACACATCAGAAGACAGGCGAGGAGAGCCTTGAGAACAGGATAGTCCATCAGTTGGAAGCTCCGCCGGACCGACCCATTATCTTCCCGATCACTCCATTCTATCGACGGAAGGGGTGAGTGAGTCGTTGTTCCCAAACAAAACTGACCAGTGGTTGGTTGTCTGACCGGCTTACGGTAGGAGAGTGATGTCAAGTCGAGTGTTAATCAAACAAACTCTTTTCGATGTATTCCTTAATTTCCAGATCTTGCTCCAAATGCTCTATTTGGCTCGGAGCTCTTTGTGCCCTCTTCTTCCTCCTCTCCATTGCTTTGTTCTTGGTTTGGGTCATCACGACGGACGGATTCAGAACGATCGGCTCGAAGGCTTCGAATGTGTGCAACACGAGACAGTGCATTGATATTGGTGAGCTCGAGAAGAGTTGAATGACAGATGATTCCTTCCTTTCCAGCATTCCGATTGTCTTCGAGCATTGACGATGAAGTGGAGCCGTGTGAGAACTTCTACCGCTACAGTTGCCAGAGATATCACACACAGACCACTGATAAACAATTGAGTTTTTTGAGTCAATTGAAGGACGGATCGTTGAGGACAATGCACGGTGAGCTCCATCTAGTTCTCAAGAATATTGACCTCTTCTAGGATTACTGTCAGCTGAGGAGGATCCGAGAAATCTGCCCAAGTCGGGCAGACTTGCCAAGAACTTGTACTCGGCGTGTATGAATGCAGTACTTCGCTCGACCAATGCTCCGACGGATCTGCTCTCGTTCATCCGAAACTTTCCGTGTGGTCCGCTTCTCCGAGACTGTCAAAACTTCCACGCCGACTCCTACAGGTACCGTACTGGCTGCTCGTATCAATTCCGAAAAGTGGGCGGGGCGAGAGGAGGCAAACATTGACACACGTGTCAGTGGCGAAGAGCCGCTAATCTCGCCCCAAGGAGGGACTAATTATTGAACAAACAGCGACGGATTCCCCCCGTACCAAAAGTGTCCAAGTGTTATGCGAGTATCATCGAACGGGAACGTCTTTCAGTTGGGAACGGCACGCGGGAATGCTGGATTGGTACGCTGGGGACTACAATCTGATCGTCTACGACAGAGACGTGCACCCGCAAGACAGAAGCAAGATGATCCTGCAGGTAATCGAAGATGTCGCGGCAGAGTAGATGAGTATAGGGATTTCCAGATAAAACCTCCGGATCTCACATCGATTGTGGGGCCAGTTGAGAGAGATCTAGTGGAACTTGCAAAGCCAAGCACGACGGAATTCGAACCACTTTTACAATTATCATTGAGACAAGTATGCAGACTACCGCCCTAGTTTCCTGTAATTTTCCGGTTTCAGAACCTTCTCAGTGCGTTCGCTCGGGATAACCTGCTCCGCGATCCTCGAGATGTTCAGTCCCAGTTGGATGAAGTTGCCCGTCTGATGGTCGACCTGTACATAGCCGCCCGACAATCCGCCAGTCTGACTCCCAACACGACCTACATGACTTTTGGGGAAATGTTCAAAGCTTTGCCTGAGGTATATAACTTGTGAACTTTTGGAAATAAAAAGGATGTTTCAGTTGTATCTGCGAGCGTTTCTGGATGCTCAACTTTCGAATATTTACAAATGGAGCGAAGACGACATGCTTTCCGTTCAAGACTATGATTACTTTGCAAGATTGGCCGACATCATTGCACAGTGAGAACATCCCGTGATACTTGGAAAACAAACTCTATTTTGCAGAACGAGTCGTCAGGCAGTAGCAAATTACCTTCTCACTGTGACTGTATGGAATCTGAAACAGTATTCGTACTCTCCGAGAGATCAGTTCGGGTATTATTTTGCTCTCTTACCTTCAATCTCTTCAAACCCCGTCTTTGCAGATGGAGAGAATGTGTCGAGCAGATCTCAACTCTTGAGATCGGCAGCAAACTGTATGTGGACAAGGCTTCGCAGACTGTGAACCTTCCGAAGACCACCGAATTCCTCCAGAACATCAAAATTGACTTCCTTTCCGTGCACCGAAGTACTCCACTTCAGTACCTCTCCACGATCAATCGACTCGGTTTCTACGTCGGTTTCCCGCGACGTCTTCAGAATGAGGAGCTCGTTTGGAAACCGGTCTCTCAGTTATCACTCAATGATACCGACTACTTCGATTCAATGGTCCGAGTTGGAAAAGCCGAAAGAGATTATGCTCTTTCGCAGATTGGAACGTACTTGGATAGGTAAACAGATATTATTGGATTCTCAAAATCCTTGCTTTTCAGTGATGACACCACAAAGTTCCCGATCACGTCTCCGACAATGCTTTACAATCCGCACGTCGGAGCCATCGTCATCCCTCTCGCATTCATCGAACCGCCCATTTACCTTCCTGGAGATGAAGTTCCCATGTATGGAATATACTCGAGTCTCGGAATAACTGCTCTCCAGATGATATCGAAGGTGTTCTGGCAAGGCCTCGATAAGACTTCGCAGCTGGAGTGCCTCGACAACCTCTTCCGCGGATTCCTCGATTCCAACAGACAGCGATCTCCGAGCATCGAACCACAACTTCTGGCCACCATTGAACTTGCCGATGCCTTCAAAAGTGTTTTGTATTCGTACGCAAAGTGGCAGAATGAGCATCATATTCATCACGAGAAGACGCTTCCTGCATTCGATTCGACGGACAGCACCAAGTCTCTCATGCTCACTTTCTCCACGGTTTGTTAGTTTTCCTTGTACGAAGCGTTGATTTGTCTGTTTCAGATGTTCTGCAGCGGAGAAGGCGTCGAGCCGGGCAGTGACTACGAAGCGATGATGAACACGGTGGCAGCCAACTCCCGAATGTTCTCGATCCACTTCAACTGCAACAACTCGAGCCGTCTCTTCAACCGAAGGACGTGCCTCTAGCAACAACTCCCTGTGATGCTTCACTACTGTTTTTCAGTTATTATTTATTCACACTGTTTGTAACACAAGAAAATGAGTTCAATTCACGCCTTCATCTGCTTTTTCACCCAAAAAAGTCCGTCGAAGAGTCCCTGCCCGGTGTGCGCTTTCGTTCCACAGATGAACCATTCACGGTTCTTAATGGACGCCAGGTCGAGCAATTCGGTCAGTTCGGCGGGCGTCTTCGCATTCGGCATGTCCTGTTTGTTGGCGAACACGAGCAGATGGGTGTTGGCGAGTTCCGACTGATTGTTGAACAGAAGCGTTCAAGTATGACCCCCCGTCGTCAGGAAAAAGCCCTCACCTTTTTTGTACTGGTGGGGGGATTTTTCTAAGGTTGTTTATAACGCGGGGGATTCTGCTGTTGGGGGGCTTTTCTTGAATTTTCCCGCTTGACATTTTTGCCCGAAATTTTATTAGAAGTAACATGCTTAAATAAATACGAAGCAAGAGAGTACAGGAAAAATATTTTAGATAATCTTTACGAACAAAAATGCTGTAAAGTCTCTAAGAGATTCATGAATACGATTTTATGCAATATCGACTTGCTGATGACGGCACTCTCGGCCTCAATGATTGTCTTGATTGGCAATGATGTTGTCCAATTCCTTGCGGAAGTCAACGAGAGCCGACATTGGGAGTGTGATCGCATTGCGGAAGCCACTGTTAAGCTTGATCTGAAAAATACAATTGAATGACAGTTCGATAAAACTATTCAAATTACCTCTGAAATACGGACAAACTCTCCACGGTCGTTCTTTCCAACATGGAACAGGAACGACTTGTTTTCAGCGGTGATTTTTGGAGTGTTCGTGTTCTCTTGGTCGTGGCCCTCTCCAAACTTGGCGAGATAATCGGCCAGAACTTTATGAATCTCAGAGATTCCATCAGCCGGGATAGCGATTTGTTGGCGAGTTTGACGTTGGTTTGTCGGCATCTGAGCAATGCGCAAGAAACGTCCACGGTCGTTCTCCTTCAGGTCGAGGTAGAACTTGCGTCCATCGACGTTTAGAGTCTCAGATTTGAGCAAAACGCTCTCTTTCGGCTGAAAACAGAAGTTGAATGTTAATTTAAAAACGATTATTCTTTTACAGCATGCTCTCCAGCTGGAGTTGCTTCCATGATGGCCTGCATCTTGGCAATCTCTCCGACAACAACCTTTGCGGCCGGAATGCTTAGGATGATGCGACTTTTATAGTTGGCACCCAACTGAAAAAAAAAATCATTTAAGTTCGTTTATAAACTTTTGCATTCAGTTGTCACCTCAGCGATCTTAATGTAACGGCCGCGAGAATTCTCATTTACATCGATGTAATAGCGTTTGAACTGAACGGTCAGTTGGTAGGTAGCCAACGAATCCTCAACACGCTTGGTTCCACGCTCGACACTTCCGTCCGACATCCTTTACCCAGACAATTTACTTTCGAACACACAACAGTGATGCAAAGGCACCCCTTGAACCAACTGGTCTGAAAGAGAACGTTGTAAACTGAACTGCTCAGGCAAATCTTTTCATCTAGCTAGATTAAGAACTCGGTTTAGATTACGAAATCTCCTAACTAGATTACAAACGATTTGCCTGAGTGAACTGAATGGCGAGCAATTGTCGAGACAAAAGCGAACGGAAAAGAATGGAATTGCGCATCGAAGATTACCCAGCCTCTTCAAATGTTCCGTCAGATGACGTAACAACGGAGATGAGAAGAATAGCGGCCCGGACTGTTTTCTGAGATCAACCAAACGCGTGCGAACACAACTAAAAAAAGTGGAGGGCAAATTCTGCACGTCCGCACAAATCGGTGCGCAAAATCGATACTCGAGCGAGGGGAGGGTGTAGAGAGATGCCTCCGCGGGTTGCTACGCGATAAAATGAATACATCAACATTTATGATGTTCGAAAACAAAAAGGGCTCCGCGGTGAAATCGTTGCCGGCCGATGATGGGTGAATGGGAATCGGAGAATCACTCAAAGACGAGGCCGATGTGAAAAGGCGAAATAGCTCGCTTTGTCAGTGCCATTGTGTCCTCGGAAAGAATTAAAAGTTTCGCAGCGGAAGAAGATGAAAGCGTGAAAAACAAATGAATATTTAACGTGCGAAACTAAGGAAACGAGAAATATTCCTATGAGAACGAGACGCAATTGGGAAACGAAACGAAAAATTCGGAAGCGAAATCGGCGAATGTGTGCAAACACACTCACGAACTTTTACACGCGTTGAGAGCGGCGGCATTTTGAAAAAGACTAACAAAAAGAAGGGTCACGTGTGGGGCACAGTAATATTGAGATAATTCACGAGAGATTATTTCATAAAATGTATATAAAAGCGATTATCTCTATTGTTCTGGCATTTTTTGTTAGTGCGGATACAGGCCATTGTTTTTCCGTCGCTTCATCGGACGGAATCGGTGAGAACGCCCAAATTAGTGTGAGCTCACGTGAGTTTTCCGATCAAGTTCAGCATTGGAACCGGACAGCGTGCTCGTGAGCGATGAGAAAGCGTTTTTCCCTCTTGGATGGCCGGCTGAGTTGAAATGCGAAGCGGTCGATAAACTCGGTCAACTGAATGTGAATGGGGTGAGAAACGCAGAGAGAAGACGGCGATGAAACCGAATATTCAGACGAATGACTTTCAATGGAAATTCAGAGATCGTGAGACCGGAATCGAGCAAAAAGTCCAAAATGTGTCCAGGTAGATAATCGGGAGAATCAAATGTTCACATAGCTTCATATTTTAGCTCCTATTTCGTGCAATACCACTCGTACCTGCACATCAGAAAAGTAATTCAAAGATTCGACAAGTTTGTGTTCGAATGTCGCGTGGCTCGTTCGGGAAACACGACTCTCGTCAGCAGAATCCGACTGGAGATCCAGGACTGCGAACATCGGACTCCCGAAGGCACGGCGGCATTCAATGTGCACAATCCGTGCGCTTTCGGACAATGTCTGGTGAACAACCAGAACGTCGAGTGTCTCTGCTTCAAACAGTACACCGGAAGGTATTGCAATAGTGAGTGACGAAGACTGATGACGTGGCTCTAATTATCGTTCAGAACGGAAGGCCAACGCTTGGCTGTACGATGCCCTTCCGTTTGGTCTCGCTCTCCTCGTTTTCGTCGCGTTTTTCTTTGTAAAATGCACCATGTCATTGACAAACAAGAACAGAAAAGAGTTTGTGGAAGAGCTGTCAAACCGAATGATTCTTCTGATTTCAGAGAAAAATTGATGGGAATCTCCGGATTTGCCGGCTTTTCGGATCGAAAAAACTTCCAACTTAAGTTGTTATATCCGTTCATAAAGAAGATCCGGAAATGTCGGTACGAATCGGACGAAGAAGTGATTGAGAGCAGCGCGAGAAAGAAGAGGAGAGCGGAGAAACGGGCGCTTAAACGCATCCAAATGGAGGAAATGTCGATGGCTCTTTCGGGGGCGGCAACCAGTGGCACCGGTACCGGAACGAGCGGTTACTCAGGCGTTTACTCGGGAGCGATGAGTGGAATGATGTCCGGAACGGGAACTGGAACTGGAACTGGGACAATGAAAATGGAGACCGATACGGGCACCGGCCCAACGGGATCGGATCGAAGTGGATTCATCGAGGATTCTCCTGCGTAAGAACATTGAATTTTAGATCCGATTAATTGGAAGACTGACTGTTCAGAGATGTTTGGAGAGAGGCAAAACCTCGAGGAGGGACGAAAAGGAAGAAAAATAGGAGGAATGAAGAAATGCTGGAGTTGGTGCAAGCGACGCAGGAGCCGTCCGGGGCGACGAGGTCATCCGTGTCCACAGTGTCGACGGTCTCCTCGGCGATGAACTCGGGCGCGGACACGACTGGAGGAGAGCCAGAGAGGGACAAAAAGCAGAAAACGAAGGAGAAGAAGAAGAAGAGAAGCAACGAGATCCTATAAAAGTTCCCATGAATGCAATGAACGCACTTTTTTGTTATTGTCCCTCTTGGCATTTGCACTTTCAGTACCTTTCCTTAGCAAATAATTTCTGCCCATTCTTCTCAATTCTTCCCATTCGATTACTTTATTTCATTCTTTTCCATCCAAAATTTGAATTGTATTTATTTGCCAACAGTATTCGTCAAATTCAGGTTTCCGACCCACCGCACGTCTTCTCGCCCGATCGCTCAAAACGTTTTCACTTTCGTTTCGATTTGCATACTCCAAAAATCACTGAAAAGTGACCACGAGACAGACTATTACACAAACTAAAACTGCCGTTTCAGGTAGCATTTCTGAGATTCGACCTTCGATTAAAACGGTCAAGCGGTCAGTCGGCGACCGAGTGTAAAGTGACCAGTTCGGCAAGTTGTCGCAAGCTTTTCGAGACAATAAAAAGGAGAGATATGGTTTCGATGGATGGAATTGAAGTGCTGCGGCTGCATTTTGATGATAATAATGCCATTCTCGTTTCGACGCCCATCGGGATGCTTTGTTGGCCGAGTGGCCTCGACTTCCTGACCCCTCAACCAACAATACTAATGCCTTAAGCATGACTCACAAGCCAGAAGACCGCCTGAAATCGAGGAGAACAGTCGAGACGCAGGCAGGCGGAAGATGGGCGGTGCGAGTACTGTAACCACTTGAGACCATGTTATATAAAGAAAGTACAAACTGGACACGGCAGCAAAGTAGTAACACTTTAAATTCATTCATTCACTTCCGAAATGCAGTACGTTCTGTTCGTTTTCCTCTCAGGTAAGATCGTCGTCCTTCTGACTTTCAAACATTGGTCCCTTTCAGCTGGAGTTGTGCTGGTTCAGAGCCAGAAAGGTGGGGGCATGGCCGAGCTGAAGTCGATCACCGGAGATGCTCCGTACGACGGAGTTGGCAATGCTCCGGCGCCGATCCCTCAGCCAATGGGATTCTGGGGCCGTCCGAGATATTCCCCGCCCGGTCCTGGCTTCGACGGGCCTTACGGAGGTCCGATGATGATGGGCGGGGGCGGAGGACCGTTCCCGTACTCGCCGTACAACAGATTCACGAGCATGTCAAGCAGTCCTTACGGTTTGTAAGTGCACTTTTCACTACTTTCTCTTTATTTCTTCGTCACCTTCATCATACTTTTTCATTCTGAATAACCTGTTATTTAGGGGTTCGTGGTACAACAACTTCTGATGACTTCTCGTTCCTCGCCCTCCTTCGTGACCTGCTTCTGAAGCGATAGGAACGTGTTGTCTTGTGTTTGTATATAAATTATGTTTCTTTTTTCATTGGATATCATCTAGCAATTGAATCGTACATAAATAAGAATATCCTAGAAAGTTAAATAACAACGGACCTACTAAACCCTAGAATTCTATTGCGAGGAACACCGGAAAACACGTAATGTCATATGGCAGAAAGAGGGTTCGCTTGAGCTTTTGGTCAGAAAGAATTTGAAGTTTTGAGGCTGTTGAAGTTGAGCAGAATTTCAGTTTATTGCGGGGTAACCAATGTCGAGAGAGACTGAAAAGAAAGATTGGACAGTCATTCAGCCTTGAACGCTCTAATCCGAGTATTCAGAAAAAGGGACACACCTGGATTATAGTTGAATGTGGCGTGTCTGACTGGTTTGTCAGGATGACGTGCGTGTGCGCCCTTCGGATACAGAATCGAGGGTGGAACTTCCGAGTAGTTGTGATTGGTGGAAGCAGCCGCCACGGACTGGATGCGCGAGGACGTTGTTCCGTTCATAGAGTGGTGGGTGATCTGATGATCGGAGGACTGGAGTGGGTACCATCTGGGACCTGTGTTGATGGCCGATTTGTCTGAAAACAGAAGTTTGTGGAGACCAATTGGTTGGGTACCGGAACCTGCAAGAGGTATCTGAACACTTCCCAAAGGAAGATCATCGACATCCCTCTGGTAGTCACAGACTGTGAACTCCAGGAACATTGTATTGAGGGTGTGCGGAGCAACTTGATATTCTAGAACTTGGTTCCATTCCGGAGCACACGAGGAATCCACGAAGCGTGTTCTTCGTTTGTGAGACACTCTGAAGAGGAAGGGGAATTCGAGGAGGACTATGCAAACACTCACTTCCTTCCGGGCAGAAGATACACCTTCACAAACGGGTTCGGGGCACTTCTCGATTGATCACGGGATCTCAGTCCTCTTGCTCGGATCACTTTGGCGACGAGACGGGCGTTTCCGTCGTAGCCGAGCGACACTTGGATGTGACCGTGGCAGGAGGAGGAGTCGGAGAGGGTGTGATGGTGGAGGACGCTGTTGTTGTTGATGCCGTTGATTCGATGCATTGGCACGGGCGGCACTCTGTCTGGTGAGAGGTCGTCCCTCAGATGGCGGGAAGAGGACACGTTTCTATTCAGAGAATGGCTCTCATATCCTCCGGGATGCGTCTTTTCTCTGAATGCACAAGTATAGCAGTGTAGTTTCAGACACAAAAAGATTATGTTTTCAACATTTCCCGGTTTTAAAAGTCTTGTAAACGATATCATTGAAACACTCACGATCGGATGACCATTTCGACTTCTCCGTGGCTTGCGTTCACTACCCTTTCCACCTCTTCAAACGTTTTTCCACGGAGTAGAATGCCGTTCCATTCGACGACCTCGTCGCCTGAAAACAAAGTAAGTGGAACGTGAAAGCGTATAACATTCTCAAATATCATTTCATGAAGTGCGTTTCAAGTGCCTCAATATGCCTTTTCGTTTTCCTCGCTCGCTGCTCACCTATTTTGATCTGGCCCAGGGTCTGATTGTTGGCCGAACTGTGCAATTGGGACACGTAGGCGATCAGATCTCCGTTCTTCGTACGTTTTCCTCCGACCACACGCACTCCGAGATCTGAAAAGAACGCAATATTTTTGATTTTCAGACGGCAACCCGTCCTACCGTTGTAGACGTTGTGATGTTTGTATCCTCTGGTCAACAGAATCCTCTTCACATCGTACTTTCCAGTGTCGACGTTCCTCCGAACCAAGTGACGATCTGGCATCGAGTTTGTCGAGTGCAAATTACGGTAGGCGGAGGGACGGATCTGGCGACGGGCGTAGTTGCAAGACCCGGTGCTGATCTTATTCGGATTTGAAGAGGCAAGTGAAGTTTCTGGAATTGCGGAAGTTAGAGGGCAATTCGTGGGGAAAGGCACCGATGATCGTTGATTCGCTTTGGGACAGGGGAAAGGAGGAAAGAGAGAGAGAGAGAGAGAGAGAGAGAGAGAGAGAGAAAGAGAGAGAGAGAATGAGAAAGTATAATAAATCAAATAGAAGCTGATAGATGAGAAGTATCCCTAGTTATGTATGTTTGTAGAGGAGCGTAACACCTACAAGTAATGTTCGAGTGCTCAAAGTCTTTACTGAACTAACTTTTGAAATTCAAAGCCTTCACAGCCTCCTTCCGTACATCCCAAATCGGAGATATCTGCTTCATTTGTTCTCTGCATTTCCACATTTGTGTATCATACGGCGCCTTTCTCTCTCACTTCTTTTCTCGCTTTCCGTGCATCAAGAAAAATAGTCTTCGCGTGCCTCGGAATTAGAGGATTTTCGTGTGCGCGCGCACTCATTCCAGTTGCAACACGAGACACCTTTTCGAGGGCCCGCTTCTTTCCGAATTATTCAAACGATCTCTCTTCTCTCGCTCATTTCTCTGCTGGGCTCCGCTCTTCACACACTCTTTCTCTCGGCCTTCCAGAAGATGAGAAGGCGACTCGTCTCGATTTACCTCGGCGCTTCTCTCGAATAAGAAACGAGAGCGGAAGCACTCGTATAGATCGCGGAGGTGGTCCTTTCCGACGCACGAAGACTTCTCTTTCTCTTTTCTCTGTATTTTTGTCTGACATAATTTATTTTCACCTATAAACATAAAAATAGATAAGGGGAAAGATTTGAACGTAAATGAAAGAAAGGAAAAGAAGAGAACGTGTTGATTTCAGAAGGAAAGAAGTAGAAGTAAATGAAAGAAGAAGTGGAGGAAACATTTGGGGTGAGTGAGTGAGTGTGGCAGCATGGAACAAACGATAGAAGAGCACACGTATTGAGAAGGGGAAAGACTGCGAATCAACGACCATCGATGAGGAAAGAAGGCGAGCCATCACCTTGCGCACGGCGTCTCGACACGGTCGCATACATCCTCGAAAGCGCGTCTTCTTTCGGCCATCGCGCGTCGTACGTATGGTGCATCGGAACGGATCCTTGAGTTCTCCAGTCGGACGAAGTGGCGTTCGGAATGTCGTAGGTAGGAGCAAGTGCGGAGGTGGACGGGTACTGACGTCGATTACCGTACTCGAAGAGACTGCTCTGTGCGGGTCGACTGCCGTAGTTCAGCTCATTCCGCGAGTAGACCTGCGAGGACGGTGCCATTCTTGGCATCATCAGTGGATCCATGCTGGTCTGTGCGGGCATCTGAGCGTGCTGCATCCCCATTCCTATTCCTTGGTTCTGCTGAGAGAATTGCTGTGACAACTGGTTGTAGTTCGGTGCCACGTGCGTCATTGTTACAGGTTTCGGAGCCAAGAGTGTCGAGTGATGATGGAATGGAGTGGGATTGAAGTCTCTCGTGCGGCTGGACATGTACGGATCGGACATCGGAGCATCGTACCGAGCAATCGGCATCATTGGCGGAGGGATTTGAGAAGACTGTTGCAACCCGGATTGGAACTGTGAGTTGAGATAGCTTGCGTACTGACTGACCATGTCGGCCCCTCGCAAGCCCTGATTCAAGTTCGTCGTGTCATTGGCATAGCCATGAACTTGATCGTACAATCTCGGCTGTTGTTGCGGTGGCATGACGGGCGGTTCGTATCCTCCGAGGTAAACAGGATCCGAGAGGTTGAACATGGACGTCGACTCGTATCCGATGTTCGAACGATGACGTGGCGGTGCTCCAAACGACTGTTCGTTCTCAATTTCGATTGGAGGAAGGCCACTCGCATATCGTTCGAAGTTTCTAGGCAACGATCCGTAGTTGTAAGCGTAATTGACCGGCTGCTGAGGGAGGTTCTGCTGACGGTAAGTGAAGTCACGAACATCAGTCCTGGTGCCTCTCGGGTAGTCGATTCTGGGCAGTGATCCGTAGTGAGGGACGTGGCTGCTGTAGTCGGATGACATGGGAACTTGCGGGTTGACAGAGCTTCCAAACGGATCGGTCGACGAGAGTACTTCACAGCTGGCACACATCCGTTCTTTCCTTCGAGCCAATTCACTCATCACCTGTGCCTTCCGCAAATCATCATGATCGTCATCATCGTGGAAGTCGAACCGACGGCGCGAATGCCTTCGAGCTCTCTCGCCGAACTCTCGCAGCTGTCGGTCGTAGTCCTCAAAGTACTTCTTGGTTATCTCGAGCAAGTCATTGTGATTCTGCGGCATTTGGTTGTAGATCTGCTGCTGCTGCTCTCGATAACGACGGGAGGCGGATCGTTCGCGACTGCTCCGGGGCATGGAACCGTAACGGGTTGTCGGTGTCATTGGCTCGTAATTGGTGACTTCCGTCTGCGTCTCCGCACTTCTCTTCCCGACGTATGTCATCAACTGAGGTCTTCGTTCCATGTCCAACTGACTCCGAAGAGAAGTTGTCTGTCTGATGGAAGGATGATCATCTGCTTGGCAGGCGATGCTCTTCGAAGCGTGATGGTGACGGACGACCGACTGATTGGAGATGGTCGTTCGTTTGGTCGGCGTCGGGTACTTCCGAGGGGTCAGAATTGATGTGGCAGGAGATGGTGGCTGCATTGAAATGTGAATTCCTCGCACCAAATCAGCAGGAAGGCCGCACTTGACAACGTTTGGAATGTCGTCCTCTTGTTTCTCCGGAAGAAGTCCAGTCACCAACATCTTCTGAACTTTGTAATGCCGCTGATTCGCCTCAATCTCTGTGGCTTCCAGACGCTGTTTTCTCTGGTTCAGCACATCTTTCAGTTCCTTCTTCAGAAGAACTCGAGCCAAGGTGTTGGGGACTCGAGCCGTGACAGATGCATTTCCGACCGATGAACGGAGGGAAGAAGCGACAGTGGCAGATGTGAGGGCAGCTCCCGGTTGACGGAGAGAAACTGGCTGACGGATATGACTGGAGGGCTTGGATGAGTAAGCGGCGCCGACGAGAATGGTAGGATTGATGGTCGAGGCGGTCGTATAATTGCTAGCAGCGGAAGCAGGTCGTGACAGAATGACGTCATTCTGGTACATGGAGAGAGAAGATGTCGGACGGCTCTCTTGGAAGATGTTGCCCCCGGCAGCGGATGGAGGACGGCTCGCCGACGAAGTGATGTAGACGGGAGCCTGTTGCTGCTGCTGCGATTGCTGGTGTCTACGAGTCAGAGATCCGCCTTTCAACAACGATTCGGAAACGATGGGATCCGACGGGAGAGGGACATTGTAGTCGTCGACGTAGGCGGACGAAGTGGAAGGGATTGAAGTGTGAGTAGTGTGAATGGTGGAGGTTGCTGGCGGAGGGAACGCCGACGAGTTGGGTGGGATCGATGGAAGTTTTCGGCGGCCCATTTCGTTACTGGCAACGTTTCCATCATCCTGCAAAAGGGTGGGCAATGTTCACGGGTTTTTTCCTTTTTTTTCAGTTTCAGTCGCAGTTTTAGATTGACAGAGTAAGCTATCCTAAACGTTTCAATTTCCGATTCGCAGTGTCATGAGAGAGCAAATGGAATTCGGGGCTCCGGAGGCCACAGCTTTTTCAATCTATCAAAAGGGCAACAGGAAATTAGACTAAAAAATGTTCATTTGGGCCGGCGGGCGGGGTCGTGCTCCCTCAATCTTCCTCTTCTCCTCGACGACTCGCTTCTCTTTTTCGATTAGCCCATAAAAGTGTGCGTATGCATGCGCTCTGTGCCTCGCTCGGGGGTCTCTCTTTTCTCTTATGCGGTTCGCCGAGCACACCACCCCCGGTCCCCGGCAGCCAGCAGAAGCGACGGCTCTGAGAGGCATTTGCGAGAGTGGCGGCGCCAAAAAGAACAAAACGACGATGAGAAAGGCGAAAGACGGGCCCCCGTCGTCTTGAAAACGTTTCCGAAATGGACACTGCCAAGTTTGTGCGAAAAAAAGAAATTTATCAAATTAGAGAAGAAAGTTGAGGAGTTGGAGAAGAACCAAAACATGTCTGGACGACGGATGAGCCACAATTTTTGTCATGTTTGCCGATTCGCCACTTCCTTTTGTGCCTTCGCATACGACTAAACAATAGTTGTTAATATCTCCGCAAAGCTCAACGCTGCTCTTTCGTTTTTACGGCTCTGCTCTTTTTGTCTCTTCCCTACATCTCTCTCATATTTGAAGTGAAAAAAAGCAAAAACCAACCGTGTTCAAATAGAAGAATAACGAAGTTTGAACATTGGAATACGGAAAGCCTGGTGGGGGTGGCGCGGCGACTAGTGCCCGTTAAAAAGTATACTAGAAGACGTCGTAGGTAAGCGTGGTGCCGCCCTCCGCGTCGGCAAAGTACTACTATTCTCTGAAGAGACGAGGGAGACGTCGATGCGAGCGGGAGAGTGGCCGAGAGCAGAAGCGGCGGGGCGGAGCAAGCTGCTCGAGCCGCAGGCGGACGGCACCGGGCGAGGGCGACGACGGCGACGACGACAGCCGTAGCCCCCGTGGCTCGACGGAAAGAGCAGCGAGAGACTCAGACAGACCAACTCTTTTTCGCCGAAAGACAACCACACTTGGCCAACGTGCGAGAAACAGAACAAATCTCTCTTCTTCACAGCTGATTCGGAAATTGAATTGTTAATGGATTTTCGCTTCTCTGCCCTGAAACAACTGCTCTTCCGTGATGAAAGTACAAAATGATGTCAAATAGAGGTCAAGATAATAATGATTCTGAAATAGAGAAACGAACCACAAAATGCACGACACAACATTTATCGAACAGAAATAATGGATGGAATGTAATTGAATATGAATTGAGTGGCGTACCCCGATGTTCTGAAGCCATTTGTAAGCATTCGTCAATCTGTCCAGGGTCGGCGGCGGATCGGAAATGTTGACGTCTGCGAACATGGAAGCCGTCGTTGCTCCGATGGCCGCACCGACCGACTCTGCAGCGGTCGGAGGCAGAGGGAAGACGATGGCTGAGGAAGTTGGGGAGGGCAGGAGCATGCCCGGAGAGCGCTTGAGTCCCCTGCAAATGAGTGTGTCAATCACCTTTTGCCACGTCACCGAGAGGAAGAGGGAAAGGGAAAGGGGTGTAATTAGATTTACCGCCGGAGAAAGAGCCCTTCCTTTCTCCATTTTCCGAAGAACTTACCTTGGAGAAGTGGCCTCGTTTTCGTTTCGGACGGACTCCAATTGGCTTCCCAAGACCGAAGATTGAAGAGGGAGGAGGAAAGAAGGAGACGAAGAAGGATCGTTCCTGTTCATCAGAAGAATCATGTCGTCAGCAGTGGAAGTGCTTGCAGAAGACGTGGGCGGATTGTTAACAAACTTGCTCTGATCGAAGCATAACAAGTTCGGTTTAGCCTTCTCGTTTGTGTAAACTTGTCCAAGAAGCGCATCCACCTCAGCCATGGTTTTATCAATCGACGCGGAAATCTCTGGAGGTATGTCTTTCTTCGGATCCTTCATTTCGGGTGGAGGCAGTGGTCTCGTTGACTCGAAGTACACTTGTGAATCCGTAGTTCTCGTTGTACTCGGCTTTTTAGATCCGGACAAATTGATGATTGCATAGGCGGGGCTCGCAGCCACCGATGTGCTCGTTGTCGGCTTCACTTGCACTTTTTTCATATTCTGATACTTTGCCATCAATGAATCCGCTGTCTTCTTGTTCATCAGACGTTTTTCGCGAGCAATCATTCGACTTTCAGAGTTCGAAAGTGTTCCGTCATCTTCTGATTCATCTTCGGCAATCGTGTAAACGGGCCCGGGACGACGCATTGTCTGCGTGTCAGAGTTCTCGTACATCCTTGCCACTTCGGCGTCGATGTCTTCCATGTTGATCGACTGAAAACGGGAAAGTTGTACTGGAAAAAAACAGGAAACGAACCACTTCATCTTCATCCGGAGACTCCAAGAACGGATTGTGTCCGTGATGATAGAATTCCACTTCCTCGAGAGCCTCCTGTCGAATTCGCTCCTCTTTAATTTCTTTCGATCTCTGCGATGGTGCAATCGGAATCGGTTCACTTTTCTTCGGGGCAGTCGGCTGTTTCACACTGCTTGTTGACGGAGTCTGGATTGAGCCGGAAGTGGCTCTCGCCCATTGCACATCGAATTCATCGTTGGCCACTTCCCCGAATGCCTGAATCTGCTGCAAGACCTCTTTGCCCAGTTCCTCCTGCCTCAGTCTCTCGTTTTCCACTTCTTCATAAGTTGGCGTCGGAGCCGTTGGAGCAGCGACCACCTGATCCGGATACTCGTCGTCGTCTTCCGAGCAACTTTCCTCGTCACTGTCGCTCTTCGTTTCCTCCTCCCCAGTGATTTTTATCATTGGCGGTGGCTTAGAAACAGCTCGTTTCAATGTTCCTGGATTTGTCGATTCGGGCTCTGTCGGTACTCTTCCAATGGACGTCGCCACGTTGTCATAAATCTCATCCATATCAACGTCATCTGTTAATGAATTCAACTTCTTAGAGCGGTGATGTCTTTTGAATAACTCACGATTCTTAGTGACTCTGATTCTCTGCATCTCTGCCGGTTTCTCAAACACTTCATCTGTCTCCTTGGGGAAATCAAAATCTGACGTTTTCTTCGGCTCGCCGAATAAGAAGTCCTGGTGGGGTAACTCGGATTCATCGCCATCGAAGACTGTCTCCCACATACGTGGCTTTCCGTCATCTATTTTGATCTGGCTCACACTTGCCCTGGAATGCGTTCATAAACTAATGCGATTCCCTGAAATTACGACTCACCCTTCTTCCTCTTGCATTTTCACAATTTCAGCGAATCTCGAGTCAGAGTAGGTGAAATCGAAATCATCTGTTGGTTTAACTGCAAACAGGGTATGAACAGGACAATGGTCAGAAAAGAAGTACCTGTTTCCGTCTCTTGTTCCGCGGCTCTCATCTCTTCCGGAGTGTGCACCTCGACCGCCTCCTCCTCCATTCTTTGATCGATCTCATCGCGACTATCTCTTCTCGATCGAGCGCCTTCTCTGATCCGAAGTATATCCTCGAGTAGTCCGTCCATGCGCTCCTCGCCGCCCTGAATAACAGACCCGTTGAAAGTGGAAGCAGGCGCCTTTTCTTTTTCCCCATTTTTGTCTCAATTATTCAATTATGCAACTGAAATGGAAAGATGCACTGAGAGCGAAGGGGCGCGGAAATTCAGACCCGAAAAGAGAGATTTCTTATTTGACGGGTGCGAGAGAAAGCGCGGCTCCACAAGCGAGTATCCCATTACACTCACCATTGCCAGCTCTCGTTCATAAGACGTTGACGTGGCATAACCGGATTCTCGCGTCGGGGATTCCAGAGGCGTCTGCCGACGTTCCGATTCCTCCCTTCTCTTCCTTTCCAGCTCAAACAGTTCGTCTTCATTCAAAATTCCAGCTGGCTTGAATCCAGTGTGTCCACGTGGAAGTGTCATCGGAACGATATCCTGCTCAGATGGTCTGCTCTCTTCCAACTCTGCATTTGCCATAACTGCCATGATCTTATGTTTCTCTTCTTCAGAAAGATTTTCCAAGCCCGGTGGTATCATCTCATGAGCAGATCTAGTGTGAACCTTCGCTGAATCAATCTCGGCTTCCGCCATCACGGACAGAATCTTTTGCCGTTCTGCTTCCGAAAGGTCTTCTAATCCAGGTGGAATGATCGGTTGGCTGATTGGCGCCGGGAGCATTCCGTAGCTGCTTGCAGACCTGCTCGGTATCTTTGTTGTATCGATTTCAGCTTCCGCCATAACAGAAAGGATCTTTCGTTTTTCTGCTTCTGATAAGTCTTCAAATCCAGGTGGAACAATTGGTTGGCTGACGGGAGGAATTGAATAACTGCTCGCTGATCTGCTGGGAACAATGCTCTGCATCTCGGCTTCAGCCATAACGGACATGATCTTCCGTCTCTCTTCATCCGACAAGTCTTCCAGTCCTGGTGGAATGACCGGCATCATCGGAGGCGGCTGCATCTTCGCAACACTCGGTGATCGACTCGGTTGTCTCGATGGCACTTGACTTCTTGATTCTTCCACCTCTGCGTTCATCATCACTGCCATAATCTTCTGTCGTTCCTCTTCAGATAAATCTTCGAGGCCAGGTGGAATGAGTGTCATACTAAAAACGAAGTGAATTGCTGTTTGAACGATGGGAATGCTTACCTTTGAACTAGTGGGAGTGACTGTGGAGCTCTTGCAAAACTGGGAGATCTGCTTGGCTGTCTGGACGGTACTTGGCTTCTAGAATCGTCAAACTCAGCACATGCCAGCACAGCCATTATCTTCTGTCTCTCTTCTTCGGACAATCCTTCCATTCCCGGTGGTATTATTGGCATTGATTGCATCGGAGACATAGAAGGAGGCAGTATTCTAGAGACACTTGGAGACCTGCTGGGCTGTCTGGAAGTGACGACACTTCGAGATGTATCCATATCGGCATTTGCCATGACGGACATGATCTTTTGCCGTTCTTCTTCCGAAAGACCCTCCATTCCGGGTGGAATCATAGTGCTGCTGAAATCATCAAAATTGGCTAAAATCAGAAAACAATGGATTACCTCGTAGGCATCGGGGGAGGTTCTCTTGCTGTCATTGGTGGTGGTCGTACGTCTTGCATTTCGGCTTCTGCCATAACTGCCATAATCTTTTTCCTCTCTTCTTCTGACAAATCTTCCAATCCAGGTGGCACATCGGACATCATCGAGGATCCTGGACGAGTCATGCTGGTGCTCATCACACTCGGAGACCGCGTTGGTACTCGAGAAGGCACGGGCGGACCCATTTCCATCTCCGCACTCGCCATCACTGCCATGATCTTTTGTCGTTCTTCTTCAGAAAGATCCTCCATTCCTGCTGGAATATTCGATGAGCCGCTTGTGCTCGGTTTCGCCTGCACATTGTTGAAGGCGTCTTCGTGGTCAGCGGCCGCTATAACGGCCATGATCTGACGACGCTCTTCTTCGGAGAGACCGTTCATCGGAATGTCGGGCGGTCTGCAAAACAAGTAATCAGTAAGGGGACCGGAAAAGGGAGTGGAAGGTTGAAGCGGGGGAGTCAGTTTGGTAATCGGATACTCTGGGAATGTTTGGAGGGAATTCACTTACGGGATGGCGGTTTTTGATGGGGCACGGGATCCGGTGCCTAGGGAGGAAGACGACTTGCTGAAAATCAACAATATTACGGAGACATGAGAGCGGGTACCTGGAGGAGAAGACATTGTTGTTGACAATGTTGGAAGCAGACGTGGACGGCTGAAAGAAGCAGTTTATTAGTTATTTCCATTCATTTTGATGAGTTCCAAACATCATCCCTTCGTTCACCCTTTTAAAAAGATAGAAATATTGTGTAAAGTTTGTTTTCTCTCATAATATGTGACATGGATATCCGACTAAATTATATTACTACACACGCGAGTAAGACTTTGATGGCCTTCACCAGAGATAATTGAATCTGCTCGTGAAGCCCGCCGATAAACGGATCCCCACTCACCTTGATGGGTACGGCGGCTTGGATTTGGGAGCCCGCTTCCTTGGCCTGCAAAAAACGAAACAAATCATCACGGAGCAGCAATTATGGGAAGTGACGGGCCGTCGCATAGAGCACACGCCACTCGCGTCGCAAAAAATTAATGAGGCATTGCCGGGTGCTGTCGCGCCTCCTAAAGTGTTTCTTGCTCCGCGCTCCGCGCACCGCCCTCCGTTTATGCATAAGACATACTACAAGACTAGAAGAATAAGAAGGAGGAGAAGACGGGCGGACACTTCGAACGATGCGCCCAGATGGGTGTGTGTCTAACCACCCGGAGAAAGATAACAAATGGCAGCGTCCGGGCAGTGTTTGTTGGCATTTCTCTGTTTTTTGTGGACCCAAATGTCTTGGGTAACGAGGCCATCGTCGGCTTGGAAAACTGAACGAAAACGACTTTGAAATTGGCTTTTTTGGACGGGATCACGCATGGAAATAGCGTCGAGAAATTGTGTGTTTGAATGGGAAAGAAGCAATCGGAAGTCACGGAGAATTGTACGAAATCGTTTTCTTCCGAATTTGGACTAGCTATCGCTCAGATGTTTGCTCAGAATTGGAAGGTTTTGAAACTTTTATCAGTTTACTAAAGCCCTTCTTCCTATCTTTTTTTGTCTCCAGTTAAAATACTAGACATGTGCGAACAACCCTCAAACTTTTTCCCACGGCTCCCCCAGCTAACACCCCACTAGAAGAATGCGTTTCCCACACTTGGACCACCAATTGCATAATCACAAAAAATTTGTAACGAGACTTACCTTATTAACCGCATCATTAGCGAGATTAGAGAGGAAGCCGAAATTGGGTCGCTTCAACATACGACTACCCGGCAGCGAATCGATGGGTGTCTGCTGCGCCCTTGCTGGCAGTTCTCTCTGCGTCTCCGGTCCCCCACGACTACTATTCGCGCCCGTCTCCGCCACTTCTTGCTCCGCCGCCGAGCCATTTTCGGTCTCTTCCTCTCCGCCATAACACTCTTCGTCGATCGATCTTCCGGTGCCGACGACGGCTTCCCTCTCCGCCACATTACCTGCAAATATGTTTTCTTCGTCTCGTCTCGTCACCACCAACGCCACCAAGACTACCATGAATTTTTGAGAATGCATTCTTTCTTCGCAAAACTCACCAGTAAGGAAATGAAGTTGGTCTTCGACGTACTCGGCGGGAAACTCTTCGACCTCTGTGTCAATTTCATCTAAAGTGCAATAATTTGCAATCAGTTTTTCAACTATGATCTTACGTCCAACGATCTCTTCCTCGTCGTGGATCGACTGCCGCATGAAACTAAGTTGTTCTTCGTACCTGAAACTTTTACGTTGAATTCGAAAGTCAACAAACGAGAAACTCACCACTTTCCGATGTCGGACTCGGATTCTCTTCTGATCTCCGCAATACTTCGAATGTCGTACTCGCTGCTCCTCCGTGACGCCATCGAACCAGCCGATGGCGACGGAGAGACGACCTGAAAACGGGAAAAAATCTTCTAGGAATCTCTGGGGAGGAGAAGAATCTGGTCACGCTATCTGCATAATATTTAATGACAGCATTGCCGCGGCGTGCATGGCAACAGAATCTATGGGAAAAAGCGCTCGGTGGAGATGCCTAGAAAACACGAGAATGCTCTCACCTTGTGAGCCATAATAGGTCTTTGCTGCTCTTCAGTTGTGTCAAGTGCAGCGGGAGATGTAACTCGATCTGGAGATACGCCGCTCGTTAGCACTTGAGCACCTTCATCGTCTAGTGAGCCGCTTTCCTCGTCGAACGAATCGGCTCCAGACGTCGCTTCCGATCCGCTTTCTGTCCTTTCTGTCATCGGCTCATCAATCGATGTCGCCTCTTCATCCTGAGAGACGAAGTGAACTTGGTTGAACTGAGGAGCAGGAATAGATGGGACATCGAAATCATTCGCAGCCATTTCAGCAATTCGAGCAATGTGGGCGAGTTCTTCTTGGGTGAGTTCTGGCTCTGCATGAGACGGAGCAGGTACGGGGGCAATCGGTCTTGAGGCAGGAAGTGGGCCGACTTCTTCCGCGGCCACTGCAGCAATCATCGCAATGTGGTCGAGTTCTTCTTGAGTCAATACAGGTTGTTTCGCTGGAATGACTGGATGAATATCTTCGGAAGCCATCACAGTAAATCGAGCGATATGGTCGATCTCTTCTTGAGTAAGTTCTGGTTCCGACGGCTTGTAGACAGGCAAAGGAACCGGTTCAGTGAAGTCCATGGCAGCCATTTCAGCAATCCTGGCAATGTGATCCAGTTCTTCTTGGGTGAGTTCTGGCTCTGCATGAGACGGAGCAGGTACGGGGGCAATCGTTCTTGAGGCAGGAAGTGGGGCGACTTCTTCCGCGGCCATTGCAGCAATCATCGCAATGTGGTCGAGTTCTTCTTGAGTCAATACAGGTTGTTTCGCTGGAATGACTGGATGAATATCTTCGGAAGCCATCACAGTAAATCGAGCGATATGGTCGATCTCCGGTTCAGTGAAGTCCATGGCAGCCATTTCAGCAATCCTGGCAATATGATCCAGTTCTTCTTGGGTCAGGTTAGGTTCAACATTTTTGGATACAGGGATTGCAGGAGAAATTGTGTTGTAAACAGGAACAGGTAGTGGAGCATTGAAGTCAGCAGCAGCCATCGCAGCGATTCTCATGATATGGTCCATTTCCTCCTGAGTAACTTCTTGTTTCGCTTCCGATTCCTTTTGAGCACTCTCTGCAGCCTGAGCAATCTGATCCAGCTCGTGTTGAGTGAGCCCTCCCAATGATTGTCGTGGCACATCGCTTGGAATCACATTCTTGATTACGGTGTCTGATGCCTGCATCACCGACTGCGTTGCTTTCCCGAAGAAGCTCTTCAATGCGAATGCGCTCGTTGTCTTTGGCTTCACCTCCATCACTTGAATCTCTGCGTTCAATTTATCGGCCAATGCCGACATTCTTCTGATGTGCTCCTTCTCTTCCGTAGTCAGTTCGGGTTCCTCCTGCTTTGCAACTCCAAAGATGTTTTTCAATCCGCTCACGACACTTGATTTGCGTCGTTCCTGAGTTAGGTGTGGGGGTGGTGTTGGCTCATCAGACTCTGCCATCGCATTCACTCTCCTGATGTGTTCCAGTTCTTCGACCGTCAATTCGTCTGATGCAGGCCCTTTGCGTGCTCTCGGAGTCAGCTTTTCTGGGTCAGTGACTTCATCTTTGATCTCCTTGACCAGAATCTCTGTGGCCGTCTTTGCTTTATCGAAGAACGTTTTGAATCCAGAAATGGATGGCGTTGAGAAACCAAACTGAGAATGAGCGGACGATCCGCTGCTGTGCCGTGAGCCAGTGTCTGTCTTGGCCGAATGCGGGGGCGTCGGATGAGAAATAGCGATGGGAGGAGGAATTACTCTCAAATTGTTGCGCGGAGTCACTGCTCTCGACGGAACCTCCACAATCGGATCTTCGATCGTTTTCTTCTTTTGGTCCTCAATCTCAACTTCTTCGTCGATTCCTTCACTGGAGACTCTCGAATTGGTTGATTCGGTTCTCGATGATATCTGCTTCTTTATTGGAATCTTGATCATGTACGGAGTCCTCGATTCAGCCCTCTCCAGAATATTCTGAATGTGCTCCTTCTCGGCTTCCGAAATGTTGTCGACTTCCGGAAGCATTTGGAGGGCAGACGAGCATCTGAAAATAATGAGAGTTTGTATTTGACGACTGAAATGGGCATCTAACCTGCGAGATGTCATTGGGGATGATGTTCTATTCGAACGAGAGATAACCGACATGATATGTTGCTTCTCCTTCTCTGATAACCCAATAAGAGCATGATCCGGCAAACGAGATGCAGAACTGTCATTTGAAGCTCTGGAATCGGCACCGGACGATCTGAAATCTCTGAGTTCGCCTTGATATACTTCAACCTCCAATTTTACCTTCGCAGTAAGTTCAGAATGTCTCCCCGGTCCTCTGATTCCTTTCTCAGCAGACTCGGAGAAACAGAGGGAGACGCACTCGTGAACATGGCCAAAGCAGATCGAGGTCGGTCCACAATATTCTTCTTCGAAGACGTGAAAAATGAGAAAAGACCATAGGACGGTTCTTCCTGCCGCATTGGTTCAACCGAATATCCGAGAGGTGACCTTAAAATAGAGATTCGCAAAGAAAAGTAACGAAAAAACAAGAATAGAAACAGTGCAAGTTAAGAGGTCATAAACGCACGTTTGAGCGGCCTCCTCTTCCTCCTCCTCGTCAGTGCCAATGTCATAAGCGTCGGAGAAATATCTGGCTCGCGGGTTGGCCACATTCCTATAGTGCGCACGCAATTCTCTACCAGCCTGTAATCAAATTTGCTCATCTCACTGCGGTTATCCCCCCCTCCCAAACGGCGGCGTGTTTAACCCACCTCTTCGGCAATCTCCTCCGTCATTCTGTTGGCTGCGAAATTGAGGCGCCAGAGGAAGTCGACATTGCAAAGGAGAGGCTGTGCGTGACGGAAACTATGCTGCTCGAGAAGTTCATAGGCATTCGGCTCGCCGTCCGCTCTCTTCTTAATTTGATCATGGCTCTGGGCATGCTTAACCTCCCTATCCGCCTTCATATTCTCTGCATCATCTGCGTGTTTTTCGGCTGTGCACGCGGCACTCATTGTCCGTCGGATTGGAGAAAGATGCAGGCCCGCTGCCTCTTGGAATGTCGACTGCTGTATCACATACTGCTGTACAAGGAGCGACGTCTTTGTATCGAAACTGTAGACGTCGGTAATCACCTCATCTTCCTCCGGCAGAATTGAACTCAAGACGTCGTTGCTTGTTTCTTCGACTGTCGTTCCAATATCCTCTTCAACTTCGACACTTTTCACAGCGGAAACGTCTTCTCCTTGCTCCAAAGAAGCATTTATAGACTGCAGATCTCGCAAAATGTGATCTGTGTAGACCACTTGCACACTCGGTTCGCGCACTAATTTTGCTTTCGCCGGTTCATTTTCAGCTGCCGGAGTTGACGTAAATGAGGTGGAAGAACGAAGATCTCTCATGAGTGAAGGAGAGAAATGCGAAGTGTACGTGATGGAAGTTCTTCGGAGCGGAGGAAGATTGGAATCCCTCTCGAACAGTCCGCTTGCCGCCGATGCTTCTGCTTTCCTCAGCACTTCCGCAATGTGATCGAGTTCTTCTTGTGTCAGCCCACTGCTTTCTCCGCTTGTTTCTTTCGTAACCGACTCGGATACCTCCGAATCAGCTCCAGATGTTGCATCAGAAATGTCTTCTGATTTCTGATATTCCTCATTTCTCTCTAGCTCTGTCGATGTCTCTCTGATTGCCGTTGGAACAGTTTCTTGTTCAGCCAAATGAGTCACCATTAGCACGTAATTGGTCACATCATGCACCATTTCCGGCTCTTCCGAATACTTAGGAAGAGGTGATGGTGCATCGAACGATCTTTCGATGTCTGCTCCAGACGTGGCACTTGAATTATCCTCCGAAGATTGCTCTTGGACTCGACGAAGATCTTGAACAGCATTCGGCTCTTTTCCAGGCAACGTCGACGGCGCAACATCAGTGCAAACACGATCCCATTCGTCCTGGGTGAGTTCCGCGTCGGCCAGCGATCCATCCTGATCGGCAATAGACGTCATTTCCGAAATATCATCCAGCTGTTGACTGGACTCGCTAGTTGCTTCGTCGATTCTGATCTCAACAACAGGAAGGACTTGCTGGAAAACGTTTTGCGATCCGGAGAACTCCGCGAGTTTTTCAATCACTTTATCGTTGCACAACTCCTCTTGATTCGTGGGACCTTCAGAAGAACCATCTTCCCCTTCCGATGGTGTGATTGATGGACAAGCAGCGTACTGATGGAAGGGTGGAAGTGAAGCATCGTATGAGAAGTGCGACTCCGGCCGACCTCCCTCTTCTGACTCTGAACCTACTTCCGATATCTGATCTTTGGCATCGTACTTTTCAGAAGCTGCTCCTTGACAACTCTCATGAGAGCTTCCTCTCCCTGATTTTTGGCTGCTGACATCATAAAACGAGTGTTCTTCAGGTGCGACGTCTACTCGAACAATAGGGATGATTGAAGAAATCGGCCAAGCCCCTGGCAGATCTTGTTCCGATCCTTCCCAATGACAAATTGACGATTCCAATGGAACTAAGTCATCAGCGGCGAAATCATTTTCGTCTTCCTCGGCGATAACATCCTCGGCAAGTGAAACATCTCTTGCGTAGTCTCGCGAACTAACTCCAGCGATATCTTCGTATCCTGATTGCTCTCCAGATGAATGTATTTCCCACCGGTTGTTGAAATCTTCCTGTGCCATTTTCATGTCCAAAAGCGGAGGGCTTGCAGGCTCAGCGTCGAATTCGAGTTGTGGTTTCACGGTCACATTCACAGTATGTGTACAGCAAATGGTCGGCAAATCATCAGCCGAGACAACAGGAAAATCAGCAAAATTGGCCCAATTGTCAGTAGAAGACTGTGCACATGGAAGAGGGACATCGTTTTCGCCGAACGACTCTTGATCAGAGAAGAGCAGTGGAGTTGTTCTATCATACTCTTGCCCTTCACGATATGTGTTCGAAACGTCAGCACCTGATGTGGCATCGGACTGGTCTTCATCGAACGACGTCATCTCCTTCTGTACGACAGCAGGTTCTTCAAGCGTCGGCAGACGAGCTGAGATTTGTGGACGAACTGGAGGAGCAGCGACTTCAAATGAAGATTGCTCGGCCATCCTCTGGATCATTGCGATATGGTCGATCTCTTCTTGCGTCAGTTCAGGCTCTTTCTGCTCCAGCAACGGTGACGTCCTTTCGTAGGTAGGCTCATGATCGAAGGATCTCTCGAAATCAGCACCTGACGTGGCATCCGACTTGTCTTCATCGAACGACGTCATCTCCTTCTGTGCGACAGCAGGTTCTTCAAGCGTCGGCAGACGAGCTGGGATTTGTGGACGAACTGGAGGAGCAGCGACTTCAAATGAAGATTGCTCGGCCATCCTCTGGATCATTGCGATATGGTCGATCTCTTCCTGCGTCAGTTCAGGCTCTTTCTGCTCCAGCAACGGTGACGTCCTTTCGTAGGTAGGCTCATGATCGAAGGATCTCTCGAAATCAGCACCTGACGTGGCATCGGACTTGTCTTCATCGAACGACGTCATTTCCTTCTGTGCGACAGCAGGTTCTTCAAGCGTCGGCAGACGAGCTGGGATTTGTGGACGAACTGGAGGAGCAGCGACTTCAAATGAAGATTGCTCGGCCATCCTCTGGATCATTGCGATATGGTCGATCTCTTCCTGCGTCAGTTCAGGCTCTTTCTGCTCCAGCAACGGCGATGTCCTTTCGTAGGTAGGCTCATGATCGAAGGATCTCTCGAAATCAGCACCTGACGTGGCATCCGACTTGTCTTCATCGAACGACGTCATTTCCTTCTGTGCGACAGCAGGTTCTTCAAGCGTCGGCAGACGAGCTGGGATTTGTGGACGAACTGGAGGAGCAGCGACTTCAAATGAAGATTGCTCGGCCATCCTCTGGATCATTGCGATATGGTCGATCTCTTCCTGCGTCAGTTCAGGCTCTTTCTGCTCCATCACCGGGTACTCAGCTGGCTCCAGCAACGGCGATGTCCTTTCGTAGGTAGGCTCATGATCGAAGGATCTCTCGAAATCAGCACCTGACGTGGCATCCGACTTGTCTTCATCGAACGACGTCATCTCCTTCTGTGCGACAGCAGGTTCTTCAAGCGTCGGCAGACGAGCTGGGATTTGTGGACGAACTGGAGGAGCAGCGACTTCAAATGAAGATTGCTCGGCCATCCTCTGGATCATTGCGATATGGTCGATCTCTTCCTGCGTCAGTTCAGGCTCTTTCTGCTCCAGCAACGGCGATGTCCTTTCGTAGGTAGGCTCATGATCGAAGGATCTCTCGAAATCAGCACCTGACGTGGCATCCGACTTGTCTTCATCGAACGACGTCATCTCCTTCTGTGCGACAGCAGGTTCTTCAAGCGTCGGCAAACGAGCTGGGATTTGTGGACGAACTGGAGGAGCAGCGACTTCAAATGAAGATTGCTCGGCCATCCTCTGGATCATTGCGATATGGTCGATCTCTTCCTGCGTCAGTTCAGGCTCTTTCTGCTCCAGCAACGGTGACGTCCTTTCGTAGGTAGGCTCATGATCGAAGGATCTCTCGAAATCAGCACCTGACGTGGCATCGGACTTGTCTTCATCGAACGACGTCATTTCCTTCTGTGCGACAGCAGGTTCTTCAAGCGTCGGCAGACGAGCTGGGATTTGTGGACGAACTGGAGGAGCAGCGACTTCAAATGAAGATTGCTCGGCCATCCTCTGGATCATTGCGATATGGTCGATCTCTTCCTGCGTCAGTTCAGGCTCTTTCTGCTCCAGCAACGGTGACGTCCTTTCGTAGGTAGGCTCATGATCGAAGGATCTCTCGAAATCAGCACCTGACGTGGCATCCGACTTGTCTTCATCGAACGACGTCATCTCCTTCTGTGCGACAGCAGGTTCTTCAAGCGTCGGCAGACGAGCTGGGATTTGTGGACGAACTGGAGGAGCAGCGACTTCAAATGAAGATTGCTCGGCCATCCTCTGGATCATTGCGATATGGTCGATCTCTTCCTGCGTCAGTTCAGGCTCTTTCTGCTCCAGCAACGGTGACGTCCTTTCGTAGGTAGGCTCATGATCGAAGGATCTCTCGAAATCAGCACCTGACGTGGCATCGGACTTGTCTTCATCGAACGACGTCATTTCCTTCTGTGCGACAGCAGGTTCTTCAAGCGTCGGCAGACGAGCTGGGATTTGTGGACGAACTGGAGGAGCAGCGACTTCAAATGAAGATTGCTCGGCCATCCTCTGGATCATTGCGATATGGTCGATCTCTTCCTGCGTCAGTTCAGGCTCTTTCTGCTCCAGCAACGGCGATGTCCTTTCGTAGGTAGGCTCATGATCGAAGGATCTCTCGAAATCAGCACCTGACGTGGCATCGGACTTGTCTTCATCGAACGACGTCATTTCCTTCTGTGCGACAGCAGGTTCTTCAAGCGTCGGCAGACGAGCTGGGATTTGTGGACGAACTGGAGGAGCAGCGACTTCAAATGAAGATTGCTCGGCCATCCTCTGGATCATTGCGATATGGTCGATCTCTTCCTGCGTCAGTTCAGGCTCTTTCTGCTCCAGCAACGGCGATGTCCTTTCGTAGGTAGGCTCATGATCGAAGGATCTCTCGAAATCAGCACCTGACGTGGCATCGGACTTGTCTTCATCGAACGACGTCATCTCCTTCTGTGCGACAGCAGGTTCTTCAAGCGTCGGCAGACGAGCTGGGATTTGTGGACGAACTGGAGGAGCAGCGACTTCAAATGAAGATTGCTCGGCCATCCTCTGGATCATTGCGATATGGTCGATCTCTTCCTGCGTCAGTTCAGGCTCTTTCTGCTCCAGCAACGGTGACGTCCTTTCGTAGGTAGGCTCATGATCGAAGGATCTCTCGAAATCAGCACCTGACGTGGCATTGGACTTGTCTTCATCGAACGACGTCATTTCCTTCTGTGCGACAGCAGGTTCTTCAAGCGTCGGCAGACGAGCTGGGATTTGTGGACGAACTGGAGGAGCAGCGACTTCAAATGAAGATTGCTCGGCCATCCTCTGGATCATTGCGATATGGTCGATCTCTTCCTGCGTCAGTTCAGGCTCTTTCTGCTCCAGCAACGGTGACGTCCTTTCGTAGGTAGGCTCATGATCGAAGGATCTCTCGAAATCAGCACCTGACGTGGCATCGGACTTGTCTTCATCGAACGACGTCATTTCCTTCTGTGCGACAGCAGGTTCTTCAAGCGTCGGCAGACGAGCTGGGATTTGTGGACGAACTGGAGGAGCAGCGACTTCAAATGAAGATTGCTCGGCCATCCTCTGGATCATTGCGATATGGTCGATCTCTTCCTGCGTCAGTTCAGGCTCTTTCTGCTCCAGCAACGGTGACGTCCTTTCGTAGGTAGGCTCATGATCGAAGGATCTCTCGAAATCAGCACCTGACGTGGCATTGGACTTGTCTTCATCGAACGACGTCATTTCCTTCTGTGCGACAGCAGGTTCTTCAAGCGTCGACAGACGAGCTGGGATTTGTGGACGAACTGGAGGAGCAGCGACTTCAAATGAAGATTGCTCGGCCATCCTCTGGATCATTGCGATATGGTCGATCTCTTCCTGCGTCAGTTCAGGCTCTTTCTGCTCCATCACCGGGTACTCAACTGGCTCCAGCAACGGCGATGTCCTTTCGTAGGTCGGCTCATGATCGAAGGATCTCTCGAAATCGGCACCTGACGTGGCATCCGACTTGTCTTCATCGAACGACGTCATCTCCTTCTGTGCGACAGCAGGTTCTTCAAGCGTCGGCAGACGAGCTGGGATTGGCGGACGAACTGGTGGAGCGGCGACTTCAAATGAAGATTGCTCGGCCATCCTCTCGATTATTGCAATATGGTCGATCTCTTCTTGCGCCAGTTCAGGCTCTTTCTGCTCCATCACCGGGTACTCAACTGGCTCCAGCAACGGCGATGTCCTTTCGTAGGTCGGCTCATGATCGAAGGATCTCTCGAAATCGGCACCTGACGTGGCATCCGACTTGTCTTCATCGAACGACGTCATCTCCTTCTGTGCGACAGCAGGTTCTTCAAGCGTCGGCAGACGAGCTGGGATTGGCGGACGAACTGGTGGAGCAGCGACTTCAAATGAAGATTGCTCGGCCATCCTCTCGATCATTGCAATATGGTCAATCTCTTCTTGCGTCAGTTCAGGCTCTTTCTGCTCCATCACCGGGTACTCAACTGGCTCCAGCAACGGCGATGTCCTTTCGTAGGTCGGCTCATGATCGAAGGATCTCTCGAAATCGGCACCTGACGTGGCATCCGACTTGTCTTCATCGAACGACGTCATCTCCTTCTGTGCGACAGCAGGTTCTTCAAGCGTCGGCAGACGAGCTGGGATTGGCGGACGAACTGGTGGAGCAGCGACTTCAAATGAAGATTGCTCGGCCATCCTCTGGATCATTGCGATATGGTCGATCTCTTCTTGCGTCAGTTCAGGCTCTTTCTGCTCCATCACCGGGTACTCAACTGGCTCCAGCAACGGCGATGTCCTTTCGTAGGTCGGCTCATGATCGAAGGATCTCTCGAAATCGGCACCTGACGTGGCATCCGACTTGTCTTCATCGAACGACGTCATCTCCTTCTGTGCGACAGCAGGTTCTTCAAGCGTCGGCAGACGAGCTGGGATTGGCGGACGAACTGGTGGAGCAGCGACTTCAAATGAAGATTGCTCGGCCATCCTCTGGATCATTGCGATATGGTCGATCTCTTCTTGCGTCAGTTCAGGCTCTTTCTGCTCCATCACCGGGTACTCAACTGGCTCCAGCAACGGCGATGTCCTTTCGTAGGTCGGCTCATGATCGAAGGATCTCTCGAAATCGGCACCTGACGTGGCATCCGACTTGTCTTCATCGAACGACGTCATCTCCTTCTGTGCGACAGCAGGTTCTTCAAGCGTCGGCAGACGAGCTGGGATTTGGCGGACGAACTGGTGGAGCAGCGACTTCAAATGAAGATTGCTCGGCCATCCTCTGGATCATTGCGATATGGTCGATCTCTTCTTGCGTCAGTTCAGGCTCTTTCTGCTCCAGCAACGGTGACGTCCTTTCGTAGGTAGGCTCATGATCGAAGGATCTCTCGAAATCAGCACCTGACGTGGCATCGGACTTGTCTTCATCGAACGACGTCATTTCCTTCTGTGCGACAGCAGGTTCTTCAAGCGTCGGCAGACGAGCTGGGATTTGTGGACGAACTGGAGGAGCAGCGACTTCAAATGAAGATTGCTCGGCCATCCTCTGGATCATTGCGATATGGTCGATCTCTTCCTGCGTCAGTTCAGGCTCTTTCTGCTCCATCACCGGGTACTCAACTGGCTCCAGCAACGGTGATGTCCTTTCGTAGGTCGGCTCATGATCGAAGGATCTATCGAAATCGGCACCTGACGTGGCATCCGACTTGTCTTCATCGAACGACGTCATCTCCTTCTGTGCGACAGCAGGTTCTTCAAGCGTCGGCAGACGAGCTGGGATTGGCGGACGAACTGGTGGAGCAACGACTTCAAATGAAGATTGCTCGGCCATCCTCTCGATCATTGCAATATGGTCAATCTCTTCTTGCGTCAGTTCAGGCTCTTTCTGCTCCATCACCGGGTACTCAACTGGCTCCAGCAACGGTGATGTCCTTTCGTAGGTCGGCTCATGATCGAAGGATCTATCGAAATCGGCACCTGACGTGGCATCCGACTTGTCTTCATCGAACGACGTCATCTCCTTCTGTGCGACAGCAGGTTCTTCAAGCGTCGGCAGACGAGCTGGGATTGGCGGACGAACTGGTGGAGCAGCGACTTCAAATGAAGATTGCTCGGCCATCCTCTCGATCATTGCAATATGGTCAATCTCTTCTTGCGTCAGTTCAGGCTCTTTCTGCTCCATCACCGGGTACTCAACTGGCTCCAGCAACGGCGATGTCCTTTCGTAGGTCGGCTCATGATCGAAGGATCTCTCGAAATCGGCACCTGACGTGGCATCCGACTTGTCTTCATCGAACGACGTCATCTCCTTCTGTGCGACAGCAGGTTCTTCAAGCGTCGGCAGACGAGCTGGGATTGGCGGACGAACTGGTGGAGCAGCGACTTCAAATGAAGATTGCTCGGCCATCCTCTGGATCATTGCGATATGGTCGATCTCTTCTTGCGTCAGTTCAGGCTCTTTCTGCTCCATCACCGGGTACTCAACTGGCTCCAGCAACGGCGATGTCCTTTCGTAGGTCGGCTCATGATCGAAGGATCTCTCGAAATCGGCACCTGACGTGGCATCCGACTTGTCTTCATCGAACGACGTCATCTCCTTCTGTGCGACAGCAGGTTCTTCAAGCGTCGGCAGACGAGCTGGGATTGGCGGACGAACTGGTGGAGCAGCGACTTCAAATGAAGATTGCTCGGCCATCCTCTGGATCATTGCGATATGGTCGATCTCTTCTTGCGTCAGTTCAGGCTCTTTCTGCTCCATCACCGGGTACTCAACTGGCTCCAGCAACGGCGATGTCCTTTCGTAGGTAGGCTCATGATCGAAGGATCTCTCGAAATCGGCACCTGACGTGGCATCGGACTTGTCTTCATCGAACGACGTCATTTCCTTCTGTGCGACAGCAGGTTCTTCAAGCGTCGGCAGACGAGCTGGGATTTGTGGACGAACTGGAGGAGCAGCGACTTCAAATGAAGATTGCTCGGCCATCCTCTGGATCATTGCGATATGGTCGATCTCTTCCTGCGTCAGTTCAGGCTCTTTCTGCTCCAGCAACGGTGACGTCCTTTCGTAGGTAGGCTCATGATCGAAGGATCTCTCGAAATCAGCACCTGACGTGGCATCGGACTTGTCTTCATCGAACGACGTCATTTCCTTCTGTGCGACAGCAGGTTCTTCAAGCGTCGGCAGACGAGCTGGGATTTGTGGACGAACTGGAGGAGCAGCGACTTCAAATGAAGATTGCTCGGCCATCCTCTGGATCATTGCGATATGGTCGATCTCTTCCTGCGTCAGTTCAGGCTCTTTCTGCTCCATCACCGGGTACTCAACTGGCTCCAGCAACGGTGATGTCCTTTCGTAGGTCGGCTCATGATCGAAGGATCTATCGAAATCGGCACCTGACGTGGCATCCGACTTGTCTTCATCGAACGACGTCATCTCCTTCTGTGCGACAGCAGGTTCTTCAAGCGTCGGCAGACGAGCTGGGATTGGCGGACGAACTGGTGGAGCAGCGACTTCAAATGAAGATTGCTCGGCCATCCTCTCGATCATTGCAATATGGTCAATCTCTTCTTGCGTCAGTTCAGGCTCTTTCTGCTCCATCACCGGGTACTCAACTGGCTCCAGCAACGGTGATGTCCTTTCGTAGGTCGGCTCATGATCGAAGGATCTCTCGAAATCGGCACCTGACGTGGCATCCGACTTGTCTTCATCGAACGACGTCATCTCCTTCTGTGCGACAGCAGGTTCTTCAAGCGTCGGCAGACGAGCTGGGATTGGCGGACGAACTGGTGGAGCAGCGACTTCAAATGAAGATTGCTCGGCCATCCTCTGGATCATTGCGATATGGTCGATCTCTTCTTGCGTCAGTTCAGGCTCTTTCTGCTCCATCACCGGGTACTCAACTGGCTCCAGCAACGGCGATGTCCTTTCGTAGGTCGGCTCATGATCGAAGGATCTCTCGAAATCGGCACCTGACGTGGCATCCGACTTGTCTTCATCGAACGACGTCATCTCCTTCTGTGCGACAGCAGGTTCTTCAAGCGTCGGCAGACGAGCTGGGATTGGCGGACGAACTGGTGGAGCAGCGACTTCAAATGAAGATTGCTCGGCCATCCTCTGGATCATTGCGATATGGTCGATCTCTTCTTGCGTCAGTTCAGGCTCTTTCTGCTCCATCACCGGGTACTCAACTGGCTCCAGCAACGGCGATGTCCTTTCGTAGGTAGGCTCATGATCGAAGGATCTCTCGAAATCGGCACCTGACGTGGCATCGGACTTGTCTTCATCGAACGACGTCATTTCCTTCTGTGCGACAGCAGGTTCTTCAAGCGTCGGCAGACGAGCTGGGATTTGTGGACGAACTGGAGGAGCAGCGACTTCAAATGAAGATTGCTCGGCCATCCTCTGGATCATTGCGATATGGTCGATCTCTTCCTGCGTCAGTTCAGGCTCTTTCTGCTCCAGCAACGGTGACGTCCTTTCGTAGGTAGGCTCATGATCGAAGGATCTCTCGAAATCAGCACCTGACGTGGCATCGGACTTGTCTTCATCGAACGACGTCATTTCCTTCTGTGCGACAGCAGGTTCTTCAAGCGTCGGCAGACGAGCTGGGATTTGTGGACGAACTGGAGGAGCAGCGACTTCAAATGAAGATTGCTCGGCCATCCTCTGGATCATTGCGATATGGTCGATCTCTTCCTGCGTCAGTTCAGGCTCTTTCTGCTCCAGCAACGGTGACGTCCTTTCGTAGGTAGGCTCATGATCGAAGGATCTCTCGAAATCAGCACCTGACGTGGCATCGGACTTGTCTTCATCGAACGACGTCATTTCCTTCTGTGCGACAGCAGGTTCTTCAAGCGTCGGCAGACGAGCTGGGATTGGCGGACGAACTGGTGGAGCGGCGACTTCAAATGAAGATTGCTCGGCCATCCTCTCGATTATTGCAATATGGTCGATCTCTTCTTGCGCCAGTTCAGGCTCTTTCTGCTCCATCACCGGGTACTCAACTGGCTCCAGCAACGGCGATGTCCTTTCGTAGGTCGGCTCATGATCGAAGGATCTCTCGAAATCGGCACCTGACGTGGCATCCGACTTGTCTTCATCGAACGACGTCATCTCCTTCTGTGCGACAGCAGGTTCTTCAAGCGTCGGCAGACGAGCTGGGATTGGCGGACGAACTGGTGGAGCGGCGACTTCAAATGAAGATTGCTCGGCCATCCTCTCGATTATTGCAATATGGTCGATCTCTTCTTGCGCCAGTTCAGGCTCTTTCTGCTCCATCACCGGGTACTCAACTGGCTCCAGCAACGGCGATGTCCTTTCGTAGGTCGGCTCATGATCGAAGGATCTCTCGAAATCGGCACCTGACGTGGAATCCGACTTGTCTTCATCGAACGACGTCATCTCCTTCTGTGCGACAGCAGGTTCTTCAAGCGTCGGCAGACGAGCTGGGATTGGCGGACGAACTGGTGGAGCGGCGACTTCAAATGAAGATTGCTCGGCCATCCTCTCGATTATTGCAATATGGTCGATCTCTTCTTGCGCCAGTTCAGGCTCTTTCTGCTCCATCACCGGGTACTCAACTGGCTCCAGCAACGGCGATGTCCTTTCGTAGGTCGGCTCATGATCGAAGGATCTCTCGAAATCGGCACCTGACGTGGCATCCGACTTGTCTTCATCGAACGACGTCATTTCCTTCTGTGCGACAGCAGGTTCTTCAAGCGTCGGCAGACGAGCTGGGATTGGCGGACGAACTGGTGGAGCAGCGACTTCAAATGAAGATTGCTCGGCCATCCTCTCGATCATTGCAATATGGTCAATCTCTTCTTGCGTCAGTTCAGGCTCTTTCTGCTCCATCACCGGGTACTCAACTGGCTCCAGCAACGGCGATGTCCTTTCGTAGGTCGGCTCATGATCGAAGGATCTCTCGAAATCGGCACCTGACGTGGCATCCGACTTGTCTTCATCGAACGACGTCATCTCCTTCTGTGCGACAGCAGGTTCTTCAAGCGTCGGCAGACGAGCTGGGATTGGCGGACGAACTGGTGGAGCAACGACTTCAAATGAAGATTGCTCGGCCATCCTCTCGATCATTGCAATATGGTCAATCTCTTCTTGCGTCAGTTCAGGCTCTTTCTGCTCCATCACCGGGTACTCAACTGGCTCCAGCAACGGTGATGTCCTTTCGTAGGTCGGCTCATGATCGAAGGATCTATCGAAATCGGCACCTGACGTGGCATCCGACTTGTCTTCATCGAACGACGTCATCTCCTTCTGTGCGACAGCAGGTTCTTCAAGCGTCGGCAGACGAGCTGGGATTGGCGGACGAACTGGTGGAGCAGCGACTTCAAATGAAGATTGCTCGGCCATCCTCTCGATCATTGCAATATGGTCAATCTCTTCTTGCGTCAGTTCAGGCTCTTTCTGCTCCATCACCGGGTACTCAACTGGCTCCAGCAACGGTGATGTCCTTTCGTAGGTCGGCTCATGATCGAAGGATCTCTCGAAATCGGCACCTGACGTGGCATCCGACTTGTCTTCATCGAACGACGTCATCTCCTTCTGTGCGACAGCAGGTTCTTCAAGCGTCGGCAGACGAGCTGGGATTGGCGGACGAACTGGTGGAGCAGCGACTTCAAATGAAGATTGCTCGGCCATCCTCTGGATCATTGCGATATGGTCGATCTCTTCTTGCGTCAGTTCAGGCTCTTTCTGCTCCATCACCGGGTACTCAACTGGCTCCAGCAACGGCGATGTCCTTTCGTAGGTCGGCTCATGATCGAAGGATCTCTCGAAATCGGCACCTGACGTGGCATCCGACTTGTCTTCATCGAACGACGTCATCTCCTTCTGTGCGACAGCAGGTTCTTCAAGCGTCGGCAGACGAGCTGGGATTGGCGGACGAACTGGTGGAGCAGCGACTTCAAATGAAGATTGCTCGGCCATCCTCTGGATCATTGCGATATGGTCGATCTCTTCTTGCGTCAGTTCAGGCTCTTTCTGCTCCATCACCGGGTACTCAACTGGCTCCAGCAACGGCGATGTCCTTTCGTAGGTCGGCTCATGATCGAAGGATCTCTCGAAATCGGCACCTGATGTGGCATCCGACTTGTCTTCATCGAACGACGTCATCTCCTTCTGTGCGACAGCGGGTTCTTTAAGCGTCGGCAGACGAGCTGGGATTTGTGGACGAACTGGTGGAGCAGCGACTTCAAATGAAGATTGCTCGGCCATCCTTTGGATCACAGCGATATGGTCAATCTCTTCTTGCGTCAGTTCCGGCTCTTTCTGCTCCATCACCGGGTACTCAACTGGCTCCAGCAACGGCGATGTCCTTTCGTAGGTCGGCTCATGATCGAAGGATCTCTCGAAATCGGCACCTGACGTGGCATCCGACTTGTCTTCATCGAACGACGTCATCTCCTTCTGTGCGACAGCAGGTTCTTCAAGCGTCGGCAGACGAGCTGGGATTGGCGGACGAACTGGTGGAGCAACGACTTCAAATGAAGATTGCTCGGCCATCCTCTGGATCATTGCGATATGGTCGATCTCTTCTTGCGCCATTTCAGGCTCTTTCTGCTCCATCACCGGGTACTCAACTGGCTCCAGCAACGGCGATGTCCTTTCGTAGGTCGGCTCATGATCGAAGGATCTCTCAAAATCAGCACCTGATGTGGCATCCGACTTGTCTTCATCGAACGACGTCATCTCCTTCTGTGCGACAGCAGGTTCTTCAAGCGTCGGCAGACGAGCTGGGATTGGCGGACGAACTGGTGGAGCAGCGACTTCAAATGAAGATTGCTCGGCCATCCTCTGGATCATTGCGATATGGTCGATCTCTTCTTGCGTCAGTTCAGGCTCTTTCTGCTCCATCACCGGGTACTCAACTGGCTCCAGCAACGGTGATGTCCTTTCGTAGGTCTGCTCATGATCGAAGGATCTCTCGAAATCAGCACCTGATGTGGCATCCGACTTGTCTTCATCGAACGACGTCATCTCCTTCTGTGCGACAGCAGGTTCTTCAAGCGTCGGCAGACGAGCTGGGATTGGCGGACGAACTGGTGGAGCAGCGACTTCAAATGAAGATTGCTCGGCCATCCTCTGGATCATTGCGATATGGTCGATCTCTTCTTGCGCCAGTTCAGGCTCTTTCTGCTCCATCACCGGGTACTCAACTGGCTCCAGCAACGGCGATGTCCTTTCGTAGGTCGGCTCATGATCGAAGGATCTCTCGAAATCGGCACCTGACGTGGCATCCGACTTGTCTTCATCGAACGACGTCATCTCCTTCTGTGCGACAGCGGGTTCTTTAAGCGTCGGCAGACGAGCTGGGATTTGTGGACGAACTGGTGGAGCAGCGACTTCAAATGAAGATTGCTCGGCCATCCTTTGGATCACAGCGATATGGTCAATCTCTTCTTGCGTCAGTTCCGGCTCTTTCTGCTCCATCACCGGGTACTCAACTGGCTCCAGCAACGGCGATGTCCTTTCGTAGGTCGGCTCATGATCGAAGGATCTCTCGAAATCGGCACCTGACGTGGCATCCGACTTGTCTTCATCGAACGACGTCATCTCCTTCTGTGCGACAGCAGGTTCTTCAAGCGTCGGCAGACGAGCTGGGATTGGCGGACGAACTGGTGGAGCAGCGACTTCAAATGAAGATTGCTCGGCCATCCTCTGGATCATTGCGATATGGTCGATCTCTTCTTGCGCCAGTTCAGGCTCTTTCTGCTCCATCACCGGGTACTCAACTGGCTCCAGCAACGGTGATGTCCTTTCGTAGGTCTGCTCATGATCGAAGGATCTCTCGAAATCAGCACCTGATGTGGCATCCGACTTGTCTTCATCGAACGACGTCATCTCCTTCTGTGCGACAGCAGGTTCTTCAAGCGTCGGCAGACGAGCTGGGATTGGCGGACGAACTGGTGGAGCAGCGACTTCAAATGAAGATTGCTCGGCCATCCTCTGGATCATTGCGATATGGTCGATCTCTTCTTGCGCCAGTTCAGGCTCTTTCTGCTCCATCACCGGGTACTCAACTGGCTCCAGCAACGGCGATGTCCTTTCGTAGGTCGGCTCATGATCGAAGGATCTCTCGAAATCGGCACCTGACGTGGCATCCGACTTGTCTTCATCGAACGACGTCATCTCCTTCTGTGCGACAGCGGGTTCTTTAAGCGTCGGCAGACGAGCTGGGATTTGTGGACGAACTGGTGGAGCAGCGACTTCAAATGAAGATTGCTCGGCCATCCTTTGGATCACAGCGATATGGTCAATCTCTTCTTGCGTCAGTTCCGGCTCTTTCTGCTCCATCACCGGGTACTCAACTGGCTCCAGCAACGGCGATGTCCTTTCGTAGGTCGGCTCATGATCGAAGGATCTCTCGAAATCGGCACCTGACGTGGCATCCGACTTGTCTTCATCGAACGACGTCATCTCCTTCTGTGCGACAGCAGGTTCTTCAAGCGTCGGCAGACGAGCTGGGATTGGCGGACGAACTGGTGGAGCAGCGACTTCAAATGAAGATTGCTCGGCCATCCTCTGGATCATTGCGATATGGTCGATCTCTTCTTGCGCCAGTTCAGGCTCTTTCTGCTCCATCACCGGGTACTCAACTGGCTCCAGCAACGATGATGTCCTTTCGTAGGTCTGCTCATGATCGAAGGATCTCTCGAAATCAGCACCTGATGTGGCATCCGACTTGTCTTCATCGAACGACGTCATCTCCTTCTGTGCGACAGCAGGTTCTTCAAGCGTCGGCAGACGAGCTGGGATTGGCGGACGAACTGGTGGAGCAGCGACTTCAAATGAAGATTGCTCGGCCATCCTCTGGATCATTGCGATATGGTCGATCTCTTCTTGCGCCAGTTCAGGCTCTTTCTGCTCCATCACCGGGTACTCAACTGGCTCCAGCAACGGCGATGTCCTTTCGTAGGTCGGCTCATGATCGAAGGATCTCTCAAAATCAGCACCTGACGTGGCATCCGACTTGTCTTCATCGAACGACGTCATCTCCTTCTGTGCGACAGCAGGTTCTTCGAGCGTCGGCAGACGAGCTGGGATTGGCGGACGAACTGGTGGAGCAGCGACTTCAAATGAAGATTGCTCGGCCATCCTCTCGATCATTGCAATATGGTCAATCTCTTCTTGCGTCAGTTCAGGCTCTTTCTGCTCCATCACCGGGTACTCAACTGGCTCCAGCAACGGCGATGTCCTTTCGTAGGTCGGCTCATGATCGAAGGATCTCTCAAAATCAGCACCTGACGTGGCATCCGACTTGTCTTCATCGAACGACGTCATCTCCTTCTGTGCGACAGCAGGTTCTTCGAGCGTCGGCAGACGAGCTGGGATTGGCGGACGAACTGGTGGAGCAGCGACTTCAAATGAAGATTGCTCGGCCATCCTCTGGATTATTGCGATATGGTCGATCTCTTCCTGTGTCAGTTCAGGCTCTTTCTGCTCCATCACCGGGTACTCAACTGGCTCCAGCAACGGCGATGTCCTTTCGTAGGTCGGCTCATGATCGAAGGATCTCTCGAAATCGGCACCTGACGTGGCATCCGACTTGTCTTCATCGAACGACGTCATCTCCTTCTGTGCGACAGCGGGTTCTTTAAGCGTCGGCAGACGAGCTGGGATTTGTGGACGAACTGGTGGAGCAGCGACTTCAAATGAAGATTGCTCGGCCATCCTTTGGATCACAGCGATATGGTCAATCTCTTCTTGCGTCAGTTCCGGCTCTTTCTGCTCCATCACCGGGTACTCAACTGGCTCCAGCAACGGCGATGTCCTTTCGTAGGTCGGCTCATGATCGAAGGATCTCTCGAAATCGGCACCTGACGTGGCATCCGACTTGTCTTCATCGAACGACGTCATCTCCTTCTGTGCGACAGCAGGTTCTTCAAGCGTCGGCAGACGAGCTGGGATTGGCGGACGAACTGGTGGAGCAACGACTTCAAATGAAGATTGCTCGGCCATCCTCTGGATCATTGCGATATGGTCGATCTCTTCTTGCGCCAGTTCAGGCTCTTTCTGCTCCATCACCGGGTACTCAACTGGCTCCAGCAACGGCGATGTCCTTTCGTAGGTCGGCTCATGATCGAAGGATCTCTCGAAATCGGCACCTGACGTGGCATCCGACTTGTCTTCATCGAACGACGTCATCTCCTTCTGTGCGACAGCAGGTTCTTCAAGCGTCGGCAGACGAGCTGGGATTGGCGGACGAACTGGTGGAGCAGCGACTTCAAATGAAGATTGCTCGGCCATCCTCTGGATCATTGCGATATGGTCGATCTCTTCTTGCGTCAGTTCAGGCTCTTTCTGCTCCATCACCGGGTACTCAACTGGCTCCAGCAACGGCGATGTCCTTTCGTAGGTCGGCTCATGATCGAAGGATCTCTCGAAATCGGCACCTGATGTGGCATCCGACTTGTCTTCATCGAACGACGTCATCTCCTTCTGTGCGACAGCAGGTTCTTCAAGCGTCGGCAGACGAGCTGGGATTGGCGGACGAACTGGTGGAGCAGCGACTTCAAATGAAGATTGCTCGGCCATCCTCTGGATCATTGCGATATGGTCGATCTCTTCTTGCGTCAGTTCAGGCTCTTTCTGCTCCATCACCGGGTACTCAACTGGCTCCAGCAACGGCGATGTCCTTTCGTAGGTCGGCTCATGATCGAAGGATCTCTCGAAATCGGCACCTGACGTGGCATCCGACTTGTCTTCATCGAACGACGTCATCTCCTTCTGTGCGACAGCAGGTTCTTCAAGCGTCGGCAGACGAGCTGGGATTGGCGGACGAACTGGTGGAGCAACGACTTCAAATGAAGATTGCTCGGCCATCCTCTGGATCATTGCGATATGGTCGATCTCTTCTTGCGTCAGTTCAGGCTCTTTCTGCTCCATCACCGGGTACTCAACTGGCTCCAGCAACGGCGATGTCCTTTCGTAGGTCGGCTCATGATCGAAGGATCTCTCGAAATCGGCACCTGACGTGGCATCCGACTTGTCTTCATCGAACGACGTCATCTCCTTCTGTGCGACAGCAGGTTCTTCAAGCGTCGGCAGACGAGCTGGGATTGGCGGACGAACTGGTGGAGCAGCGACTTCAAATGAAGATTGCTCGGCCATCCTCTGGATCATTGCGATATGGTCGATCTCTTCTTGCGTCAGTTCAGGCTCTTTCTGCTCCATCACCGGGTACTCAACTGGCTCCAGCAACGGCGATGTCCTTTCGTAGGTCGGCTCATGATCGAAGGATCTCTCGAAATCGGCACCTGATGTGGCATCCGACTTGTCTTCATCGAACGACGTCATCTCCTTCTGTGCGACAGCAGGTTCTTCAAGCGTCGGCAGACGAGCTGGGATTGGCGGACGAACTGGTGGAGCAGCGACTTCAAATGAAGATTGCTCGGCCATCCTCTGGATCATTGCGATATGGTCGATCTCTTCTTGCGCCAGTTCAGGCTCTTTCTGCTCCATCACCGGGTACTCAACTGGCTCCAGCAACGGCGATGTCCTTTCGTAGGTCGGCTCATGATCGAAGGATCTCTCGAAATCGGCACCTGACGTGGCATCCGACTTGTCTTCATCGAACGACGTCATCTCCTTCTGTGCGACAGCAGGTTCTTCAAGCGTCGGCAGACGAGCTGGGATTGGCGGACGAACTGGTGGAGCAGCGACTTCAAATGAAGATTGCTCGGCCATCCTCTGGATCATTGCGATATGGTCGATCTCTTCTTGCGTCAGTTCAGGCTCTTTCTGCTCCATCACCGGGTACTCAACTGGCTCCAGCAACGGCGATGTCCTTTCGTAGGTCGGCTCATGATCGAAGGATCTCTCGAAATCGGCACCTGACGTGGCATCCGACTTGTCTTCATCGAACGACGTCATCTCCTTCTGTGCGACAGCAGGTTCTTCAAGCGTCGGCAGACGAGCTGGGATTGGCGGACGAACTGGTGGAGCAGCGACTTCAAATGAAGATTGCTCGGCCATCCTCTGGATCATTGCGATATGGTCGATCTCTTCTTGAGTCAGTTCAGGCTCTTTCTGCTCCATCACCGGGTACTCAACTGGCTCCAGCAACGGTGATGTCCTTTCGTAGGTCGGCTCATGATCGAAGGATCTCTCGAAATCGGCACCTGATGTGGCATCCGACTTGTCTTCATCGAACGACGTCATCTCCTTCTGTGCGACAGCAGGTTCTTCAAGCGTCGGCAGACGAGCTGGGATTGGCGGACGAACTGGTGGAGCGGCGACTTCAAATGAAGATTGCTCGGCCATCCTCTGGATCATTGCGATATGGTCGATCTCTTCTTGAGTCAGTTCAGGCTCTTTCTGCTCCATCACCGGGTACTCAACTGGCTCCAGCAACGGCGATGTCCTTTCGTAGGTCGGCTCATGATCGAAGGATCTCTCGAAATCGGCACCTGATGTGGCATCCGACTTGTCTTCATCGAACGACGTCATCTCCTTCTGTGCGACAGCAGGTTCTTCAAGCGTCGGCAGACGAGCTGGGATTGGCGGACGAACTGGTGGAGCAGCGACTTCAAATGAAGATTGCTCGGCCATCCTCTGGATCATTGCGATATGGTCGATCTCTTCTTGCGTCAGTTCAGGCTCTTTCTGCTCCATCACCGGGTACTCAACTGGCTCCAGCAACGGCGATGTCCTTTCGTAGGTCGGCTCATGATCGAAGGATCTCTCGAAATCGGCACCTGACGTGGCATCCGACTTGTCTTCATCGAACGACGTCATCTCCTTCTGTGCGACAGCAGGTTCTTCAAGCGTCGGCAGACGAGCTGGGATTGGCGGACGAACTGGTGGAGCAACGACTTCAAATGAAGATTGCTCGGCCATCCTCTGGATCATTGCGATATGGTCGATCTCTTCTTGCGTCAGTTCAGGCTCTTTCTGCTCCATCACCGGGTACTCAACTGGCTCCAGCAACGGCGATGTCCTTTCGTAGGTCGGCTCATGATCGAAGGATCTCTCGAAATCGGCACCTGACGTGGCATCCGACTTGTCTTCATCGAACGACGTCATCTCCTTCTGTGCGACAGCAGGTTCTTCAAGCGTCGGCAGACGAGCTGGGATTGGCGGACGAACTGGTGGAGCAGCGACTTCAAATGAAGATTGCTCGGCCATCCTCTGGATCATTGCGATATGGTCGATCTCTTCTTGCGTCAGTTCAGGCTCTTTCTGCTCCATCACCGGGTACTCAACTGGCTCCAGCAACGGCGATGTCCTTTCGTAGGTCGGCTCATGATCGAAGGATCTCTCGAAATCGGCACCTGATGTGGCATCCGACTTGTCTTCATCGAACGACGTCATCTCCTTCTGTGCGACAGCAGGTTCTTCAAGCGTCGGCAGACGAGCTGGGATTGGCGGACGAACTGGTGGAGCAGCGACTTCAAATGAAGATTGCTCGGCCATCCTCTGGATCATTGCGATATGGTCGATCTCTTCTTGCGCCAGTTCAGGCTCTTTCTGCTCCATCACCGGGTACTCAACTGGCTCCAGCAACGGCGATGTCCTTTCGTAGGTCGGCTCATGATCGAAGGATCTCTCGAAATCGGCACCTGACGTGGCATCCGACTTGTCTTCATCGAACGACGTCATCTCCTTCTGTGCGACAGCAGGTTCTTCAAGCGTCGGCAGACGAGCTGGGATTGGCGGACGAACTGGTGGAGCAGCGACTTCAAATGAAGATTGCTCGGCCATCCTCTGGATCATTGCGATATGGTCGATCTCTTCTTGCGTCAGTTCAGGCTCTTTCTGCTCCATCACCGGGTACTCAACTGGCTCCAGCAACGGCGATGTCCTTTCGTAGGTCGGCTCATGATCGAAGGATCTCTCGAAATCGGCACCTGACGTGGCATCCGACTTGTCTTCATCGAACGACGTCATCTCCTTCTGTGCGACAGCAGGTTCTTCAAGCGTCGGCAGACGAGCTGGGATTGGCGGACGAACTGGTGGAGCAGCGACTTCAAATGAAGATTGCTCGGCCATCCTCTGGATCATTGCGATATGGTCGATCTCTTCTTGAGTCAGTTCAGGCTCTTTCTGCTCCATCACCGGGTACTCAACTGGCTCCAGCAACGGTGATGTCCTTTCGTAGGTCGGCTCATGATCGAAGGATCTCTCGAAATCGGCACCTGATGTGGCATCCGACTTGTCTTCATCGAACGACGTCATCTCCTTCTGTGCGACAGCAGGTTCTTCAAGCGTCGGCAGACGAGCTGGGATTGGCGGACGAACTGGTGGAGCAGCGACTTCAAATGAAGATTGCTCGGCCATCCTCTGGATCATTGCGATATGGTCGATCTCTTCTTGAGTCAGTTCAGGCTCTTTCTGCTCCATCACCGGGTACTCAACTGGCTCCAGCAACGGCGATGTCCTTTCGTAGGTCGGCTCATGATCGAAGGATCTCTCGAAATCGGCACCTGATGTGGCATCCGACTTGTCTTCATCGAACGACGTCATCTCCTTCTGTGCGACAGCAGGTTCTTCAAGCGTCGGCAGACGAGCTGGGATTGGCGGACGAACTGGTGGAGCAGCGACTTCAAATGAAGATTGCTCGGCCATCCTCTGGATCATTGCGATATGGTCGATCTCTTCTTGAGTCAGTTCAGGCTCTTTCTGCTCCATCACCGGGTACTCAACTGGCTCCAGCAACGGCGATGTCCTTTCGTAGGTCGGCTCATGATCGAAGGATCTCTCGAAATCGGCACCTGATGTGGCATCCGACTTGTCTTCATCGAACGACGTCATCTCCTTCTGTGCGACAGCAGGTTCTTCAAGCGTCGGCAGACGAGCTGGGATTGGCGGACGAACTGGTGGAGCAGCGACTTCAAATGAAGATTGCTCGGCCATCCTCTGGATCATTGCGATATGGTCGATCTCTTCTTGCGTCAGTTCAGGCTCTTTCTGCTCCATCACCGGGTACTCAACTGGCTCCAGCAACGGCGATGTCCTTTCGTAGGTCGGCTCATGATCGAAGGATCTCTCGAAATCGGCACCTGACGTGGCATCCGACTTGTCTTCATCGAACGACGTCATCTCCTTCTGTGCGACAGCAGGTTCTTCAAGCGTCGGCAGACGAGCTGGGATTGGCGGACGAACTGGTGGAGCAACGACTTCAAATGAAGATTGCTCGGCCATCCTCTGGATCATTGCGATATGGTCGATCTCTTCTTGCGTCAGTTCAGGCTCTTTCTGCTCCATCACCGGGTACTCAACTGGCTCCAGCAACGGCGATGTCCTTTCGTAGGTCGGCTCATGATCGAAGGATCTCTCGAAATCGGCACCTGACGTGGCATCCGACTTGTCTTCATCGAACGACGTCATCTCCTTCTGTGCGACAGCAGGTTCTTCAAGCGTCGGCAGACGAGCTGGGATTGGCGGACGAACTGGTGGAGCAGCGACTTCAAATGAAGATTGCTCGGCCATCCTCTGGATCATTGCGATATGGTCGATCTCTTCTTGCGTCAGTTCAGGCTCTTTCTGCTCCATCACCGGGTACTCAACTGGCTCCAGCAACGGCGATGTCCTTTCGTAGGTCGGCTCATGATCGAAGGATCTCTCGAAATCGGCACCTGACGTGGCATCCGACTTGTCTTCATCGAACGACGTCATCTCCTTCTGTGCGACAGCAGGTTCTTCAAGCGTCGGCAGACGAGCTGGGATTGGCGGACGAACTGGTGGAGCAGCGACTTCAAATGAAGATTGCTCGGCCATCCTCTGGATCATTGCGATATGGTCGATCTCTTCTTGAGTCAGTTCAGGCTCTTTTCTGCTCCATCACCGGGTACTCAACTGGCTCCAGCAACGGTGATGTCCTTTCGTAGGTCGGCTCATGATCGAAGGATCTCTCGAAATCGGCACCTGATGTGGCATCCGACTTGTCTTCATCGAACGACGTCATCTCCTTCTGTGCGACAGCAGGTTCTTCAAGCGTCGGCAGACGAGCTGGGATTGGCGGACGAACTGGTGGAGCGGCGACTTCAAATGAAGATTGCTCGGCCATCCTCTGGATCATTGCGATATGGTCGATCTCTTCTTGCGTCAGTTCAGGCTCTTTCTGCTCCATCACCGGGTACTCAACTGGCTCCAGCAACGGCGATGTCCTTTCGTAGGTCGGCTCATGATCGAAGGATCTCTCGAAATCGGCACCTGACGTGGCATCCGACTTGTCTTCATCGAACGACGTCATCTCCTTCTGTGCGACAGCAGGTTCTTCAAGCGTCGGCAGACGAGCTGGGATTGGCGGACGAACTGGTGGAGCAGCGACTTCAAATGAAGATTGCTCGGCCATCCTCTGGATCATTGCGATATGGTCGATCTCTTCTTGAGTCAGTTCAGGCTCTTTCTGCTCCATCACCGGGTACTCAACTGGCTCCAGCAACGGTGATGTCCTTTCGTAGGTCGGCTCATGATCGAAGGATCTCTCGAAATCGGCACCTGATGTGGCATCCGACTTGTCTTCATCGAACGACGTCATCTCCTTCTGTGCGACAGCAGGTTCTTCAAGCGTCGGCAGACGAGCTGGGATTGGCGGACGAACTGGTGGAGCGGCGACTTCAAATGAAGATTGCTCGGCCATCCTCTGGATCATTGCGATATGGTCGATCTCTTCTTGCGTCAGTTCAGGCTCTTTCTGCTCCATCACCGGGTACTCAACTGGCTCCAGCAACGGCGATGTCCTTTCGTAGGTCGGCTCATGATCGAAGGATCTCTCGAAATCGGCACCTGATGTGGCATCCGACTTGTCTTCATCGAACGACGTCATCTCCTTCTGTGCGACAGCAGGTTCTTCAAGCGTCGGCAGACGAGCTGGGATTGGCGGACGAACTGGTGGAGCGGCGACTTCAAATGAAGATTGCTCGGCCATCCTCTGAATCATTGCGATATGGTCGATCTCTTCTTGCGTCAGTTCAGGCTCTTTCTGCTCCATCACCGGGTACTCAACTGGCTCCAGCAACGGCGATGTCCTTTCGTAGGTCGGCTCATGATCGAAGGATCTCTCGAAATCGGCACCTGATGTGGCATCCGACTTGTCTTCATCGAACGACGTCATCTCCTTCTGTGCGACAGCAGGTTCTTCAAGCGTCGGCAGACGAGCTGGGATTGGCGGACGAACTGGTGGAGCGGCGACTTCAAATGAAGATTGCTCGGCCATCCTCTGAATCATTGCGATATGGTCGATCTCTTCTTGCGTCAGTTCAGGCTCTTTCTGCTCCATCACCGGGTACTCAACTGGCTCCAGCAACGGCGATGTCCTTTCGTAGGTCGGCTCATGATCGAAGGATCTCTCGAAATCGGCACCTGATGTGGCATCCGACTTGTCTTCATCGAACGACGTCATCTCCTTCTGTGCGACAGCAGGTTCTTCAAGCGTCGGCAGACGAGCTGGGATTGGCGGACGAACTGGTGGAGCAACGACTTCAAATGAAGATTGCTCGGCCATCCTCTGGATCATTGCGATATGGTCGATCTCTTCTTGCGTCAGTTCAGGCTCTTTCTGCTCCATCACCGGGTACTCAACTGGCTCCAGCAACGGCGATGTCCTTTCGTAGGTCGGCTCATGATCGAAGGATCTCTCGAAATCGGCACCTGACGTGGCATCCGACTTGTCTTCATCGAACGACGTCATCTCCTTCTGTGCGACAGCAGGTTCTTCAAGCGTCGGCAGACGAGCTGGGATTGGCGGACGAACTGGTGGAGCAGCGACTTCAAATGAAGATTGCTCGGCCATCCTCTGGATCATTGCGATATGGTCGATCTCTTCTTGCGTCAGTTCAGGATCTTTCTGCTCCATCACCGGGTACTCAACTGGCTCCAGCAACGGTGATGTCCTTTCGTAGGTCTGCTCATGATCGAAGGATCTCTCGAAATCAGCACCTGATGTGGCATCCGACTTGTCTTCATCGAACGACGTCATCTCCTTCTGTGCGACAGCAGGTTCTTCAAGCGTCGGCAGACGATCTGGGATTGGCGGACGAACTGGTGGAGCAGCGACTTCAAATGAAGATTGCTCGGCCATCCTCTCGATCACAGCGATATGGTCGATCTCTTCCTGTGTCAGTTCAGGCTCTTTCTGCTCCATCACCGGGTACTCAACTGGCTCCAGCAACGGTGATGTCCTTTCGTAGGTCTGCTCATGATCGAAGGATCTCTCGAAATCAGCACCTGATGTGGCATCCGACTTGTCTTCATCGAACGACGTCATCTCCTTCTGTGCGACAGCAGGTTCTTCAAGCGTCGGCAGACGATCTGGGATTGGCGGACGAACTGGTGGAGCAGCGACTTCAAATGAAGATTGCTCGGCCATCCTCTCGATCACAGCGATATGGTCGATCTCTTCCTGTGTCAGTTCAGGCTCTTTCTGCTCCAGCAACGGTGACGTCCTTTCGTATGTCGGCTCATGATCGAAGGATCTCTCGAAATCAGCACCTGACATGGCATCCGACTTGTCTTCATCGAACGACTTCGTCTCCGGAAGAATAACTTCATTCCGATGATCATTTGTTTCAAAGTGTAGCTGTTCAGGAGACAGGTTCCCTATTGCCCGGCCGAAATCCTTCTCATACTCGTCCGCCAAAAAGATGGCAGTACTAGGTACCAATGGGGAAGAAACTGAATCTCTCTGGAACAATTCCGCGTACTTCATGTTTTCTTCTGGTTCCTTGTCGGCACTGTTCTCTCGTGTTCGAGGCCGTTTCGTCTCAGCTACTAGTTTTTCTATGAAAGAGTTCATTTCTGAGGGTTCCACTTTCCATTCTTTTCTCTCTGCGTCTTTGATCGTCTCTTCTGTTTTAACTTCATTTTCTTCCGGTTCCGTAACTTTTTCTATCATCGTCCGTATGTATTCTTGTACATTCATAGCCATTTTGGGTTCGACATTCTCTTCGAACGGCTGCATACTCTCCGCACTGCTTTCCGTCCTCGTTTCTTCATCTTGTTCCTCTATTATCCTTCCCAAAGGTCCTGTCATCCACATGTAGTCGCTTTCCAATTGTCTTGAGTACATAGAATTCTCTTTGCACTCGACGTCTCTGTCCAGATCTACACTCGCTGATTCCAGATTGTCATACTGTTCTTCGGAAACTATGACTTCGTCGTCCTGTGATTCCAGTGAGACTGCTCGGGAAATCTTGTAAGGTTCTTGCAGATCGAACACTTCCTCGACATACAATATCGGCGTCTCGTGAGATATTTCCGACTCGTAGGACTGCTGAGAACGGAATTCGGTCGATGAAGACGTCGACGCACTTGCGGTGTCGTCGAGAACTTCGTACATGTAAGGAGAAGATTTCCTGCTCGAGGCACCTTCTGAAACGATAGTTGGCTATGTTTTCAGTTCAAAGTGTAAATTCTTCGTACCTTCTCCTTCGTCTTCTTCTATTTTGGTCAAGAACTGGCCCAATTCTTGAGCACTTTCGAATGATCGCGACTTGTGCATCGTTGAAACTTGATTCAAGATCTGTTTACATCTGAAATATCTGTACTCAGATTACGTTTATGTACACGTGTAACTCACTCTCCAGAACTGGATAATGTCTTTGAAACCACACAGAAAAAGGCAGCTTGAAGTGCTTCTTCTGCTATTTGTCCGCAGTATTGGTTTAGTGTTTCTCGCACTTGTTCATCCAATAACTGAAATGATGAATAGGGATCAATTCGTTCACAATCTTTGAAAGTTACCTGATGTGTCAATTCATCAAATGCTAAACAAAATATCGATTCACAGAATCGAGTGCACATCAGTTGGAACCGTGGGTTAGATGATAATAAATGATGCGAGTATTCAATATGAGATGATATCATTATTGCCTGAAACATTTCTGTTTTTTTTAGTCTCTTCCATAATAGCCAACCTGGCTGAGTGCATCAATGTATTGCATCGTGAGCTCTCCGAGAGCTTCTGATTTGTCCGATTTGCCGGAGAAATCGAATGTGTAATCGCCGTCGTAGTCGAGCGAATTGAACCACGTCGTGAGGTGCGATTTCATCTTTTGGACTCGGTTACGAAGACTTGCAGTGGTTGCTGAGATGATATTTTTATGTTGTGAAAGTGAATAATTCGCAAACCTTCTGTTATTGAAGCTCTTTTCTCCATGAACGTCTTCGGAGTGATAGGACTCTTTTCTTCTGGCTCACCAGGTGTGGTCTCTTGCAATCGCGTGCTCCTTTCTTCCATTTCATTTGTTACCATATCTGAAGAAGAAAGATTTAGATAAGATTTAGATAAGATTTAGATTTAGATTTTAGATTTAGAAGAAGATTTAAATTTTGTTGTATTTCTGCGCTCGGCCTGTAGTATGGTATCACTCACTTTCAGGGATCGAGTCCATCTGCACGAGCGAGTACCGATGATCGACCTCCTGCGAATCCTCTGCCGATTCTCTCTTCCGATACCTCGACCTCATCATCTCCGCGTCCACCACTATTTTCGCCTCTTTCCGAGAGCTTTCCGCCCTTCGGAGCACGTCTTGGATGAGATTCTGTTGCTCCGGAGACAAACGATTCATTGCTTCCGCCAGCTCTTCTTCGGCTGTTTTCTGGGGTACAGGCACTTGGACATCGTCTTCTTCTGATTCCTCTTTCACCTCTTCGAGGGGTGGACCCTTTGTGAATCTGAAAACGAATGAGTGAATGAGTTCGATTGAGAAGGAGTAAACTCACCCAAAATAGGTGAACCAGGAAGACATTTGGTAGGATGTCAATAAATTAATCGGTTTTCATTACAAATCTGGAAAATAAAGTGTCATTTGCAGACGGAAAAGAAATAGACAAAAAAGTGGAAAAGAAGAAGGAGAAGAAGAGATGACAGTGGGACGACGACAAAATGATGCATCCGGAGCATCGCATGAATAATTGAATGAGTCCGGATGTTGGAAGAGCAGACGAGAAACGACGAAATGGAAGAAAACGAGGAAGAAGAGGGAACGACAACGACGTCGCGAAAAAGAGAAGACGTTTGACAGGATTAGAATACTTTGAATGGAGTTCCATCATCACTACGAAAACGGAAAAGCGAGAGTAACTGAGAGAGAGAGAGGAAGAGAAAGTGAAAACAAAAGGATAAGTTTCTCGGGAATTACAACTAATCAGCGAGAAAGTAATCGTGTTATTCGAGACCTGGAGAGCGGGTCATACTGAATAATTCACACGCACAAAACGGCTAACACATTATCACATTACATTTCTTTCAGAATAGCAGAAAGCGAGTTGAAAAGCGGAAAGGCAAAGTTGGGGCGAAAGTTGTTTGAAAGAGCAAAGCAATCTATTCTTTTTCACACTTTTTTGGAGAAAGGATAGAGGAGAACGGAGAGAGAAGAAGGAAAATAAGAAGAAGAAGAAGTGGAGTCTTTTGAAGGACACGAGAATCGAGTATTACTTGGCCGGATTATATCGAGTAAACGAATGAATATTAATGCCGCGTTCAAAGTTCAAGGAAATCCCAGCAAAATCCGCGTGATTTCCGGGTTTTTTTTTATCTTTGAACGCAGCATAATAATATTCATGTGTCACATAAAAAGAGAAAAAACCGTTATTTCAGAACTTTGCTTTACCACAGAAGAACCTGGGCCCACTGCGCGGTCCGAGCTAACGCTTGCAAGCGGCTTCGCCGCTTTTTTTTCTCATAACTGTTCGAAAGTTCACGTGTTCATGTCTTGATTTCTCCGTCACAACTTTTTCCTTATAGAAATAAAAAATTGCCGGAAAAACGGAGAAAGAAAGAAAGAAAGAAAGAAAGAAACGGACAGACCCCGCTAGCTTTTTATTAAATAAGAACAAGACTTTTGAAATCGGGGCCAGCTGCGCGGGCTGAGCTAACGCTCGGTCGCGGCTTCGCCGCGTGTTTGTTTTTCATAACCGTTCGAAAGTTCACGTATCCATTTCTTCATTTCTCCGTCACAACTTTTTCCGTTTTAGAAATGAAAAAATAGCCGGACAAACGGAGAAAGAAAGAAGAAAGACCACCACGTAAGCTTTTTATTAAATAAGAATAATGATGATTATACTCAGGTAAAATTTCAAACTTTTCTTAGCTATTTTCAAACTTTTCCAGGCGCCACCTAAGAAATTCTTGGAAAAGTTTGAGAATTGCTTAGAAAAGTTTAAGAATTTCTGGAAAAAGTCTGAGAATTTCTTGAAAAAGGCTTAGAAAAGTTTAAGAATTTCTGGAAAAAGTCTGAGATTATCTTGAAAAAGTTTGACGACGGCTCAGAAAATTGTCGGAATTTATTGGAAAACTTCTCGTCTTCCCCAGGAACGATACGAATCACCTCGAAGAGGTTGTCTGCAATGGTTCCATACATTACTTTTCACAATTCCCTGAATTTTCGGCCATTCAAGATGTGAGCTTCGTTTCCCCGGTTTCCATGATTGCGCGCCCTGATAATCGCCTCTTCTTCGCCTTTTGTGTTTTTCGTTGGTTTTTTTCCTGTGAAACCGGTAACTCGCCCAGGCCTGAGTACTTGGGAATGAAACGTATACTAGTGCCGAAACTATAACGGAAAAGGAGATTTCACTGAACTCTCCTTTTTTCCGGTCAATAAAGGGCCAATTTCGAATAGCGATACAACGAGATGCTTAACAGTAAATTTCCTTCCGTCTTCCGTTAGCCCCCTTTTTCACGGAACAACTCGAATACAGCCTTTTTGTATGAAAAGTTAAATTTACAATCTTTTTTTATGATCAGAGTTCACTTTGCTATACATTTTATCACTTGATCACATTCGATCAAAAAATTTACTACAAGTGATAAAAACTTCTTCCTTGTTCTTCCGTTGAGTTCTTCTGCTCAACTCTGGTAGCAGTAAACTCAGAACCTTAGAATAAAAATGGAAGAAAACACGAACAAACGTTTCAGATCTGAGGGAAGTATACTTTATAAACGATAATCATTTTGCTAAACTGTCGCGGACGAGGTGGTGTGGTGTTGAAAAGTAAAATATTTGAAAAAGAGCGACTAAAAACAGTGCCGATTCAGTTACTTCATTGTAAAAAAAGCAGAAAGCGCGGAAAAAATCTGAATTAGTTAAAAAAATGGTTTTTTTTAGGCCTATTCTACAATTTCTCACGGATATTCCTTTATTTTGCCGCTTAATTCGTTAAAGACTACTTTTAAAAATTAAAAAATTCAATTATGAGCTCAACAAGACCGAAAAATGCGAAAACCCTTATATACAACTATAACAATTGGGGAAAACGCTAAGAAGTTTGCAGAAAACAATGTTGTCCACGAGGAGTCCAAAACTTCGTGGCCTAGGAATTCCTCTTCAAAACTTTTCTTGAGAAAGTTTGAGAATTGCTTAGAAAAGTTTCAGAAAGTTTGGAATAATTTCGGCAAGAAAAAGTTTAAGAATTTCTGGAAAAAGTCTGAGAATTTCTGGAAAAAGTTTAAGAAAGGCTTAGAAAAGTTTTTAGTGCTTCAGAAAGTTTGAAAACGTCTTGGAAAAGTTTTTTGTCTTGAGAAAGTTTGAGAATGTCTTCAGATGAGCCAAGAAAAGTTTGAAATTTTACCTGAGGGATTAGTCGCTTGTTTTTTCCCATAACCGTTTAAAAGTTCACGTGTTCATTTCTTAATTTCTCCGTCACAACTTTTTCGTTTCAGAAATGAAAGTGGGGACGGGCAAACAGAAATAAACAAACAAAGAGACAAACAGAGGGACAAACCCGTAAAGAGTTAAATTAATAAGAATGATATAAACTTTTCATCTTATACTCAGGTAAAATTTCAAACTTTTCTTGGCTCATCTGAAGACATTCTCAAACTTTCTCAAGACAAAAAACTTTTCCAAGACGTTTTCAAACTTTCTGAAGCACTAAAAACTTTTCTAAGCCTTTCTTAAACTTTTTCCAGAAATTCTCAGACTTTTTCCAGAAATTCTTAAACTTTTTCTTGCCGAAATTATTCCAAACTTTCTGAAACTTTTCTAAGCAATTCTCAAACTTTCTCAAGAAAAGTTTTGAAGAGGAATTCCTAGGCCACGAAGTTTTGGACTCCTCGTGGACAACATTGTTTTCTGCAAACTTCTTAGCGTTTTCCCCAATTGTTATAGTTGTATATAAGGGTTTTCGCATTTTTCGGTCTTGTTGAGCTCATAATTGAATTTTTTTAATTTTTTTAAAAGTAGTCTTTAACGAATTAAGCGGCAAAAATAAAGGAATATCCGTGAGAAATTGTAGAATAGGCCTAAAAAAACCATTTTTTTAACTAATTCAGATTTTTTTCCGCGCTTTCTGCTTTTTTTACAATGAAGTAACTGAATCGGCACTGTTTTTTTAGTCGCTCTTTTTTTCAAATATTTTTACTTTTCAACACCACACCACCTCGTCCGCGACAGTTTAGCAAAATGATTATCGTTTATAAAGTATACTTCCCTCAGATCTGAAACGTTTGTTCGTGTTTTTCTTCCATTTTTTTATTCTAAGGTTCTGAGTTTACTGCTACCAGAGTTGAGCAGAAGAACTCAACGGAAGAACAAGGAAGAAGTTTTTTTATCACTTGTAGTAAAATTTTTTTGATCGAATGTGATCAAGTGATAAAATGTATAGCAAAGTGAACTCTGATCATAAAAAAAGATTGTAAATTTAACTTTTCATACAAAAAAAGGCTGTATTCGAGTTGTTCCGTGAAAAAGGGGGCTAACGGAAGACGGAAGGAAATTTACTGTTAAGCATCTCGTTGTATCGCTATTCGAAATTGGCCCTTTATTGACCGGAAAAAAGGAGAGTTCAGTGAAATCTCCTTTTCCGTTATAGTTTCGGCACTAGTATACGTTTCATTCCCAAGTACTCAGGCCTGGGCGAGTTACCGGTTTCACAGGAAAAAAACCAACGAAAAACACAAAAGGCGAAGAAGAGGCGATTATCAGGGCGCGCAATCATGGAAACCGGGGAAACGAAGCTCACATCTTGAATGGCCGAAAATTCAGGGAATTGTGAAAAGTAATGTATGGAACCATTGCAGACAACCTCTTCGAGGTGATTCGTATCGTTCCTGGGGAAGACGAGAAGTTTTCCAATAAATTCCGACAATTTTCTGAGCCGTCGTCAAACTTTTTCAAGATAATCTCAGACTTTTTCCAGAAATTCTTAAACTTTTCTAAGCCTTTTTCAAGAAATTCTCAGACTTTTTCCAGAAATTCTTAAACTTTTCTAAGCAATTCTCAAACTTTTCCAAGAATTTCTTAGGTGGCGCCTGGAAAAGTTTGAAAATAGCTAAGAAAAGTTTGAAATTTTACCTGAGCCGCTTTCGAGCGTTAGCTTCCGAGCGTCCGAGCGTTAATCCGCTTCCGAACGTTAGCTAACGCTCGGACCGCGAAGCGGGCCCAGGTTCTAAAAGTCTTGTAAATCAAAATAAGTGCGATTTGAAAGGAAATGAACACGGAACGGAACGAGAGTTGTTTTTTTGTGATGTTGGAACGAATAAACTAAAAATATAAGCAGGAGCGAGGGCGGCACAAAAGGTAGAAGTCGTTGTCGTCGTTGTCCGCAAAAAGAGCTCGGCGGAGCGCGCAGACGTCGTTGCGGCGAGGCACTCGAGTGGGTGCGGAGAGCGCAGAGCAACGAATTCAGATGAGGCGCCCGCGGAAGACTGAATCGATACGAGCGACCGCCACTTCTGCTGCTGCTGGTGGTAATGATGAGCCGGGAGCCATTATGGGCCGGAGGTCCTAGTATTACTAGTTGTGTGTGTATTTGGGGTGGGAGGGGAGCAGGAGGAGTCCCCCTCGAAATGGGTCATTATCTGATTGAAATAGACGACTCTGTTCTCTTCGCTTTTTCCTTTTTTACCTCAAAGTGCTTTTCGAGCCTCGTTTCTGTTCCATTTCTTTTCGGAATGCCGAAAATGTTCAATTTGCCGTCGTTTGGCAATCCTGTCATTCGTGTCAGGAAACGGCTGTTTTTGATTGATTAGTCGTTTCGCCGTCGTTTTTCGTCTGCTCACGAACACGAATAATTGAACGTCTTTTTCTCAAAACAGGACGGGCCACCAAAGAACGTCTTCCTGGTGCCACGTCATTATCACACCATTCGAAACCGGATCCGGATGGGGTGAGGAGTCGGATTTCTGTTCTCGAATCATGACTTGTGTATTCGACACGTTATTCATGGGAAACAACGGAAAAGAGTGTAGGATGTGACAAAAAACAACAACAAAAACAAGAATGTCTAAAAAGTAAAAAGGATAGAGCATAACAAAAAAGGGAACAAGAAACAACTAAAGTGTCCATAATAGGGTTATTCAGGGTATGAAAAAGAGATTTGTTCCGTTTTTAACGTCAAAAAACCCAATTCAGCGATGTAAAAAACGGAAAACAAACATACGCTGAATAGCCCAATAAGAAAATAACAACAACGGGAGGATATGGAGAGAATAGAAGCACAAGCGACTGGTCTCTAGTACGTATTCTGCCGCTTTCCAACGTTCAGATTGCCGGGCAACTTCTTGAGTCCCTTTGTGACAAGGGCATTCGGCCGGCGAGTGACCGATTTCCTTTCGGCCACATGAGCCGCCTGCTTCGCCTTCGCTTGCTCCGCTCTGACATCCTTGACTCGCTTTGAAACGGTGAATGTCATCTCGCGTCCGCCGAATGGAACATCATCGTCCTCGACCTAAAAACAGAGAATGAGACAAGCATTCGGATGAGCGATTACGGTACCTTCTTGGTCTTTTTGTCGCGACGAGCAGCGACTACTTTTCTCGCTCCGAGAGCCATGGATTCCTGTAAGATGCACAAAGTAGACAATCTACTTGCAAAAGAGGGATTACCTCAGTGGCACTATCTGCTTGAGCTGAAACAGTCTCGTCGATGAACTTTCTGGTGGTCTCGCCACTTCCAAGCGAATGCAATACAAACTTTGTCGGTCTCGAGGCTCGTCTTTCTTCACTGGAAACAAACAAATTACTCTGTAAATGAATAAACATGAATAAACTCACGTTCTGATCTTCTTGGCTTCCTTTCGCTCGTCGTACTTTTGCGATTTCGACGCGTTCCTTTCAGCTATTTTCACCGCTCGTGCTTTCGCTCTCTTCTTCTTGATGGACTCATCGACATCGTCATCACTAGAAGCGCTTTCTATGTCAGAAGCCATGTCATCTTCTCTATTTTCTTCTTCCAGCCAGGCAGCCCCGTTTGCTTCTTCTTCTTCTTCAGACTCACTTCCACTCGCTCCCTCTTCCGATCCTTCTTCTCCTTCCGATTCTTCCACTGCAACAGGTCCCTTTGCCGCCATCTTCGCCGCAATGGACGCATTCTTGAGGAATTGTTCGCTTGTTTCATCGACCTCGAAATCTTCCGACTCAAACAGCTTTTTGAATCTGTCGTCTGCCAGAATAGAAGACGCAGCACCCGACTTCTTGCTCTTCTTCTTTTCCTTCTTTGTCTCCGCCTTCTTATCAGCTGCCGCCGCCTCGTCACGCAGTCTCGCCGCCAGTGCCTTGTTCACAGATGGCAACTTCTCCTTCTTCTTCTTCACAGCCGATTCCTCTCGTTCGTCTGCTACTATATTCTTGATCTTTTGCTCTTTATACTTCTCATAAGCGAATGGTTGCATCTGCGTCTGTGCCTTATTGTAGAGACGAGCATCAACAAAGTATCCATGCATGTAGGCACGCAAAATGTTCGTTCCGATCAGTCCGGAAAGGCCAAGATCGTCGAGTTGCTTCTTGGTAACGAATCGATAGTTATCGTAGACAGCCGTCTCAGTCTCTTCCATTTCTTCGGTGAGATTCTCGAGATACGAGCACCATTTCGGAGCAGGGCCTAACTGGGGAATGAAGTACTGGAGCATTTTCGGTGCCTCATTCGCGAAGAAATACATTCCTGAGTTGGGGAAGCGGCAGAAGTCGTTGAGCGGGCAGGTATTCTCGATAGCGGCCATAGGTGTTCCGTCCTCTTCATACCACATTTTCATCATGCGACTGTCCATCGAAGCGACCACATTTCCATCATCTCTTTTCACGAAATCAAGTTTCTTGATAGGCAGTTCGTTGTTGTGGTCTTTGATAAGCAACGGGCGACGGGCACGGAGATCGTAGAGAAGGATCTGGCCCGAACTGGTGCCGACGCCGATGTGAAGAGGATTGGAGAAGGCGAGCGACGTGACAGCCACCTTCTGATTATCACTGCAACCGTAGAAAATTGGAGAAATGCTTTGAGTTCACACCATACCCAATGTGATTGTTGACAGCTGATCCTGCATCGAGAGTTCCGCACATCGACTTGTCTCTGTGATCCCAGGCTTCAACGACTCCGCTCGTACTTCCGCAAATGATAAGTTGATGTTCAGAGCACACTTGTACGCAATTCAAAGGCGCAGTCGACTCGAAAGGAGTCAACCAACATCCTTGCTCCAAGTTCAGACGATAAATTTCACTTCTGAAGGCACAATAATAAACCAGAGTTGTGCAATAAAAAAAATTACTTTGAGCCGACAAGATAGAGATCACTGGACTCTTCGGACAGAGCCATATCGCGACCATGGCAAGGCATTCGCATTCGAAAATATCTTCCGAGCATCGCGTGCATTTCGATCCATCGCTGATCCTCGAGAATAACGACCTGAAAAAGGAATGAAATGAACTATCGAGAAAAGAAGAACGTACCTTTGAATAATCATCGCTCAGTGGAATCAGTTTGATCACATCGGCGTCTAGACCTCTTTCGAATTTCAGGGACAGATTGTTCAAATCGTAACATTTGAGCCACGGCTTGTAGTTTCCTAAAGCCTCACTTTGTGAAACTGGGAAAGAAAAGGAAGGTCGGTTACCTGACGCCCAGACGTATTTTCCATCGGGAGTGATGTTCACTGTGTGGCTCACGTCAGGCATTTCAAAATCCTGAATCAGTTGAATTCTCTGGCGCACATCTGTATTTCTTTGCTCCAATTTCCGCCGAGCACGCGAAGACATCCACTGTAAAAGTTAGTTGAGCCTAGCTTAGTATAACTGAAACAGTTATGGGGTTTTTCAGGCTGTGAAAAAAAATGATTGTTTTCCGTTTTTTCTTTTCTTTTTTTTACATCAAAAAATCCATTTCAGCGATGTAAAAAAACGAAAAAAACGAAAAACAAACATACGCTGAATAGCCTCATTACCTCTGGGAGACTTTTTCCGGCACTTAGATTGTAGATTTTTACATCATTAACTGTTGAGACCTCCATTTTTGCATGGAAACACTGAAATTGAAGTTTATTTTTAATATTCGGCAAAAAAGAATCTCAAGGGAGAGCGGGTCGCGTACGGCGGAGTGTCGTTCGACTTTTTCTTTCTCTGCGTCTACTTAAAGGCACAGTGTCTCGCAACCGCTCCGCGAGTTACCTTGCGTTGCGTGCGGAATTCAAATCGCAATTTCTCGCTTGCCCGCCTCGTAATTCTTTTCTTATCACTCTGTCCTCAGAATGATAATCAATTCTTCGGTTTTTAATTTAAAAATCGAGAAAAAGTGCCCTCTTATTTCCCTAATAACACATTTTTGTTTAGATAACGAATACAGCTACAATGACCAAGTCTCACGCTCCGCCATCTCGTTCTTCGGAACGCGCTGGGTAATTAATGAAATTTCTTAGGTTTTTCACCTCATCGAGCATTTTCAGAAAACCGTTCGAGCCTTATCAGGTTGTCCATGCGCCGGGAAAAAAGCGCAATCAGAACAGCGATAAACGAGAGAAGACGGTCAAGTCTAAGCATCGCGGAAAAAGTTCAACGCCGCAAAAAGTTAAAAAAATCATTGGCCACAACGTTTTTCTCGTCCACTACGTGGAATATGAGTGTAAACTCAAAGACGGAACGAAAACCAAGCTCACCGAATTTGAGCTCAGAGTACGTTCTGTTTAAAAACATGTTTTATTATTATTTGTTTTTCATAAAATATGGATTTCAGAAATACAAGAATATGCTCGAAGAGTACAAAGAGAAAGTCACTGGACAGACGGACTCTTCCGATACCGGTAAAAAAACTATTTCGAAGCATTTTTTATGTCAATTTCAGATTACGCCGTCGAAAAGATCTTAGCCCATCGAATGGTTAACAAAAAGCCACTCTACCTTGTACAGTGGAGGGGATTCCCAAATCCAGTGTCTCATTCGGAAATGTGGGAAACAGATTTGGAGGTAAGAGATGATGTATCGATAAAGTGAAAGTAACTTTCTCATCTCAGAACTGCAAGGTTCTTCTGGAGGCCTACAAACAAGCGCATCCAATGCTAGTGCACACTGCCGCTAAAACGACGTCAACCAAGCAGAGAGGACGTCCATCGTCTTCTTCAAAGCGTGGTCGCCCTTTGAAAAAGGACTCTCAGGTTTCGTCTTCGGACGAGGACTCTGACCAGCAAGAAGACGAAGAGGAGGAGAAGGTCTCAAAGAAAAAACAAAAAACCTCGAAAAAGGCCGAGTCTTCCGACGATGAGGAAAAGGAGGAGAATGTCTCCAAGAAAAAACAAAAAAAGTCGGAGAAGGCCGAGTCTTCTGACGACGAGGATGATGAGCCAGCTACTAAGAAGATCAAGAAGACGTCGAAGGTGACTCCGAAGAGAACGAAGAGAGCCGCTTCTTCTTCTGACGAATCTTATGACGATGACGACGACGACGAATCACAGGTGAAAAAGAAGAAGAGCACTCCAAAAGGAAAACCGGAGAGAAAGTCCCGTATCGAAGATTCTGACGACGGGGAAGAGGAGGACAGCGGTGACGAGAAAGATGAGGGTAGTGACGACGAGGAAGACGAAGTCGGACCGAGCTCTTCGAATGGTATAATTGGGAGCATATCAAACTTTATCAGAAGCAGTTTTAGGTAAGAACAAGCAAGGATCCAGACGCTGAGCATAGCATTCATTCCCTGCCGTTACCGACCTTCATTCTGATCTTGCTTTTTAATGCCCCCACACACATTTTAAAATTGGTTAATCTCTGAATCATTCTCGGCTGCATTACATTTCTAAAGTTATTTAATGCAATTGTCCATCACCAAAATGCCCTTCCGAAATTTATTTATCTGGCTAATAAACGATCTCTTGAATTGTGTTGTTTACTCGTAGCCACAAATTGTCTCCGTCATTTCAATATCATCAAATCAACGGGATGTTTTCACTAGTTTGCCCGTTCAGATGGATTTGACTTGGAAACAAAAAATGGCAGAGAAGGAGAAAGCAGCCAAACTAAACAAATGCCGCGATTTAGTCGAGGTGGCGACGGGATCGGATTGGCAGATTCGCAGACTGATGGAAGTTTTCCCGGAGTACCTGTGGAAGTACACGGACGGTCTGACCGTTCCCGCGTACGTCCTCACTATCGCCGAACAGCTGAGAGCCGAATTCGGAGATGTGAACGACATTCCGGTAAGATCACATTGAACAGAAATGGGTCGAAAATCGGAATTCTTTTCAGACCGATCTTCTTCCATGCGAATATTTCCGTATCATGAAGCATAGCATGCCGACGGAGCTTGCGTTGCAGCCCAAGCGATTTGACAGAGCACAGGAGCAAGTGAGCGAGAAAATGCAGAAATATTACGAGAAAAACGAATCGAGACTGCTCATTCCGGATGATCAAGTAGATATTCGTTCTCCGAACCCGTCCATTTGTCGCCTTTTCAGCTCATTCCGAGAATAGCGTGCGCCGTTCGTATCGGAGAAATCTGGTATCGTGGAAAGGTGGAGAACGTGCCGAACTGCGGAATCTGGCTGTACGTGTACCTCGTGGATATGGGAACGTGTCGGCAAGTTACGAAGAACGACGTCCGTCGGCTGGCTCTCCATTTCGGCCACTATCCTCCGATGGTCATCCGCGCCAGCGTTCGAGGTTCGGCAATCTTTCTTTTTTTCTTTATTTTCTTAATTTCCAGGCGCTGCGATCCAACGGATGGACATGGGAAAAATCGATAAATTCCGTGAACTGCTCTCCGATCTCAACTACATCGCTCGTTGCCAAATCACGACGTCTTCCGAACCTTACCTTGTCAATATCTGCCATCCAACCTACGAATTCAAAAACATGTGCTCCTTTCTGCTAACTCCCCCGCACGGATTGCCATCTGAGGAAGGCGTTTGGTTGCCGAAGCAGATTGCGAGGGACCTGGAGAGAGAGAACGGTGTTGAGAATAGGGAAGCGGACGATTCTGGAGCGGATTCCGAATTCGACGACGAAGAAGAGGACAACGAGGGCTGGAACTTTGTGGAGCAGAAGTATCTGCGCTCATTTCCGCCCGCGAACAAAGTCACGAGACTGTTCGACAATCACTTCCAAGTCGAAAGAATAGATAATGAGCGTCTGATTTATTTGACGAACCAGAACATGCGAGAGATCAGAGTGGAAATTGAGAACTCTCTGAGAAGAGAAGAAGACAAGCTGGTTCCCCTGCCGCCCGCATGGATCGCCTTCGGAACCGCCTGTGCGGTCAGCCACGAGGGAGTGCTCAAAAGGGCGGCCATCTCCGGAATCCGGGGCGCTCATCTTGATCTTCTCCTCGTGGATTATGCATTGAATACGACGTCGCCGGTCTCGAAAGTGTTCAGCCTTCCGAGCGAAGAGTTCCTTTGTCTCGAGCCTCAACTGACTCTCGTTTCCCTTTCCGCGTTCCCATTCGTTCATTTCTCACGGGTGCAAATCCTCCGCCAAATCCTGCCGCCCGGCACCCCCATCGTCTTCCATCGGGACCAGAAATCGAAGGAGATTCCGACGAAAGGAGCAATCTGTCTGACGGACAACGTTTCCGTCGATGACCTGGTTTCAGAACAGTGAGCAGATATTGTCCATCGCTATTTATAAAAAGATGCGTATATTTCAGAATCTCTGCCAAGCACATCGATCTCGATTGCCTCGCCCTCGTTCCAGTGCAAAATTCTGCCGAAGTTCTTGCCAATCATGTAAATATCAATTTTATGTACTCATACCGATGCCCCGTTATTTACAAAAAATCAAAGCTTGTAACATCACAATTCTAATGGAATTGCTCTAATAGATGTTGTACAATAATTTTGTTTGAAATATAAATCAACAAAAAGCTCTGATAGGGGCGAAATTTATCATCACACCACATGGATAAGCTGAACTATAAAATCATCATAGCTTCGAATTGAAACCGCGCAGCGGTCTCTCTAACCGCCTGCGCTACGCGGGCATCGGAGACCAACACCAACTGGTGTGTTTATAAGAGAGACGGCCAGCGAGGGACGAAAAAGTGAAACATGTTTATTAGGGAAAATACTCGATCAAATATTAGCAAAAAGTACCCATAATAAAAAAGGAATCAACTGCGAACTATTATTACTTTGGCAATGGCTTTGGTGGCGACAGAAGCTTCTTGAATTGATCATTCAAGTTGCCCAAAATCTCTTCCAAAGTGGGAACTTTCGGGGCGGGAGTCGGCTTTGTAGTGGGAAGGGTCGGAAGAGTCGGGAAAGTGAATGGAGCGAGGGTTGGGAAGGTGAACGTGGGCAGCGGGGGCAGTAGAGTGACCTTCTCGGTGGCCTCCAGCTTCGACAGCTTCTCCATCTCTTTTTCGCTCACTTTACGAACGGCCACAGTGACTGGAGTGGTTTTCTTGGGAACGGTCGTCGTCCGAGCGAACGCAGAAGATGACGGTGCAGTGGAAGTAGTCGTCGGTGCTTCAGTGCTTGGAACGGCCGTGAGTGGAACATCATCGGAATCCTGTTTCGCTTCCAACTTTGTCGGTTTCTCAATCTCCTCGGCGGACACTTCCTTCACTGCAACAATCGTCGATTCAGAAGTCGTGGTGTCTTCTTCTTGTCCGGAAGCTTCGAGTTCGTCCTCTTCAGCTTCGGCTGGCTTCTCAGATGGCTTCGCCTCGGTGGTCACCTCTTCCTCCTCCTTCTTCTTCTCTTTCACTTCCTCGGTCGTTGTTTCCACCTTCTCCGGTTCGGCAGAAGTCTTCTCTTCTTCTATTTTCGGTGCTTCAGATGTCGGCTCCTCTTTCTTCTCAGACTCGGCCTTGGTGGTCACTTCTTCCTCTTTCTTTTCCTCTTTAACTTCTTCAGTCGTCGTTTCCACCTTCTCCGGTGCTGCAGAAGTATTCGTCGCTTCTTCCTTTTTCTTTTCAGGCTCGGCCGTGGACACTTCCTCTTCCAACTTTGGTTCGTCCTTCTGAGCTGGCTCCTCTTCCGACGTCTTCTTCTCTCCATCTCGATTCTGAACCTTGACCACATTGTTGTCATCCAAATAATCCCCATAGTAATCATCGTCGCCAACCTTCTCCGTCGGCTCCTTTCCCTCCGTCGCAGACTTTAACACCTCCAGCGTCCCCTCCGACTCGTCCTCTTTATCGACCTTTTCCTTCGCAATATTGAACTTTTCCATTGCGGGCTCTGAAATGAAATGAACATGTTCGTATGCTTCCACTCAATCCGTGCCCTCACCATCGTGCACTTTCTCCTCTTTCTTCTGCTCCTTCGCCGCTTTCATCACTGCCGAACTGATCTTCTTGTACAGATCTTTCTGCTCCTCCGTGCTCATCTGATCCTTCTTTGCCGTCAGTTTCTCTTCTTCTCCGCTCTTCTTCGCAATTTCCATGCTTTCTAACATTTCAAACTCTCTCTTGTTCGCTTCTCTCACAGCATTCTTCATTCTCTCCAGAAGCGTCTTTCCACTCTGATCATCCAGAAGTTTTCTGAGACCAAACCTATTCTCTTTCATTTCTCATGCCCTCACCTCAAGTCTCCATGCTCGGCACGGTCAAGGAACAGTCTCAGCACACCCAGAAACTCCTTGATCTTGTCTTCCTTCTCCGGCGCCAGCTCCAGTTTCTTTCCGTCGTCATCGTCCTTCTCATCCTCCTGCTCCTCGCCACTTCCCGATCCGTCCTCATCACAATCTTCCTCTTTTGGCGGCACAATATCAGCCTTTGGCATGTCCTTCGACTTTGTCTGATCGAAGTCTCCCTCAATGTTCTCCGACACTTTGTTCTCCTCGAATCCTTTCGCGGGCTCATCCTCTTCCTTCTTCTTCTTCTCCTCTTCCTGTTTCACCGGAGTTCCAACTGTCGTTCTCTCCAGACTGCTGGCCGGGGGCACTGTCAGATCGTCGATGCTCTTGATCATCTCCTCCATCTTGTTGATCATCTTGTCCAGCTTCCCCTCGTCCACCCCCTCCACCAGTTCTCCCGGTGTCTCGATCGCCTTCTTCTCCACAATCTGCCCGCTTCCTTCTGGCTCTTGCAGTTCCTTTAGTGTCGTCGACTCGCCGGATCCCTCGATCTTCGGAAGCGCAGCCAGTGTCTTGATGACCTCTTCTTCCTCTTCGCTCGACGTTTGCTCGTCACTGTCCGAGAACTTTACGGCGGCTGACTTTGTCTCGTTCTTCACCACTTCGTCCTCATAATCATTCGACACCGTCGCATTATGTGGAGTGGCAGTGGACCCGATTCCAAAGAAACTGAACAGATTTTCGATTTTCTGCCAGATGTAGTTGTTGGATCGCTGTTGCTAAAATAAACGGGAATCGGGTGACTCATTAGGACTCTCTGTTTATCTCCGAACCTGCTTGTGATTCTCGCTTGTCCTCTGACAAATGTACCGAAGTGCGTGATGATCAGAAGGCGTCGATTCGCAGTCCACGTCATCCAACTGTCGCTTCTCCACGTTTAGCAGTCCGCATCGTTCCCTTCCTTCCATGGAATGATCGTAAGGTTCGCCGGAACTCCATTGTCTGAAATGACCCGTGTCAAGCATTGAATAGAAGCGGAAGACACCAACAAAGTCGTGTTGATCTCCTTTCCGTCCAGCCACTTCCATTCATGCGTCTGTCCTTCCGGAGCATACAGTCCAATCTGAACAAATAACAAGATTTGATGGGATTTCCGTTTTAGCAGCCAACCTGCACGAGACGCTGCGCAAACCGAGACGAAAGAGGGGCGTAATGCGATAAGATCCAGTCCTGAACACGTGCGATTAACAGGGGCGAGAATGGGCAAAGCCGCGTACCAACTGCTCGACGTTCCGGATGGCTGCGAGATCGGCGTTCAGCGAGAGACAGTGTTCGCGGGCGGTCAGCCAGTTCTGATCGCCGGCCCGGAACTGATAGAGGTCACCCCACGGAGACTCGAGCCACTCGCCGGAAAAGTGATAGGTGTCACGAGAGGAATGCTGGAAAGATGGAAAGTGTTCGGAAGAATACGGGTCAAGGCAGACAGTTTACAACTTTAGGAACTGGCAGTTTATGAGGGGTGACAGAACTGGGTGGTCAATGACCATGGATTACTGTCTTGGAAGAACGTACTGCAGTTTCATAAAGGAGCAGAACTCTCTTTTTGTGTTTAGAATGTTCCCAAACCCAGTCAAACTATGATATATGAAACCGCGTTGATCATAAGTTCCATCTGAGGAGAAAAAGAGCGATAGAGTTAAGTTCGGAAGGACTCACCTTGTTTGCGGACACCTTGAGCACAATGTCATTGTCGGTGCTTTTGGCCACACTCACTGCGCCAACAGTTGCTGATGTGAGCAGCACGAAACAGGCGAGAACGGATCGACGCATTCTCGTCGGCTGCTGATAAGAGGACGGGAATATCAAGTGGCGGAAGGCTTCCTGATGGTCGGCGGTCATCGTGGAAATCGAAAGTCGCCCGCCCTCTCCTCTCGCCGTCCGTCATCCTCGATTGTTTTGTGTTTCTTTGAGGTTCGCCAACAGGAATCAGTTGATTGAGACTGGTTTCCCATTCTGGATGTATTTCTGGATATTCGAGTAATGACGTGGCAGTTGAGAAGGCGAGAAGCCGTGCACCAAAGACCGTTTGCGGACAGTCATAATCAGTGATAAATCGGCTTCTGACGCCTGCAATCTCCCTGCGATTTGACCCCATTCTGACGCAGCGGGCAACAAGCAATACAGACGGTTTTTGGAATTGCAATTGGGTTTATTATGAAACAACGTAAAGAGGCAAATTAGTAGACGACGGTCGTGTTGGGCGCCCGAAGAGGCCGGTTGCAGTTCTCGCGTTCGTCGCTTCCGTCTCTGCAAACCCCTTTCACATTTCACATATGTCTCGAATGGATACCTGCAGTCTTTGTACTTGTCGCACACTTTGTGGGGAGCCAAACAGGAACTGGAATCCGAACATCTGAACCAGGAGGGAGGGCATTTCAGGGAAGAGGCGATATGTTGAAGTTGCTGGAAACGAATCACAACATCAGAGATTTCTGACGTCGCTGATACCAAATCATTGACCCTCGGCCTCTTCAGACAGACATGAGACAATTCGTCACTGTGATCGGGACAGTCTATCTTTCCATCGCACATCCAAGACTTCCGGATGCAAGTCAATCCATCTGAGCATCGAATATGGGTCAGCGCAGGGCATCTGGTGGAAGCGTTTGAGTAGAAAAAAAGTAGAAAAGGTTATGTGTATCACCTGGCGAACTCTTGGCTACCAGTTATTGGATCAGGAAGGAGAAAGAAAAGTAACAGAAGCGTAATGTGCATGGCAGACAGATAAGCACTGCAGCAACTGGGATTCTTTATAAACATTTCAACATCGTGTTTATTCTGGACTCTCAAATTTTTCGAGAAATTTCTATTTTTCTATGCACTTTTTAAATGTGAATGTTTGTCATAAGTAACAACGCTGGGAAGTGTCACGGGTGGTCTAATTATAATTTTCGAAACGGAAAAATGTACGAGTTTTGCAGGCATCTTCAGAGAAAACTGCCGGAGAAGAAGGTGTCGTTTACGATGAGCGCAGTCATTGTCATGAATCCATTGAGGGATCGAAAGTGTTTTCGAAGCCACATTTCGACACGTCGAAGCTCGCTCTGCGGGATTTGAATGTGCCCGGACGTCGACACGTCATCCGCAAGGCGAAACAATATGAAGTCCAGAAGACCGATTGGGATTAAACGATCCCGAAATTTGTATATGTTCCTATTTTGTAAATAACTAACACATTAAGATATTGCATGATCGGAAGTATGTGAATTATCCGAATCCAATAAACACTCTTTCGACTCGAAGTGTCCAACTTTTACGACCATTTCGCCGAAAAACGAGCTATGAGCGCAAACTTTCTTTTCAGGAAACGTTTTCAACCATTTATAGCCTAAAAATTTATAGGCTTTCCTTCGAGGACGACAAGTAGTTTGTGTAGAATTGTGCGAAAAGGCGCTTGAACATCGTAACTATCGTGGGACCGGAGCATTTGACCCGTTTTTAGGCAGATTTTGAGGAAAATCCAATGAACCGTGCTTTTTCAACTAAATTTACACTTTGCTTTCAAAACAAGGGAAATACAACGAGAATTGTTTAGTAGAACTTTTGAAACCAGAAAGAAGGTGTCAAATGACATTGCGGAACTGTTTGAAAACGACGCATTTGAAAATGCGTTTTTCTCTGAAAATGGATAAATTTTAAAATTTTTTGATGAAAACGGTCACAAGGCAAAAGTCGTCCAAGCCTGGTGCTCAGCCAACTTTCCTCGTTTCATCAGCAGTTCTGAATGGCCAGCGTCGTCACCGGATTTGAACTATTCTGTATGGGGAGAAGTCAGCTCTCTCTCTTCCTTTCTCTCCTGTGAAACCGCTAACTCGCCCAGGCCTGACAAGTGAGTACTTCGGAATGAAACGTATACTAGCTCTGGTAAATGGATTGCGATTTAATTAGAACTCATTCACATCATAATTCAAGAAAGCATGATTTTTAGATCTAGTTAGAAGTTTTTCAGGTTTAATTTGAATCTAATTAGATGTGAAAACAGAAATTCGAATCTAATTAGAAGTTGGACTTTTCACATCTAATTAGGAGTTTTTGGGATCTAATTAGAAATGAATAATTAGAAATAGTTTCGGCACTAGTGCCGAAACTATAACGAAAAAGGAGATTTCACTGAGCTCTCCTTTTTTCCGGTCAATAAAACGAGATGCTTAACAGTAAATTTCCTTCCGTCTTCCGTTAGCCCTTTTTTTTTGAAAAATTCGAGAGGACACACACACTGGTTGCAAGGAAACCCATTTTCTTCAATTTTTCGGTCGTTCTGTGCTTGTTCTTACTCATTTTCTTGAAGTTTTGAATGCCTTTATTTTAATGCTGCTCTTGATCAGTCTTGATCGCGTACTGAACGTACATGTTCCATTTAATATCTCGGTCGTTCTCGAATGTTCCATCATTATGTTGTCGAGAACTCACGTGCTTTGACCAGTGCAAACACGCTCCATCGCACGCGTTGCGTGTAAACCGCGACGCGACCCATTCCTATTTTCCCTTTGGCGGCTGTTTTTGCCGTCCGGTTTTTGAAACTTTTTGGCGCGTTCGGACCAATATTTGCTCAAAAAAATTCTAAAAATTTAGGAAATCGTTTTTTCCGGCAATTCGATTCCTTACTGTCAGCTGTTATTGTTTCTGAACGCAGATGGCTCAGAGTTTAGGATTTATCGATTTTGTTTCAAAATCTTTCGAAACACTTTATTGCACCATTACCACACTGAAAATCTTATTTCTCGAGAGCGCAATATTCCATTCCGTTTCTCTATCCTGTTTCCTCTGTAAATTCACCGAATCCAATATTGTTTTTTCAGCAGAATGAGTTCAAACAGACAGGCTTATTACAAGAACAACGCTAAGGAGCAAATCGGCAAGGAGAAGAGAAACGAGGAGGTAAGAATCGCAAGTTTTCGAGTGGAATTTAAGTTTATGATTTAGGTCGTTTCCATCAGAAAGGATAAGCGGGAAGAGGCAATCTCCAAGCGGCGTAACATCAATGCTCATATCGAGTAAGACATTTGAAAAAAACGTTTTTTCAACATGATCTTCGTTTTCAGGGATGATTCTGAGGCATCGACCACCCCGCCAGGACCGTTCGACGCCAATCTTCTTCGGTTGACCGTTGCCGCTGCTCAATCGTCGGACCCAGCCGAGCAATTAACCGCTGTTCAGCAAGCACGTAAGATGCTCTCTACGGATCGCAACCCGCCAATTGACGATCTGATCGGAAGTGGAATCCTGCCGGTTCTCGTTCAGTGCCTCTCAAGCTCCGAGTAAGTTATATTATTCGTTTATATCAGTTCAATTGTCGCTTTCAGCCCAAATCTGCAATTCGAAGCTGCTTGGGCACTGACCAACATTGCCTCGGGAACATCCGAGCAGACTCAAGCTGTCGTGAATGCTGGCGCCGTACCTCTTTTCCTCCAACTTCTGTCATGTGGAAACTTGAACGTTTGCGAGCAGTCTGTCTGGGCGCTTGGAAACATTATTGGAGACGGCCCACACTTCCGTGATTACTGTCTTGAGCTTGGAATTCTTCAGCCTCTTCTGCAGTTTATCAATCCGGAGATTCCGATCGGCTTTCTGCGAAACGTAACTTGGGTTATCGTTAACTTGTGCAGATGCAAGGATCCAGCGCCGAGCCCGGCTGTCGTTCGTACGATTTTGCCAGCTCTGTCTCTGTTGATCCACCATCAGGACACCAACATTCTGATTGACACCGTTTGGGCTCTTTCTTATCTCACCGACGGAGGCAACGAGCACATTCAAATGGTCATTGAGGCGCAAGTTGTTACTCACCTTGTACCGCTTCTTGGTCATGTTGATGTGAAGGTTCAAACCGCGGCCCTCAGAGCTGTCGGAAACATAGTCACTGGAACCGACGAGCAGACTCAACTTGTTCTGGACAGCGGAGTAAGCTTTGCTTTCCGCAAACGTAGTCTTTAAAATTACATTTTTCCAGGTTCTCAAGTTCATGCCAGGACTTCTTGCCCATTACAAGGAGAAGATCAACAAGGAGGCCGTTTGGTTCATTTCGAACATAACTGCTGGAAATCAACAGCAAGTGCAGGACGTGTTCGATGCTGGAATAATGCCAATGATTATTCATTTGTTGGATCGCGGAGACTTCCCAACACAAAAGGAGGCCGCGTGGGCAATTTCCAACGTCACGATTTCTGGGCGTCCGAACCAGGTTGAACAAATGGTGAAATTGGGAGTGCTCCGTCCATTCTGCGCTATGCTCAGCTGCACAGACTCGCAGATTATCCAAGTTGTTCTTGATGGAATAAACAACATTCTGAAGATGGCGGGAGAGGCTGTCGATCAAGTAACTTCTGAGATCGAGGAATGCGGAGGACTTGACAAGATCGAAAACCTCCAGAATCACGAGAATGAGGATATCTACAAGCTTGCTTTTGAGATAATTGACACTTACTTCAGGTAATTATTGGCTTCATTCTGTCTAAATCTTTCTTTGTTTTTACAGCTCGGACGATGAAGCAGCTACTGAGGCAGCCAATCAAAACTTGGTCTTCGGAACTGACGCTCCTCCTGTTCCAGACGCACCGAATGGTGGATGGAACTTTGGAAACTAAATTTTCCTGTTCCTCGTCATCACTCATTCAACTTTTCGCATGCCGTTTCATACAAATGTTCCTGTAGTTCTTCGTCACACCTCACATTTTCATGAAACTCGTGTTCCGAACATCTGACGCACGAGTTTCAAGCCAGCTTCACACAAGTGTGCCACCCAAGGTACACTTCCAACTTGACACATTGAGTTTGCACGTTCTTCATCAATCTATTATCTCATTCTTTTGAATATCTCCTCAATCCTTTTTTCTGTACCATTTGTGATTTTCACCTTCCTTTCTCCTCCAATCTCATTGTGATCCTCTAGTTGCAATGCCCCCGCTCCTCTTCTCTGTGTGCGAGAGTGACTGTTTGACTGTTTTATTATTTTGTAAAGTGAGTGTGTGAGTTGTGCATTTTTGTTGAGTTTTGTTTCCCCTCCTGTTTCCGCCGCGCCTCTTCATTGCCCGCAACCTTTCCTGCGTCCGATTCCCGTTCACCCTCATCCTTTCTTTTTTGTTACCACTTCTTTTTTCTCATCCTCTCATCTTTCCCAGTCCCTCTCCAACTTCACGGTCCCCAGATTTCCTCTCTAAAAGCGAGTATTTTCCCCAGTTTTTTTGGTCTTTATCATTCTCATAATTTTGAATAGGCCCCTTTTAGTTTGCTCATTTCCTAGTCACCCTTTTTTCAAACCTCGGTTTCATTGGTCCATGGAGATAAGAATCGAACTGTTTAGGTCAAAATTGATGGATTAATTCAAAGTCGTTTATTCTTTCGAATTCCCGTATCGAGATTATCTCCGTGTTCCTCGGTTCCTGTGGAGTCCTTTTTCGTATTCAATTTTCCTGTAATTAAAGACCAGCCCCGCCCCGACCCAAAGGCCCCTTTCAAAGTATATCGAGCCGTCTTCGATGTTTCCCCCCCACCCTCATCTCTCCTTCCATTCTTCCTCCATTCTTCTTCCTCCTCCTCCTCCTCCTCCTCTTCACCTGCTATTCTCGATTGTCTTTTGACTGGCCAATATCCTCCTGGTGTGTGTGCTCTCATAATAAAAAAAAAACAATTTATACAATCAAACATAGAAATAGGTCGTCGTTATTTATTTCATAACGAATTCGAACTTTTCGCTTTCGGAGAGAAGGTCGTGAAGCTCATGAGGGGCGACGTTGTGGATCAGCGAAAGCTCGTCGAGTGAGGTTTTGCCGTTGCACGCCTTCAGAAGTCTGAAACATGACATTGAGGAAAAGAATAGGTGAACTCAAAACTAACGAGTTACTGCCGGGATTGACGATGCAGATGGGGTAGATGGAGAGTTTGCGGAGGAACTGATGGTGCATTCCGAACTGGACGAGACGGTGTTCGTCGATTCCCATCGCCCGGGGATTTTCCTCTTTCATCCACTTTCCCAGATTTTTTCCGCACTGAAAAATGCAAGAATTCGTTCTGAACTTTTCCTCTTTTTCTCCCACCTTCATGCTCAAATAAAGACGGAACACGTCGGAGAACTCGGGCGTCGGCATCGGAATCTCCGATCCATCCTCCGCCGTCGCCGATTGAATTTTGACGAATTCGAGGCAATCGCTGATTTCCATTTGATTCTTGTAGAAGTCGTGCACTCTTTCGGTGGCCACGTACGTATTCCAGTAGAGGAACATCGGGACGAGACTGACGCACTCGTAGAAGTGAAGGTTTCTGACGCATCGGGCGACGAGCGAGGGGTCCAGTTCCAGAATGATCGCGATTTCTCTGACGGTCTTGATTCCATCGATCTGAGGAATGATCTTCTGCGAGAGGACGTCCATCTTCTCGATGAGTCTGTCCGTCAGCTCCACCTCTCTTATGAACATCGGAACCATGTGGAAGTCGATCTCCGGCGGTTCGATTCCACGGTACAATGGGCAGAGTTTGAAGTAGAGAGTGACAATCTGATTGTTCTCCAGATGCACTTCGATCACACTTTCTCCTGAATAACTATCATAACCCATAGTTTGATATCTGTCAGATAATTTACCTTTCTTCGAAAGATCTTCAAACATTTTCTGCATCATTTCGTGAAGTTGTGTCCGATAGGTCGGGTTCGTCAAGAATCCGTAGTCGTATTCCAAGTCAACCAAATACTCGGCACACTTTTGCACAATCGGTTCGTACATTGTCTCGGCAGACGACGTCATGTCCACAATGAACACCATGTCGAAAGTGAAGCGCCCACGGTGATATTCTTCTTTGTCGAGCCCACACGGAAACATGAGCACTTTGCAGTCGAGTGATTTGATGGTGAGCGAGAAGGAGTTGTAGAGCATCGAGGCCTTCGGAATAACTATGTGTTTCGTGAAGCAAAACGTCGCCTCCACATTCTGATTTCCTTGCGGGACGAAGTGCTTGATGACCGGGCCGGAGAGGTTGTCGAATTCGGCGAAAAGGATGCCGAGCAGTTTCGGCGCGTCGTCGAATGTGTAATGCCCGAAACGACCGCCGCTCGAGTCTCCCGTCGCAAACGGCCCTGCTCCGAACGAAGCGAGCGTTCTCTGACGTTTCGCCATTTTAGAAACGTTTTGTTTTTTTGGAAGCGGATCTGTTGTTCAGCCAGACGCGGAGAACGCCGAGAAGGAAGCCAAGAACAGCTCCTGCGAAGCAACCGAAAAGGGATGGAAGTGGGTAGCGCTGAACGACCGAAGGATCAGAGGGTCTGAGTTCAGCTCATCTTGAAGTTACCTGCCACCAACGATCCCAATCCAACGGATGAACTGCCGCACAGGCCCAGGAAGCAAGGAGAGCGAATCCGGAAGTGGAGATGAAGATGGACTCCCAGGCACTCGGGTTGCTGTCAGACGAGAAAGCGAGCACTTCGAGAGCCCGTTCCTCGCTTGGAAAGAGGAAAAAGGCAGGAACAATAGAGACGGAAGTGAGAGCGGTCTGAAATCAAAACAAAATTATCGACAATTGTGGCACAGATGGTTCCTACGGCAAGAGCGGCGGTAGAAACGATGTCAGAGAAGATGGGAGCGCCGAGAAGAACGGCGAGAAGGTAGAAAAACGTCCAGGCGAGTGATACGTACTTCAGAGCGGTCACTTTTGACAGCATCAATCGGTTTAGTGATGGGAACTTTGTTCACAAAACGTCTTGCATTTTGCGCGTCGTTTTCGGTGCCACTAGCGGTGTTTGCAGAATAAGCACAAAAACATTTTTTTTAGTTTTTCCCTTTCTTTTTCTGATAATTATAAAGAATTAAGCATTTAAAAGAACAAACTTTTTAGCGATCAAACCATAAAAATGGCCAAAAAGTCAAAGAGTACCCCTCCAGCTCTCTGGGTAAGTTACAAACACTGGGAAGGTACTTCCTAGAGTTAAAAATTTCAGAAAAAGATGGAAATCGATTTCAAAGGCGAAAAGACTCTAGAGAAAAACGATAAAACTTTTGAAGAAGTTACAAATGAACAGCTAAACGAAAAAATTGTTGATCATATTCTGCAAAGTGGCCAAAAGCTCAACGAAGTCTTGGACACTTTGATACAGTTGAAAGTGAGGTTCACAGAATTCGATGTGTTGAAACAATTATTATACAATTTTAGGATTACTTGCAAGCCCGTTCTGACCGGTTATTCGAAGCCTTTGATGCGAAAATTAAACAGGAATTCGAGGATATTCGCATCACTCTTCCCCAGCCGTTCGACGAAACACGATGGTAATTGAACTCGGAACCTGACTCATTCCGCCTTTTTTTCCTCAGGCAAGAACTGGAAACCATGAACGATGAGGATTTGAACGAAAAGGATCTATTGTTCAACGGGATTCCAGCAAGCGCCATCATGATCGTCAATGTCCTCGAAACTCTTCTGAAAGAACTGAACGTTCATGTCAACCACGTCGACGTATTTCCATTTGAAATTGATTCCTACGGTCTTCCGCCCATAAACTGCCGAAAAATCTGGAATCCTCTTCTCTGGATGCGTTCAGAAATCGAGGCAAAGATGAACAAATTCTGTACACAACGCAGTCTAAAGCCTGTCAATTTACTCGCTACTTCATTAGAGCACACTCCGAAAGCTGGAATGCTGGACACACTGATGATACCTTCATTGTGAGTTGGCAATAACCATCGAGAAATTTTTTTGAATTCAGCTTCTTGGAATATACGGCTGATAAGCTGGATTATACGAAAAAAGAGAACAAAGAAGAGTTTCTGGAGAAATTGAAGGCAAAGTTCGGAAGTTTGAAGGTGACCGAACTGAAGATGGTGCTGCCGGATATTCTGATTGCGTACACAACTGAATTGGTAGACAGAATGATGCAAGTCAGCTACTTCATCCCACACGAACTGCTCAGGCTTATGTTTCTTTGTTGGAATCCGGAGATTGTTTACATTCGATTGCGATCAGAGGCGTGTTCTTCAATCGAAGACGCCGCTCGTATCGAATGGGATGAGGAAGAAGTTTTCACCTCGACAACTTTGTTCAATTCGGAACTCTACACACGTTGCGAGCCAGTTCCTTTGGGGAATGAACTCGAAATTGTCGATTGTGCAGTGATTATCGACGCCACTGGAAGCCGGCTATTCGATCCGATCCACAATGCGAAGAATGTGAAAACTGCCGGCAGAGACCTTCTGATCACGTTCTCGAACAAAATTGTTCTTGTGAAAAGAATTGTTCCTTTCAAAAACGGAGCATCGATTGTTAGTTGTCCTATTCTACTCACAATAATATCTGATCTTTCAGAATGCCCAACTCAAACAGCAACTCGAATTCGTAGCCAACACGTTCTTTTCCAACGCGAGCGAACATCCTCTCCGAACCGTCCACCATCATCTGACGTTCACAAATTCCGGAGAGACGAAACTGATTGTGGTTAAAAAGTTCATTACGAAGATGGCGAGTGCAATGAAACTCGGCATAACCTTCAACATTGAGCAGACTGTCAAGGCCATGTTCAATCATTACGGTGACTCGCGGCCCAGTTCGGACCTGCTGGTCAGGCTTTTCGATCAAGTGAATCACTTCCAGCTCGATATGAAGTTATCGCTTTCCCGCTGATTCTTCCTTTGTTTTCTATTTACCACGTTATTGTCTCATTTTGTTTGTTCACTCTCATGAATAAGTCTCTGCCCTCTGCGGACTAGCTTTCTCTGCGTATCCTCGTCCATTCCGCTAAACTTTGTCCGTTTCGCGAGCACGCCTGATTAATTTAATCTGGTTTCTAGAACTGAAAGGGCTCGTTTTCTGGCGTTGCTAGGCATTTTCAGCGCCTTCGAATCTCTCTTATCGATCTCGCTCGCGTCTCGACTTTCGTCCGCTTGATAAGCTGCGTTTTTCGTTTCTCTTCGCGAAATTAGCTCTATTTTGTCACTACTCTGTTTTTGCTCCCACGCGCCATTTCAGTATTCAGGGAAATGCCGTTTTTCGGAAGCAAAAAGAGCGAAAAGAAGGAGAAGCCGAAGGAGGAGCCAAGTTATCCCAGGCAACAGGTGAGAGAGGAGAAGCTTGTCAATGCATAAACTCCTTCATTCAGGCCGTTCCACCACCGCCGCAAGTTGCTCATCATCCGGTGGCCACCTATCCTCAGAGCACATTCGTCTATCAACCCAATCAATACTGCTACGCTCCGACTGATCCGCGAATAAACACCGCCACGAGCACCAGCACCACGTACACGATGGCGTTCCCTAGGAACGATCTGCCCGGAGCATCTGCCAACTTCTGCGAGGGCTTCCTCGACGGACCCGACTTCTCGAATCGTGTCCCCGATCGAAGAATCCCGCCGGCGCCCGGCTCTTATTATTTCTTCTCGGTACGCTGCTGATTCCCATTCCAACGTTATTGTCTCTATTATTGCAGCACGGCAACATGCCTCCACCTGCTCTAACTCCAGGAATGATGCCGGGTTGCTCTTCGGCCCCACCACCAGGCTCTACGAGCAGCTGCCCCCCGCCTCCGAGTTATGAAGACGTGCTCGCGCAGGAGGTCAAGAAGAAGCTCTAATTCAGTAATTTGTCGTTATTTGTGACACTGTGATTCATAATAAACTCGTTATTCTGCCCATCAACTATTTTTTGTCTCTGATCTCGGGGTCGAAAAGCTGCCATTCGATACTTTGATCCAACCGTCACGTGGTCGATTCGTCGACTGCTCCAGACTACGGGTACCTACGGTGTAGTCGTGTCCACGGACGGGTACAAAGGGCAAGAACTGTGACGAGTGTGTGTCTGCGTCTCGCCCGGTTCCCTGCTCTCTCTTCCTTTCGTTATCTTCTCAGAGTAGCGTGGTCTCTGTTCATTGGCTGTTATTTGTTGGCGGCCAACGTACCCACACTCACACAAACATTTTCTTATTTTTTCGTATTGTTGGCAGTATGCGTCTGAAGGAGAAAATAGACAGTTGAGAACAGAAATCGATACGTTTACCCGCGCTGAACTGGAAAAACTCATCACAGCTTGTGAAAACTTGCCCTTTTCTCTCAGAAATCATTATCAGTTTTCACTTTCGTAAGGGCACTCTTCGACGCGTTCAAATCCTCTACAAAACTCACTCGTAAATAGAATTCTTCCAACTATTGCAGAATGTCGGACGTGCTTCTGAACTTCATCGCCGGCGGAGTCGGTGGCTCGTGCACCGTCATCGTCGGGCATCCGTTCGACACCGTCAAGGTCCGTATCCAAACGATGGCCCTCCCGAAGCCCGGGGAGAAGCCTCAGTTCACTGGAGCCCTCGACTGTGCCAAACGTACCGTAGCCAAGGAGGGATTCTTCGCCCTCTACAAGGGCATGGCTGCTCCGCTCGTCGGAGTCTCTCCGCTTTTCGCCGTCTTCTTCGGAGGATGCGCTGTCGGAAAATGGCTTCAACAGACTGATCCAAGTACGTTTTGTTTCGATACGATCCCGAATAAATCTGCTTCTGTTCAGACCAGGAGATGACGTTCATTCAAAATGCGAATGCGGGCGCTCTAGCCGGAGTGTTCACCACCATTGTGATGGTTCCAGGAGAGAGGATCAAGTGTCTTCTGCAGGTCCAACAGGCCGGCTCCGCGCCGTCCGGAGTTCACTACGACGGACCGCTCGATGTTGTAAAGAAGCTGTACAAGCAGGGAGGAATCGCGTCGATCTACAGAGGAACGGGAGCCACGTTGCTCAGAGACATTCCGGCGTCGGCCGCCTATCTGTCCGTGTACGAGTATCTGAAGAAGAAGTTCTCCGGAGAAGGAGCACAAAGGACACTGTCCCCGGGAGCCACTCTGCTGGCCGGAGGACTCGCCGGAATCGCCAACTGGGGAGTGTGCATCCCGGCCGACGTGCTCAAATCGCGTCTGCAAACCGCTCCGGAAGGAAAGTATCCGGACGGAATCCGCGGAGTTTTGAGGGAGGTGCTCCGGGAGGAAGGACCGAAAGCTCTTTTCAAGGTAGGAAAGTGTGACAGAGATATATGAAATTATAATATGAAATGGTTTTCAGGGTTTCTGGCCAGTGATGCTCCGTGCTTTCCCAGCCAACGCCGCCTGCTTCTTCGGACTCGAGCTCACCCTGGCGGGCTTCCGTTTCTTCGGAATCGGCGGACATCCGACGCCATCGGCCGAAGTCGTTCCTCTTCCGCACGACGAGTAAACTAACTAGGCTCTTTTTTTATCAGTTTCTTTCGTGATTTCGATTTCCATCATTTTCCTCCCGAGTTGCCTTCTATTTTCGTATTCTTTTTTGGGTATTTGTATGTTGTGTATATTTCGGATACTTCGTTAAATTATTGATGAATTTTCAGTAGCTGAATCGAATTTCCATTTCCGTAACGTGTTCAAGTATCGCAACCTGTTTCCTTGGTTCAAAAAAGCTCAGCAAACAAAACAAGATTCATTCTTTAAAAGAAAACAAAACATTTCTGAAAAAGCAAGTTTTGGAGAGGCTTCTTTGTTGAGTGTATGGAATCCATGAGAAAAGTGGGTTACCAATAGTGGATTATTAGACGGCGACCAGCTTGCATAAAAATTTAGATCTGTATGTTGAGTCCTTTCTTAATCTTCTTCACTGTCCGATTTCGGAGCAAAGTCCCAGGCAGGATCCTCCTTCGGCTTCGCTCTCTGCTCCTCTTCGTTGCCTGGAACCGCCTGAAAATGCATTTTCAGGCAGACAATGCTGGGAAGATTAGCACTGCGTCAGGCTGCACGCTGCAACCAAGGTATGATTGATTGATGCAAGCTGATGAAATTTCAGCGATTGAACGACAGAAATCAAACATTCCCCCAAACTTTTTTTTTGTCGAAACGAAAATTTGAAAACGTCTTTGTGAATTTTGAAATTTTGCACAAAATGCTGAGCGGGCAGAACGGTAAAATCCCGTTTATAGGTCATGTGAAGAGTTGAGAAGATAGGAACTAGTGGTAAACAGCTGATAGCGAGAGGTTTAGTACTCTGGAGTCGTAGAAGTGTATTTCAAGGAAAAAAGATAAGATGCCTAGTCAGATGACTAAAAGGAATGTGATAATGATATTAGAATTTCGGTCTTAAGAACTCTCTCTTGCTAATAAAATTCCTGCCCAAAACTGCCTTGCTTATCATTCGGATCTCCGTTTGCAGCCTCCCGTCGTCTCCTTCATTCCCGTCGTCTGCCGCCCGTTCTGACTTCCCCTCGTCGCTTGTTGGCCGCCGGCGCCCTGCGTCCCTTCCACTCTACAGCAAACATGCTCCACCGCACCGCCGACGGCGAACACGGGTCAGTTTTTGCGTCCTGGTTTCGCGATGACAATGACCCACGGGCCTCGTCTCTCTTTTATCATCACACACCTTCCAACTAACGTCATTCCACTGTTTTTTAATCGTTTTCACGCCTGCCCGGTTTCCACGAAACAGATTGTGTCACTGATACGGTCGCTCACTCTTTCCTCTCTTCCCCTTCACTCACCGGACGTATTTTGTCGGCGAGCGTCTCTACTTGCACTACTTCGTCTCCCTGTTTGATCCGGTAGGCTGCCTTCCCGCCGACCCACAAACTGTTTCCATTGCGTTGTCTCCGACTGCGTGGCACTGGAAGATGTCTTCCGAAACACTTTGTGAGAACCGTATTGAACCCCTCCAATTGCAACTTCGACCTGATATTGTGAAATGAGTTGGCGTGAATTCGTTCGGGAATCTCACCACAAATCTACGAATTCTGTAGGGTCCTCCTCGTGCGCGTGGTAGTCTGCAATGTGTTCACATGGCGATTTCTGCACACCGAGAATCTTGGTGCATCGGAGGCACTGGTAGCGCTGTCGGATTTCGACATTTTGAAAAGTGTTTATCGGATGAGCGTCGATAACGTGTTTTGCCTGTCGCTTTATCTTCGTGTTCCGATTCTTTCCGACTCCGACTAGAAGGGAACAGAGCTGCAAAAACGCTCGACTACGTTTTTTGTTTTTTTTTTAATGCCTACCGCGCATGGCTGATAAAACTCTTCACCGTCTTTTTCTTTCTCTTTCACATTCTCGACGGGTTCTGACGAGGCCGAGTTAACCTGCCACAAATTGGGAACGTCCGAGAGAGTGTCGCTCGACAGGAAGGCGACGTGTGGCACTTGTTCACTGTTATCAGTTGTCTCATTTCCGGCGTCACGCGGAGAACTTCCTCCATTCGAATCGTCATCTTCCATTTGCAGAGTCGCCTCACTCGGTTCCAGCGCGGCACCAAACAGCAGTTTCATTTCGTCCGAATCTTCCGAAATCGTTCCGCGCTGCAAAGCGCGTTTTATAGCCTCAATAACGTTGAAAATCGCACAAACCGCCCATCTTTCGAGAATCTCTTGATTCGAAGGAAGGTTGAGTGCTAATTCAGTCGCCCTGTTGCTACTTTCTGGTCCGTCATGAGCGAAATCAGAATAACTGGAGACTCTGCTGCCGATTTTATCCAAATACTCTCTCAGTTCGGCCACGTCTGATGAGAAAATATGACTCAGCTTGTTGTTGTTCTGAAATTTCGAAATTTCAACCACATCTCAAACCTGTTTTTTAAATCTAACTAACCAGATAACGACGTAGTTTTCTTCCCGAAACTCTCGAATTTTCATCTTCATCTAGACACACGAGCACAAATTTTTTGCCAATTTTTGACATTTCTCTGAAACTGGGAATGAGACAAAAACAGAAACATGTTGTGCGTTTAATCAAAAGTAGTACTGTAGACGAAAAAGTATGCGAACATCTCACGGCACTTTTGCAGACATTCTCGAACGAATTTCATATTTTCCCGCCTTTAAATTGTTCACTTTTGCCCGCCAAACTTTCATCGTTCTCAGAAGTTTCAGCTTATTATCATCGTTTTCTCTGAGAATATCAATTTCTTTCATTTTTCCGTTTCCTCTAGATGACCGCCACTCCACTAACCGATGACCAGCTTCTGAAGAAGGCCATTGAGGCCAAAGCTAATGCTCACTGCGAGTATAGCAAGTTCCCTGTCGGCGCCGCGGTGCTAACGGAAGACGGAAACGTCTTTCTCGGTAAAACCAACTCGATTCACTGCATTCTTTGTGTGTCATTTTGAAGGGTGCAACGTTGAAAATGCCTCCTACGGTGGCACAATCTGCGCCGAACGAAGCGCGATCGTCTCCGCCGTGTCCAATGGATACAAAAAGTTCCGCGCGATCGCCGTCGTCACCGACCTCACCGAGCCGGCCTCGCCATGCGGGCTGTGCCGCCAGTTTCTTGTAGAGTTCGGCGACTACAAAGTGAGCGCGAAGCTAGGAAGAAATATACGGAGAAATTATGTTACAGGTTATCGTCGGCTCAGCCACGTCAACAAAAACTATCTTGACTACGACACGGGACTTGCTCCCATTCGCGTTTACCCCCGAGTCGCTTGAGACTTACGCTCATGAAGTTGAATCGAAAAAAACCGCAAACACTTCCTAATTTCCCTCTAACCACCTCCCACCTTCCTACTAGTGAATCTTCTTATTTGTGATAGATAATGTCTTCCTTTTCATTGCACACTGTTTATGATTCTCAATAAAATAGTTTTCTTCAGAATGGCGACCTGCGGAAATCCGACTGCTGCCGCTTCTTTCAAGTTCGAGCGTCTGCCGACAGTTGCCGAGCCGACGCACTACGATATTCGTCTGTCGCCATGTCTCAACCAGTTAGTTCATTCTGTCCGTTCCCAGTATCAATGAATAATGTTTCAGATTTTCTTTTGATGGTGTCGCCACCATTGACGTCAACATCAAGGAGGCCACCGCTACGCTCAAGCTGCATGCGCAGAGCCTGCACATTCAAACGGTCGCTGTCATCGCCGGACCGAATTTCATTCCAAAGACCGTCAGCACCACTTACGACGACAAGCTGAACATTGTCACTGTTCAATTGCCCGGAAAGTTGCAACCACAGAAGGTGCAGCTCGTCTTCAAATTCGTCGGAGAGCTCAATGACAAGATGCGTGGATTCTACCGTAGTCAGTACAAAAACAAGGATGGAACTGAGAAGTTCCTTGCCTCTACTCAATTCGAGTCGACTTACGCTCGCTACGCCTTCCCGTGCTTTGACGAACCAATCTACAAAGCGACGTTCGACGTTACTCTCGAAGTGGAGAACAATCTGACTGCCCTCTCCAATATGAACGTCATCTCGGAGACACCCACTGAAGACGGCAAGCGCAAGGTCGTCAGATTTGCAACCACTCCCAAGATGTCTTCGTACTTGGTTGCGTTCGCTGTCGGAGAGCTGGAATACATCAGCGCGAAGACGAAGAGCGGAGTCGAGATGCGAGTTTACACTGTGCCTGGCAAGAAGGAGCAGGGCCAATACAGTCTGGATCTCTCTGTCAAGTATGCTCGAATTATCAAATTCTTATTTTACCTTGTTCTTTCAGGTGCATTGACTGGTACAACGAGTGGTTCGACATCGCGTACCCTCTTCCCAAGTGTGATCTGATCGCTATTCCTGACTTCTCTATGGGAGCCATGGAGAACTGGGGACTCGTTACTTATCGCGAGATCGCTCTTCTCGTAGACCCAGGAGTCACCTCTACTCGCCAGAAGTCTCGAGTTGCGCTTGTCGTTGCTCATGAGCTCGCTCATTTGTGGTTTGGAAATCTTGTCACCATGGTAAGTTGGAACACTGATTAGGCTTTATAAATGGTCGTTCAGAAATGGTGGACTGATTTGTGGCTGAAAGAGGGATTCGCTTCATTCATGGAATACATGTTCGTTGGAGCGAACTGCCCAGAATTCAAGATCTGGCTTCACTTCCTCAGTGATGAGCTTGCTTCCGGAATGGCGTTGGACTCGCTGCGCAATTCGCATCCTATTGAAGTCGAAATTGATAATCCGAATGAGCTTGATGAGATCTACGATTCGATCACCTACGCCAAGTCCAACTCTGTCAACAGAATGTTGTGCTACTACCTTTCGGAGCCGGTCTTTCAGAAAGGACTGAGAATCTATTTGAAAAGGTTTCAATACTCGAATGCGGTCACACAGGATTTGTGGACTGCTTTGAGCGAAGCTTCTGGACAGAACGTGAACGAGCTCATGTCGGGATGGACTCAGCAGATGGGATTCCCGGTTCTAAAGGTGTCGCAGAGACAGGACGGTAACAACCGAGTGATCACTGTTGAGCAACGGAGATTCATCTCTGACGGAGGAGAGGATCCTAAGAACAGTCTGTGGCAGGTTCCAATCACCGTTGCCATCGGAAGTGCTCCAAATGATGTCAAGGCTAGATTCTTGCTCAAGGAAAAGCAGCAAGAGTTTGTCGTTGAAGGAGTTGCCCCGGGAGAGTGGGTCAAGCTGAACTCTGGAACCACCGGATTCTACCGTGTCGAGTACTCGGAAGAGATGCTGTCTGCTATGCTCCCTGATATCGCCTCCCGTCGAATGCCTGTTCTCGACCGATTCGGACTCATCAACGACCTCTCGGCTCTTGTTAACACCGGACGCGTCTCTATCGCTCAATTCGTCCAGGTCGCGGCTTCCTCGGCTCTAGAGAATGAATACGTTGTGTGGGGAGCCATTGACGAGGGAATGGGCAAGCTGCTGGGATGTGCTAGAGATATGTCTGAAGACACTCTCAAGAGGTTCGTTTTCTGTTAGCAATTGAAAGAAACCTTCTTTGTTTCAGTGCCAAGCAGTTGATCATCAAGATGTTCGAGCAGACTGGAGCGCAACTCGGATTCACTGAGCAATCGGGCGAAGACTCGCAGACAATGATGCTCCGTTCGTTGGTGCAAACCCGTTTGGCGAGAGCCGGACATCAGCCGACGATCGATAGATTCACGCAGATCTTCAACGACTTCCTCGAGAAGGGAACTCCGATTCACCCAGATATCAGACTATCAACCTTTGGAGTCGTGGCTCGCTTCGGCGGAAAAGAAGGCTTCGATAAGCTGATGAATCTCCGGGAGACGACCACATTCCAGGAAATCGAGAGACAGACGATGATTGCCATGTCGCAAACACCGGAGCAAGAGCTTCTCTCTCAGCTTTTCGAATACGGATTTGAGAAGAACAAGGTCCGTCCGCAAGACCAACTATACCTGTTCGTTGGAACTGGATCCACGCGAATGGGACAGGATTACGCATGGAAGTACTTCCGCGAGCACATCAAGGAGTTCCTCGACAAGTACGGAGGAGCCAACTCGAGTCTGTTCCAGAGATGCCTCAAGTTCGCCGGAGAGACGTACGGATCGGAGCAAAAGGCTGTCGAGTTCCAGGACTTCTTCTGCAACTGCAAGGAGCTCACTGACACTGACAGACAGACACTGGCACGACCCATTGGACAGGTATACACAGAATGAGATGAATATCTTAACCGTTCTCTATTTCAGACCGTCGAAGCAATCCGTCTCGGTGCCCGTCTTCTTGAGGCAAACCGTAAAGTCATCGAGGACCTTCTCAAGCAACACAATCTCTAATTTATTGAACCCATTTCTTTCTCCCAACCGGTCACTATCAGACTGTCGTTTCCAGTCACACCTTCCCCCTTTTCACCTCCTTTTTTACCGAGTATTTATTACCTTTATTGTTCCGATACTGTGTATTGTCTTGGATAAATTTTTTGGCATACGGACAAATAGAGTTTCAGAAATTCGAGTGTGAAGTGCATTCAATTCAGACCCGTTTCCCTCGCAACAATTCATTCGTTCCCTTCTCGAGTAATAAAGAAATGATGCATGAAAAGACCTCGAAAAAGGGTGGAGGGCACTTGGTTAAATTGAAGTGGTGAATTTTTCAAGAGTTTCTGCGGATGGGCACCCCAGAATTATGCATTTGGAAGGAGTTTCCATCAGAATGGCGGCCGTTTGGGCGGTGAAAGGAAGGATGACACCCACGGACAGACGAGCGGCACAGATTGGCGCAATGAGCATTTCCTGTCGCGGCGACCCAATTCTCGAGGGATCGCCGTCCGATGGCACCAGTTGCCGAAACTGCACTTTTATGCTTTTTTGATACATCATCTGGGCCCGCACTCACTCACACTTATCACTTTCTCGCTCCATCCGTCTTCCCAAACGGGCGGCTCTTCTGCTGAAGGACCACCGTGGGAGTGGCGGCGCGGTGCTTCTGCCTCCAAATTAAATTCAAATTGTCTCCGGTGGCCGAGGGGCCAATACGATTAGACGGACGGCGTTTGCGAACTTGGCTCTTCTTCTTCTTCTTCCTCTGCTCCATCTCGAGCTCTCCGTCCCTAATTGCTCCCTTTTCTGGTCACCGCATTGTCATCCATGTTATTTCCGGTCAATTTCGTCGCCTTTTCCATCTTCTTCTTCTTTTTTCGCGGTTTTCAAACTTTTCGCTCTTTTCCAGAATCTTGCGAACAAATGAAGTCTTCAGTGACTCAATTCTGGCATCAGGTCTGTTTTTTTTTCTTTGTTTGTTTATTTTATTTCTTTAAACAAGTGTGCATGTGTGTGTGTCACAGACAATAGTCATAATCCCCGAAAATTTACAAATAATGTGTATGTGTATGTGAAGTGGGAGGGAGAAGTAAAAGCGAAAAAAAAGCTTGTGAATTGGTTTTTGCATATATATAATTTGGTTGGTTGGTTGGGCCTTTGCTGTTTTCAATTTAAAACGATGACATTCCGAAATGATAACTGGAAGAGATTGGCACAGAAATAGATAGGGGAAGGGAGGGAGGGAGAGAGAGAGGAACCGTGAGCTGAAGGAGAAATGAGTCTACTGATTACGTTGACGGTACTCTTTGACAATGTGAAACAGCTGCGGGAAGGCCACTCGCACCATCTGACCGATTCCGAAGACAAGCGAGATGAGACGCAGCTCGTTCTCGCAGTTGGGATCCCATTGGATCTGAAACCGATTGGATCGGATGCATGTGGCCGAGATTGACCAGACCTTGATCTCGTTCTCGGACCAGAAAGATCGGTTGGGTCGGACGGTGGCCATGCTCACATCTTGGGTCATGACGGACCACGACTCCTTGCTGAACGCGCAGCCACAGTTCAGAAAGAGACTGCTCAATCCGGAGGTCTGCGTCATAATACGAGCACTGAAAAGAAATTGAAACTGAAAGTGAAAACTCATGAGCTCGGCTTACCCTTTCAAATCATCGGTGTTTGTCTGAATAAGAATGGTGCCGCCCAGCTCGCGGAGCTCATAGACCGTCATCCCACTGACCGGATGCTTGATCTTGAGAAGGTTGCTTGTGTCCTCCAAGTCGATCAAAGTGACCTCGCAAATCTTTTTGCTGCCCTCTTGGAGCACAATTTCGTCCGGATAGACACTGGCTGAAAGAACAATCATAATGGAGAAAGTGATGTGGTGGGACAGTACCTTGCATGATTCTGTATCCCTCTTTGTTGATGATGTCCAGCTCCACCGGCTCGAACTGTGCCGAGTTACGGAGCACATAATGCTCGATGGCGCCTTGCAGCTGCAATGGGGGACGCTAAGAACATGCTAATTGCCACGTCATTAATCAGGGGATTTGCTTTCAATTCTTCCAATTCCCCTCAACTTTTTTCTCGTCTTCTCTTTTTCTTTCCATTCTCCGTCCGGTTCAACCATTCTTTTCTTTTGCGGTCAGGCACAAATTAGCTATTTGCTGCTGCCCCCTTCAATTCAATTCAATTCCCATTCCAACCTGTGCCACGTCGTTCATTTTCACACGAACTTCGTCCAATTTCTGCAGAATGTGGACCGCTTCAATCTTGGTGAGTGTGGGCGCGATGGCGGTGGAGAAGCGTCTGCAAGAGTTTTCCAATTAAAATATGTTTCGGAGGGCAAAAAAGGAAATCAAGGGCCGACGCGGGACATTCAGAAGAGCACTTGAACAAAGAATGCAGCGGAGCCCAATCCCGTGTGCTCAGACTCATTTCCCCCTCATTTTCTCGCCTGCCTACATTATTCTTCTTCCTTCAGATGAAAAATCCTTGCCATCTGCCACCACTTTCCCTTCCATTTCACTCCTTTTTTGCCCTTCTTCTCACCTAGCTTGACGAGAAATCTGTGCGGTGACTGATGAAGTTCTCCGTCCTCCGTTCGTCATTCCGTCCGGATTCGTCGCTTTTTCAGCGGCCTTCTGGCTCCTCTTCGCTTCCTTTTTCGCCTTTTTGGCCTCCTTCTCAGCCGTCGTGCTGGCCGTCAGATGTTTCTGAAAACCGCAGAGTATTGTCGGAAAAGTGAATAACCGCCGGATAAGTTATTGTAATTTATTCGCGGACACTGCTCGTTTTCTTCTACTTTTTTATTAAGAAACACTACCTTTGGAAGATGAGGGTGGGAAGTGAGAAACGGAAGTGAAAACGAGAGGAGTGAGTGTTGGATTCGAGACGAATTGGTAATGGATCCGCAGGGGACAAAGATTAGAATGTTCGTTAGGACATAGAGAGAGAGAGAGAGGAAGGAGAGCCGGTAGCGGGTCAGTTGCCAACTTCATGAATGCATTGGATGTTGCCAATCGAATAGAGAGACTTCGAAAAGAGATATCTATCCAATTTTCATATTAAATTGGGATGCTTGTGAGAAGAGTCAACTGGCGATGCGCCACTACTGGCAGTAATGAGCGTGCCCCACTCGGAAACTCTCCGAAAGTCCTTTTCTGGTTCCAAGAACTTTCCCGTCCGATGTGTGATTCCGGAGGGAGGCAGAGAGTTGCGTGCTCGGAAAATTTAAGTGAATGGCGATGCGAATGACGAACATTTCATCTTTTTTTTCTTCGAAATCGAAATCCTAACCACTTTTGATCCAGAACGAGAAGGAAGAAGCGGAAAACGAGAGAAAACCCGAAAAGGGCGGTATAAATAGATGGGATTTGTCCACTGATTGATGCTCAATGAGCCGCTGCTCCAAATTAAAAAACCGTCCGTCTCCCGCGCGTTTCCGTGAGCAGGATATTGTGACGTGGCTCTTCGGAGCATAAAGATCTAGTCGGGAGGTGAGTGACGTCGGATGAGCGAGTTTTAAGTGATCCAGGGTTTGCTTCAAATATATTCTCTTTTATGTTTTGTTTGTTCTGCTCAAATTGAAAAAAAAGAGATGATGAGCGTAAAGCGCGACGGCGGACGCTTAAACGGAGGAAGAGTAATAAAGGATGTTATAATGATGAGGCTTATTATTTATGACTGGGAGGAGGAGCGACGAATGTTGCGTTTTCGTGACGATGGAATTCGAGTAGGAAGGAAAAGAAGAAGTGGCAGGAGAATGCATTCGTTCTGTGATGGCTCGGAGAGGAAAGAGTAATAAAATGATGGGCTATTAGCCAAATCCCCACGAGGTCCTTCCCCCAAAACATTCGGGGAATCAGAAGATGGACACTTCTCCCTTCGATTGAATGAAAAATGGAAACGAGAAAGAAGAGACAAGAGTTCCCACGATCTTTCTGTTATGCTGCGAATGATCGGTACTTATTTTCCGCTCTTTTGTTTCAAAACTGTAGTGGTCGGTTGCTTCTACCAATCTGTGCCAATCCGAGCACACTTTGGGAATAGATTGCTTGTCTAGACAACTCCCCATCTGAACCAGCATTACAATGCGTAATCCGTTCTCGGACACGTAGCAAGAGCATGCGAAAAGAAGCGGAGAATACGGGCTGCGCACTCATTTCTGGTCCGATCTTCGAAAGCTTTTGTGGGTGGCGATTGAGCCAATTGAGCAAGGGATACTTGGAGAACCCATCTCTGGACTATAAGAGACCAAATCGTCGAGAAGAAAAGAAGACAAAGAAGTGCCGGCGGCAAACAACAGGAGAACAAAGTGTTCGAGTTGACGCCTTCCGAAATGACTTTGAGGCTCGAAAGTCTGCCGAGAGAATGGGGTCGTCGAGGTGGCTGGCTGTGATCGGATAATTGAGGGGAGTTGGAATGGGCCGACGACGTGGCAAGCGGAGAATTTTGGAATGGGGAGAGGAGAAAAGCCTCCACAGAGACGCTGCTCTCGTTGGTCAAGTGGTTGTGCCGTTTTGGACGGACTAAAGTTTGATGAAAGCTTGGTGAAGGGAGTACAAGAAACCTTGACGTGGCAGTCATAATACCTGTCCCTTTTCTGTTCCACTCCGAAAAAACTCTGCCAGTCGCAATTATAAATTCGCACGCAGACAATTCCGATTTTCAATGGACCGACCGGAAGTGTTTGCAAAGACCAGGAAAAGTGCAAGTTCCTTTCATTTTTCACGGAAGGCGTCAAAACAAAAATTCGGAGAATACTACGAACACGTTTGTTTTTCTCGACCTGCGTTTTTAGTCGTTTACCTGACGATGTCTACATTGTTTTTAGTACTCGGTCCCATTGGGACGAGACCACGTGGCGCCGGGAACGCAAAAAAAAAAAACGAAAAAGAGCGTAGGCGAAAACTGGAAAGGAAGACGGAGAGAGGGGAGCCCGGTTTCCTCCCGAAGCAAGGTGCTAAGCATCCTGGTCTCACTGCATTCAGCACTTAATTGCTTGAAACCGAGAGAGAGTGGGAAGCGACGGTGAGACGCAGAGAGCCACGAGTGAATCGACGTTGATTGGCAGTAGAAGGCAAGGAAATGTTTCCAGAGGAGGAGGACGTAGTCAAGGGTACTGGAGTAGGCTGAGCGGCGGAAGGAAGAGACCCCCATAAAAATGAAACGGAAAAGGGAAACTGAAGAGAGGGGCGCCCGCTCGATTCATGTGATCGAATATTGGTAGGCCTAGGCATTTCGTGTTCCATTCTTTTCGATTTGATTTCGATATACATCAAAGAGCGAACGTGCGAGCACAGAGGAAAGCGAAAAGAATTAGGATGTAAAATGTAGCCGAGTAAGTTTCTTCGCCTCCATTGACCTCATAATTGATGAGATGCGAATGCAGCAGGTCGCGCATTACTTACTTGATAACCGGGAAGATGTGACGTGGCAACTCACCAGCAATCCCATTCCGCGAGAATCGATGGAAACAGAGCGTGTGTGTGTTTGTGAAGCGGGCCGACTGTGCAGTTCGTTTCTGTCGTTCCGATATGATAATAATTCGTTTCCCCCGCACGTTTCCATTCTTTTTTGTGCCTTCCCCCGCGCATACATTATAGCTGATAGAACAGTATGGAGGTGGAGAAGAAGCCGAGCGGAATCATAAAACAAAAGTCGCGTTTTACAGCCGTGGTCTCCGATGCGGCGAAAAAGAGCGAGAAGTTCGAATCCGAATGGGAGCAAGACGAGGACGGGCGGCACGGACAGTGCGACGGAGAACAACAACGGAAAAGTGTTGCCGGTGAGTTGAAAGTGACGAGAAGACAGGTGGAATGTGCACGTGAAGTCTTGAAATAGATCCATTTCGGAAGAGGATTTAGAATACAAACTGATGGCAATTCAGGATTCTGAAAAGTCAGAACTCTCAGGTGTTTTCTTTTCCATTTTTGAAGATCCTTTCTGAAATTGTCTAAAACAGGTCTTGTCTTCGCCAATCTGTTCCGTCTACAATCTCCATCAAAACCAATAAATCACAACAATGATAAGAGAACTGTAATCTTACAAAGAAAAAGCAGTCTCTTCGCCTCTTCCTCTTCCACAATATCTCGTTCCTCTTCAGAAACACATTAGGTGGTCGTGCTGACAGAGAAAGATGAGAGTGTAAAGTGGAATACAGTGACGTGGCACCGCCACCTGCGTGCGACGCCTTCAGAAACAGATAGGCCAGATCACTCGCTTTCGCACCTCCGTCGATCGCCTTTTCTCCCCATTTTTTCCGATTCATTCATTCGAGAGAGACGACAGACACGACGGGAATCCCATAAATTTTGATTGCGGTTGGCCGTTGGATCCACCAAGCGACACGAGATCAAATCAACCTAATTCCGAGCAGATGTCTTTTCGCTTTTCCATGCTTTCGTGCTCTTTTCTCGCCCTCCTGTGGTGCAAAGACAAAAAAAGAAAGACGGAAGGTATTCCTCTCTGTTTCGAACCGATCAACCGTGCTCTAATGTGGGTGGCACAGCACGGCTCCGAGACGTTTGCGGAGAGCCCAGGACATAGGGAATCACGGAAAGAGCAAGAGTTTCTCAGTCGTTTTCCCGATTGTTCGGGCTCAACCAAAACACACAGCGTTAGAGTATTCTGTTAAATATATAGAAATCAATGCTCATGATGTTGTTTGATCAGTCGCCAATTCCAATTAGCAACTGACGACCGTAACACGACCGCCGTAATCTAATCTTATCACCATCCTTACATAACTCCCTCTCGACATTAGCCATCCTTTCCCGCCCACTTCCTCTTTCAATATAATCATTTTCCTTTTTTTCAGAACTCGACAAGTCAGCCGATGCTGTCGACGCAATCGGCCCGTGGGTGCAGCACCCTTCCCCGTCGGGTCAGTTTTCACGAATACATCATTTTGTGAAGGCCGCTGGAAGAGAACGGCGGCTCAGTTTTTGTGCGCGAAAAGTGGTACAATGGGGGCATTCAATTATAACCCGCAATCATTCCTTCTCTCTCTCTCTCTCTCCACTACGAATTCATACGTCGATTGTTTACGTTTTTGATGTCCTCCCGGGTGTGTGTCGGAAGCGACGACTCCGATTTCAAAACTCCACTTCAATTCATTCCGACGCCATGATAATTCGGGTGCTCCTACCCGAAATGCCTTCCCTAATCCGATTTATTCTTGAGAAACAGGTAAGACTCGAAAAAGTACTCGTTTCCCGGAAGACATAGACCAGAAAATGAGTGGAGAGAGATTCCCACGGCGAAGCCAAGCCCTTGCTCCGTTTTGAGTGATGAATGTCTTTGTCCATCAATGACTAATCGCACCTCTCAAACACATTTCGCCCGTTTCTGACGGACGAAACAGCGACAAGCACGATAATTACCGTATTGTGGTTGGTGAGGTGACGGGGTGGCGATGGCGCCGTTGTCCGCCAGACACCTGTACTTATGAAGAACGGACGAATGAAACATGCGAGGCTGCCTCCCACGCCTTCTTCTTTATTTCGTATTCTAGATAGACAGGTATGCACATTTCACTGAGCTCTTCGCCATAAGAAGCTTCTCGTCATGATCCGAAGAACATATGTCCGATTTCACGCTCTCTACGAGACATAATCGTCTTATCGCATGGCATTCTTCCCCAGAATTCGCATTGAAATGCCCTTTTGTTAACAAGATGCCGTCTGTGGTTTTTTGCAAAACCGATGATCCATATCAGCCGTGACGGAACCCAGTTGATGTCATTCCGTCCGTCCGCCACTCCCTCCTTTCATCATTCCCCCATTTAACAGTTCTCTTCATTGCCACGTCATAGGCTTTGCTTTTCGTCACCGGGGGGAAAAAGGAAAAGCGGCAGAATGCGACGGCCTTCTCCGATTTCACTATCATAAAACGTTTCTTTTTGTTCTCGTAGCAGGGCAGAAGAATGAAGTTTTCGTTTCGGACAGGCGACGGATTAACCGCTGGTCCGTCCGTTGTCGCTTTCTCCTTTCGCTCTCCTTCGAAGCGTTAAATCGATCTCGAAATGGGCGACCCCAATTAAGTAAATATTTGCGTCGCATTTGAAATTTTGATAGTTCGGAACAAAAGAGCGATGATGATCTTCACTTCCGTCGGCCGGCTCTCTCTGTTAATGTTTGTGTTGCTCACCGCTCGCCGGTCACTTTGCCACGTGTCACTGGATACGTTCCAAGGTGGTCCATTCCATTCATTTCCGTTTTGGTAAATATTTGATATGCGTATGCGCGTCTGGCGACTCTCGAATTGACACCCTCTCGCGGTCTGAAGTGCCTAGATATATGCATACACATGCTTATATTTCTACTAGTTTCCCTTCTGATTCCCTTTCGTCTGCCACCCCACTTTCCGCCAATCTTTCTCCTCTTTGATTGAAAAACAGAGAGAATTCTGGCAAGGCCACTCTGGTCTCCGACTTCCGGTGTTTTATGGTGAAGTCCTTCTCAGAAGCCGAGGACGACTTTTTTGTACCTAAGCTTAGTGAATGTAATGAGGAAGCAGAAAAAAAAAGAAAAGCTTTGAGAAATGAAATAGAGAAAGGAGAAGAAGAAGGAGAAGAAGAAGAAGCACGTCACTCTAGGTTATGAGCACCTTTGGCTCTGTGCTCAATCTTTCACACATTTGCATTCCAGACCACCCTCACACACGCTTCTCGGAGGAGCTCCCTCTCGCATGGCTTCTTCTTCTTCTTCTTCTTCTTCTTTCCCGAGGCTACCATTATTATCAAGATCTCTGAAATTCCTTTCTTCGTTTTCCCGCAATAACAACATTTTTCTTTTCCTTTGGAAAAGAAGAAGCAAAATTGTTTCCTGTAGACGTCTAGCTTCAACTTAACTTCAAAGTGATTCAGCGAGCAACCATCAACTAGTCCGGTCACCTCGGCTCCCAAATACTTTTGCAAACACGTCTTCCCCGCTTGCTCCGGCGTAATGCCAATTCGTTAATCAGCCATCCGCTCGCTCGCGGACTCTCACTACAAACAACCGCCTTCGCTTCCGGCCACCTATTGTTTTGACAGTGAAAAAGTAATAACTTGTTCTCGTCATTTTGACTCGTTTGGCTTGTGTTCAAATTCGTATTCAAATGAGCTATTAGGCGAGTGGGAGTGACAGCAACGAGAAGGGTCCGGAGACCAGGCACGTAATGGTTTGCCGGAGACGTCCATTACTACTAATTTCGACATCTTGCAGTGCTCTTTAGAAATTCCAGAATAAAATGTGCTTCTATGAGTGAGAATACGGTAGAACTAGAGTTTTTATCAACTTCCAAGCAAGTTCACAATCAAATGAGCCGTGTTAGCCATGAACAGAAACAATGGCACAACATGGGCGGCTGTCGGCAATTTATGACATGTCGCCCCGGCCCTGGCCCGGCAGATCGTTATCGAGTCTGGCCGGATCTCCTGCTGTGTGCTGCCATAATCCGACCGTCGTGCCCTCCATTCTCATGTACTATTCATGTCCTCTCTTGTCCTTTTCCCTTCCAAATTAATTAGAGACTGCCCGCACAGCTGATCTCCTTCTGTTTTTGATTTCGCGCGTGACTTTGCGAATTCCGTTTTTTATACATTTCCGACTGATAAGAAGCATGTGAGAGCACTAAACTGATAAGCGAGCAGCGTTTGATTCGCTCGTTTGGTCGTCCCGCCCGCAGCAGCAGCCGTTTTCGGTTCCCACCCCGCTCCTTACTAATTCAACGGCCATTGTCGGCGGTCCCCCTTCGAGCCGCAACATGTTGTTGTGCTCTTCAACTCATTTTCTCTTGACACGACGAGAAATATGTCAAAAGTTTGACGCCTCGACTCGAAGAGCGCCCGCCCCTCCTGCGCATTTTATCGCCTTTCCCTTCCATTCCAACGCTGACATTCTGTATCATGTGACAACCTTTTCGCGCCTATTTTTTTTTGCCTTTTGATCTACCGGTCACAGTCTGTCGCTTCTATTAATAGTATCATTGTGAATGACCAGCGTAGCACAGCGGTTTTCGGCACCTCGTCATTTCCTTTTCGTTCCCATTCCCATATAAGTTTACAAACATTTGATAGGGAAGACGCACCACACAATCGCCCGCTGATGGCTACTATCGCAATCAATTGTTGTACAATATTTACAACTTGAACAAACATTTCAGGCTGCCATACTGACATCGTCGCAGTCTCAGACCGGCATGATTTCACTGACTCAGCAGGTGGGAGCCGTTCGTTTGGACACTCACAAAAGTGATACTTTCGAACAGAATGTGAGTTTTGATTACGCGTTCCGACAGCCTCTGAAACTCTCGTTTTGTTGCAGGATCTGGTACTCGACAACTCGGGAGCCGTGCTCTCCGGAAGCAGGGACGCCCTCATCAGAAGGCTCGTTCCGACGAGGGACTTCTGTCCCAACGAATCCTACATCTTCTCGCTTCTCGTCAACATCCGAACATTCATCTCCCCGCATGAATTGATGCAGAAAATTGTCCAGGTCCGTGCGGATCCCCCTCCCGAAGGGGTTCCACCCTCTCTGCGGATCTTCTCATTTGTCAGCTCAAAGTGTTTTTTCTCTCACCGACCGCTTCGCCCTTTTTCTTTCTTTGTCCCAGCGGGAAAAGTTTTCCTCTTTTCAGTATTGCATGTTCGCTCAAAACGCCGACTCGCATAACTTTGCAAAAGAGGGCCGAGGGCGGATGTTCGCCCACATTCTGAGGCTGTGCAGTGAGTGGGCGATGAATATTCCGTACGACTTCAAAACAGAATACATGAGAACAAGGTAGGCTGACTGAGAAGTGAATTTATGTGAAAGATCGCATTCCAGGCTGAATGAGTTGCTCCGGCTGTGTGCAGTCGACAAAACGTATCAACAGAAGACGACAGAACTGCAAGCCTCGCTCAGAACATCTGTGAGTTGGGCGGAATGGGAAAGCGATCACACTTGTGAACTTACTTTGCAGCTGAACAAACTGGATCGGTACGAGAAAGCAGTGGCGAATCTACAGAAGGCACTCTCAGAAAATACGACGCTGCCAGAGCAGTCGGACAGCATGGTGAGTTAGTACGGAAGGGAAGAGCCCAATGAGATGTTGCAGAGCGGTCTGTTTCTGCTGTGCAGCGATGCGAAAGTGGTGGCTCAGCAGCTGACACACATTGAGATGGAGCGGTTCAGTATGGTCGGAGTGGACGAGATCGTGCAGAGTCTCGCTTCGGATCCCCTTTCGGAGATAGGAAGGCACTCGAAGAACAAGGAAGGCACGATCAGTTCGATCTCGTTTTACATCGAATGGTTCAACAGACTATCCGCGTTTGCTGCAATCGAAGTTTTGAAGCAGACAAAGAAACGGTACTCAACATTTGAACTATTTGGAATGACCGACAATAGTTGCTTCCTTTCCAGCAACCGAGTAGCCGTGTTCGAGTTCATGATTGACATTGCCAAAGAGTGCTGCGAAATCGGAAACTTCAATTCGATGATGGCCATTGTGGCGGGATTGTCTCTTCCGGCAGTGAGCAGACTCAAGAAAACGGTAACTACCGTATCCAAACTATTCTCATAAATGTTTCAGTGGTGTCGAGTGGAAAAGGCGAAGCTGGAGATCCTTCAACATCAACTGGATCCTTCGGGAAACTTCCTCAGCTACAGAGCAACCATCAAAGCGGCTCAGTGGAGGGCGGACAGTGCGCGAGGAAACCAGCAGAAGATTGTGATTCCGTTCTTCGTGCTTCTGCTCAAAGACCTGTTCCTGATCTATCACGGTCATGCGAGGATTCTACAAAACTCCCATCTCAACTTTATGGCGTTCAATCAGTTGGCAGAACAATTACGAGATGTCATACAGTGGAAATCAACGATTTGCACATTCGAAAAGAACCCTCAAGTGCTACAGTACCTACTGATCACTTCTGTTTCTGGAGAGAAAGGTACGAATGTAACAAAATCCTTCCAGAAATTACATAGGAACCTTCAGATTCAATGCTGATGTCATTTGAGTGCGAGCCGCCCGAGTCGTCGGCCGAAAGAGACCAACACAAAAAACTGAAAGGTGGCGGCAAATGAAATCAGTCGACAGTAATCTCTCCCTCTCTCACTTCACCACTATCTCTCGTCCTAGTCAGATACCTATCACATTCTAGTCAACTCATATCTTCTATAGTTCCTTCCCTTTTCCATTCCCCCCAATGTATTCCCATATTATGGGTCTTGCAACGATCTTAATTACATTAGAACAAAAATATAATAAAGGAATTGAATTTTATTCAACATTCACATCGAATTCTTCGATATCATCCATCAAAGTTACCCTTGCGGAAGGGTCCAGAAGAAACTCCAGAAGATGCGACCGGTAGACTGCCACGTGCCAGTTTATGACGGTAACGGGTTGCCAGTGACGTCTGGAACAAGAAAAACAGTACTTGAATAGCACGAAACGAGCTCACGGAAGACATGAAGGCCAGCGTTAGCAGCAGAAAGAACAGGAGTTTCATTGCAAAAACTGTCCTCGAAATTCGTTCATTTTGCTCTTTTATTTTCTCGAAATCGCATAAAATCCATCGTTATTGTCCGTTTGAATGGTTCGTTGCGTCACCGTATTCCGTGATTTATGATTTGTTTTTTGATGCTTCGTCACCGACAGCCGAGAGGTCAAAACAGAATTAGAAATTGTACGAAATGTACCAAATTTACGGAGCTCCCGACGGTTTGCTCAGGCGTGTGACCGGCGCTCGTTTGTTTGTTACTTCGGGTCACTATAAAATGGGCGCTGCCGATGGATCAGAACCAAAAACAACTGATCATCATGCTCTCCAGTATCTTTATTCTTTCCACTTTCCTCTTCGCCTCTTCTGAAGCCGGAAGGTACCGGAGACAGGGACTCTCAGGCCTCGGAGGACTCGGAGAACTCAACGATCTGATGCCGTGCAACGCTTTTACGAGGTGCAGCGGCAAGGGATTGTGCCTCGGATCGGCGAAGCAATCCACGTGCATGTGCTTCCTTGGATGGAGTGGAGACTCTTGCGATTCCGTTGCCAGTGAGTTAACCTTCGAGGATGGATTCTGTCCAGTTCAAACGTTAATTCAGATCTGATGGATCCGTTCAACCTCTTCTCGTCGAACAAGAACAACCAGTTGTTTCCGAGCCTCTTTCCCACATCCAGCTCCCTCAACCTTCTGAACAATCCGTTCGGATTCGACGACGACGCATTGGAAATGTGCACTGCCAGCGACTGCAGTGGGAACGGAGTGTGCGTCGGATCGAAGAAAGCGCCGCTCTGCCTGTGCAACCTCGGAAAGACCGGCTTCAAGTGCGAAAGCGAGATATCAGGGCTCCGTGAGTATTTCTTTCATTTTCACTCCCAATCGTTCCTTTTCCAGTCAACCTCGATCCGTCGGCTCCGCTGACGTTCTGCTCGGCCAGTGACTGCAACAACAAGGGACTGTGTCTCGGCACGAAGAACAGCTTCTCGTGTGCCTGTCAGATCGGATACACGGGCTCTCGCTGCGAGAAGACGCCAGTTTCCCTTTGCGACGCCCGCGACTGCAGCTCGAACGGCCTCTGCATCGGATCCAAGGACTCTTTCACTTGCGCATGTTACCTCGGATACTCTGGAGAAAGATGCGAAAAAAGTGAGCGCTTTACAAACTTCTCTTTTTTAAAACTCTTCCTTTCAGTCACCGGGACAATTTGCGAGGCTTCTGACTGCAATTCCAACGGAATCTGCATCGGAACCAAGAAGTTGAAGTCGTGCATCTGCGCTCCCGGATACTACGGATCCAGATGCGAATCTCGATTCAGTAAGCTGTCCTAAACACCCTAAACACCCTAAACAGAACGTTCAGCTCTTCTCCCTGGTACCGAAGGACTCTTCTGTGAGACGAAAGACTGTAACGGCAACGGAATCTGCATTGGAAACAAGTTGCTCCCCACCTGCATCTGTGCTCCAGGATTCACTGGACTTCGCTGCGAACTCGAGCCTCTCTGCACCGGAGCTCTGCAGTGCTCCGGCAACGGATTGTGCGTCGGCTCTCTCAAGTCGTACAGTTGCACGTGTAATCTTGGATGGACGGGGCCTACTTGCGCTCAGAGCACACTTCTCGGATAGATTGTAAAACATTTTCGAAACATTCGAGCCATACAGCTTGATTTTCTGTATATATTGCGGTACAATAAAACTATTGGTTGACAGTCGGATCGACAGAGATCAGTGAACGTAATACCAGAGGATGGGGGATGCGACCTGTGACAATAAAATGATATGCAAGAAAGGGAATGTGCAAAAGACTGGGGTGAGCTAGAAACACAACAGAGGGCGATGAGAAATTGTACAAGAGTTAGACGGACTTTGGCAGAGAGCTCAGCAGCTCCGACTCGAGATGCGCGGAGCCGTTGTCCATTTGAAGGCGGGTGTGCTCTTTCGGCGGCGGGATTGGCTCTCCGTAGACACGAACAAGATAGGCGCACGTCTTCGGCATGTTCCCGTGATTCTCTCGGAAGCGGAACTGCACGGCATTCACAGGAGTCGATTGGAGAGATGGAGCCACTGTGCAAACTTGCTCCTGTTCGTCTTGGTTGTCTCCAGAAGCCTTGTACTCACAGTCGACAACCAACAGTTCCCAATCGAGGCAGCACTCGGAACGGCAAGCCTGAAAGACATTCGTTTTTTTATTTCCCGAACGAAAAAGAAAATAACTCACAACAACGTCATAGAACTTCGGGGCGTGGTTGGGAACTATTCCGTTCCACTTGACATGCTGGTAGGAGACGGCAGTCGGATGAATGTATCTGGCCAGTTTGACGGTAAGAGTCGGGCGTTTGTCGTAAGTGCACCACGCCTCTCCGGGGGTCAGAACATCCCGTTCGAGCAGAACGTATTCTCCTTTGAACGAGACCATGTACGACATGACGTCATAGAAAACTCCATCTTTGGCGGATGCGGGACGTGAGGAGCACGTCTCGTCGATTGAAGCGCCGATCAGACTGCTCGCCACGTTCACGCCCGGCACAGTTCGCTGGAAAACTGACGAATGAATCGTGTGGTGGAGTTGAAGATCAACGGGAGTAGATTGGGCAGTCTTTGAGGCCTCCGGCTCGGTGGAAATCGTCTTTTGCGCCTTTTGCTTCTGAATCAAAAGGAGATTGATAGTTTATCAAAATGTCGAGTAACCTCTTCGTCCAAATCGATCTTCACATTGTGGACAATCTCATCAAGGGTGGATTGAGAAATTTTGAGCTCCGAGAGTTCGTTCATCACAGATTGCTTCCATCCGTTAACCGCCTCCAGCTGGTTCTCAATATTTTCTATGTTCTGAATCCTCCAGTTTATCTGTTTTTCAAGATTTTTGAATTCCGATTTGATGTTTGAAATCTGAACAGAACAGAAAATTTTATTTTGATCGAGGGAGACTTGTAGTTTTACCGATTGATAGAACTTCTGCTGCTCAGTGAGTTCGGAGGCTGACAGCTGATTGCTGTTGCCATGTTTCCTTGCCTCGGTGTAATAGCAGTCACGGAGATCTTTAAATATGGACAACTGTTTTTTGTGGAGCAACAGACTTTGGCTTACAACTGCAAAACATGGCGGCGAGCACGACGATCATGAATAGCTCCCGCAGAGTCTTGAGTGATGGAACAAAGCGACGTCTGGCCATTCGAATGCGATAGCTCAGCCAGTCATACCTATAAAACCTGCCTGCTTTCCCGACTCGCCTTCTGAATTCTCACCACATTTCCTTCTTCATCGACGTCATTTCTGTGACGGTAAAGTGCTCCTTGTAAATGAACTTTGACGAATTCAAATCGATGTCGGTGTCATCGGCCGATTCGAAGACCCGTTCGACAGTGTCGATGTGTGATCCCGGTCTACGAGTCAGCGGCGTTGATGTGTGAAGAGGGTCGTATGGCTGACGGAGACCGCTGCGAGACACAGAACGGGTTACCGGAGGACTTGTTCGATTCGAGAGTTGCGGCGAGATGGTACGCAACGCCATTTCGAGTAGCTGCAAACAATTATCTGAAAAGAAGAACAGAGAGAAACGGTAACCAGAAAGAATTCAAAGTCGACCTACACCGACTGAGATGAACGAGAGAACGAGTTGATGAGAAAAACGAATAAATACTTTTTCGAGGACAGATAAATGTTTTGAAACGTGAAAACGGATTGCATTGTCATTGAAGTTCGAGTTGAGGTCTGATCAGCTTCGCCTTGACTTCATTCGTGGCAGCGTATCCAGTTCCTCCCCTTTGCAATTCGATGATGTCGCCTTCGCTAATCGGCTCTCCGTTGATTGGATCCACGCCGTCACCTTTGATCAGTTTCTCCACAACATCGTACTTCACAACTGCTTTCCTGAAATTGAGTTTTTTTAATCAAAATTATAGGGATGGAGTCTACGATTTCTTGAGATAAGCACATCTCGTCGTGTTCGTCAGTTCGTCTCTCGTCACTGGACAAACGAATCTTCGCTTGGCGGCTGTCTCCGTGCCTGGCATCGGCGTGAACTGGACTTCCATCAGCTCCTTCATTTTGATGGGCTTTCCGGAAACCGGACACAAGGTCTTCGACCTCGGTTTTTCCAGTTTAGAAGCAGCGGCGGTCGGATTGAGTTCAGGTATCCAGAAACTCGGAAGTGAAGTGCTTTTTGCGCCTCTCATGTTTGACATGTCACCTTCTTCGCCATGAGCTTTCACTTTGGCAGCTATTTCACTTGATATTACGCCTCCTGGCCGTTTCTGCAATCATCAAAATTGAAAAAGGTCACAGAGCGTTCTACAAACCAGAGATCCGGATTCTACACGCGGCGTGGCAGAGGCTCCCGTACGGCTCGGAGTGCTTTCAATCGCCGAAAACTTTGTTCTCTTCGTGAGAACTTCCGCTTGTCCTTCAGTCTGTCTCGCCGCACTCTCTTCGGCTACTTGCTTTTCATATTCTTTCAGCTTCTTGGCATACGCCTTCTTCTGTGCTAGAATGTTCTCCAGAATAGCCTCACGATCGAAAATGAAGCCGTCGGGAGACACAACCGGAGTTCTGACAGAAATTATTGATTTTCAGTTTGGATGCAAAACAGGCTAATTTAGGCGCCTGCGCCTGTTCTGCATCCCTAATTTTCAGTAAAAGATCAATGCTCTTTACCTGCATGGTTGAAGAGTCAGCGAGCAACAGTGGAATTCCTTGATCGAATCAGCACCCAGACGAGCGTGTAGAGTTCCGTAACCACTAGCCTACAACTTCTTTTATTATCGTTTTGAACTTGGTTTTATTTCAATTCAAACCTTGGCATCTCTTCTTCGCTCGTGGTAAGTGTAAACCGATGAGGCAGTGGAATTCTTTCCGTGTCTGGTCATTCCGCTGAAAAAGAAACATGTCTGCTGATAAATTAGAACTGAGAAGTGAAACAAGAGTATTAAGTAATCGATTTTCTTTTTGAATATCGAAAATAGCAGAACGCACGCATCGTGAATGGATCAATATATAGAGGAAAAACGCAAGTGCGCGCATAAAAAACTTAAATCGAACGTCTGGCCGAACTTTTCGTCTCATGGCCTAGAAACACCAGAAGCATAGGAAACTCTTCCGTTTCACTGTTCACACACTTTCCGCTTCAAAACTGGCCAATTCGAAACATTTTATTAAATTTCTTATAAAATGTAGTTTCTCACAACAACTAGCGTTATCATATTTATCAAAAAGTCGCGAGCAGACGATGCCGCCCTCGTTGTCGTCGGTACTGTAGTTGTCGTGCTTACTGTCCGTGAAACTATTGTTTGTGAAGTCGTCGAAGGTCCCGGAGTAGTTGTCGGGAGTGGAGCTCCTTCTGTGCAAAACAAAAAAGTTGTACCGAAAGAAATGATTGAGAAAGTAACCTATTTGAAAGTATTGCACAGCATATCGACCTGCGATATCATATTGAGAGAGAATCTGGAAGGATTTCGTCCCTGTTTCACCCCATCCTCCCTGTCTGTTATATCTGGTCGTATTCTGTGTATCGATTCTGAAATGGGAAGCTCAGCACTTTTTTGTCATCGGTTTCTCGCTTACCCAACTTGGAATGCATCAATTCCGATCCGAACCGGATAGATTACATTGTAGAGTACCTAAACTTTTGAGAAATATTTTGTACCGTTTTACTCATTCCTTACATAAAATCCCGCAACAGCTGCATTTTCTGGATTTGCTGCCATGTGTATAGTCAAATTTTCAGGCGCAAAAGAGCATGTCACGAGCCCTGTCGTCGTCACCTTGGTAGTTGCCGTGCCGTTCGGATCATCTGCATTTCTCAATAACGTGCGTTTTTTTTAAATTCATGTCTTACCCCATTTTGGTCGAACTTGAAATCTGATTTGCCCTTTCGCCCTCACATACCAGACGTCGCTGAAGATTTGGAACGGCTCGACAGAATCGAAAAATTGCCACGTAGTTAGATACAATGGATTTTGGAATATAATCCTTTGTTTGCTATCATCTGCGTTTTCGTTTTTGTAAGATTCAGTCGGTTCATCCCAGTAGATAAACACATTACCGTCCTGAAAATGGCGAATTCGGAAGATTAGTGGATAACTGATGACCTACCGCAGATGAGAGATATTCGTAAACTTGAGAGGACTTCTCTGGAACATAAAGTGGCTGATTCTCAAGTCCAAGATTCTGGTTAAGAAAAACCAGCGTGAGATCGTCGACATTGTAGCTAATAACAGTATTTCTGTCCACCGCATAAACCAGAAAGCTTTTGTCTGAACATGTCATCTGATACTATTTGTGAATTTTGATAATACCGTTAGCTTGAGTGTAAGTCGTGAAGTACACGAATCCCGTCAATCTTTCCGCCTCCATTTCTGTATTCGTGGAACTGATCGTGACTTCACCGGTGATCTGCCACGCAGTTTTGGTGCCATCCAAGTTTGTTCCCATTTTGGACAATTCCAGAGCTCTAGAAACAGTTTGGTTATTGCTATGTCAAATCTCAGAAACTTACGTCTTCGTATTCAAGTTGTTCGTAATTTTAATCTTGCCCAAAAGCCCTTCGTCATCGTTAGATTGCACATACAAATTCGCTCCTTTCTGAACGAAGATTTAGTTTTCATTCTGAAAAGTATCACTTGCTCTTACCTCTACCGGCAGAGTTATAAATCCTCCGGTAATACTGATATCGGCAAGCCGAATCCTGGCGAACGTACTGCCAAAAAGTAGAAAAATTGCTGATAAGAAACGCATTATAACTGAGCTGGCTGCGAAACGGAGAAAATGCGCCTTCGTCGCTTTTATAGAAGTAGAAGTGAAGTCACTGATAACACAGTGCGGCCGTACTCAGACAGACCCGCGTGACGCATCCAATTATCAGAGTTCCTTTTATAACACAGACTGCTCCGAGTTTGTCCCTCGACTTTTCGAACTTTGCCAAGTGCCCATAAAAACGTTCTGCACACGTTGGCTGACAATTAGACGACGTTTCCGTTATCATTGACTCATTTATTTGCCAGTCAGGTAACACCCATTTCAGTTGTCAGCATAAGTTAAACACGATGAAAGAGATGCACGATAGAGACAAAAAAGGTTAGAATAGCACATGATGTTGATGCAGATTGAGTCGTTGTCTCAACATTTTGAGTCGTGCTTTGAGTAGCCGTGGAAGCGGAAGGAGTAGTTGGAGCAGGAGTAGCAGCACTTGTAGCTGCTGAAGAAACGATCGAAGAAGTCGTTGGTGCAGCCGTTTTAGAAGTGGAAGAAGTAGAAGACGAAGACGGGAGAGCTGGTGTAGTAGTGACTGGTCCCTGGTCAACTTTGAAATACTGGATCCAGTAGATACCAGCACTTGTCTGTGATGGATAAATTCCGATGTTCTCGGCAGGCCATGTAGCCTTGTAGAAATGACTAAACAAGTTCGCTGTTACCACCCTATAATTCTAGTACTTTTTAAATTAAAAGCCGAAATGGCTCACGTCTCAGATTCACTCAGATCGCCCTTTCCGTTAAGAGTCAATGTAAGATTAGTGTTGCTGTACAATTCCGTTGTGTACGACCACCCAGAAATTCCAAGATTGTCCCCTGACGAAATAAAGCTGACAGAACTGTTGTAGTTGAATAATTGACTGTTGGCGAGTCCGGTTGTGGTCACCGCGGTCGCCTGAATGCTGGTAGTGTCAACTGAAACACTGAGCGTAAGCTAAACGTATTTTTCTCAAGCATTTCCTACCGTACTCATCGCTGACATCCAATCGTATTCCTCCAATAGCTTTCATAAACCACACTTGAAGTGAATATTGAATTGGATCAACGTTATTGAAGAAGAAATAATCCTTGCTCGGATCGCCAGTAGAGGATACTTGTAGTGGGTTCGAGAAGATTCTCTTGACCAACGTGTGCTCATCGTTCAGATCCCCATAGTAGTCATCCGGCTCTCCTCGATAAAAGCACAATCCTGTCGTTTCTGGTTGAACAATATTATGAATTCGCGTGTGCGTGAATCCCTTATAGATCGGATTTCCATCGTTGGTGTTGCGTACGTTGAGAAAGACGATAGTCGAGTTGTCCTTGTCGCTTCTGTCGATAACTCTCGAACTTCTGACTACATAGACGAGGAAGTTTGGGTCTGTAAAAAACGAACTCAATAATGTTTCCCCGTGAAAGCAACACCTTGAGCCATAGTGGGAGTAGCCACGAATAGATTTCCTCGCAACTCTTTAGTGATGTTCTCATTGTTTGTCGTGGAAATAGTCAGATCATTGTAAACGGGCCATCCAATTTGGAAGCCATCGTCGTCGAACCTCGACAGCAGTTTGTCGAGCCAAAAATAAGCGCAATGAAATCCAAAAGCTGTTTTATGACTTACGTAATGGTCTGTCCTCCCGTCGACAATGTAATTCGTGCCAGGTAGGCAGCTTTATCTGAAGACGTCAAATAAATGCTGGATCCATTCTGAAACACGCATTTATAAATACAAAATCACATCTAAAAGTACCTACCGCTACTTCAATTGGTGTAGGCGTTGTTGTATTACTGTACCAGGTTAGGGAATGTAAGGAGGATGAGATGGCGGAAACCGAAGAGATCAGGCACAGAAAAGCGAGTGCTGTTCTCATTTTGAAAAGCGAGAAAGTGACAAAGTGGAAAGGAAGGACGCACCCTCATTTTTATGCTCGCGGGTGCTGATAATCGAGTTAGGTGTGGACAGTCAGACACGTCACTGGAGAGATGACTGTGAAATGTGTCCTTTTCGAGTCTCAAGATGTTCAGGGCGTTTTTAATTAATCAGACAGTCATTCAAATAACTTATCAAGAGCTGAATCATACAAAAATGCGCAAAAGTGCGAGCAATATAGAGAAAATTGGAAGCGAGTTGCCACCACTCTGTGTAGTCGTTGGCACGGACTGCGTCGTCGTCGTCGGTACAGAAGAAGAGACGGTTGTCAAGCTGCTCAGAAGATTTCCTTCTGTAAATAACGTACATTTTCGGACAATCGAACGATAACAAACCAATTCGGAAGTACTGAATATAGTAAATTCCGGAATCCACTTTTGTTGGGACAATATAGAGGTTAGTTGTGTTTTGACTCCACTGAAAGAAATCTGCAACTACTCCGACGTTGTGGTCCAGTCTGTAGAACTTTATCTTTGCACAATCCGAGTACCAGGTGACTCACGGAAGACTTTGACATTCAACAGTGCCACTGCACATTGTGATATCCACATCTGCGAACAGTTCCGTTGTTGTCAACTGTAAAGAAATACACAATGTCATTACAATTATCTTTGGAGCCTACGAGCATTCCGAACGTTCCATCGTGATTCGGATTGTTCTTCAAGTTCACTGTTGTGTTGTAGGTGAACAATTGGCTCATTGTGTATCCAGTTGTCGTTTCTTTAGTAGTTTGATACGTAGATTGATCAACTGAAGCAGGAACTCAATTTAGGCGGCTCTCGTTATGAACTGACCCCAATTTCGGCTGACATTAAATTTGATTCCCCCGATTGCTCGAATGTGCCAGCTCATAAGTGAATATTGAATCGGTTCAATATTGTCGAAAAAGCTAAATTATTCCGGTTAATCAATTCGAGACTTTTTATTTCCCTACACTGTGTTAGCATCGGGGTTTTCGGTGGGCAACAAACTAACGGGATTCGTAAAGATTAACTTTCCGACAGTCTCCTTATAAGTTGGATCTGTGTATCCATCTCCGGGAATTGAACGGTAAATGTAGAGTTTAGTTGTCTAAAAATTAGTAAAATGTGAGAATTTGTTTGAGAAAAGTTACATTCGGCTGTACAAAGTTTTCGACTCGTGTATTGTAGAATGACTTGTAAACAGGGTCAGTGGCTGTTTTGCTAACACGCTGATTCAGAAGGACAAGCGTCGTTTCCGCATTTTCAGAACGATCAACTGTGAATGTTTGATCTTTGACAACGTAAACCAGAAAGTTAGGATCTTTGGCCATGTCGGGACTAGAAATGAACAGAAGGCCATTCAATTCCTTAGTGACATTTTCAGTATTAAATGTGCCAATCATCAAATCTTTTCCAACTGGCCATCCTTTTTGGTATCCGTTGTCATCGAATCTCCCTAATAGTTCGCTGGCTCTGAAATTTTGAACTAAATAAACTAATATCAAAAGGGTCTATTCGATCTTACATTATACTTTGACCATTGGAAACCAATGTTATTTCGCTCAATACCTTTGCTTTATCGCTTGAAACGAGGTACAGATTAGAGCCATCCTGATAAAAAACACACAATTAGTGGAAGAGATTATGACGGCCTTACCTCCACGTTCGAAATGCTCACTGGGTCGACGGAAGTGTAATCACTCAGTTGCTTTAGTTCAGCAGACAAACTTGTCTGCAGAAGGGCTACACAGGCAACTAGCACGTACGTTCTCATCTTTTGGATGATAAAATGATTTCATACTTTTTTGTTGCTTTTATGCGTTTCACACCTATTGATAAGTGTTTTAGGTGATAAATGTCTGTTATCAGCAAGCATGTCTTTTTCCTGGCCCCGACACGTGAATTACTGCCCAATGGGTTTGTAGAAATAGTTTGTTTAGAAAATTTCATTCACAAGAAGAACAGGGAAATTACAATAAACAACGAGAACAGGTCAAACGTGAAGAGAGATCGAGAAGATTGGGTGGTGGTTGCGGGTGTGGTGGAGCTCGGAGCAGTGCTAGAAGCGTTGTTGGGCGCCTTGCTAGCAGCGGTGGTCACTGTAGTTATAATAGAGTTTGTAACAGAAGCACTAGTAAGAGAAAGTGTGATATTCGTGTTTAGAGCACTAGTCGAAGAGAGTGTGCTAGGTGTGCTCGGAGCAACAGTGGAGGGAGTAGTGATTACGGGAGAAGAGGAAGTCACGGAAGGAGTAGTCACAGTACCTGATGTGACTGTGGACCCGGTGATCGGAATAGCTGTAGTCTGACCGGAAGGCTGTGTGACGGGCGCTGAGGGTGTGGTCGCCGAAGCATCGTTGCCTGCAAATAAATCATAAGCTCATTTGAATGATAAGAAAGCCATGCTTACTAAAAATGAAGTACTGGCAATAGAAGACTCCTGCAACGCTGTCCGTCGAGTTAACCGTGAGCTGTGTAGCATTCAATGAATAGGTTGACCAAATCTCGGAGCTATTCTTTGTGTTGTCGAAACTGAAAAGATCTTCTCATCGGTCAAGAATTGTTAAAAATACATACGTCTGAGTAGACACTTTCCCTGCGGCATCAGCGAGGACAAAATTGACTTGAACCTGACGAGGGATTGTTGCCGAAATCTGAAATCTGATCAGTCACACTCATCCTTTCAATAATCTAACTCACAAAAGTTCCGACAGTTCTGGAACGAGTTGGATCTTGCTGGAAGTTGACAACGTGTTGATAGAAGAACGTGTTACTGTTGATCAAAAGTCCAGTAGTGTCAGCGGCAGTCGTGTTGTAAACGTGGTCCCCAACTAAAATATCAACCTGACGGAAAACTGGGAATCTCGTCCTACCAAAATTGTTCTGTACACGAAGATTGACCGAGCCGATGGCAGTGAAATACCAGTAATCAATTCCAATTTGAAGAGGTTCGACATTGGAAAAGAACCTGTAAACGTCCAGTTTCATAAAAACATGAATAATTTCTACTAACTTTGTTGTTGTCGTTTGATCGCTGTTCACAATGTTCACTGGGTTCTCGAAAAACTTGTTATTGACAGTGTTTGTATAATTAACCGGTGGAACTCCCCATTGGAAATACAGTGTCGAGTTCTGAAACATCCTCTTTGAGACTGGTCTCAGGCGGTAATCAGCTCACTGCGTCCTGTTGAATTTCACTGACATACGAGGACTTCTGCGGCTGATCGGCGTCTCCAGAGGTGGCTTGCAACTGAGTATTCAGAATGACTACTGTGCTTCTGGTGCCAGTTGTACTGATGTGATGGTTTCCAGTAATCGCGTAAACACTGAACGAGCTGTCTGCAAAAGAGGAACAGAAGAGTTTAGTACACGTAGAGCAGTATACCTTGAGCTTGCTGAGCGGTAGTCAGGTAGAGATACCCAGTCAATGTATACGTGACAGTGTTAGGGTTTGTGGTTGTGATTGTAAGTCCTCCGCTGATAGGGGTCTTCTTGGAAGTTCCATCAGAGTTTGGTTGAGCGAGGTCAGAGAGTCTGCAGGTGATTTACTTGTAATATGTCAAAATTACAAAACTTACAAATATGTCACTCCCCCAGTATTCACTGCTATGTTTTTTAAGTAATCGGCTTTGTCATTAGATGCAACGTACAGACTAGCGCCGTCCTTAAACGTCCCCAGTTTAAAGTAATTCAAAGCTGGTTGGTCTCACCTCAGCATTGCTGACAGATGTAGTCGTCCCATTTAAATAATTCTTCAAAATCAGAATCTGAGAATCAGAATAGACGGTGCCTATAAGCAGGGCAGTTAGAAAAAGATGAAGACGGCAGTCCATTTAGATTCGAGAATGCCGAAAACGCCTCATTCCTTTCATTTTAAACCGATTTCGGAGGCTGATAACAGATGCACAACTGCAGCCCGTTCTGTGCCCGTTAATGAGATGACGAAGCGCATCGGAATCGTCGGAAATAGAAGTGTGTGCTATCAGAGCGAGTGACGCCAAGTTTGCTGGAGCTCCAGTCTAGGGGAGAGCGTGCCGCACTTGAGGGCATTTTACTTCCAATCTTGATGGGTAAAAGTCAGTCACAAAAGTAAGTGCATTTGTTTAAATAATGATTATTTATTTCAATCGGCACCGGTACTGTTCTCAAATTCCAACAGAACAGTCAGTAGAATAGAATGCAGAAAAGGAACACAACGGAGATCACAGAGTTAGTTTGTGACGATCTTGTCGTCGTGGCAACAGTTGTCGTCGACACAATTGTGGAATTAGTTTGTCGCGGTGTAGTCGTCGATGGCGTACTCGGAGCTGGAGTATTCTCGAGGGCATCTCCACTGAAAACGTAGTACTGGCAGTAGAATGTTCCTGGGATAATGCTAGTCGAGTTGATTGTGAACTTTTTCGGATCGAAATACGTGGTAGCCAAAGCATGAAGCACTTCGGTATTGTTGCCGTACCTGAAAGATTACATCTTGTGGTTAGAAAGTAAACGAAAAAATTACGTTTGTGAAAAAAGGGCGGTGTCTCCTTCCAAGACAAAACTAACATCGGATGTCAAGGCAGTTGAAATCTGAACATTTTTACTTTTCCTTTTTGATTGTCCGGTCAACCGCTCACCAGAGTTCCGGTAGTTCTGACATGGGTTGGGTCTTGTTTGAAGTTCACAACGTGCTTATTGAAAATGAAGTTGTTGACAATGACTCCAGTTGCGTCCACAGACGAGACCGTGTAGTCGTAGTTTTGAACATACTTGCTCTCCAGAGCCATGTTGATTGGTCCCATCGACATGAAGTACCAGTAATCGAGACTTATTTGAAGAGGTTCAACTTTGTCGAAGAATCTGGAAAGCTTTGGCGTTCCTAGCGCAAACGTTCAGTCGGAGCTTACTTTCTAGTCGTGTTCAAATAATTACCGTTTTCGTCATAGTTCTTGATGTTAATTGGATTCTCGAAAAACTGAGTTATGGTCACTGCGGTGTAGTTTGCTGGCGGAATCCCATAAAAGAAGTACAAGTTAGTGTTCTGAAATGTATCCTGGTTCAAGAACAAATGAAGAGTATCCAACTGACGCTCGATTGCTGAATGTCGGTTACGTAGGAAGTTTTCCTTGGATCGTTAAAGCTGGTCGCATTTTCCAGTTTAACGTTCAAAACGACGGACGTAGTTCGCATTCCGTCTCTGCTGATCGCCTGTTTCTGATTGATCACGTAGACGCCAAAAGTTGGATCTGAATTTGAGGAAAATGATATTTTGAATAGGAACTATTAGGCTACCATCAGCTTGTTGTCGTGTAGTGACATAAAGATATCCAGTCAACGCGTTTGTTGTTGTGTCATCGTTGACAGTCTTGAGCGACAATCCTCCCGAAATGTTGAGGTACTTGGGCAAACCATTATCGTACCAATCATTGATAATATCAAGACTGAAAAGACAGATAGATTTGCCGATCGAGTGATAACTTGCGTGGTAGTTGTAGATCCCGTAGTCACGGAAATGTTCCGCAAAGCTGCACGATCGTCATTCGAAGCCAGATAAAGCTGTGCTCCGACCTGTGAATGATATAATTTTAATAAATCAAGTATCATGAAACTACTGACCTCTATGTTATCGAAGTAGACAGTTGCTCCAGATGCGTATTTGCTGAGATAAAACACATGAGGATCCGCAGCAACTAAGCCCAAGAGCACTGGGACAATGAAGAAGTCTAGACGAGTCATGAAAAAATGCGGTGTAAAATGTGTCGAATAGTCATGCTTAAATATCGGTTGACCATGATAAGACACTGATAAGGATGTCGCTGCAATCTTTTGTTTACCGGCTCTCCTGAAAATGACGAGGGTATCGGTGACTCAAACAAGAGTTTGAACTGAAAATTAAAAGAAGTTTCACAATTCTAGGTCATCGAACGGATTTGCTATATTCTAATTATAACAATAATTTCGCTGTTCTTGCAACTCAATCGTCAGTCCTTATTTGCTGACGGATTGTTTACTTTTCACACACGTACATTCACAGTTATTGTCATCTTATATCAGCACAAAGTGTACGCAAAAACCAAGTGACGGCAGTTAAACTTATTCGAAGAAAAACGTAATGATAATTTATCATTTATCATCGTCGTAGAACATGAAAAATCACGTAAAAGATGGAAAATGCTAGTTCATGAGATGATTTGGTCGTTGTGGCAACAGCTGTGGTACTCGTAATCGGTGTGGTGATTGCAGGAGTAGTTGGCGTGGTTGCGTCAGTAGGAAGGAGATCACCGGCTGAAAGTAGACATTTTCATACTTCTACCAATTTTTTTAATAAAGAAACGAACTGTAAGCAAAATACTGTAAATACAGAGTTCCAGGAGTCAATGAAGTCGAATTAACCTTCAGCTCGGTAGCCACCATTCCGGAAATGATTTTTCCGTGAAGCATTTTTGTGTCTGCCCCATACCTGAGTCATTTAATGGATTGAGCTCTGTTTGATGTTTCTGACTTACGTTTGGCTGAATGTACTTTTACCGTCGAATAGATAAATACTGAGCTCAAAATCTAGGAACGTCGAAATCTAAACCATAAGATATTGTGTAGAGAACAGGAGATTAATCAGGCATACCAGCATTCCCGTGGTCCTCTGTCTTACGGTATCGTTTGGAAAGTAGACTTGCTGATCGAGAAGAACATGATGCTCATATAATATGATTAGTCCGGTTGCATTGTCTGCAGTTATACAGTGCGCGTCATAAAGATAGGACACCCCCCTAAAATGACGTCCTAGAGAGAACTAAACATTTTCGAGAAAAACTGTGAATGCCATTCGATTCAGCATCCAAAATAACCTACGAAACCAATTTTTTAGATTCCTACCTCAAAAATTAAAGCTACAGCACTGAAAAGTCTTAAAATCGGGCGCGTCATAATGATAGGACACCCCCCAAAAATAGAGGGATTTTTCAACTTTTTGTGCTTTGTTCAGATAATTTTCAGGTTTTTCGGTTGTATTATTAAAGTTTCATTATTCTTTTGTGTTTTTATTGAGTTTCCAACAAAGCGATCCAATTATACACAAATTATAGTGTTGTTCTGATAGATGTTAAGTGCTTCCGGACAAAACTCGAAATCTTCGAACAATTTTTGCTTTAAAACGTTTTATTAATAAAGGAAACTTATTAAAAGTTCATAAAACATGAAATAATTAATAAGAAGTTGTTCCTCCAAACTTTTGGATCACTTGGCACAGTCGGTTCGGCATGCTTTTCGTCAGAGACTCCAGATTGGTTGGCGAGAGCTGGCCGCATTCGTCCCAAATAACATCCTTGAGCTCGTCAACTGTTTGAAACTGCTTGCCGTGACGATAGACAGCTCTAGTAAGTAATCCCCAAACGTGTTCGACCGAGTTGAGGATCGGAGAGTTGGCTGGCCAATCCAGGACTTCCATCTTCTTGGATGAAAGCCAATTCATTGTGGAGACACTCTTGTGAATCGCAGCGTTGTCCTGTGAATTCTACAGATTATCCTGCTGGAAGGTCCATGAAATGATTAATTTTTGAAGAGTGCCCTGATAATCTGTAGAATTCGCAGGACAACGCTGCAATCCACAAAAGTGTCTCCACATTGAACTGGTTTTCATCCAAGAAGATGGAAGTCCTGGATTGGCCAGCCAACTCTCCGATCCTCAACTCGGTCGAACACGTTTGGGGATTACTTACTAGAGCTGTCTATCGTCACGGCAAGCAGTTTCAAACAGTTGACGAGCTCAAGGATGTTATTTGGGACGAATGCGGCCAGCTCTCGCCAACCAATCTGGAGTCTCTGACGAAAAGCATGCCGAACCGACTGTGCCAAGTGATCCAAAAGTTTGGAGGAACAACTTCTTATTAATTATTTCATGTTTTATGAACTTTTAATAAGTTTCCTTTATTAATAAAACGTTTTAAAGCAAAAATTGTTCGAAGATTTCGAGTTTTGTCCGGAAGCACTTAACATCTATCAGAACAACACTATAATTTGTGTATAATTGGATCGCTTTGTTGGAAACTCAATAAAAACACAAAAGAATAATGAAACTTTAATAATACAACCGAAAAACCTGAAAATTATCTGAACAAAGCACAAAAAGTTGAAAAATCCCTCTATTTTTGGGGGGGTGTCCTATCATTATGACGCGCCCGATTTTAAGACTTTTCAGTGCTGTAGCTTTAATTTTTGAGGTAGGAATCTAAAAAATTGGTTTCGTAGGTTATTTTGGATGCTGAATCGAATGGCATTCACAGTTTTTCTCGAAAATGTTTAGTTCTCTCTAGGACGTCATTTTAGGGGGGTGTCCTATCTTTATGACGCGCACTGTAGTCTGAACATCTTGGTTCACTGAAATGGTAAAATTGGATGTAGTCAGGTTAGCAAATGTGCTTACTGTATCTACTATCCAAATTCATGTTGAACGGACCATTTGCGGTAATGTACCAGTAGGGCAAATTGATTTGAAGAGGTTGGATTGTGTTGAAAAACCTGAACGAATGAAATATACTCATGTTTTATAACTGTCACTGACGATCTCGTTTTGTTTATAATTTGAGGCTTCTCGAAAAACTGATTAGTCGTCTCGTCGTTCCAGTCTTCTCCTGGTACTCCGTAGTGAAAATTGAGATTTGTGCTCTGGAAGTTTATTCTCAAACATGTGTAGAGTGGGAATAGCTTACTGCGAGTTGTTCAATATCAGTCACGTAAGTAGATTTATCAGGATCATCAAATGGTTGGAAGTCATCGTCAGTCTGAGTATTCAGCACCACCGTTGTCGACTTTTCTCCAACTCGGCTCAACGGTTGTTGTCCATTCACAACAATAACCGAAAACGAATTGTCTAAGTCGAGAAAGTTCCGAATAAGAAATCTACAATCTCAAAGTACCGTTTGCCTGCGAATTGGTTGTCACATAAAGAAAACCAGTGATTAAACTCGTGGTTGCCGCACTGTTTGCCGACTGAATCGTTAACGTGTCTGTGATTTTGATACTCGTCCCGTTACGAGCTCGTCAAGTCTGAAAACAGACATTGAGAGCGCATTGAGATGAATTTTTCTCACCTGTACGTAGATGTTCCAGTAGTAATCTGAATGTTCTTGAGATATTTGGAGCCATCGTTTGAGGCCAAATAAAGATTTGCCCCAGTCTGAAACGAATCACCAATCTTTTGGACTTACTTCAACGTTCAAAATACTCGGAGTCGATTCATTGCTATAATTCCTAAAAAGAATAATTTGTGGAGCTGCTTGAGAAAGACCAAAGGCAAGAGATAGAAGTGACGCGAGAAAGAAATTCATTCCTGAGTTAACAGCACCGAATGATCGGAAATATAAAGGAATGGTTAGCCTGTGCGGAAGACTGATAAGTACTTCAAATAAAATACTAATATAAATGTGTCACTTAGGGTTGTAGCAAAGTTGAAAGTGAGGTGATGAAACGAAGACGTCTTCTTTTATTTGATTAGTGACTGTCCTTTTATCAGCATTTTCATTTTCTCAGATTAAAAACTAGAAGTTGATCAATTAATATGAGTTAATTTTCAGGCAATGGCAGAAGCGCACAGCACCTATAAAGTGGACTTCTTCCCGACTGTTGACGAGATTGTGAACAATGCTCCAGTGACGACGTGCGACGAATGCGGGAAAACGTTCGTCAATGCGCCCGCTTGTAAGTTTCATAAACTGAAACGACATTTGACTCTCGATGTGCCCACCACCAACGAGAAAAGATTGTACAAGCGAACTTGCCCAGAACCACGTATGTATGCTGAGTGCGAAGATCAGAGAGGAAACCATAATTGTTCAGGCGTCCTGTATGCATATCATTGTCCCGATCCGCTCTGTTCCTCGAAAAAGGAATGGTTCGACGGGGTTCGCAATCTCAGACAACACTACTTTCGTGCACACGCCGAAAAGAAGTTTGTGTGTCCCAACTGCGGATTCAAATCGGCTCTGAAGAAGGATGTCAACTACCACGTGAGGAGCAGATGCCCCAAAAACCCCCAAATCAGTGAGTTGATAGAAAAGAAAACACAAGAGTGGAATGAAAATCGTTTATTGATTTGCGGTGGGAACCGTCTGAGTTTAGACGTGCGAGAAGCGGCGTCTGTATCCTCCCTGGGAAGCTGGCTGCGACTCGACGGCAGCAGTGCGTGGTGGGCATGGGCAGTAGGCGGCGTCCTGTCCTGGAAGTCCAGCACCTCCGGCTTCTCCGGCGGTTCCTGGAGCTCCGGCCTCTCCGTCCTTTCCTGGGGCTCCGGCTGGTCCTTCTGGTCCGGCGTTTCCTGGAGCTCCGTCGGCTCCTGGGGCTCCGTCTTGTCCGGCTGATCCGGCTGGTCCTTCTGGTCCAGCTGGTCCTGGGGCTCCCTGTCCGCGTTGGCCGTTCTTTCCTGGGGCTCCGGCTGGTCCAGCCTCTCCGTCTTGTCCTGGTGCTCCAGCATCTCCCTGCTCTCCGGCGGCTCCTGGCTGTCCGTCTTGTCCGGCGGCTCCTGGGGCTCCTGGCTGTCCGTCGGCTCCTGGGGCTCCGGCTGGTCCGTCTGGTCCAGCCGGTCCTGGCTCTCCGGCTGGGCACTTGATGCATCCTCCGACGTCCTGGGAATTGATTATTCCGATTCCGTTGGCTCCGTTCTTTCCGGCCTGTCCTGGGGTTCCGTCATCTCCTGGGGCTCCTGGAGCTCCTGGAGGTCCAGCTGGTCCAGCTGGGCAGTTGTTTGGCTGAGCTCCGCATCCGCAGGTTCCGCCGGATCTCTTGTTACGTCCGAAGATAAGGTTGGCCTCGACGGATCCAGCTGGGACGATCATGTCCTTCCAGGCTTCGTTGGCAGTGTACTATAAGAAATCCCGTTTTAAAATGGGCACATTGGGAGTGTTTGCTTACTCTGAACTCGGTCATGTCATCCATCACGTCGTAGTACAGATCGTTGATGTCCTGAAGCAGCATTCCTGCGGCAACAAGGGACACGATGATCGTGACTCCGGAGAAGAAAGAGGCTCCGACAACGAGGGCTTTAGTACTCATAGTGGCTGTGACGGCTGATGTTTTGCGTGCCAGCCGATCCTTTTATACGTGCGTACGGGCGCGATGGGCGGTATCAATGGTGCTTACCTTGAAGCCATGCCTATCGGAGTGTAAGATCTTCGTGTCTCTCTGCGTCTCTCCAGCCTAGATTTTATCGCCTTATTGTCAGATTCGACAGTTTTTGAAAATCGGTAGCAAGTGGCTACCTCGATTGTAGGGGAGGTTTGAAAAATTATAGAAAGTGGACAGTCTCAAAAAATGAGTGATATCCTAGGTCAATTAAGAGATGACGTTGTGAAAAGTAAAATCTCCAGAGTGCGGTTCGTTTTCAAATTCGAATTCCTCGCGTTTTGCTGTCAGATTATTACACGCCAATCCATCAACACCCGCTTCTTTTGACTTTTTTTAGTTACGCGTAATTTCTTCTCACTCCAGGTTGCGATTTGGATATCATCACGGACGCCTTGACGGTGGAAAAGCGCGTAATCAAGTTCTTCTCCCTCCAATTTCATTACGCAACATTGTTTTCCTCGTCTCCTCTCCAAATCTCCGCTTGCGAAAAAAAACTGAACTTTTTACGGGCCACCTCCGCCTGTTTCCACTCTCTGCTGTCCTTCGGGGGTCTGTATGTTTTTGTCGCAAAAATCGCCGTGGCATTATCGCATTGAATGATCTTCTGAGTGAAAGAAGTCGAAGTGAAAGGTAAGCAGAAAAGAGAAGGTAACATAAGACAGTCACTTTCACTGAATGGCCTTGCTCGTTTCACGAAACTGTCGACAGTCTATGCAAATGATAATCAAAAACCGTTGAAATGGAAATGAGTGAATACGGAAGTGGAGAAAAAACACGTTTTGAAGTTAACTTTATTTCAGTTGAACAGAGGGCGCAAGCGAAGAGAGAAAGGGATCTGAAGCGCAATGAGGGCTCCGTCGAACGTTCTTCAAAGAAAAAGAGGAAGCTGATGGAGGTGTCAGACGGTGAAAACGAGGAAACAGGATCTTCAAGATCGTAAGATCTTTGCAAGAAAGAACTTGAAACGAATAAAGTTTTCAGGCACACTCCTCAACCGTCCACATCTTCTACCAAAGTCATTCAACCTGTCTTTCTTGTTGTGAGTCCAGAGAACGTCGACACTGTTGTCGACAAACTTCAGAAGATTCTGAATCCAGCAGATATCAGTCTGAGAAAAGAAGGACCCGTCCCCTCCGTCCAGATGTCGTTTATGAATCAAGAGGTTTCTCTCATACTGAGACCCATTATAATCTTCTTAATTTCAGCAGATTCCCATGATTGAAAGTGCAGTCACTTCCAATTCGTTTGCCACACAATACGACTTGGAACCGGCGACATTCTGTGAGCGGGGAACAATGATGAACAACGAGGAACCGCTGAGTTTTTTCGATCCGCCGTTCGGAGAAGAGTTCGGGGACATGGCTCTCACGGAACAGAAGTAAGCCCCATACACCCCGATTTCGATCCACTCTTCCAACTTCCGCAAAGAAATAATAGTTGTTTACGCGCGCCAGCTCCTCTGTAGCATTCCCATCTGAAAGTAAAGGAAAATGTTTTCGGAGATGTGCCTGGAGAATATCCTTGTTTAGGGCGCAACCCCTTGATTAGAACGAACGCATGTTTTTGAAAATATCATCTGCCGATTACAAAGAAGTTTTTCCAGGAATTCGAGCTATGGCTTCTCGGTGCCATCTACTTCCCAGCCTCAAACTCGCAGCTTCGGAACCATGTTCGACAAGTAATCGAATAGCCGTCCAAAAACTAGTACAATTTGGTTTTCAGTGTGGAGACGTGCAACACGGGCACCTCGATGATCGACGAGTCGTACGTTTCGGAATTCCTGCGGGACATCGAGACGCAGACGCCGAGCTACATGATCCAGCGAGGACGGCCGGAGCAGTCTCAGCAGTCTTCGGACGATTGGTCGTGGCGCATGACGGATGGCAACATCTGACTGCTGCTGCTGCTCACGGAGCCAATCTCTTGGCCTCTTCATCTCCGCGACCACCCCCTCTTTCTTGTCCGCCACGGCTTTACCATCGGCTCCGCATTGTTCTCACCTAATCATCTAGAAATCCATTAGCTCTTGTGCAAAATGAGGAAATGACTTGGCTCCTCTTCTGCTCTTTCTCATTTGGTTTTTCATAATAAAGTTTTGTTGTATTCCACGTCTCCTCGTCATTCCAATTCTCACCACGTTCTCTGGTTCCAGTGGGTGTGTGTGCGCGCGCGTCTGATATCATTTCAGCGCGTCTTCCTTTTTATTGCCTACAAATTGCGACCAGAGTTGCCATTTTCGGAAACTCGATGAGATTAGTTGGATAGATAAAACCGAATGAGGCTCCAGCGGCTCCGGAGACTTCTGCGCGGCTATTCTCAGATTTCCGTTATTCTGCGTTCATGCCCTCGTGCATCCGTAGTCTCATCTAATGAGCGACCTCAATTCGTGGAACTAATTTCACGTCTGACGTCATCCGAAAAGATCCTGAAACTATGACCCAAGGTACTCCAATCCAAGTCTAAAAAGTCTGCACCGTTTGGGTACTGTATGGCTAATAGGTCAGAAGTTCAGACATCGAAAAGCCGTGGCCCAGTATGAAACAGAGAGCAGCCTTCTAGCTCCACTCTCTAATTACAGGTTGAAATGAAAGCTTTCGAAATGCTCAGATACGGCCTCAAAGTTCCAACCATTCAAAACGGAAAGGGCGTCTGTCTGCTCTTCCGGACTTCGCGGAGCTCGTGAAAGCCCTTCTTGAAATTAGTCTTAAACAGAATAGAGGCAGCGAGAGAGAGAGCACGGTCCAATGACTTATTCAGTGCACGTGTGTGACTAATCCTCGAACATTCCGGGCCTGCTCTCGTATTCAGTGCCAATCCATGCGAGCTGCTCTCTGATTTTCCCGATTTTAGATTAAACCACGTCAGCCTGTGGATTTGGAATAGAAATTCCCGTCAAACTTCCATCGGCCACCTCAAAAATAGAGCACTTGAGTCACCCTCGTTTTTCGTATTCTGAAGAGTTCGAAACACGCCTTCCGGGTGCTCCAAGCATCCGATTCGGAAGAGCATTGATGTCTTGTACTCGCCACGCGCACTGTATTTAATTTCAGCCAATTTCGATCAAACTAACTCTCACGCTATGCGTATTTTTTTTCGAATCAAAATGTGCCCGTCTTTTTGCGTCCTCTAAGCCCTCTCCTAATTGTACCTTCGCCCTCTGCTCGTTCCGAGAATTGTGCAAATTGCACCTCTTCATTCCTCTCTTTCTCTATTTTATACGGTACTTCATCAACATTTGGCGTGCTCTCTCATTTCCATACTAATACGAGTACGCACACATCTTTTTCTTCTTCCTCTTCTTCCTTCTGGTGACGTGGCATTCTGAAAGCGGAAGCGAGTAATGAGAGGGGTTTCCTCTTCTAATAAGGATCCCAGAATGTTTTCAGCATTTCCGTTCTCTTAGCATCTTCATCTCTCATATTTCAGCTAAGTAAGTTCGTGATCAATCATTGAGAAGCAGCTGAAAACATCTTGTTCAGCTTCAGGCGATGTCTTCTCTTCAAAGAACGTTTCCTCTCCGATCCGATCCGTCATTTCCAGATTCTCTTCTGATGACGGAATCCTACGGGAAAAGCATCCATTCTGCGCCTGAACATCAAAACAAAAAAGTAGAAAAAACATCTAGTCGAAATTTGGTTCTTCCGGCCGCTGCTCGACTGCCTCTTTCTGATTTCTGATTGTTTTTGTCGTCATTCATTTTGAGAGTAATCCGACACCTATTATCACACTCTTCCCCTCTCGTTTTCGCCCCGTCTGTTTCGTTTTGCTCTCTTTTTTGCGAACTGGTCTCATAAATCACTGGATTCCGCCGGGCAAGCTTTCCCCCGGGAATGGAAATGAAAGGTCGAAAGGAGAAGAAGAAACTTTCGGTCGAAAGAGGGCGGAGCTTGGGCGAGCAAGCGGCTGCTCCTGCTCCTCGCCGCTGTTTCTCACCTCCAAACACACTTTCCGCTTCATCTCCGACCATTTGGCAGCGTGCCAGAGACCCTCCGTCCGCCACGCATTGTCTCTCGGATTACGCTCTTGTGAAGCGGCGGACAATGCGTCCGATTTTGAATTTCATTTGACATCATCTTCAACTTCATAATTTCATCTTCATCATCTTCATCCGCTCAGGATTATCTCGACCGCCCCCTTCTTTCCTTGCTCAAACCGAACACATCTTTGCTCTGAGTACACCCAGTGGTTCCCCATATCACAACATGTTTTCGGGGTTCCCAACCTCTTCCTCTTCTTATTCTTCTTTCGTTCCCGAAAAGTGCTCCCATTTACCCATTGCGCATGTTCCGACTGAAGATGGATTGACCACTTGTGGCACAATTTCTAGATGCCAACAACTGATTTCCGAAAAAGTATCATTCCCCCTCGCGCCCGCCAGTGTTTTTTGTGTTCTGCCGCTTCGTTTCGAAGCTCAACTCGGAGCCTCTTCTCATTTCAATGTTCCTCGAGCAGAAAGGAAGTCGACATCCTTTCCATTCATGATTTTTTTCCACGAATATTTGTGCTGTTTACGACCGACAGTGAGGTTCGGAACATCAAAAAATGTATCTTCCATTCTTTTCTCGTGACCTAATATGCTATTTTCTTCGCGTTAGTTCTGCTATTAGCCGAACCACGAAAACAAGATCTACTTGAGGTGCCTTTTTTCTAATGATACTGTCGAATTATTCACTAGAGACGTGTTTTAGGAAGCATTTAAAAAAATGTCAACAAAAGAGCAGGACACTACAATGAACTTTTAGAAAAATTGAGATGTCGTCAGGATCTGTCAATCATGTAGTCAGCAGATTCTGACAAGGCCAGAAGTTTACTCATTGAGTCCATTGCACCACCCAGAATCTTCTCAAGTGCTTCCTAAAAAGTAAAAACACTTCTCCAGTTAGTTTTCATTCTTTACATTGCTATTCTCTTGATTTACGCACCGAGCAAGAGCCCATCTCTCAAAGCGTTATTCACCGAAGAGCACAGTTGCCCTGGAAATGCTACATAGTTTGCCCAAACTAGGACAAGTTCATTGCTTTTTTTGGGCCCCCACAATCCGGTCAGAATTCTTCTTCTTTTTCTTCTGCTTCTCCTTGCCAATTGCCTTCATCGTGGCGTGTCTACGTCATTCCCATGCACCTTTGTTTTTTTTCTCTCAAGAGGACATCGTTCATCCACCATCCTCTTCATTCCCACTGTAATCTGTGGCCGCTTCCAGAATGGACAACTCGACGGCTCCTGCTGTCGCTGCGCCCGTGCAAAGCTCGCCGTTGCTCCAGAAGTGCTTCGACGAATCCTACTTGCTGTTGATGCCGGACATCGAGAAACGGATTAATAATGTATGTCTATTTCCACGCGGCAGGAAGTGGTCCTCTCGGATTTTGCGTGCCCTTCGCCCTCTTCTCTCGCCTATCCTGCCGGGCAAATTCCATTTGTGGAGAGACGAAAGTTCGCCGCCGTTTTATTTTCTGTTATTTTCGGTTTTCTGATGAAATTGCGCTCCGGAGAGCTAAAAAGTGCCGGCGATAAACGCGGCTTGAAGAGGAAATCTGAAAAGACACGACTCGATGCGAAAACGCGCATTTAGGTTGTTTTCAATAAAGAGAAGTCGAGCGCTTACACGGACAGAAAAGGGAAACTAGCGATTGAGTGAGTGCACGAGTTATGGAAATTCGGTCAGAGATGAGAGGCCGCAATGATGACGTCGTAATTAGGCTTAGAAACTTTCGAGTTTTGCAAAAGCAGAGATTTCTCATGGTCCCAGAGGATGACGAACTCTTTGAGCACATTTGCACATGTTTGTCAGTCATTTGACGCATCTTCATCCGAATTCTATTACAAAAACACCTCGGAATTCGCGAATCTTGGTCATTCATCCGCATGACTATTTCATCGGCGCCTTTCTAGATCTGAATCCTTCAACTCGGAGATTCCCTAAACAGTGTGGTGTCTGATCGTCTGATTCGTCGGGGCGGAAATATGATATTAAGATGCGTGAGGGCGGCTTTTTAATTATTGTTGTCGTGCGTATTTCGGGATCATCTGACGCCTTCCTATGATCTCTGAGGACCGCGGACAAGTTCGAGTGTGTTTATCCGAAGGCCGCCGTGACTAATTCGGACGTGCTTCTGCCGCTAACGCCGACCGATCATCCAGCCCCGTCCGCTCCCACTTCCCTTCGGAATTCAATTAATCGTGTCTCGAAATTGTACACTTGACGTTTTGACGTCTCTTCTTCGCCGCGTTGCACATGTTTCTCGGGTGCAAGCGTTTACGAGCCGCTTTACGAGGGCCCATTCCGTCAGGTGCGATGTGCGCAACCGCAGGGCCCACAGAGCACTCAGATGCGGCTGTTTTGGTTGTGGCGGTGGTGATCGGTGGACGAGACGAGACAGAGTTGATTATTTTGTGCACGGGTCCCTTCCTGTGTAGTCACATGAGTCACTCTCGCCGTAGTTGGCCCTCTAAAATGTATGTTTTTCCTCTTTGAACCTGGGTCCGGACCCGTCTCTTCTCGATTTCCTGCTGGTTGCTTGCGTAGTAGCATGCACCCAATTCACTCACTTTTTGCAACACACCACAAATCTCGGGGAACTTTCTTTTTGAGAAAAACGCAGAGCCCCAAGAGGGAACGCGAATGCGTGTGTCAGAAGATGGATGGGAAAAAGAGTACGAAGTGATGACACGGGAGGAAAAGTCAAAAGAGAGAAGGGGAAAGAACACTGGGAGTCAACAGCGTTGTGACACAAAACAATATGCATTTTTCAGTACATTTTCCCCGTTCAATTCATGATCACAGTCGTCGGAAACCTGTTGACAATGACTGTTTTGCTCAGCGGACACATCAAGAACAGGTAGTCGCACTCTAGAGTGCATCTGAAAATGGACGGAACTTTCAGAGCGAACCATCTGCTGACGTGTCTGGCCCTCTGTGACATGTTCGTCTTCTTCATGATGATCCCCCACTACCTCGCCTCGCTGGACGTCTTCTCCCATTCGCCAACATTCCGACTCTTCCATTTCCACTCGAAACCCAACTTCGGCGCGTTGAGCAACTGGTTTTCAGCGGCGGCTATTTGGTAAAAACTTTTGTGCTCCTAGTCAAAACAAACATGTTTTCGATTTGCAGGTTTGTGCTCGCAGTTTCTTTGGAGCGACTTCTGATCATCAAGTTTCCGTTTAGGTCCCTAGATGTTAATAATGTGAGTGGTTTCATCCGAAAAGTGGGAAAAGAAGAAACATTTTCAGGGAAAACAAATAATGATCGTCTCCGTTGGGATCATGCTCTCCACACTCGTTCTGACCAGGTACCACAGGGACGAACGCTTTCCAAACGGCAACTTTTCTCTTTCAGCTATCATCACATCTCCCATAATTGTGTATCTTTCATTGCATGTCACGGATCTCAGGTTCTCGGAAAGTGCTATGCGAACACAGATGACATGCACGGCAAGAAAATGAATCCGACGTCCCTGTTCACGAAGCAATACTTGCACGCTTCCGTGTATGCGAACGCAGTGCTCGCCGTACTTCTTCCGATCTTCGCCGTCGCCGTCCTCAACATTTCCCTAATCCGTCTCGTGAAACGACGACATTCCGAGGTGAGCACAACCAGGAAACATGGTCCCGTTTCTCGCCGCTTCTCCCACTCAATTCGCCGCCGGCAATTCATTGTCTGCACGGATTCAGCTCTGATTCTTGACTCTTCCAGGAACTTCTTGTTCGGAATGCCTCTTCCTCCGGACCGTCGAGCATGGCCGAGCAGGAAAAGAAGATGACGCACACGGTGTTGGCGATCGTTTCGTGCTTCACTCTCACGCAGGGACCCTCCGCCATCGTTTTCATTTCTCAGAAGATGTTCCCGCCTAATCAGTGAGTCCTTGCGAGTGGTCGCCTGCAATGCACCAAACACCACTCCTCTAGGTACACTATTTACGTGTCCGTGGTCGCCAATCAACTGGTTCTCACCGGCAAAATGCTCAACGTCGTCCTGTTTTGTCTGACTTCGGAGACGTTCCGTCGGCGGCTCTGGTTCACGTGCCGCTTCTGGTTTCAGCTCGTCTTCTATGCGGGACGCAGCAAAACGTCGAGGTAATCAAGTTCTCGTAAGTCGCCACGTAGTCGCAACCGACATCTTTCCGTTTCGATACTAACCCTATTACGTGCGAATGTGACTGCAAACTCTTCTGTTCCCTAGTTCGCCATTTGCATAATTCTCAGGATTTCAGGTCGAACTTCGTGCGTTCCAAGTCGGTCATCACGCAGAAGACGTCGATCGTCTACTCTCCGTGCTCCAGAAACTTCTCCACATCTCGCAAAATCAGCAGCTCAAGTGTAATTGCTCCGAAGGCTGCTCCGTTGGTCTCCAATCATTCAACGGACAGTTTCCCGACTCCGCCGGCCAGTACTACGCGGAACATCCAAAGCACCCAAGTATAACTGGACAGATGATCTCTTCTCCGATCGATTCTCAATCATTCCCCCTCATTTGATCTGTTTTCCCATTTGTTCTCACTTCGGGTCATACCCCAATCACTTTGATTTCTCCGATAAACGTTTATAAACAAATTGAGCGAGCAACAAAGTATTTACAGTCAAGAAGGTGGTGCAGAAGAAGTTTCCGGCTCTTGAGAGAAGCCAGAATCCAGACGAGTTCGGTGGGAAAGAGTCTGGCGGGAAATGGACAGGGATCGTGACTTTTCGATTGAGGCACAAGACGCCTCTTCCTCTACGGTCAGAAGGTTGCCTCCGTCCCTCGAAGGACTCGCGAGGGTATTGGCTGAGCCTCTCCTGGAACGGACGGTCCGAAGCGAAGAGGACCGATCACATGAGTTGGAGCGATTGTCGAGAAAACGTTTGCCAAAACTGCTTTGAGACAACTAAAATTCAGATTGTGTTCAAGAATGCAAGTGTGAGTACTAACCTTTGGAAACTTTCGATAGATTACCACAAAGCACTTGCGTCGAAAGTGTTCAGATGATAGACAGAACAGAATGAAGTTAATGGTTTTACCAGTCACAACTAGCGAGTTTGTTATGCTGAAAATCCTTTATGTTAGAATTTTATTCATTCAAATATGAGCTACCTGAAGATGGCATAAAACGTGGGACCTAGTTCGTATTCGGAGAAGAGTTCATACAAAACCATGAAAGCAGAAGGTCCCTGGCTCAACGAGAAACACAGTCCAATGGCGATGACAGTGATCGTCACTCGTTGTCGTTGACGCTGAAAATGTTTGTGAGCCTAATAACCATCCGCACGAAAAGATTTCTCACCACTTGGCTTCTGTTCATGGTTCCTCTCATTGATTCTAATCTGGGAGACGTCCAGTTGATCTTCAATTGTCTAATCATCAGTACGTTCAGCAAAATTACTAAAACGATCGGAACGAATACAACCTGAAACAGTCAGATTCGTCCCTGTTCCATTCAATTCTAACGTACCAGTATCGCATTCAGAAACGTCGAAAATCTCAAGTAGACCTTCTTCACATTGCTCGGATTCACCCAATCCTTGTTCCGATATGTTTTCTGATGCCGCATACCCGAATAGTAGCAAAAGTCGAGGAGTTGAGTGCCGTTGCAGAACTCTTCGATCACACAATCCCACTCGAAATGATGATAGACTGTGAGGAGTCCGGTGGTGACAAAGATCGACGAGAGAACGACGACCATCTTGCCACGTTGCCAGTAGAGTTTCGCGCGCAACGGAGATCGCACTATCAAATAGCGTTCAATGGAAACGGCAAGGATCAGCCTGCAGAGGGATTCGATTGAAACGGAATCATGACAAGAAAAGGGATCACCAGATGGCGGCCGCACTCATCCAATTTGCCACCGCAGACATGTGCTGTTTCGTATTCAGGTAAAAGTATCTGAATGAGACGTCATAGGCAATCGAGTCAAATGCGGCCAGACAATGAGGGAGCATCACGAGCAGGAAGGCCAAATCGCAGAAGGAAACCGCCGCCAGCTGAACCCACTCAAATACTTCTTCTTTTTCTCCACTTTCTTTTAATCTCACCATGTCACTGGCAATATTGGGTACCTCATCGCTGGCGAGTACCCAAAGATTCAGGGAATTTCCGAGAAGACCAAGCACGAACTGAAGAGGGAACACGTATTGCCAAATGAATCTGAAGAAGGGGGGAAGTGGGAGTGGAAGTGAATACTGGAGGGGACTGACCGACTGAGAGGATCCCTAAAGAATAAGAGTTGTGCTTTTTTCAAGCATGCCATACAATAAACTCAACTTAAAACTGTCCTCCAGCCTGAAAACAGAAGAGGAGAGGAGGAGGAGAAAAGGCATTTCGATTCCGACGGTGCGCATTTGCATTTTGGGCCGCCGAATTATACGAGAATTATCAACTGAACGAGTGAATGTATGGACTACTACTAGAAGAGGGTCACGGAGAAGAGAGAGAGAGAGAGAGAGAGAGAGAGAGAGAGAGAGAGAGAGGGGGAGCGGAAGATAAAGTAGAATTGCTCAAAGTTACTCAAAGTTCATCAACTTATTTGAAAAGAATAGTTTATATTGTGGATTATCACACTCTTGTTTGTTTCCGAACAAAGTGCAGTCTCCTGGCATCACCCGTATCAAAGATACTCTCAAAGAACAGATCATTGCTGGAAGTAGATGTTTGAAAATGCATGTGGTTTTTCCTGTGAAGCCTTCTAGAATTGTTTCTTGTACATATTGGAATTCTCTATGATGTGCTTTGTTCCATGCCAGGAAGACATTTCGGCCGACGAGAAAGTTGGAACGGAGTGGAGAAAGTCTGACGCGATGCTCGCAAAGTTTCACGATTAAAGATTGATCCTAATGCTTTTCGTTCCATTGTTGACAATAAAAAAGTGAAACTTTGGATCTTTGGATTTACCTTCGGGGAGTTCTGTTCTATCGACTCGACCCATAAAAGCGGCTTGTTGCATGAAAAGTTCTCTGATTTCAGAAGATCTTATATAACAGAAAGTTTTCGTGTCATTTGATCTCTTAATGACGTACTCTGAAAGTCGGTAGGTCAAGTCAAATTAGTGGACTTTTATCGGATGTGTGAGATATTTCCTTATCATTGTGGACTAGCGTTGCACTTTTATTGTTGCACGTTGTACTCTTTCGACTAGATTATTCTAATTTCAGAATCAGATGGATGATATTAAGATTCATTCACATTTCTCCAATCCCATCCGCCTGGTAAACAGCCCGTCTCGCCCGTCATCAGCGGCTGTCTCTAATTGAGCTCAACGCCATGATATCTCTGCTTGACGCATTCTCTTTACAGCCCAAAATCACAGGTTTTGATTGGCGGATCCCTCCAGGGAACGGTCCTCCACGCTGCCACACCCCTTCCACACCTTCTCATTCTTCCATTCCGTTTGTTGCCTAGCATCAAACCACCCTACCATTTGCATCGCCGCCCGTCTTCTCCCTTCCTCCTCGTCGAAATGTTCTCAGTTCCGGCTCTCGCGGACTGGGGACCTATGCAGTTCACGATGGCAGCATACATAGTGCAGGGTAAGGATGACAAAAAGGTGTGACCTTTGCAGTGATACATTCTAGGCATCATCATCACTCTTCTGAACATTCCACTGACCACGCTGCTTCTGATTCGGAAGCAGAACAGGGAAAGGAAGGAATTCGTTCTGATCGGTAAGTCTGGGGGTACTATTGTTGACGGAACTGAGCATTTTTCTGTACTTAGTCGGTTATTCAGGATGTTGCAGAGACCCTAAGTCATCCTTCGCTCTGCAAAAGATCAGATCAGCTTGTGCATGTCATTTCGATCTTTTGATCTCAAATTAATCACTAAATTGCTCTCTTTTCAAAAACAAAGTATGGAGTCTGGACTTTAGCGTTAGGACTTAAATTTTTTGGTGCGTATGTTTGAATAGTCTGTCATTTTCGTCCTAATCCCCACGTGTACCCACGCCTCAATTAGAGTCTGTTTTTTTCCAGCCTGCGTCAGCCTCATCGACATCTTCTACGTCGTCGTGAACGCGTGGAACAGTTTCGCCCGTCTGGCGACACCTGATCAGAGTGAGTCCCTCGAGGAGTCCGGGTGTGCGGAAGTGTCGAAAACAAACGGATGCCAAAAATAGACAAAATAGAGGTTTATGGTTGAAAATAAGACTAGACATTTAGCTATAACTCGTGCGGACTGCATCACTCAACCAATGTACTTCATCAGTTTGGTGGCCAGTCAGTTAGTGGGTGAGTGGATCAGAGAACGCATTGAGAGAAAGGAAACGAAGGATTACAGCGAACATGCCGTTGATGGTGGCGCTCGACAGATTCATCGCCACTCGCCACGCTGTTTGGTACTACAAACGGCAGAAAGTCTACTCTCTCCTGCTCGTCGCAAGTGAGGAGAATCAGGAAAGAATTCAGGCCTCGACTCTCTTAATCTTTTCAGTTCCGATAGTCTTCAGCTGCATTGTTTCTTTGATCAACTTGATAATCATTCTGACGACGCCGGAAGGGGATGATAAGGTTACCGCGTACTGTTTCACATCCAGTACGTGCATGACTGTCGACCATATTGCTGTGAAATAAGCGTCTTACAGTCTTGCCTGCTCGTTCATACAAACTGACATTCCACGGAATCAAGTGGCTCTGCATCATCTCTGCCGCCGCTGTTTACCTCCTCATCGCTTTCCTCCTACGAAATGTATCACATTTTCAGTCGTGCTGTTTGCTCTCAAAGTCTCTTCCAGAAAACTAATTTCGTCTCCGGAACTCCTGGATACTTGAAGCGTATCCGTACAGCTAACGTCGTGATGGGTCTCACCACGATCAACTCGATCCTGTTCCATCTGATTCCTGACTTCCTGCTAGTGGTGCCTGTTCCGTTCCTCACAGTCACCATCCTCGTTCAATGCATTCTTTTCTCTATGATTCTCGATAAGGTGTTTCTTTTTCTCGATCGAGTTCTTCTTTCAATTTCCAGCGTTCAGATCATGTTCAACTTCATCCTGTTCCTTGTTTTCCACGTTGAACTGCGGAAAATCTATTTTGGCCTGTTTTTTCGTGGCCCCCAGGACAAACCAAGCGGCTACAATAGCTCATTTCCCATCACAGCAGCCTCCAAGAGTCCTCTCGCCCAAGGCCATCGGCAGAGTGTACTGAATTCTCGCTTATAAATACGCTCTTGTCTAATAAACCCGGAATTCTTTGTTTATTGGTCGATACGGTTCCGCCAGTTCAGCATCGTTTTGCCGCCGGTTATCAGCGGCGTTTTCATGGCTTCTCACGGGGCAATTCGAGTTATCAAAGAGCAACGAGTCCCGGAAGAAGCCTCGAATAGTGCTCATTCCGTCTTCTTTTTCCCTTCCAGATGCTCTTCCCTTCCATCTTCTTCCTTTCTTTCGTTTCTTTGGCTCAATCCACAGATTGTCTCTATTATACTCACAAACCAATTGGAAACCAGTGAGAAGACTATAAATACACAATTTGATCCTACTTTGCATTCATTCCAGATGTTTCATTTTTGTCAACGAGAAGCTCAACTTCTGGGATGCGGACAAGTACTGCAATCATCAAGTGCAAGTGTGGAGCAACCTGGCCGCAGTGGAGAATACCATTGAGTCCGTGTTTCTCACAAGTAAGATCTTCCTACTAATCACAAAGCGGTCTTCTTTCTCCAGAAAACGCAGCATCCGAATTCGATATGACCTACGGCAACTTCTGGATCGGAGTCTACCGTCCGACCATCTACGACTACTTCCGATACTTGGACGGCCGCACAGCGTTCACCTACTTCTCCGATGTGAATCCGTCGACAAACTTTGCAACTGTCGACATTGCCACCGCAAAGTGGAAGACTTTCCCAGAGGAGCAACAACTTCCGTTCGTCTGCAGCTACTATCCGCCCACACAAGCGACTTCCACCGAGAGCACGGCGTCAGGATAGATAATCGAATAGTGCATGATATGATCTTGAGACGAGTGTACTGTAATGTATTTAAAGAATTTCACGAAATGAAAACTCTTCTGCGTCATTTTCCTTCCTCCTTTATCAAACAGCTCAATGTATTTACTTCGAATCTTACTTTTTCTATTTTCAATGTTTAGGTACTCAAGAGAGTCTGCAGTTTGCTGTCTTTTTGAGACGATGGGATGAACATCTTCAAATTGATATTGTTTTATTCTCTGATCTCTCCTTTGTCGGGAGTTTGTATTCATCCCGAGAACCGACCAATCGGAGACTTGTGAGTCTCGAAACAAGTTCTGAACTTTGATAACGCCTGAATAGCCTGCGCCCAACAGAAAGCAAATCTCGCCGTAATTCACAATCCATCTCAGGCTGATTTCCTCGTCAATCCATCGGTTCCAAATACCATGGCGCACAGAAGCATTCTTGGAGAGCACGCCGCCCGCGCGCTTCGTGTGTGTCTGTTCTGAGACTTCAGATGCGTGCCGTCGGACGAATACTGATTCATTTCACTTGATTTTTTGAGAATGAGTTCATTATGATGTAAACTAAGAAAGAGACACAAAAAGTACGCACGAGCAGTCATATTTTGAAAAAAGCTGCTTTGACAGTGACCCCTAAACATTTCTTTCTCGTTGCTGCTTGCGAGTTTCAATCATAATTAACTCATTCCCAAAATATTAAGAAAAATGAGTCAGTATTCTTCGAACAGCAAGCATCGGAAGTTTCGGAGCGCGGAAAAAGGCTTGAGGAGCGTGCCGCCAGTTCACGGGACGAGGGCCGAACTTTCTTCCTCTCTCCACTGCGCCTCCGGAAAAAATCACCATGCATGTACTTATTGTGAGGCGTGGCTTAACGAGAGCTTAGCCGAAACTACATAAACAGTTACTTGAAAGTTTCAACTCCGAAACACTTTCTTATCACTTTTGGGCATTGGCAATTCTTCTTCAAACTCCTCTTATCTTTTGTTCCTTTCAGTAAGAGCGTATCAAGATGAAGAGGATTCTTCTCCTCTCCTCTTGTTTTTTCGTAATTTCCGTGGCACTTGAATGTCTCGACAATGCTGACAAGCTCATCAATAATCGGTACAAAACTAGATTCTCTTTTCAAAAAATTCATGTTAATCTGTCAGATGCTTCAAGTTCGTCGATCAACAGCTCTCCTATTCGGACGCTCTCAACTGGTGCCACTTCCGCAATCCGGTCACTGCTTCCTATTTGGCTACTGTTCCTGATCACACAACTGCTACTTTTCTAGCTTGTGAGTGGCCGGCTCATATTCTCCCATCAGAGCTACGTTTTCAGCATATGCTCGTACAACCTTCAACACGAACGCAGGCAACTTCTGGATCGGACTCGGCCGTCCCAACACTTCCAGTCCTTACCAGTGGGACGATGGAACTCGTGTCGCCTGGACCAATTTCAATTCGCAAACGTCGCAGAATTACGTGGCGGAGAGCTGGATCAACACGAAATGGGGCACTTATGGAACGGACACTAAGTTCAACTTTGTGTGCTCTTATGATCCAAACGCTCCGCCGACTTTTGCTCCGTTCACCGGAGCTACTTCCGAAGCAGAAACTACTGGAACGGAAAGAGCCACAACAGATGTAACCGAACCGACTGTCACTACTGCTTTCCAAGACGCCTCCACAACCTCTCCAGGTTTGAGATATCACAAATAGTTGAAAATGGGTGTTGGTAGTTTTCATACAACTCTAGGAGAAAAGCTTAAAAATTTCAAATATTCGCTACTTTCTGAATATTCGTAACGTGAGTTCTAACGCTAATTTCTGCTACATAATCGGAATTACAGACGGAAAGTAACATCCGCTCTTTCGAACCTTCCAAGTCGGTGTAATCGTCTTACACATCCTTAAATACTGCAGAGTATCATCACGAACACGTCATTCCGACGCTGTGAACTGTCCTTGTACACACCCCTTTCCTCTTCTTATCTTCGTAATCTGATGATAACCGGCAGTGCATTTATTGCCGGCTTCGTCATCATTTGTGTCCACTCTGCTCTTTTCTCCTCACTCTTTATCATTCGCTTCTGGATGCTACGACGTTTTCTTTGCCTCGCGACTCTTGTCGTGGCAGCCAGCAGTGCGTGCTTCGACAACGGAGACAAGGAAATCGGCGGAAGCTGTTTCAAGTTTGTCGCTCAGAAGCTCTCCTTCTACGATGCCAGGAACTGGTGCCATTATCAGAATCCTGTGACCGCCTCTTATTTGGCATACATTCCGAATCAGTTCACTGCTAATTTCCTTGCTTGTAAGTCCTTTTGTTTTCCCACTTCATTAGCCAGAACGCACGATAATTCAGCATATGCTCGCTCCGCCTTCGGAAGCAATGATGGCTACTTCTGGATCGGATTGAGCAGAAACAAGTCGTACACTGCATGGACCTGGGACACTGGATACCAGCTCCAATGGACCAATTTCGACAACCAACAGGGGCAAAACTATGCGGCCGAGAGCATTGTCAACACAAAATGGAGCACGTTCGGAGCTGACCAGCAGCTGTACTTTGTGTGCAGCTACGACCCGACAGCGCCGCCGACTTTCGGACCACCGGTGACTGACGGACCGACACCTACTGCGGTGCCGTCGACGCAGCCAGCTAGCACACAGACAGTTCCGACGACGACAGGTGGGTGAAGAGAGTAGGTTGAAATGAAAATGAAAGCGCCTTCTCTGGCTGGTTTGGGTGCTTCTGGAATGTGTTTCATTCACTAATCTGTACTATTCATTCTCATATAATGAACTAAATTGAAAGGTGGGTGAATCAAATGAGAAACTTTTACAGGAATCTTTTGGAGATTGGGAGGGATCAATTGTTATGCTACATTTTTGACACTTCTATTCGTTTTGTTATGTGCTTGTTCCTTTTTCAGTCAAATAAAACATTTTTCATCAAACTCTTTCAACAATGTTCGACAGAACCTAATCAAACATCAATGAGAAGTACTTGTCTGATGATGATACCGCGGTACCGTGAAACCTGGAATAGGGTGGCACCTCAATACTGTTCATACAAAACTATGCATCCTGGTTGACTGTAGAGCTATCAAAATAGTAGCCAACACAAGAAATGTACAAAATTTTTCGAAGAGCAATTTATAAGATGACAATGAATGTTCCTGGAGTGCCGTTCTATTACAATTTATGTGCTCTTCATAAGAAATGATTTTGTTGGGAGATCTGAATCAATTTTCTGAAACATGCAATAGATTTCTGAAAAGAAACACTCCGCTATTCTGCCGTGAAGTATGTATACCTGTAAAGGTAGACAACTGAAATAATGTCAGATCAGCAGAACGTTAACAAGGTTGGAGTTTTCTGAACAATCTTCAGAAAAGTGATCCACTCGAAGCTTGGACTAAAATGACTGAAAAACTGCGTGAAGAGGATGCAAAAAAGGGTGTGCTTGTTTTTGCCGTTTACTTTTGGAACATGAAACAATGATGAATCGGAAGAGTGAATCGGAACTATTGGATGAAAAAAAAACATTGCTATAAAGAATCAAGGTGATTTCTTCGAGTACGTATTCGCAAAGCATAGAAGATTCTTATTGAGAATCGAAACCAGACAACAGTGTTTCTTCTCAAGTTAGCATTTGTCAGCACGAAGGTCAAAGTTTTTCGAAGGCACAGAGAGTTGTGTTCTTGACAACGCCCAGTTTTGGCAGTGATCTTCCAAAATTCAAATTGAGTCTAGTTCCTGAACTCGGCAACTTTTTGTACGCTCAAACTACACCAAACCGCACCCTCCGATTCATAAATCATCAAGTTTCTGGAAGGACAAAACACACATAAACGTCATCATTCGGATTCTGCGGGAAACCACACCCAGACTAGGACTGCTGATAACTCGCGTATAAATAGCATCATTCGTCTGCTTCGAAATGTTTCATCTCGACTGCCAATTCTGATGTTCAGTGCCAAGATTCTCGGAGCTCTTGCTCTTCTCTACACTGTACACGGCCAATGTGTACGTCCCGATGACAAGTACATTGGAGACTTGTGAGTTGGCACCTGCTTTTCTCTGAAATACCCCTCAACTCTTTCCTAGATGCTACTCCATTTCATCCTCCGAGCTGAAATTCTCCGATGCTCAATCCGCTTGCTACGGAGCCAACTCGAACCTCGCTGTCATTCATACATCTCTTCAAGCCAACTTCCTAGCTTGTAAGTTTCCAAAGTCTCAGTGCCATATCCGGAAGAGACCAATTTCAGCCATCGTCCGTTCTCAGACTGCAGCTCCAGAGGGAAAGTTCTGGATTGGATTGAGCCGCCCATCGGTCTCGTCGAGATTCCAATGGGACGACGGAACCACCATGTACTGGTCTAATTTTGATTCCAGTAAGTTTTCGGAAATGAGTTCACACTTTAATGTTTCAATTTAGGCTTCCCACAAAACAATCTCTACGTCGCCGAGAGCACAATCAACGGAAAATGGCAGACTCTCGATGGCCAACAGGCTCTGTACTACGTCTGCAGCTACGATCCGAAGCACGTCACTCGTGAGTTGAAGCAATTCCATAGCTGTTTTCAAAAACTATCATTTTGTAGCGGGAACTGTGCAGCCGTCATACCCTCCATCCGAAGTCCCATCGACCGGCTATCCGGCTTCCGTCCCAGTCACCGGAGCAACCGAGATTCCGTCCGTTCCCACCGGAGGAGACACCACTGGATATCCTGCTTCGATTCCAAGCTTCGCGCCTTCTGGAGCTCCAGTCACTGACAGCACCGGATATCCAGCGTCGAACGTGCCCGTGACTGGATTCCCCGTCTCTTCTCCAACTGGATACCCCGCATCTCAGGTTCCAACTGGAGGATACCCAGCCTCCCAGACTCCAGGATATCCAGCTTCGCAAGTGCCGACCAGCGGATATCCAGCTTCTCAAACTCCCGGATATCCTGCTTCTGCTCTTCCGGTGACTGGAGGATACCCCGTATCCGAGAGTACCAACAACGACTACGGAGCATCGACTATCACCTTCTAGCGAGTTAATAATACTGTCCGATATTTCCATAAACCGCTTTCAACGTTTCCAAAGATAACAAGCATGGTATTATCCATCATGAAATCCTATTTGTATTGTCGCAGAACAGTGATGTGCTCGTAAAGTGTAAATGGCCTGTCTATCACTTCTTGTGGTTTCCGGTTCAACGATTGAGAGCAACTTGTCAAACAGTGTCCTATGCGAGCATTGATAACCACTTCGCCACTTTTGTTCTGTACAATCAAACACTTACTTATCCCTTTTTCTCCAATTTAAGAATTCCTCCCATGTTTGTACTATTTCGCAATTCGTTTTAAGTCAACACGCAAGAGATCAACCCGAAATAAACAGGAAGTTCCGTTCGAAAACGTCATCCGCCTATTTCTGATTTAACGCCCTCTTTGTACAAAACATTCTCGATAAGAAGTGATCATTTGCAGCTAACACCTTGAAATGATACTTCTCTTCCTGCTCTCGCTGTCCATTCTTCGCGCAGTCAACTGTCAGTGCCAACGGCCTGACGACAAGTATATCGGAGATTTGTGAGTCTGGGGAGTCAAACAGCAGCTCTTTCTACAAGCCACGCCTTCAGATGCTTCTTTATTTCGAATCAGAAGGAAAGTTTCCGTGACGCCACCGATTATTGTCACGGAATCTCTTCGAATCTTGCAGTGATTCACACGTCCCTTCAGAGCAACTTCCTCGCTTGTGAGTAGATCTCTAGACTATAAATATATATGTTTATCAAACCCTTTCAGCGTTGGTGCGCATTCAAACCGGAGCTTCAGTAGAAGTCTTCTGGATCGGATTGAGCCGTGCGTCGGTCGGATCGAGGTACCAATGGGACGATGGAACTGCTATGTACTGGTCAAACTTTGATGCGAGTACGTTTACGAACGTCAAATTAAGCGAAATGAAGGTTTCAGACTTCCCACAGGATGATCTGTTCGTCGCTGAGAGCACTATCAATGGAAAGTGGCGGACTCTCGACGGACAAAAGTCGCTTTTCTTCGTTTGCAGTTATGATCCGAAGCATGGCACTCGTGAGTGAGCGCATTCTGGCTGTTTCAGATAAGAATTACATTGCAGCCGGAACCGTAGGACCAATAACTTATCAGGCGGAAACCACAACAACTTCGTCCCAATGTACGACCATTCAACCGAATGCGTTCATTTCCCATTTCTCTTTCAGCGACTGTCACTTACTCCTCGTCTTCTTCATATCCCACGAGTTCATCGTCTTCTACAAGTTCTGGTCCCATACCCACGGATGTCGTATCCACCGTTTCATCGTCATCGCCGGTACTATCTACATCGGATTCGTCTACTGTTGACTACACAACTTCTTCTATTGGATCTACCGCGTCTCAGAGTACTTCTGGAGCCCCCATTGCTACGATCGGAACTACTCGTTCAACCACCTCGGGCACAATGTCGGCCTGATCTGAAGCGATTTGAAGTTAACGAAATATGATTCATGCCACAGATTTATCAAGTATAAAATAAGCTCGACTTTATGGTTTATTGCCGGGTGCCTCACACTCATCCGAATCCGTTTTAATTCTCTTCTTCTCCTTCTCCTCGTTTCCGGGAGTCAACGAAAGCGTGGCCGGAGTTATCGAAACGGGTGTCGTCTTCAGCGGCGTCGTCTTCTTCTTCTTCTCGACACACTTTCCGGAAGAAGTGGCCGTCTCGTTGGCTTCCTGCGTCTGCTTTGTTTTGTGCACATCCGGCTCGCTGTCCGTGTGCACGATCACAGTCGGTGTATCCTCGAACTTTGCGGGCGGCAGCTCCTGCGTCGCCGCCAACGACTTCGACTCTGTGCTTGACTTCTTCGTGCCACTCGTCGAAGCGGTCTTCTTTAACTTCTTCACAGATTCCTTCTTCCTGAACAAGACTGAACTTTACTTCTGGAATTCTCTTTCCGCTCACTTCTCCTCCGCTTCTCCATTTTCATTTCGGTTCCCTTTCTTCTTTTTATCGTCACTCATCGAGCTATCCCTCTGCGGCCCCACGTATCCTTCTCTCGTTCCCGTGTACACATTCACATTTGGCTCTTCTTTTAGATCAGTACCAATGTTGGAAGTGGATCCGACATAGTTCTGATGTGTAATGTGGCCCAAAGATCCGAAGCTCCTGCTGAAACATCTCCAATTCCACGCATTTGGATTTGACCGCACCTGACGACGGCTCCCGCCCACATTGCGGCTTCTTTCCCATCAATTCTGAACGTCACTTTCAGTCTTTTCTCCGTCGCCAAATCCACAATAAACGCCTCTTTGTCCTGCTTCACCGTCATTTTGGTCATCGTAGTTAGCGGATAGATCTGTCCGACCAATGGTTTCCTGAAAGTGCCTTTTACGCTCCGAATGGGACTGCCTCGTGGAACCCTGTGCAGGATTGAAGAGGCAGTTGTGAACCCCCGCAGTTCTGCACAGGCCCATGCTCTGTGAGCCACTCAACCCTGCACTGAGTCCGTGGATGAAATACGTGTAAATGACGATCTTCGGCGGCTCTCCGTCGCTTTGCACGAACACCGCTGACCGTTTCTCCCACTTCGATCGTCCCGCCTTCACTTCCACGTAGCGGCAAGCGGAGCTTGGAACCGAACAGAATATTTGCTGCAATGTTCTTCCCAACTACTCAGGCGAGCCGATAATAGTCAAACAGACCTGCTCGGGCAACGGGATGCACTTTGGACTCACTGAGCACATGATATATTTTAATGACGATTAGCAATGTAGAAATGGCCCCTTTTCTAACTGTTCATAAGCCCTTTCACCATTTTGTTCGACCACGCAAAAAATCTGTTTTGAAAGCGAAGCATTTCAAAACGGCCTAGGTTTCCGGGTGTGCAGCACTTAGTCCCCGTACTTTTTTCTATTTTCTGAATTAATTAATTCGTCTCCGTCTTTTTCAGCCGGCAACTATTAAACAGAAATCAATCAATAAAAATGGTAAAGCTACATTTTTCTTTTTTTTCAGTTCAATTTTGTTTTTCAGAGCTCCGTAGAAGAGATGCTGCGTGAAGCTGCAAACGAAGTTCTCCAATCTAGAATACCAAATGGATACGTGCTCTATCCGAACTACGATCAGTACTGGTCTGCTGAACAGGGCATGTTCTACAATCCCGTAAGTTATTTATTCCTTTTTAATTCCAAAACCAAACATTTAAAGGACACGGAATTATTCTATCGGCCAGAAGACGAAACTGTTTATCAGCTGAATACAGAAGGAACAGAATACGTTCTTGTTGAAAGACGGAAATCAAGTGAGTTTGTGAAACATGTATTCACCACGAAACAACAGTTATTCAGCGTACTGGGCCAGTAGAAGCTATCGAAAAAGAGCCATCGATCTGCTCAGTGAGACGGAGTTCAAGAAGTTTAATCAGGAAGGCGTGAACATTTGTGAAATGGCTTTTGGCATGGTGGATAAGATCGTTCGAGAAGAAGAGATGGAGAAAGAGAGAGAATATCTCCGTTCGATTGCGGACAACAAGGTAGCGCTGATGCAGCACCGAATCAACAAGGTCTTCAAGGGAAATCGGAGGCGGAAGAATCCGCACAGAGTATGCTTATTGCGATTATTACTGGGCGAGCCGCTGAATAATTTCAGCAATACGTGACGTCAACCAACGAGAGTACGGGAAACGCCGAATTCACTCTGCAAGTGGACGACTACTTCGATTGGGAAGATGCCTACGAAGACGACAGCGACGACGAATTGAGTGCCGGAGAGGAGCAGGCAGTCCTCATGCAACGTAAGAATTCACACATTGACAGTTTTATTCAAATATTCTGTTTACAGAAGAAGGATATGATCAGCCACCGTGCATGCGCGTGATGGATCAGACCCGTCGTCTCCACATCATCACCATTTCCGGAGGATACATCGGATCGGACAGAGACTGCGAAGTCGTCGTTGCTAATCAGTTGCTGCCGGAGCGATGTGCAGAAATCGGCTATTCTGAAGAAGCCGGGTGTTATTCTGTTGAAAAAGTGGATGCTTCCTGTATTCTGCAAGTGAATGGGAACAATGTTCAGATGGGTTCCTCTGTAGATCTCTGCCAGGGAGATTCGATCCTTCTGAGCGGAGAAAGATTCGATGTGCATGTCCATTTTGGAAACAACACGTGTCTAGGCTGCGAACCGGGTCTGTATCAGGAAGAAGAAAAGGAAGAGACGGTCTTGCCAGCGAAGCACATCCGCGGGGAAGTGGCCAGGAGGAAGCAGCTAAAGCAGATGATGAAGTCTTATGGAATCCGGCCAGATGACGGATTGAGTGAACCGATTCGGAAAAAGGCAACGGGGCCGTCGTACGGGAACATCACGAGGACGGAAAGACCGGAAGGAGCAGACATGTACGGATCGTGTGCAGCCAAACCACTTCCCGATTCTCAGCGAAAGTTCGAGATGCCTCCTACAGCCGCGGTTGCCAGTCAACCTTCAACATCTGCGGTGAAGCCGTTAGACAGCGGAAACGTTGGATTCAAATTGCTCAAGTCTATGGGATGGTCGGAAGGACAAGGACTCGGAAAGGAGAAGCAGGGACACGTGGAACCTGTGGCCACAGAAGTGAAAAATAACCGACAGGGACTGGGAGCCACGAAGGAGAAAGAGCAGCCGAAGTCGTACAAAGACACGATTCTGGAGAAAACGAAGCAAAGGTTCAATGAGGTTTGTGGCTCAGTTGTGATTTTTTTACAGAGAAACAAACAAGACACTTTTTCAGAAACGCTGACCCGATTGACGAGCTGATGCTTACAAAACTTTCATTCTATTTCACCCTAGATAAAAGAATACATTTTAATTTCGCAATATGTTCAACGACACATTTTATATGCCTGGGAGCAGAAAAACGGGTCGAAAGAGCAGCTACAAACCACAAAAATAGCGAAGCGATTTAGAGACGCCGGCAGGGAAACAATGCGATGACGTTTTCATTTCACATTTTGAACTGTGACATAGGACCATGGATATGAGAAGATCCTCAGAAAGTGGAACCATTAGAATTATAATACAACAGTACTAAAATGGGCGTGGCTTGCAGCTGCACATTATTCAGGGGAAAGAGCTTGACTGAACTAGCAATAAATGACTAGGATCAGACGAGACCGTACCTTTTCCACGAGGCACTTCGGAAGTGCGGATGCTAGAAAATCCGGATGGACAATAGCATTTGATAGGTTTTCGAGACGCCGTTAATCATTTTCCGTGATAATTGTTTCCCAGATTCTATTTTTGGTTTATCAGTAAACGATCAGATAAGCGGGGGTTTACCTGGCCATCACAAACCTATTTTTAGAGCCGGATTCGGATGAATTCAGATTCCCGAACTTCTCATTCCTCCAGACCTTCTGCGTTCGTGATCATTCGAAAAAGTTCAGATTCAGCAAGCTTCGTGCTCTGTGTGTGCCAGCAGAATGCTCTCCGAAAAACGCATGGCACAAGTCAGAGGCCCTTCCCCTTTTCGTCCTGATAACACCTTCGATTTGTCGATAAAAGTGAGCCGGGTACACTCGTTTTATCACTCTTCCCTGCATTCTTTCCCATCAGCCTCTTTTCTCGTTTTTCAGAAAGTTCTCCGCGTGCGCAAATGCTGCGCAACGGCAATCTCCGACAGAGTCTGCGGACTCTCGACTCGTTCAGTTTAGCGCCCGAAGACGTACTCAAAACGGCCATCAAGACCGTCGAGGACTACGAAAAGTGAGTGAAAAAAGGGGTCCAGGTGTCATCTAATCCAATTTGATTTCAGTGAAGAAGCAGATGAGAATGGAGATGTTAAAATGACGAGAGACGCGAAACAAGAAGTCATCAACAAGGTGTCAATCCCGCAGTTGGTAAGGTTTTTCATAGTTCTCCAAACACTGTAATAGTGGGTCAAGATCGAGGCTGTCATCTTTGAAAGTTGGTCATCGACAATCCGGAATTTTAGAGAAGTTTCCGGATGAGTTGCCGGATGGCCTTCAATGTTTCCGCTTTGGGAATGTGTTTGACTAACGGATTCCGTTTTTGTCAATTGATAAGTGAAGCCAACTTGGTTTGCACTTTGATAAGTTTGGAATTAATCCGAACCAAAAATCAATCAGCTGATACACTTGGGCAAGGAGAGAATAAACTTGCCATTCAAATGAGCCCCGAATACTTCTTGAGAATGTAGTTTGATTCCATTCCTTCACATTCATACAATCATCATATTCAACAAAGATCAAAAAGTTCAAAACCACAACTTATCTTGATCACAGAAAAAACTCGGAAAAAACATCATTTTTATGACTATAAATGTAATGGAAGCGAAACGAGCACAATGATAACGGGCACAAAAGAGAATTATAAATCACAAAACGGAGGTTTGCAGTACCGCTACACGACGACGCTCGAGAAGTGTATGCTGTTGGTGGGCACGATTGTGGCGGTGATCACCGGAGCGGGACTGCCGTTGATGTCCATCCTGCAGGGACACATTTCGCAGGCATTCATCAACGAACAAATTGTGATTAACACTGGAAACACGACTAGTGAGCAATGAAGGGTGGAGCTGGGGGAAACGTGAAATATTTCAGTCCCTCCAAGTGGAAGAAACTACACGCAAGCCGATTTTGAGCACGATGTGATGAACGTAGTCTGGAGTTACGCAGCGATGACCGTCGGAATGTGGGCGGCCGGACAGATTACGGTTACTTGCTACTTGTACGTGGCAGAGCAGATGAACAATCGGTTGAGGAGGGAGTTCGTGAAGGCCATTCTGAGACAGGACATCTCGTGGTTCGACACCAATCACTCTGGAACTCTTGCCACCAAACTTTTCGAGTAAGTACTAGGTTACCATATCAATTTCTCAAAGAGCTCGTTTGCAGTAACCTGGAGAGAGTGAAGGAAGGAACTGGAGACAAGATCGGAATGGCATTCCAGTATTTGAGTCAGTTCATCACCGGATTCGTGATCGCGTTCATCCACAGTTGGAAGCTGACTCTCGTCATGTTGGCCGTCACTCCCCTTCAAGTCATCTGCGGTTTCGCCATCGCCAAATCCATGTCGACGTTTGCAATTCGAGAAACAGTTCGATATGCGAAGGCAGGAAAAGTCGTCGAAGAAACAATTTCGAGCATCCGGACAGTCGTTTCTTTGAACGGATTGCGGTACGAGCTGGAGAGATACGCGGCGGCAGTGAAGGAAGCGAGGAAGTCGGGCATCCTGAAGGGACTCTTCCTCGGAATCTCGTTCGGAGCCATGCAGGCGACCAACTTCTTCTCCTTCGCTCTCGCCTTCTACATTGGAGTCGGATGGGTTCATAATGGATCGATGGAGTTCGGGGACATGCTCACCACCTTCTCCTCCGTTATGATGGGATCCATGGCTCTCGGTCTGGCTGGTCCGCAGCTTGCTGTTCTGGGAACTGCTCAAGGAGCCGCTTCCAGTATTTATGAAGTGTTGGATAGAGTAAGCGATTCCTTTTCTACTCAATAATTCTATACTATTTTTCTATGCAGAAACCAGATATTGATTCATCCAGTAAGGCAGGTCGCAAAGACATGAAGATCAAAGGAGACATCACCGTCGAGAACGTGCACTTCACTTACCCGTCCCGTCCGGATGTTCCGATCCTCCGAGGAATGAATCTTCGCGTGAATGCCGGCCAAACCGTCGCTCTTGTCGGGTCTTCTGGATGCGGAAAGTCCACGATCGTTAGTCTGCTTCTCCGTTATTACGATGTTCTCAAGGGAAAAATCGCGATTGATGGTGTCGATGTTCGTGACATCAACTTGGAATTCCTGAGAAAGAACGTGGCTGTGGTGTCGCAAGAGCCGGCTCTGTTCAACTGCACAATTGAGGAGAACATCAGAGTGAGTGGAGAGAGAATAGCTTCGTTTACACAGTTTACTTTTCAGTTGGGAAGGGAAGATGTGACTCGTGAGGAGATGATGGCTGCTTGCAAGATGGCCAATGCTGAGAAGTTCATCAAAACCCTTCCGGCTGGATACAACACTTTGGTGGGAGACCGTGGAACCCAACTGTCCGGTGGCCAGAAGCAGAGAATCGCCATCGCCCGTGCCCTCGTCCGTAATCCGAAGATCCTTCTGCTCGACGAAGCCACGTCTGCTCTTGATGCCGAGTCCGAGGGAATCGTGCAACAGGCCCTCGACAAGGCAGCCAAGGGACGTACCACCATCATCATTGCCCACCGTCTCTCCACCATCCGAAATGCCGATCTCATCATTTCTTGCAAAGCCGGTCAAGTTGTTGAAGTCGGAGATCACCGAACACTCATGGCCCAGAAAGGATTGTATCACGATTTGGTCACTGCTCAAACTTTCACCGATGCTGTGGATGCTTCGGCTGGAGGTTTGTAATAAGAATCGGTCTAAAGCTAGATTAAGAGTGTACGTATTTCAGAAAAGTTCTCAAGAGAAAACAGTGTCCATCGGCAGACGAGTGAACACGAATCGCTGTCCCGTCAAGTGTCTGAGATTGATGACCTGGTTGCGAGGGTGAGAAGCTCGACAATGGGATCGATTACGAACGGACCGACGGGAGATCAGAAAGAGAAGCGAATCGGAAAGGATGCGTTGGCACGACTGAAGGAGGAGTTGGAGGAGAACGACGCGAAGAAAACGAACCTGTTCGAGATCATGTACCATGCGAGACCTCATGCCGTCTCTCTGTTCATCGGACTCACCGCCGCCATCATGGGAGGACTCATCTACCCGACCTACTCCGTCTTCTTCACTTCCTTCATCAACGTCTTCTCCGGAGATCCGGATGACATACTGAGCAAGGGACACTTCTGGGCACTCATGTTCCTGGTCCTCGCCGCTGCTCAGGGCATCTGCTCTTTCGTCATGACATTCTTCATGGGTATCGCTTCCGAATCGCTGACTATGGATCTCCGTAACAAACTGTTCCGCAACGTTCTTTCTCAACACATTGGATTCTTTGATTCCCCGCAGAATGCCTCCGGAAAGATCTGTACTCGTTTGGCCACTGATGTTCCTAACCTCCGAACTGCCATCGACTTCCGTTTCTCCACAGTCATCACCACAATCATTTCGATGATCGCTGGAATTGGATTGGCCTTCTACTACGGTTGGCAGATGGCCCTTCTCGTCGTCGCCATTCTTCCGATCGTCGGCTTCGGACAGTTCCTCCGCGGTCGTCGTTTCACGGGAAACAACGTGAAGAGTGCCGCCGAGTACGCGGATTCCGGAAAGATCGCCATCGAGGCGATTGAGAACGTGAGAACTGTGCAGGCTTTGGCCAGAGAGGACACTTTCTACGAGAAGTTCTGCTCGAAACTGGATATTCCGCACAGAGAAGCCATCAAAGACGCGTTCATCCAAGGCGTCTCCTATGGGTCAGTGCCCTTGTCCTTTCAATTTCTAATCCGTATCATTTCCAGATGTGCCTGCTGTGTCCTCTATCTTCTCAACACTTGCGCCTACCGAATGGGCCTAGCTCTCATCATCCACAAGCCACATCCGATCATGACTCCGATGCGAGTGCTCCGTGTCATGTACGCCATCACAATTTCCACCTCCACGCTCGGATTCGCCACTTCCTACTTCCCTGAATACGCGAAAGCCACGTTCGCGGGAGGAATCATCTTCGGAATGCTCCGTCAGAAGTCAAAGATCGACAGTTTGTCATTGGAAGGCGACAAGAAGAAGCTGTCCGGAAAGGTCATTTTCAAGAATGTCCGTTTTGCGTATCCAGAGCGTCCGTCAATCGAAATCCTGAAAGGACTCACGTTCTCCGTCGAACCGGGACAGACTCTCGCCCTCGTCGGACCGTCCGGATGCGGAAAGTCAACGGTTGTTTCCCTGATCGAAAGATTCTACGATCCTCTGGCCGGAGAGGTGTTCATCGACGGAGCGGAGATCAGAACGCTCAATCCGGAAGCGACAAGATCTCAGATTGCCATTGTTTCGCAAGAACCGACGCTCTTCGACTGCTCCATCGCGGAGAATATCATTTACGGATTGGATCGTAAGCACAGAAATCTTTCTCTTCTTTTTCTAAAAAGGTTTTTTAGCTGCAACTGTGAACATGGCGAGAGTGGAGGAGGCCGCTAAACTGGCGAACATCCACAACTTCATCGCCGAACTGCCGGCCGGCTACGAAACGAGAGTGGGCGACCGCGGAACTCAACTGTCCGGAGGTCAGAAGCAAAGAATCGCCATCGCGCGCGCGCTCGTCCGCAATCCGAAGATCCTTCTGCTCGACGAAGCCACGTCGGCACTCGACACGGAGTCCGAAAAGATTGTGCAGGAGGCGTTGGACCGGGCGCGCGAGGGCAGAACGTGCATTGTCATCGCCCACCGACTCAACACCGTCATGAACGCCGACTGCATCGCCGTCGTCAGCAACGGAACGATCATTGAGCAAGGTGAGTGGTGCCACGTGGATCCCCGGTCGCATCTTTTCTTTTCCAGGAACTCACAATGTGTTGATGTCGCAGAAGGGCGCCTATTTCAAGTTGACTCAGAAGCAGATGAGCGAGAAAAAATAGAAAAAAATATCCGAATCTTTATAGTTTTCCCCATTCGCTGGGAACCTTCCCCGATCTTTCCATTGCATATTAACACGTTGTTTCAATGAATTTGTTCATTTAACAAAGCGACTCGGTGTACGGGATATCATCGAAAAAAGACCAGAGAAAACAAGTATTAATTGAACCATTTTTGTTTGAAAACGATAAATAATGGTCCGTTCTAATCACGGGGACTAACGACTTTGGCGATGGGTTAGATCCCTTTCGAAAGGGAAAAGAAAACAATGGACCGAAGGCACCGATAATAGCGGGATAGAAAGAAGGATATTCACAAAAATGGCAGGCGGAAAGAAGGGACTCCGATTTTAGTGGCAATTATTAACAGCGTCCGTATAACTCAGACGATCTTCGCACACAGTCGACGTTTTCTGGCTTCTTTTCGGAGACGTTACTGTGTTCATTGTGCCACACGACGCTTTTCGGTCATCGCAACTTCGGCGCAGAACCTTTATGTAGGTTGTGTATCTTCGCTTCTGAATTGTTGAATGTTGTAGCATTTCATACATTTGAAATCTCACCTCGAAGTATAAAAGTACAAGTCGATCTAGAATCTGCTGTTGGGGTCGCTCCGGATAGACTGATTGGGCTACAACCTCGATCATTTCGTTCAGCTCGGTTACACGAGACTCGTGCGTCTGGATCTGCTTTGTTATCGGAGAAAGACAAGGTATTCTTGGAAGACGTGGCATCGGAGCAGATTCAGGCTTTGAAGTGACTGGTAACGGAAGCGTTGGCGAGGAGAAAGCGGCAGCCACGAAGTTAATCTTGGCACACCACTCGTTCAGGTCTCTTTCGTTGCTTGTTTGAAACAGAATCTCTCCGCCGTGGGCAATTCTGACTCGGAACACGTACGCCTTCTTCTTGTAATCAGGAGCCGGTTCAGCAAGAGCATGGTGCAGAGAAACTGCATTCTCGAGCGAGGCGTATCGGCTCGTAGCTTTCGGATGCTCGTCACTGTCAAAGTACAATACTAGACCGCGCAATCTCGCGTACACCATCTTCCAACTACGGCGACCAAACGGAGCTGCAATTAGAAATAATGAAAAAATTTTCAGTTGACAAAACAACTCACTTTTTGCTCCGTCAGCTTCTCGTACGTACTTTCGCATAAGGAAAGCACTGTAATATTCAACGACAGAATCAGGATCCACTTCATAAATGCGTTGTTGTTTAATACTCGAAGCCGCTGATCCGTTTACTGAGCTTTTCGCAGATGGACTAAAATTAAAACATGCGTAAAACGTGACTACTTCGAGAACTTACTGTTGCAAAGCAATAGCATTGTCTTTTATGCTCTGATAAAGAGTCTTCAGCATATCACGTTTGTATGTGCACCCAGTGTGTCCAATGTTCGTGATGAAGTCGCGAGCAGTCATTTTGCGTCCGGTGTTGGGACCATGAAGATCCGAGTTGAGAAGGAGAAGAGCACATGTCAAAGTGTGAACTTCATCCAAACTTTCAAAGATCGACGGATTACATTCAAGATAACGAGCCGAAAACACTCGAAGAAGACGTTCTCGTGCGGAAGACTCGCCTCGCAGCTCCACGCGACTCAGAAACTCCCGAAGAGCAGCGTCTATCCGTATCGTCGAAAATTGGAATAACTCGAGATATTTGACGAGAATGAGGAAAGCAAAGTCGTTTCTAGAAAGAGAATACGTTAAGAAACCGAATTACGACCTTTTTAACTCACTGCTCATTCAGCCGATCGGCGACATCGTTCGCAGTGCACGTCTTCAGTTCGTAGAGCTTCCTGGCGATCTGCGCAGCTTCTCGCTCTCCTCCAACGGAATTCATCGAAGTGCTGGCCACCTGGTTGACAACGAACGCCGAATTACTGTCCGATCGAATCGACCCGCCGCCGCGTTCTGTACCAGAAAAAGTGCGAAATTGTTTCCGTTGCTATTATCTAGATTAGACATACTTTCGGACGCCGCGTGAAGTGAAGGACTAGCCGAAGCGGAGCTACTCGTTGCCTGAGTGTACTGAGGCGTTTTGCCGAACATTTGCTTCCGGAGTGAAGGGGAACTGTGTTTCGGAGTGGTATCGACAGTACTGTAGTAGGCTCGACTGAAGTCGTCCGCTTCGTACGAAGAATGCGGTGCGTCGATCGTCACGACAGAGCGCTTAGAAGGGGTGTCCTTCTCCTGAAATTTAGAAGAACATGAAAAGGTAAAGAGGAAAAGTCAGAGTAACTGAAGGAGAAATGTGGTTGAATGGCTACTCGGCAATGGACACCGCTGTCCAAAACAAAAGGGAAACGTAACAAAAGACTCACAAAGTGCTTCTCGGAGGCTGGAGATCTGAAACTATCGGAGATCTTGCTGTTGTCGCGAGCATCCGATCCATCCAATTCATCAACATCATCGTAAACAGGGGATCGAGGGACATCTGAAATTGAAAACGTTTACGATAATGAAGAAGAATCCCTACTATTAATCGAACCTCCTTTGCTCTGAATGTGTCGGGGCGACTCGGCAGTGGCGATTTGTGGGGAAGAGTAGGAGGAGGAACTGCTGGCGGCTGGCATCGTGAACATAGCGCTACGAAGACTCTTGTTAACGATCTCCTCGTTCGGAGATTTCATGTCTTCGTGTACAACTGAAATCGATAGCCGATTAGAGCGAGAAGGAAACATGGTGACGCAAGGGTGTAACCTGGAGTAGACACGTACAAAGTGTGTTAGTGCAGCGAGGTGAAAACAGAGGCTAACACAAACATGTATGAAATGTACAGCCTGCCTCCCTGTCAACTATTCTAACCGTGTCTCGCCATGTTTGCATTTTGATATTTAACGCGTCGGCCAAATCAAATGAATGCACACGCCGCAACATTGAATTGGCGACTAAGAAAAGACAAAAAAGAGAGAAATCAATTATTTTGTTGGGTGAGCCATGATAACAATGATAAATAGCCATGTGGTCAGAGAACAACAGCAGGCGTCAGGAAAAACGTAAAATGAACGAAATGAAGGCTCCCGAAAGAATCCATTTGAACTTTTTTCACCAAAGCGCCCAATTAAACCCAGATGTGCTTTCAAAAATAACGAACCGATCAATTGCTCGTCAGTCACTGACTTCTCCTTCTCGTTCTCCTTCTCGGCGGCGCCTTCTTCCGACTCATCCACGTCATCCTCCACATCCGTACTTTCCATTCGTTCGATCGGCGCCGTCTTGTGCATTCTGATGGCAGTCGGGGATTCTTCCGACGGTTTTCGAGTAACGTTAGCCCTCCGCGCACTTTCTATTTGACTTGTGGAAACGGGAAGACGCGACGCCTTCTGGCTCCCGGATCGCTGCATTGACGGGAACGCGACGCCCGCAGAAGCGGAGGCCCGGGGCAGCTGTTGCGGAGGAGTGCTCGAGACGACGGTCGTGGTAGGTGGCAGTTGGTCGCCGAGTAGCTTGAAACAATGAGTTGAGGAGGGAAGAGGGAGGAAGGTGACAAACCGACCTTGGCGTAAGTGCTCGATACGTTTCGGTTAAGAGAAATCAACACATCACCCGACATCACGAATGCCTCCGATTTTTTGACATTCTGCAAAGAAAGCAGTTTGGCTTTGGTGGTTAATAATGGAAGTTCAACAGTAATCTCTCGTTTACAATCATTCGAGAAAAAATAAATCGCTGATGAATTCCAGATACGGTTTCGTCCCATCCTGGGGCTCAGGATCAGCTTCATTTCTTTGATTCAAGTTAATAATATAAACACTCACCCTCCGCGGCTGAACATCGATGGTGGCTAATGCCTCTTCTGCTCCGGACGACGCCACCTTTGCCATCCTTCTGAATGTAGACAGATTTTGTTATATTTTCAGCACGACTTTTACGGTGTGTACAGAGGGAACGTCGATTGAGTGACGAATCGAGCGGCCTGATAGAAAAGAAAAAGAGCGACAGAGAGTGGGAGGGAGCGGACAATTGTTTATATACAAATCGGGTGAATCGTCGGATTACTACTGCCCCGTTACAGCTACAAAAAGGACAGAGCGTCAGGTAAAAGTACGATCGGAAGGAAGAATCAGCCGGGAGACGTCACACCTCATTCGCTCGCTCTGGCCGCCTGTTTACCCATCAGATTGTCTTGTATAATAAAATGGCGATTCGAGAGGAGACAACTGGTCGCATCTGGGTGCGCTGAGCAAATCAGAGCTGATGACAGTTGCGGACGGACCCCCGCGGACGACAAACAAAAGTCCAGAAACTGCTGATTAGGTGTTGAGTTCCTCACCGTGCGCCTCAATTCGCCACGACCGTATCATGACAGTGAATGACCTCCGCGCGTTCGTAAAAATGTACTAGCGAGACGGACGGGAAGAACATTACAACTCACCGACACGGCGGGCTCCCCGGGATAATTGAGCTCAGTTGGAGAAGATAAATGAGAGGCTTTTGGACTCTTTTCTAGGAGGCAGGAAACTTGCCAAAGAAAATAACAAGTTGTGAGAAAGTTGGAGAGAAGTAAGAAACAAAGGAGCAAACAGTGGATGGAGCTCTGTTGAATGACCATTTGTGAGACAAAGGCGCGAGAAACACTTGGAACTTTATTTCTTTATGCATTGGAATTGATTTCGGTCAGAACGACACTTGACCTTAATTTAGTAGCCTAATCTCTTGCGAATTTCAAACTGAGAAGTATCTACTTCGACCACTAACTAGTTTTCACTTTAATATGGAAACGATCACATAACACACTGTTGGCAGAACGCAAAAAATTATGAGCATTGCCCTGGCAGGTGCACCAACAAACAGAAAAACGAACGGAAACGAGAGTCATGTGGTTTCATAAGAACGTTATTTTGTTTTATTTCAGAAGCGTTCTTGCAGCTTCTTCTTCCTTTTGCGGTGTTTTATGAGACATTCGCGGACAGGGAAACGCGCCCATCTACAGTTGGGGGCGCAGAAACGGCAACAAATGCGTAATGAGTGTGGGCATGATTCAACGGTCCGATAGTGGAGGCAAGCCTAGTGTCAAGGCCGGTCAATGATGAATGCGAGAAGAAGAGGGAAGCCACCCGAAAATGGACAGCGGCTCCGTCCGGCAGACCGCTTCTTATCGATTTTTCCTCGCGCCCTAACTAGTCGGTTTTTGTGTGCATTTGCACATGCCGCTTCTTCTATCATCATAGGCTCGCCGAGCAAAACCTTCTGCTTAACCTTCTCAATTCAATCAACATGCAGTCTTCTCAGGTTACTGAGAACAAAACGAAAAAGAGAGGAAGCAGTCGCGACTTTTTTTATGAAGCCGCACTCTACTCACACAAAAAATTAGTCGGTGGCAAAAACGGTCGAAGGGGGGCGAGAACGAAGCAACAACGTGCTAAAATAGAGAGAACAAAAAGCGAGAGATCGGATACGCAGAGGCGAGAGGGCAAGTGCATGCGCATCATTCCGACCGGACATCGCGCGGACGCAGCAGCCCCCGTTTGCACAGTAAGCATTCTTTTAAGGGCACAAGAAGCACAGGCTGTAGCGGGAAAAGAAAGCGCAACACACGTGGCACCAGAAACAGCAGGTGTTATCGGACGGCTGGTCAGATAGTGTATTTGATTAGTGGAAGTGTAAAGTCTTGAGACACTCCCGAGTTTCAACAGTTTTTGAGCAAACATATTCAGCATTTCAGAGAATATCTCACAAAGTTTTACACGAATAAGGCCGATAATCCAGATGAACAAATTCTATCGACAGAGAACGCCCTGTGATAAAAACGGGCAAGTACAGTTTCTGGTTTGCGATATAATCATCCTCTCTTCGTGTAGTCGTTATGAAAAATGGTTCGCCTTGAAGATGTGACGTGCGCTTCGATGAAAGTGAACGAAAAGACTTGCCAAAATGACGGACGAAGTCGAATGACAAATTACTGTTCGTTTAAAGGTGCATACCGACCGACCGTCGATCGGGTCTCGTAGCGCTTGTAAGGAATACAGGTCTAGGACAATATTTGAGCTGAAAGATAAGAAACATGTTGATTCTTGTTGTGCCTAGCTAGGACGACACTACATGATACATAAATTTTCTCGTAACGCGTAAATTAGCAATGCGCAGTGCAGAGACAGAATCGAACCCCACGGCATCTGCTCCGGAGGGACAAATTGCGAACGAACCAGGAAAATGTGTTCGGCCCGGAGAGAAAGAGCAAAAAGTAGTTGAGTGCTCGCGAAAAAGCGAAGCGAATTTAAAGCGATATCTGGGAAAAAGTCGAGAGAAACATCAAGGTGGAACAGGTCGTTGGGAAACGAGAGAGAAGTAGGATTTGATGGCTGTCGGGGAGGAGCCGGCGAGCAAAAAATATGTTGTCAATAAAAATGTTGACAATTGTAGTGAAAAAGCAGCGACGAGAAAACGAAAGGGTTTCAGAAGAAGAAGAAGAGGAGAAGAGGAGCCTGTTGAGTGTTGTGATGATACTCTTCGGGCGGTCTCTTGGCTCCAGATGAAATGCGCCGCGCGTCCTCTCATTGCACTTCACAACAAGTGCACAGAGTGTGCGAGGCGGAGAGACGCCGACTCGCGCAGTTGTGTCGACGTTCCAATGATGAATTAGAAGGAAGAGCGGACGAATCGGAGAGACGCCCAGGATTTTGTAAGGAAGGTGGGGGTTGCTGGTCATTCGGCCGATTTCCCAGAAGAAAAAGCACGAAACATCGCACACGAGAGCTGGCCCTTTCTCGTAGATTGAAACTAAAGATATGTGTCAAGTAGCGGAAAAGTTCAACTTTTATTGAATGTCTATATTGAAAGTACCCATCAATCGCAGAATATACTCGTTTTTTTTTCTATTTCGATCGTGCTCGGAAAACCACGTGGCTTCTTTCTTGTGCTTTCCGAACAACTGCTATTTAAAAGAAGTGACAATTATCAAAGTGTGTCTCTTTTCAAACTATTGAACTGCTTGCACGATCGAATTGCCGGTTTTCAATGTCGAATTCGTCGTCATATCTAAAAAAAAAGTTGCTTCCATTCAAGTTCAATTTCCGCCTCCTACTCACCCCATAATCTTTCTGTCACGAATCAAGACAAAGGTCATCGAGACAATCGTCAGGAACCAGAGATAGAGGAGGGAAGCACCGGTGGAACCGATCAGAAGCAGAGGAACGACCGCGTTGGACAGGTCGTGGCGACGGACGACCGCCCAGGAGCAGAGAACGATCAGTGCGAGAAGATTGGCACTCTTAGAAGGGCAGATTGGGATGGGTGGGTGAGAAAATAGACTGCTTACACAAGTGAGCATAAATGGAATGAGGAGGTAGTGAAAACTGGTGAGAACCGCCACGATCATGATCATGGAGGTGGCGAACTGAAGAAGGGAAAGGACGATCGGAGTGGTCAGGAACGACTGCGCATCGGAAGTCATCGACGTGGAAACTGTGAGAAGAGAGCAGAGAGCTGAAAGTTTGAAAATAATGAAAAGAAAAGAGAGGTTTCAGTTGAACTTACAAAGGATCGAAATGAGAATGCACGCGATGCCGATGACGCAGGCGCCGACGCGAAGTCGGCATGTTCCGAAGCAGCAGCGGTAGCGGACCATCGTATGGGAAAAGCTGGCCTGAGAAGGAGGTGCGGAGACGACTGAGAAGAAGCTGCTGGAGGAGGTGAGAGCGGATACTTCGGAGAGTTTGGTGTCGTCGATCGGCTGGAGAGTGAGTGATGTGGGATTGTGGAGCGAAGAGGAACGACGGACCTGGAATTGGATCGATGGGACTGAAAAAAGGATGTGAGGGTGACATGTCGTGACAATTTGACACCCTTGTCGAACTCATTAGAATACGAGAAGAGAAGGATTTCTCCTCAAGTAGAAGAGGTGCATCATAACAAAATGAAGGGGGGAAAATAAGTTCGAAAAGTGTCTAGACTGCTCTACTTTCTGTTTTCAGCCTTTCAGCAAAATGCATTAAAGCTAAAACGGGCGATGTTTTCCTCGTTTCAAGGTGTTGCCACGTGAATCCACCTACTCGAAAACAAGAAGAAGAAGAAGAAGAAGAAGAAAAAGCGAAAAAGGGTTCGGATCTGAAGGAGCACGAAATAATTGAGTCGCCGGGGCTTCCCGCAGCGATTTGAATGCCGAATGAAGCGGGAAAACGGGCGGTGACACACACGCTCTGCTCGCCTATTCATCGGGCACTAATTCAATTCGCACCAATCATTAAAAATAAGAGAAAGAGATGTATGATCAATGAACGAGGTGTACATATTTACGACAACTGTCTGAAAACGAAATGGCGACTGAAAGATCCGGAAGCACACGGTTCCGCTCGCCTGAAAATGACACGTCTTCCTGCTGATTCAGAAGAGACCAAGATGATGATGATGATGATGATGACGACGACGAAAACAAAAAAATGAGGAAGGGATGGATGAATATAATAGCAGAACCGGACAATTACTCACTGACTCACTCGAGAAGGACCTTTCTGGAAGCACAAAGGAAGCACAAGGCAATGGCTGGAAAATGAAGGCAGGTGAAAGCGAAGGCAAGCCAGAATTCTCGTATTGAAGATCAGGAGTGCACGAGGGATTACGGTAGTGTGAGAGGGAGCGTTCTGCGAATGAAAAGCGAGAAAGTGTGCCAGGAACTCATTCATTCATTCACTTTCTCGTGTTTTTTCAACCAACTTGAAAAGTGTAGGCTCGATGAATATTTCACAGTTTCGTTTCTAGAATTTCTCGGGGTATGTACATACTTATAGGGTTCAGTTTACTGGAAAAAGAAAACGTTGAAATGCAAAAAACATTTTCCGAAGTTGAAGGAGCGGAAGGCTGGGCCAAGTTTGAAAAGTGGTCGGAATAACAAGAGCAGGTGTCATATTTTCTCAGGCGAGAAGCCAGTTGAAGACGGGCGGAAAAAAAGGGGTTCCCGCGTTTTTTTTTTTCAGCCGAGAAAAACACGGTAACCCAATTGTCGGCGGAAGTGGTACGTGACTGGGAATGGGCCCAAGACCGCCCATCTCCTTCTCCCTCTCTCACTCGCTTGCTACGCCAATTCATCATCGAATGAAGCTACTCAGGAGAGGAAGCTTGTTTTTGCAGAGAAATAAATACGTAGGCATAAATAAACGCACACGAAGTCTTTCGAATTTATGATCCGATCTGTCGTGGGTCCGTCTGTTATCGCCACATGTTTTCAGTTTGAATGGCATGTTTTGCGACCAGAAATCAAGAGAACACGTGGCGAATTTGAGAGCTCCCAATAAGCGTAATAAGGGCTCCGAGAGCCGGAAGGAAATGTTTCCTGTTTTCATGGTTTTCATGTATCCTTCTGTGAACTCGATCATGATTACTGTAGCCAGAGTTTAGAGTTCAAACACTAGAAATCTCGGCTCATCGACCCCCTGCTCTGTTAGTTATTTGTCCACTAATGAGGGCGACAATGATACCTGACTCCGATGGAAATCGAAATCCGAGAAGTTGTAGAATTTGGCTTTCGCAGAGTACATTTCAGTTGGATTGTTTGCGACTTTCAAGTTTCAACCGTATGATTTGAGCACGAAATCGAAAACAAAACAACTAATTAGCTGAGATTGCATTCGCGTGGGAAACAAGTTCGCAATTCGAAGAAAAGGAAAACAAGGAATGTCTGAGAAGAGACGGAATACATTATTCTTATTTTGAAAACCTTCGAAACCCCACACGAAGGGGAAACCCTTCCTCACCTCAATCCTCGGAATTTGCAGCTTATTTCCGCACGACGATTTGATCTTCCGCATCTTTCCGAAACTGTTCATCATCGCTGACGTCGTCGTCGTCCGTCGATCCTGCAGAAAGCTCAATGAGCACACTTTTTACTCGCAGGAAAAAGACAATTGTTTGTGTGGTGAGCGGGAGGACGCATTCTATTGACAGCAAGATGCAAAGGGCGACAATTTCAACAACCTTTACGTAGAAAAGTGAGAGGAAAAAAACGAAAAACTGGGTGGAGGTGTATGGATCACGAGGGTGAGGACCAGATAAATACAATTATTTGTTGTCGATTCTGATTTGAAACGGGCAAGATTGGTTTCGGGTGATTTTGGACAGAGTTCAGCGGAAGACGGAACGGATGTTTGCGAAAAAATGCGTTTTTTACTGAAGATGAAAGAAAAGAACAAAAGCTGTTTATGCTCACGCTAAACAGTGACGTGTCAACTCTGATCCAGAAGTAGAAATCGGTGCGTCTAAATTCGGAACTCTGAACTTTGTGGGAAAAGATGTAAGACTGGCATTCCAATTTTAGAGAAAGTGACCTGCTCGGGGCGGTCGGGTAAATAACACGGGGCAGAATCCCCAGAAAAGAGTTCTGAAATTAGCCGCGACTTGTCCGAAATGACGAGTTGATGAGCTAAGAGACGAAGGCGAAGGGGACAGAGAGACTTCTGTTATTAGCGGGTAATTCTGGGGTTTGAGAGAGGAAGGAGTGATTAGGGACAAGGAAGGATTGCTGCAATTACGTGATTGCAGTATCAGGAAATAATTCCAGAAGGTCTCTGGAAGGCAAAGAAAGCGGCGAGAAGGAACAGAAGATCTGCAATTTCAGCGCCAACAACATTTTGTATCTCTTTCCGCAACCACTTCTTCCTCTCCTTTTTCTCTGTCTCCTCCTTCGGCTTATTCGTGCTTTCAGAGCTTCATCGCTCAAAAACAATCCACTATCTGTTGATAAGCGATCAGACACGGCGGGAAAAAAGGAAAGACACGCGCGGGCCGGTGGGAATTCGAACTCTCGGGACTCTTCCCCATGGATGATGAATGAGGTGTCACAGAACGGAACCAAGCGGCGGCGGAAGTAATTAGAAGTGGAAAAGAAAACAAATTTATGCGGATGATTGAAGCGGCGAAGCGGTCAGCGCTCTTTGGGCTTCGGAAGAGAAGAAAGAGACCAGCGAGAGCAAACGAGTCTCACGGAGTGCACTACAAACTGGAATCAGGTCGGAGACGACGTCATTCGGACGTTTCTAGGGAGGAAACAAACATTTCGAAAAAGAAGACTGGCTGAAAAATAAATAAATAATCTTTTAAAAGCCGATGAAGAGGTGCTCTCTAGAGCTCGGTTATGAGAAAAATCAGTTATTTCGGAGAAACATTTCTACGGTAGGCGGAAAGCGGAATTCCGCTGGAAAAGAACTATAATTTTTGTGGCGGCGGCGGCCGAAAAAAAGAAATCAAAGATCTATCCGGGGATTATACGGACGATTATTTTTATGACTGAAAAGCGGCTGCAAACTGATTCACGCGTACCTTTCTGCTGAGCCATCTGGAGAGTCCGAACCTTCGCTTCTTTTCTTTTTTCGCAAGGTCACCCACCTCGAGCTGCTTGTTTTTCAGAAAATCACCTGAATTTGCGTGGAAAACTACACTCGAGGGAACGAAAGCAATTTCTGACTGGTGGTTTCAAAGAACTGAATAATTCAGAAGGGAATGAGTAATACGGTGAAATCCAAAACCCTAACTTTCTCCCCCTCATTGTAGGTGAAACGGCGTGCTCAATGGCCGATAATTGTGAGCAGTGAGCGGAAGAGCAATGAAGAGTCTTTTGGTCGCTGACGCAAGCGATCCGAGACTCAATTTGCAATTCGAACTTTTCCCCGCTGTAATATAATTTGCTGTATTTATTTATTTTAAAAACTCCGACGACATTGTACACAGAATGGAATTGAATTAAAGCTTGTGCAGGTTAAAAGGGTTCAGCTCATTCAGCTCAAACGAAGCAATAAAACTCTTTTGAAAAATCACCGCTAGTCACCAAAACGGAAGTAAATTGAAAAAAGAGGAGGGGAAAAAGGAGCGGGGCAAGACAAATAGCAAGTAGATGTCCGGCAGAAAAGTGGAAGAAACATTGTGAGCGGATAGGAATGAAACAGACGACAAAATAACGAAGGAGAAGCTGAAGAGAAGGAGGGATACATAGGGCGACTTGTGCTCCAGATGCACTGAAAACACAAGGATCATCTACTACTAGAACTACTGATGTCCTCCTCTCGAAGACGTCTACTCGAGCTGTCCGATCGGCGCGTTCTGAAGCCACAACTCGTGCAAGAAATTGTAAAGTCGCTCTGAGACGGAAACCTGCAAACAATGGGACTGGAAGATGAGAACAGCGGGAAGGAGAGTACTGTACCTTGTACGGTGTCGGGTTCAGATAGCGACGGTGGTCCTGACGGAGAGTGCGTCGGATCGAGTCGTTCACATGCTCCTTGGTCTCATTCAGAGTCGGCAGAGGTCCAGTGAGCTTTCCGTTCTCCCAGTAGACATTGTGAAGTCTCTCGATCTTGCTGGCGTTCACCAATGCTCTTTTCGATTCCTAAACCCAAAGTTCTTTCAAGTCTTTCCCACTTTCACTTACCTCAAACGGATGTCTGCAGAGGATCTGCTCGTTCAGCTTCGGCTCCGGTTCGTCCTCGAGCATCATCAGATCGAGAATCGCATATCCGTTTCTTCCGTAGATACGATAGCATTTCTTCTTGCCGGGGATCGTGATCTTGGTAACATCCTGACTCAGCTTAATCTTGGGCTGTGAAGATTTTGCGACCAGCTACAACCAAGTAAATGATGACGTGACACGTGAAGTGCCAGTGAACACTGGGTGCGTGCCAACTGAGCAATGCTGTGGTGGAACGGGGCGACTCACTTTGTACACGCAGCCGAGTGCTGGCTGTTTCTGGCACGTGACAAGATGGGTGCCAACTCCGAATGCGTTGATCTCGTGCTGCTGCTCATTTAGAGACATGATCGTCTCTTCGTTGATATCATTCGATGCCACAATCGGCATTTTTTCGAAGAACTTGTACTCGTCTTTTCTGAAATAGCATTCAAGAGTGAAAGACTCGAATCCAACACAAACTCACAATGCGGCAACTTTAACAAAGATCGATCTCAATTCTTTCGACAAATACGACAGATCTCCACTGTCGATGCGCACGCCCATTGATCGGTATCCCAGATCATGAAGGGCCAGCGAGACGGCGACGAAGTTGACAACACCACTGCGGAGAACGTCGTAAGTGTCTATGAGGGCCAGGAAAGTGTCCGGGAACGATATGGCGTAGGCGACGAACGCGGCGAGCTCTCCGTTCGAGACCTCCGAAGAAATGACTCCCCATGGGAACTGCTCCAGAATCCACGCACGCGTTTTCAAGCTCAAATCGAACAGGTCCGCGGCCTCACCTGTCTTCTTGTGGTTGAGGTTTCTGATTTGTAGCTGAAAAGAAATGAATTATTGAGGATCAAGCCCAAATGGATTACCTCGTCAGGCGTGGAGAATGAACAGATGAAGCTGTGCGCCTGGGTTCCTTTGACAGGAATACCGTACAGTTTTCCGGCGAGAACGTTGCTCGTTCCGTCGAATCCCCCGATGTAGCAGTACTTGCTGGCTGTCAGTCCTCCGTTCGGTCCCTGGGCTCTTCGCAATCCGAACTCCAGCAGCTGAATCTTCCATCCGGATGCCTGCCGGAATCTCGCCGCGTTCGTCGCCACAAGACTGGCGTAGTTGACGAGATTCAGAATGGAGGTCTCAAGCAGTTGGCACATCGCCAGTGGGCCTTCCAAAGTGAGCAACGGTACTTTCGGGAAGACGACGGATCCCTCACGAACTGCTTTGATGGTCAGTCTACTGCCGTCGAGCGTCTCGAGATACTCGAAGAACGACGGCTCCGCATTTGGCGGAAGAATCTTCTTCAAGTATTCAATGTCTGAAATAATCGATTGGTTGATGGAAGTCATCGCTGAAAATTCTTACCGCTCTGACTGAATTTGAAATTTTCCACGAACCGGAGACAATCTTCGAGCCCCGCGAAGACTGTGAACTCTCCGTGGAATGGGTTTTTGCGGAAGAAGACGTCGAAAACGGCCGTCTCGTTGTGAGTTCCGGCCTTCCAGTAACTGTAGCACATGGTGATCTGATAGAAATCCGTGAGCAAAGGCTGCACGAGGGAATCTTGTCCGTTCATGTGGAGTCCGTTGCTTGACGGCGATCCGTCGATTGATTCTGGAAGAAAATAAAGCTGAGCGAGAAAGAGATTGCGAAATGAAACAAGGTAGTATGATTTGATTGAATGGCTGCAAGCGGTTTGTCTGCTAGAACAACTTTATTGCAGGGAGGAGTTTGGCTCAGTTTGAAATGAATGGGCGGGCGCCATCCGCATGTTAACATTAGAGATCTCGTTTACTTTCTAACGCTTTTCCGAGATTTCCGAGATGTTAATAGCACGAACACAACTCAAAAGTAGATGTTAAGAAGGATACGGACGTCACGAAGAGCATGCGTGTGCAAGGGACACTAACATAACCAACCTGAGGGAAGAATGAAGGCCATTCTGAAAAGTGAAGAGTGAAGAGGGAAGGGATTTAGTGAGAGTTGTCTGAAAAATGTTAGCAGATAGAAAGGAAAGATGAGAAAAAAGGAAAAGAGAAAGGATGTAGTGCAGACAGAGAGCACGAAAATTTATAAACGCGGTCATTCTGAGCAGGAGGGACAGCCGGCCGACAAGTTGCCTACTTTACACAGATTTGTTTCACGCGATGACCGGATGAGAAAGAAAGGAAGATAGAGGAAAAGGGAGAAAGGAATCGTTTCATTTCGATTATTGGATAAAAGTAAATCAAATTGCACGGAAAGAAATAGGAAGAAAGTGTGCAAGATGGACGCCGACACCAATGTCAATAGTGAGATGAGCGATTTGGTGCATCAAGTGAGATCTCGCAAGAAAGACACGTGAGAGTGAGAGTGAAAAGTTTGACTTGTAGGCTGAGGAATGGGCTGTCCTTGGCGGATTCAATCGGGTGCCGGAGGTGTCCATCAATGAGCTCAGAACTCATCAAATCAGCAAACAGATTCTGACCCGTGCCGCGTTAAGGCTTCTGGAGCAACTGGGAATCAAGACTGTCGAGGAGTACAAGCGACTTTTTGGAGACGCCGAAGAAGAGGAGACTGCAGTCTCGCCTGTATCGCCAATGGGGATCGAAGAGTTTCAGGTATGAACACAGTATCAAAATGACAAACAACCAAAAGAGAAGAAGAATGAATACCGGTTGTTTGCCGAAGGCACGGTGAAAAATAAAAGATAGAACACAACATAGTGATGTTTGATGTTTCTACAGAGCATTCTGAAGAACGGATGGTCGGTCGACGAGCCTTCGTTCTGTTCAAAGAGGCGCACTTCGATGCTCGCCGATTTCAACGCAATGTCTCCGATCGCTTCGGAAGCAAATCAAGTTTCGCCGAAAAAGTTCGCAATGCCTAAGGCTCCGATTAGAAAATCAGAGCCGCCACCTCATGCAAGAAAGCTGTTCACATCGACTCCAAAGCCGAAACAATCGATGATGAGAAGAACGAACTCTATGCCAGGTACCCCGAATCAGAACTTGAACCAGTCGATCAGAAGAGAGATGATGATGACGGTGAGTTGAGAGAGCGGTCAGCGATTAATGACATCAGTCAGTCAACGATAACTCTTATCTTTCAGCCGCAACGTGTCCCGAGCACGCTGAGACTGGTGCGTTCTTCGATTGGTCCGTTGGAAGGAGAGACTCCGCTGGAGAATAGAGCGAGTCGCCTCCGCAGAATGAAGCTGGAAGAGAGGAAGCGTTCGCTCGGAGGACACGACACTTCGAGAAACTCGACGTTTGACTGAACTGATTCGTACTCTCGATGATAAGAATGGCCTCTATTTATGACCATCGCACAGTGGACTATAATCGTCCGAGAATAATACGACAGGGATTATTGTATCAGGGGAAGGCGAGTTCGTAGAGTCACACCACTTTTTGAAAGGGAAAGTTGCGGTTTAGTCTAAGGTCCGATCAAGTTGAACGCCATAAGAGGTTTAAGAAGATTGAGCCGAATGGAAAAAAGTTGTCTTTCTGAAGGGCGGGACGAAAGATCGCAACGGAAGTTTGGACCGATGACTTTTCAAGTAAATCGACTAGAAGTAGAGTTTTCGAAAGCATTGTGAAAATACCTGAAAATAAGTTGAAGCGGAGGAGGCGGACGTTATTCCGAGTGACTGGAGCCAACTGAGCCGTCACCTGAAACCAAAGACTGGATTCATTGGATGCGTTAGATATGATATAATGTGCTGGACTGTGCAGAAACGAACAATGAACATTCATTAAAAGGGAGCACTGAAGCAATTCTGCACGCATGACTGATTCTCTCTCTCGCGGGAGCTCATATTTTCATAATTTTTTATGATTTTTAAATTGTTTTTTTTTGGCATTTATAGTTTTGCGCTTTGTTTTGATCGAAATCTTCTTTTCGTGTTCCCTCCGAAAATTTAATAATGGCGAAAATAGAAAGAGAAAAGAGCGAAAGAAAAACAGAATTTGGTACGACAATCCGAAATAACGTGCCTCGGCCACGGCCGCTTATTTATCGATCCTATTCGCCGTCTTTTCGAAAGTATTTTTCGGTCTGTTTCTTACTGAAATTTCAATTTTTTTTTATTTCAGAGTGTTTCTCGAAACCGTCTAAAACTACGCAACCATGTCGTATATGCTCCCTCATTTAGAAAATGGATGGCAGGTAATTTTTCCTGTTCCCAATCGAATTGTGTTCGGAACTAAGTTCAGTTCTGTGAATTCATATCCGAATGTCAGAATTCTTTTTTAATCACAGTCAGCTAAAACATAACTTTTCTCTCTTCTAAATACGGAAGTAATCGCATATTTCCAGGTGGATCAAGCCATCCTGGCTGAAGAGGATCGCGTGGTAGTAGTTCGATTCGGACACGATTGGGACCCGACATGCATGCAGATGGACGAGACTCTCTTCAAAATTGCGCCGAAAGTGAAAAACTTCGCCGTCGTCTACTTGGTCGACATCACCAAGGTGCCGGACTTCAACAAAATGTACGAGTTGTACGACCCGTGCACTGTCATGTTCTTCTTCCGAAACAAGCACATCATGGTGGATCTGGGAACCGGAAACAACAACAAGATTAACTGGGCGATCACTGACGGACAGGAGTTGATCGACATAATCGAGACGGTTTACCGAGGGGCTCGCAAGGGACGCGGTCTCGTCATCTCGCCGAAGGACTACTCGACCAAGTACAAGTATTAAAATCAAAGCGATAATAAATTCGATGTAAACTCTCTTCATGTTACCATCATAAATAATTTACAACACCAAAAAAATACTGCAATTGGAATGATATTCATCACAAAAATGCGCTTATTCTATTTAAAGACACTCTGAGACCCATACAAAAGCAAAAACAGATTTGTCAACATTGATTACAGATTCTCGTCATCTTCGATGGTGATCGGAAGCTTTTGATGACGTGGAGACTGCTCAGTTCTTCTGAAATAAAAAATTTTGATGAGTTCAGGAAAGGCCAAATTACATGAAGAGGGCATGCTGAGCAATCGAAGCAGCGAACAGGAAGAAGACGCAGAATTTGAAGATGGCGATCATGGAGAAGTTCTGCCAGAGAATGAAGACGACGATGAAGTTCAGAGGGATTCTGAAGAGGTTCAAGGTGGTCGAGCGGGTCTCCTCGGAAACGTAGGTGCTGCGGAGGCATCCCATTGATGGCCAGAAGATGCCGCAGCACAACTCGAAAATTAGGAATCCTCCGAACACGAGAGTAATGTTATCGGGAGCGACGATCGGCATAGAGAGACAGACGGCGGCGAGCAGAAGCACGTATCTCATAAAGCTCTCAGGACGTTCGTACGTCTGGAGAAGTTTGAAGACGGAGGATCCGATCATTGTGGAGACCATGAAGGCGGCGAAGATGTATCCATGCGGGATGGAGACAACTCCAGAAGCACGGGAAAGAGCTGGAGTCCATTCGAGAACAAATGTATACATGGATCCTTCGAAGAGAGATTGCACTAGTCCAAGGCATAGAATGGTCGGGTCTTCCTTGATGGACTTGACGGCCTTCTCGAACGATTCCTTGACTGGCGCCTTCTCATTTCCGTAGTTCTCCGGCCACGTGTTCATGATGATAACAGCCATGATGAGCAGGACTGAGAGAGCCAAATCGAACGGAGCACTGCAATTATCGCTGTTTGTCCGCTGTTTGCCTAACACTTAGTCTCCTACACAAATCCGAATTTCACAGCCACGAACTGAGCGGCGACTCCAGAAATAATGGCGATGAGCGAGTTGCCGAGAGCCGCATTCGAGAAGACGGTTCCGATTTGAGACTCGGAGAAGCCACGCTGCAATGCATTTCCAGCTGTTTAGGGATGAACGACCGCATATTTTTTGTTTTATTATGTTCCGAAATGAGAAAATGAGATGGATTCGAGAGATAGCCGTCAGATTCGGATCGCCAAAATATCCGGTTTCCCTTTCTATTCAGAGAAGACAACTCCACTTCCATTCTTACAAACACAAAAAAGTCCGCATATGTGGGCTACTTTCAGAAAAAAAGAAGACTAACTGTGTTGTGTTCGAAGATTAGCCACGATTCGAAGGCCGAGTAGAGGATGGACGTGGCGACGCCTCCGAGGAAACGTCCGATCATCAGGACGGGCATGCTGCCGAAGTGCTTCGTGATGCAGGCTCCGCCGTAGAGGATCGCGTACATCAGACAGTTGTTGCGACGACCGCTGCAAGAGAAACAATAGTTCAACAGTTCGTTTGAAAAATGCATTTTGAGTTTTGAATTTGAAAACTAGAACGCACTCTTTCAACTTACAACTTATCAGCGATGGATCCGATGAACGTTCCGAAAATAAGACTGGATCCGAATCCGGCAATGAACAGGATTTCAATCTGGTGTTTCGACATGCCGTACGATTCGTACAAGGCGTAGACATGAGGTCCTTGCAGCCAATCTCCGGCTGAAAACGCGCCGATACTAGACTGTGTTTTAGTTTAATCTGTCATCAGCACTTGGCAAATATGTACGCCATTTGCGATAACGTTCGAGTATCCGTTTCGGATAGTTTTGAAATGAACTTACCGACGGCCATGAGGTACACGATGAGGTAGGTCCTCTGGAATCCTTTGAACTGCGGATCATCGTGGGATTCTGTGGCTGAACGGGTGTAGAAGTAGAGGAGTCCGCAGACCGCCGCGAGACCGTAGAAGACGCTCACAAACATGGGCGCTGCTGTTGTCTTCGAATCGACTGATGCTTATGGTCGCCCTCTCCGCCGCCTCGAAGCAAAGATTTAAAACTGCAGATAAATGAGGACGGAAGGACGGAAGAGGCGTGGCACAGCGCGAGATACGCAGAGGCGTGTGCCACGTGAAATGGGCACTGTTTCTATGCAAACTGAGATGAAAAGAACGAAGCGAGCGGGAGTGAGAGAGAAAGAGAAAGTGACCAATGTTTTTGGTTTTTCGATTCCATGCAGCCGAAGCTTTTGTGTTTGAACAGACGCGCTCGCGGAAAGGAGCCGTAAAATATAGGCGGCCTGTTGCTGCGCGAAAGAAGAAAATTGAGAAGAAGACCGTGAATTGAAAGATGGACTGACCGCGCTGTTCCTCCGTTCAATAATCCACATGTCCTTTTTCCGCTGAAAATCTTCTTCGCAGACTTCTTTAACGTGACCTTCGCGGACATCAATGTGACTCACAATCCCTTCCGGTCGGCCATTGTGTGGCCACAGCTCGTGAATTATTCTCATCTCTTTTTCGTTTCAGAGTTACATTCTTTCTTTTTATCCAAAACGGTGGTGCCACTATGTCTGAAATCTGACTTCTCTGGCTTTGTTTATATTTATTTTGTATCATTTTCTAGCCAGCATGCCAATGCTGACGTGGAGTTACACTCAGCATTGAAAAGCATTTATAAATAGCAAATTATAGTGTTATATGTCGTTTTTTCAGTGCAGGAAGTGTTGAATCAACTTTATCATATCGTAACCTTGTCTTCTTCTTATCTTGCGACACTCAAAATTTGAATTTCCTTCCAATTTCGGGCTTCGTCGACTAAGACGTCAAGGGACAGTCATGACCCGCACGCGGATAGCGCAAACACGTCAGCTCTGTTTTCTCGAATTGCGTTCCTCATCCCTCGTTTCTCTCGCTTTCCCTTCTGCTCACGGAGCCGTTCACACGAAGTTCTCAGTTTGCAATCAGAACAGTGCGTCATTCTTGCAGATGATCGGTCGGTTCGCGCTTCTCGTCTCCTTGGCAATCGCCGTCGTTTCTGCACAGCAATGCGAAGGTGAACTTTCAGTGCGCGGTTAATTCTGTGATGTAGAACTAGAAATTTAGTGTGCAAGAAAGTGTTGGACGACGTGATGGCGAAGGTGCCGGCCGCCGACAAGTCCAAGCCAGATGCTATCGGAAGACTGATCCGGGAACACTGCGAATCCGCCAAGAACAAGGAGCACAAATTCGTAAGTTTCGAGAATGTCTTCTCACTAGCTTTGAATTCTATTAACATTCTACTGGCTGAGATACGTCACGTATGCAGTTACCATGGTGACATTGCGAAACCGCCGTTTTCTCGAGGGCATTATTAGCGATCGATCGATAATTACGTAATATTTCAGTGTTTCTACATCGGAGCCTTGCCAGAGTCTGCCACGTCGATCATGAATGAAGTGACAAAGCCGCTCAGTTGGTCCATGCCGACCGAAAAGATCTGTCTGGAAAAGCTGAAGTCCAAGGACGCACAAATTTGTGAACTGAAATACGGTAAGCCCTAATTCGATTTCTATTTACAATCTCAAGGTCGCTTGCATTTTCCATACTTTCCTTCGTCGTTAACTTTTTCTGAGGCTAAAATTCAGGTTCTGTCGGCTTTACCAAATCTGATTTCCAGACAAACCACTCGACTGGAAGACCATCGATCTCAAGAAGATGCGCGTGAAGGAGCTCAAGAACATCCTCGGAGAGTGGGGAGAGGCTTGCAAAGGATGCACCGAGAAAACCGAGTTCATCAAGAAAATCGAAGAGTTGAAGCCGAAGTACGTCAAGGAAGAGCTGTGATTTAGTCGAAAACACGTGTTTTATTGCATACTTGTTGTTATTTAATTTATTAATTTTCTTGTTTCATCACCCCCAATGGAACTGGTCGTACAATCGTTTTAAACTATTTTTCGTTTCTACACTGGTTAAATGAAGCCTTTAGAATTTTTTCGATTGTTTTCCCTCTGTCTTTTTACCGGTTTCATTTCCGTCTGTATTTTTCGCTCATATTCCATCCACCCTTTTCTAATCATAATTTCAGAGATGGCTGGACAACTGCCTAGAAGAATTATCAAAGAGACTCAGCGTCTGCTTGCCGACCCTGTGCCAGGAATATCGGCGAATCCGGATGAGAGCAATGCGAGATATTTCCATGTAATGATCGCCGGACCAGACGACTCCCCGTTCGCCGGTGGAGTTTTCAAGCTCGAACTCTTCTTGCCGGAGGAGTACCCGATGGCCGCCCCAAAAGTCAGATTCATGACCAAGATATACCACCCAAACATCGATAAGCTCGGAAGAATTTGTTTGGATATCCTCAAGGGTAAGGTGTTTCGTGGTGAAATGTGTCAAAGCCGAACCATTTTCAGACAAATGGTCGCCAGCACTTCAGATCCGCACTGTTCTTCTCTCTATTCAGGCTCTTCTCTCTGCCCCGAACCCAGAGGTCAGTCAGACTGAATTTCATAAGTTCGTCAAGTTATTATTTTTGTAGGATCCACTGGCAACTGACGTAGCAGAGCAATGGAAGTCGAACGAAGCGGAGGCTATCAAGACCGCCAAGCAATGGACACTTGCTTATGCTCGTAAGCGGTCTCTGATCTACTATGATTCGATATGCCCTTTTCCAGAAGCCTAATTTCCTGGAACGTTCCCACATCCATCACCGTCATCCGAAATCAACGATTACCTAAAAATAACCACATCAAATCAAAGAGAAACATGTTTCCTTTTCTACTTTTTACGACGGCCTTCGTCCGCATCTTCCCACACTCGTCCCATTCTCTTTTAGTGTACCTTGAGATAATTATGAAGCGCATGACAACGATCAGCTGCTCTCACTGAGTAAAGATGATTCATCTCGGTACTCGTCCTTGTATGTAACCCCCCTATCGTTTTCCTCTACCCGGTATTCGAGCGACTTTTATATAATTCTCTAATTCTCCTTTTTGTTTCCAGTGGTCTCGTCAAATTTCCCCTTTTTGTGCTTCCGTTTCCCGCAGAGAACTCAGTTGTGCTGCAATTTCCATACATTCTCCCCCTTTCCCTTCTTGCATCTAGTTTTGTTCAGAGCTGCTTCCTTACTCATTCTCAACACTAATTTTCACCGCTGAAATGTGTGTTTTGCTGAATGGTTTTCTGAATAAAAACTTCAAATAAACTTCTATTCCAATAATTGGGTCTATATCAATCTCGGTTGTTTCCCGATCACTTTTTCTCAGAGCTTTGGTTCTGATTGGGGGTAACCCCGGAATGATCGATACTTCAACAGAGCGTGCTTGCCGAGTTGCCATGAAATTGTTTTCTCCGCACGCTCTTCTGTCTCGAAACTGACACTCACCAGCCCCATTCCGCCAGAACCTTCCTAATCGGCATCCTGGTCAAGGCCAGCCATTCCTCTTGTACTCCACTACTTGCATGCCTGTCTTTGCAAAGAGATCGAACTTGACTTTCATCTCTTTTGCCACGTCATCATATCTTGAAATGAGTCATCTCAGTGCCTCATTCTCTGCTTTTTCTCTCGACGGTCTGTTTAGTCATTCGCTCTCCGTCTCCGTTCTCCGCCGCCCCTCTTTCGCAATTCGTCCACACGTTCAAAGACACGTTGTCCAAAAACAACTTCTTGTGCGGAGAGCCTTTATAACTGCTGGTTTCCATGCGAAAAAGAGAGCTTGGCAAGTCACAACACCTGCGTTTCTGTTTTTTGGTGGCTTGTTCTCTTGTTGTTTCTCTTTTTCCCTCTAGCCTCCGCCCGTCTCTCCCGATCGATTCCGTCTCCGCTTTTGTTTATTCCGTTTTCTAACCTTGTTTCACCGTCCTTATCTTTGTTTCGCCGTCCTTATGAAATCACTTCGAACATTTCAGAACAGAATGACTCTCCAATGGACGATTGTGGCCGGTGTGCTTTACGCCGAAATCGCCGCCACCTTCATCCTTCTCCTTCCGTGGATCAGACCATCTCTGTAAGTTCTCGAACTTTTTAGAATTTCGCATTCATATCAACTCTGCAGGTGGAGCAAGCTCTTCAAGAGTCGCCTGTTCACGGCGCTTTCGAAACATGCTCAGATCTATTCGATGGCGTTCGGATTCGTTCTTTTTATCCTCTTCGCCGACGGAGTCCGTGAGACGATGAAGTACAACGGTCTGGAGGACAAGATGCAGCGTACCGCCGAATCGGACGCCACCCATCACATGCGCCTTTTCCGTGCCCAGAGAAACCTCTACATCTCCGGATTCGCCCTCCTTCTCTTCATGGTCATCCAGCGCATCATGGCTCTGTTGGGCCGCGCCGCTCAACTCGAGGCCGCCGGAGAAGCCGCGATGCGTCAGGCCGAGTCCGCCACCAAGACCGCCAAGACCCTCATGAACGCTGTAAGTTGAGATCGTGTAATATTTTCTTTCAATTTTCAATTTCAGACCGAGACCAGCGGCGAGGTGTCCGACCTGGGCAAGCAAATCGAGAAGCTGAAGTCCGAGCTGAAGTCGGCCACCACTGACCGTGACACTCTCAAGAAGCAATCAGAAGGCCTTCAGAGAGAATTCGACCGCGTCTCGGACCTTCTCGCCGCCAAGGGAGACTCGAAGGGAGACAAGAAGAAGGACTAATTCGAACGATTCTCATCATGACTGTTTGGGTCACACGGAAACTCTTTTCTGACATTTTCATCCAAATTTCCTCTTCGATTTATTGTATTTAGATTATCTAAAAGTGAATACAACGCTCTGTCACTATTAAACGTTTTCTTACGTTCGACTGAAATAAGGCGGTCTGAATTGGAAAGTATGCAGTTGGTAGCCCGTTTTTAATCACCCTTTCCTGATCATAGTGTCGATTATTATTCGTACCATCGCTAGACACTTCTCGCGTATTCAGCTCCTTTATTCGCATTCCGCCTAATTGACATGCGCGCCTAGACTGCCAAAAATACAATCGTAATACACGGTACGCATCGCCGATTTCCAGTCTCACCGATAATTGAATTGTTATTCAGTTTTCGGACCGACTATTATAATAGAGCTCAGCGCCTTCTCTTCTCTTTCTTTCTTTTCCATCTTTTCCATTCGGGATGGGGTCCTGTATGTCTCGTCGCCAATCGCCTCCGGTCCCGGTCCCTCCGGCAGCTGCCAGATTCGTGCCGCGCACTCGTCCGTTCCACAAACGGTACAGCGTTCAAACTCGTCAACTCGTCAACGTAAGATTTCCTTGTTGCTCTTTGAACTTCAGCCGATTCTGTTTGAGGTGGCCGCGGGAAGATGCACCAAACCGGACGACTACGTCATCGTCCGCTACTCGGGCCGCATCGACAAAATTGCGAGACTGGCTCACGACCTCATGGACGACTTCGAGGTAGTCCGCAGAGCGTACGACTGCGGAGAGCACATGAGCGGCCCGATTATGGTGAGAAGAAGGGAAAGAGGTAATAATGGGCGGATGATATTCAGAAAATGCGCATCACGGTCGACAAGCTCCGCTACGAATACACCGACTTCTTCCGCGATTCCGCGTGGAAAATCGACGACGCGGTGCAAGAGAGAAAAAACCTCTCAAAGGCCGGCTACTTCGATCTGGAGCCTCTGAAGGACGAAATCCTTGAGCTGCCGAACCAGACGCCGCCGGACTTTGACAAGATTACGAGAATGGTGCAGCTGCAGATCGAGAGCGCCGAGACGGTCCTCTCGCACTATCGCCGCACTTTCCCGAATGCTCGCTCCATCGCCGAGAGCCGCCATGCACTGATCGTCCAGGCATCGCCAATGAGACCAGCCGACACTGCTCTTTGAGCATTTCTTTGTCATTTCTCATCTAATATCTCCTCAATTCATCTTTACTTTTTTTTTAGTATACTCAACTGCTTTGACGAAACCAATTAGACACTTTTTGGTGCAATATAATTGATAATCCTTTTCTTTTGCCTCTTCTTTAGTTGCTTACGCCAATTGAATTCTTAATTACTTAACAAAAGATTTATGAATAACTCCATCAGAATAAACTTTAAAATATCACAAACAGAATCAATCACATCCCAACATTTTCAATTTGTCATCCGTCCCAATGTGTTGCGTTTCAAAGCTTCCAACGGCGCTTGCCGATCTTTCAAATGGCAACAACTCGAGTGGTCGTGATGATTCTCGTGGTGGCCACCGCCGGTCCGCGGGTTGTCATTTTCAGTATCTTCGGCACCTTGACCCAGCGAGTCGCCTGTTTCTCGGCGGCTCTCGCCTTCTTCTCCTCCAGCTTCTTCTCCTTCCGCGCCTTTCTCTCCGCCGCCTTCACCGCCCGATCCTTGGATTGTCCCCTCTTCCGATCCTTGGATTGTCCCCTCTTCCGTTCCGCCGATTTTCCTCTCTTTTCCGATCCCTTTCGAGCCTCCCTTCTCTTCTTCTCCCCGTCATTCTTGCGTCCATTCGCCGATCTTCCTCTCGGTCCCTTCTCCTTCCTCTCTCCGAAGCTTCTTCGTGGTCTTCTCACGCCCTTTCTCACATCATTTTCCCCGTCTTCCACCAATTTCAGACGGCCTGTAACTCGAATCTCTTTCCGTGAACTCCCAAACTTTCCATCCATACACATCATTCCGTCATCGAAATCCACCTTCTTTTCCACGGATTTCTCGCGCTTCTCCTTTTTTTCGGACCCTTTCTTACCGGAAATCTCCACTGAAAACTCTCGTTTGAACATACCCTTTAAGTCGGAAACTTACGGAAAACCTTAGCAGAAGGCATGTTCGCTTTGTTTGAACAGTTGATAGCAGTGCTCAGCAGTGTGCTGATTTCCCTCGCTCGCCTCCGTGTTTTATATGCATTCGGTTATCAGTGACGTCGGAATTTTAGGGTGTGCCCATCGAAAAATGGGGGAAAACAAAAGAGTTATGACTAAATTTGAAATGTCATGTTTGAACGTGATAAGGAAATGATGGGTTTTGAAATCTTTCGAAATATTTCAAACACTTCTCAAGGATTATCTCAATTGTTTGAAAGCATGATCATCGGGACGCATCGTTCCTCTTGGTTTTGTGTACGCACCTGTTCAGGAAGCGTCGCAGCTAATTGCACAAAAGAGCAAACGGAGTGACGAGAAGCAGGCATTGTCGTTCGCAACGGGCACATAATCAGCGTTGTCCGCAGTGGATGCATTTGGCCTAATCGAGCGGATAAGCTGTCAGTAATCCGTCGATTTGAATGTAAATAAACGAGTGACAAGTGGTAGGAATGCACCTGGAATTGCTTGTCGAACACGGATGTTGCAGAAGCTGGGCGAATGGTTCAAAAAGGAACACGCTCATACCGAATGGGACCATGTCGTCATTCTCATGCATTCTATCCTTGATACCTCGAGTCGACCGGTTAAGACAATATTCATCGCGTTAGCACTCGGCCACAATATGTGCGATCCGGTGGTTCCCATCGCCCGGAAGGTCCGTGGGTATCCCAGTGTCCCGAGTTGAACTTTGCTTCGCACCCGCTCTATCCCATAAGTGACAATCCAATCGAATCTGTCCGGATTTCCCAGCAAAGGAATCTTTCCAGTCGGCTACCGTACTCTCTCTTGAATAATAAATAACTTCCAAATTGTGTGTTCCCGTTATCTACCGTTCTGGCCGCCGGCGCCCACCGATTCCTATCGGTTCAGAGCTGTCAATTAGTAAACGAAAATGGGGAAATAGTGGGGATTTCGGGGGAGACGCAGGTCCACTTGTTTCGAGGCCGATGAGAATGTTCACAAGTTCTACAACTAAAAATTTGCCGTGCCTCGAGATCTTATCAGCCTTTTTCTCTAATTTGAACGGTAGTTTCTCAAGCGAACCGGACTGATCTTACGAGTTGGAATTAAAAATATTTGGGAGTCGAACACTTCCACCCAAGTACGTCCCCCGTTCTGTACTGCCCTTCCACCTTTCCTATCCGTCGACCCATTCAAAGCAAGTTTGAATTCGATGGATGGCACGGAGGAGTGCCGCCACTTCCTAAAAGGACTGACTAACGACTCCTCATCCAACCGGTGATAAGTCATCAGTCGGCAGTGGTGTCGCGCGGCGAAAGAGCAAACAGAAAGTGAGACGGGGAGGAAGGAGACAGAGGTTTGAATTCAAATTTTGGAGGAAACCAAGGATTGGGAATCGGAATACTCGGGGAAATCTCTACAAGTTTGCCTTTTCATTCAGCCCTCGTCAATTCATGAGGTATCCTTCAGTTTCAGGGTTCATGACCTGTTCTGAACCCGTCGAAAGTGACACATGGCCACATCCGCCTCGAGCACGTGTCGTTGCGTGTCAAACCCAGGCGATGATGAACTCCCGATGCTGGAAAACTTCTAGAAAATAACATATGTCTAGTCTACAAGCTCCGAGCGATTCTGAGAGTTTCCCTACCCAGGCGTCTATTTTTCCCACCACGACCAGCACCATGTCCTCTGTTTACCCTTGGAATCCGGTGTGAACGATGTCATCTGTGCTCACATTGCTCACTTCCTTCCTTCCGATCTCTGTCAGTTTTATCACTCGGTCCTCTCAATCCAAACAATGAAACTTCCCTTTGGGGATGCGGACGAATCTGATGCCATCTCGTACTGTTTTCGCACCTCGCACCAATATCGTTACTTTTATGGGAATGAGATGAATGGACTGAAAAGAACACAATCCCTTTTTGTGCGCGGAACGAATTCAAAAATGTTGTGGAAGGATGTCGAATATCATATCACAGGTGGCCATGAATTTCACTTTCGAACATTGTTCTCGAATTAATTCAAGGTCCCATCTGGTAGAACGCGATCGCATCTGGAGTGCCACGCGAAAAAGTAAAACAAAACAATGGCTGAAGCAGAAGGACGCTGTAGGTAAAAGTTTAAAAAAAACAGGACTACCTTTCGTTAACCTTTCGTTTTCAAACTGAAACCTTCAAAAGATGCTTCTTTCAAACCTTTCGACTTCTCCGACCCACCTTCAATTCCTCCTTTATTCTCCTTTTCCCCGGTGCGCCACATCAAACACATGGCGCCGTTTTTCGATCGGGCCACCCACCGCCGCGCCATTTTCACCATTTAGTCGTTCCCGTCTTCTCATTCAAACTGTTGCAAGTATCCGCTTCTTCCGTTTTCCCATTTTTTGTGTTAACCCATTGAAACAAATGGAGTTGGCAATTGAAGGAGCACTCGAATTCGTCGCATTCTGATGCACACATTGTATGATGAAGAGCGCTTGACCCACGCTTTTTAGGACACGTTTTTTGTAGTGAAGCGATGGAGACAGATCGTTGCTTGCATAATGTAGTGGACTGGATTATAACACCTCGCCGGATTACTGTAGCTAAAGTGTTCCGACTCTTGCGTCAGCTTGTTCTTACCCGAATGTTTGAATAGGGATTCCTTGTATTACACTGAACTTGTTAGTGTTTGAAACGAAAAAAAGAGAGCCGATGCAAAAGATTCTCCCATGGGGTCATGCGCATTCGGAAGTTGTAATCGGCTTCCGCTCGCCCCATTACATCCATCATTTTGTTAGCAGTGCTATCTGGTTTCATCTCGATCCCCAACTCTTTTCGCAACTTGATGGATGAGGTGTCGACGAGAGCTGAAATAGAGGAATGGGAGGAAGAGCTTCTGGTTGCTCATCCACGTCCTCATCTCGATGCCACATCCCCCTTCCCAATTATGGTCGCCCTTTCTACCCATCACCTCGAATTACTCAACCTCAGTTTTGATAGCCTCTCTTCCGAAAGTGTCCAAACGTTTACCAGTTGCGCGTGTGTGCCTCCGAGTGCTTAATTGGCGGTTCCAGGGCCATTTGAACGTGCCGCCCGGTTCGGTAATTGTCTTCTCCGGCTGCCAACTTGCATCTCATTCACGCCTCCCTCAATCGGCCACCGCAATCTCTGAGAAACCGTGCCCAAATTGACTGTCATCGGCATCGAAACTAGCGGCATTTCGGGTGGCGAGAAGGGTGCGAAAAGCTCGAACAGCTCTCACTTCTTATCTCCAAACTTTCAATCTCTACCATTTGTTTTCACACATGCACCCACCAACGCAATGCGCTTCTATGAAGAGAGACCACCCGGTACCACGTGTCAGTTTCTGATCTCTCCCATGGCACTCTCGAAACTCGCCGATCTTGATCCGTTTCCCAAATTCTTGATTCCTTGTTTCCTGTCACCGATACCTTTTGTGCCGGATGCTAATCCATTCGCGAGAACATCTTTCATCTCGACGCAGATCGCAATTAGATACACTTTGCCAAGAGAGACTTCCGTTCTTTTACTCGCTCGCCCGAAAAGGAGTCGCTCGTGTAATCGAACAATTAGGTCCGATCTGATTGAATGCGCTGGAACCGCACAGGGATGAGTGTTTGTAGTAGAATTGCGCAAGTTGCTCAGATATCATTCTAATTGAGTGCCTGGATGGTAAGTGTGTGTGTATTTGTAACCATGTTGACACGGAATGGCGCAACTCGTCGCGCATTCTTTCATCTCGGAGCATCTCGAAGCTTGCGAAAGGCCAGAACAGATGGCGATAGGTAATGATACGGTAATCGAGATCCACGAGCAGAAGGACCGACCGGTGGCCATCTTTTGAACAGGTTCATTTCTCCTCCATACCTATACACCATGTTTCATTCAATAATATTTCCCGGAAAATTCCGCGTTCTTTTGAGCCAACGAGACAGAGCAAATCTGGCACATGTACACCCATTCATCACAGTTCCAGTCAGAAGTTATCAACTGTCCTCCTAATCTGCATGCCACTTACACTAATAACCTCCTCGTTCCCTAATTGATCACCTTTCTAATTCCCCAAGTTCACGGCCTCATCCATCAAACAATACCACGTAGGCTCTCCCCTTCCCTTCATTGGCTCCCAGTTAGTTCCCAGACACATTTTGAATATGAAACTTATGAAAAGTGAGCCGCGAGTTCAAAACGGTTCCGAAGCAAGAGACAGTTGTCGTCTGGCCCTCCGGTGCAAGTGCATAAAGTAATAATTCAAAAATATGGGCGTTTTGTGGCCGGGGGCGCACACGCAAGCGCCCTCCGGACAAGTAAATTAACTCATCAGAAATGTCAAAACGTTTCGTTTCGAAACCACCCGTACGAAAACTAAATTTGTATATTTCTCTCTCTTTTTCGCCCAAATCAAGAGAACCCATCGCCACGGCCCGGTAGACTATCATAAATCTGGGGAACTGGGTGAATACGTGCGTGTGGCTTGAGATGAAGGCGTCTCAATTCGTCGCCCGAAGATGCGTATCTCGGTTCAAATGGAAATACTTCTTCTTGAATTTGGAGGTCGCCCCTCACACTCTTCCGTCCGTTTTTACAAAAGACACTGCACTTTTACCCCGCTGCTGCCCCTTTTCGCAATTTTCTCAGTTTTCGACATCGGCTCTCGCCACCTTCTCCGTTACTTCTTTATTTCCCCTCTTCTCGTATTACCTTTTTACCCACCTGTTCCACGCTTCAAACAGATGGTCCGAGCGGCAAAGATTGCAAGACTTGCGGTGGTAAACGTGTGTTTGTGTTTCTCTGATTTCCGATGATAACTTTGGCATACAAAAGGCATCTGCGCAAGTTGTAAATCTTGGTGACCACATGCGTCAGATGGTACTTCCGCCCGGAAGGAGCACCTTTCTTTGCAGATAAATATTTGGCCGGATGAGGTAAGCGGAAAACGGGCACAGAAGGTGTGCAGATTCGCACGAAAAAGAGCGTCAGGCTTTTTCTGAAAGGTTTTGCTCTTTGCTCAGACTTTACTCATACCAGGGACAAAAGTCAGATCGTACAGCAGCTTTAGTTTGTCTGGAGAGTACCTGGTACCTGCTCCTGAAATGCTACCGACCCGCGATCAAACAATGACGTGGCACCGGCCGTCTGTTCCTTTCTTCTGTACTTTTGCTCCGTACGTTTTTGTAATTGAACTGTTGTTCAACGTGGCATTTATAGTTGGAAAGTGAGTTATTCAATCAGAAGCTCACAATTACCGAATAACCCATCCCCATTAGCGTCGCACTCTCCGTTCTCATCAGATGTCCCTCGATATCTGTTCTCGTCCGTTCGCTCATACTTTATGCCAATTCTCTATTTTCAGACCTCTCCCCATTCATCATATTCGTCTCCATACCTCTCTCCGTCCATCACCCGCGTTCTCTGCCAGCCGTCTCCCCTTCGCCCTTCGCCCTCCTCAGGCCCCGCCCCTGCCCCCCCAGGGTGACAGAGTCCCCGCCCCCAGCCACCCGAACCCGCAGACTCAGTCCTACTATTTCCGCGTCCCTTACCGGTCCCGAAGTCAACCTTTAATGGCCACTCAAAATTCGCTCGCCGTCGTGCTCGATGGCCCGAGACAGAAGAATGGACGGCAAGTTTTCGACAGCTTCGTGGATCAGAACAGACAAATGTTCTGGAATAGGTCAGTCTCTTTTCATTTCGTTTCATTAAATCCCATTCCCTCTTTCCTTGCCGCTTCTCCATTCCCACCTTCCCGTTTCAGAGAGCTAACGGCCGCCTGCGACGGGCTCGTCTACATGGGCTTCTTGCGTCCCGGCACACTCTTCATTTCGGGCGCCTCGCACCATCTCGCAGTGCTCAAAGATGCATGGGCACGACGTATTCTCAAGCCGGCAATAGGCTACGCAATCACATCTTTGGGTGAGTAAACGCTTCTTTCATTGTCTTTTCATGAATAGTTGGGGCATCCCGGGGCTTCCTTAGTCATCGATAGTAGTCTGATTGTAATGGATACTGTACGAGACGCTCTTCCCAATAACATTTTCTTCTTTTTCTTCTTCTTACTCGTCCTCTTTGTTCTGTGCGTTCATCAGTAATGAGAGGCATCTGCTACAACCTCTTAAATTATGAATAACAGGTGATGAGTCGTGAATTACAGGAGATCTTGGAGCGATCCAACAAGTTGAGCAGATGCATTTCGTTCCGCTCGGCGACGTCATCTGCGATGCCGTCGCCCAGTTGAACCGTCGTGGAAACGCCGCCAGCGAGCAAGCAATCAGACAATACGTGATCCGCCACTGTCCCCATGTGGCTCCGCCAAGAATCGATATGGTAGGTCTACCTGGTCTGCTGAGCAGTGAAGTGATTTACAATCTTTGCAGGTACGCCAGACGATCACCTCCCTGCTGGCGACCGGGTTCGTCTACCGAATGGGCGAGCACTTCTTTGTTTCGGTGCCAACCAAGTCTCCGCCACCTCTGAAGCCAAAGGCGCACACAGTCGAGTGCCAGACGGGAGTCTCGATTCTCCAGAAGGACTCTTCCTCATCCGACGACAATCATCCGGGCGGTCCCAAGAAGAATAACCGGCGCAGCATTTTCGCCCGTCTGTTCTCTCGTGGACTGAAGCCGTCCGCGATGCCGTCTGCTTCTCCGGTCGTCGTCGGAGGCACTCTCAAACATTTCTCACTGCCCTCGCCGCCCCCGGTGCCTGCTGCATTGCCAGTCAAGAATAAGTGAGTTTTACGGCCGGGTGTTAGACGGGCGTGACCATTACCCCCTGGGAAGAAGTTTGCGTGTGAGCCTCTTTTGTTCTCGCCGTTCATCCCTTTGAAACGGATTCCCGTCTTTGTGTCTCCTGCCCTTTGATCCCTTTGTCGTACGGAGGTGTCAGAGCAAAGTAGACACCTTTGCGGTAAACTCAAAAGAAGAGAGTGAATAATCCTGAGAAACCGGCCAAGAGGACTGTTAGAAAGTGAAACAAGAGACAGTTAACAAAATTTATTGCGTGGACTAATTGGCAGAAACTAGCGAAACCCGATACGGTAGCTGGGGAAGAGGAGGAAGAACTGGACGTGTTGCGCGAGAGAGTCGGAACAACGGGTCCCTATAATTAGAATCATATGGCTAGAGAGACCTGGACACTCACTTCTCTACCCTAATTAAGACCGTCCTGTTGCAGGTTCCCGACTTATCATCATGATCTCAACGTGGAATGTCACAAGAAACGCAGTGGAGATCAACAGCAAAACCGCCGTCGTCGTCGTCGTGATATCAGAAGAAGCACCAGTTCCGACTGCTTCAAGTATTATCCAGTCGACATGCCGGACGCTCTTCCACCAAAGTACACTGAGGAAGCTGTGAAGAAGCCAACGAGAAGACGTGCTCGCATGGCCTCTCCATTGAGATGCTCCACTCCGAACGGATCCGACTCGGCCTACTCGATCTCGCCGCCGCACACCGAGGATTCGAATGAAGACGCCGGCAGCATAAGCGACTCTGAAGTCAACCACACGTACATCAACGTAAACAAGTACCGGGCGAGCTACGACTCGACCCAGTTCGAGGATCTGACTGCGACGACTGCCGAGGTGCCGCAAGTGCTGGCTACCCAGATGCGGGGCGTTCTCATCTCTAACCTCTAATCCTTTTCCCACAAGAAGTGTCCAGTTATTTTCCGAGTCAGCCCCCACATCTCCGGTTGTTAGTCTTGTTAGTCTTGTTCGAAATGTAGTGTTGCAAACGTGTCTCTTGTTTCTTTTTTCCATGTTCTTTCCCTTCTCTCTCTCTCCGTCTCGCCGTCCTCCACACTCGGTTTGTGGAAGAAGCCAACGAAAATTCGCCTGTTTCTCTATTTCTCCTACACAATATTTGTGTCCTCCAATCTGCCCCATTCGTCCATTTTCCGTCATTTTCCCCCACACAAAACTCTTCTCGTTTTCGTGTTCGCCTACACTGTATTTGTTCCCTAGTGTTTAGCAGATGATGAAATGAAATGTTACTAACGAAATTGAGTGCTTCCCCATTTTAAACGATTCAAACGAAGAGAACGGACGCGCACGCTAGACACGCGAATGTTTACGACGGATGTAAGCCTTTCCGGAGCAGGTGTTGGCTCACGGGGGCCTTCTTTTGAATGACCTGAAAAGGGAAGAATCACGGATTACACAAGGAGCGACCATTTTAATTGCTTTTCGTAATCCTTACGTAATTAGTTATCGCCGGATAGTAAAAACATTAAAAAGTGAGAGGATAGGCACCTACGGATTAGTGGGTCAACAAAAGGCCGGGGACTTTGGTCATTAAGGGAAAGCAGGTGCAAATGCGCTCTAATGAAAAAATTGCGGCCGAAGTTTTGACGAATAATTCAAGAGGATGTGAGTGAGTCATCGCATAGAGAGTGCGCAATTTCGAAACGGATAGTATCACATGTTGCCATCCAAAGTGTATATATTGTTGACTCTTCTTTACGCATTGTGTTATGAGAACGTATTGGAAACGGCCCGAAACACATATAGTTTTATCATCACTACGCACGCACATTTCTGCTTTTTATTTTCTATTTAATTCGATTTCCGTCTCCTCCTGCCCATCCCTCTTTGTATCCACACGCCTTTCTGATGCCAATGTCCGATCAGTGATAACCAGCTTTCGTATAAATTTGAATATCTTGCAAGTTGGCACCGAATTATGTGGCAATGTGCGTGTTTTTGTGCGGTTTTTCCTTCTGCTAACACCTTCTGCCCACCTTCCAATAATTACATGTTGCGCGAGAGTTCCAAAAATGGGAACATGTGTGCTCGGGTCGGTTTCACACGTGCTCGATGCGCTTACACCCTCTTCCGATCCATCCCCCTCTCTCTCGTGCGTGTTCGATGACGTATTGGGTGTTAGGAGAAGGCAACACAGTCGGATTTCAGATGGCATCGGTGTCAAACGAAGGGCTTCCCGACGAGTATCAGTGGTTCTCCGACCAAATTGCGGGCCATCATCCGTCGGTTATCAAAAACGGAAAGCGAGAAATTGGTGAGTGAAGCTACTATTTTTTGAAAAATGCGCTTCTCCGACCGCCGACGAGTTGGTATACTATTTGCCGATTTGCATAATAATGTGCGATTAGCCGCGACGACTTGTTGTCGATCCTTTTGTTTTTGCAGCACTCTTTCCGTGTTTGCTCAGCTGCAAGCCACACCTCTCTTTCAAATGGTCCCTCTATTATCCGTTCTTTTAGGCATCCTCAAAATTCCGGGCTCTCGCGAGATTCTCAAGCCGAAACAAGACGCCAGTCGTGGAGAGAAAGAGGTATTCTACAGTACTACCACTACTGCGGGGGGCGTCCATTACATGATGATGGGGAAGGCATCAGATGCTGATGACGTCACTCGTCTGGTGACACGAAAACGAGCATGACGCAAGCTGAAACTGGACAAGTTACGGGACACCGGTGACCGTAAAACAGGCAGCATATGGCTGCGAAGACAACGCCCGAGGGGCTTAGATTTCAGAGTTCCCAAAGCAATTTTATGGCTCTCTGTGGCGCAATGATACTAATTGGGACTAATTCTAGGGGGAAACCAACACGCAGGCTTTCTTTTCGTTACCGTAATCAAATCGTAAACACTGGTGATCGAATGACACGGGGGACTCCCATTGTTTATTATTCTCGAGAGATACTGTGCACATTTGGAAGGAGACTCTCTCGTACTTTATCGTTGAGTAGCCACTCTTAACACGGTTAATGATAGCCTTCTTCTCCTTCGTTTTCCCACTATTTGTGGACATTGAAGATGGTAAATGGATGGATAGACGGAAGTTGAGATGCATAAGTGATTGGTGACGTAAGGGAAGTCAGAAGAAGAGGCGAAGTACCGGATGAGGACGGATAAGTAGTGACCGGGCAAACACGGATTTGAGAGCGGATTGAATCCTAGCTAGCTATTATTAGATTTTAAGAGTGAGGAAATGTCTGGAGCTTATATTCTTTTTGGTTATAAGGATTATAGATCACTTGATACACCTTCCATATCAGTTTCATCCAAAGTATCCATCCTTCACTGACACGTGTCAATTATCTGGGTATTGCACAACTTCGAGAGTAGCTCATCCGGAAAAGAAGGTCTTTTCCGGTCACTTTCCACTTGGAATACGATCTGATAAGCAAGCAACTCTTGTATGCAACTTCCCGTTACGCAACAGTTTTGCAGGTAGCCATCTACAAACTGCTCTCTTCTTCTTCTACTTCATCCCTCTCGACATCGTCTTCAGAATTGCGTATCGGGTTCGTGATTGACACCACGTCAAACAAGACGAGTGGAGGAAAGAGAGACCGGATATTTTGCAGACGAACCGAGGACATCGAGGCGCTCCGCACTCTGACCGCAAAGTTTTACGGCATCCGAAAGCTGTTCGTCGACGATGAAGGTATAGTTCCGGGAGTTGATCTGAATGAAAACGGAGATTCGTTCGAATGAGCGAACATGTGATCAGGCGTTTTTAAAAGCACGGTATAATGATGATGTTCGCATGAATAGCGTTTTGGCGGGCGTCACAGAGGGGCCATCCGTGGCAGATGTTCTTCTCCTCGTTCCCCATGTCACGCCTGTTCAGTTTTCGCTTTCATTCTGATAAAAATGGGGTCCTCTTAGATGAGAAGAGGTCGGGCAAAGAGACCAATTTGAATGTGATCCATTTGAATTGAAAGAAAACGAAACGAATGGAGAAAAGAAAACAGCTCATCTGCATTTTTATGACGTGCCAATTTGCGTGGGGAATTGAGTGGCGATTGGGACGACGAAAAATGAACAAAACAGCGGGAGAGAGGCGAGAAAAATGGGAGAAATTAGCAAGTTTTAAGGTGCGAAGAGTCTAATGTTCCTCATTCCAGACCGCGAGTTCCTGGTCCTCGAAGACATCACGTCCGACTTCAAGCGCCCGGCGATTCTCGACCTGAAAATGGGTCGTGTCACTTACGATCCGCTGGCCAAACCGGACAAGATCGAAAAGGAGCGGATCAAGTATCCTCCGCAGGCCACGATGGGATGTCGAATCCTCGGATACCGGGTGAGCCAGGGAGGGAGGTCATCAAAAATTCAAAATCTCTTTGTGTACCGGAATGATCGCTTGTGTCGGTTAATCGGCGATTCTTGACTCGCGCAAATCTCTTGCCCGTGTTCCCTTTGATCGTCCGGCATCCGCGTCTGCGTCTCTCCGATTCGCACGCTCCATCGGTTCCGGATGTGTTGCGATTGGGGCGACGAATGCTCACAGATGGGTGGGCAATTATGAGCTCAATTGTGACATTGACACTCTCGAACAAGTTCGAACGTTAATGCCGACGGAGAGGAAGAGGAAGAACCATCTGGAGACAGATTTCCGCCATTTTTTGAATGAGAAATTGGTCTAGCAGCTAGAAGAGAACGGAAGGGATCATGATGGGACCGAGCGCAGTTGTTGCACGCATTCGAAAGTTGTGCCTCTTCACTCTTGACCTACCGCCGTTTACAAGCAGGCTCGATGATGAGAGCGGTGTTAATCTGGTGCGCAAGTGGTGTCTTGGCCCTCTCCCCGCCGCTCGTTTACAGCCGAGCGACAACTTCTCCGATTACCTAATCAGAAAGGGAACCGCACTCGGACAGGGGTGTCTTATTACGAGATTCGAGGACAGTCTCACACTTGTTCGTCCCTTTCAAACTGATTGGGGGGAAGAGAAGGGGAAGGAGCGGCCTTTGACAAACTGGGGATCATTTTATTAGAAAGCAATGTTTCAGATCCATTTCGACGACAAAGTGGAGGTTCGTGACAAGGATTGGGGCAAATCGTTTGACGAGACGACCGTCCAACACGGCCTCCGCGAGTTCTTCTCCGCCAGAGACGGCGACTTGAAGGAAGTGCTCGAGAAGGCGTTGAAGGAGCTAGAAGTGATCAGAAAGTTCTTCGAGACGCAGAGATCCTTCCAGTTCTTCGCCTCTTCACTTCTGTTCGCCTACGAGGTCGACAAGTCCCTTCCGATCAACCTGAGAATCGTCATGATTGGTGAGGAGCGCTGTTTTCGAATTCTACAATTAAACCTGATTTCAGATTTCTCGCACGCATTTTCTTCGAACGGCGAACCGGACGAAGGCTACCTTTTCGGCATCCAATGCCTTCAGTCTTTCATCGAATCCATGCTCAAGTCCTGCTGAATTGTCGTCGTCACTGTCACCCACATCATCTCCCGTTTCCCCCTAAAAATCATAATATTGTTTTTGGGTTCGCCTCCTTCACGAGTTTTAATTCGCTTCCCGCAATACTAAATTCCGATGCATCCTCTAATTCCGTGATTTTCACCTTTTAAAGGCTTACGGCTAATTGAATAAACTCTTTTTTTAGTTTCATTCGTTTTTGAATGTGGAGGAAGAACAGAACGTTTGCAGAAAGTATTTGATTGTTGTGTATGTATAAGGAGGGTGTCAAGATGTTGGTATTACACTCGTCTAATACCGACGTTCATCTGAGGGAATAATAGAACAATATGTGCTAACTGAATCTAGAAATCTAGAATTCAGAATATACGGAAACCGACGAATTGATGTTAGGCTTTTCTAAGATTCGTGTCAAATCATTTGTTTTACTGGGAACCTTCTGTACAAACTTGTGAGTGCCTTACTTTCCTATTTCCTCTGTTTACAGTTCCGAACAGTTCGAGTGAATGGTGGCAGAACTCTGTAAACATGCTCCGGCTCGCGGACTAGAAAACGCTAAAATGCGCGACTCCCGATTCGCACCGCACGTCGCCGGTGCATTTGCATGTAGGCTTTGTTCCTAAAAACATGAAAGTTTTGGCCCCCGCAGATCGGAAATTTGTGTTTTGATTTCCAAAATAAGCGGGTTAATTTTTGAATTTCAAACCGAACGTGCGGAGTTTTTCCAATCCCAAAATCAGTTGGGACCAGCGTCGCATGTCCGGACAGCTCCCCACACAGTTTCAAGGAGTAATTACTGTGTCACGCACTTTTTCATCCCTATGTAGGCAAATTGATCTTGCTAATCAAGAACGAGAGTGCATCTTGAGCTATTCTTGAATATCATGTGGTGCTCTGCTATCTTGAATAGAAAACATTCCAGCTCTGGAAGCTGATTGCGAGGTTGACTTCTTGCATAGCAATAACGTCAGAGGAAGGAAGAGAGAGAGAGAGAGAAATGGTTAATGAAAGTTGGACTTGGTTTGTACAGTGACAGTGAAATCCCGTCCACTTGGCCGTGCTTCACCACCACGCCCCTTTTGGTGACGATCACAAAGGTGGAGGAGGCGGGACCGCAGAAACTTAAGATAGGGCCAGGCAGATGTACTATGATACTAGTGTAAAACAAGGGTCCCCCAGAAAAAAAAAATTTTAAATTAGAAGATAAGGTCCCTCTCAGACCTCCAGGAAAAACATGGGTCTTGGACTTGAAGTATTGAAGTATTTTAGGCCCACGTTTCCAGCACAAGTACGGATGCATCCTTATCCGAGACTGCGCTTCAAACTTTAGCCGACTACTTCTTTCCCAACTCATCGTGCCGTGCCGCCCGTGCAACATCTCATATCAACACCAAACGGACGGGCACCTGTCGGACGGAATCAAACCAGCAGGTGTGATAATGCGCGTCGTTGTGAGGCAGGAGTCGCAAGAGAAATGGGAGAGAAGCCCCCGTGTCCCTCCTCTTTCCATCATCCAATCAGTCTCCGGGACGTTTTGTTGTCGAGCCGAAGGGTGCCTCTCAGTCGGTGGTAGAACCAGAAGCTATTAACTGGAATCACGTTGGTCTCCGCCGATCTCTTTCAACATCCACTCGCAACTCTTTGCAATCTCGTTCCGTTCAGATTTCCGGCTCCAGAATGACCACAAAAAGAAAGAGCATCTTCGAAACCATCGACGACTTGATCTCACCTGATCCGGGACCTTCTTCGTCCTCTTCATCCGTCAGCTGCTCATCTGACAATCCAAAACTTACTGTGAGTACTTTTATAATTTTCAGAACTCTAAATGATTGATTTACAGTGTCAATTCTGCAAAAAGACATACCTAACGTTCTTTGGACTCAGACGACATCTACAGTTTCACAAGGAAGGGAAACTTCAACAGAGTTGCCCACATTGCAAAAAGATTTACAGGTGAGGTATTAGTCTTTTGAATTGTACTCTTGTTCGGTATAAGTATCAGTGAGAGCGCATGTCATCCTGGAAAGTAAAGAGATTATCTGATCTTCACAATATACAGTCTTGCTTCCGATCTCTTAACCTCCGGGATCCGGCTTCTCCCCTTGTAGCTCGGTTAGCTCCTACAGGTTCTCGCACGTACCCGATCGGAAGTAAGTCAGTTGTCGCCCGCTTTCTCGGCGGGTGGCGGCAGACAGGTGTCACAATCTGATATATAAATTGGGGGGGATCTCGAGAGGTGTGAGGTGCCGACACCTTGCCCTCCCAAGCATTAGTCGGTCGGGCGGGACCGGAAAGAGATGGATTGATTAGTTGCTTCCGACGCACCACCGGCATCCATGTCGTTGTGAAAATGATGACCTTGGCATCTATGATCGAGCTCTTTTCTGTAGCTTATGAACTCTACCTAAAACTCGCTTCCGATGGCAGGTTGCCGCGATGGAATCAAGTGGAGGCAGCTGACCGCCCTCGGGGGGAAAGAGAGAGAGAGTCGAATTACCCAATTTAACGAGAGATGCTCCGGGAGCACTGACGACACGGCAGCACTCGTACCTGTTGCTTGTTGATAGCGGATACGCAAACACACCTGTGTCATTCGGCGTAAGAAAAGAAGAAACGAGAAAAAGCAGGAGGCAGAGATTCCAGAAACTCATAAGCACGGAGGTAGTGGGGCACAAAGACTCGTGACGTTGGATTTGAGAGGGCTCGGAAGATTGATAGTTCAACTTGGAAATTTGATAACTTTCCCGGTTTCAGATCTCCGGGCGCCCTGAAAATGCACCTCAAGACCCATTCGCTACCATGTGTGTGCACGGACTGCGGAAAATCATTCTCAAGACCCTGGCTGCTCAAAGGACATCTCAGAACTCACACAGGTGATTGCGGAAGGATCATCAAACTCTTTTCAAGTTTATGTTCAGGTGAGAAGCCATTCGGATGCGAGTTCTGTGGCCGATGTTTTGCCGACCGTTCAAATTTGAGGGCCCATCTACAAACTCATTCTGGAGAGAAAAAGCACCGATGCTCCAGATGCGGACAGTCATTTGCACGGATTCAAGTGAGGCAACGACACGAACAATGCTGCCGGAACGATCTGAAATGCTTTGAGAATGAGGAAGTCGAGGAAAAGATGCCTATTGCAATAAAGCATTAAATCAATAAAGATTTATGAACAAAGTGAGAAACAAATAAATTAAACAGAGACCTAGTAGAGTCTGAACTGATCCAAATATGAATTACACTGTCGGATGGTGGAGTCGTCAAGTCGGTACGTGACTCCCGGATGGGTTCTCTTCCTTTCGATCGTCTTTTTACTCTTCTTTCCCGCCGTTTCTTCGATGATTGTCTTTTGACTGCAAAAATAGAAATAATTGAATTCAGTTTTCGGATGCTCTATTTCTACCTGATTTCAACATTTCCATTCGACGTCTTCAGGCAGAAATCATAGGGAAGAGACTCGAAAATGGCTCTGGTGTCAGTTGTGAACGTGGCAAGCGCCGAGATTGACGATTCGATGCGCCGGATTTGTTGGGAATTGTGGATGAGTGATGCGGAGAGGTGGAGAGATCCAGAAGTGCTGGAAAAGAAGAACAGCTACTACGAGACTTCGCCCCTTTACTTACTATGCTTCCGCCTTTGCATTAGATCTCTGATTCCACAGCGAAACTTCGGCGGAAGCGAGAACTCGGAGACTGAGTGCTCCGACCGAATTGATATCCACACTCAGACCGGAGAGAAGAGGCACGGACACTCGGGCGTCTCTGACCGGAACGTGTCCTTCGAACGTCTTGTGAGTCCGTCCGTCTGCGTCCCAGACAGTCGACAAAAGGTCGGTGCTTCCCTTGAAAATGTGTCTGGTTGGCAGTTTGTGGCCCATGATTCCGAGACGGACGGATCCTTCCGGAGATCCAGACGAAGACGACGGGGAGCCAGTGACGAATTGATCAAGGTTGTGAGTATCGATAGAGAGCTGAAAGAACGAATGAGTCAAATGAAAGGCGATGATCCCTACCGAGAACAGGTTCTCCTCGGCTTTTCCTCTCTTCAGAGACAGTTCAAAGTTTGATCTCTTGAACGATTTCAGCAAGAATTCAGCAGATGTCGTGGAAAAGAGTTGGAATCCGGAAGCATCTGCGATCTGCTGCCAATGAGCGTGCGAATCGGCTTCGAGTGCCCTGTGAAGGAAATTCGGACGGAACACTTTGAACTTTCTCATTCTCGTCCAGAACTCTGCTTTCAGCTCGTCTTTCTCTCCGCTCGCCTCGATCGCCTTGTACAGATAATGCCACTTCTCTTGATTATCCGGAGACAGAGACTCCGTTCGGAGGATGAGCGTGGCCACGTTCTGATGATCAGGAACACATTTCAGAAGAATGTCGATGGCGATTTGGGAGTCAGAGGTTGACGTTTCACGTGGACACGTGTTTCGGAACAAACGGATCAGTTTCTGGGTGAGCTGCGACTCGTACAAGTTCTTGTTCGCCGCAAGAATCACATTTAGGGCTGCCTTCTGAACTTTATCCGACTCTTCGCCACAAATATACTTTTTAGCGAGGGCGTATGAGCTTAAAGTGGTTTATGTAGCAAAAGAGGAAATATCTAGCTCACCTAAAGATAGGAATGTTTTCAAGGATCTCCAATACTCTTGCGTCGACGCCTGGAGCTGTCAAATCATTGATAAATTTGTTCACGATCTGAAACGAAACAGAAATGGTTTCGATAACTATGAAAAACAGCTCACAAGTTCTTTTCCTTTATTGCAAGAGTTCGAACTGCTTGTCGTCGCCTCACATCTCTTGTTGAGTACGGTAGCAATTGTGTTGGCCAACTTCCAGTAGTCAGAAGTCTCGCGGTTCAGAGAGTTCAACCAGTACTGACAAATATAAAAAATGTTGATGTGAAAAATGAACAGCACAAACCATCAACTGCTTGTGCCACTTTTCGTTGTTCGATGAAGATTGAGCGATTCCAAAAAGAAGATCGTCGAGATGATCGGGAGAATCCACAAGAAGAACTTCGCGAGCAACAGCCACAGATTCCGCTGAGCCTACGCTGCCGAGAGCACTTGCGATAACGGATCTGTACAAGTTGTGTTCTCAGAAGTACTTTTCGGTGAGGTACTCACAATACATGGTCGTTCTCCGGATAGCGAATGACTGCTTCCCAATCCTCTCTTTTAGCCAATCTCGCTTCCTGCACAATTTGTCCGTAGAGAAGGGAATGCTTCTCGCAAATGTGCGAGTCGCCCATCTCGTTCAGGTGACGACGGTAGGTTCCGATCAACTTCGTCAGCTAGAAATCCATAGAATGGGGAAAAAGGAAATTGGAACTTCTACGCGTACCTTGTTTGTCTGCTTACTTCCGATTTGCACGTCTTCGTACAGTTTTCCTCCAACTTTGACGGCCCCAAACGCTTGTTCGGCGCACTTTCCGGCTGGAACTGTTTCCTCACAGTAGTGGGTCACGAATACACGGGTGCGGTTGGTGATTTCGACGTGGGTTCTGAATTGAATCGGTTTTGAATGCACTTGGAAGTCGATGCCTCACCTTGACTCCACCTGGAAGCCGTGCTTCTCGTGAAGCGGGCTTTTGAAAGCTAGCAGTTCGACGGCATCTATCATTATGATATCAGCGTCGACTTTTGTGTTTTGTCTGCATGAGAATTCTGAGTTTTGACTTTTCAATTGGGAAATCCTTACGTGTACCACACATCCTGCTCATACTGCACAGCCTCGACTCCTTCGAATCTCGTATAGTTGACTCCGCGACCGAACTCGCACTTGTCAATTATTCTCCGGAATCTCTTGTCTTCCGGTCTTCCAAAGTTCACTCGGCATCTTCCGTAAAGAGTGTCCACTCGCTGAACGTCTCCTTCTCCGTACTCTGCCGGAGTGTAAATGGTATTGACGATGGCGTACAGAAAGTTCCACGTGGCATCGTCGTCGGCTCCTCTCAGCACTTGATCCACGTTGTTTCCTCCTTGACGGAACGCAATGTAAATTGGAGACGGGTTTCCGCAGTTATCCGTTTTGCATTGAGTCAACTAAAGAGGATAAACTTTTAACGCATCGTCATTGAGAAAACTCACAGTGAATCTTCCGAGCATTCCACCTTCAATGTCATGATGAAGTGTCTCGAAGCTGAAGTTTCCAGCAATAACAGTTGACGGATCGGCCTCCTTGTTTCCCAAATCGTCGTAGATCATGGATTCAGTTCGGAACCAGTAGTCCACTTTCAGCAGTCTCACCGTGTTCTCGTCCATAACCGGAGCATTCTTGTAGTAGTCCGGCCCGTGCTTCTTCAAGTTTTTCTTGATTTCATCGAGATCCGGAATCGCAAGGCATGCTGAAAATTTATTTCCATTCAGATCGGAGAGTCAAAACAGGCAAACGAACCGATTAAAAGAGTGGCTAACAGAGGCCACTGCCGGAGAAACATATCCGGTTTCAGAACAACTTGGGTGCTTGTGCTGCAGTTCCTCTGGCCTATTTGGTTGAAAGAGAAGGAGGTGGAGACAAGTGACAAACTGATAACGGACGGAGCGGGTTATGGGTTTGAGGGGGTGATAAGGGAAAGAGTCGGTCAGTAGTACACGTTTCATTACGAGCACTTGCCAGTGGAATAATAAGGTGACGATCGGATGACGAGGGACGGATCTGATGCTTTGCACTGAAAATATCTTCATGGTTCCAGTCAGAGATCCGCGTTCCCCACAAGGTTCCAGTTTTTGCCGCAAACTGAAAATCACGGTGATTTCTCTTTGGGGTCTCGCGGAGGTTTCTAGTCTCTCTGATCCCGCGGCCATCGCGTTCTACTAGGCCAAAACAGGTTTTTCAGATTTTTCTCAAAACCTGGACCGTACAAAAAAAGTTGGTCCCGACCGGTTTACTTTTGGTAACAAAACATGGCCGAACGGGAGCAGGTCGTCCACGAAGGCTCAGATGCAGCGTTCCAGGGACTTTAGATGCGCGCCGCCGGAGAAATGCTGATTCATCTTATTCATTGTCATAGTGAATGCATTCATTATTATCAAAACTAACAAAGAGCAACAAGAATGTCTATAGGTCACTGGGAAAATAGCTTTTTTCGAAAAATAGCTGCTCGTGCGTGATTTTTGTGTCTCTTTGTTAGTTTACATCACAATGAACTCATTTCCAAAAAATCAAGTGAAATGAAAAATGTTCCCTCTGAAAGTGTAGTGTGCGCCTTGGCCATTTCGATGGAATTGGAATCGAGGCGTCGTTGGGTTTCGAATTACACCGGAAACACGTATCTCGTCAGTCTGCCACACACACACACACGCACCTAATCACTTTCTTCTTTCAACATTTTACACTCTTTCCACGGCTTTCACTTAACTGTTTTTTTTTTGCATTTGAGGTTGCGGCTGATTGTGTTTCAATTTATCATGGTTGAATGAGCTTGGGACCTCAAGCTTCGGCCGTCACTCTTCACTTCCCTCATCAATCATTCACGGACGCAGATTGATGAAACGCACGAACCCAATTCCATCGACACAACCTATTTGACATCCTTTTGAAGCAGATGCGTGCGTCTCTGACCGCTTGTTCCAGCAGCTGTTGATAGTGCTGATTCGGTCCCTGTCCCCGAGGGCTACCTGCTCCCGAATGCCCTTTCTCTCCCTCAGCCTTCTCTCCCAATTATCAAGATAAGAGATAGAAGGTCCGAGTGGAAAAGGAGGAAAGCGATTCATTTCGATTGCCTTGACTCATCGCCCATCCATCATCGACGAGAGAGAACGCAGAGTGGCGAGACGGAGATGAAGCATGAAGCGACAGTTGTTCGAGTACGTTCGCACCCTCTCATTCGACCCGTTTCGCCTCTCTTCTAGACCCCCGCCGGATGCTGACCAATTGGCTAAGCGGTTCTTCACCGAGGGTCTTACCCAATGTTTATGTGAAAGTTTACATGATTTTTTTCGCAAGTTTTTCGCTCGGAACATTTGGAGGAGTCGCCTTCCGTTCCACCCTCTCCGCTTATGTTTACTTTCGGAATTAGAATTAGCCAAAGAAGACACCTATCGCTGTTCGCCTTTCCATTCCTTTCCATTCCAATCCTCCCATTCTCTTTTCCTTCCATTTTTCCCCTGAATGCTCTGGTCAGTATATCAACCAGTCGGTGAATCGAAAAGAAACGGACGCATCTGCTCGTCAAGAAGCTCTCCTCCTTAGCCCTGTTTTATGGCTCCTCAGGAGAGAAGAAGCGGCTTTCGGAAAGGTTGACACCTCGTAAATCGGGCTGCGCCGCCTGAGGAATCCTTGGATTTATATGTGAGAGGCAGATGGTGAATGGTCGCGGAATGTTAAAAAAGATTTCATGCTCATCGTGACTAACTAAATGACTCATTTTTCAACCTATTGTTCCGAACCATTACACCTTTCGTTTTTGTTTTTTTCTACTCGTTGAATGGCGATTCGGTGCGTACTTCTCCTCTCGCAATCACTGGTTGCGAGCGGTCATCTGGCATGCCACTCCACTTTTATTGCCTCTCCATTCCTCTTCTTCCTCCCGTTGTCACCGGCCCTCACGCAGGTCATTTTGTCTCACCGGATGTTGTTCCTCCAATATCGATTCATCTCCACGACGGAGCATTCCCTATCACCTCCCTTTCTCTTTCTCTCTCTCTACATACTAGTACAGGATCTAAACCTGTTCCCATCGCATACTTGTCACATTAACTTGAAACTGAAAAAAGTCCGGATACTGCCCGCGTCTGCCTGCAATCCTCTTCTTGTCACAAACCATTTCGAAACCGACCAAAAACCAAAAACAAGGCTATTAGAGAGACTGCCGAAAGCGAACAAAGACAAGTAATTGTCGGTAAATCCTTCTTCCTTCCTCTCCGAGAGAGGTCTTCTTGTACCCTTCCTGTCCGGACATGTCCCAATTATGTCGACATCTCTTTCGCTCCGTTATTTTCCTGCTCTCTTTTTGTATTATTATGTTTTTGAATAGACATTCTTACGAAAGAGCTGATGCAGTTTTTAGTTTCTTTTATTTCAGTTTTGCGTAAAACTAAATGCTCAGTACGTAAGAAGGTTACTGTTGCGTAGTAAAGAACAAATTTACGAGCATGTAACACATATGTGTATGCTGCATGTTTCACAAAATTTTCAACTTTTTAGAATTTGCATTAAAAACTGTGGAAAAATGAATATTCAAAGGAAAACGAATTGGATAAGATCGTATACCCGGTCTCCGAATGTTTATACTTTCCCTTTTCATATCCTTCCAATCATTCGATTTCCTTCTGAACAGATGATACAATTCGTGTGAACGGATATTCTTTCTCGCCCTTTCCCCGATCTTCTTTTCGTTTTGAATATGATAAGTGGGTAAGGTGTCGAGATAGCGTGTATTTGTGAGAGACGCAGTCAAGGCGCGTGGTCGAGATGATTCATGTTTGCCCAGAGATTCTTCCCCTCACTAGTTGGGTATTATTCTGTTTGTGGCGGTATCTTCTTCACCGTCGTTTATGTTATCTTTCTCCGTCTGCGTCTCTTCGTGCTCCCCACTCTCTCGCCCTCGTTGTAACCTTTTGTTGAAGTTTGTCTCCATCAAGCTGTCTCCTAGAAGTTTCATTCATTAGCTAATGTAACTTTTCTCTTTCTTTCTCTTTCTTCAAAGTGTACAAGATATTCGCCTCCTTCCAATTTGATTGATGGTCTTCCCATTCTCTTCCTCTTTTTTCTCCTTTTCCGACCCTTTCTCTACTCCCTCCCGCACTTTTATTGTCCCAAAATTTGTTGAAATTTCAAATGAAATGAGAGAGGATCCGCCGCTTCAGAAATAAATGAATTTTTATCGCTTCGATGAACATGACCAAACTTTCGCCTCTACTTCTCCGTCTCTCTTTTTCTGCTAATCTCTCGTAGAAGGGCGCGGTGCCTCACGAAAACTTTTGAAATCCGTCTCTATTTTCTTTCTCCCCACGCAAATTTCTCCAAATTCTCTTTCTAAATTTTCTGAAAACAATAAAAGCTCTTCTTCTGACCTCAGACCGTCCCAGCCTCGTTCTTTCCTAGTTTTCTTTCATAAACAATAAAATTCCACTGAAAGTGCCATTTTTTCCATTGCTTTCCGTTGTCTTCGGTGGTTGTGTGACGTCATCCATGAATTGCTGTAATTCCAGACGGAAACGAAGGCCAAACTTGAGGAGAGGCGGAGAAATTTCGAAAAACATGCGGGAAGAGCCGTCGGCGAACGCCGACTCCACACTCAACAAACTGTTGCAGGCCGCGGATCTGACAGGGTAACGAATGAAAACATTGACTCACAAAAACCAAAAACCATCACATTTCACCTGTTTTAGACTGCCTAATATAAAAACAATTCTAGATGTCAACATCTGATTCACGCCTAACGTCGTCTTATTTTCAGTTATGAGCCTGACTTGCGTCGAAAGCTGAAACTTCGAAACGCGGCCGATTTGCAGTATGTTGAAGAAGTGGATCTCTCTTCAATTGGTGATTAATTTGTTCAATTCCACTAGGAGTAGATATAAAAACAAAAAAACCTTCCAATATTTGTTCAGCGATTCGAAATAGTTCACATGTTTACCTTGCCACCCGATTTCCAACAATTTCATGTTTTTCCCAGAAAAATCTGGCTTTTTGTTGCAGCTTCTGTACTAATAATAATTTTTCATTGAAACAATTACAGGAATGAGCCGCCCGGAGCAGAAGCGTCTTCGGAAAGAGTACGCCAGAATGTACCCGAGTGGTCTGTTCGGAAAAGTCAAAAAAGCGTTCAAACGAGGCGAAAGTCTGGACCGAAAGAATTCGAACTCGACAGACAACCGAGATGACGAAGATCACCACGTGATTCCTATTGATAAGTGAGTTTCTGAAAAGCATAATTATCAAACGAAAAATTTATTCAGAATAACTCTTTGCAAAGAATTGGGTCAGGGAGAGTTCGGATCAGTGTGGCAGGCTGCGTGGAAGAATTCTTCTGGGGGTGAGGTTACGCAGGTTAGTCATAAATGTTCCAAGATCTAAAAAAAACACCGTAAAACTTTTGCAGGTGGCAGTGAAGTGCGTTGGCTCCGACAAACTGCTCGCCACGTCATCTTCCTTCCTTCAAGAAGCAGCGATCATGACGAGAATGCGTCATGAGCACGTCGTGCGACTGTTCGGAGTCGTTCTCGACACAAAGAAGATCATGCTCGTTTCGGAGCTCGCCACGTGCGGATCCTTGCTCGAATGCCTTCACAAACCGGCTCTCCGGGACAGCTTCCCAGTTCATGTTCTATGTGATTACGCCGAGCAAATTGCCATGGTAAAAATCACAAAACTCCCTTATCATTTCGATAAAACCATTCCAGGGAATGTCGTATCTCGAATCCCAACGTCTTATTCATCGTGATCTGGCCGCCCGGAATGTGCTAGTTTTCAGTCCGAAACTAGTCAAAATATCCGATTTCGGACTCTCTCGGAGTCTCGGAGTTGGCGAAGATTATTATCGCAGTGAGTTCACGCCGAACCTGAAACTGCCAATTGCCTGGTGTGCTCCCGAATGCATCAATTTCCTCAAATTCACTTCAAAATCGGACGTTTGGGCGTTCGGAGTAACAATCTGGGAGATGTTTTCGTACGGAGAAATGCCGTGGAAGGGACGCAGCGGAGCACAGATTCTGGAGCTTGTCGATCGAAAGTGAGTGATTCACTGACTAATAGTGAAGGCTATGATTAGTTTGAATTAAAAGTTTTCTTCTTTCAGAAAAGAGTTATTGCCCCGACCTGTCGCCTGTCCGGAAGACATGTACGATATGCTCAAAGAAACGTGGACCCATCAAGTTCAGGACCGTCCCACGTTCTCCGACATCGTCGCCCAGTTCCCAGAACGACGCGCTCAATCCGTTCGAGCTGTCGTCGATTGCCGAGATTCCGCCGAAGATCATCTGCGCTTCAAAAAGGACGATCTTATTGTCGTTATCAGCCGATCGTGAGTTTTCAAATATTCTGTTGATTATCCATCAATCTCTGCCCAGGCCTCAACAATATCCGGACGGCTACTACTGGTTCGGCTCCCTTAGAAACGGAAAACTTGGACTTTTTCGTCCTACAGACACAGTTGCACACCTCGGATCGGAACCGCCCTGTTCGAACGGAAGTCTTGAGAATGGATTCAACGGAGAGAAGTCGGAGAAGAGCAAGAAAAGCAAGAAAGTGGATAAGGAAGGCGAACGGGAGAAGAAGAAGCTGATGATTAGTGAGCCCGTCGGAGAAGTGCGACATACTTGCCACGTGGGCATCGATGGAACTACCTTCGGACTTCTGCATCTGGACAAAAAGGCGATGGGCCCGACGTCGTCTTCCCCTTCCACTTCTAGAGGATCGACAGCCACTTCTCAAGCGTCTCCCGCACCGTCCCATGTGAGTTCTGATATGCATCCCGAAATCATTGCGATTACTTTCAGACATCCTCTTCCACCACTTCATCCGTGCAACTAAGAGAAAACGTGGCGAGACACGGGGTGAATCTGAAGGAGACGATGTCGCTCCGAGACGTCGGTCCGTTGAGTCGAGAAGCCATCAACCTCCGGGAGACAGTCTCTCCTCCGATCTCCCGTGCTCCATCGCAACCGCCTTCCTACTCCCAGCCCCGTCCGCCGCCGCGAAGCATCTCGACCCTTCCGCACCCCGCCACCAACCTTTCTTCGGATCAGTTCGCTTCTCTTGATCGAATACGCGGATCCGTCACTCCGACAGCACCTCCTCTCACAGCTTCGGCGGCTAGTTCTCTCAAAAATCCGATCAATGGAATTTCGCTTTCGATTCCTCCAGCAACTTCGACAGCGCTGACTTATATGGATGACCAGGAGGACGACGAGCGAGGAGCGACTTCGCCGAAGTCTCCCGGCAGTTGTGTCTCAGCGTCCACCACGATGACCGCCCTCTCGGCCAGACACCAACCGGTTCCCGCGCCAAGAGGCCCTGTTGCAGCGGTCTACGCGAGAGGGTTCGTTTTGAAAAAATACAGAAAATCATTGTAAATTCAAACATTCCAGAAAAGACATTCCAACACCTGCTTCGAAAGCCGACGTGGCTCTCTGTGAAGAAATCGAACATCTGAATCGTGATCTGACAAATTATTCAATCGGAACCATCTGTGACTACTCGGAGGACCGTCCGCTGCTCGATTCCTTCAACCGACGAGACGGCAGTCATCCGTCCACCTCTGCCTTCATTCAACCACCACCGGAAGCTCGCCTCAGATACATGACTGAAGAAGAAGCGAGAAAAATGAGCGAGAAGTCGATTCGCGAGCATCGGAAGACCGAAGATCTGTTGAGAGAAGAGAGACAGAGAGAGAGGAAAGGTGCAGGAGATGCTCCAGATGAGGAGGAACCGACGGAAAGTCTATTCTCTGCAAGTCAACGGCAGCAAGAGGGATGGACGTCGGCTGCGCAGGAAGCGTACAAACTTCTCGTCGAATGCGGAACCAATCTGAAGCAGGCCTCCGTCTCTCCACCTCCTTCGAAAGCGATGTCTCCCGTCGGCTTCAGACTTGCCACGCTCGACAGACCGACTTCCGCAGCGACGGATCGATCGAGTGTGTCTCCGGCTCCACCTCGACCAGTCACTCCACCAATTTCCGCCCGTACTGATACCATTTCGATGAGAAAAACGTTAGCTTCTGAAGACGATGTCGAGCAGGTAACGGTTGAGGAGAACTCGCCAAAGAGAGTGCATATTATCGAGACGAAACTCATTGACGGACCTGCAAGAGGAATGAGTCCTGTTCAGGTGAGAAAACTGATTTTAACTTGTTTTCTAATTGAGCTTGAATTATAGGACCGTCACGTTCCTGCCTTCACCACGCCCATGTCCAGCACATTCCGCAAAGCTCCTGCTCCTACTCCGAACGGAAACCACCTTTCCGACCAGAAACCTCCGCCCTGCCGGCCTCCGAAAACTCGCCAATTCCCGCTTGTCATTGATGAACGCAATCTCGCTTATGACAATCTGAATGGATTCGGAGCTGGAGCACGTGTAGCCCCTCCGGTTCCACCTAAACCCAAAGTCAGGTACGGCTCGCAGAACATTTCGTGATTCTACAAAGTGCAGAACAATTTTCAGTTTTGCCGATGATCGAATTGCCACGTCGCCGACCAAGGAGCTTGTTAACTAGGGATCACACATCCATCATCTTGTTTTGTTGTATTTAAGATAGCCGCTCGTTTTTTTCCCGCTCAATGTTTGATCTACCGGTGTGAATACCGTTCTTTGTCCTGTCCTCTTCAACTTTTTCTTGTCCGTTTCGCCCCATTTCCCCCTTCGTGTATCTTGGTTATTATCATCGAATTCCCCCCTTGCTCGCATAATCCCTTCCGGGATCACCGCATTTTCTCCTGTCAGTATTGTTCTATTCGCATAATTATTCCCCACTTGAACTGACCCTCCTTCGTGTCGAATTCATTGCTCAACGAATCACAAGTGGACACGTTTATTCGAGATTTTATAGGTTACCTTTTTTGAGTTCTAGTCATCGCCACAATAAAAAATTTAAAGAGTCACGGAAGGTCCCTGCCCGTTTTGATTCGCCCCGCTATTTCTGTCAAGTTTGTGTTTGCTACGCGATTTGATTGTGTCTCGAAACGCGATCCACTCATCAAATGTACTGTATCGGATCCGCCCCTCCCCAGTAGTTGCAATGTGTGCGCAGTGTGTGTATTGATAGAGATAAGAAGCAGAGAGAGTGAGGCAGAACATATGTAAACAGAAAACGCACTCAACCTCATTCAATCTTAACACTTGTACGGTAGGTGTCGACGACGGCCGCGCGGCGAGCAGTTGACATAGCCTAGTTTGCACAAAACATGATGGAGTCGCCCGTTTCTTGTCAGGTTGTATGCACAGAGACACACGAATACAATACAATTCACGGAGGCCGCCGCTCTTCTCGCGAACAGTGTTAACTCGCCCCAAAGAAGACACTCATTCGTGTAATCGATGCGCGCAGCAGCAGAGATTAAGAGTGGGCGGAGCCACCGGATTACTGTAGCCGCGAACGGAACTTGATCTTACGGTCTTCGGAGCAACCGAAAGATTCAGAATCATTTCAGAATTTCAGAATATCCACCTGGAATATAAACCTCCAACCTAAGACTTTTCAGATCCTTTTGGACCTCTTCGTGCAACCTCCAATTACTTTTCCCAGCAGGAGGCCTTCCGCTCCATTGTTCCACCGTATCATTTGTTTATCCGGGTGGTCCCCCACGGGCGGACCCCTATTTTGTCAAGTTGGCACCCTTGGTGGTGTCACTTCGAATCACTCGGCTCATTTGAGCATTGCCTCGTTTTCACACCATTAACTTCCACTTTTCGGGTAATCTGTCGGTGTGAATGAGTCAATTTTGAGTGAGAAAAGCCAACCGAAATGGGGAAGAAAACGATTTGGGAAACGTCTTTTTGAGCTTGATGCACTTGGAAGTACACGGACTGGGAATGGGAACGGACGGGAGAAACGGGTGAGAGGTAAGAGCTGGAAAGGCGATGGGAACTTTCGGATGGAAGTTGTAATCACAAAGTTTTCAGCGTAGTTGGAAAAATCATGCCAGACCAAAAGGAAGATTAGGAAAATGCTATTAAAATTATCCAGAATACTCAAACTTTTTGTCAAAATTGAAGATTTATATTTAAAAATTGGGCGTTTCTTGAATATTCTCATTATGGAAGCAAAGAATCGCTGTTTTCCGAATATCATTAGAAAATATGTACGCCCTGGAAAGTTGCAACTATGGTTTTCGGGTCTTCGTCTTCTCCATCTCCTCCCGATCCCTCGATTTGATCCCTTCCGAAATCCAGGTGACCGTCTGTTCTTGTTCCATTCAATTCGAAGCTTTGTCCTCCCGTTTTCCGCCCCGCCGGTGTACCTACTCGTAATTTATTTGCACTGGCAATCTGCCAGATTGTTGTCATCACCATCCAGTCAGTCAGTGCATTCACTCCGAAATCATATCGAATATCGTACAACACATGTCAAACATCGGTCCTTCTCTTTCCGCCAACACCTGGCAGATCACTGTGTGTGTGTACCTAATTGAGAGCTCCCTCCTGTTCCGTCTCTGCGTCTCCTCGTTCCCAATTGTCCCTCACCAGTTGTTGTGGTTACCGAAGGGGTTCTGACCGGTGGTGTCCTTCCGGCATTAACCCCCAATGTTGATAGGTCGCATTTGAAAGTGTGAACGACCAAACCAAAAGGACACTGGAGACTAACGGCTGATATTTCCTCGAGGAAGCATGCAGGCGCAACGGCCGGCAGGTGTTTGAATCGGATCGGAAAAAGTTGGGGGAAAGAACAAGTTGGGCGACGGAGTGATATGACACATCAAGGTCGGCTTTGTTCGCATTCGAATACGGGAAACGTTAATCCGCAGAGAGCACGTGGACAACTTATTCCGTTCTGGATACGCGAACCGATTCGAGAAATGAGATAAAAAACGGATAACCTTTCTTTTTCTTATCATTTTCTGATAACGCACAGATTGTTGAGTGCTGAGCAACAACAGATAGCCTCTACGAATATTGTGAGTTCATTTATTCGACTCCCAAACTCAGACCCCTTGCTCCGTCCGTTTTGATGTTTTTCGTTCACATGCCAACTCGATTCGTCCTCGTTTTTCTGCTGCATCGCCATGGTAATCGGCGTGTTGTATAGTCGATAAATCGTGGCTTTTTTTCCTTTCGTTTCGCCCACTTCCGATTCGATTTCAAGTGGTGAAATCGGTAGTTTTCTTCCGGTGTACACACGAATCATTTTCGCCTCCGAAATCGTCCGTTTCCTCCTCGAAAGGCTGGCTCTCTTTCTCAGTTTAATCGACCGACAGACAGAGTGGGCGGAGCCTATCACCAGTGATAACGCGCTGATTGGCCGCGAGTTCCCCCTCGCGTTTATCGATGAAACAAAGAGAAGTTTGTATAGATTCGCCTAACTATAAACATTGCAATCGAGTAGGATTAGAGATCAGAAATAATCAAACTGGGAGCACCTAATCCTCGGTCCGGTATAAACTTGCTCCAGTGTTTATATTCTTTCCCGTCCCGGCTCCTCGAATCTTTTCGCTGCGAGGCAAGACAAAGTAATGTATATTTTCGTGATAGGACTCCTTCCCCCGGTCTCCCTCCGGCCGGCCGCCAATGAATAATTAGTGTGCTGACTGCAATTACCTTTTGCCCCGCGTTTTTGACAAACACAATTGATAGAGAATAGAATTGGGAGGCAACGAGAACCGAGAAAGAAAGCAACGCCGATTAATATTTGATGAACTTGTGAGCCAGTGGTAAACGGACGGCAATCGGACGCTGATTTCAATGGAGAAGGAAGTGCTGGTTGTTGGGATGCTCTGATGTTTGGGACAGTTGAAAACGGATCCTCCGTGGAGTGCTTGACACCATCTCGACGGCCCCCATTGACTTGTTCTAATGGCCATTAGGGTGCTGCTCAACAACAGGATCGTACTTGGCAGAAGTCTCCTTTCGAAAGGAAAGAATGAGAAAACTTGAATGTCTAACTTTGATCAAAGTCGGTTTTTTATCTGTCTGTTCGCGTGTCTCCGTCCGTCCATCAAATCCCCTCGGTCCCAATCGAATCATCATCGCCCGCTGTGCGAGTGTGTCGCAGTGTTAGTGAATGAATAGTCGTCAGCATCGGAGAGAGAGAGGCGGATCGGCCGATCAAATTTAGCCGATTATCGTTTATCTGTGCCCCGCTACCTGGCGGTTGTCCGGAGGGAGGCGCCTTTGTCACTCCGCTACAAACATGTCTTTTCCCTCTTTGTCAGACCTCCTCCTCCGATTCCTACTTGTCTGTTTTCATTCTTTGCTTCCTCTTCACTACTCTACAATCAATCAATCGCGATTGATTCAATTGACGACTCGATTTCATTCTCAGTTCATACAGTACTCCCTCCTCGCCGTGTCCGCACTAACAACGTTCTCTTAACAAAACCATAACCGATTCGTTCTTTCTTTCTCTCTTCATAAAAAAGTTTCAAGGTGGTTCACTTTTCTTTTCGAATCACTATGTGTGTGTGTGTGTGTCAAGACGAAAGGAGAAGACACAGGTGGCCGCCCGGATTTATGAGGCGTTGTCTCCGTCCGCTTTCAGAGGGTGCCGACTGATCACCACCGGTGTCCTCTTGTCACAATCTTTTCGCAACTTCTTCTTTGCAAACACTGCTTCAAGCGGATTCTGGACAAGCTACACTACTCGGAAGTCTTAGAAAAGCTCTATTGAGGAGTTGAACGAAGACAATTACTAACTAGATTTTAAGAAAGTATAATAGCCGTGACAAGCCAAGGTCCAATGCTCTAAAACCAGTCTATGGATGACTTTTGATCCCAAAATTGATTCCCTTTTCACTCTTTCTCTCTGATTTCGGTCATACATTTGTAACAATCACGTTTTGTTTGAGGATCGGTTGAACAAATGTAACTGACAAATTGTCCGTCCCTCCATATCGAGGTTATCGCGCAACTTTGCGAGGGCAATTAAAATTTTCCCTCTGATTTCGAAATTTGTTTCCCTCCCTCTGTTTCCCTCTTCTTTTAAACTCGCTATTCTCGTCTCCAGCACCTAACTAATCTGTTCAAACAAACACTTTATGACGTGGCAATTGCTCGGGTCCCCATCCGAATGTCATTTCGTTTCTTTCCGTCCGTCCCGAGCTGAATGAACCCATTCCAACCGGCGATTGGCAGGGTGGAGTGAGTGTAATTACATGTGTGATATGCATGCCACATGTGGCGACTCCCCGGCCTGACCTCCTCTTTTCTCTCGGACCCTACCATCTGGTGATTAGCCCCCTCATGTAGGAGACCTCCTGCTCAGTGCTCGCTGCTTTCCTTTCTCTTCCCTCTCTTTCGCTCCCTCTCGCTCTTTTCCTATCTGCTTATCGTATGTGTGCAGCTGGTGACTGACTACCACCATCATTTCCTCTCCGCTCCATATCCCCTCCCCATCATCCTCATCATCATCATCACCAGCCATACATACACGACTCTCAGTTTCAATTTTTGTTATTTACATCAGGAACCGTCCATCAACCCGAAATATACTCTCCCTCTTTCTCTCCTTCTCCGTTCTCAATTTTCCAGTTTTGTTGATAAATTGTGTCCCTGATCTGCCCGCTCCTTCTATTGGCTGCTGTTCAGAGGGTCTCTGGTCATGTGCCACATGTTGTGATTGTCTCGAAGAAAAGTTGAAAATTCGCCGCTGATACTCTCATTTTGTTTGCTTCGTCATTCTGTTTAGATGAAAATTGTGCAGAAATTTGAGAAGAGATACCACTTATCAACGTGTGTCAAGTTTGTTTATTTTCGCAAAGTTTTATCTAAACGCTCCAGAAGTCGCCAACTCGCCCTCTTTTCCCCTCCTCGTGATAATCCGCCCCGTGTTCCGTTCTCCTTATTCGTCGAGATTAGTCGAATCTTCTTCTGACGAGATATGAACCGAAATCTTGTGTCATTTTTCAAGTACCTCCTTGAAAATCTAATTAGGATTCCCCCCTCCCCCACTTCCCTCGCCGTCCGCTTCGTTTCTCTATCACAAGGATGTTGCGATTTGTGCCTTTCTTGATGGACCCCTTTTTGAAAAAGGGGGCGGAGCTCCGAGGGTGGGCGCCCACATGTCGCGCGTCCTTTCGTTTCGTTTCACACACCATTTGTGCATTCGCCATCAGCCCCTCCATGCCGGACCAACCTCTTCGCAAAGTGCTTTGATGACTGTGAGTGTGTCCTCCCCCGCTCTTTTCTGATCAATCCACCATTGTGTTCGTCTGTTGTGACGTCACATCACAAAGAACCGCCTAATTATAGACTCTCTCGCTCTCCCTCTTCTCCTGTTGTTCCATGTTATCAGATTTCGAGTTAGTTATGGTTGGAGTAGATTATAGTTGTTGCCAACTTCTTTTCCTTTCTACCCTTCTACTTTCAAAACCGTCCCCCCTATCGCTCGTTTCTCCACACTTTTGCATATCTGTCGGTGGGCCAACTTGTCACGGCCTCCACCACCTCCTAATCTCCTCCTATCCGCCGTCTGAATGCCTTCTGTCCTGTTTCCTGACAAGCGTCGCGTCGCCACCAATTTCCATGTCAGGGCAGCAGCAGCAACTATTATCGGATTGTGCGATCGATCCTTCCTCGGAGGTTCTTCTGACCTCTATCCGCTGCTAATTGCCACCTAATTGGTGGCCAAGAAGTGTGCTGGTTGTCACAAAGTTTTGGCAATCTCTCTGGATTATGCGATGACGTGAAGTGTGATGACGAAGTGATGAGTCGCAGATATTTCAGTATAAAGCTTTCGGGATGGAAAGATTTGATAAGGTAGTGTGCTCTGGCTAAGAAATCATTCGAATGTTCGAGCTGACCTCTTGTTGCCAGTAATATCTCATTGTGTGACCCATTGATTACATGAGAGCCCCCGTCCGTCCGTGTCCCAGAGACAAAGGGCTCCTACCTAAGTGATGAGTGCGTCCTCCCCCTCCCTCTTTCGTTGCCTTCCCGTTGTCAGTCATGGTCGGCGCATCTCCTGCTGTGCCATCATCTCCCTTCTTTTAACTCCCCTGCCATTATTTTCTGTCGACAATCACTCTTTTTCTGTTTTCGTCTCCGAATTATCATAATTGCCATCATCAATTTCCGCCACTCTCTCCCACACATCTTGTTTTCACTTTCATGCGTCACACCAGAAAGTCAAAGTTCTCAATCGTCGGGAGCCCTACGGAAGGTGATAGAGTCAAATATTTGCCCGAGGGATGTACGTACTTTTAATCTCTCGAGAACCCAATTGTATCTACACGACCATTTGACACCTGTGCTGACTGCTCCCCCCGCCCCCGCTCATGCCACTCTCTTCCTACCGTACACGCAATCATCTAGAGCACAATTACACGTGATTTAATCCCTGTCCTATTGATAGTGATGATGTAACCATCATTAAGGTGTTAGACTGGGACGAGATGGTGACATCTTTGGCACCTGTCCAAATGAGTCCCTCTCCTTTCAATTTGAATTTTTTTAGTTGAGACAGGCTGATTGGGGCGAGCGGATTAGAGATGGATCAGAACCGATTTGAATGAGTTATTAGCTCGCGAAAGTGACACCTGCCTTCTCGAAGAGCCTTTCCTCGCCATCACACTCCCTTCTTTGCACTTATCACACTCCGCCAATTGTCCCTCTTTTTCCCGCATTCATCAAAATGATACCCTGCTGCCCTTGAAAGTCCACTTCTCAAAATTCGCTCCTTCCCGTTTTCTCCGCCTCCTCCGAATGTTGCTTCTTTTTGCGGGGCATCACGCTCTCAGTGTCCGTCATCATCATCATCTTCCACCGTCCCTCGTCCGTGATTATTAAACAACCCACTTGAAAACACTCTTTCTCTGTGTCCGTCCCGTCCCTCCTATAACCTCATTGCAAATGGAAGCGAAGAAGAAGAAGAAGAAGAAGAAAGACACCAGAAAAGGAAGAATCCTTGTGTGGTATGTTTGTGAATACTACGGTGGTCGAGGTGATGGTCATCATACGGTGTGTACACACACTGACAGACAGTATGTACTTGTCATGAAACTGAGAATCGCACTGACAATGTTTCATTTTACACATCCGTTATGTTCTATCCACTTTAACGAACTACAACAATGAGAATTGAGAACAGAAATCTTTTGGGAACGGTCTTAGCAGAGGTGGATCTTCAGTTTATCTCCATCTTCGGTCCCTTCCTTCGTCACAATTTGACTGTGAAATTCAAACAGACCCGGGCGCCGACCGAAGGACCCTCACTTATGTAGCAGATCGGGAAGGTCGTTCCCCAATCACATCAAAGGACTTTTGTTTTTGGAAAGTCCAATGTCTCGGACAGCCATTAGAAAGTTTGAATATTGTCCTCAAGCGCCGCCTACTCGTTCAGTTCTCCCAGCAGCCTTCTCAGACCTTGAGCCGGAACCGAAAGATTTTCTTCTCGGGCGGATCAACATTTTATCTATCCACCCTCCTCCTCCTTTCCATTCTATTCACAAAGACATGGACGAAAGACGAAAAGAGACACATCTGGCATCCATCCAATCAACGTTTTTAACACCACCGTCCCTCGTTTCCCTCGCTTCCTTCTGATGATACTCGGCCCTCCTTGCCTCTCCTCTTTTCTTCTCTGCGCCCCCCTCTATCAGCACACTCTTTTCGGTTTCCCTCCAGGCCTCGGTGGGGACCGCTCGATAACCTTGAATTCCCCCTCTACCACCGTGGTGATGTTGTGTATTCACATTTCCCTCCGAGGACTGATGATGAGGATGATGGCGACTCCGCTCTGATCCGCGTCTCTTGTCTGAGGCGGTGCTCTTTCTTGTCTTCGGTCGGATTAGACGCGGAGGACCTGTGGGAACCCAGTGAGACTCACTTCTGAAGAGGTCCTTCTTATCGATTCAGCGACAGTTTCAAACATGTTTCGCCCATTCGTTCGCAGCGCCTCCGTGTCTTTGATCTTGTCAAGTTATCGTATATCGTGTAATAGATCTGACTGTGAATGTGTTTACATCCTGTAGATCACAATCAGATCTGGGCAGGCAAACTGATCATGGCGGGCAGCGCCAGTTTGTGAATCACTCTGTGACGATGTCACTTTCACAAATGTTTCTAATGACTCACATGTGCTCCGCTCCTCATCTCCTTCTGATAATCCTTTCTTGTTCGCCGTTTCCGCCGCCGTTCCAGTTCTTGTTTATCCGGCCCTATCTTCTCTGTTTCCAGATCCCATTATCTTGTCAACTCGCCATCGTCTTCTACTCTCACCAATTGGTCCCCTTCCATCAATTCATATCAAGGTAATCTCTTCCCTCTTCTTCTTCCCCTTCAATCACCCACCACCTCGTCACCTCCAATTTCCGCCTATTTTCGTCACTTACCGGCTTTTCGGGTGAGCTCTCAGTGCGCCCTCCGGATATATGATGTGCTCAATGGAGCACGAAATCATTGAGGCACACAGCCCCCGACTACCTGTCCATGACATACACAAATCAGTGAACACATCACTAAATCCCCCTCCCCTTCCGCAAATTTCGCTGCTTCTGCTGCTACCCCCTGCCCTCGTCGTTTTGGTTTTCAAAAACAAGATCCGTGTTTGGGAGTGGGACTGACTACTGTAGATGAATGAAGTGGGGATTCATCAAAAAAGAGCAGCGCCCCGGGCTCAAATTGATAGGTTCGTTCACTCATTCCGGCCGAGATTGGAAAGGAGCTCCTCATCTTCTTCTTCTGTCGAAATCGGAAAAACGGAGAAAAGAAATGGATGAGACGAGGACGGAAAGCGCAGATGGCGAACGGAGCGAAGGCGACGAAATCTTGAAAAATGACCACACCGAATTTCGGAGAGTAGATTAAAGAGTCGAGTAGAAGAAAGGCGAGTGGGGAGAACTGACTGATTGACATGCAAATTGGCGGGTCGCTCCCTTTTGTGCCTTTTGCGCCTTGTCACATCACACGGTGGTGGTGGCATAGTGGCCCCTTTGTTTGTTTGGAATCAATGCAAGTGTGGGTGCGCATCTGTAATGGATCCCCGAGGGGCAAACTCCGAAGTGAGACAAACAGTAATAGATGTGCTAATTAACACGTCATAGCGAAGAGTGAGACTGTAGATAGCTCTAATGACTCGATCAGTCTGGATTAGCGAACGAAGAAAGTCTGAGAATAATAATAATCTTTCCCTCTCCCTCACTAGATTCCCTCGTTTCCATTTGCTGTTCGAGCAAGACGCATCTCTCAAAATCGTGATAATTCAATGATTCGCTCTTCGTTCTCCTCTCGGCTCGGCTAAAATTGGCATTGTTGTGATGGGTGTGGTGCCTTCCTTTCTTTCGTCCCCGCCGGCCGGCACCAGAAGCCTATTATCTGCCAGTCCGGACGGCTCCTTCGTTGATGCATCACATGGCAAAAGGCAGGCACTCACTCCTCTCGTCCATCGGACACACTCGCCCAATTGAATAGTGATAGAGGGGGAAAGGGGCGCCCGCAGATTGGATAATATATATTTTTCGGTCTCTTTCGGCTCTTTCTCCCCGGCCTACTGAGAGCTTGCGGGTCAGAGGGCGAGCGCCGCTCTCTGCGTCTCACCTCTTCTTATCAGAAGACGTGAGTGGTGGCAACACACGGAGGGCTCTTTGAGTCCGTGCAAATCGATCGCGGTGCCCGCTCCTCACCATATGTTTTGAATGGAAGCGAAGGAGAAGGAGGTCCCTTCTTTTCTTCCGTCTGACTGATTTGATATCTCCCCTCCGCTGGCTGCTTTGTCGCCCATATGGCCTCCCTTTCCTCCTTTGCTCTCGCTTCCCTTCCACATCACCTCTTCTCCTTTATCTTTTTGCTCTTCCCTCCTCTTCAGTGTGCTCTTCTCGATTCTGTGTTAATTGCCAACAGACCGACGGAGGGAGAGAGATAGAAAAGGTCCTTTTCGTATTTCCCATTCATTTTCTTGTCAGCCATCAGCATTCCTCTCTTTCGCATGCATTCAAGAGCGAAGTATTGATTAGAACTGATAAATTGATAAGCGCCGCCCACACTCTCTGATTGGCCGACGGGAAGGCAGCAGATTTGGGAGGAGTCTCGCAGGTGAAGAGATAGCGAGAGGAGGAGTCCACGAACACTGATTGGCCTGCAGGGATCTTATCAGAAGAGGTAGACATTGGGATAAAAACACAAGGGGATAAGCAACCCCAGGGGTCCTTATTTAATGTCAGCTAATAATGATAATGGGTCATTCAAAAATCCGATTCCCATCTTGAGCTAATTATTGAGACCAGTACAGTTCTCCTTTGCAAACTTTTGAAAACGTTTTCCCTCTGAGACTCTTCGAGCCTCCGCCAATAGAGTGCCACGTCAAAGTAGTTGGCACTTAATAGAACTTTGTGCTCGTTTCCACTTGCCTGCCTCTTCCCCCCTTCTCCTCCGATATTCCATATCTCGCATTGTTGTCATTTCTCCCATGCCTATATCAAATTTCCCCGAGAGAGAGAGAAAGAGCACCCTCCGCTTTGGCGCTCTTTTCTCGTCCATCTCGTTGCCCACCGAGACAAAGTCCCTCTTCGTCGACTTGATCGACGCACACCGTTGCCCCAGGATCTTCCCCTAGCAACTTGGCCCCGCGCGCGTCGGTTGTCTTTCCCAAAACGGTCACACTTTTCTTTTACGTCTTCTTCTTTTTCTTCTTCTTCTTCCCCTTATTCCTCCCTTGAAATGGAACAAAATGGTGTGTCTAAAGTCTCTTAACTTCTTCCACTATCTCGCAGATAACAATGCCCCGAGTATGGGCAATTATGGGAGTAAGAGTAGAGAGAAACAGAGGCATGTTATTCTATGTTTTCACCCCGCTCGCCCCCTTTTTAACACAACTACTAGAACCAGTGAGTAGATCAAAGCGGATGATAAGTGACGGTGATGATGTCTGCGTCGTCTCGTCTTGTCTCTCTGTCTTCTCCGATAATTATGGTAATTATCTTTGGAAAGGGAGGAGGAGACAAGGCGAGACGAGGCAGAAAGAGAGAATGCACACGCAGCCACGCACACTTATACTGCTCGGCGAGAAGGAGCCGGAGACGGGCGGCGGCACAACATCTCATCAACTGATATGCATCGCGCATGTCAGTCGGGGCTCCGCTCGCCTCTCCGTCTCTCTGCGTCTACTATCTCAATCACTATCAGGAGAAGAAGGCGTGTAGCCGTCGTGGAAGGCACGCCGGCGGGGAAGGGAAGAAGGGGCTTCAATTCGAGCCCCTTATTTGTTCTTCGACGCTCTCTGCGCTCTCCGCCTCCCACATCATCATCATCACCGTCATCTTCATCATTATGGTCCCGCTCGCCCATTTCATTTTCCATCACCAGCTTCATCAGTAGTTGCCGGCGGCTATATTTGCGCAACTCTATCCATTCTTTTCGCTTCGTTATTGCGAAATGCGCTCTTCTCCGAAAGAGTTGCTACCTGTGTATCATTGGACTGTGCCTTAACGCTATACTTTGAATTATGGTTACTGTATTTTGCTTATAACCTGCTAGACAACTTCTAGAATTAGGGCTTTCTGTAGCCATGCACCCATCGGTTCAGTTGAGTTTGCACATCAACGACATCTTGAACTTCGTCACCTTAAATGTGGCACCCCACTGTGAACTGAGTGCATTTGACTGACAAATTGACGATAATTTCACACCCCAATTCACCAGTCGGCTCTTTTCTTCGTTGTTATGATTCGGACAACAATGGTTCCCCGGGAAACCATCGGCTCTCTCCCTCTTCTACTCCGTCAATGATAGAATATTCAATGGGCCGTCGCTCTTTACCCGAAAACGGAGGTCCCACCACTACCACTCGACAAAGGTCCATTATCTCTGAGCTCGCAGAGCACCCACCAGGACCGGCAGCAAGGTGAGTCGAAAAGTGGGCGGAGCATCTTCCACATCCGGCCATATACCTTTTCGAGTGTGCCCCCGCCCAGCACGCCGTCCTCCTGTCCCCCCTTCTTCCCACTCCTTCTTCTGCCTGCCCCGGCTGGCCAGTCACACACTGATCTATTGTTCGAGTGGCGAGGCCCCCGTTGTCCACGACCACACACAACCTCCACTGCGCTCGAAGAAGATAATCACACAATGCGCTCCCTTATTCTTTTTTCTCGTCCACCCCATTCTTCTTCGTCTTCTGAATTCCCGAGCATTTTGGAAATTTTCGTTTTCTTGTCCAACTACTGTACTCGACTGATCGGACAGTCCCGGACAGGTGCACCAGACGATCAGCCCTCTCTCTGTTGCTTGTAAACTCAATCAAACTAACCCTAAAATTTGATAATAGTCCCCCAATCATAAAACGGAGCTGATTATCCCGGGGGCCCCCACAATAAAATGAGCAATTTGCGATGAATTGCGCGGGAAAACCCTCCAGTATTTTACGACTCCTTCGACCCGTTCTTTCTATTGCGCGAAAGCACAGATGGTCATGAACCGCTCGGCCATATCTCATCATATCAACTTTCCGAGTGCATATCGACGCAAACGTGTCCATCGATAACTCATCCGGAGAGGGACAAATCCGCCGTATCGCCCTATCGGTTTCCCCGCGTGCGTTTCCTTCATCGTTTCCCTTCTCTTTTTGCTTCTTTTTCCTCACAAAAGATACGATCGTTGCGATCGCGCGCAACTGATTCGCTGTTAACACGCGTGTTAGAAGAGGCAACAGGGAGACGTCGTTGTCGCCAACACGAAGAAGACAGGCGCTCGTAGATCGCAATCACCGCCCCTCTCTGATCAACCCGGCACCGAATCGATAAGCAGATGACTATCTGACATTGCCTCTCCCCTCTCCTCCCCTCCAACACGACTTCACTAACCTTTGTTCATCGTCACCTCTTCAATCACCTACACAATTCTGTGCACACAGTCACGTACGTATTGATTATCCCAAAAGATGTGGAGGTGGGGCCGGTAATGAGCGCGCGCACGTCTTTTCCATTTCCATAAAATAGTCTCTCTCCTCGCTAGGACACCACTCTCGCCTGCTCATTATTTACTCGAATCCTCCGTCTTCTATTTATCTCGCCTAATCGTCTTATTGCTCTTTTTCCCATTTTCCTTTCGTTCTCCCTCCCTAATTCAATCTATCGTTTCAGTTATTCATGCCGATCAGCATCATGAAAAACGAACCGGAGGACGAGGTCCAAGTGCAACAACCGAAAGATCAACCGTGCTCCGGATGCAAACAGCTTCAGATGGATGTCGCAAAGGTTAGTTTGTGACATTCAGCTACAGCTTACTGTAAAATAACACTTTAGACGCTCGGATTAGTGATGGAACGAATGGATAAGATGCAGAAGAGACTTGATGAAGTGCTCAGAACTGCCGAACTCAAGAAAAGCCTCGAGTCTTCCGAATCCTCTGGCAAAGCATCGCCGTCTTCAACTGGATCTCGCAGTTCTCCCAAACTGGAGATGCCCGCCACTCCGAACGTCACTGCGCCGATTCCAGTGCCCCAGGCATCCGTCCCAGCTGTCAGCTCTTCCAGAAAGCGCAAAACGAAGGAGAGAACTCCGACTCTTGCTGCTTCTCCACTGCCCGACTTCTCCAACTTTGTCAATGGATTCATGTTCGATCCGATCAACAATCAGGCCGGAATGATGCAGTTCCTCTCGCTTGTGCAACAACAAACTCAGCCCCAGACCGTGTCAACTTCTGCTGTTCCACATGCCGCACAGAGACAACAATCAGTGACACCTCCTCTCAAATTGGTCAAAATTGAAGAAACTCCAGTGGCTGTCGCCCCAACTGTGAAAGTGGAGGTGCACGAGACGACTCCAGAGACTCCGGAAGGAGAGATGGCTCCAGAAGCGATGGCCTCGCACGCTCAGAATCTGCTCGACGCCCTCACCGCTCAATTCAGCAGCAACCAGGCGGTAAGTGCAGAAAAGATCAAAGTGCTTGCGACCCTCTTCCTCCTTCGTTCGTTCGTTAGTTCGCGCTCCCCCATTGGTGGGAAACAAAGGAAGATATATCACCATTCTCCGTGCGCCTCTTCCTGCAGCGGCGTTTCGAATCCCTTCCTTTATTTAATCTCTTCCCTTTTTCAGGCCACCGTCGGTTCTTCCGCCGTTCCGTCGGCCGTCTCGCAGGTCGTCGAAGCCGTCGCCACACCGTCGAGAAGCGACACCGACGACGGAAACGACCCGAACGCGGCGCGCTGCTCCAACTGCCACACGAACAAAACGACCGCTTGGAGACGTGACGCCGAGGGAAAGCTGGTTTGCAACCCGTGCGGACTCTACTATCGATTGCACAAGGTGAGAGATAAAGCGTTCGGTGCGATCAGTGCTTCTGCCTCGTCGGCCTCCGATTGGAATGGAATGGGAGCGAAGGGATTGTTATCTGATGCGGGTAGAAGGAGGGAAACAACCTAGTTAAGATAGCGGCAAAGCATGGGAGGAGATTGAAATATGAGATTAGTTTAGCCCTCTTTTCGCCTATCTCCCTTACTTTTTTGCTATTAGTTATTTCGTTGAGTTTGCGCGCATTCGAAGAATGTTCAGTGATATCGATCCAATTAAATCTCCGATGCTATCGATCCGTGATGGGCGTGCGTATCTATCAGTAATCTTTGCCGAGCGCCCGCCCCCGTTCTACAGTATTCCTCTTTGATAATTGCCTTCTTCGTTCCTCCTTTTTCCATTCTCCCTCTCTCCACCGACATCGTCATCATCATCATCATCATCAGAACCGATACGGTATCGTCGGCGCCTTCCTTCTTCCTCACCCGCCTTCTCCTTCCATCTTTCCATCACCTCAACCATTATGTGGTCGTCTTCACGTCTTCGTTCATCGCCTACCACCAGCACTAGCGGCAGCATCATCTCTTCAGTAGCACGCAGATAATTAGCGTATCGGGGAGTGCGTCGGGCGGCTGCGGCGACACGGAGGAGACGAGTCAATGATTACCTGTAACTCGAATTGACTTCGTCCCCCTCCTTCCATCTTGGCGTCTTCCTCTTCTTCTTCTTTTCCTCTTTCTTCTGGGTCTTTGACGCCCGACGACGGCGCATTGTTCAGCCACCCCGACAATTAGGAATGAAACTAGTGCACGCGCAAACAATCCCTCTTTCCCTGTCATCATCATCTCCTTCGTTTGGTTCAGACCAACCATATCTGGTAGGGGATCATATAGTGAACAGATGGAGAGATCTATAGGGGCTTCCCGTGCGGATAAATACCTGGCCAGCCTAATCAGAGCATGAGAGCCAGGTGGTGCTACGTTCATGTCGTGATCGGTTTTGGCGGGGGTCACCACCACAACCACAACCCACGGATAATTATCATTTCTATTCCCTCCACGATGGAGTCCTTTACCCAATTTCATAACCTTGGAGTGCATCATCTAAGGGCGGAACGTCTTCTTCTTCCTTTTCTCAATTTGCACACAACAATAGGCGACACAATAGGGCACGGGGGCGACTGTGCGTGTGCGTCGGAGGTAATTAGAAGAAAGAGAGACCGGTAGGGGGAGAAGTGTATCACACACGAAGATGATGATTCTATATTCTGATGGACGGAGGGAGAATCAAAACAGAAAAGGAACAAAGTAGGCTACGATTTGGGTGGGATAATTGGGTTAGATATTGTGAGAGACGTGAAAAGGCATATCGAGTCAATCATCAATTCGTCTCGTTTCCAGGTTCGCCGTCCGATCGAAATGCGCAAGAATCACATCCAGCAGAGATACCGCCGAAAGAACAAGGAGAAGGACGGAGCCGCGCTTTCGGATCCGGCTCTTTTCAACCAGATTCTCACCCAAATGCCAACGATGACGACGGGTGGAGCACACGCCAACCCGCTCAGTTTCCTGGAGCAAATCACGCAATTCACGCAGGCGCAAGAGATGCTCAATAGCAGTGCCACTTTCTAATTATTATCTATCCACACAAGCACACACACACACACACACACACACGCTTTCTCTCTTCTACTATATCCTCCCCTTCACCGACCCTTTATTTTGATTAATATTCACTAATTGCCACTTTCCATTCCATAGGAATATTATCCGTTTGGTGTGTTTACCGCCCCTACCCATCTCCCTGGACCCCATAAACTTATTGTTTTGTACCGCGTGTTCCCTCCCAACTGTGAGCTTTACCTCAATCACATTCTCACTAGATGCATAATATTATAATTAAACTTTAATATTTATCTAGAAACAGCCCCGCCTCTTTTTTACTCTTCCTGACATGTGTATTCCGGAGACGTTCCGCCCCCTTCCGCCTTACTTCTCCGCCTTCTTCTTTTGCATGGTTGTGTTGTTTTGTTTGTTTCTTCCATTCATATGTTCGCATTTTCAACCACCGTCTCCTTCTCATCTCAACTCATCTCACTTCACTTCACTTCATCATCCCCCATTTTCCCGTTTTATCTTTACTCGGACCATCTCTACTCGGCTCCGTTCACCTCTTCTCAATCCCAACTTTTAAATGGTTTTTGACGGATAAAAGTAATTCAAGTCTGCCACTTCTTTCCTATCTGTTTTCTGACCTTCCGTTCCGTCAAATCCAACCGTTCCACTCCTCCTCTTCCGCTTCCGTCTTTTCCGCTCCGTCGTTTCGTTCCTCTCCGGCTCCCTTCCCATTTACACACGTGGTTTCAGATGACGCTTGTCGACGTCTCATGTAGTCCCGTGTCGGAGCACATTCGAGACGAGAGCCCCGAGATGGCGGCCGCGGAAGAGGAGCAGAGAGCCGTTGCCGCTGCCGCCGTCGAGCCGTGCACCGGATGCGTTCAGTTGCACAAAAATATCAAACAGGTGCACTTTTTGATGAGCACAACTTGAAAACTATGGGAAATGAATTGTAGAATGTGGAGCAGATAATGAGCAAAATGAGCAAGTTGGAATCAGTGTGCGAACGGATCGAATCACTCGTCGCCGAGAAGGAAAAAGAGCAGAGCTCCGTGGCAGTTGGACTCCATGAGCACATGTCGGAGAGTGGAAGTGAAGAGAAGGTACGAAAATAGCAAAAGAAAAGCATGTGATAGGGCAGAGACCGGAAACTGGACAAGATTTATTGAAAGGGACTGGTGTAATTGGGAAGGCTGCACAGAGAACATTGATATCTTGCCATTCCAGTACGCTCCATCTCCGTCTGGAAGCCGTGGCTCTCCGAATCCATTAAACGGAAAACTTGTGAACGGAAACGGAAACAACGGCGGCAGTCGGAAACGGAAACCAACGAAAGATTCGGTGAACCGAGTGAATGCTCTCGTTGAGAATAGACTGCCGCTCGACAATCTGCTCAATGGACACGGCTCTCCAGCCGAGAAACTTCCGAACTCCAGACAGACCCCCGTCTCCGCCAGCTCCCCGTTCCCCGACTTCAACAATTTCAATGGTTTCATTTGTACGTCCACCTTATCCCAGAGGCTTCCGAAGCAACCTTGTCTTTCAGTTGATCCGATGGCAAACCCTCAGAATATGATGCAGTTGTTGAACCTTGTACAGCAGCAACAACAGGCACAGCAGCAGGCTCAACAGCAGCAGCAGTCCCAGCAGAAAGCGGAAATGCAGAAGATTGCAAAAGCTGAAGAGCGGCAGACGGTGACGGTGAAGCAGGAGCCGGCAGAAACGAGGACGACTCCGCCGAGCCTAAACGAGCAGACGCTGCTGGATCAGTTGGCTGCTCAGTTCAACGGGGTGCTTGCATTCAGAAGACGTCCTCGTCTCATCAGTGACCCATTCCAGAACGCTCCTTCGCCGACAGTGCAGGCGGCGGCGAACGCAAGTCCGGAAGACGACTCCGGCTCGTCGATCTCGCGTTGCTCGAATTGTTCGACGGCGAAAACGACAGCGTGGCGACGTGATTTGGCGGGCAAGCTGGTGTGCAACGCGTGCGGATTGTACTACAGATTGCATCGGGTGAGCGTGAGCGCATTTCACTTTTCCTCCTGAAGAACCTTGACAATATTCGTGGCGTCGTTTCGAAAGATAATTAGAAGATTGCGGAGTGACGGACCGATTACCTCTTCCTTAGAATCCGTGTCTTCTAGGCCGGGCGTGGGTGGGCGAAAGGTCGTTCCGTCTAATTATCGATGAATTGGATTGGCTGACTGACTGACTGAGTTACCCGGGCCGATGAAGATGCGATGATGGGCGGTGGCGAATGAGTTCGAAGTGGTGAACGAACGAACGAACGAACGAAACGTTAACGAGTTATTTAGCAGCCGCATGAGAGGGGGAAGAAATTAGAACGCATTCAGAAAGGGATCATCGGGAGATCAGCGGGGGAAACTTTCCGAATTGCAGACTCATCGGCCAGTGCACATGCGGAAGGACTTCATCCAGCAGCGATTCCGCAGAAAGATCAAAGAGGAAGAGAGCGTGAGTTCATCCCAATCCAACAGTCGAATCGATGCTTCCCATTTCAGCCGACCACTTCGCAATCGGCCATGTTCAGTCAGCTGCTCGGCCTTCCCCAGATGGCGTCGGGCAACGGATCGGCGGCCGCTTTCTCACTGCTCGAACAGTTCAACCAACTCAATTAGATTACTCTCCGAATCTTCGCAATAACGTCATCTTTCTGTCGTCCCGAATACCCGCATTTTCTTGATTTCCGCGTGTCCCGTTCCCTCCCAACTGTGAGCTTTACTTCCAGCATTTTTCACCCCTCCTAATAAGTATTTTGCAATCCGACCGCCCGGACGGTCTCTCCGAGAATCTCATTTCACTTTGTTCGTATTATTAACTATCTATCAGGCTACTGTATTCCTTAGAAGTGCAGGTTGTTGAACTCCGTCATTTCATTCACTTTCCCCAATACTCCACTCAATCCAATCAACCACCACCATCCACTCATAATCACCCCTTCTCTCTCCGATCACACCAATTGTTGTGTGCATATCCAGAAAGAAAATAAATATTTTATGCAAGCATCTGAGTCTGTTTTGGCGCAACGCTAACTAAGATTCACGATTGTTCATTTAGCTTGCGTTCGATGAATTTGGATCAGGTGAAACAGGTATTTTTGGAAGGAGACCGGAGAACAGTGCGATTGAAAAAATGAGAGAGAGGGGTCGAAGAGGCGGGTTAGCGGGTCGAGAAATAGACGCGAAACAATGTGATATAGTGAGCGTTAGCCTTAAAACACATGATAATGATAGAGCTAAATTAGAAAAATTAAATGGATTTCAATCACAAATTCAATCGGTTTACGGATAAGAAAATAAAAAAGAAATACGAATAATAAACGGAGAATTGGGTGAGGGAATCGGGAATTGTTGGGGAATACAAAAACGATAACAATAGCTGGAAACAAAACCAAACGTTGATGTAGTTAGCAAAGAGAGAAATACCTGACCCGATGAGTCGAAAATAAAAAATAATCGAGGCCGTAACACACGGGGAACAAAAACGAAAAGAAAACGGGGTTTGGTCGACACATAAAACTAGGAAGATGAAGAAGTTGTGGAAGGGGTGGAAGATGAGGTTGGATCGGAGGATGATGGATCGGAGGAAGACGAACTGCTCTGCGTGCTTGCCGACCGCTTGAGCGAGTCGAGAAAACGGGACGTCCCACGTTCGAGACGGCCCTTCTGCTCACGGAAAGCGGTGGAAGCACGGTTGACGAGAGAGTCGATGGTGGAACGGAAAGCAGTTGTTGATGAAGTAGAACCGATCGAGGAGACTTCAGGCTGAAACATGAACGGATTAGTGGATTCGGTCGTGAAAGTTCTAATGGGGACTGTGGGAGAGAAAAGCAGGAGTGCGGAACAGTGTTTTTATTCGTGTTCCATTGCCGGACGAAGGTGTTTTTTTCCGGAAATGTAAGGAAAAATTTGTGAATGGGGAGAGGGAGAGAAGCATGATGTGGGAATACATTCGGGAGAGGTTATTGGAAAAGAAGTTTCAAACAATGAAGTCAAACCTGATGGAAAATTCTACATTTCCGCAAAATCAACCGTTCTGTAATGATGCAGGACTGTTTTACGTTCCCCTAACAGAACACCGAAACAAATTCATAATAACTACAAACAGAATAACTCACATTTACAACGCCGCACTGCTGCCTAGATCCTCCGGCCCCATCGGGGCAGGCGGCTCTTCCGGAAAATCCGGCACATTGATGGCGTCCTCGTCTTCTTTTATTGGTGGCTGCGTCGCCGAACCTGGATTGTATATTGTGCCCGTCTGATCAATATTGGTCGGAGTGGGCGGAGCGATAAGTCGGACGAATCCGCTGGCGTCGATCAGAAATTGGTTCTGAAACTGTTTGGATTGTACGAAATATGTCAGAGATATCTTCCGAACCGCTGTCATGTCCTCCGGCTTTGGTTCTGGGAGGCCCAGATGTCGACGGCAGTAAGAAGCGATGCATTTGTGCACAAACATGAACTGATCCTGAAAATCGGAGAATTTAAACGAGCAGCTGCCAAGATTCCAAATCTCACATGTGTCTGCACCATGCTTGCTCTCTGCTTGCGCATTGTTACCACAAGACTGAAGATATCGATGGAGGGGAGCGCATTCGCCTTTATCAGCTCTCTGAAATGGTTGACAGCGATGATGGTGCCCGTTCTTCCAACGCCAGCACTGCAGTGCACCAGAATCGGAGCTTCAGGGGCGTTTTCCACATGGACGCTTTCCATAAGCTCAATCATGCTCAGTAGTTGTTTCACTCCAGATGGGCATCCGTGATCCGGCCACTCACGATAGTGCAGCTGGTGAATCTTCCGGCTCAGTCCTTTCGAGTGGTTCTCCAGCTTCAGCACGCGCATCAGATACTCGTCATTATCTTCGAATGTTCTCTCCTCCAGCAGGGTGATCTCGTAGTCTCCGAACAGATCGCTTTCTCCAACAACTTCTGGATAGTATCTCTCGCACTTGATCTTGTTCTGTTCGATCAGCTTGCAAAGCATCACAATTAGATGAACGTTCTGCTCGTCAATCATCTTCCACCATTCTTCCAATGTCGTCAAGAGAGGGGCTTGTGCAGCGATGAAGTTCGTTTTCCCATTTGGAACCGAGACAAACGATGCATTCACATATCCTTCCGGATTGTCAGTGTTTGTCCCGATAGCAACTCGATTATGGTCATCTGAAAATGATACAATGTGAACTCGAAATCCCCATTGTATAGGGTTTACATGGCAGAACATCTCTATACCGATTTCTGTATGTTTGCGCTAGAGCCTGATCGGACTTGTACTCGGGCTCTGCTCGAATTTTATCTTGTTCGATGCGTATTTGCTGAAATACTTGGCAACCCATTAAAATAAGTAATGGAAAAATACGTACATAAAATCTTCGCAAATAGTCTTGCTCGGTTAATCCTTCGTCCTCTTTCAGAAAAGCACGCATAAGATCCTCCATCGGCAAACTTTGCTCTATTGGAGTAGACGAGGAGGTAGCCGAGCCGGTCGGAACACCTCCGTTTTCGACTGTTGCCGCCCGTTCTTCTTCGCTTTCAAATCTGATGAGATCGCCCGTCGGAACTGAAAAGCAACTGTCTTTATTCGAAAACGGTGAGTGAATCACCATCAGTCGCTTTCGCAACTTCGTCGGCATCAGTTCTCACAACAGGCTTAGAGCTTGGAAGAGGTGGAGGGCTTTTGCTCTTTTGTTCTGACGATTCTGTGCCAACCTGGAAATTTTGCGAAATTTAGACGTGCGCTTCATAATTGGAGAGTAAACTGACCAAGGAAGGGCCGTCGTCGTTCGCGACGGACGTCGATGAAGCATCTGACATTCGTCGGGATGGAGGGTGGGTTTTTTGTTACCTAAAACACGAAAGGGTGAATTTATTTTCTGAAGAGCAGACACGAACGGAAAAGAGGAAAAATGAGAAACGAATGTCATCAGGTTTTCGAATAAGCTTTGAAAACGCGCCAGTTTGAAAGATGCAATAGCTCGCGGTGAAGAAAAACTACAAAAATTGGAAATCGTTGCGAGACCCAAATTTCAACATCACGTTTTTTGTGCGAAGACAAGTCTCCTATGGCCAAAAATTAGAATAGCATTTTTTTAGCGTTCGAAATTAATCAATTCGTACACTTTCGGTCAAAACGTGCGATCTCAGGTGAACAAAATGGAATTTTATCCGGAAACTGAGCTTTAATCAAAGCCCCTCTTAGTTCTCGTTCTCTCTCGTTTCTCTCGGTCACTAATCCGGGTGTTGCATATAAAGCACGCCGTTTCAGAGAAAAGAGTGCGATTCTGGGAATTGTCGTTGTCGGGCTGCTGCGACGGCAGTGTGTCACGTTTTGAATGCCGAATGAACTCATTAGTTTGGAAGCAAAGCGAAGAACGAAATAGAAAAGAATTAGGAATCAGGTTGACTTGCCAATGTTGCGAAATTAGTCACGCATCCATCCTTGAAAGGAAGCTTCAATTGATGAGTCATCGAGAAAGGAAAAGAAGAAATGTATGCTCGAATCGATAACAATTTCAAAAATGGGAGAGGAATAGCGCACACACTCGCATTCCAATACGCACACACACACACAGACAGAAAGACACAAATAGCGTCGTCGGTGCCGTTTCTCGTTCTCCTCCTCGGTTTCCTCCTAGGCACACAGGTATATGTGGCCGCCGCGCCGTGAAAAGTGACGCGGCCGCAAACACCGTCACATTAATTTGCACACTTTGCTTTACTGTCGCGTTGGGCGTCCGTGTCGGCCCAGCGCCCCTTGGCTCTAATCTGATTGCGATGACACTAAATAGAGAGTGTGAGTCAGTGGGGAGACACAGACACTACGACGGCACGGAAAAAAACGGGCGGCCGCGAGAAAAGAACGGCTATTACTTCGACGGAAGACTGGCGGTTGTGTCTATCGAGTACCCACATCTGGCCCAGATTGAGGGTTAGCTTGTTTCTCGTTCCGTCTGATTACCCTTCGTTTCTTCTCTTCTCTCGATTTCAACTTTTTGTTCTTAGAACTGAAAATACTCGAAAGCCAATGCTCGTATTCACCTGCTGGCGGAAGCAGTGTGACAAACTGAAACTGCCGAAAGAGCAATAAAAAAGTTCTTATCAAAAGAGGGAGGGGTCGCGTGTTGTAAGCATGTGTGCAGTTGAGACCTTCTGGGCTCGGGAATATGAAAAGAGCACGTGAGGAGAGCTATTATGCTCGGAAGAAACCAAAGGGGAAACATGCAAATGTCAGAAAAGCAGGAAACCTGAAAGCCCTATAATAAGCTTTATTAATAGTTAAACGATGTAGTGAGAATTCGTGCCACGTCACAAACAGTTCTATCGTTCAGTCGATCGGCCATCAACTGCACTCCGATCGGCAGTCTTTCACTCGTTCCAACAGGCACGGAGATAGACGGAACGCCTGCAAGATTGGCCGCCTGCGTAAAGTAGTCGTCGTCGTCCTCCTTCGAGAAAAGCGTATTCCTCAGTTCGGAATACTTTGGTGCGGCCCCAGATGCGGTCGGAGTAACGATAATATCAACTGTTTTAAACGCGGCTCGCAGTTCGTCATTGATGGCTCTGCGGACTCTCAGTGCCCGCTCGTAATAAAGCTTACGGTACCTGAAAATATAATTGACGGAGAGATGGAGCTAAGAAACTGACTGTTTCATGAGAAAGTAATTTCCGGCAAAAATTCGTCTTCTAACAACTGCATTCAAAGATTCCGATCTCGAGGAAGCGTACATTTCATAGGTGGATGAGTCGCGGGATGAACGATGGCCGTAAGCCACACTGTCATATCTGGAAGGAAGATAATTCGCAAACGAGAAGAATCCACGTGTCTACTAACCTGGCCATATTAGAAGCCACGTCTGCAGCAGCAATAACAGAGTAGCAGGCGAGAGAAAACTTTGTGGTGGGAAGACTGATTTGTCGAATTTCAGCTCCGCCTTTCTTTAATAGTCCCACTGCTCGATTCCAGAGTCGCCAGGCATCCTCCGATAAACATTCGTTGTGATATTCGAGCGGAATTCCGATTTTTAGTCCTTTCACAGAGTCAATTTCTGACGTTTCTGGAAGATCGAAGGAAGTGGCGTCCGCCTCGTCGATTCCTTTCATATTCTGTAAAAACTTCCAGCAGTCTTCGGCACTTCTTGCGAAAATGGATGGTGCGTCGAGAGAGTTGACGAGTGGAATTAGGCCGTGACGAGAGAGAACTCCGTACGTCGGCTTGAATCCGAACACTCCGTTGAATGCTGCCGGGTTTCTTGTGGAACCTCCAGTATCTGATCCGAGGGCGCTGAAATTAGACCATTTTCCAAAGAGTGGCGCATGAATAAACCCACACATCGGCAATTCCTGTTTGAACGGCGACTGCAGATCCTCCAGAACTACCACCGGGAATCGTCCAATCATCTGCTGACGCTTCGGAAAGAGCACTTTTGACCGGGCCGAAGTGGCCTAGCGCTGATGACGTTCCCATGCAGAACTCGTCCAGATTCGTCTTTCCGATAATGCATCCTCCTTTCGCTACGATTCTTTCGACTATGGTCGAATTCACTGGTGGTTGATAATTTTCGAGCATTTGCGATGCGCATGTCGTCGTTATTCCTTTTGTTCTGCAAATTATCACTGTGTGATACGGTATTGCGTTTTTTTTAAGTTTCTTACAGGAAACAGTCTTTAATGACTACTGGAAATGGCGTAATATTTTGCTCCAATGCATTTTTTGCTTGTTGCCTTGCCAAATCGAACGATTCGCTGACAAATATTCCATGGGAACGGAGCTTGACTGCTTTTTCGATGGCCGATTCAATGCGATGCATGAAAAATAGTCGGAACCAGCGCTGCATGCTCGCTCTACCGCACTCTTCCTGACGCATCAGTGTCTGCGTCTCTCGCCGCCGCACACTGTCTCGCATGCCACGTAAACTCGGCTGTTCGTCACCGCCACCGGTTATCCCCGTTTTCACTCATTTTTCTAGCTTTTCACTGCCTTTTCTCGTTAATTAGAAAATCAGCGCTCACTTTGGTCACCTTGACCGTCACTCATCTTTCTCAACTGTTCCATGAACGAACCAAATCGATTTGCAGGAATGCGGGTACTCCTAAGCCTGTTGTTTCTTACATCTCTTCTTGTGAGAGCTGATGAGCACGATCACCTATATGAAGTCGACGAAGAAGTCGTGTTATGGATGAACACGGTAATTTTTATTTCCTTTCAGAGTTTTTCAATTTCAATTTGTGTTGAAATTACAGGTTGGTCCGTACTCAAACCGACAGGAAACCTACACCTACTTTTCACTTCCGTTCTGTAGAGGCGAAAAGAAGGAAATAGGTCATTACCACGAAACTATGGGCGAATCTTTGCTCGGTGTGGAACTTGAGTTCTCCGGTCTTGACATCAAGTTCAGAAGTAAGGCACATTATGCGTTTTCAAATCAAAATTCTGATAATTTCAGCGAACACAAAGAAGACCGTCATTTGTCAGAAGAAATTAACAGAAACCGACTACAAGACGCTGCTCTATGCTATTCAGAATACGTATTATTATCAAATGTATTTGGACGACATGCCGATCTGGGGAATGGTCGGAGAGATCGACAACACTGTCACCCCGCCGGCGTACAAGCTCTTCACCCACAAGCGCCTTGATATCGGCTACAATGACAAACAGGTCGTTGATGTGAACCTGACTGCCGATGGAAGAGTCGACATCCGCCCTGGAGCCGAAATCGTTTTCACCTATGAAATTCAATGGACAAAGTCGGAAGTCGACTTTACCAAGAGATTCGACAAGTATCTTGATCCAAACTTCTTCCAGCACAGAGTAAGTACATTATCTCACTTATTCATGGTATAGACTTGCTTCTTTCAGATTCACTGGTTCTCGATCTTCAACAGTTTCATGATGGTCGTATTCCTCGTCGGATTGGTGTGGATGATTCTCGTGCGAACACTAAGAAAAGATTACGCCCGATACCAGAAGGAAGACAGCCTTGACGATCTGGATGCCGATCTGGGCGACGAGTACGGTTGGAAGCAAGTGCACGGAGACGTCTTCCGGCCTCCGTCCATGCCGCTGCTTTTCTCTTCATGCATCGGAGCAGGCTACCATGTCTTCACGGTTGCCGTTATCACAACCATCCTTGCCATCGTTGGAGAGTTCTACACTGAGTCAGTTCTGTCTACTTTTGTCTTTTTACTTCAAAAACGAGCACACCTAGCCTATAAAAAGCAAACAACTTTACAGACGCGGTTCTCTTCTTTCGGCTGCAATTTTTGTGTATGCGGCGTGCTCGCCAGTCAACGGATATGCTGGAGGTTCGATGTACGCCCGTTTCGGAGGCCGTCACTGGATTAAGCAGATGCTTCTCGGCGCTTTCCTTCTCCCGAGCATGGTCTGCGGAGTCGCCTTCCTGATCAACTTCATCGCCATCTACTACCACGCCTCTCGTGCTATCCCATTCACGATCATGCTCGCCGTCTCCGCCATCTGCCTCTTTGTTATTCTTCCGCTGACACTCGTTGGAACTGTCATCGGAAGAAATATGGCTGGAACTGCCGACTATCCGTGCCGAGTGAATGCCGTACCTCGTCCGATTCCTGACAAGAAGTGGTTTGTGCAGCCGTGGCTCATCACTCTTGCTGGAGGAGTTCTTCCATTTGGATCAATCTTTATTGAGATGTATTTCATCTTCACTTCCTTCTGGGCTTACAAGATCTACTACGTCTACGGATTCATGCTTCTGGTCACCATCATTCTTTCCATCGTTACCGTCTGCGTCACAATCGTCTGTTCGTACTTCCTGCTCAACGCGGAAGACTACAGATGGAGATGGACAAGTTTCGCATGTGGCGCATCGACCGCCTTCTACGTCTATCTTTACTCTATGTATTACTTCTTCTTCAAGACGAAGTAATTAATGTCCATCTAAAATTTTTATTTACAATTTATTTCAGAATGTATGGTCTGTTCCAAACGGTCTTCTATTTCGGTTATATGGGAATCTTTGCCGCCGCTCTCGGTTTGATGACCGGAACAATCGGATACGTCGGGACTGCCAAGTTCGTGCGCAAGATCTACCAAACTGTGAAGATCGACTAAATCCTCAATCCACGTAATAATAATTTCCGAATCTCTCTTTTCGTTCCCATTTCCGTTATTTCTTCTATTCGTTCCCCGTCCTTTAACTCTTGGTGTTCTCTCGTTCATTTCCCAACCCACTTCCTGTGTATCAGATTCATTTTTTTGTTTTTTTGGTGATTGGTAGAAAATGGATCCATTTCTTCCCTTTTTTCCCCCTATTTATTTATTGTGTGTACGTTCCTCCACTCGCTTTCCTTTTCCTTCTTGCTCTCAGATAATAAACCAACATTTGGCTGCAATCAATCATTTCATTAGTTCCAAATAGATAAGGCACAGAAGATTGTGAAAGTGAACAAAATATGTGTCGGGATTTTGAAAGGACGCTATGATGAAAATGGATTCCCCCGTCATGCTAGGAACCCGTACGAAAATGAACATATTTGAGAGAAAGAAGCGGAGAGTGGGCGGTCATTCGTCGAAACGAACGAGCCGGGGGGAAGCGGGTCGACTGCGGGAAGCGGCTTCCGGTCCCTCGACGACGATGGTCGGGATAGTCAGGGTTACTGTCGGCGTCGTTTTGCATTCGGAAGGGACCGTGGTGGCCGGGAGACTGATGGACACCTGCTGGAGAGACTCGGCCAGACTGCACACGTCCGCCTCGTCCTCCGTCTTCGGCGCGTCGTCGATGTATTCGGAGCGGCGAGACGGCGAACAGTCAGTGTTGCGACGGGATCGGAACGAAGAACGGATCGACCCGCTGCTGCGACGGCGCTTGTAGAACTGATCAATCACGAAGTTCTCGAGTTTGATGACCTGAAAGAAGCGATAAGGAATTGAGAGAGGAAGGCGTGATTCTCACTTTGTCAAGAGATTTGATGAACTCTGTTTCGTTGAGAATCTTGAAGTCAAAATTCGTAGAATCGGACATCAACTCTTTGAACTTGGGAACTGTGTCATCGTTCTGCAATTCTCATTGTCTCCCAGTCGGTCATCATCTGAATCCTCACCTCCATGTCTCCAAATCGGACGCAGAGCATCGCGAGATCGTAGAAAACTCGCAGCCTGCTCGGATGGATCGCCCGCCTCCAGATCCGCCGCCCCATCATGAAGATCTCGGCGTACTCGTGCTTCACGTCGTGCCAGATCCTCTGCTTCTCTACCGGATCCACGAGGATCGGAGCGAGACGGTAATAGCACGCATAGATGGCCGACTCGTACCTAGAAAAAAGAAAGCTCATTTCTGAGTTTATGAGTTCGGAGGAGTCTAAAGGGCTTAAAATAACTGGCAGATGTGGCTGAGACTGGCGGGTTAATAATAAACCTCATTTTATTGGCTCTTATTTCGAACGATGGCGTCAGAGCTCACACAGAATTAGAAAAGAAGCTCTCGGAGCATACTCACCACGCGAGATAGCAGTACTTTTTGGAGATGTCGTGCAAACGGTCGAGCCAGTCGTAACACAACTGCTTCCGTTCCTCCGGCGTGCCCTCTTCCGGATCCGAGTACTGGAATTTGAACAGGTCGTTGGCCGTCCAGTCGTCGCCCTTCTTCCGCAATCGCTCAATCTCATTCGTCGGTTTTCGGTTCAATTTGGAGGCGACTCTTCTGAGCGGACGATCTGAAATCAGGAGAATAGAGTATAGTCTCATGCTCGTCTCAAAAGATGTTTCTTTCTTTCTTTCTTTCTTTCTTTCTTTCGACAACGCGTCATCATCATTTCGTCAGTTGTGATAGTGATAAAGAGAGGGCGAAAAGAGAATGGATCGAGTGGGGGACATGTGTCATTCGTCACGGCGTTGGTACGTGGAAAGATCGGCGAAGACGAAGAGGATCACAGATCGCGAAGTGATGTGACGTACTTGACACGTGTATTTGATTAGATTTGCATGGAAAGTTTTCGACGCTTCTACGGTTGTTGCCAATGAGAGGAGCAGATAATGTCCGGTCCCATTCAAAAGAAAGAGAGATAGAGGGATCCCTGGTGATTCTGTATCATGCTCGTTAGAGTTTTAGACCGTAACTGCCAGTATCGTAACCCCCATATTTCATTTCGCTCCTGAGCCAACCCTAAGATGCTTGTGTGTGAAGTCTGATCACCTGGAAGTTCACGAGCCCTATAACAATTCGCTCCAAACGACCCGCTGTTTTATCGGGCCCTTCCAGTTGTCAACCTACTCTTTATCACCCACTTCTTCTGCATCTCACTCTGTTTCTCCTCATCATCTATGCCTAACAGAACGCCCGCAAAACAGAGGGAGGATAGTCAGCTGCCCACACCGCTCGTCATCTCATTTTCGAAACGGAAAAGCAGCGACTCGGTTCGAGTGAGAGTGAAAACAAACCTGGCAACGGATGCAATTTCGCCTGACTTTTCCGTCTCTGCTGCTCGACGTCGTTGTTGGTCTCGCGAAGACATCGCTTCATTCGGATCACGCATCGACGGTATTGGGCCAGGAGCGAGGAGGCCAGCTCTCCCTTCACTTTCCGCCACTGACGACGCAGAAAACCGGGCTTTGGGTTCATCTGAAATACGGAAGATGAAGTGGTGAAAGAAATATGAAAGCAGAGAATAATGATCTCTGCAAAAGCTCCTCTAATCGGAATCAACTTATTTGACATCGGAGACGAAGGAACAAAACGATTTTGGGAAAGGCACACCTGTCTGAACCACTTGACGAGTTCATTCCGACCGAATCGACAGCGATTCTTCGGCTGGAGTCGAGTGGACAACATTAGAGAAGAGATTACGAGTTGTTGGGCGAAAACGTGAAAAAAGGGAAGTCGCTCGGAGCACAAGAATGTCCGATCAATCAATGTCTCTCTTGGCGGGAGCCCGAGCAAGTAATCCGCACGCGCTCAAAGTCACGTTCGTATAAGTTAGCACCAAAGTAGACGAGAGCGAATAGTACTAAGCGAGGAAGGAGTCTCCCAAGAAGAAGACGTTATCGTGGTGGTGGAGCACGTCACTTTGCGATGGACAAATTTCTGCCGACTGCTGCCGGAGGTCTGTGATGGGGGAAGGACCAAAAGTGTGCGTGACGTAGCCGTGATTTATTGGCGAGGGATGCAGTGTTTTGATAAAAGTGAGGAGCAAGGAAAAGCAGATTGTGATGGCAGATACGTGGATGGAATGATGTCAGGGGACGGGAGAATCTTACGGTAGACAGGAGCAGAAAGACTGCTAAGATTAGATGTCTGACGTAGAGGAATTTAATGAGAATTATGAGAAGGGGAGGAAGGGAAAGCTCAATTACACACATTCCTCGAAGCTATCATCCAAACTAACTACTAAGCTATTTTCTGTTCCTATTAACGAGCTGCTGTCAAACTCACATTTTTGTTGATATCCGATTCGGAATCGACGATTTTCGATCGCATATCAATCAGTGCATAGGAGAAGAAGAATTGTCTCTGCAATCAAACAAAAACAATTTTTGAAAGTGAAAAGAAAGGTCGGCTTGGCTGGAGAAGAAGTGAAAAAAGACATGTGGTGGTGGTGGTGGGAAGAGGGGCGGGAAAGGGAGGAAAGGAGGGAGAGAGACAGAACAACTGCGGACTCGCGGGAGAGCATGTGCCCGCTGGCTCCGATGATGAGCAGCGAGGCGCGGAGTCGCAGAGAACAGATAAAGATTGATTTGATCTGAAGGGAGAGGAGAGGACGTCTGGAGGTATAAATAGATGCGGAGAGACAAAAAGGTTGTGAAGATGCATCGATTGCAGCAGGTTTGCACAGAAGGGGCGGCGCCTCGAGTGATCTGCATCTGGCAAGGGATGGGCGCCACCGCCACGTGGAACATTTGTAGTATGGACAGAGGGTTGGGTTACCGGGAAGAGCAAGAGCAACTACAGTAACAAAAGTTCAAGAACGGATGGATGTTAGCTGCCCTCGGAAGCTTCTCATTTTTGGTGATTCGGACAGAAAGAACGCTCCAAACCCAATTTCACTCGTTGGCTCAATTTTGAAGGTTGAAGACCCGAAACCCGAAATTCTGAAGATTCTTTTCGTTTCTCTGCGTCTTCCGCTCTTGAAATCCATCGTCGGAAGTATCGAATGAACAAGTGTTCACAGTATGAAATACGAGCCCACTTCTATTGTAGAAGTTTTTCATTGCAGAATTCAAGTTGGGTCAACTGTTTGTGAGAGTAAAAATAGAAAGTGGGTCAACTTGGAATGGGATATTTGAAAAAGAACGTAGTGGTTCAGAGTTCGGAAGGAATGTACTTGGGACACCGGACCACGCGGTGCCCTTCCGAGTCAGCTGTCCGGAAGAACTTATCAGAATGGAATGAAAGGACACGCGGTAGGAACTGCAGGGAATCGGAAGCAGCCAAAACAACTGACACTCTAGAAGAGAATGAACAGGAGCTCGCAGAAGATCAGTGGCGGATATCGTAAACGGAAACGTTCCGACAGCCTCGGATGGCAAGCCTCTCTTGTTTCTCTTCCATTACCCGAAAGGCTTTGTTTCTACGCCTTCTGTGGGCGTCGTCGTCGTGTCGCAGTGTCATATGAATACGGAATGTGTGGGCGCCAAAACGAAGGAATCCGAAATGCGATTTTCCGGGAGAACGCGTCACAAATTGACTGAGAACAAGTAAAAGTAGAAGAAACAGAAATAGAACAAAAACTGACGCGAGAAACGGAAAAGCCGGGGACTTCACGGGTAGGTCTCTCTGGAAGAAGGGTTTGAGTGACCATGGACTTGAGAAGAAACGACGAGGAGTGGACAGCTGGAAAAAAGGGAAAGATGGGCCCATTCGTCGGATCCCATGGGAGCGAGACGTCATCGGTCGCCGAAAGTTCGAGAGATCATCACTGCATTAGGACGATTGGAGAATTTGGCAGAACGGGACCACGTGCGGCCCGGATGAGCGACCTAACTGACTATGAGAATTGGGATTTCAGGTCAATCCGAATTCACTTCACACGCTTTCATTCCGCAAAAACACAAAGGGACTCCAGAAGCTGTTTGGCAGATGTGCAGACGGACCTTGCAGCTCATCCCCTTTCCCCCGTCGCCTCTATTTTTATATACAAACGTAATGTGTCGAAAGCGGTCCAAACAATGGCTCCGTGTCGTCATCGGACCCTCTCTCTCTCACTTCATCGTCGTCTCCGTTTCGAACGCAAAAGTTCTTGACTCATAGTCTCGAAAGAAGGACTTCCGCGGCGACGAGAGGACGTGTTCGGTCGAAAGACGCAGACGACAGACACCGGTCATCTGCTCGCTGTGTAATTAATGTTTTTTGTTGTCTGAGACGGAAGGTCCGACACTCGACGACAAGTTTTCCGTCCGTGACGCAAATAGCGCCGGTGACTAAAAAGTTGGGAAATAGCCGGGAAGAGTCGGGTGAGGAAGAAATAGCGAATTAGTTCAATTGCGAAAGTTCTGACGCAAATCGTCGTAAATTGGGAGCAAAGGTCCGCGGACGGCGAGGTTTTGAAACTTTCCGATGGTTCGTGCACTCTCGGAACAGAGTGAGGGATGGGGCAATATGCTCCAAGTCCTTGGTTAAACAATCAGAGTTGAAAGTGGAAAAGTTGAAAGTGAGAAAGTTCAAAAGACGACCCGGTGGATCAAAACGCAAAGTGGGTCATGTTTATAAAAGAGAGTAGCTCACACAGCTCACACTGCACACACATACACAATAAAAGATATATGTACAACATCAGGGAGGTGCATGCATATTTATGTGGTCGATGGAGGCCTCATCGTCGAGCAGAGGACCTCTGAAGGCGCCCTGCGAAAAAGAACATTTTGAGCTGGACGCGGCCCGCTCCGAAACGAAAAGAGAGAAGACGAGAGCAGCTCAATTTCGGGTCGGGAAACAAGGAGAAGAAGACGAAGGAGAAGAGGAAGAGAAGTGGATGACGCGGGTATTTGGGCACGCAATCGAGTCGAAGAGAAGAAGCGTCGGAGGGAAATGGAAATGAAGAGTCGGTGATTGATTTACGGTGTGAGCGAGTCTGGATGCAATTGGAAATCGGAATTATTCAGGCGGGTTGCAGATCGGCTCGCAGCACACAATTTATGCAAAGAAATGGGTCCAGTTAATTGGGAAACGCCTTTGGTGGGATTCGTACTCGTCCGAATCCGTGGAGTTTCAATTATGCTGCAAAATCACGTAAACTCTCCGCCGCACCGTCCGTCTCGCCATTAACAAACAGACGAAGAAGCGGGAGAAGAAGAAGAAGAAGCCCGACGGGACGGTTGTGTACAAATTGGTTCGCTTTTACGAAACTGCTTAGAAAGTTTTAGCGAGGAAAACGAGCCCGAAAATTGGAAAATTGGAGAAGGTTGTGATGTGCGCGAAGAAGGAAGCGGCGATAACCGAATTACATGTCCGGAGAAGAAAGAATCGAGTTATGTGGTGTGCAAAAGTAGGTCGACTGGGGGAGTGAAGGGAAGAAGATTTACGTCTTCAGCTCAGATTTATCCAGAAATGACGTCACTCTGAATCGCTTCTCCTTCTCCTTCTTCTTTTTCTGAATTTGACATTTCCGGAAACATTTTGGTCTAAAATAAGAATAAGGAAGAGAAAGGAGGGGATAATGATCGAAAATCAAAAGGTGGCGAAACTGTTTGAGAAGGAAAGCGAGAATTAAAAACCGATCGGAAACGACGGTCAAACAATAATTCAGTCGGAGCTTTTTGTGTGTGTATATGTGTCGGGCTCCGCGTGGCGACGACCCTACTGTTTGACACTATTTGTTCGCGAAAAAATGAAATAAATGCGAAGTGAGCAGGCAGGCGAATTGAGCCGATAGGTCTGAAAGGGAATGAGTTCAGGATCTGTAGGATGTATTCCGATTGCCACTTCACTTCTTGTAACCCCGTATTCCCAATCTCAGTTCGTTTTCAGTTTCGCTTCCCCACCCAGCTACACAATGGCATTCCATTTGAATCACTCCCGTTCGCAAATGAGTGACGTCCATAAAAAACGGGATGCCAACAATAACAGAATAATAGTTAGGTCATCCAATTCTGTTCTCTCCGTTTCCGCTTCATTCTCACTGTTTCATTACCCAGTGTAACAGGGTGGCAAGCCAAAAAACGAAAGGGACAAGCGACGGCATGTCAACAAATGCGAAGTACAATCAGATTACAATCGAGCTACAAACTTATTCTTCTTCTTCTTCCGACATCGGAGGTCATTCGATCGGCGACCTTGCTAACGGAAATCGGGTTTCGCTTCGTTTTATTATCAAGAAAAACGGCGGCCGCTTCCTCGTTTAGGACCGCCCGTCTCAAGGTGGTTTCCCGACAGATATGGCATTGGAATTCCTCTTTGAAACAGTTAATACCGATTAGAAAACACGGCGATGTCTGACGAGAGATAAGTGGTCTCTCAAAAATTGAAGAGGACAGAAGACGGAAGAAGACGGACGAACAAGGAAATGAAAAGTAGCGGTGATTTTGGAGGAATTCAGGAAGCATCCGAGTATTGTGATTCACACCTAGAATGCGTAAAAAGCCACGTGGACAGAGCATTTCAGGAGTACTGTGGAAGACAGCCTATTTCCGCATGAACTTGTCAGTCTTCAGATTCCTCGAATTCCGCGGCGTTCAGACAACCTGCACTCTTCGCCGAAATGTCTTAACCATAGCTAATCCGGTTGCCCTTTTTGCGCGGGAAAGGTGTTCATCCGATTAAATCATCCGTGTTGTGTAACAAAAGTTGCCAAAAGCCTCTCCCCCGCCACCGTCTCCAAAAAACAACAGCATTACGACGTACGGAGGGAGGAAGAGATCGGGTGGTTGCGTACGTACCGATCAAGTTTTTGTCTTCGTGTAGCTGCTACCTGCAGCCAGGTATCGAATTGGGCGGCGCTTGTTTCTGAAGACGACCGTATAAAAGGAGAGCGGTGCGATGAGATCTTCAGTGCCAAAATGGACCTCGAACAACGTATCAAGGCCTACCGCTTCGTCGCCTACTCGGCCGTCGCCTTCTCCGTCGTCGCCGTCATCTCGGTAAGTTTCAGAAGCTCTCCGCAGCTCGATCGGATTCCAATGTTCACCTTTTCAGGTGTGCGTCACCCTCCCAATGGTGTACAACTATGTCCACCATGTGAAGAGAACGATGCACTCTGAGATCAACTTCTGCAAGGGATCCGCCAAGGACATCTGGAGCGAGGTCAACCACCTGAAGGCTATCCCAGCCGGAAACCGTACCGCCCGTCAAGCTGGATACGATGCTGGAGTCACCGGAGGATCCGCCTCTGCCGGAGGAGGATGCGACGCTTGCTGCCTTCCAGGAGCCGCCGGACCAGCCGGAACCCCAGGAAAGCCAGGACGTCCAGGAAAGCCAGGAGCGCCAGGACTCCCAGGAAACCCAGGACGCCCACCACAGCAGCCATGCGAGCCAGTCACCCCACCACCATGCAAGCCATGCCCAGCCGGACCAGCCGGACCACCAGGACCACCAGGACCAGCCGGAGATGCCGGATCTAACGGAAACCCAGGAGCCCCAGGAAACGACGGACAGCCAGGAGCCCCAGGAAACAAGGGACCATCTGGACCAAACGGAAACCCAGGAGCCCCAGGAGCCCCAGGACAGCCAGGACAGGATGCTCCATCTGAGCCAATCACTCCAGGAGCACCAGGACCAGCTGGACCAGCCGGACCACAGGGACCACCAGGAGCCCCAGGACAGCCAGGACACGACGGACAGCCAGGAGCCCCAGGACCAAAGGGACCAAACGGAAACCCAGGAGCCCCAGGAGCCGACGGAAACCCAGGAGCCCCAGGACAGTCCGGAACTCCAGGAGGTGCCGGAGAGAAGGGAATCTGCCCCAAGTACTGCGCCATCGACGGAGGAGTCTTCTTCGAGGACGGAACCCGCCGTTAAGCAACGCACTCTTTTCATCAAAAATAAAATCATTCATTCAATCTCTTGTCTTCTTGTCTTTGAATTCTAATGCAAAGGGGGTGGAAGATGGTATCTGTGAAGGGAAACGGCCTTCAGCGCCGTAAGAATCACACAATAGCTGAGAAGGTTGGTGTGTCCTTCCTTTTTCAAATGTCCTGGGCTCCGTCAGAACGTGAACTGCCTTTCCAACACGCCAAACCAATGAACTTTGTACTCATTTTACGTTTGCATCAAACCAATTTCACTGAAGTATGGCGAATTCTAGATCTACATCTAAAAGCAGCCGTTGCAAGGCTTCGGTTTTCTTTTTTGAATGGGCTGTGAGTTCGTTATTCTCTCCCTCTGTCAACCGATGTTGACTAGACTACTACTCTGGATGCGTACACGAAAAAAGTGAAATCGAACTACCTGAAAGTGCTGGTTGCTCATTGCACACGAGCTCGGATGGGCGACGAAGACGCCAGCAAGTCGTTCGATTACAGCGAGTTGGGAGCCAATCCGAGGGTTATCAAAGACGACCGGGAAGACATTCGGAGAAGACTCAAAGAATCGATGAACAGAATCTGGACGAATGAGGAGGCGAAACCGGATACGGTAGGCAACAAGCACACTTCCGAAGCCTCTATTCTCTTTTTAGCCTATCTCGCTCGCTGAACTCTCTGCCCTTTACCGTCTGAAAACTCTAATCAAAATGTGCGAGAAACTGGCTGCGATCATGTCGAATATGGTGAAATGGCTGGAGAGCAACAAAGAAGTAAGTGCCAGACACTCTTCTCATTTATAGCATTGCACTTGCAGATGTTTTCAAAAGCTTCCGGGAGCAATCAAATCTTCGAATACGTCCGCAGAATGTTCGAATCAGTGTGTGCAATCGGAGAAGTGTTCCGTCTGACGTCAGTCAACTGGATGTCTTGCAAATATGCGAAAATGTTGAAGCCGACCGAGACGGAGTACACGCGAGGCGATGACGGAATGCTGGAGATTGAGAAGGCGGAAAAGTATTGCCCGCAGTTCATGAGCCAGATAAACTACTACCGCACTCTCGTCTACATTCTCGCGTGCTCATTCGACGGGGTTCTGGAGACCATATTCCTGAGCATCGACAAGGACAGATGCGGAGTTCAGCAGAAGTGAGAATGGAAGGAGATGGTGTTCGAATGGGACACTTTTTCAGAGACATCAAGGCGGTTCTGCAGATGCTCCCTCCACAGTATCTCTTTGCCAAAGACTACGTCAAGTTGTCCCGTCGAACTGCGACTCTTCTGGAGCATCCGCCGAAAAACGAGCTCAGTTTCCCAATGAAACCGATTGTCAGTTTCAGTTGAGAAACAACACAAAACGATTCACGCATTTCAGGACCCGAACTACAAATCAGAAACGTCGGCGAAGCAGGCATCGACGAAAAACAACAAATCGGCAAAGATCACTTCGAGCAAGTACGTGCACGCGAGGAATGCCGAGACAAGAAGCCCGACGCTGAAGTCCGAAGGCACTCAGAACTCGGGGAGCAAGAGCAAAAGCAAGAGCAAGAGCAAGTCGAAGAAAAAGTCCGTCTTGAAGAGGTACGGTAATTCTGTCAAGCCGCATTACACTCAAATTTTTTTTCAGAGTTATGGATCAGGTCAGCAGTCCAAAGAAGTCGGATAGAGAATAATTGGCATCCATTATTTCTGTTGTTTTTCCATTCGTTTGTGTCTGTCTGTAAATACATGTTTCTCGATGGAAAAGTGCAAATACGGCATGATTGCGAATAAATCATAACCTGCAAATAGTCTCTGGAATGACAAAAAAGCTGATCAAATAGTCGGATAATTGTCATCGGACGGTCGGAAACGAATGCGATACGCGCCCCAAAAATAATAAATGTTATTATGGGAAATGCAAACGAATCGAACGGCATTCGGTGAAACCCTGACACTTTTCCGCCGCCGCTTTTCTCCAAATGCTCTTTCAGTCGGCTCTCCTCTTCTGTATTCTGATTACTGATGTTACGGCGACGCATCGGATAAAGGGAATCCGGAACAGAGACATTGTGCCGAGGATCAAAAGACAACTCTATCTGTGCGGCATTCAGCCCTATCAGTACTATTCCACTAATCGTAAGTGAGAAAGTATGCAATATCATCACTTATCCCTTCTTCAGCGTGTCCGTCTTCGCAGTCCTGTCCCAACGGCGGCATACTCTTGAACGTAGCCTGCCAACAGTCTTATCAGTGCACCCCGTACTATTCGGGCGTCTCCTCGTGCATCAACGGCTTCTGCTGCACGTCTCCGAACGCCCTGAACAACCCGATTCCCGCCACCACCACTACAAAAGCTCCGGTCGTCCCGAACAGCTTCAGTGAGTCAATTCTCGCTTCCTTGAACCCGGAGTGAAAGTCGATTTAAGGTGTCTGTCCGTCGGGCCAACTTTCGGAAGTTCGATGCACGACACGCAGCCAGTGCGCCTCCGGACAAACCTGTATCGGAGGACTGTGCTGTACGACAACGGGAAACGAGTGGAATGGTATGCAAATGCGAGGCCATGCCAAAACAGCGGAATTCACGAAAACCGCGGATGCCAAAACCGCGGAAGCCAAAACCGCGGAAAAAAATGCCAAAACCGCGGAACCGTGCAGGCGCAATACTTGACGCGCATTTTCAGATTTCGGCGTTTATTGAATAGAAGGGATTGAAATTTAATAGCATCAAACATGACAATTTGCAGAAAATAACTTTAAACATTTATTTTGACGTATAAAAAAAAGGCAGCAGTAAAGAAAAATAGCAGTTTTGGGTAAAAAAAAGTCATCACCTTCTCGTTTGGTCGATTGAGATTAATCCGTTTGAAGTTTCCCCCCAAAAATGCGTTACTTTCAGTTTTTTTCTGTAATTTTTGCTGTTCGATCGCGCAAGATGTTTGCTTTGTATTTATGCGATTTATCATTCTCAAAACCAATTTTGTGTGAAAACGGTCAGGAATGAGCAATATAAGGAGTGTGGTTTTCAGGCGGGGAAGGCGAAAAAACGAAATACTTGGCGGAAGCCACGCCTATAATGTCAGCTCTGGAGGTGGCTACCCCTAGCCAGAACTGTTTGAATCGGAACCGTCCTAAATCAGAAGCTATCTGCATGTGGTTTTTGTTACAAAAAGTCGTGTTGATTCGAGACAGTTCTGGCTCGGGGTAGCCTCCTCTGGAGACCGTGAAAAAAAAAGATTTAAAAAAATATTCTGCAAGTCCCAACTAAATGTGAAAACCCGGCAGGCACCACGAGCTTTTTCTATTCAGGACCACTTTTTCTATTCAGGACCACACATTCGCCGTGGAATTGCAGACAATAGAAATATGCTGATGATATCTGTCAAAATAATTTTAAATATAACTCTCATTTCCAATTTTTTTTTCAGAACTTCCAAACTTCATTACTTTGTTTGATGCTATTAAATTTCCAATTCCTTCTATTCAATAAACGCCGAAATCTGAAAATGCGCGTCAAGTATTGCGCCTGCACGGTTCCGCGGTTTTGGCATTTTTTTCCGCGGTTTTGGCTTCCGCGGTTTTGGCATCCGCGGTTTTCGTGAATTCCGCTGTTTTGGCATGGCCTCGCAAATGCTGTTTTTGGCTGGCAGTTGGCTGCCGAATGGGTTTGACGGCCACGCTTTTTTGGTTTGATGCGAATGGCAAATGTATTGTGACGCCAAAGTGTTTCAAATGTGGTTTTGGGTTGAGAAAAGTGAGGGAAGGGCACGAATGAACGTGTACGTTTTCAGTGGCGTGCGGGGGAGAAGCCGCGCTTGGATCGTGTGATTTCAATGGAAGATGTTCGGCAATCAGCCAGGTGTGCACGTCCGCCAACTACTGCTGCGAGTGCCAGTATGGAAAAGTATACGGCACTTGCGGAAATGTAAGACTCTCTTCAAATCAAATTCATCTCAATCCTTCACAGGGCGTCTGTCCGAACGGCTTCTCGTGCCAACCAAACGGAAACTGTTGTCCAGTCTGTCCGAACAATCAGATGCCGTTCGGAAGCTGTGTTGCAGGCCAATGCGGAGCCGGAAGAACGTGTCGTCCTGGAAATATCTGCTGCTGAAACTCTTACTTTCTCATCTACTTCCGACGTCAATCTCCAGTTTCTCTGTTAAGTATTGCGCAAAATAAACTGTAAAATTGAATTTTTAACGATTACAGAAGGCGGTGTTGCGTGAGAAATTCAAGCGACTTTCCCTGTCGTTCAGGCTCATTGAAAAAGCGAGCAAGTGTTTTACCGGACAAACAAACAGAAATTTTAAAAAAATAAAAATATTTATTGATGAGATCTAAAAATGGATTTTCAAGAATTGTGGCCCTAAAGAGGGCCGTTGGGTTCGGTGTTTGTGATTCGAAACGGACTCAAAACCTAGAAAGCTAGGAAATTAAGCTCGCTCTCCTCGGATACGTCTGGCCAGCTGGATATCTTTTGGCATGATGGTGACTCGCTTGGCGTGGATGGCGCACAAGTTGGTGTCCTCGAAAAGTCCGACGAGATAAGCCTCAGCGGACTCCTGGAGGGCCATGACAGCGGAAGACTGGAAGCGGAGATCCGTCTTGAAGTCCTGGGCGATCTCACGGACAAGTCGCTGGAACGGCAGCTTGCGTATAAGAAGCTCGGTCGACTTCTGGTAGCGTCTGATCTCACGGAGAGCGACGGTTCCTGGACGGTAACGATGGGGCTTCTTAACTCCTCCGGCGGCCGGCGCAGACTTGCGGGCAGCCTTCGTGGCCAGTTGCTTTCTCGGAGCCTTTCCTCCGGTCGACTTGCGGGCGGTTTGCTTGGTACGAGCCATATCGATTTATGAGAATCCTACGTAGGTTGGACTGTGAAAAACGCGCGGGCGCAGTCGTCTTTTAACCTGACTGCGGTGCGAGGGCGGAGTCGCGCCGCTTGTTCGTGCGGTAGCGTGCATTCGGCGCTCTCGCTGCTGCCAAAGGTGTCCCCGCAGAGTGGTTGAAATAGACCCCGCCCCCGCACCTCGCCTCTGCTTTTTAAGTCTGCCGCCAACTGGTGATTCTCATCTCACTTGTGAGTCTTCATCAACAACCGCTGCAACAATGTCCGGACGTGGAAAGGGAGGAAAAGGCCTCGGAAAGGGAGGAGCCAAGCGCCATCGCAAGGTTCTTCGTGATAACATTCAAGGAATCACGAAGCCAGCCATCCGCCGTCTCGCCAGAAGAGGAGGAGTCAAGCGCATCTCTGGACTCATCTACGAGGAAACTCGCGGAGTCCTGAAGGTGTTCCTTGAGAACGTCATCCGTGACGCCGTCACCTACTGCGAGCACGCCAAGAGAAAGACTGTCACCGCCATGGACGTCGTCTACGCTTTGAAGCGCCAAGGAAGAACCCTGTACGGATTCGGAGGATAATTTCTTCGTTTCCCGCAGCAAACCACCGAACCCAACGGCCCTCTTTAGGGCCACAATTACCCAAAATCCATTTTTATGCGTACTTTCAATAAATTTATCAAACTGATGGTATCATTATTATTAGCGTTTGTAGATTTCTCCGGTTTTCCGTCTCTGCCTTAGTTCCACAAGTCTTGAGATTCTGACTTCAAAAATTTTGGTAATGCCTTTCATGCCTGACTGTTATCAGTCCATGCCATTTTTCAAACAATGCCTCCGACCAGTGACCGTTATACAGTGGGTTGTTATTAGTATACTGTAAATTGACTAAAAATAGAGTTGACATCATCTGGACATATCTATAATACTAGAGACTTGCACAAAATTTCCAGTACTTAATAGTGACCAGCTCGTAGAACCCCAAGAAATTATCATTTATTCTAGGACCCCAGACACCAAAATTGTGTCCAAGTTTGGTTACGAAGAAGTTTCAACAAATTTATGCTTGTTGAAAGTCGAAATCCCTGTTTTTGCACCAGAAACGAAAATCGGGCACACAAAACATAAGGGCCAGTAAGTTCCGAATGCCCGGATGATGTCAAAATGTTTGTTTCTGTAGTTCTAACAATTCTGCATCACGTTTTACTCTCAAATTGGCAGTTTTTCAAAAACGTTTATCATGTGAGCAGGAAAGGGGTCACGAAGAGTTGTAAGTGCGGAAAGATCGACGATACGTGGAGGCGAACTTTCCAGCGATTTCCTCGCTGATCAATTTGTTGGAAACGCCGAAATCGAGAACCACTTTCCAGATGAGCATGTACTGCTGAACTGTTTGAACGGCGCAAGCACGTCCATTCAGACGCAGGTCGATGACAATCTGTGAAAGAGAAATGGGAAAGATTGCACAAGGTTCTAGCTACCTGCTTGATATCCGGAACTTTGAAGTGACTGTTGATCGCCTGAAGTGCTATTTCGACGGCCATCAGTGTTCCCGATCGGCCGACTCCAGCGGCACAGTGGATGATGGGTGGACTGCTTCTCGCTCGTATCTTCCGCAAAATTTTGAGCATGACTTCCGAGGATCCGGGCACTTGGTAGTCCGGCCACTCCTTCCACTGGAAATGAGTGATCACGCGTGCTTCTCCCTCGTAGTGCAGCTTCAGTCTGGTCGTAACCATCGTCTTGTTCACCGTCGAATCTTCGTAAGAGACGACCAGTTTGTCGAAACGCAGTGTGCAGTTTGCATTCCTCGGGAAATATTCCACGCATTTCTCGCGATTCGTCTCCACGAACTGACACAGCATGACGATCGCAGCCGTCTGTTCTTGCCACACCATTCTCCAGAAGTCCGCAACCGTCTCTTTCTTTGGTCCCTGAGTCAGAATGTAGTCTCTTTTCAGGAACGGACTCTTGATGTAGTTGGCGTGAATGTACTCGGCTCCCGGCTGATTCTTGTTGGTCCGGAAAGTGAGACGAACTCTCGAGGTGTCGAGGCACGGAATATCTCCAAATCATCGATATTTAAAAAATTATCCTAGTGAAAGCTTACTTGTATACCGATTTTTCTTCTGATTCACTGACGAATTAAATGCAACGCAGTGCTCGGGAGGAGGGTCCCCGGGAAGGGAGTTGAATTCGAGCAGAAAGTCGTCTAGAGTCAGCTTCTGAGTGCTCATTCCGAGTTCTTTGAACAGCTTCTTATACGTGTCACGCTGCTCTTCGTCGTCCGCCAACGATATCGAGTAATCTTTCGTCTGAAAGTACGTGCTCATTATCGTGACTTTGACATTGCTAACTTCCGAAGCGTCTTCCTGTGATCGACTACTTCTAAGAGGAGTCGACGAGCCGAGCAGCGTCTTCTTCGGAAGACTCCTTCTGTCGCAGTTCAGTTCCGTTTCCCCGTCCAATCCAATCAGAGACCGTTCACTTTTCACCGACTTCTTCCTCGAAGGCACGTGCTCCAATGATATCTCGTTGCTGCCGCTCAGTGATTTTATAGCGCCCTCTTTCAATTTCCTCATGTTTACCTCGTCGCTTTCACTCCTGGAAGCTCTCAAATGTTCCCAATTTCACTTCAAATCCGCCCACTTTAATGCATGTTTTTTCCTTTTGTCTTCAGCTAACGGCGGCGTTTTCTGAATTCTGGAAGGGGAGAACGGAAGACTGGCCACCGTCTTCTTGATAATCTGAGCCGTGTTCTGTTTCTCCTTCTCTGGCGAATCGACTCGTGGCTTCGCCGTCGTGGCATCTACTCTTTTCCGGAACGTCGATTTTTCGGGCTTCGCGGCAGGTTTCTCGCTCCTGGAATCAGATTCCGAGACTGATTCCTTCTTTTTCTGTGGCGTCGACGACGACGATCTACTGCTGGATCGAGGCTGCTTTGTGGGCTCATGTTTTGCTTTCTGCACAACGAAAACGAGTGATGGGAGTGCCATCATACGACTTACTCTACTGAATCTGTTCATTGTCGAAATTCTTTGTGCTCTTTTTAGAAAGAAAAATAAGCAACCTTCACATTTCTGACCTTTAAATAAACTTACGTGCCCTCGAACGCACAGAGACCGTCATGAAGAAAATTAACTAACACAAGTATCGAATTTATTAAAAGCAATACATGGATATTCAGAAATGTGGCCCTAAAGAGGGCCGTTGGGTTCGGTGGGGTTTGTCGGAGGTTCTTATTCCTTATCACCGGCAGTCTTCTTTGGCAGAAGAACAGCCTGGATGTTAGGGAGAACTCCTCCTTGAGCGATGGTAACTCCGGCCAACAGCTTGTTCAGCTCCTCGTCATTGCGGACGGCGAGTTGAAGATGTCTTGGGGCAATACGGGTCTTTTTGTTGTCACGGGCAGCGTTTCCGGCCAACTCAAGAACTTCGGCGGCGAGGTACTCCAGCACAGCGGCCAAGTAGACTGGCGCTCCGGCTCCAACACGTTGAGCGTAGTTTCCCTTGCGAAGAAGACGATGAAGACGTCCGACCGGGAATTGGAGCCCGGCTCTCGACGAGCGGGACTTGGCCTTTCCTCCGGTCTTGGCTTTGCCTCCCTTTCCGCGTCCAGACATGGTGATCGATTAGTTGGTAGTTGAAGAACTATCTGAAGTAGCCGACCCGATTGGGCTTTTATATATTCCGCGTCAGGTGAAGGGGCGGAGCCAGTCTCGACCCCCTTGCGGGGACACCTAACACGCGCGCACGCGCCGAATACACACAGCAGTAGGCGCCCACCCTCACTAAGACCCGCCCCCACACCGCAGCGATTGTATAAATTTGAGAGCGCACAACCAGCGCCTCATACTTGTCAACCCGACCAGTCAAATCAATCGAAATGGCCCCACCGAAGCCGTCTGCCAAAGGAGCGAAGAAAGCCGCCAAGTCCGTGACGAAGCCGAAGACCGACAAAAAGAGGAAGCATTCCCGCAAGGAGTCCTACTCGGTGTACATCTATCGTGTGCTCAAGCAGGTCCACCCCGACACCGGAGTGTCTTCCAAGGCTATGTCGATCATGAACTCGTTCGTCAATGACGTGTTCGAGCGCATCGCCGCTGAAGCTTCTCGTCTCGCTCACTACAACAAGCGCTCGACGATCTCTTCCCGCGAAATCCAGACGGCCGTCCGTCTGATCCTTCCGGGAGAGCTTGCCAAGCACGCCGTTTCTGAGGGAACCAAGGCTGTCACCAAGTATACCTCCAGCAAGTAAGCTCCGGCTGAAAGCTAACCCAACCGAACCCAACGGCCCTCTTTAGGGCCACAATTATCCAACGATCCATTTCATCTGTTTCGTAATTAATAAATTTGTCTTTATTTAATTTTTAGATCATTCCTGTTTCACCTCATTTTCCGATGAAAATTCAGGGTTTCGGAAAAACATCAAAATTTTCGGACTCTTTTCAACGACACTCCGTTTTAACGCGGCGCTGAATTTAACATTAGCCACTGGGGAGACAGTTAAACGGCGGGAAATGCCACGTTCCTTTCTCCGACTGTTCCATTCATTTCGCCCAACGACAACAATAAACGAAGCGGGAGAATGGTAATTTCAATTTTTGAGCTCAATAAATTAGATAATTTTTCAGTTGTCGCTCCCATTTCTCTTCTCATTCCTTTTCTTCGTCGACGGATTCTTCAGTGCTTCGCATCCGGATACCTTGACTGCTTTTGGTATTCCTTATGAAGATTTTCACTGTGGGACTAAAGGCGTTGTCAAAGACATGGCCATAGCAAGAATAAACGAGTCGTGTGTCGTAGCTGCCAGTGAGTTTAGACGAAATGGAAGAAGGAAGCAAAACATTCAATATCAGCTGACTTCAACCATTGCTGCGCCGTTCATGACGACTGTTACGGCACTCAGAGAGGACAGGAATTCTGTGACGATCAGCTCTGTGCGTGTCTCGACGTAAGCAGCCCGTTCAATGTTTCCGCAATTCATTAATTTCAAAACAGAATCACGTGGAGACCGTTTCGGCCAAATGTAAGGAACTGTCGGGACTTGCGTGCAACCTGGTCAAAATATTCGGTCACGATGCCTATATTAGTTCCTTTCATCCGACACTCCCACTGCCTCCACAGCCGATTGCTCAACGAAGGATTCCTGCTCTTCAGAAGATTATGACAGCATACCAGGATCTATATGTTCATTGCCCGTATCAGAACAGTACGGTTCTCTGTTCATCCTGAATCCCATCTCGACTTTTTCAGTTACCTTTTCTTCTTGTGCTCTCAACCACGACATCTGCGCCGACAAGAAACGTGACAATTGTGTGCTCGCCCTAATCAATTGCCTCGAGGGCACTGCGGTCGGAAGACCCAAGAGTCTCGAGTGTGATGAAGCCATCGAAAAGACGCTGTTCAACTTGATCGACGCGGACAAGCCGGAGATCGTCCTCATCGAGCACTGGTTCATTCACAAAGTGGTGAGAGAGACTCCCTTCCGATCCCAAACATTTTCCGATCTCTTCCAGTTCCGTAAATTCTCTCGCCCCTTCAACGCCGCTTTCCTCTACACGGCCATCTTCGGCGGCGTCCTTCTCTTTGCTCTTCTCGTCATTGTCGGATGCACTCGCTTCGACAACAGAGTCGTTCTTGACGATCTTCCGGTGAGTAGTAAGAGTTCGTCTGCCTCCGCCGTTTCCAGTCGGACCGCCCTTTCGGAATCCTCTCGCCGTTGATTTTTCTTTGTATTTTCACGTTCATTATGTTAAACGACGTGGCTTCGTGTATTTGAATAAATTCTTTCTTATTAGTACAAAGTTTGGCTACAGTTATTATTAGTCGGGAATGGTGAGTTTCCATCTGGAACCCTTCAGAACATCACAATCAATTCAGTTGTCGATTCCATTGCTCTTGACGACATCTCTAATGCTCTCCGCAGCCAATCCAATTCGAGATCCAACTGTGAAAGATAATAGTTCTAAGCATCAAGCTCTTCCAGCTGATTCGTGGCAGTGTGCGCCCATCACCCGGAATGCGACCTTCGATAGTGAGATACTAGAGTTGTGCCCCTCGTCCGCATGTTCGTTGATACTTCTGTGCATCCGCTGATCCCCCGATCTTTCAGTGGAAGTCAATCATTGTTGTGCCATCCACTCGGATTGTTCCATGCATCCGAGACTCGACTTCGACTGCGCAAGCCAATATTGCAATTGCCTGGATCGAATAGTTCACGAAGGACAGAACGCGGAAAAGTGCGAGAATCAGACTGCGAGCACGTGCGCTCAGCTCCTATTTACCGACATTCTCTCCTACCCATACGGTTTTCTCAAAAGGGCTCCAGAGCCCATTCCCGTTGAGAAACGAAAAGTTCCGTTCATTCCGAAGATTGCTTCGGACTACCGGAATTTGTACGAGAAGTGTCCGTTTCAGAATGGTATTTTCAAAAAAAAATCGTCGTTTTTTGAAAATTTTCATCTGTTTTAAGTCACTCTATACTCGTGTGCTCTCAAGTTCGATTTCTGTTCCGGCAACTCAGACGGATGTGCTCTGGGACTGATGCGATGTTTGGAAGGAACGAAGGAGGGACGGGCGAAGAATAAAACATGCGACAAGGCGATCGAGGCGGTTCTGAACGGAATGATCAACACGTTCGCGGACGAGACACCGAGTCCCGTCCCGGATGATTTCTACGGAATCATTCAGAAAGTGGTGAGGCCAAAAAGCGCTTGTCTCGTTCCATTCTCCCTTGTTTCAGTACCGCAGACCTACATCCGTCGACAGTGGCTTCTACATTTTCCTCATAGTTTTCGCTTTCTTCTTCCTCGTCTGCCTCGTCGCCCTCTTCGCTTTCACGAGAATGAACGACCGCGTCGTGTTCGATGAGATTGCTCCGCCCACGCACACGGAAGATCCGGAGAGCACCCGAGAGGTGTCTACGAAGTCATCGGAAAGGAACTAGGACATGATTAAAGGCTTCTGAAAATAAAAATTTCACGTGGATTCCGATTCCCTGGTAGCCATGCTCTATTTTCTGAATTCGAGAGTATTGAGAGTATTAAACATTCCCAACCTCTCACAAATAATGAAACTTTTTATCTTCATCCTCTTGCTATCTTCTTTCTGTGAGTCCCTTCCGCGTCCCGGAAGAACTGCGAATCTTCAGCACATTTGTCGAATTCCGAAGAGAAAACGACGGAGGACACTGTAGAAATCATCAGAAAAACCACTTCCAGCTCATCCGTGCCGCCCGAGAAAAGAAGAGAAACCGAGAAGGCGTTCAATGAGAGAAGAAGAAAAAAGGCGAAAGTGCTCGGGATTGCAAACATGAACAAACTAGTAACAACTGAACAGTCTTTCATGAAATTTACTGAATTTGGTTCAGATATCTGATGACCAACTGTGGATGGAAAAATGTGAGAAAGTCCGGGATGGGCAAAACTACAAACGAGCGGATATGAAGTATGAAATCCGATCGCGCGAATTCGAGCTAATTCTGACGAAAGAGAGTAACATTGCCGAAGGATCGAACATTGGGAAAATGGAAAGATTATGGCCGACGAACGCGAAGTTTGGATGCTCGTGTCCGTGGAAGAAAACCTTCGACGTCTGCTACTTTACTCCCGGGTAACCCACGCCCCCTGCTTTGTACTCATTTTTTTCAGTGGAAAGTGGAAATACTCGGACATCATTCTCGGAGTTGCCGGATCCGCTTGTGGAGGACAAGTCGAGGACGGACTGTGTCTGCCGACGAACCTGCCGCCACGTCAGCCGATTCCGATCGTCCGGATCACGACGACGACGGAAGCGGAGACGACGACGAGGGCCATTCGGACTACGATCGTCTCGGAGTGCGGACGGAGATTGCGGACCTTCTGGATCAGTTTGGCTGTTTTGATTGCTTCGAAATGGAATAAATGATTGAATTAGTGAATGTAAAACGATTTATTGTTTAGTTTCGCACGAAGGAATAAGAACAAGCGAGAGACAAGGCATTTGGCTTCGGTTTTTGGTTGATAGTTGACAGTTTTGCAAATGGGTTCTCATGCTTACAAGTATTAGCTGATCTCCGCATTATTCGTGAACCCGTCCGACAGAAGATGATTGAAAAGAAAAAGGAAAGGATGAGATAGGCAAATCGGTGGGGAGAAAAGTGGAAGAAGAAGGAGAAGGCGTTGCCGATCCGATTACGTTTGACTTTTCTCGAAGCGATCAATCTAGAAATTTGCAGATTTGAAACAAAACTGTAAGGAGAACTAAAACTAGAAAGGAGAAGGAGAAAAAGGAAAAGAGCATGCTCTGAAATACGAACAAACTGAGGAAAAGAGGAAAAAGGGAAATAAGGGATTGATGGGGAAATGGGGGTAAACGGACGCGTTCAATTGAGAACGGAACTAACGAGCAGCTCTCCCTGTCGCGACCAGTCACAGAACAGATAATAGCGAAGCAGCATTCGGTACTTGTCCGAGAAGAGCATGTAGACGCAGATGTTGCACGACGCGTTTATGATCACCTGAAGAACAGACATTCAATTCAGTGGGCGCTTGGTGAATGGGCTCACCAAGAGGTTATTGAAAGTGACGAGAGTCTGATAAATGGCTCCGTCGGCGCCCATATTCTCCATTATGTTACACACAAACGCGAGAGTGTTGCAGGCGATAAAAAGGAGCACGATCGAGATGAGCATGATGGAGGTCTGCCGTTCCTTCCGCTCCGCCTTCTTCGAGAACTCCTCGCTCTCCGCTCCGCACTGCGAGACCATGTGCATTCGACGAGAGCGTCGGACCGCCGAAAGGACCATCGAGTTGAGGGCGATGAGCAAAGTGAACGGGACGACGTACATGACGATGGTGTAGGCCCAGCCGAAGAAGATTTGTCTGAAAAAGAGTGGAATTGAAATAAAAATGATCCGACCAGGTACCTGTAGAGATCGCTCATTCGGAGAGCGGTCGGCTGAAGCGAGGGCATGTAGTAGTCGATGTTCGCGCGATAGCAGACGTTCGAGATGTGCACCTGAAAGGGGATCGAATGAGAGGGTCTTTCTTTCACTCGGTACCTCGAAGAAGCGAGTGGTGTTGAAGAGGACCGAGAAGGTGAGCAGTCCGATTATGAACGTAGTGACCCTCTTCTTCGGAAGCCACTCGACAGACTTGTACGGGTGACAGACGCCGATGTAGCGATGGACGGACACGCCGACGGTCATGAACACACTGCACGTTTGGGCGGTCATCATGAGTCCATACATGTAGGGAGTGACCGAGTAGCTAAAGGATTCTGGATGGATAGTGGCTTCATTTATAACAAAACACAACAAAACAGGCAAACTAATCGAATTGAAACAACGTCGGGTTGAGAAGAGATAGAAAGTGATAGATCAATGGGAAGGATGGTACAGGAGTAAAGGAAGTGTGAGGGTGAAGCACCCGATGGAATGGAAGTAAGGTCGAATTAGGAATGACATCTAGGATAATCTTCGGCTAGAATTGGTTATTAAATTATTATTATAAAGATCCGGATGAAACCAGATTTTCACAAATATATATCTTCTCTAATTGGCTGAACTAATCTGGATCCTAGGATTTGAACATTAATTAGAATTATTACTGCAAGAGTCCGATAAAACGAGCAAAATGAAACAAAATGGGAAGATGGAACACGAAGTGAAAAAAGGAAGAGAAAAGAAGGAAATGAGCATATCACACAACACACGAAACTCAAGTGTCCAGCATGCCACGTCAAACTCTGCTCGACAAACCTGATGTAGTTGGCTCGCCACCAGGTCAGATACTCGCCGAAACGAGGCAGCGAAAGGACGAAGAACGCGGAGACGAGGATGAGAGTGTCCGAGGCGGAGAGCACCGCCAGGTACCAGTTGATCGAGGAGCCCGACATGATTCTGTGCGTGAAGATGCGCATCGACGTCACGTTCGCCAGAATGCCGAACATGATGACTGGCACGGCGACGAGACCAAGAATCACTCTGTAAATAGATATTTCAGTGATCTCGGGAGTACAATCTACGAGCTGCTATTCAAGGTTAATCCACCGATTTCAGTTTCTGTTCATCCGTTTATCGGCTTTTATTCTATTATACTCGCTGTTATAGTAATACTTTGAGACTCAACCCATTCATTATCTCGGCCAGTGATATTACTAATGACCACCTTCCGTCTATTTTGGGCAACATAGTATACTACTTCTGGTGAGATATGTGAGAAACCAAAGTATAAACAGAAAGGGATTCTCAGAAGCTAATTTCCGAAGATCTAAAATAGTTCCCCAGCAAGCCTTACCTCTCCAATCCCTCGTAACTCGCGTATTCGGTATGACAGACACACGAGATGTTGAGCGGAGTGCACATATCTTCCTCCAGAAACAATGAAGCTGCCGTTGAAGTGATACTATCCGGTGAAATAATGAGACCCAACGCCGCCGTGAGCGGAGAAGAGGTGGCGGCGGCGGCGTTGAAGTCATCAGAAGACGATGTGAAGTTGGAGGAAGTGAGAGCACTACTCATCTCGTCTGATACCGGGAGCGCGTCGGCGGAAAGCGTTTGTTGAAACGCTCTTCGGTGATGAAGAGGATGCCAACGAGCCTGCCTGCAAAAGAGGAGAATGAAATGAGAGCAGAGTACGCTGCGATTAAGAATTAGAAGAGAAAAGGAAGGGAAGAGAAGGGAAGGGAAAGGAAAGGAAAGACGGGGGAGCAGGTGAAAACCTGAAATAGACGTCGAAATCTCGCTGGAAACCTAACAAGCGAGAGGAGAGAGAAGTAGGCGCACAAAATTATTTCTTTGTGAAAATTGAACATATCTGACACACAATATCTGTGGCACTGTGATTGATTTCGGACGGAGTCCGTCTCGAGCAGATCAACAACATGTAAGACAGCATTTACTGGGAAAAAAGACGAAGACGGATGCGACTACTACAGTAACTTTTAGGTCTTATTAGAAAGTGTGACAGGAAATGTTTTGACTCATTTGGAGACGAGGCGACCATGGCAACTAGTGAGACCGACCCATTCTCGAGATGGAATGAGCGCCGCCTGCGCGGAGTTACCTAATAAGATTGGAGCGGAAAAAAAGAAGGAGTAAATAACAGAGAAGCAGTGATACGACAAATGCGTAGATCTATAAATGTACGAGTACTGAAATTGAATTCACGAAACGGGGCGGGGGTGAAGCCTTGTTACGACCGAAAGAAAACACCTGACTTCTGATTTCAGAAGGGACAAGGTTAGGACGATGATGTGAGGGCGCTACAAAAAGATCTAACGTTGACCGAACGTCATTTTTCTGGATGAGAGGATCTAATTCAGCAGATACGACGGCTTAGCAGATGAAAGGTTACTCCGACTTTTGACTAATCAATCGGAAACGCGAACTAACAAGAAGGTATTGCATAACATAAGTATCTTTACTTCTATCTTTTTTCAGCCGTTGATGATTATGATGATCGTGCCGTTCGTATTATGTGGATTAATCTGACCAGAGGAAGAAGGGAGCCGAGACGGAGAGTGAATAAAAGAATGGAAATACCTCGACAGAGCTCAGAATAAGATATGCCTTTCCGAGAATTAGAAGAACGACTTGATGAATTCAATTGAACTTGTAGCGGAAGACGTGGCGTGAATAATGACATGGTAACCAGTTAATTCGATAAATTTGTTGATGACACGCACATCGAACATTTTCGGGAATTTCAGAAGAAGACAGACAAAGATGAAGGGAATTTCGAAACGGATGCTGAGGCGAAGATTGCACATCACAGTTCAGAGTGTCGCGATGTGATTAAACAAAAATCTAATCAGTTTCAACGCTGACAAAGCGCGGCGACTGGACCAGGAAAAATAGTGGGGGTCTAGAAAAACATGCAAGTAAAATAGATTTGGGTCGTCCTGGTCTCTCCTGCGCGTGTGTGCCTCATTCACAATTGAAATAGTAGTTGTTGCGTTCGAACCAGACAAGAACGGAGAAAGAAGAAGAAAGAGAAGAAGAAGAAGAAGAAGAAGAAGAAGAAGAAAGGCAGGAACGGAGGAAGAAAGCTACTTCCAAGGGACACGGATTAGGGCGGACAGACAAGACAGAAAGGATAGAAAACACGTGTTGACAGGCAGGAAGAGGGCATCAGAGTTCTGAAAGAGTTTCAGCTTCCACAAAATGATGAATGAGCAGATGGATCTGCAAAATGAAGGAAGAGAAGAAGGAGAGAAGACAACGAATGACCGCCTCTTCTTCACCGTCCAAATCATCATTCATTCGTGAATGAACCCTCCCTTCTCGTGCGGTCGGTCCGGCGCGACCATGTCCTCAGAATCAGTCACACGTGTCGGAGATGTGAATTGAATGAATATTTGAATTGAAACTCTCCGCTTCCAGGGTCCAATTCTTGGGATGAATGAGATGATGACTGTGATGATGATGACGACGGACCGATGCAGAAACATGACACACGGATGAATAGTCGAGTGGACAAGAGGAAGACAAGGAAGAGAATTGAAATAACGATGCAAAAATGAAAAGAAGGGGAGCGGTGGATCAGTTGAAAACCGTCAGATCATAGACTGAGTTGTGTTCATGGTTCATGAATTCCCGCGGGAACTCCCATCAAACGAACTTGTTTCCCTACGCGCTTTCTATGTTTGTTGGAATTGTTTTGAGTTCGTCGTCATCATACAAAGTGAGAAAACTCACGTAGAACTAGTAGAGAGTTAGAGTAGAGGATATATGTCAAACAGGACGTTTGTGAGAGTTGGAAAATCTAGAATCTTCTGTTGCTCACAATAATGTGATCATCTAGTCTGTGTTCATTCTCTTCTTACTTCCTCGCAGTTCGGCAGTGCAAATAAACAAGTCTTAATAGTGACGGATTTCTCCGCTTCTCAATGCTCATCTGATTATAGTGCAATTGGAATTGTCCAAACAACTTCGTCGTCTCTTGAATGAACTAAGAAGTAGGCCAGAACAAAGAAAAAGAGAAAGAAGGAGAAGAATAAGTGAAAATAGGGAAGGAGGGAAGTCAGTTATAAAAAACAAATTGTCGTGGTTCAATTATTCATGTCATGTTTTGGAGAGTGGCCAAAAATGCCATCGAGAAGCCTTCCGATGGTAAGAAGACGCCACGAAGATGAATGTGAAAAAGAGAAAGAGGTGGGACCAAAGAAAAGGCGAAGCGAGGGTGTGCGCAACGTGGCAATTATCCGTCAGGGAACGGCGGCAGAAAATAAGGAACCAATTGTGCAATGACACAAATCTCGGGGTGAATCAAGTGAGACGAATGGAAGGAAAGAGCAAAAGTGAAGAGGCGAATGAAAGAAAACACAGCTGACAAACAGACTTCTTCTTTTTCTTTCCGTCCCGTCCGCCCGGGGATTCACACCCACGGGAATCGAAGGACCAAAAACAACGATGAAAACGCGAGGGAGGAGGAAGAGGGAACGGGCCACGAGAAGCACATTTGATGGTTTGGATCGCCTTGTCAGCGAGAAGGATAATCAACAAATTAGAGGATTTATCGAGGTGTCACTGGGGTACTTCTAATCGGATTCTAGGGCTTCAGAGTTCTGGGAAGGCGCTGAACGTGAATGGGAGCTACGTGAGTGAGGCATCAGCTTAGAAGCTGTGCCTATTGACTCATTGAAAGTACAAGCGTTGAAAATTGACCGTTCAATTCTGGATATTCCCAATTAGGCGCTGCTTTCAAATACTGCATTCCGGGTAGATCCGTGTAAGGAACGTCTTCCGATTCAAAAGTATGCGTGGTCAATTCTCTCGCTTTCTTTTCTTCCCCTTTCAATCCTCAATTGTCAAAAACAGCTCGTCGATCATCAGACACTGCTTCTCCTTTTTTTCTTCCATAATCAGCTCTTTCCCTCTCTCTCAAAGTCGAAAAATAAACACGTGAAATATTCATATCTCTTCACTCTGCTCCCCTTCCCCTCTTTTCCGGCGACGTTGATATCTTACGACGGATCAGTTCTTTTTATGGAACTGGAAATCCCTAAGTCACTGGAACTTTCGAATAAAAAGAAGCATGTCTGGCATTTTCCGCTTTGACCGACATTTTGGAGATAGAGGGAAGCCCAACTGAAGTGGTTGGGCTGAAAACATTCAGGAAGCAGGGCGAGCGAAGAGCGAGAAGTCGACGGAAGGCGAGGGGAGAGAAGAGTTTGCGATGTTCGTCAATCGCATTATTATTTACATGTTTTGCATCGTTTTTCTTTTCATGAAGAAAGGAACATTCAAACAATTTCATAAGGAACTGGGAAGGATTGGGTGCCGGGAACTGCGAGGAAACATTAACCACCAACTACTTTTCAGTGCGAATTTCTGGAAACAATTGTTTCGAAAATCAGGGAAGGCTCAAAAAATAGAAATCAAACAAAAGGTGAGTGAAAACCGAGTCGGTCCCGAACTTGAGAAGGACTGGAGAGGAAAGGCCTAGTGGGTGGGGGGAAAGAAAAAGAGGAAACTTGAACGCGCCAGATGAAACTATCGGATGAGACGGCCGCCTTTTTTCCCTTTGAAGGTGGAAATGCGAAGAAGGAGTTTTTAAATATGCAACCTTGGGGACGAAAAGAGCTCAACAACGTAATAAAGAGTTCAGAAAACGGAAAAGTGAGGATATGAACAGACACGGCAGACTGTTCTGCTGCTCGTTCTGAGAATCATGTCTTTTAGAAGGAGACAGACAGGAAGGAGTAGGCTGGCGCACTTCTAAACTATTTCGGGACGATTCGATTGGCTTCCAGTTGGCAGCAGCGGAAAGGTGTCAAATGGCAGAGAAACATTTTCCTTGTTGAAAGGACTTTGATGTTTCTGACTATGAAAACGGAAGCACAGCAGAAAATCAACAAAACCAAGGCTGATAACGAGTTTTCACCTGTTTCTTAGAATCGTCATGAACTATTGCTAAGAAGCCAGTTTCACGAGTCATATTCTGAGATGAGACAGTTTCGAAAGGACAGGATCACGCATTCTAAATGTTTCCCATGGGTTCCATCAATCGCAAGGCGATTGATAACTCTTTTTTGTTTGTTTTTGGATAAGAGTGCTGCTTGGTGCAAAATCTTTCCTTTTCTTCGAACATTCGATATATCATGGGGTGTCCCGTTCGGGAAGTGTCCGTTCACAGAAAAAAATGTTTCCGTTTTTTCTTTTCCGGAAAATTCTAATAAAACGACGCAAAAGGCGCACTTGCGTCAGTCATATCTTCCATGCATTTTGAATGAATCTTGACAATAAAACATTTCCGACGGCTCGAAAAGATCAAGAGCTGGGACCGGAACCCACTTGACACAAGCTCATCAGATCCGCCAAAGGAAGGGAAAGAACTGAATTAAGCTGTGCCCGAATTTTCAGGAAAACTCAATTATGGTATTGTGTTGAAGCCATGTGTATAGGCTATAATTCGATTTTTAAAACACAGGAAAAAAGAGGGACGGGAGAAGATACGGAAGATTGTCGAAATATAAACAAGTAAACAAATGAGTGAATGAGAAGGAAACGAGAAAAAG